AATCAAAGATAACTGCTAATTACTATAAATATATTTATAATATTAATTCAGATAATAATACTAGAATAAATATAAGCAGTAATATTAACTTTTATAATTATATTAATATTAATATAGATATTAACAGTAATACTAATTTTCTCAGTAATATTAATATTAAAATAAATATTAATAATATTAGTAATTTTAATAATAATAATAATTATAGTAATATTAATATATTTATATATAATAATAATATACTTTTTCTTAATATATATAATAAAAATATTTTCTTTTTTTTTAATAAACTGAAGAATTTTTTAATTTTATTTTCTTAAAATCTTTTCTATTATTAAAATAATAATATTCTATAAAAATTTTTTATAAAATATTCTAGTCTAATATTAATATCTTTTAGATTCTTTCTCTAAATTTATTATAACTCTTAAGTTATAAGCTTTTAATATTAAAATCTTATAGACTAATTATATAATATTAATAAAGATATTATATTTAATAATTTTATTTAAAGAGCTACAGTCTATTTTTATAAAAATAAATACTCTAAAAAAATATATATATAATTTTTTATTTATACTATTAATAAAAATATATATTATATTAATTAATTTTAATACTTAAAGTTCAGTATTATCTGATAAAAAAGATTTATTAATATAAATAATATCTTTATAATATATTTATAATTTATTATATCTATTTTATTTTATTCTCTTATCTGATTTAGAATTAATTAAACTATATTTTAAAATAGTAGAGTATTCTAATTATTCTATTAAGCTGTAATATTAATATATATAAAATTTATTTCTGATTATTATATTTAATTAATATATTTTTTCTCTGAATACTAAGAATATCTTTTTTTTAAATAAATTTATTTAATTTATTTTTTAATTATAATTCTAATATTTAAGTATATTATTTCAGTATAGCAGAATAATATTTATTAATAAAAATATATAATCTAACTTATAGATATAAAATCAGATTATTTATATTATTTAGTCTATTCTTAAACTATATTAACTAATTAAAATTAAAAAAGAAAATAGTAGATTTCTTAAGCTAATAAATTCTTATATTAATAATAATTATTAATTAATTAAGAATATAATATTTAAGATCTCTATATTATTAATTAATAATTATATTAATTTCTAGTTTATTTATATTTATTATCTCTCTGTTATATTATCTAAGAATATTATCTTTATTTATTATATTCTAAATTTATATAATAATCAGACTTAATTATATATTTTAATATATTCTTTATAAATAGAACTTAAGCTTAAGATTTTTAAATATAATTATTTTATTTAATTATCTTATTAATTATAAGTTATATTACTACTTTTTTTTTTTTATTAATAATTTTAAAACTTATTATAATATATTTAAAATATTAAAAAAAATTTATTTTATATCTGCTAACTTATTCTATATTAAATAAAAATATTTAATAAATTTATTTACTATAATATTAGATTCTTATAAAGTCTTTTTTTAGAATATTCTTATTAATATCTATATTAATCTTAAGATTATAATAAAAGACTTTTATAATATAATTTATAAAAAATAAATACTTATTACTATATCTATTATAGCTCTTACTAAAAATATATTATAATAAACTAAAAATAATAATATACTTAGTTATAATATTAATATTAAATATTAAATATACTATTATTTATATAGTAAATAATATTAATAATTATATAATATTATTTTTTATAGCTGATATTATTTTTAGTATTAGTATTATTAAATTAAAAGTAATTATAAGATTATTATTCTAGAATAATAAAAATATTTTAATACTATAAAAATATAGTCTATATTTTTATTAATTAAATAGATTATATTAACTCTTAATATTATTTTAGATTATCTATATAATATATTATACTCTGATTAAAAAAAATTAGTTATTATTTATTAAAATATATTTAGAAAATTTTTATATTTTTAAAAATTTTTAACTTTATTATAATCTTATAAAAAATTATTTAACTAGTTTAATAATCTTATTTTTCTTTTTTAAAATATTTAAAAATCTAGATATTATCAGATCTTAATTAAGAGATTATTTTTTTATTTATTATTCTTTAAATATATATCTATTTTAATTAATTTTATCTGAGATTTCTGCTATAGATTAAAAATATTATATTATATTTTTTTTTAATTATTAAAAATATATTTTTATTATAAATATAACTGATCTGTGCTTATATAAAGATTATATTAATAATTATTTTTATTTTAATCAGCTATATATTATCTTCTATATTAATAAATATAAGAATAATTTATAATTACTAAATTTTTTAATATTTAATAATTATAGCTTTAATTATAACTAATTTAAAGCTATAGATATTTAATATTTATTTTTTATATTTATAATATTTATTAATCAGTTATCTAACTAATATAAAATAGAAAAACTATTATATAATTATAATAAGAAATATAATAAAAATAAATAATTTAAATATCTTAAGATATTAATTATTTATACTAATTTTTATTTTTATATATTTATTATTAAGTATAATCTGCTTATAAATTATAATATTCTAATTAATAAATTAAAATATAAATAAATATCTATTCTAAATTATAATCAGCTGCTGATAATATTATATTATATAAAATATTTAAAAAATAAATAAATTATATTTTATTATCTTAGCTAATAATTTATCTTTTTTAATTAGATTGATTTTATTATTTTTTATATTTAAGTCTTATAAATTTTTAGTAGAATAATTATTTAATTTTACTAGAGATTATCTAAAATCTATATATATTTTATTTATATCTAATTTAGAAATATATTCTTGCAGATAAATTTATTACTAATTTATAAATTATAATAATATATTTAATTAAATAATTTTATTTTTTATTTTTTAAATAAAATATACTAGATATATTATTTTTAATATATTAAAAAAATATTTAATCTTACTTTTTTACTAATATAATAAAATATAATTATCTTATTATTATTAGATTAAATTCTATTCTTAATATAATTTCTTTATTTTTAAAAAAATAACTATAAAAGACTTTTGTAACTAATTTTTATATATTTTTTATTTTAAAATATTAATTATATTTTATTCTTTAGTTATTTATAGATAATTATTATTAGAAATTTTATTAAATATTAATCTTTAATAATATATATAAATTATAATATAAAATATTATATATAATCAGAATACTTTTTTTTTCTTTTATTATAATCTTAAATATAAAATAAAAATAGAAATAAGATAATAATTTTTTTTTTATTATTTTTCTAAAAGATAGATATTATTAGAATTATAAAATAAAATTAAACTAATATTTATAATTAATATAGATAATATTTATAAATAGATATTAATTAATATTAATACTAGATAAGATCTAGTATATTATTTATAAAATATTAATTTTATATAAATAATAAATTATTATATTCTAATTTTTTATTACTTTTATATAATTATATATTACTTCTAAGAATATTTTATATAAGAATTTTATTATTATTTAAAAAATATAATTAGATAATCTCTAGAAATTATAATTAATATTTATTATATATTTATAAAATATTAGATAATATCTAAAAATTATAATTAATATTTATTATATATCTATAAAATATTAGATAATATCTAGAAATTATAATTAATATTTATTATATATCTATAAAATATAGTTTTTATTTATAAATAATAAATATTTTCTATATCTAATCTATTTTATTATAGAACTATTCTTATTAAATTATAATTATATAATAATTTTTAAATTATATTTAATTTTAATAATATTTATATATAATTATCCGATTTAGATAAGATTATATTATTAGTAATTATTATTATATATAAATAATAATAAATAATTATTTTATAATTATAAATAATTATAATATAATCTAATTATAATCTAACTATTACTGTAAATAATAGTTTAATAATTATTATAAAATAATTAATAAGTGTAGTAAACTATTAAATATATATAAATAATAGTAAGCTATTATCTTTAACTTTTACTGAACTATGCTGTGACCCTCTCTACGCACGCCTCCGGGCCCCTATGTAGATACGGAGCACCATACCCGAGTTCCACCCACTATCCATCTAGTTAACTAGTAAAGTGCTCCCCTCCCGTACTCCGTACATGGAGTAAAGCAATATCGAGACCTGTGTCCCATTGGACGGGGACTGTTCCACAAGAAAAAGCTAGGGCCTATATGGACTAGATAGGTAGGTAGATGGATAGATAGATAGATATATGAAACTAGGAAGATATGGAGATTGTACTCCGTAGTGGGATAATTATACTTATGAAGTTGTCGGGGGTTTGCATAATTATGTGCCGTAACTCCAGCACAGCGGTAGTACTATGTAGTATGCAGTATGTAACTAGTATGTCTTTGATTGATTAAACCCCAATCCCATGGCACATGATAAATAACTAGCAGCAACTTTCTCAAAACCGATATAGGGAACTTTTAGTAGTATTATCCGGTTATCATGACCATGAAGGAATCGCCATGTCATCCATATCATTAATGAGAGAGAAAAAAAGAAAGAAAGAAAGAAAGATCATGCAGCAGACTGAACAAAGTAATCCATCCTCTTGCACTCCCCGCCTAAATCCTGAATCCCAAATCCATGATAGGTTATGCAACTTAACCGCTGCCCGCGCCCCCTGGTCGATTCGCAGCAGCCAGTCAAAGGGGACGGTCGGATGATTGATAGCTTGGGTGTACGTGTGCGGTTACGTGTTCGTGCACCGCACCGACACCGTAAGTAAGTACATAAGTACCTTGGCTGCCTACCGTACCGTAACTAGGTACTTGCTTTGGTACAGAGTAGGACTCTGGATAATTACTACAGAGCTATTTGGGATAAGAAGGAGATGAGAGAGGAGGGGAGAAGAGGATAGAAGAGACATCATGCAAGGAAGGAAGGTCATGGTAATGCCCGTTTGACGATCCGGAACAACCACCCGGCGTCTTCCCAGCCGCCGTGGTCTCCGGGTTTCTCAGCCACGGAGGCGGTATCGGAGTCCGGATCAGGGAGGGAGATGTTATCGGCTTCTTCTTCGCGGATGTTGTCGATGTCGAGCTCGTGCCTTGGATGGTAGTAGTCGGCCGGGCGGGCTGAGGCTGGGGCTGGGGCGGTAGTAGCAGAAGCAGAAAGCGGCCAGTCGTCGACCCCGAAGAGAGTCCATTCGACCATCCGATCGATCCAACTACCTAGCCCGAAGCCCCGTTCCCGGGTGAGACGCTGCAGCTCCTGCTCGTCTATTTCGTCTTCGGAGGCGAACAAGGAATCCGAGGCCGAGGAGAGGTTGTCTTCGTCTTCGTCCTGTTGGATGATTTCCATCTCCGCGCGGATTCGCTCGTCGACGAAGTCCGGGACTAAGTGGCGCGTGGCGGCGTGGTCGGCTTCGCTAGGGGTGCCGATTCCGCTGCTGGGGGCGGTGGTGGTGACCGTGGGATCTTGTGGTTTGGCTGTTCCTGTGCTGCCGAGGCTAGTCATGAGGAGATCGGGGCGGCTGGGTCTTCTGCTCGAGGGGCGGGAGCCTCGGCGGGAGTAGGCAGCCGGGGTGGAATGGCCGGATCGAGAGTGGCGGGGTTCCGGGACGATGGGTTGCTGCTGCTGCTGTTGGGGTTGTTATTTTCTAGTAGGTCTTCTGTGACGAGACTCGTTGAGCTTTGCCGTTTCACGAGCCAGCTTTGGCCTTTTTCCTCGCGGGTCGACGAGGCGAGGGCAATGCCGGCGCGGAGCATCCATTCTGTGTCTGAGTGGCGATGGACGTCGGGCGGGTGGCGGCGGGAGGATGGAGGTGATAATGTGTTGTGGTTTTCTGAGGCCTCATGGTGATGGTGGCGATGGTGATGGTGGTGGTGAGGGGGGAGGCTGGCCAGGCCCTGGGTTTGCAGGTTGGTGTCGCTGGAATGGATGCGAGTGGAACTCTTGCTCCGGGAATCGAGACGCGCGCGGGACCCGCTGCGGGAGTGGGAGTGGGAAAGGACGCCTGGGGTTCCGGGGACGGAGAAGCTAGAGAGATAAGAGGTCCTGCCGGTGGGGGTGTCGGGGACTTCGCGTCGAGGGGTGAAGTAGTCGGCGGGATCGGTATCATTGTCGTCGTAATCGTCGTCGATGGGGAATCGAGGGTTCAGCGGGGATAGAGAGACCTGGTTGAGGGATGGATACGAACGGCGTGATCGGAAGCCGCCTTGGGATTGCGACGACTGGTGTTGTTGATGGTGGTTAGTAGGTACTAGGTAGGTAGATGGGTGGAACTGGGGAAGAACAGGGGATCTGGTGCTCACCTCCATGGGGGATGGACTGGGTGACTGGCAGTGTAGAATGGTGTATTGGAGCAGAGACTAGGAGATCCAAGCGGCCGAAAGAAGAGAGGTTGTCAGTGATACGAGGGTGCAATGATGGGCTCTTAAGCTCTGTCGGGATGGATGGCGATCGCACCACCCTTTCTCTCCTCGCCAGTCTTCTCCTCATCCGCCCGTGCGCGGGTGGCATGTGAAAATGCGGGCAATCAAGGGGAGCAATGGCTTCACCCAGCATATGTTGGAATGGGAAGCTTCATACTTGCAATAATTTGCCCCGGAGTGAACTAATGATAGCATGATAACCTTAACGGCGATAGGGGCTGATTGGGTGGGAATGAAATAAGCTGGATTGGCTTTACCACCTGCAGTACCTTATCCTCCTACCTTACCTTACTACTTGGTGTACAGTACGGTACTTGATGGTGATACTGTATTTGAGGCACCCAATCTGTTAACCGTTGCGTCTATATCGTTATCTTCCATGTCTATAAATAGTAGGTAGGACTTGACCACTTGCAGATGACTTCATGATGTCTGTCTGGTTCGTAGACGGTGCCCTAAGCTAGTAGTATAGTATATCCATAGCCGCTGGAGAGGAAGTGATGGTGGCCGGGCTGGAAGCTCAACATCTCAACCCATTGCACCTACTGGATTAGCCAGTGATCTATGCAGATGAGAGTGAAGCAGGCAGACCACTTGCCAGACTCCGAGGGATGAGGATATCATGATGATTCATGACGGGGGCAGTTGATCCCCACACCGCCCGAGCCAGCCTTACGTGGGCGATCAGCAGGCTGGACTGGCCGGGATGCTCTCCACGTACCGCTGCCTCGCGGTGACACCAGCTCAACCCATGATTGTTGCTTGACCTCCTAACCGCTGATTTCACCCCCCCCCCCTCCTCCTCCGAATACTCATGCCAACCCCGCTAGCTGGCTAGCTACTATTCAACCCTCTCATCAACGCATACTTCTCTCCCCCAGACCATCATTTTGTCGCCCCCCCCAACCTTCACTGTTCTCCCCGCTCCCTAGCTCCGGCCACCATGGCTGACGAGGCAAGCCGGCCTTTGCTGGACGAGGAACCCCGTCCTTCCTCAACTCGTCGATCGTCAACATCTATTGGCAAGTCTTCGTATCGCGCTGACCAGGGCCCCCATCCGTACGAGCTGTCATCCGAGTCTACTCCTCTTCTCGTCCATCGGGACGATGATCTTCTGGCATACGGCGGGACCGATCCCCGAAGACAGTCGTCCGATCACCCTCGAGATCCTTCCCCAGACACATCGCTGAAGAAACGGCGGGGAAGTATACGATGGCCGATGTTCTGCGCCCTCACTACGCTGGCTGCGGTCGTTGCGATCCTTATCTTCGCCTTTATCGCCCCAGCTGCCGTGAAGGAGTATGCGAAGGAGGCGACCGTGTTCAGGCCTACAAACGTCTCCATTGAGTCAGCCATGGCGGACGGTCTTCAAGCCCGGATACAAGGAGACGTGATACTCGATGCCCGGCGCATCCGGAAGAGACCAGTGCGAAACATCGGTCGCTTCGTCACCTGGATAGCAAGAGAGGTCGAAACTGGCGAGTCGGAAGTGGATCTGTATCTTCCGGAGTATGGAAACGTCCAGGTCGGCACGGTGCTGCTGCCCTCTATCAAGGTCAACATTCAAAACGGCCACGTGAACCATGTTGATTTCATGGCCAAGTTGATAGCGGATGATATCCAAGGAATTCGCTCTGTTGCACTGGACTGGTTGGACGGAAGACTTCGGCACCTCATAGTTAGGGGAACGGCAGAAGTCCAGCTGAAGTCGGGCTTATTAAACCTGGGCCAACAGATACTCACGGATAGTATCACTTTTAAAGGTCAGCTCCAACCCTTTACATGTTTGACTGATGTTACTGATGCCATATATAGAAGGTGACTTTCCCGCATTACCGGCGGTCAACGTCACCAACCTCAATGTGTACGACGCAGAGGGCCAAGGTGAAATGGCGGTCGATGCCTCTATCGCCGCCCAGATCGACTCACCCGTTACCCTGAGGATTCCTCCTCTCGGATTCGAGGTACTGGTTCCCAACTGTTCTCCTGGAGATCCTTATATTAGGGTCGCGGGTGCTACCACCCAAGAGTTTCCAATCGTTCCTGGTCTCCCAACATCGGTTGACGTTTCTGGCATTATCCGGGGCCTCTCTGATGACCTTACTAGAACTTGTCCTGGGGAGAAGAGCTCTCCCCTCGACTTTTTGGTCAAAAGCTACATTAATGGACTTGGAACCACGGTCTATGTCCGTGGAGCAAATGACCCGTCCTTGGGCACACCGGATTGGGTTGTAGACATCCTCAAAAGTGTGACTGTGCCGTTGAGTTTCACTGGACATGCCCTTGATAATCTCATCAAGAACTTCACCATGTCGGACGTACATTTTACGCTTCCCGATCCCTTTGCGGAACCTGATTCTCCCGAATCGCAACCGACCGTGTCCGCTTTGGTCAAGGTACTGATTGGGCTGCCGAAAGAACTGGGCCTCCAATTGGATGTTCCCCGAGTTCGAGCTCTGGCTGATGTCTACTACGAGGGCAGTAAACTCGGAGTCTTGGATCTGGATAAGTGGCGGCCTGCGAATTCGACCTTGTTTGACGACGTGGAGGGCGCCCCGGCGTTGCTCGTAGAGTTTGACATTGAAAAGGCGCCGCTTCATGTGACAGATGAAGATGTTCTAACCGACGTTCTTCAGGCGTTGATTTTCCAAGGGAAGACGGTCAAGCTCAAAGTTGCCGCTAATGTAGATGCGGAGGTTTCCACGGGACTCGGAACTTTTGCGGTTCGTGAGATACCGGCGGAGGGAGAGGTGGTCGTCCAGTGTAAGTTGTGTCGAGATAATGTTCCGTCGGAGAAAACTGCCAACTGACGTTTTTGTAGCCCCATATGGCGGCTCTCTGGACCAACTGGCTCCGCAGATTGAGTCCATGGCGCTAGGAACGACTACCGCCTCGTCCCTCCTCGTGAAGACCAAAATCAATGTCACCAATCCGTCGCCATACTCGGCGTCGATGCCTTTGATTGACTTGCAGCTCCTATTTAACGATACTAAAGTGGCTCATATCCTGGCGAAAGATATCACAGTTGTTCCTGGCGTCAATGACGGCATTCCTGTGGATCTTCTATGGAGCCCGCTCATTTTAGACGGGCCAGCTGGTGCCGATGCTGGTCGTGAGCTGCTCTCACAGTATATCTCAGGTGAGGGAGACGAACTTCTTGTATCAATGCTTTGTTTTTCTTACCACCCCCTCAGGACAAAACACAACAGTCACAATCAAGACCCACGAAGGGACGATCCCAGCGCTACCTAAACTCGGAAAAGCCCTATCTAAACTAGGGGTCGAGGTTCAGATTCCTCGTGTGCCCGTTCCTCGCGCTCCTGGTAACGGGAACGACCCCGACAAAGGCTCGGGGTTCATCCAAGGCGCCACGGTATTATCTACTCTCATGGATCTCATCTCTCTCCATGAACATCCGATCTAAGTTCATACATATAATTTGTGGGCCATGTGCCCCTTCTCCTCCAGACATGTGTTCAAGGAGAGAGCGCTCCGTTCAAGAGGGTGACTAACTTGCGTGAGCGCTGCTAGATGCACGTCATTACATCGCGGGCCGAGTTCACTTTATCCTCACCATTCCCTAATACAACGATTGACATTACGTCGATACACGCACAGGCATATTACGAGGAAGAGGAGGAGGTTGGCACCATCGACTACCAGATTCCGTTTTCCGTGCCCCCCGGGATCTCAGTGACCCCGCGGCTGCCTGTTGCCTTGAACATGGGAGGAATTGGCGGTGATGCCCTAAGAAAGGCCATCGGAGGCACCCTCGATTTGAGTGCTGTGGCCAAGGTGGGCGTTCAGATTGAGCACTACAGGGAAACGGTGACGTATCATGGCAAGGGGATCACGGCGCGAGTTAAGTGGTAAAGGCCTTCTGTTGGGCTTCTTTTTTTCTTTTTTTTTTTCTTTTGCTTTTTATACAGTTTGGTATTTTGAAAGCGGGCTACTGTGACTAGGTACTAGCTTCGTTTCGGACGGTCATGGGGTGCTTTGCTCTATTGGGTGCGAAGGGGCGTATAGGTATAGAAATGGCGTTTGAAACGACGTCTTGCGCGGTTCTTCTTGCTTGAGCTTGAGAGTCTACTAGATCAATTGACTACAACGCAGTTAGTTGCATTCTTGAATCCAAAGTATCTTGAAGCTGAAGTACAGACGAAATGATCCTCCGGGTTCACAGCATAGCACACATATGTTTGTTCCGTCCTGGTGAATGAGCATCATCCCATCTATTCTATCAAGCCGAACCACCGGCCAACACTTGCCCGTCTATTATTATATTAGGGCAAAAACACCTCCATATCCCCATCCACCAATACTCTAAACCCTCCCTATCACATCGAAAACAGAAACAAGTGAATTAAGAAAGACGTGTGAAAAAAACACATTTATTAATTCGAAAAATGCCTAGCTCAATAGGCTTGCCCAATTTACAAGGATTAAAATTTAAGAGTTTCAAGAGAGTTTGAATACATTTGTTGGCTTTTTTGATGGCAGGGAACAGTTCCTGGAATTTAACCAGGGGGCAGGGTGCTGGCGTCGACGACGTCCGCGGCATCCTTCTCGATTTCCTCGCTGGGCTCGAAGAGGGGAGAGCGGGGAAGGGCCATCAGACCGGTACGGGTGGACTCAAGGACACCGAAGGGACCGATCAGCTTCATGAAGGAGTCGATACGGGAGGGCTTGGCGGAGCTGGGTGGTGGGGGGTTGTAGTTAGTATTGATTTCTCGACAGGTATAGAGAGGAAAAAAAAAAGAAAAAAAAAAACTTACACTTCCACAATGCAGTTGTTGGTGCTGATATCCAAAACCTTTCCGCCGAACTGATGAGTCAAACGCGTAATGGCGTCGAGGTGCTCGTGCTTGTGTCTCAGGGCCTGACTCTGGGGCAGGTTGCGGGGGTGGTATTCGGGCTTCGCAACCTTACCCTGGGCGGGCTTGTCCTTCTGGCCATCGGCGAGCTCACCGGGGGTGGTAATCTCACGGTGGTGCTGAAGCAGCTCCTCGAAGAACTCGGGGCCCAAGATGCTGACCTTGGCAAGGAGCAGCTCGCGCTGGACGAGAGCGGACTCGGTGTAATCGAGGACGGCCCAGACGGGGACCAGATCATCCAGCTGACGACGGGCCTGCTCGACGACACCGTCCTGACCCTGCAAGACGATGGTCATGCGAGACAAATCCTCCACCTCGGTGTTACAGACGACCAGACTGTCGATGTTGAAGCCGCGGGCGGCGAGAATGCCCGACACGCGGGACAGCACACCGGGCTCGTTCTGCACCAGACAGTTCAGGATGTGGCGCTTGGGCGGGTTGGTGGGCGTGGTGGGCGTTTCGTACAGGATGGACGAAACGGCCGTGGGGGCGTCCCATTGCGGGGAGGCATCGGAGACGGGCAGCGGGAGGGGAGACCGGCGATGCAGTGCCTTGTAGGCCAGGGCTGAGGTCGAGCTGGAGGAGGCCCGGATGGTGGTGTTGCTGAACCGAGGGAGAGTAGCGGCCAGTCGCGAGGTTCTGCTCGCCACGGAGAGGAAAGGCGCTGATGCTGTCGACGACGACAGCATCACAGGACGCCGGAAAGCCATGATCGCCGCGCGGATGGGCCTGCGAGAAGGGGCAGGCGGGGATCGTGATGCAGCAAAACCGGTCAGGGCAAGTCGGAGAATGAAGTCCGCAGTCATCGAGCGCATTTTATACCGGCGGGCCTTCCGACCTCGGGGGCCACCGCTGACTCAGGCTTTTCGGGGGTCTGCGTATTATGATTACCGGCGGGTGACAGTACCACAGTACCCAGCTTGGCTGGATCCGGGTTAGCGCAGATGCGCGTTGGTTGAGGCTCACATGATCCGGCGCTGCATCTCATTCTCACATTAGTCTCGCGTTATTCTTCTTTCATCTGGCGCTGCACGATTATCGTTGATCGTTGGGGTTCTCAGCGATTCTCAGTGCACAGATCTTCAACTACTCTGGTTGGAAGTTGGATTTATCGGCAACCAGTTTTCGTCCCAGTGAGGAGCAGTGATAGTATGTACTGAACGGACCCGCCCTGTTTTTTACTTACCACTGGACTGTCATTGGCTCCAGCCGCTAACTTCTCCGGAGTCCAGCTCGGAGTCAGTCCAGTTCCCCCCCCGTGCTTTTGCTGCTGCTTTTCTGCGCCGCCGCTGCTGGTCGTTACGCTAGCGTCCACCGGGCGGATTGTCTGGACTCCACCGCCTGCGAAAGTCCTTTGCAAGATTATCTTGGCCTTTTCCGGCCTACTTGCTGCCTTGCCTACGGTCCTCACTGTGCCCTTCCCAACTTCCTCTTCGCCCTCTTCCTCCTCGCCGCCGCGCCCTCGCATCCTAAATCCCCATACCATGGACGACCGCCGCTCGAAACGCTCCCGCTTCGACCAGACCGAGCCTGAAGTGCGACGCCCATCGCGCTTCGACCGCCGTTCTCGATCCCCGTCGTCGCGACAGTCCGAATCGACTCGAGCCCGCAGCCCCTTCAGTCGTGAGCCTCGCAGCCCCAGCGCAGACACCGCAAAGAAAGCCGATCCTGCCGCCGCAGCTGGTATGTTCAGTCACACTGGTTTTGAGGGAGGAAAATGGGTGGCGTCAAGGGCGGAACTGACGGGGAGTTTCACACAGCGGCCGCCGCGGCCAAGATCAACGCTCAGTTGCAGGCAAAGAAAGGGATCCAGCATGTCGATGTTCCTCCAATCCGCTCGGTAAGCATGGCTTTTCACTGGCTCTGGTTGTCCGTCAACGACGTAAGAGACTGACATTCTTGCTCTACTGCTTAGACCGCAAGCCCTGCGCCACGATCTGGCTCGCCGTCCGGCGCCGACGCCTCTGGAAAGTTGAACGCGGAGATCTACGTTGCTGATGGGGACTACATCAAGGATATCGAAATCAATGACTTGCGCAACCGCTACACGCTGACCAAGGGCTCTACTCAAAAGATGGTAATTATTCCTGTTACATCCGCTGATCCTCCAGGCACACTTGTCGCAAGCTGGCTTCCGCCTCGGCCCTGCGCCTTGTCTTGATTTGTTCTCTGTCTTTTTGTTCTTGCTTTCGTTTGTGGTTATGGCTAAAGCTTACCCAAGTCAAAAACATGCATAGCATCCCACTTCCCCTCATTTGCATCTGCTGACCTCCGCTGCGTGACATCTAGATCAAAGAAGAAACTGGCGCCGGTACGCCTTCATTCCATATTATATTTTATCAACGTTTGACTCAAGGAAGAAGCTCATGATTTGTTCTACAAGATGTCACTACACGAGGAAATTACTACCCCGACAAGAGCATGGCCACCGCGGCGGTATGTGTGATCGTTCTCTCGCATGACCCGAACATGATGGTCTGACTTGAGGTCTCCCTGCAGAACCCCCCGCTCTATCTCCACGTAACGAGCACGAACAAAGAAGGTCTCGAACAAGCCGTTGCCCTGATCGACGATCTCATGAAGAAGGAACTCCCCAATCTGGTCGACGAGCGCCGATTCCGTCGTCGGGAGCCCGAACAAGTGGAGCGTGATGAGTATGGCCGTGTACGTACCCGCCGTAGCAAGCGATGCTGCGTCTCATATGAACTAATCATATACAGCGCAAATGGCCCGAGGAGCGGATCCCCGTCGACCTCGAACCGATCCCGGGCTTCAACCTCCGTGCCCAGGTTGTCGGACAGGGCGGTGCCTACGTGAAGCACATCCAGCAGAAGACCCGCTGCAAAGTCCAAATCAAGGGCCGCGGCTCTGGTTTCATGGAGCCCAGTACCGGCAGAGAAAGCGACGAGACGATGTTCCTGCACGTTGCGTAAGTGTCCTCTGCTTCCAGGTCTTCAACTACAACTCTATTAACGATATCTAGTGGCCCCGACCCGAACGAAGTGCAGAACGCCAAGTCCCTATGTGAGGATCTGCTGGCCAATGTGAAGGAACAGTACCAGCGCTTCAAGGAGAACCCACCCCAGCACAACTACGGCGGTGGTGGCGGCGGCGGCTATGGTGGTCAGCGTGGAGACCGGTACAACAACAACTACGGTGGAGGCTACGGCGGAGGGGGTGGTGGTGGCGGCGGTGGATACGGAAACCGCCAGCACCAGAACTCGCCCTCGACGTCCGCGAGCCCGTCGACACAAGCTCCGGGGGCTGGCTCGGGAACCGGAACTCCAGACTACAGCGCCCAGTATGCCCAGTACTACGGAGCCGACCCGTACGCCGCCTACGGAGGCTACCAGAACTACGTTGCCTACTACCAGTACTACCAGCAGGCTGCTGCCCAACAGCAACAGCAGTCCCAAAGCCCTGCTCCTCCGCCGCCTCCGCCAGCCAGCGAGGCTCCCCCGCCCCCGCCTCCGGGTTCGGGCTCTCCGCCTCCTCCGCCTCCTTCTGGCGGTAGCTACAGTGCTGTAAGCTTCTTCTCGCATGACACCTACCTCCGTACTACTAGCATCGATCAGCACTAACTCAAATTGCGATCTAGGTCCCTCCCCCTCCCGGACTGTGATACGGATACTGTTGTCCCAACAACCCCCCACAACATTATCTAATCTAGATCCAATGAGAAAATGCAGCTTCTTGTTATCCACGAACCCAAAACAAACAAAGTCCATTCAAGGCTGGTAACTAGCTAGCTCTACGACATGCCAAATCCAGATCCACCCCTGCCTGCTGAGCCGGCAATGCCACCGATCGATCATCTACTACCCTACCTTACCCTACCCTACTACACCACATCACACAACACAACACCGAACTCACCCTTTGGCTGCCCCTGTATCTTTATTCCGTCCGTTCCCGTCAACCGCTCCTGGTGGATCTCTCTTTCTATTTTCCTCATATAACCAGGATTTGGGTCTGTGTTACTTGCTTGCTTAAACCCTGTAGAGCAAAGTTCGGAATGCAATTCTGCGCTTATCATTTGGTGCGGACAAAAAAATCTTTTTGTTTGTTGTTGTGTTTTTGCCCTCAAGCGAATGGTTTTCTTTTTTGCTACTTACTTACTTAGTCAATCGCCCACCCACTCACTCGCTCACTCACTCAATCACTCACTCACTCAGTCCCTAGCTTCATCAAGTGTGTTTGTTGGTTGGTCCTGGTAGGATGGTTCTCTGCGCCTATCTACCGGACCTGTCTGGGACGGAAAGGAGGGTGCATGCAATGGATAATGCTATCTATCTATCTATCCCAGGTAGGAAATGGAAAAAATCATTAATTGCCATTTTTGCAATAATATTTCTGATCGAACAGGAACGGGTGTCTATTGTCATTACTTAGGTCGGTAGGTCGGTAGGCAGGCAGGGATGTAATAATGGGGACAATGTAACCAACCAGACAGTATCTATATCTATCCTGATTTCGTATGGTTTCGAAAAGCAATCTTCGGGGAATTAATGGGAAAAAGAAAAAGAAAAAGATATACATGACTTCTTGAATTGAAATTAAAATCCCCGGGATCAACCGCAGGGAAACAGCCCCGGATACAGTTTCTGCATATACCAGGGGACATTCATATCGACGAAATCGTCCATGCGGCTCTCAGGGGCCATTTTGGCCTTTCGTCTAGCGAGGCTCTGTCTGCCTTCCTTGCAGAAGTCGCACGCGAAATCACAGGGAGACGAATCTGCACCATTACCACCACCACTGGGGTTCACCCCGGACGTAGTAGTAGGAACTTGCGAGCCCATCCTTTCAAGCTCGAGATCACCAAAGAAATCCTTGATCAGATCATGTCTGCATCGGGAGGTGTTTTCGCAGTAGCTGACTACTTTTTCGAAGCTTGATAGTCGGGCAAGTTGGTTCTGGAGGGTGGTTTGCGACCTGTTGTTTTGGTTGTTTATTTGGCCGCCGGCGCGGTTGCGGGCGTTTTCGATGTCTCGTTGCAGGCGGTCGAGAATCCGGTCTCGTTCTTGAGTGTTGTAGTATACGATTGAGGCGGCGGCGCAGCCGTCACGACCGGCACGACCGGATTCTTGGACGAATCCTTCGAAGCTGCGCGGGGGGCTCCAGTGGATGACGAAGCGGACGTGGGGGCTGTCGATTCCCATGCCGAAGGCGGTGGTTGCGACGATTATGTAGAATGCTGGGGTTTTGGGTGACTCGGTGCTGTTGTTGGTGGTGGTGGTGGTGGTGGTGGTTTGGGGGACGAACTTGGATGATGTCCATTCGGTTTGTATGCGGGTTCGGTCTTCGGAGGATAAGCCGGCATGGTAGGCCACTGCGTGGACGCGGTCGCCCCATGCTGCTGAGAGAGAGGTGGCGAGCTTGTCGCAGACGGTTCTGAGTGGGACGTAGATGATCCCAGATATTGGGGGAAGAGTGGCAGACTCATCGCCTATTCCGGCCTCTCGCCGGGTCTGGACAGCTTGCAGCCAGGAGACAAGGTCGTTGATTTGGAACCCCTCCGGTTCTGTGGGATCACTCGCGAAGTCATCGAGGTACCTGATCTCGTAGTGGAGGTTTGGACGTGCAGAAGGCGTGTTGAAGATCTTTAGCTGGGTAGCGTCTAATCCGAGAAGTTTGATGATGTCTTCCCGGACACGGGGCGTTGCAGTGGCTGTGAGGGCTGTGATCGGGACCGGGGGGTGTGCCAGAGTCCGTCTGAACCAACCGAGTTCCTTGTATGCAGGGCGGAAATCGTGGCCCCATTCGCTGATACAATGGGCTTCGTCGATCGCGATGCGGATGAGTTCTCCCTGCCGGTGGATGGTTTGGAGGTTACGTCGGAAGGTCTCCGTCTGGCAGAGTTCCGGCGTTACATAGAGAAGACGCGTTCGTGGATGGCCCGACAGTAGATCATCCAAGATTGTCCGTCTTTCGGCAATTGGGGTCGTCGAATTGATGGTTGCTACCGCGATCCCTAAAGCTTGGAGTGCTTTTACCTGGTCTGTCTGCGTAACCTTTTTAGCACAACTCGCGAGGCGGTGTTTCTCTGACTGACCATCAATGCGAGGAGAGGGCAGATCACGACGGTTACTAGAGACAGGTCAGAGGATTATAAAAATGAGCGGCCTGAGGCAGGTGGTCCAACCTCCATGGCTGATCACTGCAGGGAGTTGGAAACACAGGCTCTTCCCGAACGAGGTATTCGCTTGCAGAAACACATCATGTCCTTCAATCGCTGCCGCAACCACTTCTCGTTGAAGAGGGCTATGGTGTCGGTTAGTTCGAGTGGTGGGTGGAGGAGTGGAGGAGGGGTTGAGGCTGGGACTGACCGAAATGATTTCTTCTGGAAGACGCGGCGGAGATAGAAGTCTAGATCCACTTTACGAGGCTTCAAACACCCGTATCCCATCTCTGCAGCATCCTAGGGGGTGCTGTTTGACGAGACTGCGAACGTTCTGTGGCTCTGGAGAGATCTTCTGGAGAGATCGGATGCTTGGAGAACGCGACGCGGCGGGGAAGGCCGGGGACTGACACGGTGCCACGTGATGCCCATTTATCCCAATCGGGAAGGCGGATGGGGCAGTCGGGCTACCGGGCCTCCTGCACCTCCAGCATCTACAAAGTAATATCATATGTTTAGGATGCAACACGTAATGTTGGTTGATTGTAGCTAACTAAATGTCAATTTGGTGAGTTGCTTACATACATTGAAACAACGGACCCACCCATGATACATATATACAATTGCCCGAGCCAATCCGATTCTCGAAGTCGAGGGTCGGCAGCACTGACATTCTCGGATACGACCTCTACAGTGATTTTGAGTGGCTGGTATGTCCCCTAGCCCTCTCTGTGTGCGTCGCATATAACAGCGAGGTTATCCCTAACGCAATGGCAAGGCCATGTCGTATGCCGTCCCCTCCAGCGGCATCCTCTGTCTGGAGCTTCTGCGACAAGCCGCCAACCCTCAAAGATATTATTTACGCCTTCCACGGTCAGAGATCATTCAAAACCTTAGTATATTGGTGGCGTACCTTGAATGGATCCAGACCGAGGCTTCCGGCGGGAACATGGCGTCTCTAATCCAGAAGATTCTGAGTCGATTCCTGGAGCGAATTCTTGATCCGCCGGGAATTGGGCAATCGCAGCCTATTGTACCTTTCCTGGAGAATGGATTCCCGGATTAACCGCATTTGGAGCTGCTGAACACATTCGACTGGATCGATTGGGATGGGATGGGGGTGCTTGTGAGTGATGTTTCAGGGCGTAACGAGTACCGAAGAGTCAGCTGTGCAGTCATCCAGAGCGACACCGCAGATCTGGCGCAGCTCAGGGAGGATCCGTCATGGTGGGATGATTGGTTTCGGCAGAACAACAGAGGGGACAATAACCTTTTCCGATGACTTGCATGGGATTCCTAACAGGGTATCCTCTGACTGGGCTAGGGCAGACTGTCCATGTGTGTGATTGACTAACGCCATGATACGTATGAGAGTTCGACTACAGCAAGCGGCTGGCCATGTCAATGGCATGCTCGAATGCCTTCCGCAGGTCATTCACAACAATCGACCCCTAGAGCCCGTAGGAAGCCGCCCGTTGCTTTTCCTGATAGAAAACCGTTTGAGCGTACGGCTGGGCTGGGCGAGGGTGAGATTGCCCCCCAGAGACGGTCCATTATGGACATCCAGCGCGTCAAAGAAATGGCTCGCGGTGGGAAAGCTTTAACCTGCTCCCCCTTTTGACATCGCTTTGAATGAAAGACCAGGGGTAGCCAATCTTCTGGGCCTTCTTCACCCGCGGCTCCCCAAGGGCCACTCAGGTAGGCAACTGGACGGAGACAGCGTGGCGACTGTAGGGCGCCAAGTTGGACCCAAAGCGGAAAGGGAAAGTGGCTCGATTTTCGCAGGAATCCAGTTCAATAGTAGTCTACTGACATATCTAACACTCCTGTTTCAACAACTTGATTCATCTGTTCCATTATTGATGACTATATGTAGAGCTAAAAATGAGAATATTGCTTGTTCACTGTACAGGATAACAAAAGGGGCAAGGCAACGCCAGCCAGTGCCACCGAAAACACCGCAATCAGGCTATCTATCACCTGAGGGTATATATAACAGGTCTATATAATGTACATGCGTCAACGGCCATCGCCTTCCAAGGACCCCCTCCCGGTTATGAACGCCGCTGTGTTCGGTTCATCTGCTTTTCCAGTTCCTCCCTGGTAATCATGACGTCCAGCGCCTTGCGCTTCCTGGGCTGCCAGATGCGTTCCATCTGCAGCCAGACCTTCATGATCTCGTCCGGCCCACAGCAAGCTCCGAATGCCCGGAGGATGGTGACGATCATTCGCCGACCCAGGAACACGCCATTCTCGATACGGGTTTCAATCTCCTCCGATGAATGTTGTCGATGTTGGGCATGCTCTTCGATTTCCTCATCCGCGCCTTCCATGTCGCGAAAGGCATTGTCCGCACCCGGCTTGCCGTCTGCTTGGGTCATCGTCCTGGCTTTTGGATTTCCGACTTCATGAGACTTCCCCTTGGAAGCGGAGCCAGACGTAGGCAGTGTAGTGTTAAAGTCACTCGGCTCACGTGTGACAGACGGATAAGCTACCTCGAAGGCAGAGGTGCCACCAAGGAACGGGGTCGTCAATCCAGACTTCTGTTGATTCCGATACAGCTCGGTGAGCCTTGTGCTGGACTCATGGAGCGCACGAAGATAGCTTTTCCACGTCTCTTGCAACTGCTCGGCTGTCCAGCCCTTGTTGTAACGTCCGTTGCGGGCGAACCCACTAAAGTACAAGAGAAAGATCATACCACGGGGAGGTACGACATATGCTTTCTCCATATCCGCGAGAATAGACTTGAAGCCATTTATATCAGCGGTGGTGTTGGCATGCAATGAAAGAAAGATATGGAATGTCCGCGTGTCGGGGACTGCCCGGAATGAGTCTTGCAGGGCGCGATGGTAATCCGGCAGGGTACCTTTGAGGGCAGCAGAGCCCTGCAAAACGCGACCCAGCTTTTTAGCGTCGTTTCGGTATAGGCCCATCTCTGATCTCAGATTGGACTCCCTTCGGCGTTTGGGATCCATACTGGGCCCAGTTGCTGCTTGCGACGCTGCCTCGGCTTCCATCATTTTTGCATATAGCTGTTTAGCTGTTTCCACCTCTCCCGCACGAATGAAGGCTGTCATAACGCAATTCATTACAACCGTATCGACAATCTCACCACTTGACACGAATTCATCGAATGATCGTTGGACACCAACAGCGTCTTCTTGCATGCCGTAATACTGAATTTTGGAGACTTTCCCAAAGCGCTTGAATTCGAGACCCCGCTTCTTCATTTCTTCGAGTAGTCGTTCCGCAACGGTGAATTGACTGGATTTAATGGCAACATCAAATAGGATGCTGAAGACTACTTCGTCCGACTTGACACCTCCCAGATGCTCCATTTTTTGCCATATACCAATCGCTGATATCAAGTCTCTTTTGCGCACCTTTCCTGACCCCCGCCCCGCGAGAGATATAGCAGAGCTCCACAGCGAGCGGGATAGAGGCAGGTTTGCAGCAATCATATCGTCCACCAGCGCAAGATATCGGCGTGCATCGACTGGGCGGCGATCTGTGGGTTGGGCGAATCGGCGTAGAAGGGCCCCTCGTGATTTTTTCGACAGGTGAGAAATTCCGGGTTCGGGGAGATCTCGGTAAAGCCGGAACACATAGTGATTTGATATCTGTTCGTCCCATAAAGCATCCAAAAACACTTGAACGGACTGGTATTCCAAAGCGTCCCGTGTGGCGTCCTCTTTTGTGGGAAGGGTTGGACGATAGCGGGGCAGCGGCATATCCTTCGCGACGAGACTCATTGCTTCCTCCCAGGAGAGAGGGGGCTCGAAAGCAGCTTGGTATACATGCGTAGTCGATGACCTTATCTCCGTCGCTGGGCTCCTCCACCCATGGTACCGAAATCTCTCTGATTTGCTTGGTGAGGCCGATTGGGGGTCATCCGTGGCTTTTGGGGGGGCGCTGCGGCCGGGTCCGCGAGTTGGATGAACGGTTTTCGTTGTAACATGATTCGACTTTTGAGGTGAAGCTGTTTGTAACCCTTTAGTTTTCGTTGTAATTTGATTCAACTTCTGGGGCGATGCTGTTTTTAACCCTTTATGTGAACGTAGTCTCACTTGTACCCTCGTATCTTCGCGGTGCTTTTCGGACGCAGGAACCCCTGCCGGTTTATTCGGTGGGTAATTGTCTGCGGCAACCTCCTCCTCGACTCCCATTGCAACACCAGAATTGATCATTCGCGGCGCACTTGAATGATGTAGGGATGCGGGTGACCCTAGATAAGCAAGTTGGTGCTGCGACGACAATTGCCGGCTGTGTGCCAACCCCCGATCCTGCCAGCCCCCCATGCGGTTACCTGTTGCCTTCGCAGGCATTGTCGACAGCCCCCTGGTGCGAGGGGCATGATCGCAGCAGTAGCTTGCCAGGACCAAGGAGCCCACGAAGAGATCTGCTACAGACGCGGCGGAAGGGCGAGCACGTCTAGAGCGGAGCCGTCTGATAGAGGAATTGTAGGAGAAAGAGTCGGGGTTCGGCATCGAAATGTGACGGGGGAGGGAGCTCGTATCCAACAGCTGCGAGGAAGACAATCGCAGGCCGGGCGAGCTTTGGAACCTATTGGGGTGAGGCATGGGATGGCAGACATCATGGCATTGGATCAGCCCTGCATGTCCCGAGTCGAGCCGGCTGCTCTTCACGCGTGGCAGGCCGGAATAGAAGAATCGCGCGAGAAAGCAAGACAGAGGAGAGGGGAGGTAAGAAGGAGAGGGGGGGGGAGGGGAGGGGAGGAGGGAAGGGCCGTGAGTTGACAGTGAGGTTGAAGCTCCGCGTCAAATTATTATTATGCCAAAAGCCTTTTGGGTTGTTCTCTGGCTTTGCACCGGGAGCGGAGCCACCAGCGGGCCAATCGGAGGGCGGCATTGCCAATCGCTCTTTTTCGCACCTGCGCGCTCCATCCCGTCGCCCGTCGCCTTCACGACCACCTCAACTCCACGCCGAACTCCCCTGCCAACTCCCCCCAACCCACTCCCCCCCGACTCCCTACTCCCCTGGCCACTTCTCTCGGCTTCATCTACCCCCCAATTGGCATCGCCGGGGGCCTTCGTCTTCCTCCGTCGGCGCTGCTTCCCGCCCGCCCTTCCCCTCCCACGCAGATCCTGCACGGCCTCTTGGCCGCCGCCGATTGAATCACCATGGGCAAACTAAACTTGACGGCCCTCCGGGTCCGCCAAACCGCCATCCGACAGAAGGCCGTCGGCAAGTTCGATAAACTTCCCAAATGGGTCGACGCCATTGCGGATATCCCCCCAGCTCAGGCCATCGTGCGGACCCCGGCCCAACAACACCAGCTGGTCCGCCAGCGCGTGAAATCTATTCCCGGCGCATCGAAGCCGCAGGTCGTCTTCGAGGTCCAGGAGAAACCCATCAAGCCGAAGAAGGCCAGCCGCATGTTCCAACCCGTCGAGCTCAAATATGAGGAGGATCTGTTGCGAAAGGAATTCTTCCGCGATCATCCCTGGGAGCTTGCCAGGCCCCGAATCGTCGTCGAAACGACCGGCAAGGATGCCGAAGGACACGACTGGAGCCGGATACAACAGCGGGGCAAGGGATTGGATGGCGAGAGGTATGTCCGATATCTTTTTTTTTTATAAACTCGTGACTCGCAGCAGGAGGGCTCCGCATCCACGAGACCAAATCAGCTAACGCTCATCGGTTCGTCGGAAACAGTGTGGTCCAGAGACAGCTCTGGCTTCTGAACAATGTGCCCGATATGACCAAGAGTTTCGCGTATGACACGGCACGCCGTGAGTTCTACCGCCTCCGTCTCCAGGAAGACATTGAGCGACGGGTCGCCGCCGAGGAGGCCGAAGCTACCGGTGCTACGTTCGGACCGTCGCGCCACGAAATCGGTATGGAACTTGAGAGCAAGGAGTATGAGCGTTGGAAGACGTGGGCCAAGAGGGAAGCCCTCGTGTCGGACCAGAGGACGGCGGCCTTCACCGGGGCGGAATCCCAGGGCGACAAGCCTGAGGAGCAGAGCACGGATGATGTCACTCAGGCCTTAACAGAATGAGAAGTTGTCGTTTTATCTGGAGCTTTGTATATTCAACCCTATAGGCGGGTTTCTGCTGGATTCTCTAATGGCTTATGTACACTACTAGATGTTGATATTTTTCCTTCTTGGACTTGTTTTCGCTCTCCTGGATCGTTTCGTTTCCCTAGCATGTATCAGAGCCTTTGGGAGGATAGAAGTCTCGGGCAACCTCAGCTGTGTTAGCCGGGGTTAACGGGATTTAAAGTGGTAGGATAGGTAGCTGTGGTAGACACCCAAACATAGCGACATAGCGACATAAAGACATAGAAAGTACCGGGGCTGTTCAATGAACCGAGCGAACCTCAAACAATAGTGGTGTTTCAAGTGCGTCTGCCGGGCAAGCCCCTGGGCCAATCACGGGGGCGGACTTATCGCGTCTGGAACCCCCAGAAAGTTAGTATCGCCGGGCGCTTTCGTCGTTCATCCGCCGAACTTCTTCCTGCTCAGTCATCCCAGTCGAATTGCTGGCCCTGCAAGACACGGCCGGTACTGCTTGACACCCCTCGTCAATTGACTTGACCTCGGTTCTCTGCCTCTTCGCAGCCGGGAAGCACCTCTGTTGGTATCCGTCCTTTCACGACTTGTGTGGTGGTGATCTGGTGGTGGTGGCTTCCATCTGACAGCGGCGCTTTTTCTCCGCGTTTCGCTGCTCGCCCATCCGCCTCGCCCTGACCTCATTCTTTGGCCTTCCTCCCCTCCCGAAGACAATCCCGACCCTGCGATTGAGCCTTCTCATCCCACCTGTCAAATCGATAGCTCAGCTCCCTGTCGTTCGGGTTTCCATCCAACGCTCCCTCTCTCTCTCTCTCTCCCTCCCTCCCTCCCTCGCTCCCTCGCTCCCTCGCTCCCTCCGTGCCCCCCTCTCGCACCCGAACCCGTCCTCGCTCGCTCGTTCGAAGCCCAACGCAAACACCATTTGAGCCTGTCTTCGCGCCTCAGTCGAATCTGAAGTCAACACAGCACGCTCTTCGCCTTGTTTATGTAACTTCAATCACATCCAGCCGTACCGGTTACGTCGCTATCGCAGCGCCTGTTGATCATGCTTTGTTCCGGTCTCAATGCACATCTTGGAGGCACTCTGATTATCTGATCGGTTGCTCGGATTTCGAAACGCGAGAAGTCATCCAGTGTGAGACATCCGGATAGAACTAGCTCCTTTCCACAAACCCCAGCCATGCTTTCCACAATGGTCCGCCCGGAGGATGCCATCAGAATGCCTCGTGCGTATCGTGGCGACATCGACGAGGAGGATTTAAACAGACGAACGCCAGAACCGCATCCCACTTCTTCATCTTCGTCTTCGTCCAACACTGAGGGGCCGATCAAAAGTGAGGACGAGGTTACACTAGTGAACGGGTCCACGGGTGAAGGTAACAGCAACAACTCAGGCAAACATCAAACCGGGCCCCGCCTTTTGACGCCAGATGAAACGGTTGAGCTGGCTCGGCGTGCCGTCGAAAACGGGATCCAGGAGACCAAGCGCTCTCTGGCAGGCAGTGAAGCTGTTAGCGATGTCGTGAAGCCAAAATTGACTATTGATTTGGGCCACTCAAACATCGTCCGCATACCTGAGCCAGTAGTGGATACCATCAAGGATGAAGTTGAACGGTAAGTGGTACCCCGGCCCTGGATAAAATCATACGGAAGGCTCCAAAGATAACTGACAGCTCACAGCCTCTCTCTATCGAACAACCATATCTTCCATATCCCTTATCGATTCGCAGAATGTTCTCATCTTCGCTACCTCAATATCAGGGCAAATAATTTCCGAGAATTTCCTAAGGGGGTGGGTTTCATGTACCCGGCAAGTCTACATGGCGAGTTTCAGAATTCTGACTGTAACCATAGGTATACAAGTTGCCACTTCTTGAGATATTAGACATCAGCCGCAATAAGATCAGCCATCTCCCGGAAGAGATCAAGAAATTGACTTCTCTCCGGGTCTTGTCGGTAATGCAGAATCGTCTCGATGATTTGCCCCTTGGGATCTCTGATATGAACAAACTTCAAATTTTGAAAGTTGCCGGGAACCCCTTGCGGTACCCCCTGCGAAGGCTTATTGAGAATTCCGAGACAGAATTTGCCCCCTCCACGATGCCGGACAATGAGAAGGAAGTCGCGGTCACTGCGGAACTGAAGAGGTTTCTCAAAACAAAGCAGCCCATCACGACACTCGAGGTGGAGAGAAACGATTTCAGGTATGGTCTTGATCATCGTCTAGTGGTAACTAGTTAACCCTGGGTTTCCAGCGAGGGCATGTTAGACACCCCCAAGCCCCTCAAACGCGGAGTGAGCAGTCGTTTCCCCGTGATCCCGAGCACGGGTGACAATGCCTCCGACCCCAAGTCGCCGTCGCTGTCTCGACCTCCGCCGATTCCTCTCAAGTCTCACTATCGCATTGCCTCGGGGCAACACACCCTCTTTTCCAGCGGCGTCCTACAACGTCCCGGGGCCAGGCCTTTCGCTGCCAATGAGCGCAACCGAAGCAACAGCGAAGGCATTATTCAAGCGTCTTTGGCCGCGCGCAGCAAGCGCATGGGAGTAATTCGGAAGAACACAGATCTAGGGACATTGGACGAGACGCGACCGTATCGAAACAGCCACCTGCGAGGTCTTAGTTATGGCTCCATCCTTCGGACCAGACCGATTGCGGGCGTGTCCAACAGCAATTCCTCCAGCCCGAGCAGCCCGAGGGAGCGCAGACGCTTAAAGGACGGGTTCGTGAATCGAATGTCAAGCCTGCCAGAACATAAGGGCGAAAAAGAAACCACAGAACCTATCATTGAGTGTGCCAAGGGAATTCTCTTCGCCCTTTTCCAGATCCAATCGAATGTTTCTTCGCTGATCAATGTGATCAAACGCGACGAAACTCGGCGAAACAGTCTCGAGATCGTCTTTTACAATGCCTCGACTCATGTTGAGCGGCTGAACGAGGCCATCGAGAATGCCGAACAATCCCGGTCCGATGAAACGGACGTGGTGCGGTTGGCGAACGAGGCCGTCAAAAGAGAATGCGAAACTTGCATCATTGCGTATACCCATGTTGGAACACAACTGCGCAACAGTATCGAGAAAATAGTCGCAAATGGCGACCCGCGCTACCTACGTTCGTTGATGCTTATGATATTCGGCAGTGTGGTCGAGCTGCGCAACGCGTGTGTGAGCTTGGGCGTTCCACTCCAGTCTCGCAAACGGGCTTCTCCAACGAAACCTATTGTGCCGGAAATAAAAGAGTCCGCGGGTTCGGACCGATTCCTTGGCCCAGCAGTGACTCCAACAAGAGGAAGGGAACCATCATTCTCGACGCGTCGGTTCCGAAGCGACACAACGATTCAGCACCCTCAGATCACGACGATTGGACCCTTCCAGGCCGCTCAATACTACCAATCTGCAGTTAGCTCTCCTGGGTTTGCCCCAACCCCCTTCAGCTTTGGAGCCCGGAGTCGGTCGAGCAGCAGATCCAACCTTATCAATACGTCCGTGCCATCTTCACTCGCGACCCCTCGCTCGGGCGAGTCATTCCCTCCCATGCCCAGCTCTGTTGTACCCCGGATCAACCCCTTAACTGGCCTAGATGAAATTGAAGAGGAGCGCATCTTCGAGAGGATCTTCTATCAGCTTACGTCAGCCTACACGGCTGCTCTACAGGCACTGCCTTTGGCGCGGCGTCAACTCGTGCGATGCCATGAAGCAGCAGAGCAAGGACGCGAATCCGAGGGCATTTTAATGCTCTGGAACAATCTCATTCGGCGGTGTCGGGTTTGCTTGGAGGTGTCGGAAGCACTCGGGCTTCGTCTTTCCAACATGAAGGTAAAAGAGCCCGGTGGCGGGATGCGGAACCAGCGCGAGTTCTGGCAACTGTGTAAGGCGTTCATGCAGTCCTTTGTCGACCTGGTTACCGACATGAGAGAGGTTCGAAGTATGCAGCTTCTTCCTAGCGATATTATCATCATACTTCGACCAGTTCAGAGGGCAAGCAGGGAAGCAGGCCGGCTGATTGATGCTTCACCGTGGTCTTATCTTGCGGACATGGCCCCAAGCAATACTTCGTCAAACATCTACGGGCCTCCGTTGCAGACGCAGCACTCGCAGCATCAGACCTCGATGTCTAATCCGAACACCTTTCACATCAGCTCTAGCTTATCCCCACAGTCTATCCATCTCCCTGCAACGCCACTGAGTGCAGCCCTTGGACCTGCTGCGCAGGCGACGGTGCCGTCTACCCCCGCAAGTGCGTACAGTGACAAGTTTTTCGAAGGAGACGTTTTCCAGAGAGCTGACTCGCTGCTCTCAATGCCTAACCAGGCACCTTTCTTTAGTCGTCGGTGATTGCACCACTCACAAGTTTTCTTACGCATCCACAAAGACAACACTAGCCTTCGTCCTGAAGCTGGTGCCGCCTGGTCTCTTCACCTTCTTCTACCGCCCTTTTACCAAGGGTGCTTCCTACTCCGGAACTGGATAGTGTGGACTTCCGCTGGACCTGAGGCTCACCTACATCTACTTGGAAATACAACGCGCACCCCCGTCAGTTTGCGCACGGATACCAGAGCCCAGTCACGACTAACCTCGATAGGCCCCGATTGCAGTAGGCCTCGCATCCATCGCCGTGTCCCCGCCGTGGCTGGGCCGAGATCCCATGATATATGCATATTCGCATGACGTTCTGATCTACGTTCTTGTTCTTGGCATTTGGTTTTCTTTCCTTTGATTTAGATACGCAGCCCATCTTGTTGGTTTCCTTCCATCATCATCATCATCATCATCATCGCGCTCTCTTTTCTTTTGCACTCGGGATTACCGGGAGTCAGGGAATAAAAAGGACTTCCTCCGTTTGGGTTTGGTTTGAGAAGGGACGGCGTACGGCTGCAGCGCAGCGCTCATTCATCATCTCAGGAATCTTGCATAGCGTGTCTATTCTCTCATGGATGATGACAATAGCGAATTTGAAAGATCATTCAGTGTGCTTTGTTATAGATAGGATATTCTAAATTTTTGATCCATGTATTATCATTAGTAACCAATATGCTGTACCAAGTAGTAGCCTATGTAAGTCATAGTAAGTACCGGAAAAATGCTCAATAAATACCAAGCCAATATCTAGTAGTATCTCCTTTGACTGACTGCATTAAAAGCAAAAGCCAAGACCATCCATTATTTATTTATCTATACATACATTCATCCACCGGGAGGAAGAAAGAAAGAAGGAAAGAAGGAAAGAAAGAAAGAAGGAAAGAAAGAAAGAAAGAAAGAAAAAAAAAAGCAAACGTTTTAGACCGGACCGTGTACATACATACAGACATACCATGTTCAAGTACCTACTACCTAGTAAGCACGTACGGCATTGTATCCCGTATCCCGCATATGAAGCAAACACGATACCTCGCGCAGTGACTTTGCAAACACACGTTTAGCAAATAGGTAATATATTACCGTCCGTCTGTCTGTCTACCTGTCTGGTTCATACATAATTGAATTTCAATCTGGATCTGGACCTGATAGTCTGGGCGGAGAAAAAAAGGATTACTCTCGATTATCTGCTGTGTTAATTGTATGTTGGGTTGGATATGAATATGCATACAGTAAGTGGTGGCTGCAGTGCTTCTTGATGGATGGATGGATGCATGCATGCATGCATGCGTGTATAGGATGATGATGAATTTTTCTGTACTGTTTCTTACCTATGTAGGTAGGTAGGTAGGTAGGTAGGTAGTTCCAAGAGGGGAGGTGGTGTGGACATGCAGTCATTTATACATTAATACAAGGGGTGTCAGTACTACTAGTAGGAAGAAGGATTGGATAACTAGCAGGGCAGGGCGGGACGGAGTCATCAACATCAACATCAACACCAGCACCAGTAGGCAGTCAGTCAATCAGTCAGTCAGCCATGACAGGATCATCAGAAGTCAGAAATAAAATCCCAGCTCCTCGGGTTTTGCTACGCCCCGTTATCTATGCCATGTCCTGCTGCTGCTGCTCCTGCCATGCCATGCCATGCCATGCAGCGATTACAATTCCGACCACTGCCACCCGGGGATGGAATCGGCCAGCCAACCAACCAGCTAACTAGCTAACCAGCCGGCCAGAATCAATATAACATACATAGGCAGTATGTAAGGTAAACGTCCCCTCAATACAGCCAAAATACAGAGCCAGCCAGCCAGGCCAGCTAGACCAACAGGGGGGGGGGGGGGGGTCGAAGCGGCGGGTAGCATGGTTACACAGTCGGTCGTTGTTGGGTTGGTGTCGTACACATCGAAACTGGTCTTGCTTCTTGCTGCTGGATAGATGGATGGATAGATAGATAGATAGATAGCAGGTAAGCAGGCAGGCAGGCAGGCAGGCAGGCCGGCTGGCGGGCTGGATGAGGTGGGAGGGAGGGGGAGGTGGGGGCTTTTGCCGTGGTGGAGGTTGCACAAGATCCGATGCAGGAGGGGAGGGGGGCGAGGATCAGACTATCTACTACAGAGTGCTGTAGATAGGAGTCTCGGTTTCGTTTCGTTGGTGGTCGTGGGCTGGGCTTGGCTGCGTGGTGGTGCTGCAGGTTCCGTTGGGTCCTGCGTCGGTGAGCAGGGGTTGAGGTTGGGATGATTGGGATGGGATGTGATGGGATTTGTGATTGTCTGCTGCGGGGGAAGGGGAGGAAGGGGGATGTGGTTGAAGTTGGGGGTTTGGTCGAGGGTAGGATGGGGATGAGGAAATTGTTGTATGTATGTATGTACATACTACTGTAGGTGTTTGCGGGGATGGTCTCCGAAGGTCTAGTATGTTAGCACTCTGGGATATGGAACAGAGGTAATGGAAGGAGGGAGACCCGATCGTGACTATAGCGGAGACCAAGTAGGGGGGGATTATGGCTGCATAGAATGGAATTCGCCGATCGGATGAAGGTGTTTGTTCTGGAGATGAGAAAGTTGGATTGCAGCTGATGCTGCCTGGTAATGAAGACGTGCTTGTTAGGTAATGTATATACCTTGAAGGGGAAGATGATGGATGGCGCTTCGAGGAGGTGTAAAATGCAGATTGCGAAGTCCATCGGATGGGAATCTATAAGATCAGGGGAGTATCGATACTATACACAAACTGAGCAGCCAATATAGTGTCCCAGAAGGTAACCAACCAGTCCTGGTTCAATCATGCTCCATCGGCAGCTCTCTGGACGCGGCCCGCAAGCAAATCTTATTCAGTCCCAGGGTTGATGCTGCTGATAATCGCCCCCCCGTCGATTGGACAAGATCCAATATCTCCTGTCAGTTCTGACATCCATCCATGGTACGGAGTAGGTATCTACTATCTAGTAGCAGCAGCGCACTAGTGATGGTCCGTTCGTTCGTTGTATAGGTCTTTCCCCGACGGTTCCTGCATCTTGGAGGGACTGTATTCCTGGAATTCACGATATATTGCGGATCTGAGACCAGAAGTATCCGTGCCGATTGCGAATGGCCATCTCCTCTTCTCCCCCCCACGATCGATGCCTCGAGACCTCGATCGAGGGGTGCATAACACCTGGTGCTGCATAGGGCACAGGGCACAGGGCTAGGGCCGGGCAGGCCTGCTGTCACGGGATCGCTCACGATAGCGATCCCAACAGCAGACACGACACTCATCTCGCTTTCAATCCATCATCGAGTCGCCTCCGGGATCAGCATCGCCTTCACGGCTGCCTGTCAGTCGGTAGGGCGAGGTCTAGCCTGGAACCGATCAATGCAGTGGCTCAATGACAACTACGGCTGCCAAACCCCACCGAAAAGTCGGTGTCGTTCAAGCCACCACGGCATCACCACCACTCATTCCTCCCGCCCTGACGGGCTTCATCCAGTCCCCGGCCGTCCCCCAAGGCAGGCTGATGGGAGCCGGACGGAGTCACGGCGAAGGTCTGTCTCGCCTCCCGCCCCGCCGGGACCAGGGCCGGACGGAGCCAATGGTGGCGGGGGGGTCGAGAGACCTCTGGCGTCTTCCTGCATGACGATGGGATGGGATGAGGATAGTTATGGGTCTGAACTAACACCGCTCTTTATACCAGATTGCTTGCAAACCGCCTTGGCTTCCCAATTGCCGCCTCTCCGACCAGGTCCGGAATAATGAGGCGACCACGCGTGGAGTAGCATCTAATCGTTTGGGATCAGTGCACTGCTAAAAGTGAGGCGCCAAGCGCACGCAAACCCTCGCCAGTGTATTCCTGATTCCAAGCAAGCCCCTTTCTTCGCAGCCACATCATGACTGACGACACAAAGTATTTTTCTTCCTCCTATCTATCTATCTACTGCCTGTGTATCGGTCGGTATCTACATGGGATCCACCCCTGGCACCGGTTAAGATTCCACTCTCCAGGAGACGCCGAGCTTAAATAATTATCGTGCGATGCCGATCGATAGTTTTGACTCTGACGGAGCGGTCGGAGGGCCCCAGGTCAATAGATAGATAGTATCTAGTCAAGTCAAGTCCGCATCCCGCGCGTGAGTCCACTCGCAGGGGGATCCCGGCCGCATTCTGATATTATTTTATACGACCTCCGTTAAGGCTGGGGGATCCAATTGCTGTCGCTGACTCGGGCTGGCCTACCGATGCCACCACGCGTGTGATCCACTTCGACCGAGACTCCTGATGGGGTTTTTATCTATCAATCTGCTAGGGCGGGTGGATCGGGAGACTTCCATCCCCATGGCCCACCCCCGAAAGGACGAAAAAAAAAAAAGAAAAAAAAAGGTCGCGGTCACCTGTCCTTCCTGTTGCCACCACTACCATCATGACTAGATACTGTATGGAAGGAGGGCCGCGGTCGTCGCGAAAAGGGGGGGGGGGGGTCCGTCTGTCGCGCAACCTTTCCGTCGGCGGTCACCGAGCAAAGGAACTCACTCCCTCGATCGCATCCATCCTGACCTGTCGGTGGACAAAAGCGGAATCTAGCCGGGGGACTATCGCCGGCAATCCTATACATGATAACACGAAGTACATAAATGATGAGTCCTATGGCTAGCATTAAGTTTGGAGGGAGGGAGGGAGGGAGGGAGGATTATCCAGAAGTATCGAGCGCAAACAAGCCGACGGGGAGCAATTGCGGGCGCCGCCTCAAGGGACGGACAATCCGCTTTGTACCTGACAGGGGACGACGGACAGGGGACAGGCTAACCACCGCTTACCATCTAACTATCTACTATCTACCTGTATCTCCTCCGTACACGAGGCCAGCCTTGATCTTTCGATGGCATGACAATGGCCTGGCGCCGTTGCCAGATTCGGGGAAGCTGGAAAGGAAGGGAAAGAAATACTGTTAGATAATCGAAGCGGGAAATGGATGTCTGGGCTCGAGAGTCTATCTAAAGTCTAGACAGAGTTATATCCCGGAGCTGTCGGAGAGGGGGCCAACTTTACGAAAACACGACGATGCGAATGACGCAGTTCGGAAAACGGTTGGAAGGGCCAGCCAGGATCATTGCAACCTCCCGTCCGGAGTGCAGCAGCAGCAGCAGCACCGTGTACGGAGGAGGGAGTCCGCATTGCGAACTTGGAATGCCTATTGAACCCCCCCTGCTTTGCCCTGTTCTCCTTTTATTTGGGCCAGGGGAAAAAGCAAATATGATACCTAGGGGTACTGGGTACCTATCTAGGTCCTCCCTGGGCCAGGCCGGAACAAGATGGATCCGTGACCCAAACTGATCTGAACACCGGGGACGGCAGGCTGCATCATCATCATCATCTGCTGCTGCACATTATTCAGAGTGAATACTGTAGTAGTGAATACACCGAATGCCCTGTCTTGCATGTATAGTAGTATATACTCCGTCCGGGTCTGCCCTGATGCACACCCACCTAAATTATTTCCTTTCTTTTTCGATGATCTGCCATCCTGTCCACCGGGTTCCCGGGGGGAAGAACAACCTGACCAAGGAGAATTGACGGGATGGATGATGGAAGGCGAAAGCTAAAGACAGACAGACAGACTGGCTGGGTCTAATGCCGGGTAGCAGCATTGAAAGCCGGTACACGCCCGGGCTTGAGATCGCACACGGTAAGTACCTGAGGAATGCTGCTGGGGGCGCGGCCGAGCAATCCGCCTGCCTGCCCACACAGCAGCAGTTTCCCAAGGAAGGAATGTTACTATGAGGGTCCAGGAAGAAGAAAGAAGAAGAAAGGAAGGAAGGAAGGAAGGCAGAAAGGCAGAAAGGCAGAATATCCCACGCTACCGAAACAGTGCCCGTCTCTCTCCAAGCATCCCACGTCATCATCATCTATCATGCGAAACCCCCCAAACGTTTTCGAAATTCCCTTTCGTCGGAGCCCGTTCCCAGCTGCGAAACAGCAACCCGGAAAGTTCGTAGCTGCTGCAAGCGTCTAGATTAGATCAGCCTCACTTTTCCCTGCGCCCCTGCAAAAGGCAGTCCGACTGTGCCTCTCTGACTAGTCCACCGGTCCTCTTCTTTGCGATGCCGCGGCCCTCTCTTTTCCTTTTTTTCCAACTCGTTCCCTTCCGATCCTCTGTTCGTTCGTCGGTCGGTCTTTTGTCAATCAGTCAGTCAGGCCATCTACCTAGCTGTATGTCTGTCTGTCTGTCTGTCTGGTCTGGTCTGCTGGCTCGTGTCCCTGCTTTAGTCATTGCGTCCATCCATCCTCCTGAGTCCCCGAACGCCCGTTATACTGAAACCCGCATGACCTGGTCCACTTCATTGGTTTATATCAACCAACTCTCTGACATCCCGGTCTCTTTGTCAACCTGATTTCGCCGATTTGTTGCTGTCGGCATTGAACCCATCTATCTACTATCTCTCTTGCCCACGACTTTTGTTTGCTCGCTCCTGCCCATTGCCCCTTCTTGCTGTCGCGTAGCCATTGGATTGGACCTTCTCCCTTTCCCTCCTCCGTCACCACACTCACCACACAGACCCTGTTTCATCTGAGCCCTGTCGGTCCCCTTCGTGCTGGCATACCTGTCGTGGTGGAGAAAGAAAGGCAGAGAAAAACAGGGAATCTACACACAAGGGACATCCCCCCCTCCCCCCCAAAAAAAGCAAAAGTCCCCCTAGGGCATTACTACTATCGAAACACTATTTTGACAAGTCCGGCGCCCACGATTGCCCGTTTTATGATCGACACAGGCGATCGCCGGCGTTGACTAACATCAGGTGCGTACTATTTCTCGCTCCCTCGCCTTGGATCCTGTCGACCGCAGGCAAGGACTGATAGAAGGGCTGCTGGGAAGGGATCCCAACTCGACCCGCCGTCTGGTACTCCGTATAGGGCTGCGGTGCCTTGCGTCCATCACCCAGGAAATGCCCGTGACCCCCCACGATCTAGTCGCAGTCACCACCACCATTTCCACCCAGCCTACCCCAGACTCCCTCTGATTCACCCCCAGCTCCTCTCGCCTTCCGTCTCTTCCTCTGAATCACCCTGCCGGGCATCAGCACGATCGGATGGAGATGGACCTTCAAAAGACGAAGGAGGCCCGGCGGGACACGCCGGGCAAGCAGGACGACAGCCCGGAATGCCCCCTGGAGGCCTACGGAGCCGGCGGCCATGCGAAGGACTCCCCGAAGAACGATTCCCTGGACCACCGCCGCGATGCGAACCCCAGCCAAGATCCCACCCATGCGCATGCGCGCCAGCGACGTCCGCCGGCGCACTTTCCCTACCAGGAAGACGCTCCCCCGACGGTGTCGCCGTCCATCCACGCCGCAGCCCGGCCTCTTGTGCCCTCCCCGCAGGCGATGAACGTCCCCGAGGCCTTGGACCTCAGCCCGAGAGAGCACCGGCTGCTACTGGCGGCCAAACGGTACCCGCCGGTCACGAAGAGCACGCTCAGCGAACTGGACCTGCCCTGCATCATGAGCAACATCAATCTTCGGATGGATGCCAACTTCGATCGCGACCTGCATTTCAAGCCCGACCTGGACGGCGAAAAGGGCCGGCGGAAACGCAAGGAGGCGGCGGACTACTGGGAGGCCATGGCGGTTGAAATCGCCATCTACGCGGTCGGCGCAAAACACGAAAGGAGCCATCTCGGGGAGAGTGCCCCCAGTGTCCCACAGCAGTCATTCGAGCCTCGCCTTCCCGCCATGTTCGAGACCCTGCAAGACGTCCTGAAAACGTTGGTGCCGGAGCGCGATCACCCGGGCGTGGTGCAGAACCTCGAAGTGACGCTCCTGATGCAGCAGATCCAGAAGGGGGTGCTGGACATGGTGGGGGTGGCGACCTGGCTGGCGACGCTGCTGAAGACGCATTGCGCGCCCATGCGCGACGAATGGGCGGATCAGATGGTCGAGCAGATCCGATCGGGGTCGGAACTACAGAATCCCATCGAGATTGTGGGCGGGCTTCAAACGCTATTCTCCATTCTCGAAGCGATGAAACTGGTAAGGAATTGGATTGGGGGACAGCCTCATCGGATTCGCATTTGGAAAGGGGAAAAAACTAACCGCACCATGTAGGACGTTGCCAACCACCAAATCCGCGCATTCCGCGTGCTGCTGATCGAAGACACGGTGCCCTTTCTCCAGGAGTATTTCCGCGGCAAGATCGACCGGGACAACTTCCGCGTCGAGTCGTCGCGCCGGTGGTATCTGGAGGTGCGCGAGCGAGAACTGCGCCGCCTGGAGAAGCCCACGCCGACGGAGGGCTTCTGGCCCATCTCGCTCCTGTTCCGCGGAGTGTCCGACTTCCTGCTGCAATTCCACACCCCCGACGCCTTCCCCGAGACCTTTGTGTTCGACTCCGACCGGTTGTGGCAGCTGCGGTCGTGTCTGCAGAACCTGATCAACCTCGACATATGCTGGTTCATCTTCGAGTCGTACATCAACGCGCAGAAACGATACCTGTCGGCGCCCGCGCAAACGTACGCGACCTTCCGCACGCGGATCGGGTCCCTGATGGAGGAGAGCGACGAGTGCGCGCGTGGGTCGCCCGTGTGGCTGAAGAACGTGCGGTGCATTGCGCTGGAGATCGCGCGGTTCGCGTGTGCCGCGTGCTGCCGGGAGGCGACGGTGTCGGACGAGGTGATCGCGCCGATCGAGACGGCGCTGGAGTGGCACCTGTCGAACGAGTCGGGGCTGTTCCAGTACTTCCAGAGTTCGCTGCGCGAGAAGCTGCTTGCGGCGACGTGCGCGACGGCCAAACGGTACCTGAACATGTCGCCGCTGGCGATCTGCGAGTCGCAGCGAAACTATCCGCAGGCGCCCATGTCGCAACAGCACTATGACGTCGAGCGGATCTCCATGCGCCTGGCGCACATGGGCGTGCTACACTGGAAGGTTTGGGCGCCGATTCTATACGTGCGCGAGAGCGTGTCACCGAGTGACGTGGCGATCCTCAGTCCGCCGCCGCCGCGGGCTGTAGCCCATCATGACGTGGCACGCTCGTCGACTTTTTAGAATGCTTGCTTGCTTTTTTTTGTTGCGATTCTGGAAAATGGCTTCGAACCGTCCGTCCATGTCCGTGTATTTGTGACGGGGAACCATCTGACTGGCAGGGGGGAAGGATGGCGCTGGGTGGAGTTTTTTCTTTCTGTCTTTTTTTTTTTTACGTTCTGATTGCAGTTCAGCGTGTTGCATAATGGGTCGATCACAGACAGGTCACGGCGTCCACATGGTGGGAATGGGCATATCATATATACTTGACTTGACTTGCTTAATGGCAATTGAATTGGTGTTGGGATTGGGGAGCAGTGCAGGATAGAGAGCGATGTGACTGCTACTGATGCTGGAGGTTGTACTGCCTACTTGCAGCTTACTGAGAGCTTACTGTGCGGCACTGCGCTGGCGATGTTCAAACTTCCAACTTCAATGCGATGATTAATTATAATTTAATTAATGAGTATGGGATAAGGACTTTACTTGGTTGTGTCTGATTCATTATTGTATTAGGAGTATGGGGATGTTCTATGATAGACAATATATTTTTGGAAATGTTTATTATTGATGGTTATAGTATACATAGTAACTACTATAGTAGATAGTTCTGGACGTGGACAGGCCAAGGAAGGGAGGGAGAGACTTATGTAAGCCAATTAGTTAGTTAACTAACCACCCATCAGCAACTTAACCATCCACTCCACTCCACTCACCAAGGCAGATAGATCACTTCACAACGGATGGATACGGACTAAGTAAGTAGTACTTAAGTTACTTACCGGATATATGATATAACTCAACCCCAGTTGGAAGTTGTGTAACTCCAACCTCATTCTGGAGTACCACCCACTCTACCACCACCACCACCACCACCCACTGCACCATATTATTATGTCTTTGCAATAACAACATCTATCATCTGGATTAAACTGGCAAGGCAACCAACCTACTAAGTCGTCATTCTGTGGTTCAGTTGGGAATGGGAATGGGGATTACCTCTGGGTAGTCAGTGTTATCCTTTTTATAACGATAATACTACTATCAAGATCAGGATCAAGATCAGGATCATACCTCAAAATAACAGGAACAATAATTATAGCAAGAATAAGAACAGCGCAAAGGGGAACTAAGAAAGAAGGAAAGAAAGAAGGAAGGAAAGAAAGAAAGAAAGAAAGAAAGAATGCGCCTCACCCCGCCCCTCAAAGGGATCCAAACCATAACCAAAACCAAAACCATCAGACCACTCAAGACACTGAAAACTGTCAAAGCTCCCAAGTCAATCGGAACTGCCAAATCAATTAACCGCATCACCACTAGCACTACCACTACCACCAGCAGCAGTGGTAGCGACGGCAACAGTAGCAGTGGTAACAGCAGTAACAGCCAATACCCCTTCCTCCACACCCTCAAATCCAAACAATTGCACCATCTCGCCCAGAGAACCGGGATCCAGATCTCCGGGACCAAGCCGGTGCTGATTGCGCGGTTGGAGAGAGAACTTCCCGAGTGTGTTTTTGTGAGGGATGGTGGTGTTGCTAATGGGGATGGCAATCCCAATGGAAATGGGGATAGGAAGAGTCTGAAGAAGGAAGGAAAAGAAGAAGAAGAGATGAGTATTCTGAGTATCGATATGGGGATTCGCAATTTGGCGTTTGCGCATTTGCTTGTTTCTTCTTCTCCTCCTACTTCTTCTTCTTCTTCTTCTTCCGCTTTTTCTTCTTCTTCTTCTTCTTCTTCTTCTTCTTCTGCTACTATGTCTGGATCTAGATCTAGATCTAGATCTCCTGCTCCATCTGGATCTACCTCCAAGGGTAGAAAGGGAGAGAAAGGAGAAACAACATGTGAAGTCGAGGACACTGCTACTGCTACTGCTGCTTATACTGCTGCCCCTCCCACCCAACCAAAAATCACCCTCAACGCCTGGCGTCGAATCGCCATTCCTGACATGGAGGATGAATTCCTGAATATCACTCCCACCACACTCACGAAAGCCAAATCGAAAGCTAAAGCGAAATCGAAAGAGACCCCCACGAAAGAAAAAGAAAAATTCGACTTCTCCCCCCCCATCTACGCCCGCCACGCCTACACCCTCATCACCACCCTCCTAGCCACCTACCGCCCCACGCACGTGCTGATCGAGCGGCAGCGGTTCCGGACGGGCGGGGCCACGGCCGTGCAGGAGTGGACGATCCGCGTCGGGGTGTTCGAGGGGATGTTGTATGCTGTTTTGTATGCGGTGGGGAGGGAGAGAGAACGTGCTTCTATTTTGGGATTGGGATCGGGATCGGGATCGGGATCGGGGGTTGGGTCTGTTTCTGTTTCTGCTGGTGCGGGTGGCGCTGGTGGTTTGAGGCAGGGGCAGGGGCAGCTGGGGCCGAGGGTTTGGGGGGTGGAGCCGGGGAGGGTTAGTCGGTTTTGGCTTGAGGAAAAGGAAAGAGAAACTGGACGTGGAGGGGAGGAGGGGGTTGAGGGGAGTGTGAATGTGAATGAGAATGAGAAGGAGAAGGAGAAGGGTAAGGGCAAGGACAAGGCGAGGAGAAAGACAGCGAGAGACGGGAAGAAGATGAAGACTGGGCTGGTAGGGGAGTGGCTGAGTCGGTCGAGGGATCGGAATCGGGATGCAGGTGGTGGTGATGGTGGTGATGGTGTTGGAGGAAGGGTGTCGATTGGAGAAGATGCGGATCTCAAGTGCTGGGTGGATGCGTTTCTGGGGAAGTGGGAGGGGAAAAGTATGTCTGGGGCTGTGGGAGTGACTACTCCAGGGAATAATAAGGAAGGGAAGGAGAAAGAGAAAGGCAAGAAAAAGAAAAAGACAAAGACAAAGACGGAGATGGAGCTGCAGCTGGATGAAGAGCAGGGAGAGAGGGAGAGAGCGGGAGAACTTGATATCGGGAAGCTGGATGATCTGGCGGATTGTCTACTGCAGGGGGTCACTTGGGTGGAGTGGCAGGCCATGCGGGAGAGGGTTTGCAGGGAGCAGCGGGCTTGTCTAGACTACTACTAGACTGAGGTCTAGTTCATGGCATGGAGGGCCTAGGTGGTAATATAGTAATATAATGATGATATATATGTAGTACTATATATTGTGGCGGGGAGGTACGGAGTATATTAATATTACTATTGCACATGGACAGACAGATAAAGTATTAGTGGGAGGCTACAAGATAATGTCGACCCACTACAATGTCGAGAAAGAGGATTGCTGATGATAACGATAATAAATTCGCTCTCGTATCAAGGTCATCAACTTCTGACATGAAACCACTATCTACTTCAAATATAACAAATTAACAAATCAAATGTACAGTATTGCCGATGGAATCCGGGGAACGCCCTCGCTATCACACTGGTTCTGCCAGAGGTCTCCCGCTCGCGCCGGCCAGAACACTGAGATCCATGTCCGATGAGGAAAGGAAGATTCGTGAAAAAAAAAAAAAAAAAGTGATAAAAAGGGAAAAAAAGCTTTGTTCGTTAAGCGGCAGGACCCTGAAGGGTCCCGAAAGAAGTGAAGAAAGAAGAACTCTGACAGAGAGGGGGGGGAAGGGAAACCCCTTGCTCGAGCGTGTGTGAAGTGAAGATAAATGTCTAGGTGGAAAGAAGTGTCCAAGTTAAATGTCAAGTTTGTACCAGAAGCAAAAACAGGATAATCCTCTCATAGGTACAATGCCAGCGTGCTTTCCGCCACGAAAGGGAATCTCAATACAGGCGTGGCGTCAAGCGCGAGACCCGGGTGCCGTCACTGCTCTAGACACGACGGAAGTGAGAGGGGAACGCGGGGGCCTTGCTGCTGGTCTGGAAGCCAGTGGGACGAGCGATGCCGCTGGCGTGAGGGAAGGTGCCGTTGCTGTGGCCGAAGGGGCAGAGGGCACCAGGGTGGGCTTGCTCTGGGTGGACTGGGCCACGGTGGTGGTCTCGGCCTGGGTGGTGGTCTCGGCCTGGGTGGTGGCCTCAGCCGCGGCGCTGGACTCGGAGCTGACTTCGGCGATCTTGACGATGCTGTCAGGGGTGGAGGCAGCGGTGGGGGTGGCGGTCTGGAATGTGTCAGTGACGGGGGTCTATAGTCAGGAATGTGCAGCGGAAACATACCACAGTGACGGTGTCGTGGACAGTGACGGTCACGGGAGCGCAGCTGTCGCCGTGGCTGGCGCTGGCGGAAACAACAGAGCCGGAGCTAGCGGCGCCAGAGGAGGACGGGACGGCGAACAGGGTGTAGGTCGCGTAGGCCGTGGAGGTCGAGGTGACCGTGGTGTCCTGGGCAGTGGAGGACGCAGAGGCCGAGGGGGTCTGTTCGATCAGGTCAGTCTTTCATTCGCGTGTCCAGAGGCTTCCGGTATCACATACCACGTAGACGGTCTCAACGTCAGTCACGGTCCGGTGGATAGTGGTGGTGACAACGGTCTTGGAGGCACCAGTACCCAGGGTGTAGGTGAGAGTGACATCCTTGGTGGAGGTGACAGTCTCGTACTCAGTGGAGACCGACTCGCCACCGGTGCCAGCCGCAGAGGCGGCGGCGGAGATGGGGGCGGAGGCACTGCTGTACACGCCGGTGCTGAGGGGCACGGGGGCCGAGGTGACCGCGGACGAGGCGAAGGGAGCAGCGGACGACACGGCAGCGGACGAGGGGAAGACAGCAGCGGACGAGGAGCCAGCAGGCTGGATGTGGGGGACGGAGCTGGCAGCAACGGGGGCCACGGCCGGGCTGGACTTCAGGGGAGTCGGGTACACAGACACGTAGGAGGTCGACACGGTCTCGTTGCTGTAGCCATTGGGGTGGAAGTTGAGGTTACGCGCGTGGAAGCCGTGGTTGTTGGCCTCGCCGACAGCGGCGAAGGCACCCAGGAGGGCAACGGAGACCTTGGTGGTGAGCTGCATTGTGGGGGATGGAGGAGCGGAAGCTGACGATTTTGGTGGTGGTGGTGGTAGTGGTGGTGAGGGTAGAGACTGCGGGGGGAGAGACTCAAAGAGAGTGATGCGAAATCGATTCGCAAGAGCGTGCAAGCTTAAAGCTGCGGGTTTAAAGAGCGACTGGATGTAAGAAGGAAGGCAGCAACAACGTCTCTGGCACAGAGAGAAGTTGAGAAGAGAATGTAGCAGTCTGACGGACGCAGTCCGGGAAGAGAACGAAGGAGTTTAAAGAGTCAAGCGGCCTGGGGGCTCGGGGGGGGTGGGAAAGGAGAGGCCGCCGCTAATATGTTTTGATTAAATCTGGATACCTATAGTAGTACAGCGGGAACGCGGCTTACCAGGCACTTACCAGGCACCATACCGCCTCCAACGGTGGATAGCGCATACGGGCGGCGTACAGGTGGCATACAGGTGGTATCCAGGCATACATACAGGCCTGCATCCAGGATTCTCGCACGCTAATGCTCCGATGGGCCGTTGTGATTCGGTGACTAGCAGACTAGCTGTCTCATCTCCCCGAACGAGGTGGTGTCGGGCGTGCACGCTCTGATAGCCGCCATCAAATCAGCGCTGGCCGCCCTCCTCCTGATATTGATCTTAATTTTAATTTCCTCAGGTCCAGGTGGGGCCCGGCGCAGGAACCGCACGCGGATTAGCTGTCCCAGAGATGAGGCCCCGTTTCATCCTGTCATCGCTTCCCCTGATTGGCCCCCCTCCCCCGGCTTAATCTCATCGTGCCTGACCGCAGTCACCGCACGGTGTTGGTGGGTGGTTTTTTCTTTGTTACTACTTGTTAGCAGCCCTCGCCGTTTGCTAGTACACAATAGAACACCGTCCCCAACTCGACTCCTCCAGCAGGATTTTCCAGCGAGTTGACTTGCCACAGTAACCGCCCCCTTCTGCTCCTGCTCCTGCTCCTGCTCCTGCTGGATAGATGGCGAGTACAGTTACAGGACTCAAAGAGCTATCTACGAGTAAACAATCCCCCCCCCCTGATCCGGAAGATCCATCCTGCCTCAAACCCGCACATCCATGGAACGGGTATATCATATGTTCCCTCAACTCAACCTCAGAAATGGGCCGATGGTGCAATTACCACAATACCGTAATTTACTGTGGGTTCGTTAATCAACAATCCACGGTGGATTCAATATTGAATCGTGCGGAGATGACATTCTCATCCACGTATCCCAGCCTACGTAGGTGCTATGCCGTAGCGCAGGGAAAAGGGGGGAATTCCTAGCCTTCCTAGCCCTTCTCCTCGAGTCTCGAAGGATCGAAGCTCTATCCTCATCCTGGCCAGGGCGGTTAGACGCGCCGAATCGGATCACAATCGGATCACCTCAGTCGGGGAGCTCATTCAGTCATTCTTCCCACGTTGAGTCTGATGCATGCATGGGCTTGGAACGTGCAGCCATCTAGCTTTGGCCTAGCCCTCACGGTGGTTATAGTTTGAGACCTCGTGTAACCGAGATCACCTCACATCTCCAACAGCAACAGCCTCTAAGCGAACAGCAATAGGGGGAGATCTCCGAGAAGAGGCTCCCTCCTGTGAAAGGCGCCGCCGGAAGCACTGACACTGTTGATCTAGGAAATCAACACGACGATGATCGTGAGGCCTCGATGCTTGGTGCTCCCCAAGTGGAGACCCGAGACCAGACACTCGGGTCTAGACAACGGCGATTTTCGTCCAGAGCACATCGTACCAGGCCGACTGATTGCTGGCAGGCTGGCGCTGGCAGCAAACCAATGTCGACGCGGCTGGCAATGCGATATTTGTTTGGCGCGCGAGATTGGCCGAGCCCGACGAACCTGTCGCGACCCTGATTGAATCCCGGGACTGACTGCCGCCAGCGTTTCACGCAGATGAGGGCTAAGATATTCGGCTGCCTGGTTCTGAGCACCGCCGACCCTTTCACAGTTCACACTAGGAGATGATCGTCTTCGGTTCTTGGTACGTGGTTCTGGTTAGTAGCATCGCTATTCGCTCCAGCTTGCTCCGGATCCAGAGAAGCTCGAGGAGGGTTAGATGCGACAACTTCATCCCGCGTGTATCTATTCTTGGGGAGAACCGATATATCGACGGCTGATATCTCATACCGTCGCACCGTGGATGGCAGGGTGCATCGTGCATCTTGCATCAGTCTGGACCTCTGGCTACCAGATTAGCCAAGACAGTAACCCTATCGATACATAACTCCACCGTCAGCATTCGGGATTGCACAGCAGCACCAACGGAGTAAGCGGCTCGTACCGAGAACACCGCGGGCACATTCCATTTTTCGAGTTTTCACCTGGAGCTTTCCAAGGAGGCCCTGATCATGGCGATGGCTCGATTGACCAGGCAAATTTTGAGTACTCCGTACTTTCCGGCCAACGGTGCCCCGGCAGATGGTCGGGTCCCTGATTGTGATCATCCCGGGTTTAATCTAATTGCTACAATCATATCGAAGGAAGCTCACAGACCGCCACATGTCTCTCAGTCTCGAGGCGATAAAGCATTAATATCGGCGGGAAATCTCTGCCGTGTGGGAGGTCAGTCAGTCAGTACGAGTCGAGTACTTTCTGGTAATACGCCGAGAAAGGGCGTTGAAATCCGGGCCCTGCAGCCACCCGCGCCAAAGGGTCTTCGTCCCTCCGCCGACCTTCCAATAGAGCGACATCCATGGATGCTTCCAGCCTTCCCGCCCGCAACCCCACCTCGGCTTGCTGCCTCTGACGTGACTGGGCTGAGTCCAGCAACGTCCGTCGTACACTTCACTCTATCTATCTATCTATCTATCTATCTATCAATTCCATTTCTGTGAGTTGTCCGACTGCGCTGTGTTGACACATCATTTCCAAGCGAGATCATGGCGAGCCCCGCCTTCCACTCGCTGCGGGAGAAGTACGCTTCGGCATTGAAACGCTTCATTGCCTCGACCCGGACTCTCGAGGTTCTGGCCTCCGTCCCTTCCGATCGTCGCGAGCCCCCTCCAACTACCGATGTGCTGTACGTTCTCGACTCGTCTTTCAACCCGCCGACTCTGGCCCACAACAGGATTGCGACCTCCGCTATCCTAGAAGATTCCAGTAAGCCCGCACGCCTGCTGCTACTGCTTGCAACGCAGAATGCGGACAAGCCGTCCAAGCCGGCCTCGTTTGAGGACCGCCTGGCGATGATGGAGATGTTTGCTCGGGATTTCCTCTCGTCTTTGCGGACTAGCGTGTCTGCACCAGATCCCTCAACCCTTCCCGTGATCGACATAGGCGTCACAAAGAAACCGTACTTTGTGGACAAGGCCGCGGAGATCGAACGCGCCGGTATATACCCAGGCTCCGTTGAACAGGTACATCTGACGGGCTACGATACGTTGATTCGTATCTTCAACCCGAAGTACTACCCGCCGGAGCTGACCCTCCAGCCCCTGGGGCCCTTTCTCTCCCAGCATCGGTTGAGGGTCACCATGCGCCCGGATAGTGACTGGGGCACCAGAGATGAGCAAGAGGCCTTCCTTCAGGGCTTGGCGCAGGGAAGTCAAGACAGCGTGGGTGGAAAAAGGGAATGGGCTCAGCGCATCCAGCTTGTCGAAGGCAAGAAGCCGGGAGCGCCTTCAGTAAGCTCAACCCGGGCCCGGGAAGCCGCCGTAAAGAAGCCGCAGGATCTCGAATGGCTGGTCCCTCCCAGTGTCCGGGAGATGATTCTAGCTGAGCGGCTATACACGGAGTGATTGACTCATGATGACAACGAAAGTTAAGACATGTTCAGCAACTGTGTGACGATCCGCCAGGACTCAACAACCAGCTGCCCAGGATTTGATATAGAGTGTACACAAATAGATGACTTATTTAAGAGCGCATCCGTCGAGTCTTACTCGACGGATATCGCCGTTTCAAGGGAACCAAAACACCATACCCAAAACAACGCCTATCCCACTTTTAGCTAATATCGTACATGATGTACATGAACCCGGAAGACCCTGCATAATCGTACTGCCCGAACCAGGGCATGCATTTTACGTTTAGTCTTCCTCCTCATCTCTCTTCCCCAGCGTGTAAGCTAGACCGCCACAGACCAGGTTGACGAAGGAAAGACCCATGGCCGCGCCGCGGACAATGCCCCCCGGGCCCCATTTATTCTTAAACACCTGTTTGCGCCGGTTCGCGAGCAACAGATACAGCCCCGACCACGCTGCGCTGATACCGGCAGTCTCGGTCTTGAACCCCTGGAGATTTGCATAACTTGTGAATAGCAGGATCGGAGGGAACAGCATCGGAAGCGCCTGGAATGGGCGCCCATGCAGCCCGGTGATGAGGGACGCGAGGAGGGTGGGCGGAAACGAGCTCTCTGTTGTAGACCAAGGGTGTGCTTATTAGCGACAGGCTCCCAGATGGACTGTTGAGAAACCCAAGGGCTATAGGCCCGAGGTCAACTGAAGTTGGCCAATGACTTACCACCCCATGCTCTAGCTTTCTGCACTAGAGACTTTTCCGTCTGTTCTATCGGGGAGTCCGAACCAGCCATGACTGCGATGATTCCAAGCCTGGAGGGCGAAAAGATGGTGATATGTTAGCGATGCACCACTGAAGGACAAAAGGCATGTCGAGGCGGACCTACAATGGGGAGGCGATGGGGTGAGTGGGCAGGGAAGAAGAGCACTTGAGTACTCCGCACCTCTGGAGTAGTCGAAGCCCGTATCCGGCCGTACCTTGCCTGACTAACCGTGACAGCCACTCTCTCACTGGCTTAGCGTCAACAACGAACCTCCAGAACTCACCACGTTTATCAGTCAAACAATCTGTCTATCCTTCCCCAGCTTGAGGTTGGTACGCCGCCGCCAACCCCCACCAATCCTTTCGCCTTTGCGGTCCCCTCGTCGCTGCCCCCCCCCCATCCGACCCAGTCGCGACCGTCGCTCGTCTATTATCTTTTATCTGTCGCCTCTCGCTCATCCGCCCTCGGTCTCCCGACGGCCAAAGTCACGAGCCCATCAGCCTCGACTCGGGTGAAACGAAACCACACTAGGAGTGAGAAAACCCAGCAACCGGACCTAAGGGGAAGTCGGTCGAACAGAACACATCCATCACCAGAGTCCTGCCACCATGCCGTCCGCCACCGCGTCCGGGGCAGACACTGGAGGCTCAGCGAAGTCCCGCGAGCATAACCAGGGAAACCAGGATCGGAAATACACGCCGGAGCAGAAGGCCGCGGTGCTGAGAATACGGAAATGCTCCACGACGGCGTTCTACGAGATCCTGTCGTTGGAGAAGAGCGCTTCGGATGGCGAGATCAAGAAGGCGTATCGCAAATTGAGTTTGTTGACGCACCCCGATAAGAACGGCTACGAAGGAGCGGATGAGGCTTTCAAGTGTGAGTGATGGGAAATCGCGCATCGACTTTCTTTTCTCTTTCACGCTCTGACAGTCGTGGGTTCTAGTGGTCGCTCGCGCCTTCCAGGTCTTGTCGGATTCCGACAAGAAGGCCAAGTATGACCGGTTTGGTGGCGATCCGGACAGTAGGTTCACGCCCAGCGCTGGTCCTTCGGGCGGCGGTGCTTCGCCCTTCAGCGGATTCGGCGGCGGGTTCCCGCGCTCGGCGGGTGCTGGGGGTCCGATGTTCGAGGAGGAGATATCGCCAGAGGAGCTGTTCCAGCGGTTCTTCGGCGGTGGCATGGGCAATATGGGTGGTGGATTCAGTCCTTTCGGTATGGTTACTCTTGCTCCTGTGTCCATTTAGAGGCAAGTCGGGGGAGTTCTGGCTAACGAGTGGCGCTTAGGCGGTCCCCAATTTATGTTCAACATGGGAGGAGGCCCCGGATTCCGAGTTCATCAGTTCGGAGGCGCTCGCCCTCGGAGAAGGCCACGCGAAGCCAACGCCCAGTCGGAACCTGCGCCGTCTACGTGGGCGACTTTCCAGCAGCTTCTCCCCCTTATCCTCCTCTTCGTGCTCCCTTGGCTCTCGTCACTCTTCTCCGGTTCCTCGACTCCTGCTGGCCCTTCGTACAGATTTGACGCCGCCGTCCCCCCGCACACGATGCACCGGACGACGCCGAAGCTGAACATAGACTACTATATCAACCCGGGCGACGTGGACGACTACAGCTCACGGAAATTCCGCCAACTGGACCAACGAGTGGAGGTGGACTACGTGGCGAAACTCCGGTACGAATGTGACAACGAATCGCACCACCGCGATCGCATGATGCAGGAAGCCCAGGGCTGGTTCTTCCCGGACGTAGAGAAGATGAAGGAGGCGAGGGCGATGGAGCTCAAGAGCTGCCGGCGTCTACAATCGCTGAAGGGCAAATACTAAAACAAGAAGAAAGAGACGCATGACTGCTCGACGCATGATTACCCTCCAGCATCCTTATTTACACATAATCTCCTGTTCCCTTTCCTTTCCTTTCTTTCTTCCTCCCACGACCTCAACCTCTTCTGTCCCTGCATTAGATGTCACGACGTGAGCAGGATTGTACGGCGTTTTTTTTTTTTTTTTTTTCATGGACTGATGACCAGAGCTTGAAAGTAGCTTCGTTTTTGGTACGAGCATGAGTTGTATTAGTGTTCCGCGCGAGTTCCGCGAAAGAAATGTATAGTTGTGTGCCATCGGGACCCGTTGTTGTAGAAGAAAGAATAAGCGGGGAGTGGAGAAAGCGACGGCAGCCCTGAGCCTGAGCCTGAGCGGCGAACAACCGCCGGCCGGCCAGCTTAGTTAATGCGGGCGAACCTCAGCGACCAGAACAGAACGTGGGCTCCGACCAGGTACTCGATCACCTCCATCCTCCTGCCTCGCCCTCCTCCTCCGACATCCCACGGGCCTCTCCCTGTCTCGGCCCTGTCCTCTCCCCAGATCCTTCTTTCCCCCCGTTCTTCCCTCTTCTGGTCCGGTTCCAGACAACCAACAGCACGCCCGTCTCGAGCCCCGCTGGCACTCGGAAGCCCTGCTGCTTCGGGCTGCCCCCATCAGCACATCGCACATCCCCAAGATGTCGGAGAGCCAGTCTGAAGCGGATAAGGTGAGTCTGTTCTCTGCATCCGACCGTGTGTCAGGCCACATCCCTACGGCCTGTTCCTGACTGTGGCAGATCCGCAACAAGCGCTTGGCGAAACTGGGAAATCCAACACCGCCTGCGCAGAACGAAGGCGCCGCAGAATCAGCATCGAGTCGGCCCGCATCGCCAGCGCCGTCCACTCCTTCATCTCGCATCCCAGAGAAACTCCAGACACAATTCCCGTCGAACCCCAACAGCGCGCCAGGCTCGTCGGCCCCTTCACCACAACAACCCTCGCAACAGTCCGAATGGAAGCGAATCAAGATCACCCCGGCAGCCTCTGCCGTCTCGGGCCCCGACCGCTCACAGACCGTGACGCCAGTGTCCGGCACACCACCACCCTCGCGAGCGGAGGAGACCATCGAGGCCTTCCAGGATCGTACATTGAGCGCCGTGTTCAAGCTGACCTTGAACGAGGCCCGACAGAAGGATATCCACGGACAGCGGTTGACATATTTGCCCGGTGTGCGGAGTGAGCTGGAGGAACAAGGTCGCGAGATTCGCGTGGACGTCTCTCTTTTGGATCAAGCCCTTCTGGAAGCGGCCTCCAATGCCCCGCAGCAGAAGCCCCTGGACTATCTGCTCCCGTGCTGGCGGAGGATATCCAGGCTGCACAAGGGGTTTCGCCGCAATCGCGAGGATGATCCCAAATTCAACATCATATGCGAGTCGCGCCGCCTGTGCTTGAGCTACTGCATATTCGCCATTACGATGCCGGAGATGTTCGGGTGCGTTTGGAGACAGTCGTCGTGCGCAAGGATCTAGGCTGACTCGTGATACAGACTCGAGCCCTCGGACAAATCCGCCCTCAAGCCGTATCTCCTCTTGGATCCCGAGGATGACAAGGGCGTGGACTTCGAGTTCATTGGCGAGGCCGTGAAGCGATTCGACGAGGACGAGAGCATCAAGCCCGCCTTCATCGCGGCCGTGGAGGAGATGAGCCAGGAGCTTGCGGCTATGACCATCAATGATGACTACAAGCCATACATGACAGTACGTTCAGGCCCTGTCTCTTCCCTTGGGAGCGTCTCGCCAACCTAATATGCAGGCCCTACGGAACATCGTCCGCCATGCGGTCATCGCGGCTGCCATTACGGAGTCGTCCATCTTCAACGAATCGCGGGATCCTGCAGCATTCGAGAAGAGCACCCTCCTTGGGCCTTGGTTCCGCCTGTCGCCGCTGCAGAGCAGTGTGACCATGACGTACTTCTCCAGCCCCAAGACGAGGGATCAGTCCTACATCCTTAATGCACAGCGGTCGATCCGCATGATGCAGCACATGATCAGCTCCGATCTCCTTGATGTCATCAACCACATGATTCGAGCATCCAAAGATGCCAGGGACAGGGTCCTGGACTGGTTCGCAGCCTCCCTGAACATCAACCACAAGCGACGAGCAATGCAGGTGGACCCGAATACTGTGTCATCGGACGGTTTCATGTTCAATCTCACCACTTGCCTGGACCAGCTCTGTGAGCCATTCATGGATGCAAGCTTTACCAAGGTAGGCCGTTCTTACAATAGACCTTGATTTGATCTAATGGTCGTGTCTTCAGATTGACAGAATCGATGCGAACTACCTGCATCGCAACCCTCGGGTGGACATGAAGGATGAAACCAAGATCAACGCCGATCAACATGCTTCGGATGATTTTTACAAGAAGACGGACGAGGGAACGTCGAACTTTATCACGGAGATATTCTTCCTAACTGTAGCTGCGCACCACTACGGCAGTGAATCCTTGACCTCCAAGCTGGAGCAGCTCGAGAAGGACCTCCGGCACATGGAGTCGACTATCAACAAGTTCGAGCTGGAGCGTCATCGGTGGGTGAACAACCCGGCGCAGCTCCGAGTCTTTGAGGATGCTTTGAAGAAGTACAAGGATAAGCTTGACCTGGGTATTGCTCTGAAGTACAGTCTTCAGGGCGTCCTGTTCGATGACCAGTGGCAGGCCCGGTCCATGTTGTTCATGCGGTATGTGATCGTCTGGCTTCTGAGGGTCGTCTCGGGCACGAACTTCCCCAGAGCCGAAATCCAGCTTCCGCTCCCGGAGCAGCAGCCCGAGGTTTTCAAATGTCTGCCCGAGTATTTCTTGGACGACATTGTGAGCAACTTCAAGTTCATCATGTGGTGCATGCCGCAGATCATCACAGCGACGCAAGGCGACGAGCTCGTCATGCTCTGCATCGTCTTCCTGGAGAGCACGAACTACATCAAGAACCCGTATCTCAAAGCAGGCCTCGTCTCGATCTTGTTCCGGGGAACCTGGCCACGCCCTGGTGGCGCTCGCGGTGTCCTGGTGGATCTCCTCAACTCGATGCCGTTCGCGAACGAGTACCTGCTGCATGCGATGATGAAGTTCTACATCGAAGCCGAACACACGGGCACCCACACCCAGTTCTTTGACAAGTTCAACATCCGGTTTGAAATCTTCCAGATCATCAAGTGCATCTGGCCGAATACGCTGTACCGCAACAAGCTGTACAACCAGTCCAAGCAGAACCTGGACTTCTTCGTGCGCTTCGTCAACATGCTTCTCAACGATGTGACGTTCGTGCTTGACGAGTCTTTTGGTGCCTTTATCACTATCCACAAGACGCAGACGGAACTGCGCAACGCGGCCGGGATGGACCCCACCGTGCGCCAGCAGAAGGAGGAGCATCTTGCGTCGGCGCAGCGCAACGCCAAGTCATACATGCAGCTGACGAATGAGACCGTGGCCATGCTCAAGCTCTTCACCGATGCCCTGGCGGACTCGTTCACCATGCCTGAAATCGTGCAGCGACTGGCGGACATGCTGGATTACAACCTGGACGCCATGGTCGGCCCCAAGAGTGCCAGTCTGCGCGTCGACAACCTGCAGGAGTACGGCTTCAACCCGCGGGCACTGTTGAGCGAGATCGTCGACGTGTACTTGAACTTGATGGGCAAGGAGAACTTCATTGTCGCCGTGGCTCGGGATGGGCGGTCCTACAAGCCGGCGAACTTCGAGAAGGCGGCCGAGATCCTGCGGAAATGGTCGCTCAAGTCGCCCGAGGAGTTTAGGCGTTGGGAGCAGCTGCAGCATAAGGTGAAGGAGGCCAAGGAGGCCGATGAACAAGCCGAGGAGGATCTTGGAGAAGTCCCCGACGATTTCTTAGGTAGGCTTGACCACGCCGCTTCTACTTCTTCCTAATCAATCGCTAACCGTCCTGCCAGATCCTCTGATGTACACGCTGATGGAAGACCCGGTCATCCTGCCTGGCTCGAGGGTATCCATCGACCGTGCCACGATCCGGTCTCACCTGTTGAGTGATCCGCACGACCCGTTCAACCGAGTTCCGCTGAAAATGGAGGATGTCATACCCGGTACGTTTCTTATCTGTCATCCAATGAGTCGATACTAATACTAAGCTGCTACACAGACACGGATCTCAAGGCGAAGATCGAGGCGTTCAAATCGGAGAGACTTGCCGAGCGGAGACAAGCGCGGGCTTCGGCCTCGGATAGAATGGACACAGCCAGTCCCTGAGGGATGGACGGGCAGGGCAGAGACTACAGATACAGATACCTGGAGGAGCGAAAGCGAATGCGAAAATGATGTATCTTGACAATCACCCCGAGTAATCCTGTCTGTCACTGTTACAGATTTCCTTTCTCTCTCTCTCTCTCTCTCTCTCTCTCTCTTTCTTTTCTGAAGTTCCTTTCTCTTCATGTGTTACGGGCTTGGATTAAAGGTTCCATCCTCTCCGCATTGGGTTTTTACTGGCGGTATGTCTCACATTTCAGGCGAACGCGAACCTTTGGGCAGGGGGTTAGAATTGCCATCAGTCAATCAATCAATCAGATCAGCATTGTGCATATTGCATATTGCATATTGCGTATTGCATGCAAAGAAGTGCCAGATGGAAGTAAAGCAAGCAGGGTATAGATTTATACTGTAGTGGATATTGGCAGTGGCTGCAACTCCCTGGTCGGGCTCGAGTGCAATGCTTTAAATAGTCCTGCGGTTGGCCTCAGGATCCTGTCTGCTGACTCATCCCATGATCGCATCACAATGATGTCTCTCTCTCTTTCTCTCTCTCTCTCTCTCTTCATTCTTCATTCAACATTTAAACTATGTAACCGGCCATTGTGCTGCCTCTATACCCAATATAAAGCACCTCATCTGTCATTCTTCAGCTCCTTCAATGGGTACCCTCATGTCCTCCTGGGAGACCCTCCCTCCTCTATCCGACTTCATCCTCCCCACGCCAGAAACCTACACCATCCTGATCAACATCTTCCAATACTTCCCTACCGTAACCCTCCCCTCCCCCCCCCCTTTCCCCCATATCCCACCTTTTCAAAAAAACAAAAAAAAAAAAAAAAAAAAAAAAAAAAAAACTAACACCCGATACCAGATCTCCCTAATCCAATGGCTCACCTCCTTCCACCCAGCAGGCAAAACCTCCCTGCGAACCTCCCGCCTAAACCTGCCGGGACGCTGGGCCTGGTTCGCCATGGAGATCATCGGCCCGGTGAACCTCATGTACATCCTATGGGCTGGCTCCTCATCCCCTTATCTCCCCCTCCCCCTCCCCCTCCAAAATAAGCTGCTCGCATCCCTCTACGTCCTCCATTATATCAACCGCGCGATCATCTCCCCGCTGTTCAGCGCACCGAGCATGTCGCCCATTCATTTGTCGATTGTTGTTTCGGCGATGGTCTTCAATTGGTTGAATTCGGTGTGTTTGGGGGGGTGGCTGTTGGGGTTTCATGTTTTGATTTCTCAGGGTCAGGATCAGGGTCAGGATCAGGGTGCGGCTGCTCCGACTAAAATCCCAACAAGCCCCGGCTATTATAGCGCTGTTGTCCCGCCGATTGGTCTCGTCCTCTTCTTTGCGGGCATGGCGTGTAATATCTACTCCGAAAGGATCTTATTTCGGTTGAGGAGGGAGGAAGGGGAGAGGCGTGAGAAGAGGGAGAAGGGATTCGACTCGGGTTCTGATTCAATCACCGCGAGTGTCGATTTTAATACTAATGCTGATGCTAATACTAACACTAATGTTAATACCAATACCAAGAGACCCCCCAACAAATACTCAAAAATATACATCATCCCCCCCGCCACCGGCCCCTTCTACTCCATCCTATACCCGCACTACGTCGCCGAATGGATCGAATGGACCGGCTTCGCTCTCCTCGGCACGGCTGTCATCCCAACCGCATTCACCTCTGCTTCCTCCGCTATTCTATCCCCCTCCTCCTTCTCCTCCTCCGCAGGACCAGGACCAGGACCAGGAGCAAGCGCCCCCCTCTCCCCCATAACAGTAACCCTCACCACTGCCTCCACCATCTCCTCCCTCCCACTGCATCTCGCTCCGTGGCTCCTCCCCGCCGCGCGTCTCGCCCGCCGTCTCAATCTCCCGCTGCCGCTCCCCGCGCTGGTGTTTCTGGTGAATGCCGTCACAAATATGCTCCCGCATGCCAGGTGGGGGCGGAAGTGGTATGTGCGGAGGTTTGGGGAGGAGAGGGTCGGGCGGAGGGGGGCCGTGGTGCCGTTTTGGGGGGGGTGTTAGGATTTTTTTACTCTTTCTTTCTTTATTTCTTTCTAATTTCTATCGTTATCTTGGGTTTGGGCTTAGGGGAGGGAAGGGGTGGGAGGGGTTATGGCTTGGATTAGTGGGGGGTGGGAGGGGTTATGGCTTGGATTAGAAGGGGGGGGGGTTGAGTTGATGAATGTCTATATCTATGTGGTTGGGTGTTGGGTGGATGCAGATGACACTATATATATGTCTATGTCTATGTCTATGTATGATATGGGGATCGATATTGAGATGAAATTGGGTTGGGTTGATTGGTTAGGTGGGGGAGTAGGTGGAATGTATGATAGGTTGTCTGTCTATAATAGGCTTAATTCTTACTGGGCTCTGTCCCGTCTGTCTGTTCAGGTATTGGTTGATATTGGAGCTTCGGGAATGAACGGTTGAGGATGAACGCAGATGCTTCAGCCGTAGGAGAATTCGCAAAGAGCATTCACACGACAAGGAGCGGGAGGAATAGAGATAAATGGTGGAAGGAGATGGCTGAGATGGGAAGGAAAGACTATATACAGTTATACAGAGGGAGATGGAGAATGTTGAAATAGAGACAGGGACAGAAGAGGGAATAAGAGGGAAGAGGGATAGAAGGATAGCAGAGATGCTAAACTGATCAGGAGGCTACAAGACTACAACTGCAGCATTGAAGAGGCCACGCCACAGCTACGTGAAGACAGCACGAGAAACTCGATCGATTAAGGGGTAGTGACAGTAGCGACCCCATGTTGTGTAACACAACACATTGTTGAAATATTATAAATTCATCGGCGAAGCAGACGTCACCGACGTTCCTGCATGCCCCCTCTCCCCAAACTCGCAAATGCAAGAAAACTTGGCGTCGATGTTTATGCGATCGCCGATGTTGAAATCGTCATGATATGTTGAACTCCGTTGACCCCATCTAATGAAACCCTGCACCCATATGTTGAACTTTTGGTATCATCATCGTAACTCATCACAAAGAAACTGGGAACGCAGAAAAATGTCTGCTCCCTGAGACGACAGGTTGAGAATGTCGCCCCATCATGGGTTTATTAAAAACGTAATAAAATTTAGTTGCCGTGCTTCTGGCGGAAGTGCTTGGCAGCGCTGACCATGTTGGCCAGGGCAGCCTTGGTCTCGGGCCACTGGCGGGTCTTGAGACCACAGTCAGGGTTGATCCAAAGCTGGTCGGGGCGGAGGTACGCGAGCATCTCCTCGACGCGGTCCTTGATCTCCTGCTCCGAGGGAACACGGGGAGAGTGGATGTCGTACACACCGGGTCCGATGTGGCGGGGGTAGGCCTCGTCGATGAAGACCTTGAGCAGCTTGGCGTCGGACTTGCTGTTCTCAATGCTCAGAACATCGGCATCCAGCGCAGCGATGGCGTGGAAGAAGTCCTGGAACTCAGAGTAGCAGAAGTGAGAGTGGATCTGAGTGCCATCCGAGACACCGGTGGTGGCCAGGCGGAAAGCACGGACGGCCCACTTGAGGTACTCCTCACGCTCCTTGCCAGCACGGAGAGGGAGACCTTCACGGAGGGCGGGCTCATCGACCTGGATGACCTTGATGCCGGCAGCCTCGAGGTCGACGACCTCGTCGCGGAGGGCAAGAGCAAGCTGCTGGGCCTGGACGGACTGGTGGACGTCGTCACGGGGGAAAGACCAGCGGAGGCAGGTGATGGGTCCAGTGAGCATACCCTTCATGGGCTTCTTGGAGATCGACACGGCGTACTTGGACTCCTTGACGGTCATGGGAGCGGGACGGGAGATGTCACCGACAATGATGGGAGGACGCACGCAGCGGGATCCGTAAGACTGAACCCAGGCGTGGGTGGTGAAGACGTAACCGGTAAGGCGCTCACCGAAGTACTGGACCATGTCGTTACGCTCGGGCTCACCGTGGACGAGGACGTCCAGGTCGAGCTCCTCCTGGATCTTGACGACCTCCTCGATCTCCTTCTCGATGAAGCGCTCGTACTCAGCAGCGGTGATCTCACCCTTGGTGAACTTGTTGCGCTGGATACGGATCTCCTTGGTCTGGGGGAAAGATCCGATGGTGGTGGTGGGGAAGAGAGGGAGGTTGATGGTCTTGCTCTGCTCAGCCAGACGGGTGGCGAAGGGAGACTTGCGGTTGTGCTGCTCCTCAGTGACGGCGGCCTGGCGCTCCTTGACCTGGGGGTCGTTGGTGCGCTTGGAGGAGGCACGAGACTGGACAGACTTGGCGTTGGCCTCGAGCTGCTCGCGGACGGCGGCAGGGCCCTCAGTGACAGCCTTGGCGATCACAACAACTTCGTCGAGCTTCTGGACAGCGAAGCTGAACCAGTCACGGACCTCGGCGTCGAGGGACTTCTCGCTCTCGAGAGTGTGGGGGACGTGGAGGAGAGAGCTGGAGGTGGCGACGATGACGCGCTCCTTGCCGAGCTTCTGGACGGCCAGCTCAACCTTCTCGATGGCGGTCTTGTAGTTGGTCTTCCAGATGTTACGTCCGTCAACAACACCAGCGGACAGGACCTGCTTGGGTCCGAGGGCAGCAACGACAGCCTCGAGCTGCTCGGGGTTGCGGACCAGGTCAATGTGAATACCGTACAGGCTGTGGAGGGCAGGAAGGACGTCGATGTTGTGGACGATGTCACCGAAGTAGGTGGCAAGGACCAGACGGGGAGCCTGGGCACCGAGGGCACCGAGCTTCTCGTAGGCGGGCTTGAAGGCAGCCTTGGACTTGGCGGGCAGGTCGAAGACGAGGACGGGCTCGTCAATCTGGACCTCCTCAGCACCAGCCTCCTTGAGCTTGGTGAGCAGCTCGACGTAGACAGCGAGGAGCTCGTCGATCTTGGTGATGGGATCAATGGACTGACCACGGTCAGCCTTGGCGAGGGTCAGGAAAGAGACGGGACCCAGGATGACGGGGCGGGTGACGATGCCAGCCTCCTTGGCCTCGAGGAACTGGACCACGGGCTTGGGCTGCTCAGTGAGCTTGAAGGTCTGGTTGTCCTGGAGGGTAGGCTTGACGTAGTGGTAGTTGGAGTCAAACCACTTGACCATCTCAAGGGCGGGGACATCAACACCGGGCTTCTGGAGACCACGGCCCATGGCGAAGTACTCGTCAACGGGGTGGAGGTTGTACTTGCTGTAACGCTCGGGGATGACCTATCGGAAGAGGGACATTAGCGTCTGATGGTATCAGATGAGGGAAAAGGTAAACATACACCGAACATCTGGATGTGGTCGAGGACCTGGTCGTAGAAGGCAAAGTCGTTGCTGGGGATGATGTCAACGCCAGCAGCCTTCTGGAGCTTCCAGTGCTCGAGACGGAGTCTCTTTCCCTCGCTCAGGAGCTCATCGCGAGAGATCTTGTCACCCCAGTAAGCCTCGGTGGCCTTCTTGAGGTCACGGAGTCTTCCCATGCGGGGGAAACCCAAGACGGAGCTAGAGATGGGGTCAGTGTTTGATTCCCGGGAAATTGAATTCACAGGAATCGGCAAACTCACGATTGAACCATCTTGATGGATGTGTGTGTGAAGAATGTGATAGAAGGAAGATTTGAGATTGATCGGCAGGGTCACACCAGACAATCAAGACAGAAGAGAGACAAGGACTATGGAAGAGTCTCTTGCTCGAAAGATGCACAGGGGAGGGGAGGGATGAGGGGGAGAAAAAGCACGGGTGAGATGGAGAGAGGAAGAGAAGAGAAGAAGCAGGGGAGGGGATGGAGGGGGAGTTATAAAATGGAGGGGAGGGCGGAGGGGAGGGCGGCCAGGTCAGCTCGACCCCTCCGATGGTGGGTCGCCGACCGGATTCCTGCGTTCTTACAGGCTCGTGCTAGCCTGGTACCGGACGGTACTGACGGTACGGAGAGTACGGAGTGTACCTGGGTTTTCCCTTTTGACGGCCCCGGGGAACGGTTCACGGGCTCCGGTTCGGTCAGGTAAGATATGGATGGCTGGAAGCAAGGTTTGAAATTCCCAGGAAAACACCCATTGCCATTACCCAATGTCCCCCTCCGCATTCAACGATTGGGAGGAACCAGGCCAGCTCAATGCTCCCACTCGAGCCTTAGGTATACCTACATACCGCAGCGCAGTGTCTAGACTGCCGATGACTCTTGATACGATACGGCCAGCGTATGGACGGCCGGGCCACGCTGGGAAAAATCTGGCTGCCAGAACCCCCTCCAGAGCGTAGCGCCAAATGGCGTGATTGCGAAAAAAAAGCCCCGTAATTTTGGAGAGTTAGCGCGGGCCTCCCCCGGCGCGGCCACTCAGGGAAGGCCGGGATCGGCCACTAGTTCGGCGGCGACTCTGCCTGATAGCCTGATACGGCCTGGTGGGATGGCTGGTTAGCCACGCCGATTACCTACTGGCTACCCTTTCCCGAGGAAGGCCAGCCGGAGTACGGAGTACGGAGTAGCCACTGTGACTAGAGAGATACAATGTACATGTTTTGCAGCTAGATAGATACCGAGTACGGTGATGATTATTCTGCTGACCACAATAATGGAACCACCCGGTGTGACATTTGGCGCCGGTCATAGGCAGTACGCACTCCATCTGAGGTGAGATCCGCCCCTTACGCCGCTAGGAGCTTCAGGTGGACAAGGATGCATCGTTGCTTCTAGTCGCTTCTAGTTGAACGGGGTCGAATCCAACGTCAGAAAGATACTCCGTAGTCCCGTAGATACTTACTTAGATACTTAGATGCGTGGAGTTCGTCGTTCGCGGGCGGGATGCTCGTTCAGACGGGCATATATATCATCGTAGACATCCGGGGTCTCCTTTCCACGTCTGGCTGTCCGTTGACACCGACCCTGACTGTAGGTCCCAACAACCCCAGATGTTGCGTGCAACCCGACGGTCCTCGCTGGAAGCTGTCGGCTTCCGAAGATAACATTCGGGTCCATTTCGGGATGCGGAGTATCTTTGGCGCACGTCTGGGGAAACGTCCTCACCGACAGGCCGCCAATGTCGCCGACAAGGGAGGTGTCAACGACTCAATGTCACCGACTGTACTCCGTACGGAGCAGAGGCCGATCGAAGCAACGCAACGACCACGGGGCCAATTGTGGAAAGAGCAGCAGCTACATACAACCACAGCAGTCGCTCCTGCTTCTTGAGCACGCCTCGCGCCTTCCTTTCAGGATGTCGCATCGCCCGCCGTCTTTCACCAGCCGCTGCCAGAAGACTCTGTCGGTCTTCACCATGCATCGAACTAGCGACGCTATCATCTTGTCAAGGAAGACCATATTTTTGGCTCCCGGTTGATCCGACAGCGCCAATGGCCTTCTTTTTCATCTGTCCCCGGTTCAGAAGATACTGGAGATCCTCGGACTCCCCGGACCCTGATCACGCCTACCAGCTGAGGGCGGCCAACCCCCCTCCAGACGGGGACCCGGAAGGTGATCACTAGATGGCCCTAAATACATCGTGGACGGTGATGGGCTAATCCTGGCAGGCCATTCCTCGTCTAGGGACGATGCCTTTCGCCCAGGACACCACCGTGGCTCCTCCGGCCTGTCCGACAAACTACGCAAGCGCTTCTCCCGAGAAGCCAAAGACCCGCGTGGAAGACCGAGGAGAACGCAGAAGAAGTCGGGGGCCTCAGGGTTTCTGTTCTCGTCGAGACCAGCCAATGGCAAGGGTGTGGTAACTCCAGACGGCCTGGGAAGCAGCTTGATGAGCGAACGTGGGTATGACAGCGATGCGCAATTCATCAGCACCCCACAGCCCGCCAGCTACGCCAGAGAGCATCTGGGCAACTCACGCTTCGCTCAGGAGGCCACCTCCCCTCTGAGGCAACCCCTGTGGGAAATGGAGCAGGAAAGCCCATACGAGCAAGGAGATGATGCGCTGATGGACTATACCGTGAAGGGGGGATCACCCACGGCCATGCGTTCGCCAAATCAGACATCCTGGGCCACGCTGTCGTCCCATAGCTCGTCTGTCTGTCATGGTGCAGAGGATGGTTGGCATCGAGCCAGAGTTACAAGACCTCCCAGAGGCCCCGGGGGCAGTCCCGTTCAAAGTAGAGTAAGGAATGGACCAATGTATCCACAGCAACAAGGATATCGTCCACTTCGAAGGCCAACTCCGGACTCCTGTACGCCAGGTCGCTTCTCTCAGAACAGCACGACTCACTGTCCGGTCCTTGTAAGCCCCGCGCACAGCCCGGAACATGCGACTCACCTGTCTCCTGTGCCGTTCTCTTACACCACGTCCGCAGAATCTATGACTGGACCTGTATCGCAGATCTCAATCAAGAAGAGACGGCGGCAGCAGCCCCCGGTGGGCCCAGCATCAGACGGTTGCTCGGTTCACCTTGCGGATATGAATATCCCGACGGTGTTGGGGTCTCATTCGCCGTCGCCTCAAGTTTTATCTCCCAAACCATCACTTGATGAGAACCGATGGGCTCCCAATGCGGGAACATGGGGTGCATCTCAGAACTTCTATGACTCCTCCGGCTCCCCGACAGGAAGAGCGCATCTCAATGCGACAGGACCAAGATTCAGAGGGCCCCCTATGAACCAGGCGTCCTCGTGCTATTCCCAAAAGACCGGCTTTTCATCCGCCAGCGGGCCCAACCACTCTGTAGACTCACGGTTCCAAAGTCAATTTACATCCCAGCCATTTGCTAGGGAACCAAGCCCATCTTTCAGCTACTCATCCCAAGCGCAGGAACCACCTCTGGCGAATTATCATCGTCCTGGTGTTGCAGACAGCCATGGTTCTGGTAAACCTGAGATGCAGAAGAGCAACTTTACAGAGCGGTTCGAATCAGACCGGTCACTTGCCTCACATGGTCAGCAAGGCGGCACAGGCATGAGCCCTGCCTCCCCTCGAAACGTAAGCGTAGGATGGATGTCTGGCGGACGGCGTCTTGGTTACGGGTACACCATGGTTCCTGCAAACGATGGAGCGGATCACCCATCTCAGGGAATTCAGGATTCTCTCCAGACAGATTCCTGTCAAGCGGCACCGGCTGAGAAGGGGCGCCCGGAGATGCCAATGAACGCTGACAAGGAAGCCAAGGGGCACAACAGAAAGGCGTCGGACAAAACAGGGGAACCGGGATTGGACATCTCAAGCATCATGAACCGCATGCACCTTCGAAGTCTGTCTAGCGCTCTCAGTGAGGTCACCAGCGGTGACTTTCGAAAGGGCTCGCTACTCGAGAAGATCTCAAAGCGGAAGAAGGACCAGAGTGATACAAATGCTGACACCAAAAACCCCTGGGACTTCTGCTCCTGGGTTGATCCCAACAGGTCATTGAGCGAACAACAAAGCCCACAAAAGAGCCCTTCAGTCTCCACCAAAAGCACACAAGGTCGCACTTTGAGCAGGTGGGAGACATTGCGGCGTACCGGGAGCCTATGGACTAAGGGTCACAGCGTGTCAGCGATTGCGCGTGGAATCGAAGCAAAGGCACACGCCAAATCCGCAGCGCCAGGTGGAAGATACCCCGTGGCACGGAGAAAAGATAGGCAGGTCATGAAATTCAGGGTCCTAGATCGTAACCATAGGGCCCATAGTGCTGATGACGCTGTCCCCTTCGTTCCCGTTGAGCATTCGGATGAAAGCCCCAGCTCACCTAGGTCTCAGGATGAAGAACAGGTTGACGAAGAACAGATCACCCACGCAGACAATCATGCAACAGAGAAGGATCAGCCCAATCCCTCGGACAATAGTGGCCAGGGCGTGAATGCAGACGAGTGGGAAGACTGCCAGGAAATGGCCTCCATCACTAATTAGGAATTGGCCTGCCTGCAGTGTCGGTTAGCAGTGCACAGTACTTTTTATATGAAAACGAAAGGGTGAGGAATTTGTTTTAGCGCAATGGCTGGCAAAATGTCAAGGCAGCATTATTCTTGGCCAGACAGAGAAAACCAAGCCTTCATGTCCATTAACACCACTGTTGCTAGGAAGTGTTGCAAGGTTGCCGGCCAATATTGGATGTATTGGCATTAGCAGAATTATATGCATTAGCTGCATTTCAGAACAGCAAAGGCTCATGTAGTCGTACATAGGTATATTGAAGCACAAAACGCCAGACCCGCCAACGCCCGTAGTATCTATCATCTTACTTCCTCTGCCGCTTGGAGCTCTTGTCGCTCGTCCCGCTCAGAACACTAGCGGAGCGCTTATGCGAGGTCCCCTGATCGGGGCCGGCAGCTCCGCCGTCCCCCGTAGCTTTATCGCCCGTCTCCGCGGTCGAAGGCGGATCCGGAGCCGCAGCAGCCTCAATGGCCGCATCCGCAGCCGACAGCGGCCGATCCTCCTGCTCCGACTTAACCTCGGGCTTCTCCTTCTCCTCCTTCTCCTTATTCTTGCGCTCCCTCTCCTCCTTCGCCGCTTCCAGAACGCGGATCTCTCCCTCCACCTTCTCAGCCACCTTGCGGGCCTCCAGCAGCAAATTAACCGAGTGGATCAGCTTCTCGAAATCCTTGCACACGCGTTCCGTCGGCATGACGAGACGCAGCGGGATCTCCAGCTCCGCCAGCGCGGCGGCCAGTTTCTGGGTCTGCACGTTGGATTTTGCCTGGGTCATCTTCTGGGCGCGGTCGCTGCGGAATTGCACGCCCGGCGCGAGCCGGTCATGATGCTGTACCCCGTACTTGGCTTCCTCGGCGGGCGTGAGCGTCCGCACGGACTGCTGGGCCTCCTTTGTGGCTGCGGCGGCGGCGGCTGCAGCGGCGGCGGCCGCAGCTTTCTTGTTGGATGGAGGCGGGGCGGGCGCCGCGGCGGTCGGGGTATCGGCTGCGCTGTCGCGGGCGCTGCCTGGGGCGTTGGGGGCGGGGGTTTGGCCGGCTGGGCTGGGGGCGGCGGCGCCTTCGGGGCCCATGATGGAGCGGCGTTTCTTGGTTTTGTCGGCTTGGAGGAGGGTTTGTAGGAGCTGGGAGAGGCCTTGGCTGGACTGGTACATGGTTGTGTTGCCGACGCTGATGGGGACTTCGAGACGGGAGTAGAGTTCGCGGCGCTCGGTGATGAAGTCCTGTTCGTTGGCGGTGATGCGTTTGAGTTCCTCGAGGAGGATGCTTTCCTCGCGGACGTCGTCGGCGGAGCGGTTGAGTTGCAGGGCGGCGAGTTCCTTGCGGGAACGTTCGCGCTCCGGGTCGAAGTTCTTCATCTTTTCGTGCAGTTCGAATTCGGCTTCTGACATCTCCGAGGGTGGATGCTCGAGCGCAAGCATCGCGGAGGCGATCACGTAGTATCGGTCTTTCATTTGTTCCATGGTGCGGTATTGTTTGGCGGGGACGAGGGCGTTCGCGTTGGTTTCGGTGTCGATGGGGTGCGCTTGGTAGTCGTAGCGGTCCGCGATGACTACCCAGCGGAGGTCGTATTCCTCGACTAGATCCATGAGGTAGTCGGTTTCCTGGCGCGACCATTTGTCGCTCTGCAGGTGGCGGTTGTATTCTTCGTCGGTGTAGCGGTTGGGGACGCGCGCTTTGACGTTGTATTTGGAGAAGGAGGATTCCTCGACTGGGGTAGAGGATGGGTTGGTCTCGTCGGCATTGTTCTCGTCCACTTCCATTTCGGATCCCTCTAGCGCAGGGAGCTTGCCGGGTTCGTGCTTGCGTTGCCAGTGGCGAAGGACGAGGCCGTCTGATCGAGCGCTGTTGACGAAGGGGGCCATTTGCCTGGACAGAGATTAGTTGGTTTGATGATGGGGGGGGGCTTTGGGACATTGGGGGAGGGTGTACCAGGGACGAACACGCAGCTTGCTCATCCATTTGGGACGACCCTTGTATCGGTTCTCGTTGATGGCGATGGGAGGCGCTCGCTCGCCCAGCAGGGCGAACAGCTCCCGGGTGATACCCTCTGTCGGTCGGAAACGAATTAGACTGGTGAATGAGGGGGACAGGATGGGGGTGAACGCACCTGGTCGCTTCTCGACGACCTTCTGCTTCTTGTGAGGCCGGGGTTGGCCCTCCGCGGGCAGATCCAGCATGTCGCGAACATCGGCGGCGGCCATGATGGCGGAGCCTGTTGGCGGTGGGGTGGGGGGTTATGAGTTGTGGATATTGGCCGTGTAGTTGAGATGGGGGGGGGATATGGATAATTGATGCGCAGATGAAAGGAGGAGAGAGAAGAAGGCGGGGAAGAGAGAGAGAGGCAGAAAGGGAATCTTGAGAATTCGCGCCAAGCCCCGGCCGGCGGTTCGGCCAGATCGATCCCAGCTGGCCGTTTCATCTTCTCCCTCCACTCCAACTGCTGTCTTCAACTTCCTCCCCCCTCTCTCCGTCGCTATCTCAATTACCCCCCCCCCCCCCCCTTAGACAGGTCTGCAACCATGGCTCCGTCCCGATCTTCAGCCTCATGGCTGTCCTCGGCCCTGGCCGTCTGTGCCATCCTGTGCCTCTCCGTGCCCGCCAACGCCCTCTACTTCTACATGGACGGCCGCCAAACAAAGTGCTTCTTCGAGGAGCTCCCTAAGGATACCCTGGTTGTCGGTATGACAGCCCCATCGCCCTCAACATGGCCATACGACGTATTTCGACCTATACGAACACCCACTAATCATCCCTGAAACCACAGGCACCTACTCCACTGCCGTCATCAACCAACAATCGAACACGTACACCGTCGACCCCAACCTGAAGATGCTCATCACCGTCGACGAGATCTTCGACAACGACCACCGCGTCGTGTCCAAGCGCGACAGCAACAACGGCCGCTTCACCTTCTCCGCTGCCGACGCCGGTGTGCACAAGATCTGCGTTACCCCCGAGACCAATGCCGCGACGGCCGGCTGGCTGTCCGGCGCCCAGACCGGCGCCGTCCAAGTCACCCTGGACATGGCCATTGGCGAGACCAGCAAGATCGAGACCGAAGACAAGGACAAGATGCAGGATATCGTCCAGAAGGTCAAGGACCTCAACGGTCGGTTGCAGGATATCCGGAGGGAGCAGGTTTTCCAGCGGGTACGTTGCTCCAACTACAACAGCTACTGCGGTCTCTTTTCCCCAGCCTAACCCGATAAACTAACCCATTGCAGGAACGTGAGGCCGAATTCCGTGACCAGTCCGAGGCCACGAACTCGCGTGTTGTGCGGTGGACTCTGATGCAGCTTGCGGTCCTGTCCGCGGCCTGCGCCTGGCAGCTCTCGCATCTGCGCTCGTTCTTCATCAAGCAGAAGTTGACATAAACGGGGACTTCTGGGCGGTGGTTGCAGGTAGAGGGAAAAGGATAAAAGGGGGTGCGGGCAGGTACCTAGTTTCACTTTTCAGGACAGATAGCTATCTATATGATCGGTTGTTTAGCGACGTTGCTTTCTTTGAGTGCATGTGTATTGTCTATTGTATTGTGTCAATGTCGGATATATGATACGATCACTGCTTCTTCGCTGCGTTCCTTGGGCATGCTGATGTATGGATCTTGCGCCTACTGGTTCAGGCCTGTTAGGAGCTGGGGCTCTGTTGTTACAGCTCGCCGGTTTGGAGGCATTTCAACTCCTCACATGCTGTGATGATGCCTCTCGAGGTAACATACACCAAACTACCACCAAACAGGACCTGAAATGGGTTCTGCGAGAAAACAGAAATCCAAAGAGAAAATCTTATCCGGATTTCCCCCCCCTCTGCTCCAACCATCGCCATCTGGCCAGCTGGCCATCCCTCTCTAACACAGACAATAATATCCAGAACGTCTATAGCCTGTTCAGGGTGTTGTATAAGCCTGGTCATGCTATGCTATCTACAGCTGAGTTTGATATGGGTCTATACAAATATCTATCTACCCGGGGGGAGGGAATGGGAAACGGAAATTGGGATTGATGAGGGGGAGAAGAAAGAGGGAAGGAATGAATTGAGTGAGTGAGTGAGTGAGTAAGGAAGTAGAGGGGGGATAGTAGTACTTGGTAGTTTATTTTGGGAATACTAGGCTTTAAGTAATAAAACTATAGTTAGTCACAACCACAACCCTAGGCAACATTTATTCATTGATTATAATCTGTACTTCACTAAGATAACAATTAGGATTGGCCAGAATGGACTGGTTACCAATTGGGAGATATCAATCACCCCAGAAGTCAAGTAGAGTTAGCTGTGTTGGAAGGTCTGGTTGGTGGATCAGGACCGTCCAAAGGTTGCATTGCATGTGGTATGTTGCATATTGCATTATCTCAAGGTGGACGAACGTGTGCGATCCATCTTTGCGCCCCAGTCATAATAGATCATTAAGGATGCTGAAGATCGCTCATAAATACATATACATCAGACTAAATATTATGCCGACAGCCGCGCTGCAGGTGCAGGCAGAAGGACGGCGTTGTCGGGAGTCCGTCCGTATCGGACTCAGATGCAAGGAGAGTAAAGAAGGACAAAGAGGTATAAAGCGGGTGGGGGCAAAATCAATCAAGAGCTCAAAGGACTGGAGATGGAGAGTCTATGTCATGTATTCGTCGAGTCATCGGAAGGCCGGGCCGGGTCACTGCAAAACCCCAGGATCAAACGCTCGAGATCCGAGAGCTTGTACGGCTTGGTCATGTAGCCCTTCATGCCGACCTTGGAGGCACGGCTGAGTGCCTCGTCGGTGACATCGGCGCTCACGGCCAGGACCGTAGGAGCCACGGGCCGGTGCGTGGGTGATGCCCCGGTCCCGGTTCCGGTTGGATCCGCTGCAACGGGCTGGTTGGGTCGAGAATTAGGGGGTATTCGACCGTGGTGCTCGTCTACCAGTTGGAGGATTTTGGATGTCGCCTCGTATCCGTCCATTTCGGGCATCCAGAGGTCCATCAGCACCACGTCCACTGGCTTCTTGCGTTGCTCGGGCGGGTTGGGGATGGGGAAACCGTCCGGACTGTTCTGGCATCTGGGAGGAGGGCTCGGGTCGGAGCGTTGGGATTCCAGCACGTCCTGCATGATGCGTACGGCCTCTTTTCCATTGCAGGCTTCGTAGACGTCCGTATAGCCTAGTCTCTTCAACATGTGCACCAAGACCCGTCGGTTGATTTTGTTGTCCTCGGCGACGAGGAATGTGAGCGGATGCTTTTCCCCCAGCTTGCTATCGTGAGTGTCGCCGTTGATGTGACGCGGTACTGACTTGTTGTTGGGCACTGAGCGTGCAGGGGTCGATGTCGCAGACGTCGATTCATCGCTAAGACTGGGTGATGGCTGTTGGATCGGCTGGCTAGGGGTCCGGAGGGCGGGTGATAGAAACGAGGATTCCAGACTCGAAGCGATCCCACTGCTCAACCGCGAAGGATCGGTAAGCTGAGGCGGGGTCAGCAACCTGGCAGGAGGGGCCACTGGCCCAGAAGGGTCTGGCTGGTTGGCGGGGATCCTGATCTCAAACTCCGAGCCACGATCAGGGCCTGTGGTGGAAGAGCGAACACAGATGAGATCACCGCCCATCTTCCTAGCCAGGCCCTTTGCGACCAGAAGGCCCAGTCCCAGCCCATCTTTACTCCGGGTGGTTGACGTGTCTTCTCGAGCAAACGCTTTAAACAGACTCGGCAAGAAGGCCTCGGGGATGCCTGGGCCGGTATCTTTGATGGCTACCAAGACATCGTTGGCTTTACGGCCAGCGGTGGCACACACAGTAATCACACCGCTGTTGGTGAACTTGACCGCGTTCAGGAAAACGCACGATATCAACTTGGCCAGATCCCGGTCATCCACAAACAGAGTGTCTGGTAGCGCGGGATCGACGGACCAGTTAATCGTCTTCGAGAACACTTCGCCATTGGACGACCGCGATCGTATTTCGATTTTCTCGCCGAACTCGGTCCCGTTGCTCACTGCAAAGTCGGGTCGACCCCCAACATGCAAGGATTCATTGATGACCAGCCGAAGGAGGTCGCGAAGCTTGGTGTACCTCAGCGCTGGGGCGACATTGACATTGATGCCTTCCAACAGAAGATGCGGTGCTGAGCGCCGCACCGCCAGTGACGGGCGAGGGTTGACCATATTCGCCATTACGGCTTCGATTTCGTGCGGAGGGGTGGCTTTGATGAGCTTTTCGCTCTCGTGGACGGCATTTTTGACCTCCTCACTGCGTGGTGAGAGCCCCTTGGGTGAAAACACCCGTGGCACCTTTGGTTTCGGTGCCGCGCTAGCGCTCCAGTCTGGCGGGTTGCTTCGTCGTCGTTTGTACGGATTGACTGGAATGCTGCTCCCCTCGACGAAAATGTTCGGTCGATGGTCGCATGCATTTACCGGGGACTGGACGGGACCGCCAAAGCAATCATCCCGCTCGAACTGTGGAGTCTTGGGAACCTGCATGTTCAGGTCGTAGGCATGGACCACGTTATCTGCGGCTTCAACCGCCCGTCTTGCACTATCTGTATGGATGGAAACATGTCAGCACCAAGTATCTATGGAGATTGGGACAGCACTAACCCTGCACCATTTCGATGCTCTCTTTCAGAGTCCGAAAAACGCACCCCGCCTTCGGAGAGGGTTTATCTTGGATGGCATCACGGACTGTAGCATGCATGACATCGAGCATTCCGACGACGCCCTGCATTGGCGTCCGGAGCTCGTGAGATAAACTCCTCGCATATGGTTTGAGAGGGTGGGATGCAAAGTCCGCTGGTCCTTGAGCAAGGCTGATGTGTGCATCCTCGATGCTCGTGTAGCTGGGGGCGACGTTCCTGATTTTGCCGCTGGATTGCGGCGTCTTTGCAGTGTCCACGTCGTCACGGATCCGCTGAACGACCAGATCTTCCAATGAATACAGAATCATTTCGAGAAACGACCAGGACAGATCCCGCTTCTTCAAGCCGGGCTCCGACCACATCAGACCCAGGTACGCCAGGCATTTGTTTTCCGAAAAGAGGGGGACGGCCAGATAGCCCTCTGCGGCAAAGGGAAGCTGGTCCCGATCGAACGAGATGAAAGAGCCCAGCTTCTCCGGAATTAAGCACGGCTTCTCGTGATCCATGTGAGACAGGGGATTGCCGCCCGCAAAATATCGGTGTCGATGCATACCCGCAGTGTGATATCCGTCGTTGTAATAGAACGCCGTGCCGAACAGGTAGGGCTTATGGCCTCCTATCTCATTCGCCGCCTCGTCATCGCGCGCCTTGCGAGCAACAAAAACATACTGGGCGTCGCAAATGGAGCTGATATGCTCCATGAGTTGGTTCCAGAAGTTTTCCGATCCTAGCATTCGAAGTTCCTGCTTGAGTTTCACCAGTCGTTCGATTGCGGCATTCTGGGGCGCGCCGATATACCTGCGCCCGGACGAGTCGGCCTGCGCATCGTCATCGCGTAGAGTGGTAGCGGGCGCATCGCCAGGAAAGCGCTGGGAGTTGCACGAAAGCAACGACATTGTAGGGCCGGATGCAAAAGACTGAGACCATTCCGAGTCCGCTGAATCGGGCATGGTGTGCCGGACAATTAACGCCCCTTTGTAGCCTTGATTTGCTGTTGAAGATCAAGTCTCGAGAGGGGATAGAGCGATCGATTATGATATAGGAGGGCGCCAGGTCACCGAGGGGGATTGGTAAGAGATCAATGAATCAAGACCCAGATCTTTCAAGGGGACACAACGCATGGCTTTCGATCTGCATCAGTCACCGGACGATCGTTAGCAATGCGGGAGGATGATACCACGAACAGTGGATAGAAGGAGGCTACCAAGCATTGCCCGTCCTAGATGGCTCTGGTTTCGCGGATACATACATCACTTTGGGATCGATCGGAAAGATGAAGCCCTCGCCGAGCTACACCGCGGGGGATGCTCTGCAAAGAGCAGGCACCGTCGGGGCGAAAGGTGTCCGCAGACAGAGCCAAGGTCACCGATCTGCAGACGATTTGTAAAAAAGGGAGGGGGGGGGGTGTGAGGGCGTCCTGTTCGTTGGGGAGTATTTTTTTCCCGGCTTTCCCCCAGTTCTCTCTCCGCTTTGAAGATTCTGTAGGTGATGCGCAGGAAGCCCCGGAATTAGGCGTCGAGGGTCCTTTTCTTCTCCCGATTGAACGATCGCTAGGGGTTCTGTTGATTATCCAGGGTTGGGAGCGCTTCTTCGGATCCGCGTGGTGTCGAGGGGTGAAAGTCGGTCAATTGCCGGGGCAGAGATGAATGACACAGACCCCCGGAGAGACGGGCGGATGTGGGCAAGGTGGGAAGAATACAGCGGATGCCAGCATGCCAGAGCGCAACGGCCAGTCGGACAGCAGCAAAGGGGGAAGAAACACCCGGGGTCGAGGTCGAGGGGGGAGGGGAGTGGGCTGGGGCGGATGGGATGGGATGGGATGGGAGGAGAGGAGAATGAAGGGAATGACGAGCGGACGGCCGGGCTGGACAGACCGACAGGAATGAATGGGACGAGGAGGAGGGAAGAAGCGAGAAATCGATGGGGCCAGTTTGGGCCGATCGCCAGGTCTAGACGCGGGGAGGCTGAAACGGAGCGAGAGAGACTGAGAGAACAGACAGAACAGACAGAACCACCGAGTCAATCGGGCTGCAAAAGGACTCACAGGGCAGAGAAGGACGGGAGAGAGGGATTAATTAAGGTTGGGAGCGTCTTGGTCCCAGTGGTCAAGTGGTGATTCTTCTTGCTGCATGACTGCCTGCCTATATGCTAGACTGCTACTGCTAAACTGCTAACCGGCTAATCCATCCATCCACCCATCCACTACCACCACCATCATCATGACCACCACTCCACGGGACGGATTGCCCCATTTGAGCATCATTCTGGTCGCACACCGTGTTCCAAGTAATGTGGCCCAGGCATCTATCTAGTGTGCCAGGTACACACCCACACCCACACCCATGACCAGGAACCCGTCTCCGGCCAGCGACCAACCAAGCATATCAACAGGATTCGCGGTATGGATCGATGGATGGAAGGCCCTTTGTCAACCCGCCCGTCTCACTGGCGCAAATCCCATGGACCGGCGGCCCCCCGACCCAGACTCCGACCATCGTACCCGAGCATCTCCTACCACTTGTGCTTCATCTCTGCCTCCTGCAATATCCAGCACCAGCTGGTCGTGGTACATCCCACCTATAAAATTCCCTCGCGCCCTCGTTCCCTCGCTCATGGTGGTGCTGCCCTCCACGCATGCACGGACGGGGGTCTCGACCAGGGCGGCCATCTGCCACTCTCTGCAACTGTGCCATCCGGACATACTGGACGGAGTCCTGCGGCCGACTGTCCCCACCGGAATGGATGCCTGGGTATTGCGTACTGGGTATCTACCATCTACTGGGTAATAATAATCATAATAATCGTAATAATAAAATTAACGAGTGATCGATCAGTCTACTACACCTCTGGGAACCCACCGCATCGGATTTCGTAACTGTGCATGGCCACGACGCCAGTCGCCTACCCTTACTTACCTGACCGGAGGGTGGCATACAGAATCAGGGTAGCTATCTAGCGGTGGTGGGATTTACGTGCGGCATGCGAGGGTGTCGGGCTTCTACTGACTAACCATGTCCATGTATTATTATGTATCCAACCTGGAAACGAACAACGCATCGAGCAGACGCCTCCAGTTCCCACCGTTAGGCTTGTCTGGGTTACGCTGCCCTCCATGGAACAAGGTTAGGTAGGCATGGAGGCCCGCGATGGGCCCGGCTTAAAATTCAGGCCAGACGTCTAGGCCCATGCATGCATGGATTCAAGGGTTTAAATTCGTAGTCCATCCTCAATTTCGGGTTACCCCGTCTCTATCGACCGCACTTATTATTGAGTCGAGACCTCCGGCTCCCGAGACCCGGTCGAGAGACGTAGCATTAGAACAGACGAACAGCGTGACATTAGAAAACAGAAATACTCCGGACGATGCTATCTAATCTTGACGTCCCTTCAGTAGCCGCTTGGTGACCTTGTCTTTCTCTATGATATACACCTGTGCACCCCAACCCGACAGGGCGTCTCGATCGACGGCGCTGAGCAGGGCTTGCGAGATGGTCTCGAACAGATCCTCCGCAGACTGTATGACGAGTTAGCACAACCGTAAAGCCAGCCGTTCGCCAGGGGACCTACCAAGTCCGGCTCCCACAGGCCCTCGCAAGTACCAAATAGCTGCTCGCTAGCCGTCCCGCTAACAATGAAGTCCTTCGCGAAGTCGATACACCCGATACTGTCGAAACCGCAGATGAAGGGCTTCCCCGTCGTGCTGTTGATTCCGGCGATGACAGGGCTGACGAAGAAAGGCCCGAACCGCTTCTCGTATAGCGACGAACTGACCAGGTTGGCGAGGGTCTGGGGGGCGATGTTCCGCTCCTCGCGGAGGCGGTACATGTTCACCTTGTAGCGGAAAAGGTCCGACACGGTCGACACGTCGGTGGCTAGACCGGTCAAGCCGAGGAAGGTGGAGGGGCCGTAGTTGAAGATCTTGGGGAAGTTGTTGGAGACGGTCAGGGCCTGCATACCCAGCCGGAGATCACAGGCGATTGCGACGCAGTCCTTGCCCACCATGGCGACGCAGGCACCGCCATCTATACATCGGGGAGTCAATATGCGGGGGAAATCTAGGGCGTGCTAGAGCGTGCTAGAGCAGATACGTACTGATATCGAAGGGGGAACTCTGCGGAGGAGGGAGGTCAGCTGGGTTGCTTTCGGGTCAGAAGAAGGGTCACGCAGCACACATACCATGGTGAGCAGAGATTGCAAAACTAGAAGCTTAGTCCGGGATTTGGTATGACTTGTTGGCTCCGAATTAGGGGAGGGGCGGAGGTTGTGAGCTGGAGGGAGGGAGGGGGAGGCGATGGGAGATGGGGGATGGGCGGAGGATGGATGGATGGATGAGTGAATGAAGCTCTGCCAGCAACGCGTGGAGCCGCCGAGCTTCTGCCGATGACGCTTGCGCCCGCTGCCTACAGCGAACAGCCACTCCGCCCAGCAGAACCCCAACACCACCATCAACATCCTTCCTCCGCCTACACATCCCACCCCCTTCTTCTGGTATTTTTATTAGATGGGAGTCTGATCTACGTGCCTACAAGATAAGCGAACGCCATCAAACAATAGACAGCGAAACCCGCCGTTCCCGTTTCGTCTCATCGTCAAACCTCCCCTCCCCGCCCCGCAACAACTATCGGCTCTCAAACCATGAGCTCCCATGTCGTGGTCCTCGACTCGACAGCTCGAAGGGCTACGGTGAAGACAGCCCCGGGAAAACACCTCACCGATATCCTCCAGGAGGCCTGCACAAAACTGGGTGTCGATGCCGATCAACATGGATTAAAGTAAGGCTCAGCTACCCTGACCTCTCCAAGCTCACCAGCACTGACGACGATTTGTCAAGGTACAAAGGTAAACAACTCGACCTTTCACTGGTATTCCGTCTCTCGGGACTCGCTTCTGGAGCAAAGCTGGAGTTGGTTCAGCAATCCCGATCGCCGTCCGTCGTCACCGTCGCGCTACAGCTGCCCGAATCCGAGGCACGAGGGGCACCAAGCAACAAGCGGCTTCTGGATAAATTCCCCAGCACGACAACGATATGGCTGCTGCTGCGCAAGTTCGAGGCTGGAGTCGCCGGGGGCGCGCCGACTTGCAATCTGACTGGGCGAGGCGTGCCCAGTGGCACTGAGGGGGCCGGAAGACTATACTACGAGACCCCGGTCGTTCAGATTCTGGAGCGCGAGCTCTCCTCCTTCACCGATCTACAGAAATCATTAGCACAGCTGGGCTTCAACAGTGGCAATGTCCTGTTACGGCTGAGTTTCCGCCGGACAGAGGAACCGTTGGAGGAGGCGATGGTCAAGATCCAAGACTACTTCAAACCTTTCGACGACGCAGTGCCCAAGACCGAAGAAACACCCGCCTCTACGGAGCAACTGTCAGAGGTCGATACCTCCAACAAGCAAGACGAGCCACAACAAGCACCCACCTCTGAACCAGATACTCCCTCAACCTCGGAGCCAACCCCTTCAACCGACTCTACATCTCCTGCCCCCGCCGCAGAACCCACCGAAGTGCCAACAGGCCTATCTCGACCTGTAACAGTATTCTCCCCACCATCCAACGCCACGCCCCAGTCCGCCCAAACCACCTACAACGAAACTGATTACATCCCTTCACTGGAACACGCCCAAGCCCACCAACGTCGTCTCAACGCCACCTCCCGCCCCCAACGACTCCCCACGGACGCCGAAATCGCCGCCAAAGCGGCCGCAGAATCGGAACGCCTCGCCGCCGTCTCCGAAGTCGACGTCAAAGTCCGTCTGCCGGACCAAAGCCAAGTCGTCGCAAAGTTCGGCCAAGAAGACACAGGGAAATCGCTCTACGACTTCGTCCGAACCTGCCTCTCCCCGTCATTCGCCAACGAGAAGTTCACCATCACGCACTTCCCCTCCGGCACCCCTGCACCCGGAAAACGAATCCAGAATGTCGTCCCGGACTCCACCCAGTCTCTGTTAATCAAGGATCTGGCTATGATCGGCCGTGTCCTGGTCAACTTCACCTGGGATGAGACTGCGTCGGCGACCGCGAGACAGAGCCGTGAGCTTTTGAAACCGGAGTTGCGGACACGTGCCCAGGAACTCAAGGTCGAACAGCCCCCCGAGGTGATTGATACCTCTGAGGACGTTAGCGGACCGAAGCCCGGAGGCGCGGGGGATGGGGGGGCCGGGAGAGGAGAGAAGCGGAAGCCTGGAAGCATGCCGAAGTGGTTGAAGTTGCCTGGCAAGAAATAAATCTGACGATAGATGCAGAGGTAGTGAACGGCCACCATGATTCATGTCAATTCATAATGTCTTGAGTATGTGTGAGGTCCAAGTATGGACCGTAGAAGCGTGAAGCACTATGTAGGTAGGACATACAAATTACTACCCTTAACAAACAAAGACATACATCCATCCCTACGAAATTATCACCACTACCCTCCAACGAACAAGACAATCTCAAGAACCCAACCACCCACCCCGACCTGAAACCAGGGGTATAGTAGTAGATTCCATAAATTTCAGTTTCTTTCTTTTGATAACCCCGCCGCCAGCCATGACCCACCACCACGAGGACACTGACAGACCAGCCAACTCGGGGGTAGATCAAAAAGCAAAGCAGACGGACAAGATAGACCCCCGGCCCAACGATTTCAACCAGAGTCAAAATCACCAGGCGATTACAGCCCGTCCAGCCCAGTCAGCCTAACTAGTGAGTCAGTCATTCATAGCATATCATTGCAAGTCCCGAGCATCCCATGTATAGTTAATGGATGGGGGACAATACAACACAAGGCCAGACCAGATCAGACCAGACCAGACCAGACCAGACCAGAGCACACGCCATCATCAATCATCACCACCCATCATCACCATATCCCATTATCCCAGCCAGCCAGCCAGCCAGCCTATGCACTTCCAGCACCCCACACGCCCAGCACAACCACCCATCTACTCATAAAAAAGAAAGATTCTATTTTTTTTTTATAAAAAAAAATTTGTTTGTACCGCATGGAAGAGAAAAAGAGGTATTATTTTGTTTTCTCAGCCATTGCAAAACTTTCATTTCATTTTTGTTGGTGGGGGTTGGATAGTTTTCGTTATCTCATTTTTTGGCTAATAGGAGAGAAAACTGAGAACAGGAAATGAAGAGAGAAAGTTTAGTGACCGAGACGGCGGGCCTCGGCGATGACACGCTGCATGTCCTCGACCTTGGCCTTTCCACGGGAGAAGGTTCCGAGCTGTGGAGATTTGTTAGCATGGGGTTTCTTGGGGGATGCGGATGAGGGAGGGGGTTGGGACTGGGTTGGTTGAGTGGTTGGTTGGTTCGGGTTGGGTGCTCGTTGCTCGTTGCTGGCTAACTGGCTGGCTTGGTCTTGTCTTGTCTTGTCTTGTCTTGCTCGTTCGGTCGATTGTCACGTATGATTTGTCGGTAGGTTGGTGATTGATTGATTAATTGACTTGATCCATTGTGTCTCAGGCGTCAAGTTCGTATGAAAAAAAAAGTCGTGTCGTGGTAAGTAAAAGGGCGAGCATCAAATCCCATCGTCGAAAATGTTGAGTACATCGTGGAAGAAATCATCGATATCGAGACCGTAACCAGACAAGACGAGCGAGCGAACATCCAACCGACCAACCAAGCCTTCAATCCAGCCTCCCTCTCTCCCTCCGTCCGGAGTGAAAAAAAAACGTACCCTCTTCTTCGCGAGCTTACGAGCGCGCTTGTCCTGAGTGTTTCTCAGGAGTTCGATGATACGACGCTCATAGGGGGCAAGACCGACAACCTCGCGGGCGATCTCACGAACGAAAGCCGTGCGGCGGGAAGACTGTCCCTTGGTACGGCTGACCCGGGTCTTGGGGGTGTTAAGGGCGGTGGTCTTCTATAAGATTGGAAACAAGAGATGTTAGTCTGTCTCCAGTCTGTCTGTCTGTCTGTCTGTCTGGGTGTTCGCGATTCCGTCATGGGGGGGGGGGAAAAGTGCATGTGTATGTCCATGTCCGATAAGATCCAGTCGAGTCGGGCAAATTGTCTTTTCTTCGTACTTCTCAATTCCTCCTCTTGATCATAAAAGGTTTCTTCTTGCAGAACTTTGCCGGACATGATATCCCCCCAGCCCTTTGCATCATGTATTTCCTCCCATTGCTATCCAGATACCCAATTTCATCGACTCGATTCGACTCGACCGGACCAAATTTTCCATGCGCAAAAAAAAAAAAAAAAAAAAACTGCAAATCTCAAATCAAGACAGGGGACAACGTACGTGGCCCTTGTTCAGCCCGACGATGATTCCGGAACGTTCCTGTGCCATCTCGACGGTTGGGACGACTGCGGGTTGGCGACGACGGTGGTTGCTGGGAGGTTGTCGAGTTCGAGGTCGGCGGTGCGGATGGGATCGCGATGGAGTTTGCTAGGTTTTGGTTGGCCGTTGCGGTCGTGCGTAGCGAGGGTAGGGCTTAGGGTTTTCGGGGCGCGGCGCGGCTTTGCTTTGTCACCCGTAGCCCCCTGCCTTGGTGCCTGAGGCGTCGGGAAATAGTATGGGGTTTGGATGGGATGGGGACAATGGAATTGTGGAGTCAATTTGGGTCTGTTCGTGTCACGTATCTAAAGCTATGCTATTTACTTATTACTACTACCGCTACCAGTATTGTCAAGTTGCTCCTGCGCTCATGTCCTCCCCCCAGGTCCCGATTCCACATCGACTTCCACGATCTTGAGAATGCCATCCCGCGGCTCGCATCTCTCGCCGTCCCGGCCTCGGAGACTATCTACATTCGAGTGGAACCCTCGCTCCCCATCTCTCTCCGCAGTAGCTTCGGCAGTCGTATAGCACGTCCCCTGGAAAGGCCCGATCTCCGCCATCTCCCAGTCACTCCCGGCCACCAAATTAGTCCTGCTGGGGTCCCCCTGCCACGGGCGGCGCACCGCAGGCTGATGGACGGCTTCGGATCCGGATCTATTGCCGGTGCTGACCGATTTCTTCATGAAGGTCGAGAAGCTCCCCGTGCTGATGCTCCTCACGAGCGTTTTCGCTTTTTGGGAGGTGTGCTTGTAGAAGGTGGGGAGGGCGGGAAGGCTGCTTGCGAGGATTCCGGATGTGATTTCCGCTGTACTATCTTGGGTTGAATACGGGGGGTTGTGTTAGTTACCTGGGCGAATGGCTGGGGGGGGAATTGGTTCGCAAGTAGGAGAGCTTGGGGCTTGGGAGTGGTGCTTACGTCCACAGGAACTCGGGAAACCAGTCATATGTCTTGTCGGTTGAGTATCTGTTTCCTATACTGACTGCGAGTCGCATCACGCTGGAAATGCACCCGCTATATCCCAGGGCAATTAGCACCATTCTCTTTGGTCATGGGAAATCCCGGCTAAAGGGAGAGTAATCGGCTTACAAGATGCCCGCTGCGAATATCGCCGAGATGCCTAGCTTCCTGCGCACCGTTATCTGCAGACGCCATACACACAAGATAGGCATCAGGAGCATGATGATATCGGATACGACGTTCACGATGGAGGTCACCAAGATCGGGATATTAATGTTGATGCAATGGCCGGGGACATCTTTATCCCAGATCCTGGCGCGGGGGGTGCATTCGCAGATCTTCACGACAGTGTCGGCGAAGTAGAACAGAAGGTTCAACGCGATGATGAGCTGGATGAACCAGAACGGGTTGCATTTGGGGGATGGGGCGAAGACCCGCACGTAGAGAAGGAAGATGGACAGCTTGGTCACGAAGATCAAGGGGCCGTAGAGGATCTGCGATGCGTTTGCCAGCTGTACGTGGTCATTAGCGACAGTGGGTGAGTAGTCCGAGTGTACCGATAGCCGGACGTACTTTGGAGAACTGGCGCAGGTCAGAGGCGTCTACTTCCCACTGATGGACGCCACTTCCATGTCTGTCCGCCTCGAAGGCGAGGATGGCGTATCCTATCAAGCCGAGCTAAGGATGTGCTTATAAGTGCATGGACCAGCAGGCGAGGACGGACGACATGTGAACGTGAACTCCATACCCAAGCCAGACAGCAAGTCACTAGTGAGACACAGAGGAAAGTTTAGCTTGGTGGCTTTTGTCCAACCTCGCATCCAAACCTTGGAGACGAAAGGTTTCAGATTTCAGATCTCACATACAGTCTTCCCACCCCGGGGCCTTTGTGATATGGAGTTTGGAATAGAGGCGCATGGCGATGCAGAGAGTGCTCACGGCGAGACACACCGTCTGGGTGGCTACATCCCACGGCTGTAGTGAGTGTCGGTAGCTGTAGGGAGGAGATATTGAGGAGTCGTCCATGACACTGCCCGTCACCGGAAGGTGGGAATGGATAAGCTAGCTGGTCAAGAAGACGGTCGGATCTGAGAAGCTGGGCTTAAGAGCATCTTTTTAGCAGTGGGCGACGGGGGGGCAGAAGTGACACATTCCCTTCCCTTTCCTTTCCTTTCGCAGGTTGAACAGCGGGCTGGCGTAACTGCACGGTTCTGGCCCTGCCATGCTTGCTTGGTTTCTTGCTGACAGGACGGGGCCATGAGGATCAAACACACGAGGGGCCGACATGACGCTGGCATGGCGGTACCCTGGACGCAAGGCAGCATCCGCCTGATGGAGAATGGCTGCGTGGCACGAGCATGAAACTGGGAGATGAGATGCCGTTGGAGGCGGTTTGCTTCTCAGTCTGCAGCGGCAGTGTGACCCCTCCCTTTCTTTCTTTCTTTCTTTCTTTCTTTCTTTCTTTCTTTCTCTTCCCCTGCGCGCCAGCCTTATCTGCAGTCAAGCGACAGGGCCAAGGAACATGAGATGCCCCGCGCATCGGATTTGAATCAGGACCGAGACCCAATCTCAGAATCAAGGGATAGGATGGCCCCCAATACGCCCTTGCAGAAGAGGATCGGCATTCCCACTCTCCCGGCCTGGTGAGCCTGGGTTGAACTCCATGGTCGCATCTGTCCTACGTGCCGGCTGCTGCCCATGCTGGCTGCCGGCCTCTAACGGTGCAACCTGCAGCAGAATCTTCCGAAAGTTGAACCGAGGCGGTGATACTCTCTGGTCGATTGCATGGGGGTTCCCACGGCACATATAGCAAACATCACTGATGCGAGTAAGACGGGGGCTCGATCGCCGTTTCTAGGTATATAATGCTCAGACGCCAATCAACGTCTCTCTCTGGTAACGGTATATTTCACATGTATGGCTTCATGGTGTACTGCATTCGCTTTTTACAGGGTGACGGCAAACAGCCCGTCAAGGCCTTCTTCCCAACTCTCCATCAACTCACCACAGAACACTTCCAGGGTAGACATCTCCAACGTCTTGTCTAACTCAGCACGAAGCTGAGAACCGTCCTCGCTGACAGAACCGGCCACGACCAAGTCGGTCAGGGAGCCCAGCACGCCGGGGGCAGAGATGTGGGATTTGAGCGCGCGAATGTTGGTCCGGATACTCTGATGGACCTGGCGCATCGAGTCGGCCAGCTTCTCGATCCGCTCTTTCGGGAGCTTGCCCTTGGTGCCCTTCCGCACAGCAATGGCGGAGAGAAGGGACACTGCCTTGAGAGAGTCGAGGGCGATGAAGAGGTCGTGAAGGTACCTCCAGGTCGGAGCAGTGGGGACATCACCTCCCAAGAAGAGTGCCGTGTTGGACATGACGGGAGAAACGCTAGCGTCGTTAACAGTCACATCCTTGAGCTTGGAGTCCAGCCATCCTTCTACTACGGTGAGACAGCTATCCACCTGCTCGGAGGTAACCGATTTAGACCCGTTCACGAACAAAGTCAATGTCAGGATGCTCAGATGTATCTTGGCACTTTCGATCTCCGCCGGGGTCATTTCAGCTTCCGCCTCGGGTCCCACAATATCCTCAAGACTTGGCAATTCAGGTTCAGCAGACACGGGCTTTTGAGCCGCCATAGATTTCAGGAGACCAAAGAGGTGGTCGGTCACTCTGGACGATTTGATCCATTGATCCTAGACTGGTCAGCCGCATCCGCAGCGCGGGACGGAAGGATAACTCACACGAGGCAGGGGTCCCAGGCGCATCCGCTCCTCGAATGTGGCCTGACCAGGGGCTTCGCAGTTCATGAATGCATCGAAGATACGCTGGTCCACTAGCGGCGCCGTGTCTCTCGCTGTTGGTTGCAGCCAAGTAAGCTTATGTTGAGCAGCTGGGATTGTTTGAGACTTACCCATCTCTTCGTAGCGACCCATGGGGTCTCCCCCAGCCAGTCTCTGCATGCGTCTCACATCCAGAGCCCACATTCTGCGGCAGATACTATTCTTAAGACGCTTCTGCAAATCAATGGTTCCTTGTATGTTTACGTAGCTTCCATAATCCAGCCCCTTAGACCGGTTCCTACCAGTTGTGACATCCGCAGTCCGATAGAAATTGAGAGCCTGAACAAACGCAGTCTGTGGGCTGAAGTCTTTGTACTCTGCGCCTTCAATTGGCGGGGCAGAGTGTGGGTGGATAGTTGCAAGGCGTGTGAAAAGGTTGTGGGCCACGGTCTCGTACTGTATTTGCTTGACTGAGAGTTTGCTGAATGTTTTCAAAGCAAGAGATGCGGCACCAAGACGAAGGTAGATCCGCACAAGTAGTAATAATGCCTGGTAGTTGTGAGGGGAATCGACTAAAAGACGTTCCAGGATGGCTGCCGCGCGAATCAGGGCAGTATCCTGGACATTTTCACTGCTTCCAGAAGCCCATGCGCCACTAAAGCGAATCAAGCTCATGGCCGCGAGTAGACACAAGTCATCGCTAGGCTGGCTCTCGATTGTCGAGGGAGCCTCGGTCTTGTCGGGGCGCTCAACTTCACGATAGACCTTCAAGCAGCGGGAAACATAGTCCTCAACCTTCTGCTTAGAAGCGTTGGCTTCGTCCGCCGAAAGCAGAAAGCAGTATTCGCACTTGAGAGCATTGATCGTTGCAACGTTGTTAGACGGGTTCTTTCCCTGAATTAGCAGATCAGCTTGCAGTCGCATCATACAAGTGCTTGTGGCTTACATCGGTCTCCTCTTGGGCCTTGGATAGATACTCCACAAGCTTCAAAAGAGAAGTCTTGTCTAGCGCTGGTGCATAGCTTCGCAAATCTCCAAAGCAATAAAGCTTGTGCTTGCCATGGTCGAAATAATCCTGGCAGGCAGAGACCAAGTCCTCGGCCTTCAGGTCACCCGACTGGAAAGACCAGTGGGTCATGTCAAGTCGAGCCAATCGTGCATTACGAGACTTCGGGATCGACGCAATGAAGTTATCGAGGAACTTCCGTGTCTCGGCCGTAGTGCTTGGGAAGTCGTTAGCGGGTACATGTACTTCGTCATATGATCCAGTCAGGGACCTACTCAGGAGTGTTGATCTTCTGGGTTGCAACGATCAGCAGGTGCCAAACGGCCCAATCATCGCGCTCTTGAAGCGCTTTTTGTTCAGCTTCATTAGTAGGAATTGCAAGCAAGCCCTTCGTGTATTCCAGGCCCTCGGTCCACATCTCGGCCTTCTCCAGGGCAGAAAGCTTATCTCCGACAAAGGCCCAGTCATTCTGAATGACGCGTGAGCTGATACCGAGATTCTCGCTGTCGAGAATCTTCACAATCTCAGCATTACGCCCTTGGGATTCGAAGATCTTGATCAGCAACAGCAACTCCTCAGCCGTTTGTATAGCTCTAGGAGGGCTCAGCAATTCTTTCTGTTTCGGAAGTTTCAAACATCACCATCATGCCACGAAAAGGTTATAGTTGCCCCGCAGAACAAGCGACAAGAAGTTGGGGAAGCCGGGACAAAACATACCGGATCGGAAGGAACACTCTCCGCAGCCTTGGACACCATCCGGTAGGCCAGCATTCCGAAAAGTTTACGGTCCGCGTCCGAGCTAGCCGCATCGACCGAAATGAGGTAACTCAGGAAGATAGCCCAAAGATGGTACTTCCTTGTCTTAGGGAAGTTGCTCTGGAGCGCCATGGAAGCCTATGCAACCCAACGACAACGCGATAAATCAGCCCTCATAAACCCGGATATACACATGTATAGAACACCACCGACCTTTTGCGCCGACTTCCAGTCGTCATCATCGAAGGCATTCTCGAACCACCGCATCTGAATATCCAGGTCCTTCGAGCTGGCCTTCGAGGCCTTCTCCCAGATGCTCCGCAGTGTCGCCTCATGGCCGGGCATCTTCTGCAGCGTCTCGTGGAGGATATCCAGCGTGTCGAGGTCCGTGGTGGCCGGCTCGGCCTTGCATAGTTCGAGGGTCTCCGCGACACCACGAGTGCGGTGCACTTCATCGGCGTGACTGAATAGGACGTTCGCCTTCCATGCCTGTTGAGCAATAGTACTGAAGTCAGCAGGTGTATTGGTGTATGTTTACAAATTTGCGGTAGTCTGGATGCTGCGCCTCTAGAGCTCGGGGACAGGAAATGGAGCTGACGACGTCACCTACCTTGAGAAACCGCGTGTCTTCGCCCTTCTTGATCCGCTTTTCAATCAGTTGAAGAGCCTGCTTGAGATTCTGGCCGTCAATGGCATCTTGGATCTGCTTGTTCCGGCGCTGGAACACGGCGTCATTGGTGGACATGGTGGGTGGAAGTCCAGGCGGAGCGGATCGGTCAGTGTCGATTGATGTGCGTCCGGGGGGGGGGGATGATCGAGGCGTATGCTGCGCGGTCAGGCACAGCACACGGTGTGCGGGGAAGATAGTAATAGGGCGAGGATGAGGGGAGAAATTAAGGTGGCTCGCCATCCTTTATCGGCTTTCTGCTGAGTTTGGTGGGCGGGGAAGCTCATCTGGAAGGCGGTCACGGCCTGGAGACGCGATCCCCATCGCATCGTCGACCGTTGGCAACGGGGTGCTGGATGCTGGGATGCTAGATTGCAGGAATAGATATGATATTTTCGGGTTTTGAACATGATAGTCAGATCTTGATTAGTATGTAGCGTAACGGAAAGTTGTTCGATGGACGTCTTGTGTCATAGATGCCGGCTATATATTTCCGGCACTCTGCCTAGTACTTACCATGCCGCCTTGACAAACGGGGATGCAATGCATTGCACAAAACCTAAGTATCCAGTACTACTATCCAATACTACACACTAATATACAGAGACGGACAAGCCTACAACCCGAAGAATAGAGGAAGGACACATAGAATACAAAGACTGATAATATACAAGCATCAACCACCAGCTCGAAAGCAGAACCCGAGGCATAGAAACGCCAGGGAAACACACCCAAACGAGACGGATTTTTCTAACAGACCAGGCACTGGATCAGCAAAGATCAAGACTTAATGCTGGAAGTAGCAGTTAGTCGTCGGATGATAACCAGTGCCAGTGCCATCGTCATTAAACTTTTGCTTATCAAGGGACCAAAACATCGGAGGTCTTGTCTCTTGAACCGTGACTGGGATCGCCGGCAATCCGTGTCTATCCCGGTTCTCTAGCCCCGAACGAAACCAGATACCTCATCAAGGGGAGTACAGAATTAGTAGGAGCATGAGTTTTGGTCTTAGCATGGGGGAACGACCTGCAAAAACAGGCCGATAACGCAAGGACTTTGGCGGTGCCGATTAGTTTCGAGACTTGGTGCAGTACATGGGACCCGAGAAATTCCTCGCAATAATTTCACTACTTTAGGATAGATCCCTAGGCTTGTTTCTTTTGCGTCAACTGTACCATGGTCAACTTATCATACCCAAAACGAATGCAGGGCCAGTCTTGATTCGGGCAATTCGCCTCCCATGCCTGCGTCAACAGGCTACAGGTGGGTTGCTGGAATCAAACGGTAGGTTAATAAGTCTCACTCACCCATTGCTTCTTACAATCCCGATAGGCCCTACGCGGATGCTAGTCAGTAACTGTCACGAAGAATCTATAGCAGCGAGGCAGATAGATCAGGACGCTACATTAGTTGCCAGATAGGCATGGAACGACATCAAATGTATCATATCAAAGATAAAAAGAGTCGGGAGGGGTCTGGCCATAGTGACCCGATAAACAGCGGGACAGATCCGAGCACTTACTGAAAGTAATCATGGCACATCTCCTTTTCGAAGGCATTACGCTTCATACACCTAAGGCTGCGGTCCGCGAAATCCTGACAGGGATCATAGTATTCACTTGCACTCTTGCTGAAAACAGGAAAAACGATCAGTTACAGAAAGTCACATGCCACAGACGGAAAACTTGATCAGGGACAGTGGCCATGTTAGGTATCCTACTCTCCATGGATTCGAAGGAGGCGAGGGCATCCGTGAAGCAAACAAAGGATTCAAAAACCGGCTGCACCCCAGGATCGAACGCACAGATAGTGAAAAGACGGTGAGCAAGAAAAGGGACAATAGAAAACCTAAACATACTGGGTGAATTTCTGCTCCACTTGCCCCCAGGCATTGGGATGGGTTTGATCCGCCGAGGGTGGCTGTTGATTTGATTGGGAGGACATCGTCCGTGATAAGTCAGGTACAAGTAAGTAAGCGGGAAAGTAGAACCCTTCAGGAATTAGGCCGGATATACGGGATTGACTGGAGCCGACCGGAAGAGCGGGACAGACAGCGGACGATGTTGTAGGTGTTGTTATTGATGGTGTTGGTGCTGATGATGAGGATAAAGTACATGGACTGGACTGGACGGAGGAGGCCGGAGGAAAATCCGGACCCGCCAGTCTTGGCGTGGAGATCCTGCCGGCCTTAGCAGTTGTAGCTTAACCAAGCAGTGAGTAACCTAGTTGGCTGTGAGATAATTTATGAGATATGATGGTGCCTGTCTGGGGTCGTTTCAGATCAAGCTGGCCTATGGTTCCTGCAAAGCCAGTTCTTCTTGAATTTGAATTTCGCAGCCGAGTCTCATCAATAGTATTCTGGAAAGATGGACATCGTACAGTACGCTGTAACAGTGTAACTACTCCGGTCTTCGGCCGTGCGCACCCTGCCGTCTAGACTTTTGGGGGGGGGGGGTTCCACCCCATCTGCTTGTTGTTCCAGAAACAAAGGAGCTCTCCGTCACCAGTATCCAATCTCAATCCCGCCGGCTGTATCAACCATCAACCTTCCACCCGCCGCCAGAGTGTTTACCCCTCTCTGGGATGGCGTTTCCTGGACGCATTACATCTTCTTCTTCTCTCTCCCCCCCTCGTACCGTAGGGAAAACCCCGGACAACCAGGACCATGGCAGCCACAGTAGACGGGTGTGAATCCCGTCGATGTCCTGTTACGAAAGCCTCACAATATCGCTCTTCTTGTGATGTGATACCAACCAGGCTGACTGACACTGACTTGATGAGGTGAAGACAAACCGAATTGAAGAAAGATGGAAATACCTATAGATAATAGAGGGAATGCTTGAGGGCAACTGGCTGGCTGGTCTGCGGTGGTGCGTGGCCTTTGGCTGTGAGAGGCAAACCCCGCTTGGCAGCATACTGCCTGCCCCGGCCTTTCTTCACATGTGCGGACGGGATAGAGTCAGTCAGTAGGTAGTAGCAGCCGTGAAGAAGACCGATAAAGAACCAGCCATTGCCTATCAGATGATGTCAAGACCCATAATCTAGATCCATATTAGGATTCCACCTCTAAATTTGGTTCTCCATCACACCCGTCTTGCAATGAAGAGCGAAGGGTTCTGCCAACACATGACCTAGAGATACTCTACCATGGAGAGGGGTGAGGAGGGGTGAGGAGGGGTGGAGGTTTTACAGTGAAGGAGTGTTGTTGATGATGCTGATGCTGCTGCTGATGCTGCTGCTACCTCCGCGGGCGTCGGGACTCCTGCCGCTAATGCCGGGGAGTGAACAAACCCATATTCCCTCTACATCCGACTTGTCTTGGGATACGAGGTACACTAGTCACTCCTCATGCCTTGAGCCGGGGGCAGACATCAAATGACTTCGGTCTATGCGCACAAGGGCAAAGGAGCCAAAGAGCGCCCGCGCAAACCGGGCCTAAGGAGGAGGGGGCCTTGCGGTATCTGATAGCCGCACCGCACCGACTTGCTGATAACCTACCGAGCTCGACAAATGGATCCCGCCCGATCCTAATCCCAAATCGAGTCAAAAAGTCCCATCCAGCAGCAGGCCAGCGGAGCCTAGCACGCAGGTCGCTGACATCCCTCCCTCATGGCGCCCACACTTGGGGATCTAGCCAAGCCGAGCGTCAACTGGTGCCCGACCGACCATGGGCATCACCTATCGAATCACCCGTGGCTCATATCCCAAACGGGTAATGGAGTCGCATGTCCCAGGCTCGATTTGGCGGAAGAACATCCTTGCGCGGTGGCCGCGACCGTGCCGACTCGAAGGTTGCTTGGGGAGAGTTTCAGGAGAAGATAGCAGACGTGCTATACTGCCGTGGCGCTATCGGCCCAAGGGACAGCGCCCGTAGCAACCACCTGGACAGGTTTCCACCGAGGCCTTCTCAGCGATGTGAACTCTCGAGCCAATCAAGTGGCCAGCGATCTTCACAGCAAGGTTGTCTTGGTGGAGCATCAACTCCTGGTGCCAAACCGAACATAGGAACAGTTTCCATGGGCTATCACCACGGCTCCCTCTTTTGACCCACAGTGGCTAGGGATGTATTCACATCGCTGTGCCGATGTCACAATGTCCCAATGTAACTCGGGGAGGTCCAGTGGGGCCCGGCCAATCCTCAGGGACTGCAGTATGGAGGGTGAAGGAACAGAAGCAGGCAGATAACAGGAAACCCACTCATTGAGCAAGAGTGTACGTACCTCCATCTACCTCCATCGTAACCGTCACCCCGTCATATTGATGTATCCATAACAGTAGGTACCTGTGAATGAGGCCAGAGGCAACCACCTGTACATTCACTGTTGATAGCCGCTCGGTGGTTCATTTGCTAGGTACTGTTGCCATCTGCAATTAACTTAGCAAATTCACAGGAGCTTGGCCCCTCCATTCAGGGTATAAAGACCTTATCACGCCTGCGTTCTTCCTTCCCCTTTCCCATCCATCTTCTCAAGTGTGTCCAACACTCAACACTTATTGGGTTTATACCATCCCTTGATATCTCATAAGAAGGTTTGAGACACAACTGAAGAGTAAGCCTCATCTTCGGATACTGTCGTGTGTATGAGCCACATTGCTGACAAGATATCTTCTCAAAATACAGAACCATGGCACCTGTGGGAACTTACACGGCCACTGAAGCCCCCGTCCTCTCCCAGCCTGTGCAGCTGAACGGAAAGGAGGTTGACCAGATGAACAAGGCAATCACAGTGCCACTTGAGGTCTCTTTCGACCCTTCCAAGCATCTCGCCCATACCCATCCTTCGAAAGTGTATGCCATGAAAGAGCTTGGATACTCTGACACTCGTGGTGTTTCCCCGATTGGTGTCTCTGAGCCCTTCCCGCTGTTCTCGACTGAGGCCATCATGCGCATGCGTGAGGAGGTCCTGAGTGACAAAGTGTTCGCAAAGCACAAATACTCCAGTGACCTTGCTCAGTGCCAGTTGCGGGGATATGCAGCAGAGTGAGTAGCCTCAGACTTCCACTATCTGGCGATGGTCCTGACACTTTGGAACAGCTGTGCACCATTTGTCTATGATGCCTGGAAGAGCCCCGAGACCCTGGCTATCATCTCGAAGATTGCGGGTGTTGATCTGGTGCCGGCCATGGATTTCGAGATCGGCCATGTGAATGTCTCCGTCAACAGCGAGGAGGAGAAGAACAAAGCCCTCACGGCAGCCATGGAGAAGGCCAGACGTCAATCCGACGAAGGAGTCGCGGGATGCGCTTGGGAGGATGATGACCCGATTGTGGACTGGCATACCGACAGCTACCCCTTTGTCTGCGTGACCATGCTCTCTGACTGTCAGGACATGGTCGGAGGCGAGACAGCACTTCGAAAGGCAGATGGTGAGATTGTGAAGGTTAGAGGTCCGCAGATGGTAAGCCAAAGACCACTACTTCATACACGAACAAGGCTTATAAGACAATCCAGGGATCGGCCGTGATTCTCCAGGGAAGGTACATCGAACACAAGGCTCTCCGCGCTCTGGGAACGACTGAGCGAATCTCGATGGTGACCTCGTTCCGACCTCGTGCTTCGGCCATCAAGGACGACACGGTTCTTACCACAGTCCGCCCCATTTCGGATCTCGGCGAGCTGTACCATCAGTTCGCGGAGTACCGCTTCGAGATTCTCGAGGACCGGCTCCGTGAAGCCACCCGGTTCATGCGGGACCAGAAGCGGGCTAACCGGGCCTTTAACACGAAAGCCTTGAAGTCGTTCATCCGTGATCAGATTGATTTCTTGGAGCATATGGACAAAGAGGTTGTTGAGGATGACAAAGTCATCAAGGGTGTCATTGATGATAGCCACTTGGTCTCGGAGGACCTCAAGCTGCAGCGATCCCGCAAACGCGCTTTTGTCGCTGTGGACTAAACCGGCCGGCTGGTGCTACATCCGAGGCTTGTGCGATGCTTTTTGTTTTGTTTTGTTTTGTTTTGTTTCTTTCTTTCTTGTAGGAAAATTTGTGGCAGCTCTCGACATGTCGCCTTGATGTATTTTCTTTCATGTCTTCTATTTCGCGCTGGGTGCTATCGGACTAGCGTGTGACAAGGTCGCAATTGGGCCACGAGAATTTTCGGTTTCTTTTTGTTGTTATGCAGTCATGATGGCGTATGTGTTGCATGGGATATTTGAATTCATGTCTTTACTGAGAAGGAATAATTCAGTGATGCAGTGCTGGCAGATCGCTTTATTCCCTTAACATTGTTTAGTAGACGAAGTAAGTAAGTCTAACTCTCTTCTTCTCAACCAGCATGGCCGATCCCCCTGTGCAACAAAAACCCCCTCACTGGAGGCAGCCACCGAATAGCCGGATTCTAATTTGAACGTGTCAAAAGAGCCCGACAAGGTCGGGGTGATGCTAGATAGTGCCATTGTACATTTCCGGGCGCCTGCTAAGCGCCTTGATGCAACATATGCGACCAAAGGAAGGAGCGATGGGCCAGAATCATGTCCGGGCCTGGTGAACTACCAAAAGCTGGCCATGAAGCGACGGGTCGAGCCCTGTGGGAGGTAAGCGAATGAGACCCGGAGGAAGTAGTCTCTAGTTGGATGTACGATAGGTGCGAGACTCACCTTGTTGCCCAGCGATGCTTCAGAAGGTGGGAGATCTTATCAGCATCGCGAGTACTCGGCACATACTCTCAGCTATTGTCACAGTGAGAGAGAGAGAGAGAGAGAGAGAGTGGAAGGACAGAGTGGGCGAAAGAGGGGGATAAGTAAGAGAACAGTACGGAATAGCAGTGCTTGGGCACGGAGGGCTTTCTTATTCTTAAGCGTGGTTGGTGGTTGATTAGTGGTGCCCTGATTTTGTCACATCATTTTCCTGACCAGGCTGGATGCTGGGAACACACGCAGGCATGGCTATTGCCACGGTAGAAGCGCCCGACGTCCATGCAGTTGGATCCGTCATATTTTGCAATCTGACCAGGACACCAAGAAGCATCTCACACAGTCAGCTTCGAGCAGCCTCTCAAAGCCCCAGGAAGAGCCAGCCATGTGGATGCACTGGTCTGGAAAGGGAAACAAATATTGGCCAACATGATCGAGTGCGGTGGTCATTCAGTATCTACCTACACAGTAGATCGTGAGTCCGGTCGGTGAAATCCACGATACTAGCTGGGAAATTTGACTGGTGCATGCTATCTGGTACCTGAGGGAGGTAAGTAAGTACAGTAGTTATGTGGTACCGTACACTGCCCGCCGGTCGAACGCGCTCCCGATGAAGAAGTACCAATATCTATCTCTCTAGTCAGTGTAAGTAGGCGATTGTTGGATACATCCAGGGTAGTGAGTGGGGAACGGAGTGGACTCGGAGGCATCCACGACCCAGAATCCAGAATCGACAATTCGATGGATCGTGTTTGCTCGGTTTGCGCGCGGATGGATTCCCCGACGAGAAAATCATGCTCACGACTCCTCGTCCGGCTGCCCTGTCCAGACCTTTAATTCCGTCTTTGCCTCTGGTGTCTGACTCTTTTCAAGCCCGCGAGCCAACTCCTTCCGGCACTCGCCTTGCTCCTCCCAGCGCTTCGCGGGGGGTTGGTTCCTTCTAGTGCTACTCGGGCCCCAGCTATGCCGGCAATTCCCTCGTGTACCTGAATTCCATACATACCTTACCTACTACCGCCCCTTCCTAACCCGCCGCGAACCGTTTACCTTCTATCCTCAAGACGGCAGTCGATCGCGCCATATACGCGGTCACGTTTGCGACCTTTCATCCGATCCGGCCATTCTACGCAATGTCCAGATCTACTCCCGCTGGGGCTGCCTTGAGCAACGGCTCCGATAAGACAAACGCGCCAAAACTGAACACTGGCGACAACTCATCCGGAGTAAGCTGTCCCACGCGCAGACTGGGCTTTGAGATGCTGACACGATCTCTCCCCGCTAGCTCTTCCAAACGTTGCAGGGCCATGTCGACGATATTCGTTCTCTCATACAATGTGGCGTCTGTATCCGACCTCTCTACGAACCGTACACCCTTGCCTGCGGGCATACCTTTTGTTACAGCGTTAGTGAACCGGGTGTCTAGGGATACAACACGGGCGAGATCTGACTTTACTTTCTAGTGCCTCACCTCGTGGTTCGTCGGTGGGAGGCAAAACAAGACCTGTCCAGACTGCCGGGCCCCGGTGAAAGCGCAGCCCGCGCCCGCTTATCTGGTCAGTTCTGGACAACTGATCAGTCTGAACGGACAGTGAATGAATACTGACTGATTCTCCGAAGGTCCGCACCATTGTCCAAATGTTTACGAGCCGTCCCGAGCTGCTTGATAAGGGCGAGACTACAGACGAACACCGACGACACCAATGCGATGAAGCGGAGCGGTTGGAGAAGGACAAGCAGAGTACACACCCGAGGGAGGGAGGTCTATTTCGGGGCACGTTTAATAAGTCGAGACTTCCACCTGCGCAACCTATCGTGGACCTTGAGGACAACGTTGTCCGTTGCCCGCGATGTTCGTGGGAGCTTGAGGAGGATGCAAACTGTGCGCAATGTGGATACAGACAGGACGATGATTCCGCTGTGACGGACGGCTCTGATTGGAGTGATTCAGAGGAGAATTCTGAAATGACGGACTACGTGGATGCGGATGAGCTTGAAGATGGATTCGGGGACGCTGACGATTATGGCTGGGATGAGTATCGTGATGGCCCTCGCCTTGACCTGCGAACTGCCGAACTCGACCAACTTTACCGTCAATGGTACGGCCTTGCGCCGGGCGATCTCCCCCCGCCGCGCGTACAGGGACCCCCTCGCCGGCAGGACTACTATCACTGGCCCTCCGGCGTCTCTTCAGCTCATGAAGAAGATAGCGAAATGGATGATGAGGATGATGAGGATATGGATTCATTTATTGATGACGATGTGGAGCGCGACGACTACTCCGAGTCAGACAGTTCTACGGTAATCGGGCCTCATGAATTCTCTATCACTCACACGACAATTTTCGGAAGCGAGTCATTTGACGAGATGACCGACGACAGCGAAATTCATGATGATGAGAGCCATGATGATGATGAGGATGACGACGACGACGACGAGGATGATGAACCGGTCCGGCCGCCTGTAAATGCCATGCGACGCCATCGACCTCCTGTATATCGTGTGCCTTCAAGCTCCTCAGATCGCGAGAATGAGCCGTCTACTAGGTCTTTGAGTAGGTCTGCGAGACCCTCCGGTTCTAATACTCAAGCTCCCTCTCGTGGAGACTACAGAAGTGCCCAGCAGCCGTCTGTCGGATCATCCTCTGCGAATGCAATCAGTGTGGACGACGAGTCGGAGGAGGAACCTGTACGACCGACGAGGAGGGCAAGGGGCAGGGGCCATTGCCGATACTCAGCCCGCTAAATCAACTTTCATCTACGACTTTAATGACGACTGATAGCAACGAGTCCTTAGTTGTTATCCTTTCTCTTTGGTGCTTCGGTGCCACACTTGAAAAGTGGACTTTGCCCTTTACAACTGGGGTGTCATCTTCATTTCGGCAATCTGCGCTGGTGCTTTTGTCGGATCGTCATGGAAAAGAATTAAGGGATCAATCATATTTTATCTTGCGGGTGTTAGGAATCCTTTGTATCATTCAACGGCGAGATTCTAGCTTTTCCTACAAGCCATCTCAAAATACCCCCCCTTGTTTTGTTTGTTCTGTTGATATCTACTTATACTGCATATTCTACCTGCGCCTTGGGTAGAGGTGGGTTTATAGCGAAGTTCGGTTCCGTTTGAGTGCTATCGGCATGTATTATCAGGCATCTCAGGGCTTTTGTTTCTTCTTCTTCTTCTTCTATTCTAGATTGTGTGAACACGCGGTGTCTGATTGACTGGACTGATTGATGCCAACGCCCAAGTTGTCTACCGGAAGGAGTCGTGACCACCTCAGCCAACTATCTAGGTACCGTCGTAGATAGTAACTTACCTATATCCCCCCCCCTTCCTCCCTTCAAGTGCCAACCCCAGCCCCAGCCCCAGCCCCATATCGTATCTGCATAAAATTAGAACACTCCCAAAGCCAAATCCAGCTAGCTAGCTAGCTAGCTAATCGGATATCCGCCAGCGCCAACAACAGATCACATGCATTTACATAGTATTACTTACATCGCGGCATCCATGTCAAATGACCGACATATGTACGGAGTACTCTGTACATACTACATACCCTGCCTTCCAACACCAGGCTGAGTTCCCAAGAGACACTAGTACGAGACACTCCGTACTCCGTACTAGATATCTAGAATTAGATATCTGGCTTAATTCCCCGCCACAATGGAGTTCGGCACCCGGCTGTTCCAATCCGCCTTCAGCTTAGTCGCCGACTTAGCGCCCGGCTTAATGAGCCGCTGCAGGATTCATGTCCGGCGCGTAGTTATCTAGTATCTAGATAGAAGATAGAAATTAATCCCTGGCGGGTGGGGTTTTTGGCCCCTAGATAGATAGATAGATAGATAGACTACACTACTGTAGGACTAGATTGGGGGCGGTGTTGGCTCCCTCACTTCCCTGCTTTGCGCGTGCTCAGCGATGCGGGTGGCTGAGATAATGTGAGCTATTTTTATAATGCCCGGAAGCATGCTACAACTTGAACTTAATTCTACAATTCTACATCACTGGCATGGTGTAGAGCTCAATTGGGACATCCATTCAAAATCTCGTAGGTAGAAAGTATATACTAAACCGGCTGAACCACGGCATCAAGGATGGAAGGAAGATGAAAAAAAAAAGAAACAAACCTTCTAAGGGGGCGGCGAGGGGCGAACTTTTTCACAATAAAAAGAAGCAGGATGCAAAGACCGCCGCACCGGCCCGGGAATAAGATACATGCATGATAGATAGATAGATAGATAGATAGATGGATGGATGGATGGATGGATGGATATCGATACAAGACGCCATTTAACAACATTTCGTACCGCCAGCGCCGCGGGGGATTCGGGAAATCAGTTGGGCTTATCGGAGATGTATGGCACCTCAAAGACAACGGCGCCGTTTCGGCCGTCGGATGAGGTTCCCTCGTGGAAGTTGTTGGCGAAGCATTTGAAGCGACCCGTGCGGTGTTCTTTGCCCACGGCGGCTACGATGCATAGACCACGTGGTTCGGGGCCGGAGGGTTGGGATTTGGATTTGGGTTTGGATTCTGATGGGATCTGGTTGGGTTTGGCGGTATCTGCGCGACGCTCGAAGACGGCAATGCCGTTAATGACGCCCTTGACGACGGGTTCGGCGTCTTCGCTGGTGCCGTCGGGAGCCCCGTCGACAGCCATGCGATCCGGGCTCGTTGGCGTATCGAATTCGAGGGTTTGCTTCAGTTGGGCCGATGGGGTATCGGGGGTAAGCGGGATGGTGGAACCTCCTCCAACAGGTCCCAGTGGGATGATCGCCTTCTTATCCTCCGAGATCTTCCATGCCCGGATGAAGCCATCCCAGCTGCCGCTGAGCACAATATCCGTTCCAGGAACAGTAGCCAGGGCAGTGATCCAGCGCGGTGTGCGGCGGAGGTGGCGTGAGTTGGCGGCCGCGACGGTCTGGTCGACCTCGGAGGAGAGTTCGTCGAGTGGAGGTAGAGGGTCGAGGCCGTGCGCGAGTTGAATGGTATATACAGGCTTTTTCTTGTGAACGGACCACAGAGAGAGAGCCCCCGAGTCCGATCCAGTGATGAAGTGGTTGGGAGGTAAAGGTGCGATGCAGTCGATGTTGTTTTCTTGGTAAGAAGCGCTCTTAGAGCCACCACGGAAGATCAACTGTGACTCCTCCACAACCTTCCATAATCTGGCCGTGCGATCGCGCGCTCCCGCACTGACACACTCGTCAAGAGCCATGGCAGCAACCGCCGGTACATGGTCCTGATGTCCGAATAGCGTCTCAACATAAGCATGGCCGGAAGTGCTGAGAGACCAGGTTTTGATCGTCCGATCATACGAACCAGAGAATAGCTGCTCTCCGGAACTCATGGTGGAGATCTGGCGAGCAAAGGCAAGGCCACAAACAGCGTCACGATGTTGAGTGAATGTTTTCAAGGGGGTCAAAGTTTCCGTATCCCAGATGATAAGTTTGTGGTCCTCTCCTCCCGTCACCACAAACTTGCCGGACGGCGACACGGCAACAGACAAGATATTCTTGGTATGGCCGTGTTCCTCGCCAGTCTCGGCGACCTTTCTCATACCCCTCACGAATCTCACTTGCTTCGGCTTCCTCCGTTGTGGCCGCGGGGGGCGCTTGGATGTCTCTCCATTTGTTGTAGGGGTTGTGGAACCGGGTGTAGCGAGCTCCCATTTGATCAAGGTCCTGTCCTTCGACACTGTGTAAACGTAGGGCGCATGGACCGCAATTGACGTAGTCGTTTGTGTGTCTGCCCGGAAAAAGGTATGAGGAGCCGTCGAGAAAGCCAATTCGGAAGCAATGTGGCGATAAGTGCGTCCTTTGAATTCGTCCTGGGAACTGTGTCAGCTCTCGGCGAGCGCAAAAGCCAAAGGGAGAGTGCAGTACATACCACATCCTCTTTTAGTCTCTCGGCGATCAAGTCTCGATCAATCTCGGCGGCATCGAAGCCAAAGTCATCCACCTCATCCCGGACATTTTCCAAGTATCTCTCCGCAAGCTTCAATCTCCGGTCTGCGGCCGTTTCTCCATCGTCGGATTCTGAGCCACTCTCGTCATCCGAAAGTCCAGAGGCAGCGCTCAGCTCATCTTCATCAATATCGCTCCCTGAGTCCGATTGATCTCTATCCTTCTTCTTGCTGCCACCCCTCGCCTTCGCGCCTCCGTCTGAATCGACTCCTCTTTTTTTCGTCGCGGGGGCTCCGGCGCGGTCTTCTCTCTTTCGCTTCCGCTGCGAGGCCGGAACGGTAAAAAAAGACGACATCACCCAATGTTGTTGAGCAAAGCTCCGGGCAATAAGGGCGGGGTAAAAAAGAGGGTTCAAGAGGGGAAGACGCAGACAAACTGACCGACCCGATGGAGATACTCGATTTCTCACTTTTTTCTGCCGGTGGTCTGTGCAGGCGGAAGGCGCATCAATATTACGCCTAAATGATGACTCAGCAGGGAGCTTCCGCCTCAGGCATTCAGGCCGTGGTAGCCGCAGCTCCAGGCAGTCAAAGCTCCGCGCGGCGTGTGATGAGGTCTTGGTTGTCATCCTCCCATCTCCTCTTCCATTATCACCTCCCCTTTTGATTTTTCTCAATTCAAGCTCACAATAATCTACCGCAGACATGTATGTCCCTCGCTCGATAAATCGATGAAAACCCCGCTCACTGATAATCGCGCACAGGGAGGTTCTATTGGGTATCACTGGCAAGGACTTCGTCATTCTGGCGGCTTCCAAAGCTGCCATGCGAGGCCCCACCATCCTCAAGGCGGAAGATGATAAGACGAAACAGTTGAACAAGCACAGCCTCATGGCATTCTCTGGAGAGTCCGGAGATACCGGTTCGTACAGCCTGCTCAACCATAGCGTCGCAGAGCTTCCAGCAACCACCTTGCTAACCCGAAGGTCGGATAGTACAATTCGCGGAGTACATCCAAGCCAACATCCAGTTATACACGATGCGGAATGATACCGAGCTAGGTCCGAATGCAGTTGCCAACTTTGTCCGGGCGGAAATGGCACGGAGTCTGCGGTCCCGGAATCCCTACACTGTCAACCTTCTGCTGGGCGGCTTCGACCCCATCACGGAGAAGCCCCATCTATACTGGATTGACTACCTGGCCTCTTTGGCCCCTCTGCCATACGCTGCTCACGGCTATGCGCAGTAAGTGTGATCGCCGACGTGCAGGCGCCCGGCGTCGTGGAAACCTATACTAAGACGATCTAGATACTACTGCCTTTCCACCCTCGACAAACACCACCACCCCGACATTTCGCTCGAAGAAGGAATGAAGCTCTTGGAAATGTGCACGGACGAGTTGAAGCGCAGACTACCGATCGATTACAAGGGTGTATGTTGCCAGGATTCCTTGCTCTCGCAATGTGGCATAGGTTAGCTGACAATTTCCAGGTGCTGGTGAAGGTGGTGACCAAGGACGGCGTGCAAGAGGTAGAATTTGATAATAACAGGATCGTCAAGAGTGCCTAATGTGTTGTATCATACCAATGATTCTTATGTTTTCGGTTTTACGGGCCTTGGGTTTCAGAGAAGATCGGTTTGCATGCAGGGTATTTCCATGACTTTGACCGAAACGTAGACTTGCCTATCATCCACTTTAGGTAGAGTCTGATAGCAATGACCACTTGAGATTCCTTCTTTTTACCCCCTCCTCCCACCCCCCTTCTGTGCTGTCGTAGGCAAATATAAAATCCAAAAACCATACGGAGTACGGGCAGCAGTGGTTGCTGTCTCCACCGCCCTATGACGCTGTGCGCGGATGTTTGTACTGTTTGCATCCCGCGGTCTGCATCGCGTCCGTCTTCGTATTTCGCATCCCGCAATACCAGCAGCTTTGCTCCCCGTTTCAACACCCCCGTTCCCCCCGTCATGATGTCTAAGAGACAAGCTGAGCTGTCGCTCGAGGATGAGCTGGCCGCAGGCTCTCCTGCCTCGAAAAAGCCGCGCGTGGAGGATGAAGACCTACCGGAAGACGATCTGCGCCGTGAAGCTTTGCCGATTCGCCCGGGAAGTGGACGAGAGTCGGAGGAGCACGAACACAAAGGACAAGATATACTTGCAGCTGCTGACCAAGAGCGCGAGGAGCTAGAGGAAGCAGCACAGGACGATGAATTTGACTCCTCCGATGTTGACGGTGATGCACCGGTTATCGCAGCCCCGAAACGTCAGAGCGCACCCATGGAGGGATACGGCGACCTGTATCTCGATACGATCAATCGCGGAATTCTCGACTTCGACTTCGAAAAGCTATGCTCAGTGAGCTTGTCAAACATCAATGTCTATGCCTGTCTAGTGTGCGGCAAATACTTCCAGGGTAGAGGCCCCAAGTCGCATGCCTACTACCATGCGCTTGAAGTCGGACACCATGTCTTCGTCAATATGGGAACAAAGAAAGTTTGGGTTCTCCCGGAAGGATATGAGGTCAAGAATAAGAGCTTGGACGATATCAAGTACGTTGTGGACCCGTCCTACTCCAAAGAAGAAGTCGCGAAGCTAGATAAGGAGGTCCATGACGCATTCGACCTCGCTGGGAGTCGCTATAGACCTGGTAGGGACCCCGCGCATGTTATCACTTGTTCAATATGCTGACTTCACCTAGGCTTCGTGGGAATGAACAATATCAAGGCCAACGATTATCTGAACGTGGTGGTCCAGCTTTTAGCCCACGTTTTCCCCATCCGCAATTACTTCCTGCTACATGAATTTCCTCAACCAGGTACACCTCAGCTAGCCCTCCGCTTTAGTACCCTCGTCCGGAAATTGTGGAATCCCAAGGCTTTCCGCTCCCATGTGTCGCCGCACGAGCTGTTACAGGAAATTGCCATGCGCTCATCCAAGCGTTTCACCCTTACCCAGCAGTCCGACCCGGTGGACTTTCTTTCCTGGTTCCTAAACAACCTCCACCTCTCGCTTGGAGGCTCCAAGAAGCCGTCGAAGAACCCTACAAGTATCGTTCATGCTTCCTTCCAAGGCCATCTGAGGATTGAAAGCCAGGCTATCACAGCCCATTCAGATACCCAAAACGCGCGACTGGTGTTCACTGAATCCGGCACAATCAACAGCCAAACGACTCCCTTCCTCATCCTCACCTTAGATCTACCACCTACACCCCTCTTCCAGTCCGCCAACCGAGAATCCATCATCCCACAGATCCCTCTAACCACCCTCCTGAACAAGTACAACGGGATCACCGCGTCCGAAAAGCTGGCCCACAGAGTTCGACACCGCTTACTTCACCCCTTGCCCCCCTATCTCCTGTTCCACATCAAACGATTCAGCAAGAACCGCTTCGTTTCCGAAAGAAACCCCACAATCGTCACCTTCCCATCCCCGCGCTCTCTGGACATGTCACCCTATGTCGAGCCCAACCCGGACATCTGGCCACCAGGCGAGCCGATCCTTTACGATCTCGTCGCCAACATCATCCTCGACCCCAATGTTGCCGCTCCAGGCGCGCACGAAGAAGCCGCAGCAGACAAGGGGGTCAACGCAGCCGGTGGCGGGTCCTCGTCAGGAGCCGGTGCCGGTGCCGGTGCCGGCAGTGAAAAGGTTTCTTGGCTTGTCCAGCTGCACGACAAGGCCATGTCGGCCGAAAACAGCCGGCTGCAAAAGGAACATGCCGGAGAACAGCGCGGACCCGAGTGGCTCGAGGTCCAGGATTTGTTCGTGAAGCGGGCGGAAAGCGAGACGTTGTTCACCCGCGAGGGTTACCTGATGGTCTGGGAGCGTCGCAAGGTCCCTGGTATGCCCAATCGCAAGGGGAAGGCATCCGCCAAGTGATTGTGAAATGTCGCATGGGTGTGAAATATTTTGGTTTGTCTTGTGTCTAAATATCCCAATGAAGGCTCTTATAACAAAGGGACTGCTGTATAATTAAGAATTTACGATGATGATAGAAGATCTGTTTCTTACTTTTTTCTCACTCGTAGTTCTGTTCAGAAGCCTAGGGGTTTATGTCCCAAGCTCGTATCAAGGCACATGATGACCTAGCCTTTTATGTGATATGAACGGTGCCATTGTGGCAGTAAAAATTTATTGTGGAACCTATTTGAAGCTGTTGAATACTGTTATTTCGAAAAAAACCAGCCCGTCACTTTTGAAGTTGAGTGGGAAATTAAAGCATGACCAATAGGGGGTTTCATGGATGATAGATAGTAAGGCAGGAGGTGATCTGGAAAGCAAGCTCACAGAGCTCCCCAACCACAGAATTTTCTCCCGATCTTGATGGCAGCGCCAGAGAATATACCCCATACACTGGCATTCACGGCGGCCTGTAATCCAACCATAAGAACAATTTTGCCCATGTAGGGAATGATATCCGATCGGGAGCCCCAGGTCCAAAACCCAATTCCTCGGACTTCAGAACGGAGAACAGCAGGGGCACCTTTAGCCGCAAGATATGACGCAGCAAGGGATCGGAGAAAGAAAGATTCGAGAGGTATGAACATCACATTAGTGATTATGGCTGCAAGGTGAGAGGCCAAGGAATCAACGGGGTGAGAGGAAAGAATTGTGACTCGATGTGCAGTTGCGGAGGTATTTGCAGGCATGTTTTGGCGAATATTGGGGTCGGAGATATGAGGGAATATTTCGGAGTCAAAGTCGTTTTCTTGGGTGCGATCTACCTCGGTAGATTGGAGTGCGTCTGTTTGGGTCGGCTCTTCTATACTTTCCGGTAAGATGTTGACTGGTTCTGATGTGGGTGCTCCAACAGTTGGCACTTCTGCTTCCGGGCTTTGTAGGTGTCCCTGAGTATCAGAATCAAGTATGTCGTCTCCAGGCCTAGGTGACACGCTTGTGGTCATGTTAGAAAGCCCATCACTGTCCATGGCATCCGAGCTAACAACAGTCGTCAGATTCCGGCCCTGGTTCGACATAAGGTTATCCAGAAACTCTGAGATTGTCTGTCCATCTACTACCGTTTGTCCATTTGAAGGTACTTGATCAGATTCATTGTTTGCTGCCCTAGGGTTTGCCTGTCCCTGGTTCTGCGAGAGACGGGTCCCCAGCAACTCCAGCTGCATGGTAATAACATCGGAATTTTGATGGATCAGCGATGCCCGGACGCGGGGCGAACCTGGAGAAGAGGTCTCAGGTGATGATGGGCGAGAGAAAAGGGTATTTGATCGCGAATTGCGCTGGGTTTCACTGGCCTCACCGCGCTGCGACTCTGCGTTCGCCAAAGTCGATGAGTCGTCAGGTGGAGGCATAGTTCTGGCGCGTCGTAAAGGGGCCATCTCCGCAAAATCCCCACTACTCATTTCTGTCGGCGACTGAGACATACGGTTCTCTTCATTCGTAAGAACTTGGTTACCGCCGAAGTCTATACCCGGCCCCAGTTCTTGACCGGTGGATCGTCGACTTGGGGAACTAGAGCGAGGGCGGTTATGATTCCTTTGACCCTCAATGAGTGGAGGCTCGGATGACCGTCTCCGTGGTCGCCGGGTCCGAGATAGACGTTCATGCTGTAATTGCTCGATGCTTTGAGGTAGAGCCTCGAGCCACTCTGGCCTGCGACGGGCGTCTGCTGCTTGCTCCGATGCTCGCGCCGTTCGTAGAGATTTAAAGCCGAACCACGATAGCACCCAGGCACGGAGAAAGTTGATCTCGTAAACCAAGTCTTCCGTGAAGGACATATTACTGCGACGGTTTTCTTCCTCGGATCGACGCCCAAGAGCTGGCATCATCCAATCGACAAGGTCATTCTCATACGCCACTTTGACGGAAAGCTCATCAGCATAGATAGGCTTTGGCAATCTGCGGCGAATGAAGCGATAAAGTCTGATTTCGAATACTGGGCGGAGGTAGACATAGATGTAGACCAATAGAGATGGGGTCTTCAAAAAATTCCAGACGAATCCACTCAGAGATTGAACCGAGAGCTGTGCGGGCAACTTTGGTAGTTGCATAGCGGCCAATTCTCCAAAGGGTAGAAAGAATTTGAGCCCAGGCATGGAATAGGAATGAACAAGGTGGAGAGACTGTAAGAGGGAGTACATGTATGTCTGTATACCTAGGACCAGCAATGTTCCTCTTGTCCTACAACATGCTATTAGCCAGGGGTAAGGGTGGAGTGTGTCCGGACCACTTACGCAGAGTGTAGAACGTTCAACATTGCCCGCACAAGCTTTGATCCGAAATCATCGTTCGAGAAGTGATTCTGGATAGAAGCAATCAAGCGTTCCAGGGGATGGTGTCGACAGAAAGATATACAGGTGGACACCGCCCATGCTGGAATCCCAGCAAAGTAGAAACCCAGAATCCCATAAGCCGCGCGTTCGTGTCTTACTATGCTTAGCAAGGGGAGATCCGTATAGCTCCTAAAGGTCTGACAAACGGTTCAGTTCAACTCAAGCCCTAGAGAAGCCCAATGATAGTATCAGAGGATTCTTACTTGTATTCGGCCCAGAAGTGATGTGGTCCACCATGAGCCAAGAAATACCGAAACTTGGTCCAGAGTGGCCATGATCAAACCATAGTCATTCTCCGCGGCTATATTATCGATTTTCTGTTGCTCGATAGGACCACCCACGTTGCCATCTTCGCTAACGACGATCCCCATGGTGGAAAGAATGTCATTTTTGGCTCTTCGAAGCTCCCGCCCAAATGTCTTGGACTCTGGGTTGACTGGGTGGCCTCTCTCATCGTAATTCTGGACGTATCCATCCGCATGTAAGCCTGATACCGTCCGCTGCGTGACATTTTCTGACGGCGCCACTGAGATTGAAGGGCGCTCTGGAGCTTCGTATGGAGACCGGCCCTTGATCAGAGTCAATTTTCATTCCTTTCTAGCGGGGCGTGAAGTGTAAGGCATAAACAAGTGAGTGATGAGAGGCAATAGTCGATATCAACATGATGGACAGGCTGGTAGAGACACACATCGTACACAGGTAGAGGTCATATTTAGATTTTGCACAGATGGAGCCTCTGGGTATTTGGGCATTACTTCAAGAAAGGACAGCCACGCGAAAGACAAGCTACGCCAGATGCACCACCATATACAGGAAAAGAATGGAGGATGAGCCTACCAAAGCCAGCCGATTCAGATACGCTCGACGCCCCATCGCGTGAGCATGAATTCTATTCAGGGTGCATTGACGAGAGGCTGTCGAGGCCTTCCTTCGTTGAAGGGGAGTAACCGGAGCTCGCGAAGGGAAAGTGGTTGGTTGATCATGTTCTCCATGGCAGGCCGGCATCATATGGGCGGCTGAGGCGCCTGGAGCGGCTACGATCACGGGCTGGCGGGGTCCCGCCTTTGCGACCAGACAAACAAAGCAAACATCTCGAAAAAAGATTCGGCGCGACGGCGATGCGGCCGGAATTAAGCAACTGCCAGTCTCTTTTGCATCGACAGCTCGGATCGGGCGTATGATGGCGCGATAGACCTCTTGACACCTGGCCGTTGAGAATTCCCGCAAATCATGTCTAAAGTCGTAGTCAAGACGACCTTCGAGGCGTCTCGAACCCTTCGTCCCATCTACACCGGAGGAAGCACCGCGCTCGATGCCAGTGGCCGTCTATTGGCGACTTGTATCGGCGAGGATGCCCTCGTGGTTGACCTGGAGACTGGCGATCAGGTCGCCAGTCTTGAAGGAGTGAGCTTACCCCGGTCATCACCAAATCTAATGCCCGTTGCTAATTCGAATGTTCTAGGATGGCGAAATCATCACTAGCCTAGCCAGTACGCAACGCTCTCTTCCTTTCGCTTCCCTTTTCTACTTCACCACGGCAGTCCCTCTAACCATTCCTAGTTTCTCCCTCGGCTTCCCATGTCGTTCTTTGCTCGCGATCCATGTCCATGCGCATTTATTCCCTGACGCCTTTGGACGAGTCCACACGATCCGTCGACGCGACATTGACCAGGACCGTCAAGCCTCACACGGCACCTGTCGTAACGACTGCAATTGACCCCACTGGCACCCTTTTGGCAACTGGCGCCGCCGACGGCTCAATCAAGATCTGGGACATCCGGGGCGGATATATCACACATACTTTCCATGGCCATGGTGGTGTTATCTCGGCTTTGTGCTTCTTCCAAACACCCTTCCAGGATGGCGACAACAAATCATCATCCAAGAAGAAGAAGAAGAAGGGCAAGGGCAAGTCGGATGACTCTGACGAGGAAATGGATGAGGTTGTCGACTCGATCGGTGCTTTCAGGCTGGCCTCGGGAGACGAGGAGGGTCTGGTGCGCGTGTGGGATTTGAATAAGAGGAAACCCATCGCATCTCTTGAGTCTCACGTCTCTGTTGTGCGAAGCCTCTCGTACTCAGTAACAGAAAATGCGCTGCTGTCTGCCAGCCGCGACAAGACCGTCATTGTGTGGGATGTACGGACTTTCAAGACACGCAGGGTCATCCCCGTCCTTGAGAGTGTTGAAGCAGCATCCTTTGTCGCTGATAGCGCGCTGTGCCTGGTGGGAGGAGAGAATGGCCGACTGCGTGTATGGGATTGCAACCGGGGTGGGGAGGTGACTCTCGAGCAAGAAGCTGCGCAGGAGTTTGAGGCTGTGGTAGCAATCCAGTACTCCGCGGGCATGCCGTTCGCGATGACCGTGCATGCCGACCAAACCATTCGGCTTCACTCTCTTGAGCCTTTGACCGACTACAAGGCCGGGACTACAATCGAGCCATTGCCAGTCATTAGACGCATATCGGGCCACGATGACGACATAATCGACCTTGCATATGTCGGCCCTGATCGGTCGATGCTTGCCCTGGCCACGAACACAGAAAGCATCAGGGTGGTCACAGTAGGCCCGTCTGCGGACAGACCTGCTGCTGAAGGAGAAGAGTACTTTGGGGCTGATGTCACGCATCTGGAAGGCCACGACGACATCATTATCTGTTTGGATGTGGACTGGTCGGGCCACTGGCTGGCCACCGGCGCAAAGGACAACACAGCTCGCCTTTGGCGTCTTGACCCGGCGACTTCCTCTTACACATGCTTTGCAGTCCTCACTGGTCATGCCGAGTCACTGGGTGCCATCAGTTTCCCTCGAGTTCCGCCGCCAGCCAACACCCCTGCGCACAATGACCCCTTGAACCACCCTCCCTCCTTCCTACTTACTGGCTCCCAAGACCGCACCATCAAGCGATGGGAAACGGGCAAGTTAGCCCCGCTTAGCTCCTCGAAACCGCACAACCCGAAGGCAATCTTCACTCGGAAAGCCCACGAGAAAGATATCAACGCTCTTGATATCAACCCCTCATCAACTCTTTTTGCATCGGCCTCACAGGATCGTACTGTGAAGATCTGGTCCGTAGAGGATGGTTCTGTCTTGGGTGTTCTCCGTGGGCACAAGAGAGGAGTCTGGTCAACACGCTTCGCTCCCCGAGGCACTCCTATTCTCAGTTCTGACTCCGGCACGAGCACAAACAGAGGCATGATTGCTACGGCGTCAGGTGACAAGACTATCAAGATCTGGAGTCTCGCGGATTACAGCTGCCTGCTCACCTTCGAAGGCCACACCAACAGTGTGCTTAAGGTGATATGGCTTCCACCTCCGGATTTGTCCGGCAAAGAAGACGAGGAAGAAGATGAAGCAGCAGTGCACAATGCAGCTACAGAGATGCGGCCTCTGGTGGCGTCAGCGGCTGCAGATGGTTTGGTGAAGCTCTGGTCCCCATACACAGGCGAACTCGAGACGACCCTCGACAACCACACGGATCGTGTCTGGGCTTTGGCCAGCCCTACGCCATCCGGCAACCGCGATGATGTTCTGTCTTACCCGACTCATAAAACTTCCTCCCCTTACGGACTGGCCTCTGGCTCTGCCGATTCCACCGTTACCTTCTGGACCGACACCACCTCCGCTACCTACACGGCTACCGTCAATGCCAATTCCGCTCGTATCGAGCAAGACCAACAGCTCCAAAACTACATCCGTGCCGGAGCTTATCGTGAGGCCATCACTCTTGCCCTCCAGCTCAACCACCCAGGAAGACTCCTCTCTCTGTTCAATGCTGCCATCGATGCCTCAGATGACCCGTATTCAACCGAATCCCAAGACATCGCCCGTGCAAACAGCCTAACGGGCGACCCTTCCATCGATGAGGTTCTCCAAACCCTTGACCCCGAAAACCTGCGTACCCTGCTCCTCAGAATCCGTGACTGGAACACCAACGCTCGCCACTCCAGAGTTGCACAGCGTATCTTGTTCGCTCTATTCCGCTCCTACCCTGCCTCGACGTTCATCGACCTTGCAACCTCAAGCATGAAAAAGCGGCGCAGTGATGGCGGTTCCACCGCCGGTATGAAAGATATCATGCAAGCCCTGGCATCATACACCGACCGCCATTATCGTCGAATCGAGGAGCTCTCTGACGAGAGCTACCTCGTAGAGTGGGTCCTCGCGGAGATGGATGGTGGAGTCGGACTGGGAGGGTTGGGTGTCTCCAACGCCTACGATCCATTCAGCAACCCCTCCTCAGATGAGACTGCCCCCGAACCGGAGAAAGACGTGGTCATGCTGGGGGTATAGATGGCATGTGCACCATACCATGATTGCAAAACATTATAAAAACAAAAAGGGAAAATTACTTGTGAAATGAATGAGACTATGTACAAATAGATCAAGTTAATCTGCACGTTTGCGATTTACTACGGTATACTGGCGCTTTTTCAACGGAGTACTTACTGCTGTGTGTTGTTGCTGTTGTTATTGTTGCCATTGTTCTCTTTTTCTGGGAGAGGAAAATCAGTATACAAAAGTTTTGTTTTGGGTGTGTATGGTAATACCCGCTTTGAATAGGAAGGAAGCTGTTTAGACCATTGTTTTACATAGATTCTTTTGCTTATGCGCGAACCGGTAAGATATTGTTGGACATTGTCATTTTGAAGTTCATGGCAAGGCAAGGCAAGGCCGCTCTGTTTTGTAGCCGGATATCTCTATCTACGTACCTTTACCGAAGCACTGGGTTTGTCCCAAGATGCGATCAAATCATCGCGTGGGAATTTTTGTTATATGGTTCTATAGACTTAGCCAGTGCAAAAAGAGCACGAGCTTTCATTTTAGGACTTATCTATCATCATCTCTCCTTCTCCGGTGGGAGCCACGGTCACGGTCCCGGTCCTGGTCAGTGTCCCGATCCCGATCCCGATCCCGATCCCGATCCCGATCCCGATGCCTGCTTGAGGTATGTGATGACGAGTGCCTCGAGCTATGGCGATCATCATCGCGATACCGTCTGCTTCGGTCTCGGTCTCTATCCTTGTCTTTCTCGCGCTCCCGTTCCCGATCCCCATTCCGATCTCGATCCCGACGGTAGTCACGGTCACGATCACGGTCACGGTCACGGTCTCTGTCCCTGTAGTATCGATCATCGCGACTGTCGCTATCTTCTTCTCCATATTTGCGGCTTCTCGATCGTCGATCGCCGGATGACCGACTCCGGTCTCTCCTGGAAGACCCAGTGGTCCTGCGTCTCTCATAGCGATCGCTATCATCATCATCGTAGTCACGGCGTCGAGAGTCCTGATCACGATCTTTATCGCGTCCACTCTTCTCTAAGTTGCGGTCTCTTCTCTCTTTCCATTCATCCTCGTCCCCCCGTTTCTTCGCCTCCTTTCGTTGGATCGCGAGCTCCTCTTCAGTTATGAACTCGCCCGTCTTCGAATTCCTCATCATAATAGGCATGTACACCCCCTCCGTATTGTTCTCGCCTTCCTTCCCTGTCTTTCGGGACCCTTTGCGCATGGCCGCTTTCCCCCACGCGCCGAACTCTGTCTCAGCACCTTTACCTCCCGATGCATCCTTCGCTCCAATTCCCAAGAAACCAGGCCTCCGCTCCGGAACCCGCGGCTTGGCCGCCTGGTTGCCAGCAGCACCGCCGTATTTCCCTCTCCCAACCGCCTCGCCTTCCTTCCAGCCCATACCACGCAGCAGGGCCGCACCGAACTCCTCCACAGGAATAGCATTATACTGATCAAGGGTGGCCGATTCCGGGCGCAAGGCGACATCCGCACGGAACGAGGTCGACTCATCATATCTGCCCCCCTCCCGATTCGCCGACTCAATCACAAGATCAGACCTCCCTTCCGTCTCGCCCTTACTATCCCGAATTAGCGCCTGCAAGGCAATCTCATCCTGGGTAAGCGGTTTCCGTTGCTCAGCAACAGCCGGTTCGGCGTCCGTCATATTGTGATCCTGCTCCTTATCCGCGGCCTCGGTCTCCGCGCCCGGCTGCGCAAAGGTCAACCCAAAGGCCATACTCGGCCGTTCAGTATCGGTATTCTCCCCGGGGACTTCGCCCCGTTTCTGCGCCTCCTGCATGGCCTGCACCTCCCTGGGGAGAAGATTCTTGCCCTTGGGGTTTCGCACATTGACGCCGGGCCGGTTGCGCCAGTTGTTGTTTCCGGCAACGGGGATGACCAGCTCGCGTTTCTGGTCGGCCTGGTTGGCCGAGATGGCGGTTCCGGTGAGGGTGTCGAAGCCCATGACGGCTTCGTGGGCGGGCGCTGCCGCTTCTTCAGTGTCGGAATCTTCGTCATCGTGGAGATTATGATGGGGGCGGCGCGTGAGGGTTGTCCGGCTGGGGGGGTCTGTAGATCGGGTGGAGGTTTTCTGGAGATTGAAGGAGGTCTTTTTGGACTGTCCGTTTGCTGGGGTGGGGGTGCCGCCTCCAAGTGAGAGAGAGAAGGGCTTGGCTGAGGACTTCCCTTGCGGTTCGGCGTTGCCGTTCTGCGGAGGCTGGGATGAGGACATTGTGTTGGTCTCTCGCCTGCAGGGCGCCTGGTGTGAGTGTAGAAGAGGAAACGGGATTCAAGTTCAATGTCAACCCATGTGTGCGAGATGAGTACCTGCGGGGTATATGGCAAGACCTGCCAGGGAATGTGAGGAGGGAAGCTGCCGGAGAGCTTGAGATCGGCGGGATAATAAAAGAAGGCGGTGGCAAAAGGCGCGGGCTTTGACGCGCGCCTAGCCCCGTCCCATACTTACTGCATAGGTCGGATATCTACGGTCTCTGTCAAAGTATCTTAAAAAATCTTAAATTTCTCGAAGAATGATTGAACCAGTTGTAATCGTACAGTCGTAGCCATTAGTTTGTCTCTTGCTCTCTAAGTCATCCATTCCAACTGACGTCCAAAGAATCCCCCGACCTTTTTGTATCCGTCCTATCAATACATGTAGTACAAAATTGCAAATGATGAAATGAAAAAGAACCCCGGGAAAAAGGGGACTGGAAGCGTACCATGCATTCCAGGCACAGGATGATCGCCATCGCCAGGAGATGGCACAATAAGGAAGATGACACGATTGGGGATGTGAAAACGGAGCAGGGGGGAGAAGGTAAGAGGCGGAGAAAGAAATCGGGATATCAGGGGGCAAAGCGTCAAGCAGCAAAGTTCATGCCATCGGTCAAAAGGATGGAGCCTCGCAGCGGGGTGAATAAAAGGTTATAGAATGGGTGGAAGAATATTTACATTCGAAGAAGAAAAGAGGGTGGTCTCGAGCATTCAGCTACTCGCGGTCTGGGCCTGGGGAGGATTGGGGCTCTTGCTCGTACCGGGCACGGCGCCAGCCTGGGCGCTGCCGCTGCGCTGGGTCTGCGGCGTCACGCTTCGGCTTGGCTGAGCCACCGCTCCATTCATGGCTGGAGAGCTCCCCACGCCGACTCGACTTTGCTGCGAGGGCTGAGGCACACGCATCATGGGCGAGTAGCCCTGTGTTTGAGGTACTTGCATGCCCGGTCCACCGTTCAACCCTTGTGGAGGGGACTGGAAACTGCTGTCATGCGGGACCTGGTAGTTGGCCTGCACACTGCCAATGTTGCCAGCAGCTGCATTCATGGCGACCTGGGACATGCGCTGCTGCTGGTATTGGTGCAACCGATCAGTTGCCAGTTTATTCACTTGTTCCGGAGTCATGTTGGGGTTGGTCCTCTGAATCTGGCTTTGTATGCTACTGATGGTCGGTACGACCCCGCCAGATAGAAGATTTGGTTGACCCATACGGGGTGAGGGCGTCGAGACACCCTGAGGGGTGGTGTTGTGGAAAGACGGGCTTTGCATACCCCCTCCGGCCTGGAGCGCCGCCATCATGGCAGGGTTGTTTGGAGTGCCGTTAACGTTGGGCATGTTCATGTTCGGAGAGTGAGATCCTTGAGGCACAAACTGCTGTTGACTGTGGAATTGCTGCTGTGCTTGTTGAGCTTGGGCCTGCTGCTGATGTGGGTGCTGCTGTGGCGGTTGCTGTCTGGACTGCAGGAGTCGTTGCTGTTGCTCTTGGAGCCGGTTCGCCTCTCGCATGACGCGCGTATTGTCTGGCGGTGTCTGCATGGGCATTCCAGGACGAGGACCGTTGTTTTGCTGCATTCCTGACTGTGGCATCATCTTCATAGCCATGGGGTTCGAGGGCATAGATCCGTTGACCGGTGTGCCACTGGGCAGGCCTTGGATATGAGGACGGGCTTGGTTGGGACCGACACCAGGTGGCACTCCATTGGGCAACCCGTTAGGCAACCCGTTGGGTAGGCCATTGGCGGTATTGCCAGCCATAGCTGCAGTTCCAGGGTTATGGGGCATTGCACCAGGCGTCCGCCCGGGTGCATTTATTATCGGCTGCTGATTAGGCATTTGACCAGCACGCTGAGCCGCCAGGTTTGCCTTGACGCGAAATGTCAGTTAGAGATTCAGTATTCAGTAACCGGAACACGCGGCCTTACTCTTTGCTGGGCAATCATTTGCTGCCTATATTGCTCTTGCCGCTCCTGGAGCTTCAGCTCACGCTCATACTTGAGCCGACTGAATTCAGCAGGGGATGAGATTGGGGGTTTTGGCTGGTTCGCTTCGTTGACCTTTCTTAATGACGCTAGATGGGAGGCTAAAAAAGACGTAACGAGTCAGTGTCGCTCAATGGAAGTTTGCTGCTTCGCCTCTTACCGTGTTGCTGCTTCTGAAGCAACGTCTCCCGCTTCTTAGCTAATTTTCGCATAGCGTCAAGAAGTGCAAGGTGTTTCGAAGACCTTCTCCGGTCAACCCTGAGAGGTTGCGTGGTTCTCCTCCGAACAGGAGGCATTGACTGGGTATTGTTGTTGTTGTTGTTGCTGCTGCTGCTGCCTTGCTGCTGCTGCTGCTGCTGCTGTTGTTGTTGCTGCTGCTGCTGCTGTTGCTGTGCAGCTTGTTGCTGTGCCAAGACAGTGCGCTGTGCAGTCTCAAGCCTTTGGTGGTAAGCACGGAAGTACTGCGTCTTAGACATGTCGGCAGGCAACCCTTCCAAGCCAACCCAACGCTCAAAACATTCCCAGGGTGTCCGTCTTTCAGCCCCGGAGGTAAATTGCGATGATGGGGTCAGACAGTTAGAAATCAGAGACCAATTGTATGAGTACTCCTTCACAAGACGGCGTAGCTCGTCATCCTCGGCATAGGTCCATTGAGACGACTGTCGGGACTCGAAAAAGCCAACCGATGGCATAGGATGCTCAGTTGGAGGCCTGAATGAGTGTCCCGGGTGGATTCTATCGCGTATATGTCGGTTCTCGGGTCGGAAAAGTGCAACGTTAGTCTGTTCAGGTGGTAGGTCCAGCACGCCTTGCTCGGGGTCAGAGTTGTATTGCGAGTAATCGTAGCGACTACGTTTTCGAGGGGGTTCATCGTCGTGGAACGTGATTTTGCCTGACGCATACTTCGAAACGGGGAGAATCTCGGTCTTCCACACAGAGTCTGGAGGCTCTTTGAATTCGGCCATGTTCGTATCTGGAGAAACGGTGACTGGTGTATAGATTGGCAGCTCGTCAAGAATTTTCTGGGCTGCCGGTGTCATATCTAGTGAAAATGTGAACTCATCGGTACCCAGCGAAAAGATAGCAGCCGGTGCAACTGTGTCATGTATATCATGACGTAGCTCGTCATTGAATCCTTCGCTGACAGAATCTTCTTCGGTTGAAGGTACCAGGTCTGGCGTAGGATGGGAAACTGCCATCATCTCATCAACCGCCTCTTCAGGTGGCGATATCAAGCTTGCTTTTGCTTGAACTCCGCTATCTGACTTCGATGCCGGTGCCCTCACTTGCACACGAAGCAGTGATCGATGCTCTGGGTCACTGTTGACGTACTCCGCACACCAATCAGCGCAGCTTTTTGCAGCTGCAATCTTCCATTTCCGCTCTTCGCGAAAATCAGTGCGCATCCACTTCATATGGTCCAGAAGAACATCCCAGTGGGACCCCTCCCGGGGTGGCTCGACCGAACGCTTCAGTTGGCGCAAAGGCCACCTATTCGCATTCTGCAAGGAGTAGATTCGACGCAGAGTACGGCAATCCATTTGTTCCTGATAATCAAGGAAGTGGTTGGCGGTATTAAGGGTTTTGTGAGAGGACGCGATGAGTGTACTGAGATGTTGGCCTCGTGGAGGGGCATACGCTCTGTTCTGGAACAAGGTAAAAAGATAGTCTTGCTCTTCATTGAGCTTAGCAAGGTCACCCGCGTGCTGACGGACCAATTCCATGGACTCGCTCTTCTCCTGCGGCTGTTGCTGTTGCTGCTGTTTAGGAAATACGACTGTAGACATCTTGGTCCTTTCTTTCTCTCGCGCTTTCCGGTCTTTGAATCGCATGCGTGCTGCAGAGTCAGGGGCCGCACCAGCGGCAACTCGTGGGGTTTCTGGCTTCTCTGAAGAACTTCCTTTGTCAGATGGGGAAGAGGCTGCTTTGGGGGGCTCGCCCAATATTTCAGAAACGGATTTATGTCTAATGGCTCCAGAGGATACTCTGGTTGTCATCCTTTCTGTAGTAGGAAGAGCTGGATGAGTTGGCGGCGTGGGTTTCTTGACCACCGGGGTCGCTTCGGTCACAACCTTTGCATCAGCCTCAACTTGAGCAGCAGGGGCGGGTTGACGTTTTGCAGGGGTTTCGTGTAGGTTCACGGCTCCAAGTACTCCATCGGCTGTCTTAGTCTCCAGCAGCGAACGACTAGGTATCACCTCGGGGAGCTCACTTGGGGGCTCTTTGATGGCAACCGGCGTCGAGCCAACGTCTTCCTGGATTACTTGATTCGTGGTAGATTCGTCCCCAACTGGTTTGGTCGCTGATAGTGTACTTTGTTGAAGTGACTGAGCTTCCTCCAAGCGAAGTTGCTCGTCGGGTGTCGAGGGTACCAGGTTAGTCGGTGCCTTGGCAGTCTCTTCGTCCTTAGGAGTTGGGGCCTTATCGATAATCTCCTCTGCAGGGCTGGTAGCTGGTGACACAGTGACTGGTGCCGGTGTATTGTTGGAATATGGGCCGGCTGAGGAGACGGGTGAGAGAGGTTGTTCAGGCACCTGGGGGGTTCGACCAAGAGGGATGGATGGACGTGCATCATCCGTCTTCTGGGAAGACGTCACGTCCGGCGGGGGAACACTTCCAGTGGGTGATGGCTGCGTCAGGGCTGGAGATGTACTGGCATCAATGATATCATTGTTGCGAATGCCTTTTTGTGTCTCTAGCGTGGGATAAGACACCTTGTTCTTAACAACCGAGGGTTGAACGGGTTGCGCAACTTCCGGAATCGACACATCAGGCCTTTGAGAGGCATGGGGGGCGGTGACAGGCGCAGTCTGGTTAGAAGTCCCCAATGTTGACGGCTCAGGTAAAGAGTCAGAGGGTTTCAGTTCCGGAAGCTGGATGTGCTTGGGCTGTTGCTCCGCGCCATTCGCAACGACCTGAACAGTAGTACTCTCTGGTCTTACTGGTGAACGGGCAACAGCAGCATCATGGGCTTTGGGTACAGATTCCGCTGGCACCGGTGATGACGGCGCTGCAGCTGCCGCCGCCTCCCTGCTCCTACGCGACAGGATCGATGCATAGTCAGGCAATGGTGGGAGAGTAGCTTCATTGAAGTAGCGGCCTCTGGGGACAATCAGTATACATTGAGCGATTAGGATAATTCGAAGCACGAGAAGTTAGGCCAAATAGTGAAAAGTGGGAAATTGGAAAGTGAAAAACGCAGATGAATAAAAAGTGTCATGAGAAAGCATGAGGTTGGTTGGAGCGACTTACTTCGAGAGGTCGTTGGCGTCAAGGAAGGCCTGTTCCTTCTGGCGATATAGCGAGTCCGCCGGGGCGTTCTCGGTCGCGTCCGCGAAGCCTACGGTCGCAAAGTAGAGCTCGCTCAGTTTGCGCTTCCGCGACGACAAACAACGTCTAAAATTCAAAGTAAGCGATAATTCGGAATCGCAAAAGCCAAAGGAGTAGAATGAATCGGTGGGAAAAATTAAATACGTACGCGATCTCATCGTTCTTAGACCGGAGAAGCTCGTCACGGAGCATGGAGTCTATTTCGGGGAACACAGCATCCGATTAACGCGCTAAAATTAAGGGGAGTGGATTGAGCGAAGTCATCCAGATGGAAAAAATCGCTCAGAAATGATGGAAAGGATGGGGTGGTGTGGTTATGGGATGCAGAAGACACGACGCGAAGATTTCGCTGTGAAGGGATTTTTGGGGGGGGGTTGGTGTTAGTGGTGATGAGACTTGCTGGACGGGTAGTATGGGAGGAACTTTGGTTGGTTGGTTGGAGGATCTGGGTGAGTGCCGGGAGCAGCAGCACAGCGCCAGGTATGGGTAGTATGGGCGGTGGTAGGGGGGCAGGTATGGGTGGGTGTCGTTGGTTTGGTACGGCGATGCGAGGTAGCGGACGGGTAGGAGTCCCTAGCTACCACCGGATCCTTCCTTACTAGGGGCGCCATTCCAAGCATGTTACGAACCTACTTATCTACTGTTAGGGAAGGTACGGAGGACCACTGCCAGGCTTAGGCAGGAGGTGAGCCATTCAACCAAACCAGTGAAATGTGTTAGTCGGCCTGAGGCAGAAATAGTTCGCCTTCCTGGTGTTCGCTTTCTTGTGCTCCTTCCAACCCCATCCGCTGCCCGGGCGACTGCCGCATGCGGTATCTTGACACCCCAGGCAGGATACCCGATTTCTTCACCGCCCCCGGAGCGTGATAACACCCGGCAGAAAAAAAAAGTTGCCCGCTCAGATAGCATGCTGTGTGATGGTCAATCCAACAAAAACATCGCCAGGAGCCATCATTTCTTAGCCAACTCACAGCCATGGTAAAGCGCAAGAGAGAGGAGATGGCCAAGGGCCGCCAGACCGCACAGGAGCCATCAAAGCTGGCCAAGCCAACTCCCTCGACCTCAACTGCCGACAGCCCGTCCATTACACTGCAAATCGTCACTGGATCCTACGAGAGAGTCCTACATGGCTTCACTGCCGCGGTTTCGCCTGACTCTTTTGCATCAAAGGATGCTGAGGAGGCTGGAAGCAGCTCCAGCCTAGTGCAGTTCGTGGACAACTTCCTTTTCGAGGCTCATATGTCTGCCATTCGGTGCCTGGCCTTGTCCCCCATGCCGAAGGCGGATTCAACAGAAGCTCCCCAAGTTATCCTGGCTACTGGTGCTACGGATGAGCGCGTCAACCTTTACTCTCTGTCCGCTGCGCCCGTTGCGGTAAATGAGCATTTCCCGACCATCCCGACTCTGGCTGGCAACAAAATCCTCGAAAACCCCAAGAACCGCGAGTTGGGTACATTGATGCATCATTCGGCCCCGATTACAGCCATCGAATTCCCGTCCCGTTCGAAGATCCTTGTCGGCTCCGAGGACAATACCATCTCCGTCACCAAGACTCGTGATTTCTCTGTTGTTTCCACCATCAAGGCTCCCCACCCGAAAGTTATGGGCAGGCCCAGTGGGGACACGGCACCTCCTGGAGGCTCTCCTTCCGGCGTTAACGACTTCGCCGTTCACCCCAGTATGAAGTTGATGTTGAGTGTAGGAAAGGGCGAGAAATGCATGAGACTATGGAACCTGGTCACTGGCAAGAAAGCTGGTGTGTTGAACTTCAACAGAGAAATCCTCCAGAGTGTCAAGGAGGGCAAGTGGAGTACTGGGGAAGGACGGAGGATTGTGTGGAATGCCAAGGGTGATGAGTTTGCTGTTGCGTTCGAATGGGGCGCGGTCGTCTTTGGAATAGTAAGTCATATATTGCCGGTCGCTGCTGTGTTGGCCAAAACTGACCAGGTTCTACAGGACTCCACCCCTATCTGTAGAGTATTCCCAAGCCCTCGGAGCAAGCCTCACCAGCTGAAGTATATGAATCCGAATCCTTCATCGGAGGATAGCGATGAGCTGCTCGCTGTTTCGACAGAGGATGGTAGAGTCATTTTCTACTCTACCAAGAAGGTGCAAAAAGCTCCTGAGGGAGATGACTCGCCCATTCCTTATGCGGAAGCTGTCGCTCAACTAGGTGGTAGAGAAGCAGGCTTCCCTGGTCGAGTGAAGGACTTTGAAATCCTTAGCTTGGAGGGTCAGGCTACCAACGACGATGATCTTCTGGTGGTAACAGCGAACAGTGAGGGTTTGGTACGTGTTTGGCTGCTCCACGGTGGGGATTTGACCGAGAAGGTTACGAAGAAGAAGTCCCCTGAGAAGAAAGAGAAAACCAAACAAGTTGGAAAGCTCTTGAACGATTATGCAACCGGGAACCGGATCACTTGCCTCAAAGCATTCGTGATGTTGCCCACTGATAATCCCTCAACGCTAGAGGACTCGGAAGATTATTCTGAAGAGGAGGACGAGGACGAGATGAGTGAAGAAGAATCTGCCAGTGAAGAGAGCGACGCAGAATAGGTTGCTAGTACCTATTTGATGATTGTTGTCTTATATACCCAGCCATTGTTGTCAGACAAAAAGGATGTGTAAAATCATGATGCTAGACTTGTTGAGATGACAGATGCACGCTCAAAATCATGCCTTATGTTGTATATAATTCTGTATTGCAGTATCTTCATGTTACTTCTCCAGAGTTTCCTATTCCTCTATCTTGCGAGATCTCATACTTGTCGACTTGGTGGGTAGATAGGCTTACAAACGGCCTTGATTCGTATGTATGACCAATTGGCCTTAGATCACTCCGCTCCATACAGCATGGACAATCCGACGCATATCCTTGATTACCTGTAGACCAGGTAAATCTTGAAAGTGAAAGAGGTACGGTTAATTGCTGGTTCCTTGTTGACTGACGGAAGAGGGGTGAGTCAGGCCTGCAGACGGTATAAATCCTGCCGCCGCCCACCGCTTACTCGCTCTCCACTGCACAAATCAGAACCCCACTGGCCGAACCGTATCATATCGCCTCCTCCGTCCTCAAGCAGCAATTTTCATCTGACAACACGACCCTCGACCCTCACCCCCTCCACCCCCATACACCCCTCCCCCCCCCCCGAACCGCTGTTGTCTCTCGATTTCGCTCGCAATCATGGCTGCCAACGGCGATTTCTCTGACGACGAGTCTCAGCCTGGATCCCCCATCATCGATGCGAACGGTCACGATGACATCGAAGATCAAGAGCCCCTCGACCAGGAGGAGAAGTCTTTGAAGTCGGCGATGAAGAAATCCGCTCCTGCTCCCCCGCCCAAGCGCCCTGAGCTGCCCGAGCAGCCAAACCCGGAGACCCTTGACCTGTCGACACTGACTCCTTTGACCCCCGAAATTATTGCGCGCCAGGCCACGATCAACATTGGTACCATCGGTCACGTCGCTCACGGAAAGTCGACTGTCGTCAAAGCTATCTCCGAGGTCCAGACAGTCCGATTCAAGAACGAGCTGGAGCGGAACATCACGATCAAGCTGGGTTATGCTAACGCCAAGATCTACAAGTGCGACAACACCGAGTGCCCTCGGCCGACGTGCTTCAAGAGTTTCAAGAGTGAGAAGGAGGTCGACCCGCCTTGTGAGAGAGATGGCTGTGGTGGTCGGTACAGGCTGTTGAGACATGTCTCGTACGTTTGTTCCCCGAATAACTGTGTGGGACGAGTGCATCCTGGCTAACACAGTGACCTAACTCAGTTTCGTTGACTGCCCCGGTCACGATATTCTCATGAGTACCATGTTGTCAGGTGCCGCCGTCATGGACGCTGCCCTCCTCCTTATTGCCGGAAACGAAACCTGCCCTCAGCCCCAGACGTCGGAGCATTTGGCCGCCATCGAGATCATGAAGCTCAGCCACATCATCATCCTGCAAAATAAGGTGGATTTGATGAGGGAGGATGGAGCCCTTCAACATTACCAGTCGATCCTGAAGTTCATCCGCGGTACGGTCGCCGATGGCTCGCCCATTATCCCCATCTCTGCTCAGCTGAAGTACAACATCGATGCTGTCAACGAATACCTGGTTTCGCACATCCCCGTTCCCGTCCGTGATTTCACCGCTTCTCCCCACATGATTGTCATTCGGTCCTTCGATGTGAACAAGCCCGGTGCGGAGATCGAGGAGCTGAAGGGTGGTGTTGCTGGTGGTTCCATCCTGACTGGTGTGCTGAAGCTGAACGACGAAATTGAGATTCGCCCCGGTCTCGTCACCAAGGACGAGAACGGCAAGATCCAGTGCCGCCCCATCTTCTCTCGTGTCATGTCTCTCTTCGCCGAGCACAATGATCTGAAGTTTGCCGTCCCTGGAGGCTTGATCGGTGTTGGTACTCGCGTGGACCCTACTCTGTGCCGTGCTGATCGTCTTGTTGGATTCGTCCTTGGTCACCGTGGACGTCTTCCTGCCATCTACACCGAACTCGAGGTCAACTACTTCTTGCTGCGCCGTCTGCTCGGTGTCAAGACCGCCGATGGTAAGCAGGCCAAGGTTGCCAAGTTGACTAAGAACGAAGTCCTCATGGTCAACATTGGCTCTACGGCTACTGGTGCCAAGGTTGTGGGCGTGAAGGCCGATGCTGCCAAGCTCAGCTTGACCAGCCCTGCCTGTACCGAGGTTGGAGAGAAGATCGCGATCAGTCGGAGAATCGAGAAGCACTGGCGTTTGATTGGTTGGGCCAACATTGTCGCGTAAGTCTATGCAGAATTCTTTAATCTCCATGTCCCCGCCCCCCTTTGGAGAAATTTGTCCCGTCTCTAACTTTGCAACAGTGGTAACACTCTTGAACCTATTCTTAACTAAACAAGCTATTGTTTGCTTGACTGTTCCGGCTTGATTTCACCAGGTCCTGGCTGGCACAGACGTTGAGGGGTCTCTGACACCACACCTTGGTGAGGCGAGTCGCGAATTAAATAGATAGGTTTACGGTAGCGAACGGGGGGCGTCGGGTTTACTCCCTGATTAGAGACCACAGGAAGTCTAATCGTCGCCTAGTCCACCTACGGGGGAGAGCGAAGAGCAGGACTTGTGGATTTCTCCACGACAGCCTGTTCGAGGTTCGCGGAAAGGAGGAGGCCAAGCATACAGTAAGATGGATGGGCAAGTTGGAGAATGGGCTGGCATAGCTGGGGTTTGGAAGACCACTTCTTTGACGTGTGTTATGACGCTATTTCCGTGGAAAAATTTCTTATTTTCTTTTCATTTTTATTATTCGGTCCGGCTTGCATGGCTGCCCATGTAGATGCTGTATAGGGGAATGATGAACGCAACGAAATAAAAGTGAGAATTTTTTGATATCCAAGGCTCTTTGTTGTTTGTCCTGCTGCGGGCCTGGGGCACCACAGCCGCGGTTGACTAAGGAACTGCGCGGGCCCGGCTCTTAGTTCACCTTACCCCGTAGTAACGATCCATACCTGCACTTTCTTACTCTCCTTGCTGTCTGCAACCAACAGACCACAACACAGACTCACAGGCTGTCGTTGTGCTGCGGTTGTCGCAATGTATATCCTCGAGGTAAGTTCCCCCAATCGACCTTTCTTTAACCGAAACGAAGGCGATGTGGTCTTTGTTAGCTATAGAGGAGCTTTAGCTGACTGGGACTACCGTGGCCGTTACAGCAACTGGCGCGTCTTCTGGACCGCCCGTTTATCCCCTGGAAGAATGTTCTTGTGGGCTTCTCCTTGGGCCAGTTCATCCTAGAAGGGCTTTTGTCTCTTCGTCAGTACAAAGTATTGCAGCAAACCAAGCCCCCGAAAGTTCTCGAGGGTGAAGTGTCACAGAAGGTCTACGATCAGAGCCAGGTAAGCATCCCCGCTGACTCCGTCCGCCACACCATACTGATGAGCGTCATTTTGCCTCGCTAGTCCTACGGTCGTGCCAAAGCCAAGTTCGGTCTCGTTGCAGGTCTCTACGGTCAAATTCAAAACCTTGCGTTCATCTACGGCGATGTTCTCCCTAAGCTCTGGGGGGTCAGTGGTCTCCTGTTGGCACGGTATCTCCCTTCTCGGTTCCAGGGTGAAATCACGCAAACACTACTATTTGTCTTTGGGTTCAATCTGATTAGCACGGTTCTGTCGCTGCCTGTTTCTTACTACAACACATTCGTCCTTGAGGAGAAATTCGGGTTCAACAAGCAGACCGTTAAGCTTTGGGTTACGGACATGCTCAAGGGCCAGATGCTAGGCGTTGTGCTGGGAGCTCCCATCATCAGTGCGTTGCTTAAGATCGTCCAGACGACCGGTAACTCCTTCTTCTACTACTTGTGGCTCTTTGGCATCTTTATCCAGGTCTTCGCTATCACCATCTACCCGATTGTGATCCTGCCTTTGTTCAACAAGCTATCCCCTCTTGAACCAGGCGAGATCAAGACCGGCGTCGAGAATCTGGCTAAGAAGCTGAAGTTCCCCCTGCAAGAGCTGCATGTCATCGACGGTAGCAAGCGGAGCGCTCACAGCAACGCCTACTTCTACGGACTTCCTTGGAAGAAGCACATTGTCATTTACGATACCCTGATTGAGAAGAGCGAGCCTGAGGAAGTCGTTGCGGTCTTGAGTCACGAACTTGGTCACTGGAGTCTTAGCCACACCACGAAGCTCTTTGGAATTGCTCAGGTAAGCTTGCAGGAAATGCCGAACAAGCTTCGGCGAAGAACCAATAGCTGATCACTGGATTGCAGTTCCACATGTTCTATATTTTCGCGCTCTTCTCTGCCTTTGTGAACAACAAGTCGCTGTATCAGTCCTTTGGCTTTTACAATCAGCAGCCCATCATGATCGGATTTCTCTTGTTCTCTGACGCGCTTGCCCCGATGGACGCCGTTGTCAAGCTGCTGATGAACATCCTGAGCCGCAAGTTTGAATTCGAAGCTGGTATGTGTTAAAATCCTTGAGTCGTTTTTCCCTTCACACAAAGCTAACCAATCCCCTAAGATGCATTTGCTGTCGGTCTTGGCTATTCTGAGCAGTTGGCGCAGTCTCTGCTTAAGCTCCAGATCCAGAACCTGAGCACCATGGATGCCGACTGGATGTACGCTAGCTACCACTACTCCCACCCCATCCTTTCGGAGCGCCTCAAGGCACTCGACTGGAAGGGTGGAAAGGTTACCGACCTCAAGGAAGAGGACAGCGAGAAGCCGGTCAAGGCTTCTGACCGCGAGCTGTGAAGATGTGAATTTATCGTTTCGTTGTACTGGACTGGTATGGTGTTCGGGAGGCGGTTGAGGTCACAGTTGGATATTGGTTTGGGAAGGCAATAATTCGTAGATGACATTTCGATATTCTATCATCAAGTGAAAAAAGCAACCCATGATCGGCTTCCAGTAACATAGCTTCGCCCTGATACTCCAATGCAGTATGCACTTCTATAACCCAAAACAAAAACAGCAAAAAATAAAAAAACAGATTCCATAGCAGAACCGCTGTAACCCATCGCAAAACCGTTCGGCAAAAAGTACTTTTTCCGTGTTTTTTTTTTTTTTTTCTTCTTCATCTCAAGCATCCAACTTGGCTTTCGCCTTTTTCTCCGCCAGTCTCCGTTCCTTCTTCTTGCGCTTCCGTTCCTCTTTATCGAGGGCACCTCCAGTCGCCTCGGTATTTTGCTCTGGCACCCCAGCATCCCATTCCATCTGAACTTGATCGTCCTCCTCAGCATTGGCCTCTTCTGCGACCTTCTTCGGGTCCTCCCACCCCTCATCTGCCTTGTCCTCGTCCCCGGCACTGAGCTTCGCCAAGGTCAGATCCCGACCAAGAACCTCGCCTGTTAGCCCGGCCTGGACGCGCTTCAGGTTATGCAGGACCAAATTGGGGGCCGAGACTGTGGTGCGTGACTGGGGCCCATATTCAGTGATGCCGGCATTGGGTTGGAGAGAAGGGTCTGTGGCGGCGCGATCGAGATAAGCGGCGAGGAAGTCATGCGCTGCGGCTTGAGAGATGGACTTTGACGAGTGGATAGTCGTGGGAGGGAGTACGGAGGGACCCTGGGCGGCCATGGTGGCTATACCGTTCGTGGGTAAGTCGAGGTGATATAGTTATATGTAGATGTCGGACCGAGACTCGTATCTGAGGTCGATGACTGCGAGGTAGGAGCTTCGTGGCAGGTGTCGAAAGCAAAACTCCCAAAAAGAATATGTAGAAATGTACCAATCAGCCAGTGCAGAACAGGTTCCTTCTGCGCCGTTCTGTAAGGTAAAAAATGCGCCAATGGAGCCGATGATGGAGAAATTGCAGATGCGATAGAATCGCCGGCGGATAGAAAAAGTCGTGAGGTGGTCCGTGCACTGCGGCGCGCCGGAGTTCAATTTTCAAGTCCTCCGTCACTCACCACCACTTGCAACTCCTGCTATCTCCATCTCCAACCCCCCCCCCCGTCAGTCTCGGTCTCGGCCTCGGTCTCGCAATCCCCTCGACACAATGTTCTGCTTCCGGAGCAGGGCTCTCCCCGCCGCTATTCGGGCATACGCGGCCCCGACGGCCAGGTACGTTCCAGCCATATTGCATGATGCATCCCGATTGAAGGACACCCAGCTACCTCCAATTCGGCCTCTCCACTACTCCAGACTCCAGATCGGATCGAAGACGAGCGTGACTTGTTGTCAATTGCTCGAAGAATGCATCACTGACCTTCATCATCACCACCAGACTCTCATCCGCGCCCATCACACCCATCGCAACCTCCCTATCAACGCCCCTCCGAACCCTCTCCTCCACGACTCTCTCCTCCCTCCGTCAACACATCCCCTCGCAAACCCTCTCCTCTTCCTCCACCACCTTCTCCTCCCTCCGCCCCCTCCTCACGACCAGCCCCTTCACAGCGCAACAGACCCGCTCTTTCTCCGCCAGTGCCTCCCTGGGCGGAAAGCGCAACACCTACAACCCCTCGCGGCGGGTGCAGAAGCGCCGTCATGGATTCCTGTCCCGGTTGCGCACACGAGGAGGACGCAATATTCTGATGCGGAGAAGACAGAAGGGCCGGAAGAACCTCAGCTGGTAGAATTGCCCCGGAGCGTTTGGTTTGGGTCTCGTTTGTTTGGGTTTCCTTGTTGTGTCTGTTTACTTTCACTTTCGCATGTGCTGTGGACCATGAATTTTCTGCTGTGATTGGGATAGGATAGCTTTGGGTTTGAGGGGGTACCTGCCTACTATCTAGGAGGGGGGTGTGGGTTGGGGTTTGCGGGGGATTTCGTCGATGATCGATTGGGCTTCGGATTTGCCTGGTTGGGGGTGTGGGTGGTGGTGCAGGTGCAGGTGCAGGTGCAGGTGCTTTTGTTGTATGTGAGGTGAGGTCAAATGATACACACACTCTCTCTCACTGCTACCCTTTGAGTCACCTTTTGATAGGACTCTGTCCTAAGTGTACCATATACATACATACATAGATATCATGCGGTTGTTATGCGGTCGGGGTCCATTTATCTGTGTTTCTTCCAGGGCTACTACAGATAGTCTGCCAATTTATTTATAGCGATGTAGATGGGCTATCTTTGTGTCCCTAACATGCTATTTACGTGGTAGCAAGCTCTCAGAGATCATAGCACTACTGATTATCCCCGGTTGTAGAGACATGCCCTGCAGCCGAATTGATGGTGGCACCCAGGCTTGAAAGAGCGCCTTTGCCCTTGTCTCAGATATGATACTATAAGCTAGCATTGAGGAGTTTGGTTTCCTTAAAATAGGGGGGCACCACTTTTTTTTATAACTAGCCACCATTGACAAAGTCTTACAGAGTATTGAGCATATTAGGTATCATCATACGGCCACACAACATCCAGTCCATTAGATCTAGGTAGCAATAAAGCTGTCTTCAACACAGATTATAGATGTGCATATTTTCTCGTCATAACAGCCTCGACTCGTGATGGTAATTGGTCTTGAGATCTAAATGTATCATAACAGGTCAAGATATGCAGTCGCTTTGACCTATAATTGTTTCGTTAAATAAATCACTCATCATCTTCATCGTCCTCGTCGTCATCCTCGTCGTCCTCATCCTCGTCTTCGGATCCAGTTTCGTATTCGTCGTCATCGTCATCAGACTCTTCATCCTCGTCGTCACCGGCCTTGAGTCCATAGTCATCTTCGAATTCCTTGAGCGCTTGGACCTTCGGGGTGAAGCCTGATGCCTCGAGGCCTCCCTTGATTGTCTAGACCGGCCAGTCAGTAAACTTCACATTTTCTCATCATGAACCATGGGAGTGACGTACCTCTTCAAGCACAGTGGCGCACGTGACAACGATATTTGCTGTAGCCGGGTTGAACAGAGGTAGAATGATGTGCTGCAGTGCACCCTTGACGTCGTCGATGCTAGTATCCCGCACCTGCTTGAGCACCCTCTCCTTGTAGTCGCTGGGCAGGCGCCGCACCACCTGTCGAATGAAGCTGCCTGAGGCCGCGCTGGCAATTGTCGACTGTTCATTGGCAAAACTGACAACAATGCTGCTGATAGAACCCTCCAGCATCAAAGGATCGAAGGGGATCGCGCCAGACAGGTGTTGCTCAACGATCGTCTTGCTCGAGTCGAATGCCTTGTGGGCATTAGGAGAGCGGTATACATCGAAGTTGATCAATCCGGTGTCGACGTTGTAGGCAAAGTTAGTGCCGTAAGCCAGGCCCTTACCACGGACCGCAACCCAAAGAGGTCCTTCAACCGCATTCATATATGCGATGGCAACCATCAAGGCCGGAAGTCTCGGGTCATCGTACGAATCAAGACCGCGCGCCGTGGCGTACGCAAACGATGAATCAATGGTCGGCATGGGCACCACGTAGGCCTTGCCACCCAACTTCTGACCGGTCTCACTAAGCAACGGTCTCCTGGCGGTGATGGGTTGAAGAGGGGCGCTGGCGCCTAAGCGTTCGGCGAAGGGCTTCCATGCCGAGACAGGGTTTTGAAGTTTTTCGAGGTCAGCAATGACCAGAACGCGCATGTTCTCGAAACGGAAAAGCGCCTTTCTAATCTCCTCCATGCGCGCGACAACAGAGTCTGGCTCCTCCGCCAGCTGCTTCTTGATCCGTTTCAGATAGCGTGCCTTCACCAACGTACTGCGAGCCCGGACAATAGATTCCGCCGCATAGTGCACCATTACATGCACAGCCGCGAGCATGTCATCGCCACTGCGCTTGGAGTCGGGCACGTCGGAGAGCAGTCGGCTGGTGATTGCTCGCAGTCTCTCGACATCGAAGACTGAGTTCCACGAAAGCTCCTGGAGCCAGGCAATCGCCGTGCTATATTTTTCCAGTTCCACTTGGAATGAAATACGCAGCATCTCTGAGTTGCCCACGCTCCTGGCCCCTTCCATCGAATAGCCAACCGTGTCTCTCTCGAGCTCAACAACAACTTGCTCAAACTTGATTGTCTTTCCGTCGCGGTCAACAGGCAGGTTGAAAAAGGCCTCCGTATACACAGACAGAAGGGGACGGAGCTCTACAGGCACAGCTTGCGCAGAGATGAGGAGAGAGAGCTGAACGAAGCTGCTAGGAATATGCTCAAAGTGAATGAACAAGGGCAGGTCGGAGCCATCAGCGTCCACTAGCTTCTGTGCCTTGTGGGCTGGGCGTCCCAAGTCCAGAGCAGCACCGGACCTCGCCGTGGTAGTATCCACAAAATGAATGGATTCAATCCCGGGGATCTCGAATTTCTCCAACATCTCCTTGGGGATCTCCTTGTCATTCGCAGCTTTTGCCTTTTCAAGCTTGTCGGCCAACTTCTTCAGGCCTTCCTCACCCAGTCGCTTTTTCTGCTCTGCGACTCGAGCTTCTTCCTCCTTTTTGACTGCCTCGGACATTTTCAGAGATGGAACTCCTAGGATAGTAATATGGTGGGCGTCAGAGATCCATCTCTTGATGAAGCTGCGCCATTCTCCCTCGTTCCACTTTTCCAGCACATCGTACTCTTTCAAGGACGCAACATCGAGCATAGTCGATCCGTCCCGCTTGCCGAAAAGGAAGTCCGAGATAACGTATTCCGCAAAGGAGGATGCAGAACTTTCTGTAGAGAACTTCCATGTCCGTCTTTGCCTATCGATACACTCTTTGAGGTATCCCATGTCAAGCTCTTTCTCCATCGCATCCTTGAGCACTTCAAAGAATCGCTTCTCCACCTTCGCAAGTTTCTCGGTCTCGACACTGGTCAAAGTGAAGCGAATCTCGATGCTAGGGTGATCTTCTGTGGCATAGTAGACGGCACTGGCGAGTTGCTCCTTCTCCACAAGTATATTATCAAGCAGGGAAGCAGATGACCCAGCCAGGTACAAAAGAGCGACATTAACAGCCCCGGCTATTATATTGTGAGTATCAGTCCGGAAACGGAAGGGATTAAGACAACTTACTCTGAACGGGATCGGAGCAGTCCGGGCCAAGGAATCTGATCTCTATCTCACCAAAAGATTCATCTTCTTCTGGGAACTCCACAGTCTGCACAATCGACTTCTCCAGCGGCGGCGCCTGCTTTGAATCTACCCATGGTCGCTTAAAGGGCGAATCGGGACTGGGAATGACATCTAGAATAGTATCTTCGAATTTATCCAATGTCTCCAGCATATTCTCGTGATCCACCTCGCCTGTGATGATCAGACACAGGTTCTTGGGCTGGTACATTTCACGGTGGAATGCCCGGATCCGTTCTGCCGTGAGGACACGCAGTTGCTCCATCATACCACCTGTCTCGTAGCGAAAACCTACCCCATGTGGGTAAGTCAACCGACGAGCAGTCAGATCGATCAATTCGGCAGAATTGTTCTGCACACCCTGCATCTCGGAGTAGACAACACCAGCATCGTTTCCAGTGGCGTCAATGTGATGCACTTCGGTGTAGCACCCCTCATCGGTCAGAGTAGGTGCAATGACATGCTCTAGGTATACAGGCAGAATCTGGGCAAATCCCTCCCAACCTGCGGTATCCAGCGTGTAGGCTGTGTGGTCTGTGGCCGTCCAGGCGTTAGTGCTGGAGTAAACGCGGGTCGCAAGCTTGTCAAGAAATCCCTTGTATCTGTAGTTCCGCGATCCCATAAAGCACAAATGCTCCAGCGTGTGAGGTGCGCCGGAGTCATCCAGGATCTCGGTGGCCAGAACAAAATAACCTGTAACTTTGGGACCTTTCTGGTCAATGACCACTACCCTCATGCCTGTTCTCTCGGATTCATACTGAACAAACTCGCTAGGCGAGTAGTCCGGCTTGAACCTTTGAAGCAGCTTGAAATGGCTGTTTTGACTGGGTGACATCTTGCTGAATGACCTTGCGAACCTTGGGAGATGCGCTTGAAAACCAAACCCGGTGGTCACTCCCCGCAGCAATGATCTAGATAATCGTCAGCACTTCATGGACAAAGAAACCACTTGTTTATGGGTGCGAGTATAATAGTATTGGAACTAAGGGAGCTAGCAATGGGGGGGGTTGAGGGGCCAGAAAATCAAAACTTGAGACGGGGAATGCACTCATTCCATGACTGAACTACCAGTAGCAAGATGAGGGGTATTAAAAACTGCAATAATATGACATAACGAGGGCCACGAAGCATGGTGCATGGCTCCCAAATCCTATGGGAGCCAATACAGGGCCGCCTGGAGGAACTGGCTGTTCGACTGAGACAGTGGCGGAGGGGCAGCTTTCCTTTTTTTTTTTTTTCTTTTTCTCATTTGCTTTTCAATTCTTGAAGCAGAGGGCTAGCAACATGGACTCACATGGATCGAGAAGCGTGTGCCCAAGTCAGGCCTCTCAAGGAAAATAGAGACAACACGGTGGACTCTGCTTGACACTGGAAATTGTTTCAAGAAGTTCGTGGGCACAGTCGGCCGCTGGACGAAGGTTTCCTCCAGCTGTGACGGTTTCGGAGTGGAGTTTGGGTTCCCGTCTTGATAGAGCTCACCATGCCAACAAATCTTCAAGGAAAAACAGCGCAAAAATGGTCCCTGAATGTCTTCATAGGACACTTAGCTAGGAATATTAGCAGTCGATCGCACACACCGACCAGCGACCACTTTGTCCGGGGGATAAGGAGAGCCTCGTTCGAGTCCTTGCCTGTCGCGGCCAAGGCGGTGAGCGGTGAGGTCACATGGCGGTGTTGACAGCTCGCCTTCCCTTTCCGCCGCCGGTGGTGGTGGCTGACTTAACTATACTATAGTCTACCTCCGCAGGCTAGATTATCTGGAGTCATACCAGGGAGGCCTTTCGGGGAGAAGTCGGGTATTCGCTCTCAATCTACACTGTTTTTGTCCTCCTCCCCGCACCTCTATTCTCCCCGCAAGTCGAGAGCTTTTGCGTGGGTCGCTACTCGCTTCGCCATGTCGGGCAAGGCATCGGAGCAGGAAATCAGCCAGTCCGTGCTGGATTTCGTGAAAGATGGTGCCTATCCGGACTCGGAGCTCATAGTCGCCTCTGGCTTTCCTATATCTATCCTATCGAAGGAATTGGAGCTCATATCCAAAGCTAGGGAACAAGTTGAAGTGAGCAGGAAGACCCCGCACCTACCATCTTCTATCATAGTGTATACTAAATCACGATATGCAACAGGCCGAAATCAGCTTTCTTAGTCGCGAGAATAACTTCGACGCTGACGGTTGGATCTCGCAAGCGAAACAGCTCCACGCGGACATCGAACGGTCCAGAGTCACTGCCCGGGAGATTGTCGAGCAACATGAGAAAACGAATCCGCTCCAATTGAGGGTGGAGGACGCCTCCGCCAAAGTTGACTTGATCGAGACCGAAATTGCGTTCAACCAGGCCGTGGCTAGTGCTTTAAAGGAGGTACAAAGTCTCTGTGGACAACTCGATGAGGGTCGGACAGCTCTTGATGAGGGCCGCATCATGCCAGCTATTGAGATATTGGAAGCTACTGAGCAGGCTATCACCCAAAGCAGTCACTTTTCAAACACGAATGTCCTCCATATCTTGCTGGAAAGTGTTGCTGGGCTGCGGAAAGATGTTATGGAGGCTGTTCGTAATCGTTGGAATAAACAACTTAACATTGACAAAACGGAGGGAAAGATGGTTGTATCGGACAACGACGGTATGTTGTCGCGTATTACCTACCACTTCTGTTTCACTCTGGCTAAAACGTATCTAGGCGATTCTTTGGAAGAGACTATTGTGGCTTTGACTAGGCTACAGATGTTCTCTGCGACAAGAGATTTGTTTCAAAAGGACGCGATGTCCAGTATAGTTGACCCTATCTTGCTGCCTGCTGTGCCTGAATACAGTCACGGACTCCGCATTTCGGGATCTTCAATTCACCTTGAACCGCAGCCATCAACTGCCTCGGTTTCGGAGCTTCTTGACCGCATAGTCAACGTTCTAGGCTTTATGCGACAGTCCCTGCCACCATCAATTGCGGACTCATTCTCGGATATTTTCATCCCAAATCTGTCCTCAAAAATAATCGAATTCTGGTTGTCACCTGCGATCCCAACCGAACTGGAAGGCCTGAAACAATTCGAGGAAAACCTCGATCACGTCCTCGAGTTTACGAAAACCGTAGAGAATTACGGCTGGCATGGCCAAGAAGAACTGGTCTCTTGGATTAATCATGCCCCTCGCCTCTGGTTGGCTAGACGGCGGGTGGATTCATTAGACCAGGTTCGCAAAATTCTTGCTGCTTCCCAAGGTATTACAGAACAAGTTGAGAGGGTTGAAGTTGAGAAAGTCTCCGAAAGCGATGGAGCCTTACTGGAGAACGCTACATCTGATGACTGGGATGCTGGCTGGGATGATGACAATGACGACGGCTCCAAAGAGAAGCAGGCTGGTATCAAAGAAGATGAAGAAGATGTGAGCGCATGGGGACTCGACGATGATACCGAAGAACACAACACACAAGTCAAACAAACTACGGACGATGACGATGAAGGCGATGCTTGGGGCTGGGGGGACGATGATGAAGAACAACCTACTGATAATTCACAGCCCAAGGCGTCGGTTGCAACTAAAACTGTTAATGGTAAGGGAGCAGCTCAGCATGCCTCTCCGCGAGAGGTCATCTTGAGAGAAAAGTACACCATAACAGACATTCCCAACTCTATACTGGGGGTTGTCAGGCAGCAAGTGAAAGACTCTGAGGTTATATCTCAACCTGTGTAAGTATCTCTTGACAACATTGTCTGTTTCAGTCTTGATCACTTACATGTCACAGACACAGCCATTCACGTATCATCTCCTCTGGAACGGGACTTCTTGCCCTTCCAACCCTGATACTCGCAATGTTCAAAGCCACTGCGTCGACTTTCTACGGCCTCAAATTGAGCTCTGGGCAGATGTACTTGTATAACGACAGCTTGTACCTCGCTGACCAAGTGCGTAATATCATGGAGGAGCACCAACTCACAAGACTTCAGACGGATATCGACGCACTTGAGAAATTCGGCAAATTTGCCTACAGCAAGGAGATGCAGACTCAACGCACGATTGTCACTGACCTGCTCGATGGTGCACAGGGTTTCAGTCAATGTTCGGAGCAGCCATTCCTTGGTGAATGTGAGAACGCAATTGGCGCAACTGTGGACAGAATCCGTGACGTTTTTAGAGAATGGCAGCCGATTCTATCACATTCTGCGCTTCTGCAGTCGATTGGCTCCCTGGTATCAACGATGATCAGCAAGATAATCATCGAGATTGAGGATCTAGGTGACATCTCAGAACCCCAATCCCAGCGGCTTGTGTCATTCTGCAACCAAGTGACCCAGTTAGAGGATCTGTTCATACCAGAGGCCTTGGACAACACCGAACGTTTGCCCATGACGGCCGTCTACGTAAGAAATTGGCTGAAGTTCCAATATCTCGTCAATATTCTGGAAAGCTCTTTAGCTGATATCAAGTTCCTTTGGGTGGAAGGAGAGTTGCGCCTCGAATTTTCGCCAGAAGAAGTGGTAGATCTGATTGAAGCTCTTTTTGCCGAATCCGACTACCGACGAAAGGCAATTGCGGATATCCGAAGGGCATCCCGAGGTCAATGAAGTTTTCAATTTCATATATGTATATAAAACTTGGAGATAGCTAGCCATTATCATTCTTACTCATAGATTCATAATGGTGCCACTGTAGTGTTGTTGCCGCGGGGGATCTCCGCACTTTGCACATGTGGCCGCGTCGGCCGCCGTATTTTTTTTCCTCACTCGGCGGAGTTTTCTCGAGTGCGACTTGATGCGCTTGAGATCACACTGCTCATATCCCCTTTGAATTCACGCAATTTCACTATGAACGGGGCTCAGGATTCGGCCTCTGTTGCGGCCTCGTCCCAGTCGGCGCAAAGACAGGTGCGAGTGCAGCTTGTTAGCAAGCAAGAAGATATTGCGCTGCCTGAGAATACCGGCCCCATTTTGGTTCCCACAGGTGAGAAGATATTGCGACCGGTTCCCATGTCTCTGCTCTTGGTTCGCAATTTGACTCGTTTATTTCTGTAATCTCATATAGGCCTGCGGAGATATGCGCTTTCCACTTTGGTGAACAACCTCTTGAGCAACGAAAAGCCGATCCCGTTTGAGTTTTTGATCAACGGCGCATTCCTTCGAACTTCGATTGATGAATATTTGACCGCCAATGGCATCTCTGCGGAAACGACCCTGGAGATCGAATACATTAGAGCACTAATTCCCCCGCTGCATATTGCCTCATTCGAGCACGATGACTGGGTTGGCTCGGTGGATGTGCTCTCTGCGACCTCGCCCGCCGCTTCTTGGGCCTCTGCGGCCATTTCGCAAGGCCAGGAAAGGATCCTGTCTGGAAGCTACGACGGTCTTCTTCGCGTGTGGAACATGTCTTCTCAAATAGTCGCAACCTCCCCATCTCCCGCCGATGGAGGACACACCGCTTCGATCAAAGCTGCCAAGTTCGTTTCGCCAACTTCGATCGTCTCGGCCGGTCTTGATCGCACCGTGCGGCTGTGGAAGTATGCAGAGAGCGAGGATGGCTTTTCCGGAAAGATTTCTCCTCAGATTGATCTCTACGGCCATAAGTCTGGTGTCAACTCGTTGGCCGTGCATGCGCCTTCGAACCGCATTCTATCCGCCTCATCGGACCATACCGTTGGCTTCTGGTCGACAAAGAAGTCGGATGCCCCTGCTGCGCCCGAGAACCTGGTTCCTTCTGCTGCATCGCGAAGCTCCAAGCGCAGAAAGGTGACGTCTTCTGTCAGCACCCCTCAGCGTGGTCCGCTGGCACTGCTGTCATCCCACACTGCACCGGTGTCGGCTGCGATCTTTGATGCCAAAGACTCTACAGTCGGCTATTCTACTTCTTGGGATCACTCCCTGCGTACGTGGGACTTGGTTACTGCTGCCTTGGTTGACACCAGAACAACATCTCACTCGCTGCTTTCTCTCGAGCATCTCCCCGAACACCACCTTCTTGCGACCGGAACTTCCGCCCGTCACATCACCCTCATTGATCCCCGCACATCAGCTACGACCATCTCCACTATGACCCTAAGAGGCCACACTAACGCTGTGGTTTCATTGTCCCGTGATCCTCACAGCAGCTACGGTCTTATTAGCGGAAGTCACGATGGTACCTGTCGGATTTGGGATATTCGGTCTACCAAGACCGACAAGGATGGTGTCGTTGGTGAAAGTGTATACTCGATCACCCGGAGAAGCCTGGAGGAGCAAGGCAAAGTGGACGTCAAACGAGTGGGTGGAGAGGGAGTCAAGGTCTTCGGTGTGTGCTGGGACCGTTCAGTTGGAATTGTCAGTGCGGGTGAGGACAAGAGGATCCAAATCAACAGGGGAGAAGGAGTGTTGTCTTCCGCATAAGAGAAAAATGCACATATGGTTTTGGCGTTCTGCTTCTAGGATGAAAAGTTTGGTTCTGGCTATGGTTGAACAAGCTTTGTATAAGCCGGTGTTACCTTTTACCCGCAATATATCATCAATTGCTTCAAAAACACGTAAATACGGCAGTGCCACATGATTATGTCTTTACCTAGGTGTTTCATTGTCTACGTACAATAAATTTTGAAGAAAGAGGAAATGAAGCCAATACACTAAATTACAGAGAACAAAAATATAACGCCATTCCATGCCCTGACGAGAAAGAGATCGGACGCGAGACCCAATGGGTAGATAATATAACATCGTATCCAGCTCAAAGCCTTCTCTCCATGCGGTTGAGCTTGACGGCAGTTTTGGTCTAACCATCACGTTAGTATATTGTTCAATCTTGAATCTTACTCCAACCATCGCCGCCAGGGGGGAACAGGTCCAGCGCCCTCCATGGGGAAATATGCCGGTTAACAAGAAGAGACAAAAACCAACCTGAGTTCTCGTCCTCTGTCCCCGGACAGGCAGACCGAGCGCATGACGCCGACCACGGTATGTTCCCGTCTCCTTCAGGCGCTTGATGTTATCGAGGACCTGTCTCCGGAGATCATTCTCGATTTTCATTTCGGACAACGCGGCCTGGATATCGAGAACCTGCTTGTTCGCCAATTCTCCGATCTTACATGTCGGGTGGACGTGGAATCGGGCTAGGAGACGCGTCGAGTGGATTTTACCGACACCGAAGAAGGTCTCGAGCGATTTCTGAACTCAGTCAGACGGGATTTCGTGGGATTGATAGAAGTTCGGAGGTGCTTGCCTTGACGAGGTTTCGCTCGGGGAAGTTGACGCCCAGGATGAAAACCTGATTGCTTGTTAGCGGTAGTCCTGATATCAGTAATCTCGGATGGTAAAAATACCATTTTGACCGGTTCAATGCGTTTGATCCTTGGAGAGAAGGACGGGGGTGGCTTCGGTTGATGATGCACTGCGCTACACTCACCTCTATCAAACGCCGCAGTTGGCTCAATCGAGCCCGGAAGAAATCAGCCAGTAACAACGTTTCTCCGCGAGAAGGAGCGTAATTTGTATCCAAGATTACAACGGCTGCCTGGTTTTCAATACAATTTGCGCCAAAGTGGGTGGGAACGTTCACCGTCGGAACGCCAAATTACGCTCGAGCTATACCCGATCAGCTCTGGCGGCCTTGGCACCTCCGCAGTAATGCAAGCTGGCCTTGATCTCCCAAACGATTGCTCCTTGAATCTCCTGCGCTTCGAAGCAATTGGAAGAAGTCTTCTACGTCGAAGACATCCTCAGCAACCATGAATTTCAGAAACCTTTTCCTGTCCTTCTTCTTGGTCCTGGCGGTCGGATTCGCTCTTGTCCACGCCGAAGAAGACAAGCCCCGGGGCCCAAAGATCACCAGTAAGGTACGTCGTATAGCTAACATCTTGGGCGCTTGCTGTCAATGTTCTAATTGAGTTTACACACAGGTGTACTTTGACATCGAACATGGAGACAAGCCCCTGGGAAGAGTCGTGCTTGGACTGTACGGCGGCTCCGTCCCCAAGGTAAACATCATCATACCCTTATAGTTTCAGGGACTCATACTGATCAATCTGCCCTATTTAGACCGCTGAGAACTTCCGGTATGGCTTCCGCAGTCGGGTTTCAGGAGCTTTGTTCCATGCTGACATCAATCGTTTTCAGCGCTCTGGCTACTGGCGAGAAGGGCTTTGGCTACGAGGGGTCAACCTTCCACCGTGTCATCAAGGACTTCATGATCCAGGGTGGTGATTTCACTCGTGGTGATGGTTAGTACACTTTCCGATATCACATTGACAATAAGTCTGCTGTAACATGCTGACCCTTCATACAACAAGGCACTGGCGGAAAGTCGATTTACGGCGAGAAGTTTGAGGATGAGAGCTTCAAGCTTAGACACACCCGCAAGGGACTTCTTAGCATGGCCAACGCCGGCAAGGACACCAACGGATCCCAGTTCTTCATCACTACTGTCCCTACCCCGTAAGCCTACCCCACTTTTGTTTCAGAAAGAACAGCCGGCTGATTTGCTCCATTAACAGATGGCTCGATGGCCGCCACGTCGTCTTCGGTGAGGTGCTCGAGGGCTACGAAATTGTCGCGCAGATCGAGAACGTCCCCAAGGGCCGTGGTGACAAGCCTGTGGAGACTGTCAAGATCGTCAAGAGTGGAGAACTGGAGTCGGAAGACAAGCCTGAGGAGAAAGGTAGCAGCCACGAGGAGCTGTAGACCTCTTCCCTCGGGTCTCAGCGTGCTACTGGATGAAACCATGATGTGCTGATTGCTTGTAAAGAATCGAGCTCTGAAGAATTGGCACAACCTTCAGCAATGCCAGTTATTCCCTCTCCAACTCCCATGCCAATGACGTCTGACAACACTCCCTACATTTTCCCGAAGTTCGCAGGGCTCGCCGTTGTCGTTGGTCTCGTGTTCTTTTTGGTCCGATCCCTCAAGGGGCAGGAAGAGAAGGCTGAGCGAAGCATTGTTTGAGGTACATTAGTATCAATACTTCGTCAAAGAGATATACCAAATACAAGCAGTCAAAACACCGATATCGTCTTGCAATGTGTATCATGAATTCATTATGCTTAACCTCGTAAAGGTACATGTAGTTGGTATAAATTGCCCTTACAGCTCATTCCAGATCAGCCGTGGCGAATGCTGTCAATAATACTTTGTACAGAACTTCGGGTTAGCAATGAGATCATCTTTCGACGGGTGGCAAGGTGTGAAGCGGCTTGGCCCCAATCATAGCACTTTGGTAATCTCCACTGGCAGACAGCGGCAAAAGTCCACCCATATCGTCGATGTGGGACGAGTACGACATCCCTACCTTAGTACTTAGTAGGTGCGCCTACTACCTCTTACCTACAAAGTGCTCGCTCAAAAAATGTACTGTGCAGGTACAACGGCAATCGAACGCAGGCAACGAAACCCCTCGATTTTGACATTTCATGATATTTCGGATGTTCCTTAGTAAATATGTTGCGATAATCACTAGTACATGCTCACAAAGCTCCTCCATTTTTACAATACCTGTTGCGCGTTTTCTTCATCGATTGTCAGTGGCTTGATCACGACTTTACTGCGTACTACTACTTAGATAGCAGATGCAAACCGAGGCCGATAAGGACGGTGTGTGTGGAGGCCACCCCAGTTGCGGAGAACCGGTGGATAAAAGGAAAAAAAACAATCCGCAAGATATGGGTTTGAAATCATTTCACCCTGCTTGATTGATTCAAAATGATCTTCGCTATAAGACCTATTTCATCGGCTTCTTTCCTTCCATTCTCTCTATGATTCGGGGTATGCCACTTGTCTATGATGTTCGTTTTATTGGATGAGCTTTTTTCACCGGCTTTGAAGACGCGCAAAGTACGCTGGCGGGTACATGCACTACGACCTTGCGCCCCGTTTCCTGCGTATTCCAATTTACTGACTCGGTCACAACTTATAGCTATAACTTCCGCTGGGAAGCTTTCTGGGATACTAGGCTACTTGAAAATGGGGCAGGAGGTGCTTCGTATGTTGTAACTATATAGCCTTGTGGAGTGTTGTTTGCATGAGATTACATAGGACACTGGATGGATCAACTTGAGTAGTGGCCCGGGATAAGACTACCCTGTAGATTATCGAGTATTGTATGAAAGCCAAGGTAATATCACCAAGATACCGAATTTCCTTCATGACATCGAAGCCATATCAGATGCGAATTGCATTGTACCGAGCAAGCCAAAGCAGGGCTTTCCAAGACGCCTTTGCTTGCTAATAGCAGATAAGTACACAGTACATATTGACCGCATACAACAGGTACTTGCACTAGGCAGTGATCGCGCATTCGATTGTACTGTGTAAGTAACCAGTTGGGCATGCAGAATGATGCCAGAGTCACGTCAGTATTTATAGAAAACACTCCATCGTGTCGACATTGGGTGAGAATACGAGATTACACTCGGGCATATGCATTCGCTCTGACTGCAAGCAAATGAACCTACAGAAAAAATCGAGGTCAAAGTGCTGGGTGCTGCGATAAAGTACGGAGCACCCATGTAGGTACTTGGTTTGTACTGTAGAAGCCGAGGTCCAGCAAACGATGCCAATGTAAATGATGCGGCAAGGAGGCGCTTGGCCTGAAGAGATCATACACCACGTGACCGTAAATAATACCGTCCATACGGTATGGTAGATCGTTTGCCTCAGGCAATGACAAGAGATTTTATTTGACCGCGTCAGATTGGTCCAAAACAGGATCAACTGGTGAAGCGCGCCCCGACCGACCTGGTTGTACTACTGCTAATAAGATCTACCGGTAGTACTCCGTAAATACACGGTTCTTGGTGCGTGGGATCTTGGCCCATCAATCCTGGGATGTCAAGAGTGTTGGTACTCAATAATATAGTATGAAGAGATAGATTCATCTGAGAAGACATAAGGTGCGATGTAATCAAGCCTTTCAGAATTAACCAGCCTTGACAGTGCCATTCACGACTGCAGTAGTATTATGATAACCCACGGTAAAAAAGAAGAGGGCAAAATAGACAGGGCCCAGCCCATCACCATCTGGCAGCGCACCGCCAGTCCGCGCCACCACTCTGTTTTAGTTTAGGTTTTTTCAGTTTTGATTTTTCATTTTTTTTCACGCCTTCCACCTTCCCTCTCCCCTTCCCCCCTCTGCCGGCTTGCCCTCCTGCTGCTTCGCTTCTTTTTACACGCTGAACCGTTTTTGGCCCGGGTGTCCCCAATAAATCCATCGCCGGGCTGCCAATAAGCAAGCAAAACCTTGCCAGTGCGCCAGGCCTGCCAACCACTACCAGTGCATAACTCCCTTAGTTTCGTAGTCATCCTTCTTTGCCTCTCCTCCCCGTTCTCCGTCCCACAAACCTTCCTCCTCTTCCTACTTCTTTTCTTCTACCATCCTCTAAACCCCCCCCTCCCTCCCCTCCTAATCCAGACTGGTTTCGATTTTTTTCTCCAATATCTCCACATCGTATCCCATTCTCTTCCCTTCCCCCCCCCCTTTTTTCTTCTTTCTTTCTACGCTGTAATAGAGGATTAGATCTGGGAGATCGTCTTGTTCTTCTTTTTGTATTTCTCCCCAAGGTCTTTCTTTACCTGTGCCTCGTTCGCACTGTGTTACTCTTCTCTTATTTGATTCCCTGTATTGCCACTCGATAGAGACACGGGGATTTTTCTTCTCACGGTTTCTTTCCTTTTGTCCAGCTTTGTACAGAAGAAAAGAAATTTTCAGTGTTAAACGACAGCGAACAACGTCTTCGCTTCCCAAATACATCTGAAAAGTGCTCCGCTTGAATCTCAACACAGTACGTCCTCTGGCCGACTCGTGCTACGCCACAAAAAACAGCTACTTATCTGTCCCGTGTTCGCAGTCCGAAATACCGCAAATATGGCCGACGGCTTGAAGATGGGAAACCTCTCCCTTAACGAGTCTCAACACGCTCCTGCCCCCCAAACGGGTCGCGCCGCCTACATCCCTCCCCATCTCCGCCAACGCCAGATGGGTGGAAACATGGACGGTGCCCCTGCCCCTGCTCCTGCTGGCCCTGCCCCCGTTGCCCCTACTGGCCCTGCCGGTCCTGCCAACTCCTGGGCTTCTAGGTATGTGATCTTCATCCTTCCCTGTCCCGTCTCTCCATCAGTAATTCAGTCGTCTTCAATGACTGACTTGCTTGATCCTGCAGAGGCGGTCCTCGCGGCGGCAACTGGGCTAACGCTAACGCCCCTGATTTTAGCCCTCGCGCCCCCACCAACGGTAACACTAGCTGGAGCCCTCAAGAAGCTCAACGCCGGCCCTTTAACCCAAATGCTTACGGAAACCCAGGTCACGGAGGCGGCTCCTACGGAGGAGGAGGTGGTGGTGGTTCTGCCCGAGGCTCTGGAGATGGCCAGTGGCGTGACGGCAAGCACATCCCCGGCCCTGCCAACGCCCGTGTCGAGCGCGAATTGTTCGGTGTCCCCAACGACCCCACCAAGCAGAACACCGGTATCAACTTCGCCAACTACGACGACATCCCCGTGGAGGCTTCCGGTCAAGATGTTCCGGAGCCCGTCAACGCATTCACCAACCCCCCCTTGGATGACCACCTTATCGCGAACATTACCCTTGCTCACTACCAGACCCCCACTCCCGTGCAGAAGTACTCCATTCCCATTGTCATGAACGGTCGTGATTTGATGGCTTGCGCTCAGACTGGTTCCGGAAAGACTGGTGGTTTCCTGTTCCCCATTTTGTCCCAGGCTTTCCAGAATGGACCTTCCCAGGCCCCCGCTCAGGCCGGTGGTCAGTTCGGCTATGGCCGTCAGCGCAAGGCTTACCCGACTTCCCTCATCTTGGCTCCGACTCGTGAACTTGTCTCTCAGATCTTCGACGAAGCCCGCAAGTTCGCCTACCGCTCCTGGGTGCGCCCCTGCGTTGTGTACGGTGGTGCCGACATCGGTTCCCAGCTCCGTCAGATCGAGCGCGGCTGTGATCTGCTGGTTGCTACTCCCGGTCGTCTTGTCGATCTTATCGAGCGTGGCCGCATCTCCCTCGTCAACATCAAGTACCTGATTCTGGACGAGGCCGATCGCATGTTGGACATGGGTTTCGAGCCCCAGATTCGTCGCATTGTTGAAGGCGAGGATATGCCCTCTGTCACTGATCGCCAGACTCTCATGTTTTCCGCCACTTTCCCCCGTGACATCCAGATGCTGGCCCGTGATTTCCTGAAGGACTACGTTTTCCTCTCGGTCGGTCGTGTGGGTTCTACCTCGGAGAACATCACCCAGAAGGTCGAGTACGTTGAGGATCACGACAAGCGCTCCGTTCTTCTGGATATCCTCCACACTCATGGCACAACCGGTCTGACCCTCATCTTCGTTGAGACCAAGCGTATGGCCGACTCTCTGTCCGACTTCCTTCTCAACCAGCGCTTCCCCGCCACCGCTATCCACGGTGACCGCACCCAGCGTGAGCGTGAGCGTGCCTTGGAAATGTTCCGCTCCGGTCGCTGCCCCATCCTTGTTGCCACTGCTGTCGCTGCTCGTGGTCTCGATATCCCCAATGTCACCCACGTCATCAACTACGATCTGCCCACCGACATCGACGACTACGTCCACCGTATCGGTCGTACCGGTCGTGCGGGTAACACCGGTATCGCTACTGCCTTCTTCAACCGTGGCAACCGTGGTGTTGTCCGCGACCTGATTGACCTTCTGAAGGAGGCTCACCAGGAGGTTCCCTCGTTCCTTGAGAGCATTGCTCGCGAGGGCAGCGGATATGGCGGTCGTGGTGGTCGTGGTGGCCGTGGCCGTGGCTCCTCGAATGCTACCCGCGACGTGCGTCGTATGGGCGGCGGCATGGGCGGCCCTCCCTCCTTCGGCGGCGGCGGTGGCAGCTACGGTGGAGGCGGTGGCAGCTACGGCGGCGGTGGTAGCTTTGGCGGTCCCCCCTCTTATGGAGGCGGTGGTGGTGGTGGCTACGGCGGCGGTGGTGGCGGCGGTGGCTACGGTGGTGGTGGTAGCTACGGCAACCCGTCCGGCCCTACTGGACCCTCTTCCTGGTGGTAAACTATTTACTCGCCTACGAAAGGTTGTGGTCTCTGACGAGGCCGTCGGGTCTGATTGGCTCCTTCTTCCTCCTTTGCCTTTCCTTTAACGGATACGATCAGAACGAGCCCTGAGTTTTCTATTTCCTCTTTTCCTATTTTCTCTCAGGACCGGCTTTGTCATGACCGCCACGACATCATCTTAGATACGCTCTAAGGATTTTCTTTTTATTTTCCTTTTTTCTGTTATTCTATGTGCTGGTGTTTCTGCTGCTGAGCATTTTGCCAATGTCGTCTATTTATTGCTCTGTTTTAGACATGGGTTTTCGATGCGGTCCGATGTCCCCATCTCGTTGCTCCAGGTTATACACGCTAATAATCGTGAGCATCCGGGTCGGCATTGCATGGATATCATAGAATGCGTTGTCTTTCTCCTGCGACCGCTCCATCAGATACCCTTTTTGTTCTCTGGCGGCCATGTGGAGATCCGCTTGAACGACGCGTGCCGAGCGAGAGTGCCGGCTTTTCGTGTTCAGAAAAGTGCTTTTTATGATTTGTCCCTGCTTGGTGCTAGGCAGCTGCATCGACCGTGTCTCGCGAATAGATTTCTTACAGTTTCGGTTTCTCATGGCGGGTTTTCTTCTTATTCCGTTTATTTCGTCCATCCATGCTTTTTTCTCTGGCTGTGTCACTGCTTCTGCTCGGGATGTTTTCCCCCCTCCTGAGCTGCATGTCGACATTCGACGAAAAGAAACGCCAGGGTCTCGGGAAATTTCTCTCTACGGCCATGAGCTTTGTTTGATGAGCATCGGTTTCTATGCACGGCATCAATGAACGGTGGTGCACAAAAATGGGCATGCGAATGATAGAGATGGGATTCTTCTTTGCATTGTGTATGGCGTTGGCTTGAGCTGCGGTGTCCACAAAAATATTCTCTGCACCGGGGTCCGTGGAATCTAACATTCAATGGGGTCTTCTTTATGTGGTTCATTTCTCGGATCCTTGGAGGATGGGATGCTGCTTTGCTGGCGCTAAGTGTATGTATCATCGTCTCTTGTCAGTTAGCAGGTTGGGCTCAACGGAACTGCCGAAGACGCCCTGCTTATGGAGACTACGTGTCTCAAAGAGAAGGGAGCTAGTTATTCTCTGTTATTAAAAAAGTTCGAATGTACTCCGTACGATCTAATCCGTACTCCTGGAAGGGAAATAGTAGTAGCCTGGATTGCGTTATAAGAGGGATCATCTGAAGAGGATCCGTACAGAAGCAAAGGACTGGTACATAGCAGGAATGCTCCAACGGATGACTTGGCACTGTAGCTGCATTTCTTTGGTCTGGCTCATCAGGGTGCTGTCAAGGTGGATTATCACTGATGTTGGTGAAGTCCACAGCCTTTCTTTCCTCTATGGATGGGCCAATCCCCGTTGGTTCAAATTGGAGCCGTGCACACGACCCGGGGATTCCAATGTAACCACACAACAAGCAATATGTGAGCGACTGCAAGTCATAAAAGTACTATGACAGCAGCTAGCACATGAGAGTACAGAGCTTTTAATTGTGTTCAGAGTATCCGCGGTCATGGCTTAGTGACATGGGTTCCCAGTGTAACCACCGTTATTTACAAGGTTAACTTAGTCACACCCGCCGCCTACGATCGGAGATCAGCCAAGGGAGCCAGAACAAAGTCACGGATCGTCCAGGATCACGTTCCTTTGCCCGCCTCCCAGGCTCTTCCTTTCCTCTTCACTTCCCTTCCGCGCCAATCTCACCTGGCTTCATTTTCCCATCTTTACCTTGTCGTCCTCATCCATCCGACCACGACTCTTTCTCCCATCCAGCCATCCAATCGGTCCTTGATCCAGCCGATTTCATCACCCTCACCTCTTTCCCCTTGCGCGACTTCCGCTTTCAGGGCACGCGGACGAGGAACTCCCACGTTGGAGATCTGGGACGCTCCGCACTACCTGACAACTCCAGAGTGGCATTGAGCTCTGGGATTATCCGACGCCCGAGATGGCCGAAGTTGAAAGCAATGCCGCAGACGAGTCCTTTGCGCAGTCAGAGCCTCAGGATGAGCAGCAAACTCACAACATGACGGTCGGCATTCGGCGCCAGGCGAACGGCACGATCGGCTCGGTCTATTCAGGAAACAAAATACGGCACCTGAAGAAAGAAGATGGGATTCCCCTGTGGCGCAAAGACATACAGTATCAGTTCCTCAAGCTCGTCTTTGAGGACCAAACCAAGGTCTTCACAAGGTGGCCAGATGGAGAGAAAAACATGGATTTTGCAGATATCTATATCGACGCGATGGCCAGGAGCAGCAAGACAAGTAAGATCCTGAAGGACAAGCTTCAAAATGACAAACAGGCGGCCATTAGCATGGCTATGGTTTGTTTGCTCGTCAACTTCGGACGGATGAATACCACGCTCAATTGTATGTCCTTCCTTAGATCTTTAACTTGCTGGCACCTTCTGTCTCGCGCACTACTAACTGATAGTCTTTAGTCTTCCCCGAGATGCGTGCCCAGCTGCGAACTTATCACTCCATCCCCTCCCTACAAGCCCACCAAGATCCCAATGCCTACAAGCAACTACAAGATGCTCCTCGTCTCAAGTCCATCCTCAAGGGTGCATCGGAGGATGTTGACCAGCCCAATACTCTCGATAGAATCAAGCGCCATGCAATCCCTCGCACAAACCCGGTAAACCTGATCTTCGTCCTGGCACAATTTGCCCCGAGGGTGTCCGAGATGCACTTCTTCCCTCCTCGCGACTTTTTCGACCTGGTTATGCGAGGCACACTCAGCAGTCGAAGCCGTGCGAAGGGTTTCCTCTGGCTAATGTGGTGGTATCTGGAGAGCGACTTCAGCGCTGAAGCCGCACTCAATAACCCGTTCGGCCCAGGTCTAGACGGTGAAGGGACCGGCGGCTTGCCTATCAAGGTCCCCCAGTTTGAAAGTCTCACTGAAGAACAGGCAAATGAAGAGAATGTCGACACCCAGTCCGAAATTGAATACGGAGAAGCTAAGCGCCTGGAACGTAAACGTGAGTTTTTCCATCAGTTTTTTTGGGCTGTACGTGAGCAATCGTTGACATGGATCTACAGGCATTTTGGAAGAAGATGAGCCTCTGCCCAGAGTAACCAAACGGTCCAAGAAAGGTAAATATTCCTCTCAGTCTGTTATATCGATTTCCCTTGCTGACTGTTTCTCTGATAGGCCTGCCAGACTTTGGCTTCGATGAAGACGGTTCGGGAGATATCTCGGGTAAGTTCACCCCCATGAGAAAGAACTCCCAGATAAACTAATAGATTTTATCTAGGTCGAGGTGATGGCCGTGGGTCCACTATGTCCACTCCATTGCATCCCTCGTCGAAGCGCTATCCGCAAGATGAAGAGGATGACTATCAAACCCCGGGACAATCTGCCCGGTCTCGTTACAAGAGACCCAAGCGGGAATCTTCTCTTAACCGTTCTGTTGGTCAGCAGCGTCTCATCTTAAAAACCAAGATGGAAAACACACCTGACGCTGCTTCTCCAGCTCCTCCAGGCTCTGGCCATCCCATCCTGAACCGGTTCGTCGCGGAACCTTCCTTACCTCAGCAGTCCTCCGCTCGCCGACCCCGGCCCCTTACCCAGCACCAGCTGGCTGTGGAGCAAAATCGACGACAGCGTATTGAATACCTTCTAGCCAAGCGGAAGAACGAGGCATATCGTATTCTGCGTGCGAAACGCGAGAGTGAAATCCCAATCGTCCGCCACGGCCGCTTGCTTTCGAATCTTCCTGAGGGTTACGACACTGACGATGAGGAAAACTCATGGGGTAAAGGTGGTCTCATCCCAAAACCGGAGGAAGAGGAAGATTTCGGTGAAAGTGCTAGCTACTTCCTGTCCGTTATTCGCAAGGCTTCTAGACGCTTGGACCGGTGGGACTTTGACGATGCCAATGGCCCGAAACGAGATCGCAAAAAGGAACGGGAACAGCGCCAGAAGGCAAGACAGAGCAGATTGGCCATGGAACACTCCGCCGATCTCACTGGGCGCGCCCCATCCTCGGCTCGTAGCAGAGCCCGGGCTGTACGCAATGCTAAGCGCAGGCGTACAATGGAAGCACTTATTGACGCCACGGACGCTGAGATGAAAGCAAAAGGTGAGATGAAGGCGCGGGGTATCACGAAATCTTCTCGTGCTAAAGCCAGCCGGGGCCGTGCCCAACAAGATGCTGAAGGTGCCAAGACGGACAACCCTGATGCCACTGAAGATGGCCTGGATGTGCCCTCCCGGGATCAAGAGCTCTCGCCGATGCCTGGCTCAGCTCAGCTGGGCGACGAAGACGGAGACCTTGAAGGTGAGGAAGGCCTCGATGATATTGATCGAGAACTCCTTGGTGAGGGAAGTGGCGATGAAGACGTGGGTCCGGCACGAAAAGTTCGTACATCACACCCAGCCGAACTCGGCTACGAGGACAGCTTTATCGGTGAGGGCGGCGATCCCGATGACGAAGCCGAAGCGCTTTCCTCCGATGAAAATGACGAAGAGGCCGACGATGATGAGCTAGATGAAGGAGAAGGCGACGTTGATGGAGACGACAACTCCTCTGTCTTGGAGGGCGGAAACGGATATGCTGCCAGTGACATCTCGTCAGTTGCCGGAGATGCCGCTGAGCCTGCCGCAGAAGCTGAAGACGATGAGGTTGCACGACCAGCGGAGCTGAAAGATGAGGTCATGGAAGACCACTAGGCACCCTGGTAGTCAACCCGGGGGCTGGTCCGGTTACTTCTTCGGCTGTATTCATTTCTTATGTCTACCTTTTATTTGCCTAAATTGTGTCTGCCATGTTCCACCTTACTGATGGTCTTTTTCGTTCCTTTCCTCTTTCTTCTTTGCCTTTTTTACCACTATTCCCTTCAAGCATGTTCATATCAGCTTGTCCTTAGTTACACTTGTCCTATTACTGCAGTTACAGACAATGTTTCAGTCTCGGTTCTATGTTAGTCTAAATACCAAATTCAACTGATAGCAACATATATCAGAGTGTGAGAGGCCGAACATGAGCCCCGGTATAACCTTCATAGCTCTCTCTAAATGGTTGAATACTGTAGTCATCTGAGGGGTTCAACATAGTCACCATAATAGTACGTCACAGGCCCCCAAGCAAACTGACGCGTAGAATTGCCAAAATGCCTCCAGATAATTGATAAGGAATGCAGATTGATCAAGTAGCTTGAATTTGATTTATGTTGAAACAAGAATGGCGATCAGTTTTCATTTATACCCGAGTTGGTTTTGTCCTTTCCGCCCATCAAGTCAGTAAGTAATCAATAAATAGACTAGATCGAGCATCAACATCAGTCCGCAAAAAAGTCCAGTTCCACCAGGACCTCAAATTGGTGACCAGGGGCTTATTCTAAAACTTCTGCCGATACTGCAATGGCTTTCCCCCCCTCCCCCTCCCCCTACCTCGATATTGAATTTTTTTTTTGAAACAGGCCGGTTCAATCACGGTTTCATGGGCATAACGGCGGTTGCCAGTCACGTTCACCCCAATTGGTTCGTCAGCACAACATACTGCGGGGAGTAGTACATGTTTGCCTACGTGGATGTCGCAGGTGGTCGAGCTTGGAATCCCAGCAATACGGGTGACGCATATCGCCTACCGTACGTACACCGAACCCGAAGCGGGGACCGTTGCGTTCCTGGCGGCTGCCGTCAGGATGGAGGTGCAGGGTGGCGCATGGAGAGAGCCGAAGTAAGTAGGTGGTGCCTTGGTGTCAATGATACGGGCTCTTACGTCCCCGATGACGTTTCTTTTTCTCCGACGCGATCTGCTCGAGGATACGAAGGATGGAAGGAATAGATAGCACCGAGGATACAAATGTATATATATTCGGTGCGTCGGAGAAGCAAGGGCCCCGTCGGGAATTCAATGCACAGACGGTATGAGGTACAAGGAAGCATAGTGTGCTGCATGGCTCAATTGTTGTTTTTGTTGGTGGTCTATTGACAACCAGATTGGTTGGGACGCCGAAGGCAAAGAAGGGAAGCTGATCCTCTCCGTGGTGGTCAGACCTTTTGCATGTGATCGCCGCCGCCTTTCGGGCGGACAGCCAGAAGAGGCCCGTGACGGCTTCCCCCAACATTCTTCTCTCTTCCCGTGCTTCAGTCCCAGCATTTCCTAGCATCTCTTAGCATCCATTGGGACCTCATTGTCGCTTCATTACTGCCTTCTATCCCCTATTACTGACAACCAGTCGACTCGCCATCCATCACCATCATCATCATCCTCCTCCTCTCCATAGTCCACAGTCCACTGTGCCCAGCAACTCCTCCCTCCCCCTCCCTCAGGGCGCCTCCTCCATCGCCGATCCCGCAAATCTCGCACCACCACCCCCCCCCGAGGTGCTGCTAATACGGTACAGGAGTGCTCCACTAGGCTGCTGGCACGAAACAGATCTGCCTCCAGCCTCTTCGTTATTCTTATTTGGCCGTCTGTGTGCTTGCAGTGTTGGCACGCTCCGACTGTTCCTGTCTCCTTTCGTCTTTCCCCACTTCGGACTCTGTTCAGGGTTCACGCCGACGGGACAACTGTTCCCAAGGACAATCCGACATAGCAGTATTTAAACGCCGGTGGGCTGACGCTGACCGTATCGGAGCCAGTGGAATACAATTCCTCATTACAGTGTTGGAAAGAAGGTTTTCGCATTTAGGTCAAACATTGGTCACCGTCTACTTCCCATCTCTCGTTTCCTCTCCCATCCCCACTGTTGCAATTGGATCACAGCATCCTATCTGTCATGTCTGACGAGCCTACGATTCTTCGCCCGCGTCCGCGACGCGTGTTCGACCTTACGCCGGAAGAGCCCTCCACCCCTGCTGAGCCTGCCAACCCGGACCTGCTGAACCCCAAGGACGGGAGCTCGTCCACCACCGTGAGCCGCAATGCTTCAATTATGAACTTGACGTCTTCGACCCTGTATGGAATCTACTCCCCCACGGCGTTTGAAAGTACCCGGGACGAGACCAGCCCCTGGGGGACAGAAGCCCACACACCTGAGCCGGGAAGTCCAAGGATCCAGCCTGAATTGCCTGCCCCGGGCAAGCTTCAGCGGACGCGGACGCGCCTCAGTCACGGCCTGTTTCGGGGACTCATCCTTCCGCAAGCGTTGAAGAGCGCTTTCTTGTTTGGCTTTGGCCTTGTTTACGGTATCATCACGATTCATCTTCACGAAAACCATTGGATTACCCCGGTCAAGTTGGAAAATACACACTATTACGGTTCATGGCAATACTTGGCGTTCTGGGGTGTGGCCGGTGTCGCCCTGGGGAATGTGCTCCCCTGGTTCGACCAGTTCTCGGACGAAGTGCTCGAAAACTCCAGGCAAGCAAAACGGTCTAGCGATGAAGAATCAGCGGACCGTACTCTTTCGTGGGTAGCGGTGGTTCGTAGTGTCGGTGCCTTTGTGGGGATCGCCTTTGCCATGGTAAGTGCTTTACTGCTGGCCTTCAAGACGCCCATTTGACGAGTCTAATTTGTGTTTCCACAGCGCCGCCTTCCTTGGGAATCCACGACTCAAGCGTCGGTGACCCTCGCTCTCGTCAACCCCGTGCTCTGGTACCTCATTGACCGTACGCGGACTGGATTTGTTCTGTCGACTGTCGTCGGTTTGGCCGGCATGGGTGTTGTCTTGGGACTCAAGCCAGACCTCGTGCCATCTGCAGAGACTTCCGTCCCCGCTGCGATTGTCTCGAACTTCACTGGAAAGGAATACGGGCTCGACATTGGAATGACCCAGGAGAGCATTGCAGTACGGACCTGGGTTGCCAGTGTCCTTTTCTGCGCATGCGTTTGCTTTGGAAACATTGGTCGGCAGCTTGCGATCGGAGGCACACACCAGGATTCGCTAAAGAAATAATGTGGCCACGAGGAAACTCCCTTACCCAACAACTAATTTAATAGCATCGGAAACTTTTGTATACCCAAAAAACCCTCCCCTCTTTTTTTTTTTTTTTTTAATCCATCATTACTTTCATGTACTTTCAAATTTGCCCCTTGAGACACGAAAGTGCACTACTAGATAGATGATTCTTGGGATGAAGGTCATGGTGACGAGGTAACGAAAATCGACTACGAAGTTTTCAATCACTTGCACAGTGAAAGAAAAAAGGGAAAACTTTTAATGTAGGGGTTGTAGAGTCAATCATTGCAGTTCCTTCCACCAAACTCGAGAGTTTAAGTCAGGTACTGCACCCAAGATCGACACTCTGCTATGAGCAGTTCTTCTCCATTCTGTATGACGATTTCCGTGCTTCATAGGCTATGCAAACCCCGTAGGGAAAGATATCCTCGCAGGAACGCTTTTTGAAGAACGTTGTTTTTTGCGTTGTTCATGAAGAAGAAAAGAAAAGAGTTTGGAATGGCGGCGGCCGCGCGAAAATTTTATAGTCGTCGCGGGTGGCCTGTGCGCTCCATCAGGTGACTGACGGCACGTGGTGCACATCTTCTTTCGTGTGCTGATGACTCATCCGACAGGTACATCTGCCGTATGCAGAGCGCTATGCCCGTCTGGGCCAAAGCACGGGTTCCCGCTAGCCAGTCGTGCTAGTTACAGAAGGCGGTTAGTAATCGATAGCATGCTGGTCACCCGCCTGGTCCGAAAGCGGCGAAGGACCCCGCGGCGGGACTAGAGAGAAACGAGAACAGAAGAGGTTCGCCTGTTTGCGCGAGATTATCATCGATAGGATTGGCCTGCCATCCAGAATAATTGTTTCGCCTTCCCTCTAGGCAGTGATACCGCGATCTTGGAGGTCGTTAATAATAATCCTACGACTTTTACTTCTTAACTTTCCTTTTCAACTTCCAAGGTGGGTACGTGCCCCTCCCCTACAGCACTGATGTCTGTTGCTCTCTGTGTGCGGAGCTCCCAATTGATCGTCCGGAGGGGTTGTGGGGGCTTTTATTTAACCTGAACAATTTTTCCCTCGTCATCACTCCTGACTTCTTGCTTCTCTCTGATCTAGTGTCCTCCTCGCCGTCTGTATCTCAGGATGTCTCAACATAAGTCTGGTAAGTCAATTGACGTCCCATCCTTTTTATTCTTTCGTTTGCTTTTAGGCTGGGAGCTTCAAGGGCCTTCCAAGTAGTGGACTTGGCCCGGTGCCTGTCCCCACATTTTGGCATTTCTGTTACTTGTGAGAATATCAAGGATCCGCGGCTGACTTGCATGCCCTCTTTGCAATTTATAGCCATCCTCTCCGTCTACGATAAGACCGGACTGCTCGACCTGGCCAAGGGCCTCGTCAAGCAGAATGTCCGTCTGCTTGCCTCTGGTGGTACTGCGAAGTTGATTCGGGAGGCGGGATTCCCCGTTGAGTGAGTCACCAGATTGTTATGGCCATGACTGGGAATTTGATTCCCATTGTCTCTCAAGGCCTTCGAACTGATGGTCGATCAGAGATGTCTCCGCCATCACCCACGCCCCGGAGATGCTCGGTGGCCGTGTCAAGACCCTTCACCCCGCCGTCCACGGTGGTATCCTTGCTCGTGACATCGAGTCCGACAACAAGGATCTGGCCGAGCAGAAGATCGCAAAGGTTGACTACGTTGTCTGCAACCTGTACCCCTTCGTGGAAACCGTCAAGAAGGTCAACGTTACCATCGAAGAGGCTGTTGAGGAGATTGACATCGGTGGAGTGACTCTCCTCCGCGCTGCGGCCAAGAACCACTCCCGCGTTACCATCCTCTCGGACCCCCAGGACTACCCCGAGTTCCTCAAGGAATTGGAAGCCGGTGAGATCACCGACGCCAGCCGGAAAGCCTACGCCCTCAAGGCTTTCGAGCACACTGCCGACTATGATACCGCTATCTCTGGCTTCTTCCGCAAGCAGTATGCTGGCAACGGTGAGCAGCACATCGCTCTCCGCTACGGCACCAACCCCCACCAGAAGCCGGCTTCTGCCTTCATGGCCCAGGGTAAGCTGCCTTTCAAGGCCCTGAACGGTTCCCCTGGCTATGTCAACCTGCTTGATGCTCTCAACGCCTGGGCTCTTGTCAAGGAACTCAAGCAGGCTCTCGGCCTCCCGGCTGCGGCCAGCTTCAAGCACGTGTCCCCCGCCGGTGCTGCCGTGGGTGTGCCCCTGAGCGAGAAGGAGCGCAAGGTCTACATGGTCGATGACATTGCGGGTATCGAGTCGTCCGGTCTGGCTCAGGCCTATGCTCGTGCCCGTGGTGCCGACCGTATGTCCAGCTTCGGTGACATCCTCGCCCTCAGTGACGTTGTCGACGTCCCCACCGCAAAGATCGTCTCTCGTGAGGTCTCCGACGGTGTCATCGCCGCCGGCTACACCCCCGAGGCCCTGCAGATTCTTTCCAAGAAGAAGGGAGGCAAGTACCTTGTGCTGCAGATGGACGAGAACTACACTCCTGCCGCTGAGGAGACCCGCACTCTGTACGGTGTCCAGCTCACTCAGCACCGCAACGATGTTGTGATCTCTCCTCAGAAGACCTTCAACACGGTCATCACTCCCAAGGAGCTGAAGAGCCTGCCCGAGTCTGCTCTGCGGGATCTTACCGTGGCGACCATTGCCCTGAAGTACACTCAGTCCAACTCTGTGTGTTACGCTCTGAATGGTCAGATCGTTGGCCTGGGTGCCGGCCAGCAGAGCCGTATCCACTGCACTCGTCTGGCTGGTGACAAGGCAGACAACTGGTGGATGCGCTTCCACGACCGCGTGCTCAGCATTAAGTGGAAGCAGGGTACCAAGCGCCCCGACAAGAGCAACGCTATTGACCTGCTCTGCTCCGGCCAGACCCCTCGCAGTGATGCCGAGAAGGCCGAATACGAGCGTGTCTTCGAGGAAGTCCCTGCTCCGTTCACCCAGGAAGAGCGGGACGCCTGGCTCGAGAAGCTGACCGATGTCGTCGTCTCCTCCGATGCTTTCGTGAGTACCATGTCCCTTGCGTTTGTCACAACTACTGACCGAAACCAAACAGTTCCCCTTCATCGACAACGTTTTCCGTGCCGCCCGCTCCGGTGTCAAGTACATTGCCGCCCCCAGCGGCAGCCAGAACGACGGAGCTGTCTTCGAGACCTCCGAGAAGCTCGGCATTACTTTTGTCGAGCAGGGCACTCGTCTGTTCCACCACTAAGCGCGGTATTGTTTTCCTTTACTGTAGTCAGGGTTTATCTTAGGGCCCTTCATATGATGATGCTTGCGTCTTTGTCACGACCTTAATACCTCCATCTTTAACGAAAGGAGACAGGCCTGTAGTAGCGATATCCCGAATCAAAAGTGCCTTCCTTGAAGTAACCTCATGCTACTATGAATCGTGAAGCTCCAATTTGCAACGTAGAGACCAACATACATGTTTGATCGGATAATCGACATGGGTGGAACAGACCACTAAGCATTTACGGTCTTTGTTTCCCAATATTAAACAAAGCCTTTCTTAACGCCTATTGTCACTTATCTCTTAGCATCTAAATCTCGTAGCCAGTCAGTCTTTTGTGGTTCGCGGGTTGAATTCGCGCGGGCACAATTTATTTAGTTATCAATTTCCATGTTTGTAATCGTAGTCTATTCTGTTTTTTTTTTAATGTGGTGGCTTTCTGTCTATTTTCGGTTCCATTGGCGTGGCAGTCTAGCAAAGCCCCGTCTGGGACACACCGATCTCGACCCAGTGGTCCAGCCGGCGCGGCCACGGTAACAGCCCGGAATGGGCCATTCCATTCCATACCATACCCAAGTGACAGAATCGCAAACGCAGGATAAATACCATTTCCATGTCATTAAACTGCCTGGATATATCCATCTAATGGTCGCGGTTTTGTTTGTTGCCCCCCCTGCTTGTTGGGCGGATGCAATGTTGATGTAGGTACCCGGTGAGTCGACTTCCTTCCTTGCTTCATCGGACGTTTGGCAGGTTGTTTGTTTTTTTTTTTGGAGCTGTGGTGCGACGACTTTGGGGGAGGGAGCTGTACAGGGTCGCTGTATAGCTTATATGTTACGTATACTGGGTACATGCGTGGTCAATTGCCAAACGTGGGGTGGATCTATCAGTAGTATGTCTATTTTGTCGGGACTCGGCAGATGCATATTTCTGAGCCGTTTGTCGGTCGGTCGGTGGCCTCTACATGCTAGAACAGATGCAATCAAGGGAAAGATTAGTTGAGTAACGAAGCAGAAAAATCATGATGAAGGCCAAAAAAATACTATTAAGAATATTTATCCACTTTCGCCAATGTCTATAAGGCAACTCTCCACTCACCTGGGAAATAAAGTGGCCAGGCAAGGGTCCCGTTCGCTGTTGTCATGCAGATAACCATGTGTGGCCTTACTTGACGTCATAGTGTTTATTTCGGGGATCTCGGAGGTGTTGGAAGACGTGGAACCGAACCACAACTACCTACAAAGTAGTACGGAGTACCAACGGCTGTGGCTCCGTTGCGGAATGGCATTCTCTGCTTGGTACGGAGGATAGCAGCTGTATACCGTAGGGATACATAGGTATATCGTGTTTCTACGCATTCGAGTATTGGGTTGTGGTATCATAAGGTACTCTAGCTAGCTGTAATGCCATCGTATTTGGGCCCAGCCTACCGGAGAGATCGCTTGTGGGTGGGAAAGAGCCATCAGGTCATCGGATTGTAGATTACTAAGAGGCTAATACTGATCTAGTAATTTCCACTCAGTGGGATAATGCATATTGTTGAGATGTCCCGGATTGTCTGCCCAAAGTGGAATCTTCTAGCTTGTATTGGGCTAAATATGCGGTCAATGGCATTTATAGAACCAGGCTATTGAGTGTCATCTAGATGCTACTGTGCTACCAGTAAAGTAAGAATTCAAATAGGTAGGGGTAGTCAATGAGACGAGACTGAGGTGTGTAAGACAATTTTCTGGCGATAGACAGGTCTGGATCCAAAGCTATTCTGAGGCCTGGGTGCGACACCCCCTCCAGGTAAGGCTAGAGTTTAAGTGGAGGCGAAAGTAGCTACTACATACTCATCGCCCAAGTCAGCAACACATTCAACTCTGGCTGGGAATATACAAACACAGTATGATACAATTGCAGTTGTTTAGAGGGTTGCGCTAGCACTACAATAGTTACCTATATTTTTTGGAACGTCATCTGGCTAGTAGATAGCACTGTTAATTGACACTAGATGTATAATGCTGGGGCAGCCCAAACTAATGATTTAAAGTAAGTTGGTCACCTAGGGTAAGTACGCTTACAATCACTGGCAGTCTTCAAGGTGCAGGTGAAGGTACTGGCTGTTTGTTGGTATATCCAAGTGAATCCACTCTGATTCACAGCATATTACCCATCAGAGAAGAGACCTGTATAAGATGGATGTGAAGCCCCCACGTGTAGCTTCGGAGAAAAAAAAAAGCAAGCATCCACCGGCCTAGAAGAAACTGCCCATTACTTTAACTTATCCTTGCCCAGACTCATTCCCGTATCACCTACTGCTACCCAGGCCGTTGGACCCAGACATCCGGCCGTCCCCCCCCTGGCTGCACGTGACGGGACCCCCATAAGCGACACCTCAGCAACGTCGCCCGCGCCGGCCTCCTGAGGTCACTTCCGCTTCCCCAGTCTCGCCTTCCTATTCCCCCAATCCCTATTCACCTTACCTTCTCCCCCTCTCCCTCACCTTCTCTTCGCCCTTTAATACCCTCAATTCCTCCTTCTTCCCTCCCTCTCCTTTCCTTTGCTATCCGGAGGATCCTTTTGCGCGGCGTTTTGTTGGGTGGATGTGGTCGTCCTGCGGCCCTAAGTAAATATGGCTCCTCTACCTATCAAGTTTACGGAGCTTCTTAATGTGAGTCTCCTCATCCCTCGACCATGATTTCGCGTGTGATCAATGGGCTAATCATCGCTTTTCTCTCCTCCAGTTGACGTCTGCTGATATTGTGGTATGTGTCGATGCTCCATAAGGCCACGGTCGTTCTCGCCCAACCCGCGAACGCGCCCGCTGGTCCCTCCTGACTGCAGTCAACCGTTTTACTTACTTTCTCCTGCCTCTAGCCGGCGTCGATTGGCTTCAATTCATGTGTGAGTAGCCCCCCTGGATTTCTCTCCTATCCGCCGTCAATCCTGGACGCAGCAGTGCTAATGACGACATCCCCGCTGGACAGACCTTAGAATCAGACCACTTCGTGTGCATTCGGCAAAAGCGTGACGAGGATGATAAACCTCAGGTTATCATTGTCAACCTAAAGAATAACAATGAGGTCATCAAGCGACCAATTAATGCCGACAGTGCTATTATGCACTATGACCGCAACATCATCGCGCTGAAGGCCCAGGGTCGCACAATCCAGATCTTCGACCTGACGGCGAAGCAGAAGCTGAAGTCGGCGGTTATGAATGAGGATGTTGTCTACTGGAAGTGGTTCAATGAGAAGTGCCTAGGCCTGGTGACGGAGACCTCTGTCTTCCACTGGGATGTCTTTGACCCTACCCAGTCTCAGCCCATCAAGGTCTTTGATCGACTTCCCAACCTGAGTGTATGTACATGCGATCGCGATTGGTTATGACATTCTCGCACATATACTGACTTGTTTATCTTGTCTTCAGGGCTGCCAAATCATCAACTACCGTGTCAACGACGAGGAAAAGTGGATGGTGGTGGTCGGAATCAGCCAGCAGCAGGGTCGTGTGGTGGGCTCAATGCAGCTTTACTCCAAGGAACGCGGCATCTCCCAGTTTATTGAAGGTCACGCAGCCGCCTTTGCCTCGATCCGCGTTGAAGGCTCTCCTCTTGAACACAAGCTCTTTACCTTCGCTGTTCGGACGCAGACGGGCGCCAAATTGCAGATCGCCGAAATCGACCACCAGGACCCGAACCCGCGATTCCAGAAGAAGGCTGTGGAGGTTTACTTCCCCACGGAGGCAGTCAACGATTTCCCGGTTGCCATGCAGGTATCCAAGAAGTACGACATTGTTTATCTGGTTACCAAATATGGCTTCATCCACCTCTATGATCTCGAGACTGGTACTTGCATCTTCATGAACCGCATCTCTAGCGAGACGATCTTTACCACTGCTCCTGACTCCGACTCCGCTGGTCTGGTCGGCGTGAATCGCAAGGGTCAAGTCTTGTCGGTTAGCGTTGACGAGAACAATGTTATTCAGTACTTGATGGAGAACCCGGCCATGTCCGGTCTTGCAGTGAAGCTTGCCTCCAAGGCAGGACTTCCTGGAGCGGACCACCTGTACCAGCAGCAGTTCGACAACCTTGTCGCACAGGGTAACTACGCCGAAGCCGCCAAGATTGCTGCGAACTCGCCCCGTGGTTTCCTCCGTACTCCGGAGACCATCAACCGATTCAAGAATGCTCCTCAGGGTGGACAGCAGATGTCTGTCATCCTTCAATACTTTGGTATGCTTCTGGATAAGGGTTCCCTGAACAAATACGAGAGTGTTGAGCTCGTCCGCCCCGTCCTGCAGCAGAACAGGAAGCATCTTCTCGAAAAATGGATGCGCGAGAACAAATTGGAAGGTTCCGAGGAACTGGGTGATATCGTTCGACCTTACGACATGAACCTAGCCTTGACTATCTATCTCCAGGCCAACGTGTCCCACAAAGTCATCGCCGGATTCGCCGAGACGGGTCAGTTTGACAAGATTCTCGCCTACTCGAAGCAGGTTGGTTACCAGCCGGACTACACCCAGCTCTTGCAGCACATTGTCCGCGTCAACCCCGAGAAGGGTGCCGAGTTTGCCTCCCAGCTTGCTAATGAGGAATCTGGTGCTCTCATTGATCTGGACCGTGTTGTGGACGTTTTCTTGTCTCAGAACATGATCCAGCAAGCCACTTCGTTCCTTCTGGATGCTTTGAAGGACAACAAGCCCGAGCATGGCCACCTGCAGACCCGTCTACTTGAGATGAACCTTGTTAACGCTCCTCAAGTCGCCGACGCCATCCTTGGCAACGAAATCTTCACCCACTACGACCGTCCTCGGATCTCCCAGCTCTGTGAGAATGCCGGGCTCATTCAGCGTGCGCTTGAAAACACCGAGGACCCAGCTGCTATCAAGCGTAACATCGTTCGTACCGACAAGCTCAGCACTGAATGGTTGATGGAATATTTCGGTCGTCTCTCAGTCGAGCAGACCTTGGACTGCATGGATACCATGTTGCAGGTCAACATTCGCCAGAATCTGCAGGCAGTTGTTCAGATCTCTACCAAGTTCTCCGATCTGTTGGGCCCCGCTCAACTTATTAGCCTGCTTGAGAAGTACCGTACGGCTGAAGGTCTTTACTACTACCTCGGTAGTATTGTCAACCTCAGCGAGGACCCTGAGGTTCACTTCAAGTACATTGAGGCTGCTACTGCCATGGGCCAGGTCACCGAAGTTGAGCGGATCTGCCGTGAGAGCAACTACTACAATGCCGAAAAGGTCAAGAACTTCCTGAAGGAAGCCAAGTTGACGGAACAGCTGCCTCTAATCATTGTGTGCGATCGTTTCAACTTCATCCATGACCTGGTTCTTTATCTCTACCAGAACCAGCAGTACAAGTCTATCGAGGTTTACGTGCAGCGTGTCAACCCATCCCGTGCTCCCGCTGTTGTCGGTGGCCTGTTGGACGTTGATTGCGAGGAAAGCATTATCAAGAACCTCCTTTCCACTGTTGACCCAGCCGTGATCCCTATCGATGAACTTGTTTCTGAGGTGGAGAGCAGAAACAGACTGAAGTTGCTTTTGCCTTTCCTCGAGGCCACTCTCGCCACAGGTAACCAGCAGCAGGCCGTTTACAACGCCCTTGCCAAGATCTACATTGATAGCAACAACAACCCTGAGAAGTTTCTCAAGGAGAATGACCTGTACGACACGCTTACCGTTGGAAAGTACTGCGAGAAGCGTGACCCGAACTTGGCATACATCTCCTACCGCAAGGGACAGAACGATCTCGAGCTCATCAACATTACCAACGAGAACTCGATGTACCGTGCTCAGGCACGCTACCTTGTCGAGCGGGCCGACACTGAGATCTGGACGTTTGTTCTCAGTGAAAACAACTTGCACCGTCGGTCACTGGTCGACCAGGTCATTGCAACTGCCGTGCCCGAATCGACAGAGCCTGACAAGGTGTCCATTGCTGTCAAGGCTTTCCTCGAGGCAGATCTACCTGGCGAGCTGATTGAGTTGCTTGAGAAGATTATCCTTGAGCCCTCGCCTTTCAGTGACAACGGCAGCCTGCAGAATCTGCTCATGCTCACTGCTGCTAAGGCTGATAAGGGACGCTTGATGGACTACATTCATAAGCTCAACGAATTCAGCCCCGACGAGATTTCTGAAATGTGCATTTCGGTTGGTCTGTACGAGGAGGCATTTGAGATCTACAAGAAGGTCAACAACTTCCTTGCCGCTGTCAATGTCTTGGTTGAGAACATTGTCAGCATTGACCGCGCACAGGAATTCGCGGAGCGCGTTGAATTGTCCGAGGTCTGGAGCAAGGTTGCCAAGGCTCAGCTGGATGGGCTTCGTGTGTCTGACTCCATCGAGTCATATATCCGCGCCGGCGATCCTTCGAACTACAACGAGGTCATTGAAACAGCGATTCATGCTGGCAAGGACGAAGACCTTGTCAAGTATTTGAAGATGGCCCGTAAGACCTTGCGAGAGCCTGCCATTGACACTGGTCTCGCTTTCTGCTACGCCCGCCTCGATCAGCTTTCCGAACTCGAGGACTTCCTGCGCACCACGAACGTTGCAGATATCGAAGCTTCCGGAGACAAGGCTTACGAAGAAGGTTACCACCAGGCGGCCAAGATCTTCTACACCAGTATCTCGAACTGGGCCAAGTTGGCGACGACCTTGGTGCACTTGGAAGAGTACCAGGCGGCTGTGGAGTGTGCACGCAAAGCCAACAGCGTCAAGGTCTGGAAGCAGGTCAATGAGGCTTGTGTTAACAAGAAGGAATTCCGCCTTGCCCAGATCTGCGGTCTCAACCTGATCGTTCACGCCGAAGAGCTGCAAGACCTTGTGCGTCAATACGAGCGCAATGGATACTTCGATGAACTTATCTCGGTCTTGGAGGCTGGACTGGGCTTAGAACGGGCGCACATGGGCATGTTCACCGAGTTGGGCATTGCCCTCTCCAAGTACCACCCCGACCGCGTGATGGAGCACCTCAAGCTCTTCTGGTCTCGTATCAACATCCCGAAGATGATCCGGGCCTGTGAAGATGCGAGTCTGTGGCCGGAGCTGGTGTTCTTGTACTGCCACTACGATGAGTGGGACAATGCTGCGCTGGCAATGATGGAGCGTGCCGCTGATGCCTGGGAGCACCACTCGTTCAAGGACATCATTGTCAAGGTGGCTAACCTGGAAATCTACTACCGGGCGCTTAACTTCTACCTGCAGGAGCAGCCTCTCCTCCTTACCGACCTCCTGCAGTCTCTCACTTCTCGGATTGATGTCAACCGCGTTGTGCGCATTTTCCAGACTTCGGATAACATCCCTCTGATCAAGCCCTTCATGCTTAACGTTCAAACTCAAAACAAGAGGGCAGTGAACGATGCCATTAACGACTTGTTGATTGAGGAGGAGGATTACAAGACTCTCCGTGACTCGGTGGATAACTACGACAACTTTGATGCGGTGGCGCTTGCTCAACGACTGGAAAAGCACGATCTGATCTTCTTCCGTCAGATTGCCGCTAACATCTACCGCAACAACAAGCGTTGGGAGAAGTCGATCGCCTTGTCAAAACAGGACAAGCTCTACAAGGATGCCATCGAGACCTCTGCTATTTCCGGAAAGCCGGAGGTTGTCGAGGAGCTTCTTCGCTATGTACGTTATTTTCCCCTCATAATTTCTTTGTTGGGTGTTTTACTGACTATGCGTTTAGTTCGTGGACATTGGCAGCCGGGAGTGCTACGTCGGCATGCTGTATGCCTGCTACGACCTGATCCGGCCTGACGTGATCATGGAGATTTCATGGCGCCACGGACTCCACGACTTCACCATGCCTTTCATGATCAACTTCCTGTGCGAGCAGACACGCACACTCGAGATGCTCAAGAAGGACAATGAGGAACGCAAGGCGCGGGAAGTCACTCAGAAGACGGACGAGGACAACACACCCATTCTGGGAGGCTCGCGACTGATGTTGACCCAGGGCCCGGCGGCGCCGGCGCCAAGTCCCATGGCATATGGGCAGGCGAATGGAATCACGCCGCAGGCGACCGGGTTCCGCCCCTTCTAGTTAAACGATTGTCACGCCCCCTTTAGTTGTTGTTCCGACGCACCCCCAATTGGCCCAGTGTATGTATAGCATGAGCGATGGATGATATGTCGCCGGGCTTGGGTGGGACAGATACCTCATTATGGGAAAATAATGGATGGATGAGCTCAGTCGGCTGACGGGTTCGCTGTTCCACCGGGTCGGGCGTTCTTCTTCTACTTGATGTTCCCATCCATTTACGGACTGTTTCTATTTCTCTTCTCTATGAATGCCTGTTTACTGCACTTATTACCTTCCCCCTCACGATGTATTTCATAGGCCCTAAAAGTCTGTCGGTTGATTCTCCGGGACTCTAGACGGTCGCGGGCTTAGTCGGACTTCGTTAATCGCATTTGAATTTCAAGTTGAGAGCCTGGATGAACGTAGTCAACCGCAGACAATAATCGCCAGTCCCGTGCGAATGGGTTCGGTTAGGGAGAGCCAATGATCTACGAGGCGATCTCGGCAGATGGCGCCGCAATGGGGAAAAGCCATCACCACGGACCCTATGAATAGTACCGTGATAGTAATGCCAGTAGATAGGCTGTCCGTGCTGCTACTAGTAGGCTTAGGTGGTGATCTCGGATCTGGAATCTCACTACTTGAATGCTTTCGGCTGAAGGGAAAGGCCTGGACGCGACGGTGGCAGGGAAAGTATTTAGCCCGGCGAAGGAGGATTGGAGGGAGGAGCCGAGTTGACGGGCAGCAGTGACGTTTCGGCGGAGGATTTGCGTGGAAGGGGGGGACTCGGGGACAGCGATAAGGATTTATCCCGGGGTAACGGACGGATGGAGGAGGAGGAGGAGACAGTACTAGGAGTGAGGGGAACCATGCAGGGTGCAGGAGCCTGGAGGAGAAGAGTTGGGCGGTCCCCAGCTCTGGCGATATAAATTCCCGTGACGAATCTCGATAGTCGCTCCCAGGGCATCCGGATAACCGTAGTGGCTTCTTTCCGGTTCCCACCAAGCAGGAGCTTAGTTATCACATGCGGTTTCATAATCACTATTATCCGATAGTAATTGGACTAGCTTGGAGGCTGGTGCTACAGGGCAAATACCAAGAAGATCTAGAACCGGAGATGCGAGGCCCGGTGTGAGGTTTAGGGAAGGCAGGTCTTGTCCCGGGCGGGTGGGATTTTCTGCAGCCAGGTCATGGGAACCGGTGGAAACCAAACCATCGCCTTATATGATTTATGAGCTGATGGGTAACGATTCCTAGTGGATGGGGCGACTGCGCTGGGCATGGAAGTGCATTGACCTGGTGCATTACTAGCTCTGTCGTCGACAGCTCGATACAATAGTTTGTGTGAGGGGCCGAGGTTGATCCTCACCATGTACTGGACAGTACTATAGAGTATCTATCGACTCGGGACACAGTATCTATTAGCCCGGAGGAGTGGCCCTGGGCCAACGGCAGGCCTTGTCCGGGGCTTGCGCGTCGATCGCAGAACCCGCCAAGCGCATAGATGGATCTGGAGTCGGTGCAAAGAGGGCATAATGCAGCTGGGTTGCGCTTGCGTTGCTCAGTCCGGATACCGGGATGGCACCCTCGGATGATTCTGTCCAGCTTCTGGATGAAGATCGCCGTCGTCGCCTATCGTCGGAGATGCGGTGGGGAAGGTCTGTCTGGGTGGCCGGTTCGTGTACTGACTGACGGCTGATGATCTCAGGGCAGGCTGGAGTTGCTGGGTAACCTAACCCAGACGTCGTGAGCTAGACAAGACGCTCAGGGACCTTAACCCGAGCACCCGAGGTAGCAAGAGAACGCGAAACCTGAACCACCCGATGCAGAATGCGCACTCGGTTATGCGAAGAGGGCGATGAGACTACAGTACTTTCTGGTCGTCGTAGTGGTATTGGATAGGTATCGTGGTGCTGGGGCGGTACGGGAGGTTGGCTGGAATCATCCCCACTCGTCAGTGATATCCTTGCCAGAGCCAATGATCCGGACGAACGGAGACGGCCTGTCTTGTCCCAGAGAGAAGGCAGAGAATAGCACAAGAAAAGAGGACAAGACCTGACACCCATGGGTCACCATCCCACTTGCTGCAGCCCGGTGTGCCGGTGAGAGTCGAGCTCCCCGGGGGCGCTTACTAGTGGCGTAAGCGTATTACCGAGTCCCGGGTGGACTCCCGCCCCTGCAGTATGGCGATAGCTTACCGCGGCTGGGCCGGAGTTGTAATCTGATTACCGCCTGCCAATCATACGGCAGCGTCATCGCCGTCCGGGAACCCCTCCTCCGCCTGGCACGCCCTGCCCCTCCGCTCCTCTACTGGAGGGAGAGGAGGGGGGGGGGGAGGAGGCAATGGTGCGGTGCTGGATCTACTTCTATGGGCTCATGTCCTCTTCTCCTCTGGAACTTCCTTCTTCTCCTCCTCCTCTCTCTCTCTCTCTCTCTCTCTCTCTTTCTCTCAATCCAAAGACCATCTCTCCATCTCTCTCCTCCCTCGGGTGAGTACTAGACCCTCCCAGCTACCCTCCCTCTTTTCCCCGCGCTTTCCCTTCCCTTCCCGTTCCGAAACCGGGCCTTTTTCTTCCTTCCCCGGAAGCACCTCCCTAGGTGACTCACGGGCAGCTCCATTGCAAGCATTGTTGGCTTGCTTTTGTCCCGACCCTCATTGGTCTTTCCGGCTAACTCGAGCGTGATTAAATACCCAGCTCTGTGCCTTTCCCTTCTAGAACCTCTAGAATCGCTTTCCTCCTCCATCCCCTCCTCCCCTCTCCCCACCTCCTTCCCCCCTCCATCCATTTACTCCGCCTTCATCACACTTTCCCAACCCGCTCGCCATGGCTGCTCCCCGTCAGCCCGAGGAGGCAGTCGACGACACCGAGTTCGTCGATGACCACCATGACCACCACCGGGATTCCGTCCACACACGTCTGCGCGCCAACTCGGCCATCATGCAGTTCCAGAAGATCCTCGTTGCCAACCGTGGCGAGATCCCCATCCGTATCTTCCGGACGGCCCACGAGCTGTCCCTACAGACCGTCGCCGTCTACTCCCACGAGGATCGCCTCTCCATGCACCGTCAGAAGGCCGATGAGGCCTACATGATCGGCCACCGCGGCCAATATACCCCGGTCGGTGCCTACCTGGCCATTGACGAGATTGTCAAGATCGCCCTCGAGCATGGCGTGCACCTGATCCACCCCGGATATGGGTTCTTGTCCGAGAACGCCGAGTTCGCCCGCAAGGTTGAAGAGGCCGGCATGGTCTTCGTTGGCCCCACCCCCCACACCATCGACAGCCTGGGCGACAAGGTCTCGGCCCGTCAGCTGGCCATGCGCTGCAACGTGCCTGTCGTCCCCGGTACTCCCGGCCCCGTGGAGCACTACGAGGAGGTCAAGGCCTTCACCGACACCTACGGGTTCCCCATCATCATCAAGGCCGCCTTCGGTGGTGGTGGTCGTGGTATGCGTGTTGTCCGCGACCAGGCCGAGCTGCGTGATTCCTTCGAGCGTGCCACCTCCGAGGCTCGCTCTGCCTTTGGCAACGGCACCGTCTTCGTCGAGCGCTTCCTCGACCGCCCCAAGCACATTGAAGTTCAGCTCCTGGGTGACAACCACGGCAATGTCGTCCACCTGTTCGAGCGTGACTGCTCCGTCCAGCGTCGTCACCAGAAGGTCGTCGAGATTGCCCCGGCCAAGGACCTGCCGGCTGAGACTCGCGACCAGATTCTGGCTGATGCCGTGAAGTTGGCCAAGTCCGTCAACTACCGCAACGCCGGTACTGCGGAGTTCCTGGTCGACCAGCAGAACCGCTACTACTTCATTGAGATCAACCCCCGTATCCAGGTCGAGCACACCATCACGGAGGAGATCACGGGCATCGATATCGTTGCCGCTCAGATCCAGATTGCCGCCGGTGCTACGCTGGAACAGCTGGGTTTGACCCAGGACCGCATCTCCACCCGTGGGTTTGCTATCCAGTGCCGTATCACTACTGAGGATCCTTCCAAGGGCTTCTCCCCCGACACCGGTAAGATCGAGGTGTACCGCTCTGCCGGTGGTAACGGTGTCCGTTTGGATGGTGGCAACGGATTTGCTGGCGCTATCATTACCCCTCACTACGACTCCATGCTGGTCAAGTGTACCTGCCGTGGTTCCACCTACGAAATCGCTCGCCGCAAGGTCGTCCGTGCCTTGGTTGAGTTCCGTATCCGTGGTGTGAAGACCAACATTCCTTTCTTGACCTCCCTGCTGAGCCACCCGACGTTCGTGGACGGTACCTGCTGGACCACTTTCATTGACGACACCCCCGAGCTGTTCGCCCTCGTCGGTAGCCAGAACCGTGCCCAGAAGCTGCTGGCTTACCTGGGTGATGTGGCTGTCAATGGCAGCAGCATCAAGGGCCAGATCGGAGAGCCCAAGCTCAAGGAAAGCATCATCAAGCCTACCTTGTACAACGAGGCAGGCAAGCCCATCGATGTCTCTGCCCCCGCCACCAAGGGTTGGAAGCAGATCTTGGACCAGGAGGGTCCCGTGGCCTTTGCCCGCGCGGTGCGTGCTAACAAGGGCTGTCTGATCATGGACACCACCTGGCGTGATGCCCACCAGTCGTTGTTGGCTACCCGTGTGCGTACCATTGACCTTCTCAACATCGCCCACGAGACAAGCCACGCCCTCTCCAACGCCTACAGTCTGGAATGCTGGGGTGGTGCCACCTTCGACGTCGCCATGCGTTTCCTGTATGAGGACCCCTGGGACCGCCTGCGCAAGATGCGCAAGGCTGTTCCCAACATCCCCTTCCAGATGCTGCTCCGTGGTGCCAACGGAGTCGCCTATTCTTCCCTCCCCGACAATGCCATCTACCACTTCTGTAAGCAGGCCAAGAAGTGTGGTGTTGACATCTTCCGTGTCTTCGATGCTCTCAACGATGTTGACCAGCTCGAGGTCGGTATCAAGGCTGTCCACGCTGCTGAGGGTGTTGTCGAGGCCACCATCTGCTACAGTGGTGACATGCTGAACCCCCACAAGAAGTACAACCTCACCTACTACTTGGACCTCGTTGAAAAGGTGGTTTCGTTCAAGCCCCATGTCCTGGGTATCAAGGATATGGCTGGTGTGCTCAAGCCCCAGGCTGCTCGCCTGCTGATCGGAGCCATCCGTGAACGCTACCCTGACCTGCCTATCCACGTCCACACCCACGATTCCGCCGGAACTGGTGTTGCGTCCATGATTGCTTGCGCCCAGGCTGGTGCTGACGCCGTGGATGCTGCCACGGACAGCCTTTCTGGTATGACCTCCCAGCCCAGCATTGGTGCTATCCTCGCTTCGCTCGAGGGTACCGAGAATGACCCTGGCCTCAACTCGGCCCATGTGCGCGCTCTGGACACCTACTGGGCGCAGCTACGCCTGCTTTACTCGCCTTTTGAGGCGGGCCTGACCGGTCCCGACCCCGAGGTCTACGAGCACGAGATCCCCGGTGGTCAGCTGACCAACCTGATCTTCCAGGCCAGCCAGCTTGGCTTGGGCCAGCAATGGGCTGAGACCAAGAAGGCCTACGAGTCTGCGAACGACCTGCTTGGCGATATCGTCAAGGTCACCCCCACTTCGAAGGTGGTCGGTGACTTGGCCCAGTTCATGGTCTCAAACAAACTGAATGCCGAGGATGTGGTTGCCCGCGCTGGGGAGCTCGACTTCCCCGCTTCCGTGCTGGAGTTCCTTGAAGGTCTCATGGGTCAGCCCTTCGGTGGGTTCCCTGAGCCCCTCCGCTCGCGCGCGCTGCGCGACCGTCGCAAGCTGGACAAGCGCCCCGGTCTCTACCTGGAGCCCCTGGACCTGGTGAAGATCAAGAGCCAGCTCCGGGAGAAGTTCGGCGCTGCTACCGAGTATGATGTGGCCAGTTATGCCATGTACCCCAAGGTCTTTGAGGACTACAAGAAGTTCGTCCAGAAGTTCGGTGATCTGTCCGTCCTGCCCACTCGTTACTTCTTGGCTAAGCCCGAGATTGGCGAGGAGTTCCACGTCGAGCTGGAGAAGGGTAAGGTTCTGATCCTGAAGTTGTTGGCTATTGGTCCTCTCTCCGAGCAGACTGGACAGCGTGAGGTCTTCTACGAAGTCAACGGTGAAGTGCGTCAGGTCAGTGTCGATGACAACAAGGCCTCCGTCGAGAACACCGCCCGCCCCAAGGCCGAGCTGGGTGACAGCAGCCAGGTCGGTGCTCCTATGAGCGGTGTGGTGGTTGAGATCCGTGTCCATGACGGTTTGGAAGTCAAGAAGGGTGACCCGCTTGCGGTCCTGAGTGCCATGAAGATGGTACGTTATATGAAAATCCATACGAAACCTTATTTGGATGCTAACGTGTAATAGGAAATGGTTATCTCTGCTCCCCACAGCGGCAAAGTCTCCAGCTTGCTGGTCAAGGAAGGTGACTCCGTGGATGGCCAGGATCTCATCTGCAAGATCGTGAAGGCCTAAGCGTACCAATTGGAGCCGGGATCTAACGAATTGAAAAAAGCTTATGTCGAGGTCCATGTCCTTGCAACAGGCGTAACGTCGAATATGTTAGGACTACGTGTTTGTGCTGTTTAGATTAGAGCGTTTGCTATGCGTATGAATTGTTTTGGGTCGGGTTTGGGTCACGTCCATGTTTGCTAGTTTTATATCTCATTTACACAAGTTATGGTTGCTCAAGATAAATTCTTTCAGCCATTGAATGAACCGAGTGATTCTGTTAACATTCCATTCTGAAATTTATTTGTTGTTCATAAATGTATGTGTATACTGCATAGATATACTTGCAAGTTTTCTATACTGGAACGATATGCATACAAGTACTATAGTAGTAGGTAGTGTATGAGGTAGATGTTCACCGATGTACGTTTTATCCGTGTTTCCCTGTTTAAAGCTTCGCCGCCGAAACATGATCCGGCTCGCCCACCTCTCGCAGTGCCTTCCAGACGCGCATTGCCTCATCCCAGAAAGGATCCTGTATGATCTGAACAGAGCCATCTGGCTTGAGAGTTCTTATTTCCTGGTGATTGGCCGTGCCCCATTGGATGTCATCTTCACCATGAACAAACTTAACAAAGGGATCGATCAGAGCGCGCCGCACAATAGGTTTCTCCTCAGGATCAATGACCTCCCCATTGCCCCAGAACCAGATATACTGGTCCGTGGCGTGGGTAACACCCCAGCTCGGCGGAAGGGTCTTATCCGCACACTTGAGCCGATACTCGACGCGATACCGATAGAGCAGGTGCTCCGCGCCGCCGGCGGCAAGGGAATGGATCAGGCCGCGTTGCATCTTGTGGACCTGCATGTCGGCATACACGCGGCCGAAGGCATCGGTTTCCCAGTTCTCGCAGTCGGCAGGGAGACGGCCGTCCGGGTAGTAGAGGTTGATGAGGGCGTCGACGACGGGACTGGGGTAGTCTGCTAGGAGTCGTTGATGGAGGGATTGCAGGCTGTTCTGGGTAGGAGGGAACCAGGTGGCGTAGAGGTTGCGTTCGTCGCGACATTCACCGAGCAGGATGCGGACGTTCCGTGCGGAGAGCTTGCGGGCGAAGGCGCCGGTGTCGAACGAGTGGAAGAGGGTGGGTTGGATGAAGACGGAGTCGGAGGTGGGGCGGAATTGGTTGATGTCGATGCTCATGGCGCTGGTGAGGAGGGTCTTGGATGGGACTGCGCGCAGCGCCGAGAGTTTCTCATTCCAGGGGAGGGAGGCCGGGATGTCGAGGACGGAGAGGAGTTGGTTGAATTGGATCTGGGCGGACGATGGGGGTTTGGGTTGCGCGACGGGGGAGTTGGACCAGAGGCATGCGCGTTTGATGATGGATTGGCCGTCCGGGATTTGGAGGTCGTAGGCTAATTGGTAGAAGGCGGAGTATGCGCCTGGGTTGGAGTGGTTAGGGGGTTTGTTGGTTGGGGGTAGTTTGGAAGACTCACCCGCTGAGTATCCGGAGATGGTGATTTGGGAAGCATTGCCCCCGAAGAGGGCGATGTGGTCTCGCGTCCATTCTAGGGCTTGACGCTGGTCCCAGAAGCCGTGATTGCCTACTGTTTCACCGGTGGAGGTGGCGTCTTGCTCGAGCTCTGAGGAGTATAGGAACCCGAACACGTTCAGACGGTAGGCTGGCACGACGACGATGGCGTTGAGCGCAGCGTCGCCGAGGAGGGCCGCGGCCGAGAATGTGTTTGGGTCGCCAAACTGGAGGAAACCACCGTCTGGATCGTGAAACGTCGTGGAACGATTAGTCTGGCGCATTGAAGAGGGTATGTGATGTCTTGAGGGAAGAACGTACGGATGAAGAAGAGGACCGGCCACCCTAGAGAGAGAGAGAGAGAGATGATTTGTTAGTCGGGGATTTCTCGTGGGATAGTAAATTGTTATTCAATTAATTACCTTCCCTGGGAGGTTCACCCAGCGGGACCCACAGATTGCATTGGAAGCAATCCTCAGTCCAGTCGTCCTGTCCAGAAAGATCCATGAAACCGGGCTGTGGGCAGACACCGGTATTGCCGCCGCAGGACCCAGGTTGGTCCTTGGTGCCATAGGAATAGGATTGGGGAAGCTTCTGAGCCCTGCGCCATCTCTCAGATGGAGCGAGAGCATAGCGAACACCCCCGAAGTAGTGACAAAGCGGCGTATTTGTCGCTTTCGTGTGCAGCGTGACGCCCTGAATGTACCCATGTTGGGCCAAGGACTTGAGATAGGGATGTCGAGAAGTCTCCATATTTATTTGTTTGCTGAGGTTATTGGCTTGGCGAATCTGTAGTTAAGTGACTATAGTCTCCGTGCTGTCAGTGCCACAGAGACCAATGAGTATGGGAGTCCAATTGATTGATATAGGTTAGAGAGGGTCGGTAGTCAGTGCTGAGCGAGCGTGTCTCCGCACGGAATCAATCCCCTCCTGATACGGGATATACAGATAAGGGTCTTCTCGATAGCCAAGACGATAGCAGACAGTGGAGAAAAACACGGATAGTAGTCAAATCGCACGGCGATTGGCACGGAAGTCAGTCCGTCGGCAAAGATAGCCTATGGGGATGGTCTATGGGGGGGAATGAGATAAAGGCAGACGAGGAGAGAAAACAAAACAGTGGGATGAGGAGGCAGCGGCTTGCGGGGAAACCGGAGACCGTTCCGCGTCGGGCTCAGATCTGGATGCCGGGCAGTGCCTGAGGCAGTGCTGCATTAGAAACCACAAGCATAACTACTACTATGTGGTGGCAGCGTCGCTGCCCCAGAGCATTAAATTTAGCCTTTCTAGCAGGCATTTTAGCCACGCCTGGACGTGGTCCATACCAGAGCGCACACGTCCGCCATCTGGTCGACTCCAAATGACAGACCGTCGCGAGGAGTTAGCGAGTTAGGTATCCCATTCCCCAGTGTTCTTGAGGGCATTGACTGTTCAACTAATTGTCTACTATGTGCTGCGATTGCCTTTCGGTGACTGCCACTTCTCCTGTGTACATGTACACTCTGCCGCCCCCCGCAAGGGCCAAAGCAAATGACGTCAGCCGCCACGGTGATAATGCATCAGCACACGACCAAATGGCACCGACAAGGTTTCACCAGCAGTATTGGGTTTCTTTTGGCCAAAGGAGCTGATTAATCCCATCGTCCTGTGACGCGCTGCGTCGCCATCCGTGGATCGAGACCGCAGAGATGATGAATCATCGCCTTTCCCAGAGGGATCTCAAGCCATTGCCGGCCACCATTGGCTCCTGGTTGGACTTTTGCCCCCTCGGACCTATGGGATCATCTTTCAATGCATCATGATACCCAGGGTGTTTCACAGCGCTTATGGTGGTCGAATTACCCCTCTTTGCTCGTGGACTTGGCTTCCCATATAATGAGCAGCCGTTGTCCCAAAGGATGACCCAGATCTCTAACGGTTGATGAAACTACAAACTTCACGAATCAAATAACAAAACAAGATATCTGGTAAGCACAAGTCTTGATTTTCCCCGAGTGTCTCTGTATCACCCTGTGTGCCCTTCACCTCACCATCCAAATGGCACCGGAGCCGTCGGATCCATGATGAAAGCGACATGTAACCACCACCCTGGAGCGTTCCTCCCAATCTCATGAGCACTGTACCGTCTGTTACACGCTCCCTGGTGGTTCCTCGCTTCAATCCTACCTTCCATATCCTGATCCTCAAGTCAGCTCACGAAGAAAGCAGTTAGCACTGCACCTTCGATTCTCAACAGAGAAACAGAAGAAGAAAAAAATGGACAAGGACCAGCCCCAATCTCCCCGCCACTGGCACGGTACCTTTGGTGACCGCTATGAGCACCACAATGTCTGGGTGCTCGGTGGTCCTCCTCAGCCCTTCCGTCGGCCCTCAATGCCCACCACCACGGCAGCCACTGCCACTGGACCTGACGTTACTGACAGACGTGTATGTCTGAGAAGTTTTGTCGTCGTTGTCACTGTTACCGTTATTTGATCCAAGCATGAAGCACATGATGATACTTGATTAGTGCTGACCAGCGACTTAATTGAAAAGGGATCCAATTCATCTGACATGTCAACCAACTCGAACAACATGGGCAACAGCCCCCCTTCAAGCATCGGAGATCGGCGGCGCTCCAGTGGCCATGGCCCCTCTACTCTGTTCGAGAGCCTGACGAGCCAGAAACGCAACTCCTCAGATCAGGGTTACAACACCCGCCGAGAGAGCTGGAATGAGCAGTCACAGCAGGGCGGCTTCTTTTCCAAGTGGTGGGACGGATACACGAGAGGTGGTGGTAAATAGCTTGAAGTAGGCGTGTTACTTTTTATCGTTGCCATGACTTGAAATCCTGGAGTGAAATGAAGTGGCTCCGATTGTGTGATTTGGAATAAGGCATGCAAATGATGATGCTCATTCAACCAAAAAGCATATTTAGTTGCATGTATTTATGAATAAATGCGAAGTTGTCTGTGACCGCTGTATGGTATGTCAGGTGTTAAGGAACGCCGTGTTTCATCACGAGCGAGTTACCGTCGCAGATTGCACAGGTGCTCTATATGAAACCCCAGACTACAGGGTTCCAAGGATAAGGCCCCTCATATAGCGGAGTTACTATATGGGGTAGGGCTGGATGGGCGCAGGCGGGTTTGTCAACGGCAGATAATGTTACCTGTCAGACTGCACTCTGCACCCTGCAGACGATTGCAATCCACACGTGCCCGTGGTCCAGTCCCCAGATGGTAAGACTGGGAAGATCCGGGGTACTGGGCTGGAAGGTAGGTCTACGGATGGTATGGTTACGAGAGGCTGGCCTTTCTACTGATATCTCTACATATGCAGATTGAGTGTAGAACTGGGTGTAGCACCCATGCCTCTAGCTCAGCTCTGCAAGACAAGCCCACGGCGAATGCCAGCGGTTTATCCCAGATGAAAGAGAGACAGACTCGAACTCTTGAAAAAGAGACGAGCCTCAGGCCAAGCGCACGCCATGACACCACCATCACAGTGGTGCATGCGGCAATAGCATCATGCAATACTTTTCATCAATGGTTATGCGGAAATCATCACCCTTAGTGAAGCCTTCATTGAGAAAAGTGGATGCGTATGAAAAATTTGGGAATTTGATATCTGTAGCACGCCTAGCCTCATGCCGTGGTAGAAAAGCCATATTTCAGAGCAGAGCGACAATGAATTTCAAAAACGCCTGCCTCTTTTCTGACCATTTTTGATTCGTCATAAACACAACCCCGGAGCTTTCCCTCCAGAAGACCCCTCATGAGAGGAAGACATTTACCGGACGATACCGTCGAAGCGGTTCTTGAACCACTTGACAGTCTCACCCTGGTTGATGCGGTGCTGGGAGCCGACACGGGCCTTGCAGCGGCGACGCTTGGCGACACGCTCACCGGGGCGGGTCCTATTATCTCCTGTCAGTTTCTGATTCTTGTCTTGGCCTGCTTGACTTGATCCAATCCGATGGATCGGACCATCCAAGAAGTTGCAGAGCACGGGAGCACTCACATGCAGCAGTAGAAGTCCATGCCGTAGATACCGATACCGGGGTCGTACTTGATACCCAGATCGATGTGCTCGGAGATACCGAAACCGAAGTTACCGGTCTCGGAGAAGTTGCGCTTGCGGAGCTCGTACTCCTTGACCTTGAGGCCACGCTCGAGGATCTCCTCGGCCTTGGGGCCACGGACGGTAACGTGAACGGAGATCTTTTCGTTACGACGGATACCGAAGGTACGGACGGTGTAACGGGCCTTGCCTATACGTTGAAAAAAAAAATCCCATCAGCCAAACCGTCCCACATAACCATTTTGTATATCCTCCCGGCGCTTCATTCGTTGTCGAAAAAAAAATTCACAAGATCCATCGGAGTCGGGCGTTCTTACTGTAGACCGGGGTCTGACCGCTCAGCTGCTCGAGCACCTTAGCAGCACGAGTGAGTCTATCACCAGACTCGCCGACCGAGATGTTGAGCACGAGCTTCTGGATGCGCAGCTCGCGCATGGGGTTGGCGCTCTTGTCCTTTCCGTCCGACTGCATGGCGAAAAATATGTTAGAAAAAAAATGATTTTTTTATGTGATTTTCGAGGACTCAAAGTCGAGTCTATTTCAAGGCTGGAGATAATATGGCGATGGGCAACATACCATGGCTGCGTTTGGCGTGAACTGGTCGACTGGTTGAATAGAAGAAAGTCGGGATCGAAAAGTGTGTGTAAAAGGGAAGTGTGTGGGTTGGATGTGGGAAGCGAGAGCCCTAGTGGCTTGGCGCCGTCGTTTGGCGCTAAGCCGCAGAGCCGCGCCTCATGGACCTCCGATCCAGAGCCAGTCGAGCTGCCGCCGCTTGGAGAAGTCCTACGGAGTAGTACCTTGACCGACCTTCACCGCGGGCGCAACTGCTCAAGAAGGAAAAGTGACGATTAAGTAGGAGATTATCTTTCTTCTACGGTCTCACGCAATATTCTTTGATTCCCCCCAAGTCGCATTCGTGCGCAAATCATAGCCCAGAATGGCGGCCAACAAGCAGGGCAAGATGGTGAGTTGATCTAATCCTTCCCATTGCTGTTGATACCAAGTTCCCCCTCTCAGTATCAGCCTCTACTACTCAGTACGCGTTGCTAACTCTTTTTCTTATTATTAGCAAAACCTCGTAAGCAATGGACTGTCCCGTTCCTACCCCGATATCACGTCTTAACGTTTTCGCAGATCAACTACCGGATGAGAGTTACTTTGAACGATGGCCGACAGATGACGGGACAGATGCTGGCTTTCGATAAGGTAGACATCCCGGAATCATGCACAGGCTGTTCGATGCGTACTTTGTCGTCATCGCTAATATAACGACATATAGCACATGAACCTTGTTCTCGCCGATACAGAAGAATTCCGTCGCGTCAAGCGCAAGTCCAAGCCCGCCGCCGGCTCGACCACCGCCCCTCTCGTTGAGGCGGAAGAAAAGAGAACCCTCGGCCTCACCATCGTTCGCGGTACCCATGTCGTCTCTTGCTCCGTCGATGGACCTCCCCCCGCCGATCCCTCTGCCCGACTTGGCGCCAGCGCTCCCGGCGCTGCTGCCGCCGCGGCCACTCTCGCTGCTGGCCCTGGAATTAGCAAACCCGCTGGACGTGGTCTGCCGGTCGGTCTCGGAGGCCCTGCTGCAGGTGTTGGAGGACCCCCTCCTCCGCCCGGCGGTTTCCCCGGCTTCCCTCCGGGTGGTTTCCCAGGCGCGCCGCCTCCGGGATTCGCTGGTCGCGGAGGTGCTCCAGGAGGACCTCGTAAGTTTACACACTCAATCTTGATACTACATCCAGTCTACTGACCGTTTCCCAGCTGGCTTTGCTCCTCCCCCCGGCTTCGCGCCCCAGGGTGCTCCTCGTAAGTTCTTTTTGATATCAGGTGCGCCGAAGTGTTGGACTAACTTGAATGCTTGTTGCAGCGGGTGCCTTCCAACCCCCTCCGGGCTTCCAGCCTCCTGGCCAGGGACGCGGTTACCCCCCTCCCGGCTTTGGCGGACGGTGATTACATATCATGTGGTGCGGCATGATGGCTTGCAAGTTGGCCATCATACGAGCATGGCGGAGTCTTCGAGTTCCAAATTTAGCAACCAATTCTCACTCCCTATTCATCGCCTATGTGACGAAGCTCAAAAGAATAGGCACAGTACCTCGAGTTTTACCAGGCAAAGGCGTTGCGGCGTGTGCGGATGCAGGGAATGCCCCGACAAAAGAAAAGGTCGACCGAAAACGGCCAGGACCGACAGAAGTAATGCCGGGTGTATTCTGAGCACCCGTTGTACTAGTGAATCCTAATGTGGTTTTGTAGTCATTTCCCGTCCTTTGCTTGTAGGCGAACTACTATTTACTACCAGTAGCACCTTGATGGTTCGTAAGCAGCAGGCACGGTCTCACGTGACCATCTCCGGGTAAGTCCGCCCGGCGCGGTGACGGAGCGAGGAAAGCAAACCGCCCGGTCTGCATCTGCATCCTTGTCCCTGTTCACATCCTCTCCACTCCTCGTCCCAGGTCCTGCCTTCTCGTCGTCAAGATGGCTGCTGCAATCAAGGCAATCAATGCGAAGATCCGGTCTAACAAGGCCCTGGATTACTTCTGCTCCACCCGTACGTGAAATCTCACCGTCTCCCTTCCCCGTGTTCTTGACCGAGATCGGCCGGCAAAGATGCCTACTGTTGGGATGAGCTCTGAAGGGGCTGAGCAACCGTGTCGAGTCGCCTTGGGGCATGACACACGGAGGGCCACATAATCTGCATCACTTCACGTCGACTCGCGACAAAATTGACAACCCAGATGCTAACTCATGATTCCTACTAGACTTCTGGGGCCCTGCCTCCAACTTCGGTATCCCCGTTGCGGCTGTGATGGACACCCAGAAGGATCCTGAAATGTACGTTACGTCGCCACGACTGCCCTCTCTTTCGAACACACACCTTTGTACAGTCGATTCTACACTGTTCCCAACACCCCGAAGCTCCGCAGGAGAGCATGCGCCCGAGAGCAACAGACATCATGTGGAATATGTAAATGAATACTGACTCCCATACAGCATCTCCGGCAAAATGACTGGTGCTCTCGTCATCTACTCGGGTACCTTCATGCGCTACGCTCTCGCCGTCTCCCCCGCGAACTACCTCCTGTTCGCTTGCCACGCCATCAACTTCTCCGCCCAGCTTACCCAAGGATACCGCTACCTGAACTACTGGAAGTACGTCAAAGCACCATCGATCCATCCCTAAACAACGACAAGAACAAGCAAGCTAACACCTGCACTAACAGCTGGGGAGGCCGTGAAGCCAAGCTCGCCGCCGCCGCCCAGGAGGGCAAGGCGGCCACTGAAGCTGGCGCTTAAGGGTAGCCGACATCACTGCTATCCGTTCCCGCTTCTCCCCCTTACATTCCTCCTCATTTCGCTTGCTGCGCAGCTTATCAATACCTCATATATCATCCGCAGTATCTACCTGCCTACCTATCTACCCTACATAGACAGATACTATAATGTCATGAAACAAGTGGTCATGGCCAACGGGAAAACAGTTGCGAAGTACGCGTCTCCGATTCGATTTGAATTAGATACAAAGATGGTGGCGATTGTGCTTTTCCTTTTCACGGTCAGTGAACTCTGACTGCTTGTGTTATGGCTGCCGTTGGCATTGGTGGGCCCATCTGGGCTGGGCTGGGGCTGTCATTGAATATATGAGGCATATATGTATCTAGCAGCTCTGCATGGCGGTTCTATCTGTATATAGCTTTTTCTGCGAATCAATAGGTTTAGACCTCATCCTATCATTTTACACGTCTTGATGCAAGTACCTTAATAATCTTTAACTACCAAAACAACGCCCAAAAAGAACGTTAACGGCAGAAGGAAATAATCGTAACAGGAGATATATATATTGTGGCAATCTCATCTCATCTCTAGTCTATACCAAATCTACTATACTAACCAAGAACCCAATACAGTTCAAAAAGCCAGCTCAGTAGTCAAACAAAGGTTACTGGGTAGCATGTAACCAAACAAGCAACGTACAGGGTAGGTAGGTCATCGTAACAACGATGGTGTCGCATCGTAGAATCCGTCATTCATATCCAGGCGCCGATTCCAAAGGAGGAGGGTAACAATTTATATGGCGTTTGAGAGTTTGGTAATTAGGAGTCACAGTATCCGGGAGCCTTGACGTCTCCTCCATTGACCCAGTTGTTGAGTGTAAGGGTGGTTGTATACAGACAGCTAAGAACTCCGAAGATGGAGAGTGCGATATCGGCGATTTGCTGGCGGCGGGACTGAGCGCAGGCTTTGAGGTGCAGCAGAGGCTATAGGGACATAGTTAGCATGGGAAATATGACATTTTTTTTGACAGTTTCTTTTGACAGGGTAACTTACCGGGTACACGTAGATCAATGGGACGCAGGCAAAGCTTCCAACAAGCGAGACGAATTTGTCGAGATCTTCTGCGCCACCCCAGGCGATAAACGAGCAGATCATGACAAGGAAGAAACGGAAGCAGTTCTTCTTCCACTTGATCGTGGGGTTGTACTTTCCGCTGCGAGTGAAGAGCTCGTTCTCCATAATACGAATGGCGGGGAAGAGTTGCAGCGGTGTGCTCAGAAGAATTGCCAATGAGTAGAGGAATTGGACCGCGTTTACGAACTTGTCATCTTGAGGCATATTGAGGATGACCACCGTCTTGGTTGCGGATCCATATGCTGCATAGCTGAAAGCGCCAGCACCGAGGAAGATGATCGTGATAATGACCATCACGCCTGCCAGAACGCCGGGGAACTGTTGGGGGCGCTTCATTGATTCTTGAATCGGGATGATAAGACCGATGCCCTCGTATGTGAAAATCGCCGTTCCGATGAAAAGTGTCCATGTGGAGGGGTTGAAGGATATAATGTCGGAGATACCACCTTGGGTCGAGATGGTCAGGAAGTCGTAGTAGAAGAGATAGATCAACCCCAGAAGAATGAACACGTCCGCGATGAGGGCAGTGAAACCGAGTTTGCTAATATCGCGAACCAACGAGAGAGGAAGGAAGATGATCAGCTGCATCAACACCATGAACTTGATGTCAATGAAGGACTTGCAATCGCTGACAGCCAAGACAAACGCTTGCAGATTCTCGGCTGTGAAAACAATGTATGCCGACACGAAGCCAAGTTGACTGAGCACGATAGATCCAAGGATAATGCGTCTCATATGCTTTCCATACAGTGCACCACCAATGTCACCAAAAGAGCCGTCAACCTTCAACCGGGTGTTAACCAAAAGGATAAAACAGTAGTAACTGAGAAGTGACACGCCGAGCAGGACCATACTGCTGAACAGCATTCCGCCGTTCAGGAAAGCCCTTGGCAGAAACAAGACCCCAGTGCCAACGAAAGACTTGAGTAACAGTAGAGCCGCTCCAGTTCTCGTGGTATTTCCGGTTCCACCGCGTGGCTTGCGCTTTCTTCTGCCAGCAGCGTCCGGACGCAGTAGGGCTGAGTCCTCACCTGGTTCTCTACCCTCAACCTCATCATAGGTATCAGAAGAAAAGTACTCATCAGGGCCCAGGACCTCGTCATCCTCCTCAAGCTCTTCACCAGCGAAGTGACCGTAAAGTGTAAGAAATTCGAGAAAGCTGGTGGTCGGAAACTGCTGAGCAACAGGCACCTGCGATCCCGAGCCATCCACATCGACAGCCCTTCGCAGGTAGTCCCTCCGAAACCCTCCTGGCACGCGGATGCTGTTTATATTCATCGTGTCATCTTCAGGCGCAGGACGAGCATAGCTGAAGCTCCTGCTGCGGTGCGGTTTGCGCAATGAGTTTCCCGATTCTGCGTCCTCCGCCCATCTGTAGACTTGTCGGGTTATATCACCACCCTGGAGTTGCAAGCTGGAGAACTCGTCCTCGGTATTGCTGGTAGCGCCCCCTGAAGAATGGATATCGCGATTCTCGATGCCAATTTGAGGTTGTACCAGGTGCCTTTTCACAACTTCGGGGTCCTCGAACGGGCCGGCCGAATATTCGGAACCCTCTCTTCCAGGGTTGTTATCGAAGGAGCCGTAATTCGACCTCACAGACTGGTTGAAGAGCGCAGGGGACGCGGTTCGTCTCGGAGGGGTTCCTACCCGGGGAGGCGGCGACCGGCCCAGGTTATCCTGGAGAGCAGACGCAATCATGGATTGTCCTGGACCCGGCAAGGAGGATGGATTGTCGACTCTCCGGAGGTCTCTGTCGGTGTCTGCTGTCACCTGGACCTGAACGGGCAGCGGTAATTGCCTAGACGAATAAGAATTCGAGGGAGAGGGAATTGGCGATGCTAGACGCGCGATAGAAGCGTGCCTCATATCTGCAGCAGGAGACCCGGAGCGCATTGGGGACGTGGAAATCGGCGAGGATGAACGGTGACGCTGGAACGAGGATCCCTCACCATTGTCGTACACCCGGGGGGACGACATCCTGACAAAGGACAGGAATGGGCTTTTTCTCGGCGTTGAAAACCTTGTTGATTCCGAAAGCAATTCGTCCTAAGTATTTGACTTTCCGGAGGTGAGAGCCAGCGTTCTGGCGTTCTGGGATGGATGGCTGGCTGGAAGGGTTGATAAGAGCGGAGAGTTGGGGGGGGGGGTTCGATAATAATAATGAGAGCTAGGGAGGAGGAGGCGCAGGGCGTTCACCGCAATGGACTAGACCGCTTGCTATTGTTTCCACGCACTCCAGAAGATACTCCACGCCGTCTCAACCATGTCAGTCTCGAGCAAGAGGCCGAGATGGAATGAGTGATCGAGGGCGAGCGAGGAGAGAAGGAGGATCAGATGAGGCCGACCGAGTCCGTGACCTGTTTTGCACTGTTTGTTTTGGGGGCACGGCCACATGAGGTCATCGCGGCCGATATGGAGAATGGAGATAAAGTTGGCGACTCCCCGTTGGCAACAACTTCACCACTGCTCGGTTTCACGCGCCAGTCAACGTGCAGCTCGTGTCGCGGAGGTCCTTACTGTGCCTGCAGACGACGAATTGCCCACCCGGTTGTCCCGGTCCTCCTCACGGCTGTCCCGTCGACTCTCTTCGCCCCCCCCTCCCCCAGCCAACCGCAGACTCGCAGCACCGCTGTATGAAGGGAAGAGAAGCGCTCCTACCACAGGAGTGGAGGCCTTATAATCGATGACTGGCACACGGGCTGATGGTGCCTCGGAGTCTTTGTCTAGGAGAAGGCCCAATTTCTCCGCGCGAACGGCCGAAGAAGACGTCTCCAGATTGGCTCCCAGCGACTCTGCCCATGCATCTCCCCAGGAAGGAAACAAGTTCTCGAACTGGAGGGCTGCTTTCTCATTCAGTCCGCATGAACAGCCGAACTCGTCCCGTCATTCTCCCGACAGCAAGCGTCACTCGCTGCCCTCGAACCTCCTAAACAATGTTTCGCGCTGGTGGGATGGACATGGCGAGGATGGGAGGCACGAGCTCCCAAGGGAGAGAATCCCTCCTCTTTCAGCAGGACCATTCCGAGAATCTGCACTAGCTCAGAAAGAGAGAGACCAGAAGGATCGCGCCTCTGAGAATTTGAACAAGCTTGGAACGTTCTCTGGTGTCTTTGTGCCAACCACCTTGAACGTTCTTAGCATCCTCATGTTCCTTCGCTTTGGGTTTATTCTCGGACAGGCCGGTCTGCTAGGCATGCTAGGTAAGTTCCTCTCTTACCATAATGAACTCGACTCAAGTGGAGGCTAACGCAATCAAGGTCTCCTGGTCATCTCGTACACGATCAATCTGGTAACCACTATGTCTCTTTCCGCCATCGCAACAAATGGAACGGTACGGGGCGGGGGTGCCTACTATTTGATATCCCGATCGCTAGGTGCAGAATTCGGCGGCTCTATCGGGATCGTGTTCTATCTGGGCTACGTGTTGAATACTGGTATGAACGCCGTCGGTCTTGTTGACTGCTTCTCGCAGAATTTCGGGACCGAGTCTGGTACTTGGGCCAATTTTCTGGAAGAAGGCTTCTGGTGGCAATACCTCTGGGGAACTGTCATCCTGCTTCTGTGCACTGGGATATGCTTGGCGGGAAGCTCTATATTTTCTAGAGCCAGCAACGGACTGCTGGTTATATTACTCGTCGCGACTTTCAGCATACCAATATCTGCGATTTTTATGAAGCCATTCAGTATCCCTAAGATTGGGGTAGAATTCACGGGATTTCGGCTTCAAACGTTGCTGGAAAATCTTAAACCAAAGCTCACGAAGGGTGCTGCTGGCAGCCAAATTCAAGGACGGGAGAATTTTCAGGATCTGTTTGGGATTCTATTTCCTGCCACAGGTGGAATATTTGCGTAGGTACGTTTACGGACTTCAGGAATACAAAACTTATACATCAGCAGTGGCGCCAGCATGTCCGGTGACTTGAAGAACCCCAGCCAGTCGATTCCCAAGGGGACGCTATATGGGTTGGTTCTGACGTTTATCACTTATACCCTCGTGATTGTTGCCATGGCTGCTTCGATAACTCGGGACTCATTCTACAAAAATGCCAATGTCGTTCAAGTTGTACGTTTCCACTACTGGCATGAACAATGTACTTTGCTGACCCGACCACAGGCCAATCTCTCTGGAGTTGTCATCCTCATGGGAGAGTTTGCAACCAGTTTCTTCTCTGCATTGATGGGTGTTATTGGCTCTGCCAAGCTACTCCAGGCGATTGCGCGAGACAGTTTGCTTCCTGGCCTGAGTTTCTTCGCCAAAGGCACGAAGAAGAATGATGAGCCAGTCAACGCAATCATCGTCACATATGTGGTGGCACAGCTCACAATGTTGTTTGACATCAATCAGATTGCTTCCTTTGTCACTATGACCTATTTGATGACATTTTTGGTAACAAACCTCGCCTGCTTTCTCCTGAAGATCGGATCAGCACCCAATTTCCGACCGTCGTTTCACTACTTCAACTGGAAAACAGCAGCGACAGGTGCCCTGGTCTGTGGGGCAAGCATGTTCTTTGTGGACGGGATATACGCCACAGGCTGTGTTGTGATACTGATGATGCTATTCCTGCTGATTCACTATACTTCGCCACCCAAACCCTGGGGTGATGTGAGCCAAAGCTTGATTTACCACCAGGTTCGCAAGTATCTGCTTCGGCTTCGTCAGGAGCACGTAAAGTTCTGGCGGCCTCAGATCTTACTGTTTGTAAACGACCTCGACGAGCAGTCTAAGATGGTCTCATTCTGTAACTCCCTGAAGAAAGGAGGGCTGTTTGTGCTTGGTCATGTTCTTGTAACAGATGACTTTTCTGCTGCAGTGCCAGAAGCTCGACGCAAGCAAACTGCATGGACCAAGTTTGTTGAAAGCTCCAGAGTCAAGGCATTTGTAAACATCACAGTCTCCCCTACTGCTGAATGGGGCGTCCGAAATGTCGCTTTGAGCGCAGGGCTGGGAGGAATGAGACCCAACATAGTCATCATCGATCAATTCCGCAAAGGCCAGTCGTTGGTTGAGAAATTTCAGCCTCCGAGCCGGAAGGACTCGGGGGGCCGGCGCATCTCCCGTGAGTTGATACCTGCGATCCCCGAAGATGGACCGCAAGAACCGCCTATGAGGCATCAAAGCTACGTGACAATTCTGGAGGATCTTCTTTTCAAACTTCGGAGCAATGTCGCTGTGGCAAAGGGATTTGAAAACCTTGAGCTGCCTGGCCCGCACGGGCAGCATCGGAAGAAATACATCGACTTGTGGCCTATCCAAATGAGCGCCGAGCTGGGTGCCGACAACGAGAGCAAGAAGAATGTTCTGACTACCAACTTCGATACGTATACTCTCATTCTGCAGCTAGGGTGCATTCTCAACACAGTCCCGTCATGGAAAAAGACGTACAAGCTCCGAGTGGCTGTCTTTGTCGAATATGAAACCGACATTGAGGATGAGAGGGGGAGAGTCGAGGCGCTACTTGAGAAGCTAAGGATTGAGGCGGAGGTGTTGGTGTTCTGGCTCGCCTGCGGCGACCTCAAAGCGTACCGCATCATCGTCAATGGTGATAGATCCCCAGAGACTCAGGACTATGAAGCTCGAGTTCGCCAAGCTTTACAGGATGAGGAATGGTGGCAGGAAATTCAAAAAGCGCGGAGTGCGCATGAAGCCGAATACCAAGCTGAATGGGGGGCGCCCAAAGAAAGAGTGTCCAGTTGGCCCTCCGAAAGCGTGCAGAAGGCGCCGAATCAGTTGGCTGGCGGACTGAAGAAGTTCATAGAATCTTCCAAGCGACGGCGATCGATCTCTAGCTTCAAGGGACTTGGGAGCGTGAGCCTTGGTATGCAAACCCACCGTCTGCTTGATGCTTTTGTCGACTACGACAGTGATACTAGCATGAGCACGAGCGAAACCAGTGATGAAGAATTCCCACCTTATCAAGATGAGGAGGGAGATGAAGACATTGACAAGGATGCCGGGCACAAAACCCCGAGTCTTCAGCCGGATCCAGCCGGTCCCTCGAAGGCGAAGCAGAGGCCTTCAGAGGAAGCTGCCCATGAGCAATTGATCCCATCTATCATCATGACTGGCGACGACGGGTCGCCGAAGAGCAAGCCGGATGTCGCTCGGCCGAAGGTCTCTCGCTCACCGTCCAGCAGCCGGTTCAGCTCGTCGCCAATCCCCGAAGCTCGCGTCAATACGGACGAAAGCGCCGGTCCTTCGATCATGTTCGCCCCCAGTGCATCTCCCCCACGCACTTCAAACAGACTAGATTCCATCTATACACACCGCTCGTCTCCAGGTCCGTCTACCGCGCAGTCGGCATCTGGGTACCCGCGGCAGGCGTCGGTTCCCGTGTCGTTCAACGATCTCCCTAGTCGGGCACAACACCTGATTCTGAACGAATTGATGAACCAGCACAGCAGCGATACTGCAGTGCTCTTCACAACACTGCCGTCGCCATCCGAAGGCACCGCGCAGAGTGAGGCAGCCAGTGCATCTTACTTGAGTGACCTGGAGATCTTCTGGCAGGGATTGCCACCATGTCTACTGGTTCACAGCAACAGCATGACGGTGACGATGAACCTGTAGCAATAGAAAGCTAGAGCATATACACTTAGACATATGTACGATGGCGTCGCAGCTTGCACATGTCGCTCACGACCTGCATATATTATGCTATTCACATTGTACTCGACGATGTAATCATACGATGATGACAATGAAAGTGCGGGGCTGCGCAATGTGCTTGAGATCTCGCGCATGGAGTGTTTGTTCCACTAAGAAAGCCGGGGTTGGAGCTGACGTTGCATGCGTGAATCAACCTGGTCCTACTGGCGCAAGACCCTTCGTCTTCCACTATTCCACCGTAAACAACCCTTTCCCAATTGCCCAACAACCCCATAACCCACATCCACCCATCATGGCCACCGTCGACCCAGCCTCCATGCTCGTATCCGCGGCCATCCCAGCCTTCAAATGTCCTCCAGGCACAAAGATGTACATTCTCGATCTGGGGACCCTCCAAATCGACGAGTCCTGGTCTGTCAACATCAGCCCAATCCAGAGGGAAGACAACCCATCACTGACCCAACCGAGTCGAAACCAGGATCCTCCGAGGCGCCAACGCCAGCACCCTTAGCAACCCCAGCCCCGTCCACCAACGTCGGGACATGATCCTCATCTCCGCGTTGATCGATTACCCAGGCGTCGGTCCCATTCTCTTCGAAACCGGTTGTGCGGAGGATCTGGACGTGGTGCGTTTACTCATCCACATCCACATCCACATCCAACCCAGCCCCCCAACTAACCCAGCCCCCAGAAATGGGGCGCCCCCATAACCGACATCTTCCCACGCACCGTATACACCGAGCAAAACAAACTCCCCGCCGCCATCGCCGCAACCGGACACAACATCAAAGACATCAAAGCCATCATCCTGGGCCACCTCCACCTCGACCACGCGGGCGGGCTCGAACACTTCATCGACACGAACATCCCGATCTACGTACACGAAGACGAATTCAAGCACGCCTGCTGGGCCGTCGCCACGGGCGCCGATCTAGGCGTGTACCTGGGCCACTACATGCTTCTGGAAAGGCTCAACTGGGTGACGTTCCCGGACGAGCGACTGGATCTGTACCAGGGGATCACGCTGCATCATTGCCCGGGCCATACACCGGGGCTGTGCGTGATGCAGGTGAATCTGCACCGCGATGAGACGTTTATTTGGACGACGGATCAGTTTCATGTCAGAGAGAATTATGAGCTGGGGCATCCGCAGGGCGGGTTGGCGAGGGATCATAATGCTTGGTATCGTAGTTTGGGGCTCGTGAGGAGGTTGCAGACCTTGTTTGGGGCTAGGTTGGTGTTTGGGCATGATATGCAGGTCGCGAGGGCGTTGATGGCCGAGAAGGAGGTTTTTGAGTAGAGGAGAGTAGGGGGTTTGGTGAACTGATGATGGGAATATACTATCAATTGCATGTAAAGGTATGTATGTATATGAGTGTCTATATGTATACACTTTAGGTTTTGACGGAGTTGTTGTACTTGAAGAATCCAGATCCAGACTTCACTCCCAAGTTTCCCTGCCCGACCATTTCCTTCAGCAGCCGCCGGGGTCCTTCGGGGATCCCACTTCTTTCCTGCGCGTAATGCTTCTCGATGTCGAGGATGACGTCCAGGCCGGCAATGTCCATCTGCTCGCAGGGCCCCAGGGGTGTTTTCAGCACGGCCTTGCAGATCTGGTCTACTTCTTTCGGGGTCGCGATACCCTCCTCTAGGACCAAGAGGGTCTCCCGCTTGATTGCAGCCCAGATGCTATAGATTATTAGTTTGAACGCCGGTGTCCCACGTCATATGGTGTGCTTGGTACCGATTGAACATGTATCCCGTGGAGTGTTTCTTGACGTGGAAGGGCATGAACCCGTGTCTTTGGGTCTCTTTCATGAGAAGAGGGATTATGTCAGGTCGGGTTTTTTCGGTGCCCATGATCTCGAGGGCTGAGGGGGGGATTAGTTACGATCTTCGAGAAGAGGGATGGTCTTGTTTCCGCTAACCTTGTGTTTCTGGTGGCCAGACTGGGAGGTTGTTAGCATATATATTCTAAAAGAGACGGGGATAAGTAGACAAACAAGCATGCAAGTTGACAAGCCGATCATCCGCCTTCAAAGACAACCCCTTAACGATATCTGAGATCGGGTAACTGCTGGAATTGGTCGCAATGATTGTCTCCGGGTCAGTTCTGGTATCGAGCTCTTTAATTACGGCCCGTTTGCGTTGGAGGTCCTCTGGGATACACTGGTAGACTTTATCAGATACTGCGCATGTATAGCTGGGACCGTACCTACCTCGATCGTCAACCAAGAGTTGCGGAGGGCCTTTTCCATGTTATCCGTATCAAGCCGAATCAACTTTCCTTCCCGCTCGGGTGGGTTTCTTTCTCGCATATCGTGGACGGCAGACGATGCCTGCGTAAGTTGGCTTGAGCTCTTGTCGACGAGATAGACTGGTTTCCCAAGGCGTGACCACTAGGCAAGCTGTTAAAAATCATCCTGCGAATGGAGCGATGGATGGAGATAGATTCGAACATACCATGTAGGCGAGGCGCGAGCCTTGAGTGCCCGCGCCGAGGAGAGTAACGGCGTTCGCTAATCTTGTCATATTGATGTTGATTCTGGTATTCGTTTGCTGAAAGAGAAGAAAGAGGCTTCCGATAGACAAGTTCTGCAAGATATAAGTACACGTCCATTGTAGATCTTCCCCAGATTTTCTCATTTCCCAATTGAGAACTAGATGTTTGAGCTCAAACAATCTACCAATCACACTGTGCAGCACGGCTGTATACATGGCTGAACCACTGGTTCGTGGGTTGCTATAGCAGGCTTGAACCTGGCTTTTTCTTGTATAGCCCGTTCGGATCCCAGGGTTTGTCGACCGGCAAGGTTACGGAAGTTCTATCCGTGACATGACAAACATCGATCAACAGATGATCCCCTGTGTAAATAGATCTAGGAAGGAGGAAACTCTAACTTGCCGCTGCCACTGACATTGTCGCCGACTCTGATCTGATTAGAGCAATTGACCTGGCACGTTGCCACTGTCAACTTGAATATCATAGCCGTTTACTTCCATCTTCCGTCAGACATGGTCTGGATTGACTGGGTATGGCCTTGCCTGTTGAGGTCATTGGAAAGTTTAGATTCGACATTGAGTTTGTCCAATGATGATGTCGCTCAAGGGCACTGTTGTTTATGAAAATAGATCCGGGAGTGAGTCTGGACTGCAACTGCATTTTCCAGTGGACTATAGACAGACACACAGCAGGGTTGAGAAAGCAACCGACTCTGCGCGCATTGGCTGATCTCTAAATACGCCGAACGATTAGACCTGCAGCTCATGTTCTTCTCCAGCAGCCATTGCTTGGCACCAATGACCTTGACTTAACAATCACGAGAATCGGCAGACTCGGGACCGTCGCTCCCTGTCCTATGAGGCATATAGAGAGTTTGTCTGCGGGTGGGTGGGTAAAAAAAGCCTTGACCATCCTGGCATCCACCACCCGGAATCCAATCGGAAGAAGTCCAGGGTGAATCCCCCGAAGCAGTGCGAAAAAGAGATTATTCATGCTCTGTTAACTCTAAGAATGATGTGGTAGGCTGTTGATACATCCGTCTCCACACCAGTCTGAGAGAGAAACAATTTTGTTGATGTATTCTGGATGCTGTCTCCGTTCAGTTGCCCGCTCTCGTCAGTCGAGCGTCTCATGGATCTGACGATAGGACGCGTGGTTCAGACTCCGCCGACTGATACTTCTCGATGTGATTTGAACATGCACGGTGCTGGCCCCCAAGAGTCTCTACTCCGTGTTGGTACTAGCAGAACTGGGCGTAGTGCTCCGTAGCGTCCAGGCAGAAGACACGGCTGCGATCACACTACCCACCCAAGGAGGCCCAAGGCTTTGGGGATGTGGTTGCTCATGGCGGGCTGAATATCTGGATGCAGGATGCAGGATGCAGGATGACTGCCGGGCGTGCCAATGGCAGTGTGCCAAAGCAATCAGACTCAGGGCTACGGTGTATAATGCAGACCTTGATGGTGGTGGTGAAACTGTGAAACTGTGAAAGGGCCCCGGATGTTGTCAGACGGCCGCCAACCTAACGGTGACTAACGCACAATCCCCGCCGCACGATTGGCTGCCCGTCCTCGGCTTCCCCTTCCAGCGGCCTTCCATGGATCCTGGCCTCCCCCCGGCGACTCGTGTCTTCTCTCTTGTTGCGCTCCATTCGAGTCTTTATATCCTCCTCCGCCTCTGCTGCGGTTTTCCCCTCTTTAATCCCATCCTTCGCGACCCTATCCATCTCACTCGTTCCCCGTCATGACCATTGAGCGACTCTCCCACGCCTAGCAACCCCCCCCACCCCCCCAACTTTCAGCCGCCGCCAGTCGACCCCCTTACGCTCCCCTCGCTCCCCTCCCCTTCGACCCCAGGAATGCCCAGCGGCCGCGCACGTCGCAAGAACGGCAGTCTCAGAGCTTCGAAAGCTGCCCAACGTCGCAGCAACATGTCCCACCTCATCCCCGAAAGTGCCCCGGCAGTCCGTCCGAAAACCGTGACCCTCTGCGACGACAGTCCTGATACCTCCGACGCCGCCTCGAACACGTCGGCCACCACAGTCACCACCAACCCCTCCAGCCTGCCTGCGACCTCCCCCACAAACGGCGTCGATTCTGTGAAGAAAGCCATGGCCCGGAAGGCCTCTTCGCCGATGGCGCCCCCTTTCATGGTCTCCGCGCCGGGAAAGGTCATCGTCTTCGGTGAACATGCCGTCGTTCACGGCAAGGCCGCCATGGCCGCCGCTATCTCCCTTCGCTCCTATTTCCTCGTTACCACCTTGTCCAAGTCGCAGCGCACAATCACATTGAACTACCTAGACATGGATTTCAAGCACACATGGAACATTGACGATCTGCCCTGGGACCTCTTCAAGCAACCGTCCAAGAAGAAGTACTACTACGATCTGGTCACGACACTCGATATGGAATTGTTTGATTCGCTACTCCCTTGTGTCAAGAACGTGTCGCCAGACGCTCCGGAAGAGCTGCGGAGCAAGCACGAACGGTCGGCGTTGGCCTTCCTATACCTATTCTGCTCTCTGGGCTCGCCCCAAAATCCGGGCGCCATATACACTTTGCGTTCAACCATTCCCATGGCTGCGGGTTTGGGTAGCAGTGCCAGTGTCTGCACCTGTTTGAGTGCTGCGATGCTGCTCCAGATCCGCACGCTGGCTGGCCCTCATGATGACCAGCCTCCGGACGAGGCGGAGTTGCAGATTGAGCGCATCAACCGGTGGGCTTTCGTCGGGGAATTATGTATCCACGGGAACCCAAGCGGCGTAGACAACACGGTTTCTACCGGCGGCAAGGCCGTGATATTCAAAAGAGAAGACTACTCCAAACCGCCCACTGTCACACCGCTGCCCAACTTCCCCGAATTACCTCTCCTGCTGGTTGACACACGACAGAGCCGCTCGACAGCAGTGGAAGTCGCCAAAGTAGGGAAGCTCCGGAAGGAACACCCGCTTGTCACCAAATCTATTCTCGATGCGATCGACAAGGTGACCGTGTCCGCGCAGGAGGCCATCGCGCATGCCGATGGACAGACCATCGATAAGGAGACCCTCGAACATCTCGGAACACTGGTCCGCATCAACCACGGCTTCCTCGTGTCTTTAGGAGTGTCCCACCCTCGACTGGAGCGGATTCGAGAACTAGTTGATTTTGCCGATATCGGTTGGACAAAGCTGACCGGTGCGGGCGGTGGTGGCTGTGCGATCACCCTGCTGCGCCCGGATGCCAGCGAGGATGCGCTCCGCAAGCTAGAAACTAACCTGGCTGACGAGAACTTCCAAAAATACGAGACGACCCTCGGCGGAGACGGCGTGGGGGTGCTCTGGCCGGCGGTGCTGCGCAACGGCTCGGACGAAGAAGGCGGCGAGGAGATCGACCTGCAGAAATTCGAGAACGCTGACGGCCCCGAAGGCATCGAGCGTCTCGTCGGCGTTGGAGGACCAGAGAAGCGGGAAGGCTGGAAGTTCTGGAAACGTGCCGTTTGAAAACCGACTACATGAACCTTCCACAGTCCAACTCGCCAGTCACAGTCACAGTCACAGTCACAGTCACACACACTCATTATTACCTCCCAACCCAACCCACCCCTTCCCTCCGCCCTTCTTATGATCATTTCCCGAGCTCGGTGTTATGGCATTGCATGATTGCATCTTACATGTTTACTACTAATTGACCCCCCACCTCAATCTTCCTACTACCACTACTACCTACTACCTATCTCCTTGTTTCGTCCATCACCTTTACGGCCCCCTTCTATTTTTCTTTCTCTTTCCTTCCATCTTTCTTTCTTTCTATGTACAATAATTTATATCCGACTCTTCAACTCTCCAACGCCCCTCCAAATCCTCTTCAATATCCCCTCTACGCAAACTCCCCCTTCTTGTCTTCCATTTGTCTCATAACATTATTCTTTTTGGCTCTTGCTTTTTATTCTGGGGCTCTTCATTCGGCTTTTATCATACTCTTGACATGCTATACGGGATGTATGTACTGGGCATGAGGGATTGACTTTGTTTGCTTCGTTTGTGGGTGTATCTAGTCTAGGCTATATTGGTAGGTACCTTACCTAGATAATCAAAGTAAGTAGGTAGTGCTTGAATGCAAGTAATGTGATGTGTATCAATCGATGGAGGTGTTTCCCGGGGTGTTGGTGATTGTAGTAGTATGTATGTGTATAAGGTGGAATATACTAGGTAAGGTAAGATACAAGTGGCAATCGTGGAAGAATCCTGAATGTCGAATTCTCCGTACGTCTGTTGTATTAGAAAGTAACAGTGCAATGTATGTAATATTGTCTTTGCCACACACAGTCAATATCTTCATTCTCCCAAGTATAATATCCCTTTGTAACGCAAGGGTAAACGCTACCTAATCCTTTACATCCCAAAAACGAGCATATATACACAACTACCATCTAGACCGATTTTCTTAGATGCAAGTAACCAATCCACATCCAGTCATCACACCACCAAAACACAATCACCACCCAAAAGATAGAGAGGGATAGAGAACCAGTGCCTATCCCATCGTGGTTTCCCACCCATTTTCCACCATCACATCAATCCAGTAAACCCCCTGTTCGCCTGCATCGATGTGCCGCCAGACCTCGCGCACGAGCCGGAGACACACGCTGATCGGCTTGGGAGGCAGTACGTGCAGATAGGAGGTGAGTCGGCCGAGGATGAATCGACGGGTTCGGGAGACGTCGATGGCATATGACGAGATACTGGGGCCGGTGCTGTCGAGGTTGGTTTCGAGGGGAGCGAGACGGGGGAGACGGAGCTCGCTGCTCGAGGCGACGAGGAGGAAGGGCTGCAGGCAGCGGGTGCGGGATTCGAGTGGGATGGTTTTCAGGCGGGAGAGAGTGGTGAGGGCGAATTCGGTCAGCCAGGTGTCGTAGTAGGAGTCTGGGTGGGTTGTTGCTGAACCGGGGGTTTGGTCGGGGGATGTTGGATGTGGGTGTGGGTGTGAGTGTGGGTATGAGGGTTCGCAGAACCAGGGAGTATTGCTGCCCGTGGGGGGAGAGATGAAGGGGTCACGGATGGTTGTGGGCGGATGTTGAGGGCGGGGGTGGTTGGAGGGGCGTCGTGAGGGGAGTCGACGGCGGAGGAGGTCGGGGAAGACCCGGTATAATTGCATGAGGCCGGTGCAGCGGTACACCTCGGCCATGGTGAGGAGATGCCAGACGGGCGTTTCGTCGTCTCCTGGACTGACAATTTCGGCCTCAGCGGGGTGGGCGAGGGCAAGAAGTTGCTCTTCTAGGACCTGTGCTTTCTCCATGGCTTGCTGCGCTTGTGTAATGTCTGCGTGGGACGTGAAAGTGCGAGAGCGGATTCGTGCCCGCTCCCGACGTACGAGCCTGCCCACTTCCTGCACGGTGAACTGCGTGTCGCGCGCAATGCCCGTCCATGGGTGAGGGACGCGTTGTAGAACCAATGATTCGCCGGTTGCTGCAGCTGCTGACCCTGACAAGACGGTGGAGTCATCCGCTACGAAGGACAGAAGCATCTCCCAGTAGACCAGAGCCTCTTCGAAGAATTGATGGTTGTTGCCACGACCTGGCATGGCAGTTGCGGCCTGTTGGATATCAAGGTGGTTTCGTAGCAGGTTGAAGAAGGAAATGCCGAGATCCTTGGGATCATGCCAACTGGCAGTCTGGCCCAACATGAGTAATGCCAGCAAGGATTTATCATCCAAGGTCGACTCTTTCGTGATGATGTCCACCGCTTCATCGCGCATTTTCCGCCCTAACGGCCCGAACTGAGGAAAGTCATGCACGAGCGTTGCGGCCGCCATGCTCTGCATGGTCCGACACATGGCCAAAGATGAGCCCCACAACCGAGACACAGTGGACCGGAAGGGGTTCATCTGGCTGTCATAGCTTGAGAATAAAGCCGCTACCTCCTTGAAATAGTACTCGATGAGGGTCCAGGAAGGATTGTTCAGAGGTTGAGGGATTGCTGCGAAGTCTCGTTGTGGGGGCTTCATGCCAGGCGGAGGGTACTGACGTACGATGGTAGATGGCGAAAATCCAGAATACATGTGAGGTTCATCTTGTAGAGCTGGTGCGGCTAGAGAGAACAGCCCGAAGGGATCTTCTATGTGGCTCGCAGGGGATTCAAAATTGATGTCCGGATTGTTTTGGGATGCTGAGCCGGACACCGATGCCGATGCCGATATTGGGGATTGAGGGCAAAGATCTGCCAGCTCCGGGAGGGAGTCTGTCTGTTGTAGGCCCCATAAGTTATCACATATGCCATTCGGCCCATCCAGCTCCAGGCCCCTGGGGTTGACCGGATCGTCAGGGGTCGTGAGGCCCAAGCCGTTATCATCCACGGCCAAGGACTGCGTCAGTGGGTCAACGAAGCCGGGCGTGTTGGGAGTTTCTGGATCTCTGGAAGCGGACTGTTGATAAGGTATCGAGCGAGACTCATCGGGAGTATCGCCAACGGCAAGCTGGTTAGACTCTCCGGGGACCGACGGTGGGTACTTGGTCACCCAGCGTAGAGACTGGACGTATCCGGGGCATATGACGCCCAGGCGGATGCATCGACTACAGTGAGGCCTCTCTTCCCCGCATTTGACCTGTTGATAAGCGGGACATTAAAATCTTGATCCATCCGAAGAGGCGGGATTCGTCCAGACTAGACGAGTAGACTGGCGAAGAACTCACGCGTTTGCTCTTGCACCGAGCACAGCCATTACGAGACTTTTTGACGCGACGCATTATCGATCCGCGATGGGCTCATGGTAGACCGGGGATAAGGAAGGCGATTGAGGCAACATGGTGGAGGACGGAGGAGACGGCGATGCGCAGCTGCGGTGTCGGCGAGCTCGACACGGAAATGCGGGGAGAAAGCTGGTTGGGGGGGGGGGGCCTCGAATTGCCGGCTTATCGTGAACCAATAATGATGGCCGTCAGGGGACTTTTTCTCCTCTTCGGGAAATGCGAGCTGGCTGGGTCCAGGCTGTCAAGGCTTATGGTGTCAAGCGTAGTGGCGGTAATTTATCGAGCACAAAGAAACCCAAAGTCTGGGCTCTGGATGGAATGGCAAGGAAAGGAAGACGCAGGACAATGAATGGATGCCTTGGTATTGTTGTGTCCCTGCCTCAGGCACGCGTACCCCACTCCCCGGCGGTGCGTTTTGGCGCATGCATTAATATCAAATCACCAACAACATCCTCAACGCTGACGACCACCTCGCTTGCAGGCCCTTCCGAGGATCCGGCAGGAACTCCGACTCACTGATAGGGTGGACTACAGCTGTTGCACACAGCACTTTGCTCCCTTGGCACCACATCCAGGTACATATGCTCTAACATTGGTTTTCCGACATCATCGACATACGCTTCTCAATTGACAGGGCGGCTTTCGGCTTCTCTGAGTCATTTATGAGGACGGGCCTTGAAGACCTGTGGACCCTTGAGAGCCTCCAGTGCGAAAGTAGAGGTCTTATTGGATGTGTGCAGTGTGATTAACCAAATATTTACCTTCGCAGCTTGATCGGCTATTGTTTTCTTCATTTTATACCCCGATACCCCACCACATCTTTGACGATGGAGGGCAAATACGCTTCAGATCCCGAGTGGGCTTCCATCAAGCCCATCCCCCTCAATGATGGAGCCGAGTCCGGAGCAGAGCCCCTGGCCACCATTGCGTATGGTGCCGGGTACCTTGAGGCCACATCATATCTACGAGCGGTCATGGCCGCCAACGAGATGTCAGAGAGGGCGTTGAAGTTGACTGAAGATATCATTTCGATGAACCCGGCTCACTACACCGTATGGTAAGTTTACTCCACGACACCGATGACTGTGACATTGGCGCGCGCAACTCACCAAGCCCACCAGGATTTATCGAGCTAAGATCTTGTTCACTCTGGAGAAAGACCTGAACGAGGAGCTGGAATGGTTGAACGGCGTGTCTCTGAAGTATCTGAAGAACTATCAAATATGGTACAATCAACGGCTCCATTCATCCACTCGAAATCGATGCCTCTAACAATTACCACCAGGCACCATCGCCAAGTGCTGATGTCTCGCAAGGACTTCTTCCCAAGTCCTCCATCCGAAGAGCCAGACTTTCTCATGGAGATGTTCGCTCAAGACTGCAAAAACTACCATGTCTGGACGTACCGCCACTGGTACGTCCGCCACTTCAAGCTCTGGGACGCTCCGCGAGAGATCAAGGATGTGCAAGCCCTGCTTGCCGCGGATGTCCGCAACAATTCTGCCTGGAACCACCGCTTCATGCTCCGTTTCGGACCGCGTGACGACGAGCCAGATGCCGGAATGCCCAATTGCTCGGGGGAGGGCTCGGAGAAGGGCCGCCTGGCTGTCGTTGACGAGGACGTCGTCGATGCTGAGCTACAGTACGCCCAATCGAAGATTGTGCGGGCTCCTGAGAACCGCAGCCCATGGTCGTATGCACGAGGCGTGCTGCGTGCCGCGGGTCGACCTCTTTCGGAGTGGAAGGAGTTTGCGGGCAAGTTTGTAAGAGAATCGGAGGGAGATGTCGAAGTCAAGAGCAGCCACGCTGTGGAGTGGCTGGCTGATGTGCTTGCGGAAGAGAATGCACAGCAGGCAACTCGCATGCTTACCTTGTTGAAGGAGAAGTATGACCCGATCCGAGCGAACTACTGGGATTATCGGATTCGAGCCATCGCAGGCCATTAGGTACCTGATTCGCGTGAAAGCTTTTTTTTTTTTTTTTTAATTGGCCTACGTTCTGTTAATAGCGCGGGATACATATTGTACACTATCGCTTTGAATATGATCTGTGGTAGTGTCCAAAAATATCACGAAAGGTCTTCAATAGTACCAACTAACACCCATTATAGTCAACGCGCACGCTGTGTCATGATCATCATTAAGCTATATAGTAACCCGATACAAACAAAAAAGAAACTCCTCCCAGATATACATCATAAATTAAACATATGGGTCAATTGGACGTCTCCCATCCCTCCGCCAGCATCTTCCTCCACTCCGCCGCCATATCGATGGTGACATTACTTCCACCACACACAATGATCACCACCCGACTGTCAGCATTCAAGTCCGGCACCAATTGTTTGAGCCTAGACTGCAGCCCCCCACGGGATGACGGCGACGGCGAGCGAGAATTTTCTCCAGCAGACAACCGATCATCCCCATACCCCTCATCCTTCTCGTCCTCAACGCCCCTCTTCCTCTTCTGTCCCACAGCCACAGACCCAGTCGTCGAACAAGAAGATGATGACGACGACGAGCTCGGAGTCCCCACCGCAGCCTCCACACAAACACCACAAGCCAATTCAACCAGGAACCGCTCATCATCCACAAGCCGGAGCACGCCCTTCGCGGCCTCCGCGTCCGAAAGAACAGTACTATGCACCTGGACCCCGGGCGGCGGAGACACAGCATAGTTGAACGTCCGCTCAGACACCCGGATCGCTCCCAACGAAGTAGCCTGAGAAGTGATCTTGGGCAAGGAAACGAGCGACTTCTTCTCGATCGCCGCAGCGAGGGAATCCGTGCCGAGGGTTTCCACCGCAAGCAGATGGACGGGCTTTCCCGTGGTAACAGAAGAAGAAGAAGAAGAAGAAGAAGAAGAAGAAGAAGAAGAAGAAGAAGAAGAAGAAGAAGAAGAAGAAGAAGAAGAAGAAGACGACGACGATGAAGCAAGCTTCGACCTCTCCAACCGATGCCTCTCAATGCCCATAACCAAGCCATTCAACAACCCCCCACCCCCAACACTGCAAACAATGGCATCGACCGGCAACGCACGTCCAGCGTGAACAGCCTCCTCCTCCTCCCCCTCAGCCGGAGGAATCTGCTCCACCAACTCATCAACAATAGTGCTGTTTCCCTCCCAGATCGTCTCATTATCAAACGGATGCAGGGCAATCTTCACGACATCCTCACTTTCTTTGCCATCTTTGTCATCGCCGTCGCTGGAGCCATTGTTCATCACAACATCCTTCATGTATTGGCCCGCCTCGGAAAACGTCTCCCCGTGCTGGATCACGTCCGCGGCGCCAGCGGCCCGGAGCTTCTGCACCATCAGTGGCTTCGTGGAGACCGGGACGACGACGGTGCAGGGGAATCCCAGGGTGCGGGCTGCGCAGACGGCGGCGAGACCGGCGTTGCCGCCGGAGGAGGCGTAGAAGTGGACGGGACGGTGGGCGTTTTCGGGCTTGCGGAGGTGGGAGAGGATCTGGTTGCCCATGGCGCGGGACTTGAAGGAGCCGCTGGGTTGGATGTTTTCGAGCTTGAGGAAGATTCTACATCCTGCGGCGCGGGAGAGGATGGCGGATTCGACCAGGGGGGTGGGGTTCCATGGTGTTTTGTAGGTTGGGAGGGGTGATGGTGTGTGGTCTGGGAGGATGCTGCCCATGCTTTCTGGTCGCTTGGGCGCGTTGGCTTGGTGGTTGGCGGTTGAGGGAGATGATTATGAGGTTGGAGACTGTGGGCAGATGGGTTGATAAGAGTTGTAGTGAATTGGGAGGAAGATGATGATGGTATTGAATGAATATGTGTATGTGTGGGTATGGTAGAAAGGCCAAGAGAGGAGACGAGGTATGCGCTGAAGATAAAGAATTAAGAACACCGCAAGCCCTAGAGTATGATACAAACCTCATATACTTCCCATGCTTTAGCCCTGAAACCCATATCATAGTTCTGTGATATACAACGGACGCTTCCCGATATAGTCCGCCCCCCAGTTTGCCGCGGGAAACCCGCCAGTTTCCCGCCCCGATAACCATCAGGTAAGACCAAACCTCGTCCTGCCGGCAACCTTTTTCCGCTGATAAACCTGGCGGGTGCTTCTGCTCCATCCCCCCCCCCCGTGTGCCATGACATAATATAAACGCCTGGTGTGCGTGGGAATGACCTGACCTACCCGCCATTGCAGGCCCAGTCCCATCAGCCAGCAATGGAACGCACCCGCTGGATTCCACCGACCCTCTCCGTGCGGAGACCGTGCCCATCGCCTGCCTGACCGAACGGCCAATCTGGCTTCCATGATTGGATTCCGGCCCTTTCCTGTTATCAAATCGAAAGGCGGCTATATTAACTTTCCACGATAAGAGGGGGGAACAGGACGCTCTTTTTAGCATTCGCTCCGTAGTCTAAATCAGACCCATACCTCGCCGCCGCGAACTTCCTTTTGGCCGGATCGGTTTTGTCTACCTGCAACATGTCCAGAAGCTCGTTAGCCTTGGTGGGCATGACCGGCTGCAGGAGAATGCTGGCAATCCGGAGCGACTCGGCAACGTTGTAGAGGGATCGCTGACGGTCGATCGGATTCTTCCAAGGCTCCGCGTGATGGAAATACTTGTTGGTCTGGAGCACGTTAGAACACTTCTGGAACATTTTCCGGCCCAGGGTGGATCCATTCTTACCTGATCTACCAGTGAGGTGATTTCTTGCAGAGCAGCACGAGGGTTCAGATTATCCATCAGCTCTGCAACCTTGTTGGGCACCTCCTTCAGCATCGCTTCGTACTCCTCATCAGCCAATGTCGCTGCTGGGAGCCTGCCGCTTGTGCCGTTCTCGATATACGACCGAAGATTACCCTTGGCACAACCGATCGCCCGATGAGCCAGGTTTCCTAGTCCCTTCTGCAGCAATTTCTGGTAATCGCGGATGATGTAAGCGTTGTCGTAGTCGGCATCTCCCACCAAAGCGCCTTGATAAATGAGGAAGAAGCGCATCGAGTCGACTCCGAAACGATTGATGGCAAAGAACGGGTTGACCACATTCCCCGTAGACTTGGACATCTTCTCACGATTAATAGTCCAGTGTCCATGAACAAGAACATTACGAGGAACGGGAAGGTCAAGAGCCATGAGAAAGGCGGGCCAGTATACGGAGTGGAAGCTGGGGTTCAATTAGTCCAGGGCTAGCTCGTTGGCTAAGTATGAAGGTAAGCACATACCGAACAATATCTTTACCCACAACGTGTACATCTGCCGGCCATCCCAGGCTGGATCCCTGACCGGGAGCGAACGGGTAGCCTGCCTTGGTCAAGTAGTTGACCAGGGCATCTAGCCAAACGTAGACAGTCTGCGTGTTGTCGCCGGGAACGGGGATGCCCCAGCTGAGCCTTTCTGTGGGCCTGGAGATCGACAGATCTGAAAGACCCTCGGAGACAGAATTGAAAACATTTGTCCCATAGATTGAAGGTGTAATGAACCCTGTTTTGTACAGATCGAGCAGACGTTCTTGGAAGGCAGACAAACGGAAGTGATAGTTGGTTTCCGAGGACCATTCTACCTCTTTTCCAGTCTCGATGGAGACCTATTTGCATAAGCCATGTCCCCTGCTGAGAAAGGGGGTAGGACCTACCATTTTTGTGTGCCCTGTCTCTGGGTCCAACGACTTCTGCACTTGCGTCTGAGGGTAGAATGTCTCATCGCTAACAGAGTACCATCCTTCATGTTTCGCGGTGTAGATGTAGCCCCGGTGACTGAGCATCTCCTGTATCATCGTCAATCGCACGTTCGCGAGCGAATGTCGGGGCCAAATACCCAAAAGTACTGAACAGCTTCCTTATGCGCAGGCTCCGTGGTTCGTATAAAGTAGTTGTAGTCCATGTTGGCAGCGTTTGCGAGAGCCTACAGAAAAGTTTAGCTTCAAGGCATATGAGTCGACGGGCGGGATATGCTCGTAAACTGACCTCGAACGTCTTATAGTTTTGGTCGCAGAAGGCCTGTGTATCCATCTCCGCAGCAAGGGCGGCCTGCTGGATCTTCACCATCCCGTCAATATACTCCAAACTCCCAGTATCTAATATCACACCGTACCTTCATGCCATGCTCATCCGTTCCCGTCAGTAGTTGGGCGTCATTGTCTCCGATGAGAGTCCGCCATCTCTTGATCACGTCGGCAAGGACCATAGTATACAAGTGACCGACATGAGGTGCTGCAGTAAGAAATCGCATTAGCATTTGCGAGGAGAGGATGACCCAGAGACCAGTGGTATCATACCGGCATTGACATAGAATATAGGCGTCGTGACATAGTAGGGCTTCTTAGAAGTGCTGTCGGCGGCCGCCGTTGCGAACCGACGGGGCCGGATTGTCGTCGCTGGGCGTGTAGTAGTTCTGCAGGGAGCGCATCTCCAAGACGCTCGGCTGGAGGCCAAGAATTGACCGGCCCAGGAAACCGAGCGAAAACCTGCCCGGGAGATAGCCATTGGGGCGGGATTGCGGGGAGGAACGAAGATGGTTTGATTCAAGGCGGCGTTTTCGTCGGAGCGCGATCATCATCTCCGGGTGGTCCAAGCTCCCCCATGCCTTTTTTCTGCCGTTCGCACCGGCTTGTTTCTTACCCCTCGCACTCTCTATTATTCATTCTTCGGCTTTTTGGAAACCACAGATTTTGGTTTCCTGCATCCACCCGTCGTGCCTGTGTTGTGTATCTACTAAGACAGAGTTCTACCTCTGGCAAACTCGAATCTGCAGAATGGCTCCCCCTACGGAAGATAATCTGACGAAAGTCTCTACGGATGGTATGTTGGTTTGCAGTCAGTCATTATTTTCATTTGCCCTTCCTAACCCCATGTTTCCTTCAGCGGCAACCGAATTTGTCCAATCCTTCTACCCTGCGCTTGAAAACAACCGTTCCTCGATCGCGTCGTTCTACAACCAACCCACGGCAATGATCCTTTTCAACGGAAATGCCGTTACGGATGGAGCGGCTGTCCAGGAAATCTTCGTTAATCAGATGTCCCCCACGCACTACGAGGTGCAGTCGTTCGACTGTCAAATCATCAATCAAGGATACCCCACCCCCACTTCGACTGGTACGAAGCTTCCCACGGAGACTACGCTCAAGGATATGTCGATTCTGGTTCTGGTCAGCGGCTACGTGCGCTTTGGCGAGTCTAGAGATCTTCCGCAGCGGGGGTTCAGCGAAACCATCCTACTGGTGCCGAACCCGACCACCGACCTGCCCAAAGGGAGGCGCAGGAAGGAGTGGCTTATCCAGACCCAGAATTTCCGACTGGTGGTTTGAGCTATGATTGCCGAGTCTACACAAAAAAAACACTGTTTCTTCCGGCGCCAATTTCCTGCTTATAACGATTCCACTGGTGGGGTATGATGGCATAACCACGATATGATGCGCTATTACTCAACGATGCGACCGCACAAATTCTGGGGTAAAAGAAAAAGGACAATGAAAGAAACCCTCATCAAGACACTCCGTGTTACGCCAAGTGGACGAGAAAAAACCGAAACCGACCAATTGCTACCTTGCACCACCACCATTGTACTGCTTATGCCGCGCCCCTTCGTGGCACGCGCAGGTTTGCTTTGATGCGCTCGAGCAACTCCTCGCGTGATGCTCTTGCGCTGGGCAAAAGACCCCTCTTTGGGTGACAGTTAGGATCCATTGCTCATTTTTGGCGGCATTGATTGTTTTGTTTACGGGGGAAAAGAAGACTTACAGCACGAAGCCATCTCTGCATTTCATCTGCAGTCCAGTTCTCCGGATCTTTAAATCATCAGCTTGGACAATCCATAATCCAGAGTATCGATGCATACCTCCGGTTGGGTCGGCTTCTGCGGGAAACATGTCGTTACCCCAGATGGCCCAAGCGGCTGCAGCCGTGACCATTCCGGCAAACCCTGAAGAAGTTTAGATTGGAACATCCATCGCTAACTCGCAACTTGGGGTGGAATACCCAGGAAAAGATTCTGAATCATCATCGTCAGCTGATGGTTGCGGACACCGCACTGGGTTTCTAGTATACCTTGGAGTTTAAAGCGCGATCTAAAGCGGTCGGCATCTTGCTTTATGAGTGAATAACAGGGGAGTATGTACACGCAGCCGTATCCACCTGTATGAGTCACAGTGGCAGGGAGCGGGTGGTGGTGGTGGTGGTGGTCTGGTGAATAGACAGCAAGATTGTTGCCAGATAGGCCGGTAGATATGCTTGCGAGTGGCCAAATAATAGGATGTCGATCTACGTATCATGTAGGAAAGTAGGCTGCCGCCGTATCAGTACACAGCCACACGGGGCTGCTGCTAGAAGCCTCTCAGCCACGGGGTGGCACGGACACTAAGGGCTTCCGGGGGGCAACCCTACAGCCCACAGAAGCTGCTGCGTCAGCCCGCCGTCGAGCTTCCAGACCGCGACTGTCATCATCTGTCTTTCGTCCCGCCGTTCTAGATACACGATCAATCCGATTACGTTTCAACCCCTCCGCCACCATGCCTCGTGAAGTTTCCGACATCAAGCAGTTCATTGAGATCTGCCGCCGCAAGGATGCGTCCTGTACGTTTACCCGACCTTTAGCCGCTTAGTGATGATGGAATGGGGGTGGAAGGAAGCTCCCGCGGAGCAGCCCCAGCCGGGGAAGCTCGACGGATAGATAGATACGGCCAAGTGGGATGGATGGTGCCGAGTGGGAGGCTAACAACATGATCAACATCTACAGCTGCCCGCATCAAGCGCAACCGCTCCACCCAGCAGATCAAGTTCAAGGTCCGCTGCTCTCGCTTCGTCTACACCCTCGTCCTGAAGGACTCCGACAAGGCCGACAAGCTCAAGCAGAGCCTCCCCCCTGGTGCGTTTGACCCCGTCATCTGATCGACTGTGATCTGGGAAGCAAGCATATCTATCATATTGGAATACATGTGAATGAGGACATTCAACCTGGATGAAAACGACACGTTCCATCAACCCCGGATTTACGGACTCGATACTGACGTCATCTGTCTCATACAGCTCTCAAGGTCGTCGACGTGTCCAAGGGTGACAAGAAGAAGGCTCTGTAAATACCTTCCTCTCTCACACATACACACTAAGTTAGGGTGAAGTGGGCACGCATGGAATTTGTCAAAGCATGATACCATTGTCGATTACCCGTCGGCATGGACACGGTTGCTTCTGTGGGCCGACACGGAGTGACTGACTGATCTCTGATCGGGTTGGTTGTCTCCGCGTCTGGCACCGGTTGCTGTCATATACTATGCCAGGGCACATCACCGACCAGACGACCTGCATGACTGGACCTTCTTCCGGGGTTGCTTTGTCGGAGCGCCCCGGGACTATACAACTTAAATGAAGAAAAACAGTTGAAAATTCCATGACACCTCGACTCCCACCCCCACCCACCCTATGATGTGGTATAAAGCCTGCTCGTGGGTCGGCTTGTGCTTGGTAGGCCTTTGACAGCTATTCTTGCATCACACAAGGTCGCGGAATGTAGATCCGTAGTGTTGGTCTGTATATAGTGGTAGTGGTATTGAAGGCCAGCGATTATTCTGTAGGTCGTCGAACATGAGCCATCTCGAGTCCGCCGCAACTCTACATTCGTTGCTGCAGCACTCTGTTGGCACACTCAGGTGCCTGGTTTATGATGTCCTAGATTCGGGAAGGTCCCCAGGGACGGTATCATGTCAATGAACCTCGACCTGGGTCTATGAAAAATTTTGTCTTCACACGATAGTCTATCTGGCCTCGAAAAAGATTCCCTCTATAACAAAACAATGGGTCCGGTAGACCGACACCTAAGTCTGCGGACAAGATCGGGCACGACGTTCCAACCATCGGCACTGGGAGGTCACTATCCGGAGATATTGTCATATCGAAGCAGACAAGACGCAGCAACCAGTAAGACAACATACCAAGGTCGCCAACACCCATTCAAATAATTCAATCCTCCCTCCCATAAGGCAATTCAGAATACCCCTTCACGGCCGCCCTGCTCAGACTCTCATCAATTACCTCCCTTGCAAGAGCATCCCGATGCCGCCTCAACTCAAACTCCCCAAAGTAACTCGGCTCCTCCGTAACCTTCCCAAACAGCGCCCCTTCAAACAGCGCCAAACTGCGCTCATTCGCCTGCCCAATCTTCACACTCAGACACGAAAACCTCCACGGCCGAGCCATGCCCTTCTCTGCCATCGCCTGCGACGCAGAGCCATCCCCGCCAACGAACTCCTCCAAGATCTCCGTTTCCCGGTCAACGATATACCGAAGAAAGGTGTACAGCGCGGCCTTCCCGAACCCTCTGCGCTGGTTTGCTTTCTCGGCGATCATCAGTTCGATCTCCCCGATGATCTGAGGCTCAGAGTCGCCTTCTTCGCCGTCATCTATGCGGAGAAAGAGGTTGATGTCGCCGACCATTCGGTCGGGGGTGTCGTCTGCGTCGGTGAGCTGGTGGATGGTGTTTCCGGTGCTGGATGAGGCTCCGGGGGCTGGGAGGCAGACGATGAAGGTTAGTTTGTCGGGGTCCTGGCGCCAGCTTTCTTGCATGGCGTATTCTTCCTCTATGGAGAGGGGTTCGGAAGCGGTTGCTTCTTGGATTTCCTGGTTGTGGGGTTTAGATATGGGGGGTTTGTTCTAGTTGTAAGAAGATAAAGGGGCGTAGACGCTACCTCATCTTTCATCCATTCATGATACCGGGGAACATGCCATCTGGAATACGGAACTAGAAGGACCGTGGAGGTTGAGATGGCTATTCAGTAGATTAGCCTGGCTGGATGATGTGTACATTCGATGGCTTAACGTACCTGTCTTGGCGTTTAATAGCATGTTGAGACGTCTAGACTTCCAGTGGGTATCTTTAAAGGACGGTCCCGGATAGTATATAGTTGGTCCAAAAAGCCTGCCTTCCGAGCATTCACTAAGTGGGAAGCCGTGACTTTTCCCGCAAGTCTTGGCATCGGCCGGGTTGTTTCTATGAATGGACTCTCTAACTTCGAGATCAACATGCGATAGAATGAGTCTCCTCCATGAGTCTTATATAGTTCATTAATCTAAGTCATTGGTATCACCACCTATCTATTGTTTTTCTTGTTGTCCCGCAAACGCTCCGAATCTGACAACCTCCACCTCCAGTGTCTCGGTGTCAACAAGTACCAATTCACCGGTTTCCTCAAACTTTGGTATAGAAATAAGACGCACACGAGAACCAGAGGTGTTATCATCATCTGTACCGGTCATCTCCGTGTCTGCGCCATTCAGTTTGAGCGGAGAGTCGCCCTCTATAACGGCCGTCTTGAACCGTGGCTGGTTGCCGGCAAAGAAGATATGCGGGCAGCTCTCCATGACGAATGGGTCGTGGGTTTGGAATGGATAAGACCCTGTTTGAGGATGGGTTAGTCTGGGCGTCAAAGTAAATGAGGGATTGGGAAAGAGCTTACATAGCGTATCCGGTGCAGTGGGAACCCCACATCTCCAGCGTAGCATGGCCTCCATGACCCTGATCCTCGCCTCCATATCTCCAGCACCGTCGCCAACGTTGCCTTCTTCATCCGCAAGATTCAAGTAGCGAAGGGCATCATCTACATTCTGGCCACTGCTACCCCATAAACGCCAACCCTCCACGTCCCCCTCCCACGGGTTCGTGACGCTGTCGAACCAACCAGGCTCCTGCTTTTCCTCGCCCGCCGGGGGCGGAGCACAGTATGCCCTAGCCTGCGGGAACATAGCGCGATGGATTCCTTGTTGGGGGAGGGAGAAGTTGGCCGGGTCGGATTGACCAGCCATAAGCGTGATGGGTATACTGGGCAGAATCTCGGCCAGGAAAGAGTCCAGGCGCGTGATAGGCGAAGCGTTATACGCAGAAGCATCGTACCCGTACTTCTTTGGACCGGCCTTCTTCTTCCCCGCTCCATTATCAGCATTGGCGTCAACGGTCATGCTGGCGCCCAGCGAGTTCCCCGCAATGACCAGCCTCGTGATGGTAGAGGCATCCGGCGGTGCGTCACCACTGTTGCCAGCAGATGTGGACCCAGAATAGCCAAGAAGGTAATCCGTCAACAGCTCCAAAGCGAGAGTATCACTCGACGTCCCGGTGACACCTAGACCACTCACAAAAGCAATCTTACCTTTGCTAGGCTCCTTTTGTGCCGCATCCACCCCATCTCGTTCCCACCGACGAGGCTGACGAGCCAAATCCGGGACCTTGGTATCAATGACCTCGAAGTCTCCGTTTGAGTTCTCCGTTCCCAAGACAGCAATGATAGCCCCCGTACACAGCTGCGCGGTGCGGAGCATGCTCCCCGTTAACCGCAATCGTCCAGACTCGTCTTCCAGCATAATCTGCGTTAGGTCGGGATTAGATGGATCTTGGTAGGTCGGGCGAGGTGGAGGCGCTAATGTATAGTTCTGCAATCGAGAATCAGAAACCCAGAATCCGTACCCAAAACGACCGAGGAGCAATTTACCTCCTTCGTAAGGTCCTCCAGGATATTCGGCTTTAACGGCATATCCATGTATATCGTGCCTGCAACCCAGCAGAGCTCTCCTTGTCTGACATCCAGCACTCTCTCCACGCGACGTGCATGTTCTCCCGCGATCTAACCACCGATTGTGAATGTCAGCGCACTTTTCAGGTCCCAATGTGAAAGTGTCTGTACGTTTCATTCGGAATCGTCGCGAAGGTCGGGGCCAAATTCCTTACACTGAATCCTTCCCACGCTTCCACCGCAATCTCTTCAACTGCAGGCTTGAGTTTTGCCAGTCGTAAGAAGTACATGTCGCCATATTGTTGTTGGTAGTGTCTGTCCTGACCGCTTGGTAGTCGGAAGGTGTCTAGGGGGTTGTATTGAGAGGGCGCGCGATAGACCGAATCGAATTCTTGCTCACTATAATGGTAGAACCCCCACTTGTCAGTCAGGATATCTAGAAATTCAAAGCAGGCAGGTAAGCTAGTATGCGGGCGGACCTACCTGGGAGGGCGCAAAAACTCGTTCTCTGTAGCACTGCCGGTCATTTTGGCAGAGGTTTATACAACTACACTAATAGACTTATTTAAGTGTAGTTGCATATAGATCACAGCCCAAACTGTAACTGACAGGTGTTGTTGGATCCAGCTGGTGGTGGTGCTGGGGAGCTCCGGCCTCGTTCTTCTTGTCTCCCGCCGAACGCGAATCACGCGTCTTTTGGCGTTCTGTAATTACAGTACCGCTTTGGGGATTCTCCACCCGAGCTGGGATGGACAATAGCATCACCCCGCTATTTCAGCACAATTCCAGGGATTTGAATGGCTGTAAGAAAGTTACTGCTGCTAGCAGGTAGCAAGTATATATGAAGCTATTATACAACCAGCTTTCAGTCATGAAAAAGCCGTTTGAAACGAAATATTGTGATTGTTGGCCCGTAACCAATGTTTAGAACCACACTGCTACTTGCAATGCCTGTCAAACTCCAACACAAGCACTGAATATATTTCCGCTTATCAAGGCATGGTTGTTTGACTTTGGCTTAAGGCTGTCCTTTGTCATGTTAGTCATCCGACGTGTTTTAAGATTCTTGACCGTATGAAGGGGTTTACTTCTTTGCGGACGGCTATCCCTACCTGGAATCAACAAACACGCAGGTCTCGCAGCATTGTTTCAGACAAACATCATGGCAAATGATTGAAAGACATTCCGTCTCAGTTATAAGACCTACTGACACATTTTGTCACAATCCAGAACCATCCCTTCACTAAACCATCTGCATACGTCTTCCTTCATTCTGAAGAATCGGGAGAACTCTGATCCCGAAGCTTAGAAGAGACGCCACCAATCAGGAAGATATCGCTGGATAATGAAGGGACTCCTTTGGGATGCCGGGTGAAGACCCCTGAGATAACTCTTAGTAGTTGAGGGAGAGTATGTTGAGGAGTAGGTAGCATGCCGAGCAAGGATAGGAATGCTCCCTGCGTCCTATACTCACAGGACAAATAATATGGGCCTGCTTCCTCGGTCTTCCCTGACATTGCTAGCTCAGCTCAATATCATATGCTCCAAGTCCATATCGCACCAAGATTCTCTATACAACCGGTGAATACTCCCAAGATGATGTTCTCGCATTCTTTCAGTCGCCTGGCGCGCAAAGTCCTAGTCATCGGTCTACTAGCAGGCGTCCTCGCATCAGCGCATCTCAATACGATCTGGCGGGACTTGCAATCGAATATGTTCAAAAAGAGCCTACCGGCATCTCTCGCGACAGCACCTCAAGGGGCAGTGGGCTATTATCAGCCTCCTCCGGGCCCTGTCACGAACCCCTATCTACCTGAAGTAACCTCTGCTCCGGCAGGTCGAGATACGGCAGCAACGAGGACAACAGGCACAGTTATGCCGGAGTTGATGATGGAAGAATCATCTGATGATAAAGTTGGTGGTGACAATGGGTGGGTTCACCATCACCATATAGTTTGGCCGGGTAATAGCATTGTTTAGCTGACAGCTTTCTGGATAGACCTCGGAATAATGTTGCTATCATCACCGGTACTCATGTAGTCTTGGAAGCAACACATACAGCAACGGGTAATAAGGACATTATCTTGAGCTCCAGTGGCCTTGTGCTCTCCTTCCTTCTGTGTATGCTTCAATTTTGATGAACGCCATGATTTATTCTCAATTTCTGAGTTGATTTTCTGTCATCATCGTGGCCGAGTCTTATACGCTGGCTTCCTGCTTTTCCTTCAACTCCAAATAATCTGTACAGATCATGAATTACCTTATTGATAAATTCGATGAACTTGAGCACATTACCCAAAGAATGGTTATCGAATATATACGTGAATAACAATTGTTGTCATTTTAGGAACCTCATAAACAAGAGACTGTACGTCACTCATAAATTGTACCCTCATCATAAGCAAACCGCATAAATTGGCGTCACCGCAAACCTGATCAGCAGTTGCCCGTAACCTGCTGTGGTTGGGCGATAGTACGGGGAAGTTGGCCAATGCCTCGGTCCGGCCGGGCCTTAAAGACTGGGGGGCTCCGCTTCCCCGCATTTCGTCCCCTCAGAGGCTCGGACAGACAAGCTACTCCCCATGACGGATCTTCGCTTTCACAACAGTGATGCGGATCATCTGCTTGGTATTAAGCGGGTTCTTGTGAGCGATCATCCAGCCATAAAATTGGGCGTATTTATACAGGTAGCCCCTACTCACTCTTTTGTTCTCCCATTTCAGATTTCCTCCAGCACAAGACTCTAGGTATGTACGTCTGGCAGGGATGGGGAATATTCCTCGCTGACCGCAATTATTTGTTTCCAGAATCCACATAAATCATTCGTCAAACTACCACTTTCTCAAATATACTATAACCTCCCACCCTCCCCCTTTGTCAAGACCAACTCCAAAGCCCACAATGTCCATCCACACACCCCTCTGTTCAATGCTCAACATCCAACACCCCATCCTGCTGGCAGGAATGGCCCGCGCATCCGGAGCACCACTTGCCGCAGCGGTCTCCAACGCCGGCGGTCTAGGAACCATCGGCGGATTAGGCTACACCCCCAAACAGCTATCAGAAATGTTAACGGAGCTCAAATCCCTCTTGAAAGACCCCTCTCTACCCTTCGGGGTTGACTTGGCCCTACCGCAGGTCGGGAGAGGAGCACGGGCCACGAACCACGACTATACGCACGGGCAGCTGGACCAGCTCATCGACGTTGTGATTTCGCACGGGGCCAAGCTGTTCGTGTCCGCTGTCGGTGTTCCGCCCGAACGGGTCATCAAGCGTCTCCACGATGCGGGAATCCTCATTATGAATATGGTCGGGGCGCCCAAACACGCCGAGAAGGCGTTGAAGCTGGGGGTTGATATTGTGTGCGCCCAGGGTGGCGAGGGAGGGGGGCATACGGGCGAAATCCCGTTTTCGGTGCTCGTCCCCGCGGTGGTGGATGTGGCTAGGATGTACAGGAGTCCGTTGACCGGTCAGCCGGCGTTGGTTGTTGCGGCTGGTGGTGTCAATGATGGTCGCAGCTTGGCGGCGTCGTTGATGCTGGGCGCTGCGGGTGTCTGGGTGGGTACGCGGTTTGTCGCCTCGGAGGAAAGTGGTGCGAGTCGCTTGCATAAGGAGGCTGTTGTTGGGGCGCAATACGGAGAGACAAAGCGGACGCTCGTGATCTCTGGAAGACCGCTGCGTATGCTTCCTAATGATTATATCAAGGAGTGGGAAAAGCGCCCTGAGGAGATTGCCAGGTTGACGGCTCAAGGCATCGTTCCGATTGAGTATGACTTCAAGAATGACAGGGATGTCGATGTGCCGTTTCTGATGGGTGATGTTTCTGCCATTGTTGAAGATGTGAAGCCGGCGGGACTGATTGTCCGGGAAATGGTCGAACAGGCTGTGGATATGCTGAAAAGGGGACGCTCTTATATCGAAGGCCCGGCGACTAAGCTCTGATTGATTACCAACGATGTCTCCACCAAGTATTTTCCCTCTGACATATATGATATGGATTGTATTGCAGTAATTTTCATGATAACGTAATAAGTACGTTTAGATGTTTGTGATCTAGCATGTACAAGTACACGAAATAAGAAAGCGAACAAAATTCAGGGCCACGGCCTGTAATCCCACAATTGCTATAGTGCCTATTGTAGCTCATGGCCGGCATTGACCTAGATGAGCGTTGCCATCTATCCTCTTGCATATGGCTGAACCAATACTAGATCAGTATACAGGAGGAAAGTCCCCGAGTCATGCGAATTATACACTGTGCTGTCGCCAGTGCACGCCTTGGGGGAAGTATATTTTCAACTCATCAAAGTCAACTGCCGCACAGATGAACAAAAAGGGTGAAAACCACCTGGCCCGACTGCGGCATACGTATCGCAGACGGAAGGCCATTCGCAGTCACTATTGGCGACAAGCTCAAGGAAGCATAAGAAACGAAAACATAATATCGACGGCATGGGCGCTAATGGCACCCATTGATCATCGCCTTATTCCCGTTGGCTCGCGCTTCCAGCAGGTTGGGTGGCGGGGGTGGCCCAAACACCGGCTTTTCGGGTTGTTGGGGAACGCCGCGGTCGCCGTTCATGTCGCCTTCGGGGCCTTCGAGCTCGTAGTCATCGTCGCTGATTCCTTCGTCATCCTCCTCGTCCTCATAGTCTTCATCATATTCGCTTTCTGTTCCCTCATCGTCGCCGTCCAAATCGGCAGCAAGTCCTTGGCCACGACCCTGAGCTTGCATTCGGCGACAGAGTGCTTCAAGATGATGGCTTTTCTTTCGCCACTTTTCCAGCTCCTCGTGATTCCGTGTGCGCTCCTCGGCCATTTCAAGTATGTTGCGATTCGTTTGATCGTGCTTCCGTGTGAGGGTGAGGTTTTCTTTCTCTAGCCGTTTGGTTTTCTTGGACATTTCCTCCATTTCTTTCCGGAACGTAAGAAAGAGTTCGTTGCTGTTATTCAACGTATCCTCCACCTGCAATATCGTTATTACCAGCGGTCAAAGCGAGTCCGAGGCCAAGCAAGCCATCAATATCGGTCCATACCTGCTTGAACTTTTCCACGTAGATGTTGAGTTGGCTGCGCAGTTCGGCTTCCGTATGCGAAAACGTAGAGACCTGGGAGCTCAGAGCCCGACAACGCTGCCCTTCATTTTCTGCCGAACGGCGCTGCTCTTCGTACTTGGCGGTAAGGCATTGTATCTCCGCATCCTTGCTGCGAAGAAGTGCCTTGTAATGTAATTCCCGCATCTCGAACTTCTCGCCAATTGTCTTTATCTTCGCACGTAGACTAATGTAAAGTATCTCAGCAATGAAGGCGTATTCTCGGTGGGGGATGGCGACTCACGCTTCGTCCAAATCAATGTCCGCTTTGTCGCTGCGGGGATTTCCCTTGGCAGCCATGACGTCTTGGATATCGTACAAAAGGGAGTCAAGACGTTCGTTGACAATGAGCCGCGCTTTCTTCTCCGTTTCCTCAAGCTTTTTATTCTCGTCCTGTCAATTCAAAGATTTTCGTTTAGTATTCCTTCTGTCCTGTATAACACCAAAGCGGTATTCGCAAGCTCGGACCAACACACCTTGACTTTCTTGTTTTCCTTCGTAAGCTCCCTGCACAGTTTCTCAAGTTTATCCTTCATGGTGACGGTCTTGCTCAGCTCCGATTTGCCCTTGTCCTGGTCCTTCTGTAGCTGATCGGCCCGCTTCTTGCTTTTGGAGTAGTCGCGGTCCAGCTTCTTCATATCGGCCAGGAGCTCGGTATACTTCTTATGGACAGTCTCGAGCCGCGTCATCGGAGATTCGATGTTGCTAAGAAGTTGGTTCAGGTCTCGCGTCGCCTTCTTGACTTCGCGCTCTGTAGGCAGACAGCAATTAGTCCTCGCCCATGAAATCCCCCCAAAAGCCATGAACAAAGGTCCCCTCTATCCCATCGCACATGAATAGCACGCACCGATTTCTGCCTCCTGATCCTTCTCCCCAGCAGCATCCTGCTCCAACTGGGATATTTTCGCAGCCAAAAGCTTTGACGTCTCATTGGGGTCTGCGACCTTCTTCCCCTTGTTCTTTTTCGACATTGCTGCAGACGACATCGTTCCCTGTGGCTCGCCGCGTCGGCTTATAGCTGGGCGATTATGTTGGTGGTGGTCGCGTGGTCAATCCACGGAAATGAAAATTGCGAAGACGGAACGGAACGGTTGGCCGGGATTGGAAGGGAATGGATTCGTTCCGCTGCCACGGATCGGTGGCAACCGGTTGGAAGGAAAGGTATCCGGATCGAATATAGAACGAGCTATCGACAATCAGGCGAGGTGCTGTGATCGACGGTGACTCAATGAGTGACCTCACACTCCCAAGTAGCGGAGAACCTGGGTGGCCTTTGCCAGACTTGCAGAACCCGGCAGGTAATGGATCCCCAAGACCCTCTACTGACCTAGTTCTGCAAAGCCGACCAAACGCTCACGACCTTGAGCAAAGTAGACGGTGAATCTGGAGACGAAACGCAGGTTGGCGACAGAGGCGAGTAAGGGAATGGCGGACGGTTCGAGGATCTTGCCGGGGAGGATTGAATAGTGGTAAGAGGGGGGATGCGCACTTGACCTGCGCTAGCCTCTTTCGAAAACTTTTCTTGGCGCCATTAAGATTAATGCCAATTCACTGCCGGCGGCCTTGGGAACTTAATAATGTTGTTTCCTTTCCTCCCATCCATCTTCCCATCTTCCCATCCCTTCCATCCGTTCTTCTGGGTCAGGCTGATCAAGCCATCGACCACGGGCGCAGAGGGCTGCTTCGTCGGCTGTCTGGATAGACCCCCCTAAGCAACTATTCGTGTCATGAACTGCGAATAAACCATTCATCTCGCCGCCCCCTACTTGGGGCCCTTTGCTTTTGCTGACGTCCTTGGACTGTTTCAAAGCTCGCAGATACATGACCAGTCCACTGGATCTGTCTCTCTCCAGGTGGCATGCGTGTCTACCATATTAGCCATGTATCTCCAGTGCAGTGACGGTGTCTCATAACAAGATGATGTATATAGATACCTCTAGGCTCTGCACAAGACCCTTCCTTTTCAGACTTGTCAGCTCTTGTGTGTCCTCACATCTCAGCGTACTGTCTAGCACACGCGCGTCTCAAGAACAGTCAAACCCTGTCTCCAGTCTATACCATGATCGGCAGATGGTTGGTCCTCCTATCCCAGGAGCAAGCGCAAGATCAACAGGAATGTGAACCGTAGAGGTACACTTCTTATTTCCGTTTTTCAGACCCGCCCTGGACTATATACCTTTAAGCCTACGCAGGGCGGACTAAAAACGTGGAAACAACTGTCTGATGGAAAATGGCCCTCTTTATATTGTTATGCGGAAGTTGGAGACTCATAGTTCACGTTACACAAAGTCCAAATTAGCTTAGTTCCTATAGGGGTCTAGAACGATACTTCAGATGACCCTCCTAGAATTAAAACAAGTTCATAGCCTGCTGACCTTATTCTTGTCTTATCAGAGGCCAATGTCGTTGAATGATTGGCTCCAATCCATGTAGGCTGAGTGTAATCCACTACCAAATGTCGTCGAAGGCGTCCTTCGCTGGCCCACCTTTCCTGGCCTATGAGCTAACTCTGCTGAGAGCTACGACCAAGCTACAGTGCTTTGCTGCCCCATAGGTGTTTCGTTTTTATGGAGGGATTTGATTATAAACCACGCTATATAGAGCACAGATGATTGCTCCCATTCTCAAAATAGGGTATATATTCAAGTTTCGTGAGTCATATCATAATAATATACAGTCCAGAAGTCACCGGGAAAGATAGGAAACAGCCGTGTGTCCCCATATCTTAGAAACTCCCAGGGAAATATGAACTAGATGGTTGAGGTTTGACCCGCAAACCTAAAATCGCAACAGCAGCTCTCTCTTTAACAAGGCTAATCTCCACCGGTGCCTTCAGAGGCCCTATCTTCGTGGGTTCTTGATGGGTCCGCCGGTCCAGATGAACTCGGATCATTGCTCCGGTTTTGAAAATAGCCGTGCTGGTATGGAAAACCGACTTCGTGGAAGTCAGGAGTGGAAGGAAATGGCGGAAATGGTTCTGTTTGTGAATCATCTCCGGGAGAACGTGGGTTCCGCAAGGGTTGAGTGACTTGACTCTGAGTAGTGCCGTCTTTTACAGCTGAGTCTAGAGGGGTGTCAGGGGACTCATGGTGAGTAGTGTCTGAAGAAACAGTCTGCGGTTGTGGCGACAGAGGTTGTGAATGTGACACCTACGCAATTTTCTTATTAGCCTGCACTGATTCCGGCAGCAGAACAGTCGTTCATAGAACTCCCTACCTCGTCTTTGGTTTGATCTAGGCCACGAGAAGAGGCCAGTTGTTGCGCGATAAGCCTTCTCCTCGCAACTTCTGATTCTTCTCGGAGCTCAGCTTGGTCCTCTTCCTTTTTGAGGTCGGCCAAGGTAGGTGTGCTGACTTCTTGAGTGACCTCTACGTATGACCCTTGCGGAGATCGCAGCCGGCTACTTCTCTTTTTCTTTTTCTGCTTCAACTCCTTGGAAGAGGCAGTTGTCCTTAGACTAAATGTTCCAGACACTGACCTCATACTTGAAGGCTTGTCACCTATAAGGTCAATCGAATCCAACCCCGTTCCTCGACGACTTGCAAGAGCAAGAGCAAATTCGTCACTCAAGGGAACTGCGTCCTCTTCCTCGTCGCTGGGGATCAAATCTCCCCGTGAGCTCAAGGAATTGATCGTGTCCCGGGAAGATTGTGTCGAACTCCTGTATCTCCCATTTCTTCCAGAACATTGACCCTCACTTTCTTCAGTTTCTTCTATGAGAGGTTCATTCTCGTGGTCATGCCGTCGCAGCAGTCCTGCAGGGTGTTCTTGAAGGTCTGCCGCCGACGGGCGGTATTTGAGGCCCCGTGCGCCGAATCTCCACGGGAGCCGCTCCAGGAAGCCCAAAAATGAGGAGCTTGGAATAACAGTTGGGTCATTTCGATCGTCATTAACTATAGCAGTGCTCTTTTTCCTGGTGCGTCGAGCGCCATAACTCATTTTTCGTTGCCTTCGAGGCTGTTCTGAGCTACCACGAGCCAAACCACTCCCTGCCAACAAGCGATCAAGCTCGTCTGTTCCCCATCCGAGAAGCCCATCATTCGATTCATCATTATCCCAGTCATCGTAGAAGTCGAAATTCGCCTCTGCACGACCGCGTCGGCGACGTCGAAGCTGGTCTTCGCGGCTGGGTAGACAAGGCGCAGTGCACGCGTAGACGCAGTTTCCAATCGCTGCAAAACACGGGACCAGGTAATTATGGGAGAAGGTATAAAGACCCTCCTGAGCCGTCTCATTCGCGGATTCGAGGTTGTGAGAGATTTGATTGATCCTCTGGCGGACCCGAGGGTCTCTTGATCGCATCATCTCGAACTCGAATGGCGGTAGGGATGCGACGACGTTGACTAAAGCCACGCCGCGGCCGAAGGAGGGGTGCGGATCACTTCAACGCCGACTCAAGTAGCCCCATGGGTCTGCCGCGAAGGTCGTGGAGATATGGTATCGCGAGGGAGAGCTGTGGGATGATCCGATCGAGACGGCATTGGAAAGACGGAGATAACGAGGGGAGGCAGATGGGGGGGGCCTGAGGAATAAACGCCTTGTCCACGATGTCATCGGGCCGTCCTTAGTCAGCCGACACGTGCCGATCGCGAGGGAACCTTCTTCAGTCCCGAGTGCCATCCACCCCATTGACTTTCCCAAGTAACTCAATTGATTGCTGCGGTGCTCAGTGACTACGTCTGAGCAGTTGCTCGTCTGACCCATGGTTTACTACATTCGTTTCCTCAAGACCCCTCGGTTGCTGAAGCAGAAGCCCGGGTCTGTATCCGTCTCCGCGCTGATCTGCATCACCACCGATCTGGGCGATGCATTTCTCGCACAAGATGTGGATTTGCTCCTAACACTGGGTCTCAATGACTCGGGGAAAGTCCTGTATCAAGAACCTTTAAATTGGAAGGCGGGCAAGCGCGAGCTTCCCATAACGCTTGGACCATTCTCTGCCAATCTTGCCCAACAGGCAATCGTCCTAAGCGTGACTGCTGCTGGGCTTAAAAAGCCTCGCTCATCCTCACCCGATCGACTTCTAGATACCTCTAATCTTCCTTTGGTAATTTCGGCCTGGAGTGCACCCTTTGGTGGACCGCACTCTCTTGTGTCTGAAAAGCTTGTTGAAAGACGGTTTGGGCCGAAGGATCGACTAGGCCTCCGAATCTGGGAAGAGACGGGAAACAGCATCGCCCGGCATATCTGGTGAGACATCCTTGCAGATATGTTCTTTGTTACTAAAGCTCATTTTCACCCAGGGATGCAGCAATTGCTTCGGTCATATATCTCCAGCGGATAATCGCTGGAGACCCTGCGGTCTCTGCACCGTTACTGCAAGGCCTTCTACAAGGCCAACGCACTTCTCCTCTCCATGTTCTCGAACTGGGATCTGGCTGTGGCATTGTTGGAATTGCTCTTGCAGAGCTACTCCCTCAATGTTCCGTGGTTCTCACTGATCTACCTGAAGTAGAGGAAATTGTAACTCAGAACATAGACGTTGCGAGACCGACTGATTCCTCCGGGATCGAATTTCGTACACTTGACTGGGACGAGGAACTTCCGAGCGATCTGTGTGGAGGCTCAGTCGATCTGGTTCTTGTTTCAGACTGTACTTACAATGCAGATAGTTTGCCTGCTCTCGTTTCAGTGCTGAAACGCTTAGTACAGATGTCTCCCGAGGCTATCATCTTGGTCGCACTGAAGAGAAGGCATGAGAGCGAGTCTATCTTCTTTGATCTCATGCAGTCCGCCGGGCTCTTCAGTCTGCATTTAGATCAAATGCAGCTTCCATCTCAACATGACCAGCTGGATCAGATTGAGTTGCATTGCTATGGCCGTGAAAGATACATTTCCAATTGACGCTCACCAGTTACTCACTGAGACAACCGTGGTACCCTGGGATTCAGCCCATACAACTTGGCGCCAGCAGAATGTTTTGAGTCCCTTCCTGCACACAGAATAGACTATGTTGGTGTATAAAGCAATACCAGCGGACGGGACTATCCTTCTCCGACTGCTTCTCGTGCATTCTCATGCATGTATCCAGGAGCCCACAAATTCTGGCTTTTGTGTTATTCTCGTGATTTGGGCTCATCTGGGGAATAAGCTAAACCCCAACTCCCTATCTCGAGTCCAAGGCCTTTTTGACTGTCCCTGACCTCAACACCCTGTTAAGGTGCTTTACCCGAGCTTTTCCGACGACCTATATCTTCATGCGTTAGCTTCAAGCTAAGTAACTTTGGCAGTCCCCGCCAACTAGGGGCAGCGGTGCAGAGACTATAAGTCAGGGTGACCGTCTTCTCCGCTTATGAAGAAGTTATGCTCAAAAGTTGCCCTGATGTGACTAGCGGTCCAAATATTTGAATTCATGGCTGTTCGAGGACGATGGCATTTAATAGACGCCGAAGATAGCACGTATATCGGGGTTTCTACACCATATACTGTCTTATAGCAAGATGATCTATTACTTCCGTCTGTCTTTCAACCTCGACCTTCTCAAGCACATCATCTGCCTTCTTCACAAATTACAAGGCCTCTTTCGTCGCCCTAACTTATTCCGCAGCACAACCAACAATCCGACTATCATTTCGTCATTACGCGTGTTGTTATGGGTGATAGTTCATGTAAAAGATGCCTCTCTGGGCAGTCCAGTGACAAGCGAGGATTGAGTTTTGTTTAAAAGGAGTTGAGCTGATACATTCAGTATTATTCCATTGGAATTTAATTACTGATCCGGTATACAGCGAGCGCCGGTGAAAGTGGGAAACACGGCTGCCTATCTGTACTATGCTCTTCTTATGAAGTTCCCGCATTTGACTCGCTTCATACCTTATGCAGGTGAAGATCAACAAAAAAGAGCCAAGCGACCAATACTTGCTGTCTAAAAGTTCGATCACGAATGACTATCCGCATTACTGGTAATACGAATCTGAAAGTATGAAGCAAATTCCATACCAAGGCTGAGGATATCACGAAAATGCGGCCATAGCCTATCGGACAACTCGGACGAGGTTTCTCAGTCTCTGAGTTCTAGAGAAGCTTCGCTGTTCCTCGTGTGAATTACGCTCGCTTTGTTTTCGACGAGTGGAAAGAAATGATCGATTCTCGGTATCCCTTATTGCAAGTGGTTTGGGGCCGTTCCAAAGCTTTTGGAGTGACATGCGATTGCCTAGACGATGTAGTCGCCGGCTTCCTCGGTCAGTCAGGTTGGAAAATACTGTCTCCAGAGGAAGAGGGTCTGTCGGTACAAATTCAACATCCATGCAATCCAAAGATACTCGGTTGAAGGTATCATATACCACTTCCGGAAATGCAATGTGACGTCGATTCCCGCGGTACACCTGCTTGCTATCGCTGAGACTATAAGACCGTGGGGGCGGCATAACTGGTAACCCATTACCAGGATACCTAAGCTCATCAGGCTCACAGCCTGTATAGCCGGTACACCTTGAGGTGAATGCGCTGAAGTTTGCTGCTAGCGTCACCGCACAGAGGGGTATGAAAGCAAGTCTCATGGGCGAGATGGGACCGCTCTCAGGCCGTACTGACGAGGCTTTGGCACAGAGAGCCCACAAATCGGCATAGAGGCGGCAGATAACAAAGATATCCCCACTTACAAGTTCAAACTCGTCCAGACGTGGCTTATCATGATCTAAAATGGTGTACACAGGATCAAGGCAGATGACCAAGGACCCTTCGTGTATCTCCCACTTCTCACCCAGTCCTAGTCGTGTGTCCTTGTAGGATTGTAGGCCTGTGTACAATCCCATTCCTTTCTGACGGACAGAACTCTGCAATAGCACTCGACTCGGACGGGGTTTCTCCGAGGGGACTCTCCGATCAGACGAAGTGTGCTTATCGGCCGAACCCAAGCTACGGTACGTCTTCGACTGATCATGGGGCATGCATTTATCCTGCTTCTTGAGTGGTCAGCGTCTTATCCTTTTCATCAGGAATGCAGAGTGCTTACAGGCAGACCGGTCTGTTGGTCAGACTGCGACGAAGCTTCGGTCTCCGTACCAGCCAGGGTCATTGCTAAGGCGGCCGTGGCATCACAGCAATCCACTATGCAGGAGTATGTGTCTTCTTGCATATTGCCAGCATGAGCGGCCACACATTCACCGCACATTTGCCCTGAGCAACCGCTGCTGCAGCCTCCAGATGCACTCGACGGACTTCCTGTCTGATGCGCAGGGTACCAAACCGGGGGCCGGTGGTAATATACAGCATGACGGCGCCTTTTAGTTACTGAGTCTTGGAAGAACTCTGAATCGGAGCTTTCAAAGCCACTGGTGGACTCAAAGCTTTCGAAATCCGAAAATGGCACCATGAAGACGCTTCCTCTAGCTCCATGAGGTAGTTCTCCGCGGGAAAGGTCCAGGCTAAGCATGTCAAATAGCGACTTGTTTCGTTTAAGTATGTAGACACTATCAGGCTGAAGTGGAATATGATGATTGAGTGGACCTGGTTGAGATTTTGGAATTCAGACTACGTATTACCCTGAAGACCATCGTGGCTTCCCAACAGTGCGAAGACTGTTGAGGAAGGCGCGGAGGAAGACACATTTGCCCGCATCCTTGATCGACAAAGTTCAACCACATGAAGTATAAGCTTTCACATATGGACTTGCACGTTGAGAGCTTATTCTTCCGGGGATTGTTGAGGATCGGGAGTATGAGAAATCAAGATGAACGAGCCTCGGCTCGCGATGCTGACTCATGCGGCAATGGGGTTGATCTACAGAGAGTCATTCGGGAAACTTGGATGCCCCCCCTTTCTATTTCCTGTGGTTATTCTGTCGGTTGACCTTAGATTTGAAAAAGATCGTTGTCTTTAGCTTACTGGAGAATTATTTGCAGCCATGGCCGCACCTCGCATGAATGTATACTTGGACATCGTTAGCCCGTTCGGCTGCATCGCCTTCCATGTGCTAAGAGTGAGTTCCATTCCATCTAAACCAGATTCCATTACAGATCTACCCAGTAGATCGACTTATACTAGAAACTGACACCCCTGAAGAACTCCCCCGCCTTCTCCAAGTGCGACATCACCTATGTCCCCATCTTTTTGGGCGCTCTCATGAGCGCATGTGGGAATACCGCACCCATCCGGATCAAGAGTGAGCGAAGACCCCATCGTCAATGAATTCGAGAGTAGGTACCTGGTGCAGCTGACGCCCTCCACAGACAAAGACAGGTGGATTAACCGGGAACGTTTACGTTGGGCCCGCTACTTCTCTGTTCCGATCGTCGAAACGACCCCGGAAGGGTTCCCGCCCCGGACTCTGAGCACGCAGCGGGCTCTCTGTGCCGTTGAGCAGAAGTTCCCCGACAAGCTTGCGCCCGCGATCGCGGCGCTCTATCAACTGTTCTGGGTGGAGGGGAATCCGAACATTGCGCAGCCGGAATGCTTCGGTCCGGTTCTGGAGAAAGTACTAGGGAAGGACGAGGCACAGGTGGTCCTGGAGCATGTATGTTGGTCTTTTCTAGGATGGTATATATCTATTTTTTTCCCTTACTGATATTGACGAAACATGGCAGATGAATCACCCAGAGATTAAGGAACGGTTGACCACGAACACCGATCGAGCATTCAAGTCGGGCGCGTTCGGCATTCCCTGGTTCGAGTGCACCAACAGCAAGGGCCAAACCGAGGGGTTCTGGGGTGTCGATCATTTAGGCCAGGTGGCTGACTTCTTAGAGTTGGATATCAAGCTGGAGAAGGGGTTCAAGGCCGTTCTGTGAGCCAAGGGGTGGTGAGAATTGATTTCCATATTTTATCTCATGCCAGATGACGATTCACTATCTATTTACCCTCCTGTGGACTCCCGACTCCCATTACCTTAACGCATACACATATCAAGCGCCCACCGCTTCTTTTGAAAACTATTGCCTCCTCCCAGAATGGCCAGCATTACTTCTATGTCTCTCCTGGAGAAACTGAACGATCTTCTCCTTCTCCAGAGTCTCGATCCGACGAAGTTCCTCGGGGTCGGCAGGTTCGATTTCTGTACATATCGTATCAGTACAATCACAGCCTGGAACGTAGAATCTAATCACAAAAAACAGAAACAGAACAGGTCGTATCCGAGAACAGACAGACAGACAGACCTTCCGTAGATTCCCGCGCATTCTTCTCCTGAGAGCCACCCGCAGCCATCGACCGGACCTGACTCCACGTACTGCTCACAAAATCGCTCGAGTACACATTATCAAGCATGGACTTGATCTCGTTCACCGAGTTCTGCGCCATATCGCTCAACGACGTCTCCCCATTCGCATTCGCATTCGCATCCGTCATGGAGACGGAGATGGAGTTGTTGTCCGATTCCTCGGTCCGGGGCGTGTCCTCATCCCCGTAGCCCATTTCCCGTGCGGTCTCGCGGGTGGTATCTTCGATGGTCTTCATAGTCATGAACAAAGTACCTAGCCAGCCAGCCAGCCAGCAGCTCCGTATCCATGTATTCTTCTGTCTGGTTGATTGAGGGGGGCCATCAGTCGAAACGTTTCGCACGGGGGGTTTAAATGGATGTGTTGACCGCGGTTATTGGGCCGATGACATCAAGCGGGCGGATCGGATGATATCATCGTCGTCAGCCTTGTGGATCCCAATAGTTACAAAGTACAGTATGTCGACCTCGTTCAACAGGAGTGTCGCATATTTTAGTGCGGCCTTTTCAGCCTTACTGGGCGATCGTGCCTTGTGCTGGTGGTACTTTGTTGGTTTCTTCCTTTGGCTTGTTTGGGATGGCGGGGATCGACCATCTGTTCCCTGTCTGGTCTGGTCTGGTCTGCGGCTTTCTATTTTAGGAGATTAAGCATTCACCACGTATTTAAATCCCTCTGGGGAAGATATCGGCGGTTTCCTTGATAAATGGAATTCATTGATCCTTGCTTGCAGCAAGTTTGCCTCTGTCTTCTTGGGTTTTGGTACGGATAGCAAGGGATGGATGGCTACCTTAAGACTACTTTTGTTGCCGGTTATTGTTATTTTTATCGGTATATGTGAGCGTAACTTGAATCTTTCACATCTTACTGTGTAACCTACAGTAGAATCAAACTCAGTAATAAACCCCCCCCCTCCCCCCCACATCATTTAGTTAGAGTCTTCGTTGATACTATCTCGGTAGGGAATGTATCAGGCTTCCCCGCACCTTGGCTTCTACGCAGATCGAGGGATCAATTGCATCATCATCATCATTAATTATTAATTAATACAACTCAATCCGCATAATATCCGCAGCATCCAGAAGAGAAGATGTGACAACTATCAAAAGGTGCGAGTTAATTGATCACCATAGCCTTTCTAGTCAGCGTCCATTTATTGCTATTGGATTGGCATTTATTCCGGTCATCTAGGAATCTAGGGACTAGTTTTTTTTTTATTTGTATTTCATTCTGCGGTACTAGTGACAATCAATTACCATAGACGTACTCCGTACTTTGGATTAATTCCCCCATCATCATATCGGTTTAAATTTAGGGATCATTTGCGGTAAGAGGATAGGATAGATACTATAAGCAAACACCCAACAAAACTATACACAAAAAGTCCACCAAAAAGTCCACTCGATGGCCGTCATGCAGATGGGGAAAAAACAGAAGGGAAAGAGAAAACAAAGTCTGAAGTTTTCAAGAATAAGAAAGTGAGTATCCACCGACATGCATTTATCTGACCGACTCCGACCCCACGCCGGGATCTTAGGGCTCACACCGATCGGGCCTAGCCGGGGAAGGGGGGGGGGGGGGGGGGGGGAGGAAAGAGGGATGGATGTCCGCCCCTCCGCTCCCCTTTTGCCCTCCGCCGCCGCCGAATCTTCAGTGACTCCTCCAACTCAACTTCACCCACCACCCACACCCAACCCACCCCACCTTTCTATCTTTCATCCCTCTTCCCTCTTCCTTTTTTTTTCTTCTTCTTCATTTATAGACAATAGACTTGCTTGTTACCTCACATAGACAAAACCAAAACCGCCCTTCCCTCCCCAACCCAAACAAAAAAAAAAAAAAACAACAAAAATGCCCCCCATCCCGATAACAATCCTAACCGGCTTCCTGGGCTCCGGCAAAACGACCCTCCTCCTAAATCTGATCCCCCAACTACCGACTCACTACCGACTGGCGCTCCTCAAAAACGAATTCGGCGACGTCGCCATCGACAGCCAACTCGCGACCACGCAATCCATCTCGGGGGTGCGCGAGCTCCTCAACGGCTGCATCTGCTGCAACCTGGTCGGGCAACTCAGCGACGCGCTCTTCCAACTCCGCGATGAAGTGTGCCCCGACCGCATCGTGATCGAAACCTCCGGGTCCGCGTTCCCCGCCACCCTCGCGATGGAGGTCAACCGGCTTGCGCGCGAGAATCCGGGAAGTTTTGCGCTGGATGGCGTGATTAGCGTGATTGATGTGGAGAATTGGGAGGGGTATGAGGATACGAGCTATACGGCGAAGTTGCAGGCGAGGTATACGGATTTGATCATCTTTAATAAGTGGGAGGGGGTGGACGAGATGCGGTTTGAGGTTTGTTTGGATCGGGTGGGTGATTTGGAGGTGCAGACGCCGTGGGTGAAGAGTGTGAGGGGCAGGGTGGAGAAGGATGTTTTGTTGGGGATCGATGGGGCGTTGTTCGATAAGGAGGGGGATGGAAATGGTCATGGTCATGGTCATGATCATGATCATGCGCATGACCACGACCACGGGGAGCATGGACATCAGTCGGAGGTGGAGGTGCTTTCGGTCACCCTGAAGGCGAAGGAGGAGGGAGGGGTGGTCGATGTGCAGGCTTTGGAGAAGTTGCTGCTTGCTGCGCCCAAGGATGAGGTTTACCGGATCAAGGGCATTATGCGGTGCTCGACCAAGTCTCCCCCTGCTGAGTCGTCGGATGATCTGGACGGAGAAAGATCCGTGGAGTCGGCGGTGGATGGTCAGTCAACGCGCCATTATATTCTGAACTGGGCCTTTGGACGGTGGACGTTTACACCCTCGGATGCTGTGGCTCAGGGCGCGGATCCGGTGGTCCTGGCTAGAATCACGCTCATCTTGGCGCGGTATGAGTCCGGAAAGTGGAAGAAGAAGTTGGAGGCCGGTGGGCTTGTCCAGGGTGGGGAAGGGAGTGAGGGTGCGGAGTTGGTGGTTGAGAGACTGGTGTAGAGGGTGGGTTCTTTTGCTTTGAGATTCGATGCATTGGAGCTGGCTCTGCATCTGACAATACCTGCTGGATGCTGGTTGGGTTATACATTGTACATGCTTTTTTTGACGACGATGATGATGATGATGATGATAGTGACGGGGATACGATAGATGTCAGTAGTAACTAGACAGGCTAGTTAGATTAGAAATAGATGAAAGAGATTGTTATCCCAAGGGTGACGGGCATCTAGAGAAGGCTAACGTATGACATAGAAGCAAAGTATTGATGGAGTAATATAGACAACCAGCAAATAACAAGTCCAATAAATACAGAGCAGGTCTAGAACGTCCATGCTTGAATCCGTCCCCGGGTTCTACTCTAATGAAAACATGGAACGGAGACAGCAAACAGCAATGATTAATTCAGCGGGCAAATGCGGGCTGGCTTTTGATGGGTGTACGTGAATGTGCCAAAACAAAACCAAAATAAACAAAACAATATTTAGTATTCGAGAAGGGCGGAAGCCCCGGCTTCGCTGGAAATGTAAATCACCTCGTGGCTGTCCGAGAAGCCGTTGAAGCGAGTAGCGCTACACTTGGTGTAGGCTCCCATCTCCTCGAAGTAAAGCCAGTCGCCAACCTCCAACAGGGCCGGAAGGGAGGTGCGCTTGGAGATGACATCAATGCCATCACAGGTCGGGCCCCAGATGGAGTACGTGATACCCCCCGAAGTCGCAGCATAAGGGGAGTTGGCGGACGACGCGCAGGACAGGACTTGGGCCACAGGATGTTGGTGGTCGAATATGATGTTGGAAAAGTTTCCATACACTCCGTCATTGAGGTACAACATGTACGCGTCATTGACCGGGTCTTCCGGGTCTCGTACTTCCCGACGAGCGATGATATTTGCCGCCAGAGTGAACGAATTGGCAACGTAGTAGCGTCCAGGCTCCGCAATAACACGGACGTTTGGCGGGAAGTATGTATCCAAAGCCTCGCTAAGGACACCCGAGAATTTCTCGAAGGTCTCATGGGAGAAGCCTCCACCAACATCCAAGGTGTGCAGCTCGTGACCAATCTCTTCGGCTTGGTCAAACACTAGGCGGGCGTCCTGCACGGCTTTCAGGAAAGCCTTGGGGTCCTCAGCGCCGGACCCGACGTGGAAACTCACGCCAACGACCTTCAACTCGAGCTCGTGAGCTAGTTCGAGGAGCTGACGAGCCATATCCAAGGAGGCTCCGAATTTCATGCTGAATTGGCACAAACTGTTCGAATCATCCGTGAGGATACGCAAGTAGAGCTCTGCATTAGGGTAGCAGGCCTTGATCTTGTACAGCTCGTCGGCATTGTCAAAGGTCATCTGCTTGACGCCTACCTGGGCAGCATAGCGCAGGTAAGACTTGGTCTTGCAGGGCTGGGCGTAGATGATGCGGCTCGGATCGATGCCCGTCTGGAGGGCCATGTCGATCTCCGCCTTGGACGCACAGTCAAAACCATTTCCGAGTTTAGCCATGAGGCGAAGGATCTCCGGGTCCGGGTTACACTTGACCGCTGTTGTATCCAGCGTCAGTCGGTGCTCGGAATGGTATCAGGCGAATAACTGGGACTGCTTACCGTAGAAGGGCCGGACGCGGCTCAAGTTCATTTTCCAGCGAAGGTGCTGGCGGTAGATCTCGCCCATGTCTGCCACATAGAACGCATCTTCATCTCCAGGCGCGCAGCAGTCCACATTCACTTCCGCTGCACGCTTCTTCAGGATGTCCAAGACCAGTTTCTTGGCAGCCAACCTGGATTGCAACAAATCGTCCCCTCCATGAGTGCTGAATTGACCATGATCCCAATTGAGATTATAATCGTCTGTCGAATGACAGAGCTTGAGGGTGCATACTTCAGCAGGCATACAAGCAGTCGGTGCCATAACCATGCGCGCTGCGACGGTGCACGGGATAGGACTCGGGGGAAAGAAGAATATAAATAGAAAAAATCGAGGTACGCGACTGCGTGTTAAGGAGGGCGAAAAGTTTCGCAACCGAAGTTGACTGGACCAAGCCTCCTAGACCCTTCCTCCTTCAGAGGAAGAACCTTCAGAGTAGTCCTATGCGGCAGCTCAAAAGGTGAGGGAATAATTTTCGAGGGCGTCAGGTGGTAGTCAAAAAATGGCGCACCAGACGAAGACACGGGAATCGACAGTAGCAGGAGGGGGAATGTTGTTAAGAGTATCGCGGAGACGTCGCGGAGAGACAATTTGACGGAGAACACACGAGGCTAAGGAAGCCGTGATGGGCTGGAGGCCTTGGAACTGGTGGATTCCAAAGGCCTAGAAAATGCGATGCGTAAAAGAGGGGGGGGGGGGGGGGGGGGGGAGAAAACAAGGTTTTTCCCAATAAAAAAGAAATCTGACGCAACCAGAGAGCCGTCAGTAAGCTTGCAGTTATGACAGATCCAACGAGAAAAGAGGAATGCGAGATTTAATTCCTGGTCGGGGGGGGGTGGGATAGGGTGGGAGTAGAGGTGCGTGCAGAGTTTTAACGGTGGACGGCGGAGGTTAGGGCAAAGGGCACAGCGTCAGGCAGACACCCAGGGGGGTAGGCTGGAAGGGCGATCTGGACGACTCGAGAACAAGAGGGTGACAGGGATGCACATGGGAACCAAGCAAGGAACGGAGGAAGAGGAGGCTTACCGCAATGGCCGGGGTGGATGGGCTGGCACACAGAGAGAGGAGGTCAGGATGCAAAGGATGCGATCGAGGGGAAAAAGCAGAGGAGGGAGAATCGCGGGTGGGCACGAGTGGTTCTCGTGGGGGACTTACGGCATCTCCCGATCGGCTGCCCCTCCCCGTCACGGTATTTTGTATCCTTACCTCGCCGTCTACTTTCGCCTCCCACCGCCCGTCGCCTCCTCTCCAACGTACCCCAGCTCGCTCTCGCCCCCTCCGCACAGTATGGTTACTCCTGGATCATCCTTGCCCGCAGCTGCCTCCGTTCACGCAGGTCATGGTTGACGTGGTCTCAATTCTGCTGCCTGTCTGCGTTCCGTGGAAATCTGGCGTCTCCCCCGGCCCGTGATTCGACTGGACGCCCGCCATTTTTTCCCTCACTTCCAATAGATCAGTCCCTGAAGATCCGTCGCCGGGATCTCGGACCTTCAGGCAGTCTGTCGAACCTGACATTTGGGTCAATGAGCGACTTTTGCTGCCTGAGACACCTGCTTATCGGAAAGGTTAACTCCTTCTCAGCCACCCCCCAAGATGAGGCATCATTCGTACGAGATACTCCGCTCAACGTGAGAGGGTCGGCAGACCACTAGGTCTGCCCAATCCCCCCCTTTATGCTCCGCCTTGAAAACCCGACTAGAACAATGGATACTATTATTATGAACCGGTAAAAAACATTGCGTATTATGATTGATTGTACCTGGGTTGCCACGCCACTGGCGCCTGTTCCTTGGAAGCTGCGGTACGGAGTAGGCAAGGTACTATGACGCGCGCCGCCAAGATGCCTTATTCTCCGGCCGCCCATTGGCCACTCGATCTTGACCGCTGTGGCAATTCGGCCGGCAATGTTCCGACTCCACGAGGGGCGGTGAGAGACCCTGATCGGCAGGTCGAGGCGCACGTGACATCCAATCTACTTTCCACTACATCGCAACAAGCAATACGGTCAATTCCCCCACAACTACACTGGATGTTTGGGAAAGCAAACTTTCGGATTGATTACTTTCAATATACAGTGACCGGACTAGCTGGGGCCTTTTTGGTGCGGCATCATGCCAGTCAGGAATCGTAAGAAATTTTTTCTGTCTACGGATTATGCATATTTCAGCTGAAGTGGGTCGATCATATTCGTCCTACAACAGAGCCCGACTATTACTTGGAATATTTACAACCCTACGTTAACTGACGATATGGATCATGAAGTGAGTCTGAATATTTTGCAAACCGAATGTATTCATTAGGTCATTCAAAAGGTCATGATCCGAAAAGCAAAAGAAACCCATGATAAAGAGAGACCAAAGCAGGAGTCCGGCATTCCAAGGCTTGGAAGCCAAAGCACAAGAAAGGCTCTACGTTCTACGTAGCAAATCCAATCTAGTCCACAGATCACAAGCAAGACCAGAATAACTGAATGGTCCATCAGAACCCGCCCATGAAAGGCCAGCGAAGGTTGGGATTAGCTCCAGACCCCCCCCGCGTACGGGACGAACCCGGGGTCTTACTAGCACCCGTCCACTGCCTCATCGACAAATTCTCAGGCTGCTCACCCCTGACCGGCTGCTTACCCTTGCCAGGGCGCTTTCCCTTAACCCGGCGACTCTGATGATTAAGTTCACACAAGTTCTCGGAGTCGTCATCAGAGCTCGCATCGAAAAGAAAGGTCTGCTTAACCTCCTTCCGATCATGCCTAACCCCACGTGACTCCGAGTTTGAAGAACAGTAATCCTCAGAAGCTGCCTGCGAATGGATGCTCTCTTCCGGATGCACAATAACCACCTTCTTTTTGTTCACGTGCTGGACTGGATGGTAGCTGTCTAGAACAGCCACGTCAGAATGCACGGTAGCCGTATCCGAATAGGTGGACTCGCCGGGTTCCACGATCGTCACCTTGTGCCTGCTAACACGCTGGATCGGATGGTGACCATCTCCAAAGCTTGAGCCCGAGTCAGAAGCGAATGTCGAAGTCGAACTGGAAAGAGGCTCGGGCCATTCCATCACCATCACCCGATTGTTTTCGTCCCGATAGATCTTTGCGTTAGATCGTCTGAGTTTGCGTGCGGGGGGGTTTACCTGAGAGCTGGATCCTTCGCCAGGATTGCCTCGAGTCGCGCCGTGTCCACACTGGCCCATACCGATATACTTGGATCAGTAGTAGGTGGATACGTGGAGGGGGGGAGGGGAGGGGGTTTGTTGTTGTAGTTGGGGTTTCCCGAAAAGGTTAGACGTCCAGCGTCGAGAAGGGCTGGGAATGGCCGGTGGAGAGGGAGATTGGCAGTGATCTTGATAGTAGGCATCTGGAGACAATTCATGGATAAAGGGAAGAATCCTGATGGGCGGGTGGGGCCTTGCTTTTATACTGAAAAGTTGACACACAAAGACAATACAGGCCGGATATCTCCTATGTGAACAACGGCTATCTCCTGTGAAAATAGTTTCTTTGTTCGAGGGAAAGTTCAACACAATCAAGCTCTTTCTTTGAATTTCTGCCTGGCGTCTCCAGAGATCCTATTGGAGCCTGAGCGACAGAGGACTTAGGATGACAAGGAATGCGCCTATACGATGTCCCCGGCGGAATTTCAGTTTATGGTCTAGCATCACACCGGCTCATATGAGTTGTGATTAAAAGACTACCTATGTATGAATGGATGATATAGTACAGGAAAGAAAGTACTAGACAGAAGAAAAGAATCAGAAGGATTAACGCTAAGAGTACAACAGATCCTGGAAAAAAGGGGTATTATAGTAATATCAAACGCATGGTCCTCTGCGACGGGACGGCCCTTGGCGTTTACAGCCATAAGACCCATCTGACACCGGAAAGCAATCCCCGGGAAATACCCCGTAGGATTTTAAAGGCCATGACAATAAGCCAAACCCACCACAACATGCCGACTAGCGCCCATTCGAGCATCACGAACCCAGTGCGCCGTACCCAACGTAGCCGGCGATGACGCCGTCGAACACCTTTGTCCAGGGTGTCGCTTAACTGCTTAACTGCAAGGGTGCTAGTTGTGTTGAGCTGGATGCTCAGGTCCTCCGCGTCTTGCGTAGCTGCCTGGATACGTGGGGAGATGGTCCCGTTCACGATGTCCTCAAGCTTGCTCAGCTGCGATTTTAGGGGCGACGAAACCGAGCCGGGGAAGTTGTCTATGGATTGTTGAAACTGATGCTGTGTTTTCTCGAAATTGTTGAGCAGTCCTTCCGCTGCGACCTCGTACTCATAAAGTCGGGTGACCTCTGGTATGAGTGCCCCCGCGCCAAATGAGCGTCGAAGGAAATCAGGCGGTGGATTGCGTACGCAGTCTGCTCTGCGGGTGATCTCGCGGGCTTTGATGCCCGAAGAAAGCAGAAGGGCTCGGGTCCGTTCAACTTCCCGCTTTCCAGGGACACCGACGACAAGAGCATTAGAGATGCTGCGATTGGAAATACTCCAGCTTCTGGACTGATCGGCCAGCTTTGGGCGCTTTACTTGAGAGGGTGAAGATGTGTCCGCTCTTGCTTGTGCGAGACCCGTGATAGGGGGCCTTGTCATGCTAATCGGAACGCCTGGGTCTTTGATGTCGCCCTTTTTAATCTGCTCTCGAACCGTATGCAGCTCAGGACCAAATCTCAATTTTTCAGGACGCGCTAGTGGCGTATGAAGAGTCGGAGAGAAACCACCAATGTCTCTGTGCGGCTCTGCCGCGTCGGTATAAGTGCCAGAATCCGGACCGTGCCTGGGAGGGCTGGTCTGTTCTGATGTTGGATGCTCTTCCAATCGATCCTGCCCAGCAGAAGATGCGAAGGGTAATGGCGAGGGAGCACTGGTCTTTGAAGTTAATTTCTCTAGGTTTCTGCGCGAAGTTCGACTGGAATCATCGGAGAATGTAGGGAAACGGCGCAAAAGCGACTTGGCACCAGACATCTTGTCGCCTTTCGATTCATCAAGATCATCGAGAGGGTTAGAGTCCAAACTGTCAATACTGGAAAGTGAGGATTTCCGCGAGTGTGCCAAATTATCCTTCTTCATTATCAAATCCCCTACTTTGGACATCTCGTTACCAACTTTCTCTGCGATCTTCCCTGGGCCTTTGAAGATTCCACGCAGCTTGGATTCGGGCGGAAGTGCCTCTTTACGAGGTTGCAATTGTGCCCTCGGTTGGTCCTCCAGATATACTGAAGGGACCCGGTCAGGTACCGGGCTTGGTTCCGACTTCATGCCGTGAGTGCCATCCTCAGGGTACCCAGAAAAGCTATTTCGCAAGCCAGTAGGTTCCAGAGAGGTATTGTCTGATACTTCTTTCGTTCGGATGTTACTCTTGCTTCGTTCACGTTCATGTCGAGACCCAAGAGCCCGCGAAAAACGACCCTTTGAAGGGGACGGAGAACGGCTCGAAGGCGGGGACAAGTTAGCTGCAATACTCGGAAAGATGCCAATGTGCGAATGTACATCGGGAGACCGGCTTTCCGCCGTCGCTAAATTTGTCAAAAGGTCATAGCGATCATCGACGCTCGGAACAGAGGACATGGAGCTTCTCTTTCCCTCCGACCGCGCCCACGTAGGGGATTTCCCGGACTTGTAATACGGAAAGGTACTGTGCGTCGGTGTAAGTCTGGTATCTATTGCACTCTCATCTTCGGAGATTGCTTGGGATCCTCGAAGCCTCGCTGCCCCCGGCGGCGAAGATTGTCTCCCCATGGACAACCCATTGTCCATGGAATGATCCCGGTACAACTGCTGATCAGCACTCGATATGCTTGAAGAGCTACTTGACAGTAGTCCAAGTTTGTGCCTTCTGGAGCTCGTGCCTTTTCTCGAGGCTTCGCTTCCATGCCCACTGCGGCCAGAGCTCCGAAATCTGTGTCGTCGCCTTCCACGCCCAACTCTCTTGAACTCAGTGGTCAAACCGGGGCGAGCATCTGATAAAGAGGTACGAGAAGTGGGATGCTCCGAGTCCACAGATTGTCGTGTATAATGTGGCTGTTCCTCAAGATCAGGAGTAGCTTGATCCAGATGGAAAGTTATTAAAGTGGAGGGATCCGGATACAGATTGTTCCCGTCTCTATCAACAATCTTAGTCTTGTTCTGTCCTTCTTCAACCCATGCCGCATCTGAAAGAAGTTCTGCCGGATCTATAATCCAGTCTGATCGTGGTCTGCGCGCCTTGACACTGCTAGCACGGCTGGCACGTCTCAAACTCGAAGGGGGAGAGACAGCAAGATGGTCAACTTCGCCTGGTTCTTCACGCAGCCTCTCCTTGGTGCAGTGATGAAATGATGGCAGCGACAGACATTCGAGGGGGCTGTGACTCTGCTGACTGTACTGAGCTTCGACCGAGTCAACCCATTGATGTACTTTGTCAGTATCATACCACCCTTCTGCCTGTGTGTCAATTGCACATCGTTCTCGAAACCTCACTTTGCGATTGCGAATACACTGAATGGGGTTGTAGGCACGGTGTGAGGGAAAGCTGTTACTGGAGACAGATGCCGAGTCGGCAGTATGGCCGTCGAGCCGCGCAAGAGGAGGTAGGGAAGGAAGCAGTCGCAGATATTCCGAGAATAACTCGAAGTGACGACGGGCCCTTTCCGCTCGTGCCAGTGTACTTTCTGAGAACCCTTGCGGCAAAGTTTCTGAGCCAGCAGACTGTGGAAGCAAATTGGCAACTGAAGACGGAGCAGGCATCGGCGATAAATCCACACGTTGTAAGCCGAGAGGTTTATTGCGCTCATCACCCAACGCCTGCGGGACATCACGGCCATACTGTGGGCCGCTATGTCCAAGACCGCCCACTGGGACAGGCGCAACAGGGTTATCAGTGTAAGGAACAGAAGATTGACCAGACGACATCGCCCATCTTCCCCCGGAAAGGCGCGTCGAGGCAGAGCGACCAAGGCTGTTTTGTTTCCTCGACTCACTCAGATTCAAGGCCAGATTCACGATCTGGAGAGAATCTCTATCAAGGCCCACGGGCGCCTGGCCCTCTGCCGCCCTGGTGTGAGACTCCTGGGAGACTGCATCTTGTTCGACATGTGACGGAGCAGGCACCTCTTCCGCCGTTGTGGGCTTTCTGGTATCTGCCTGGGGAGCTTTGGAATCCTTATGCCGACTCCAAGGGAATCGCGATCGCTTTTTCGGAAGCACTAGGTCGGGCTCGGGCGCTTCACGTTTTTCTTTACGATCGGGGTCTGATCGACGGGGGAGGTAATGGCTCGTCCTGAGGCTCGTCGATCGGGGTAAGAACGACGAATCGACGAGAAAGCCGCCGGAGCTGGGTGTTCGGCGCTGGGGCCGGCCTCCTTTATCTCCATCCCGGGAGCTGCTGCCGAGAGTGCTGCCCTCTAGCTCCCCGCTCGCTCGTCCCTCGTTCATCTGTAGGCCCTTTCGTCGGTCGGAAGCGTCATGAGAATTATTGGGGCTGGTGTGAGGTTCTGACTGCCTCTCATCGGCTCTAGGCATGGGATGTGACGGTGGGTGGGATTCATCGATCTCCAGCGACATGAAAGCCAAGGCGACAAGATGGTGGTCCGGCCCGCGGGAAAGGAAAGGGGTATCGTTTGCAAATGAAGGGAGACATGAGGGTCCGTGAGGAGAGTGCTAGAAATTCGCCATAGCTCTGAAAGGGCGACCAAGGACCTAGAGGCGACAGATATGGACCTCCTCCCGTCTTCGTTGGCGAGGGATGCTCTGACGATCGCTACGCGACCAACAGGCAACCCATGCATGATGATGATGCGCCGGGCGCACGTGGAGCTGCAAACATGGCAAACACCTCACAGAAAATGGTGGATCCATGACCTATGTTTAGAAAGCTACTCGGTGGATACCATCTAGATACCTGTTTACTGCTACAGCTACGGAGTACTGAGGTATCAAATATGTAGTCTCGTTCTCGGGGGTGAAAAGTGGTGGTACACACCTACACTGCGCCGTAGGGGACAATTTGGAGGCTTCGTGTGCCCAGCCACCATACAATGTACATACAAAGGAGAAATATCTAGCATTGACTCTAACAACGCAGGAGGACAACTAGAGGTACAAGTCCTGTAGATAGGAGGCATGAGGTACAAGAAAGCGGAATAAATATTGCAGGTAGTTGTCTACTCAACCCGCAAGCATTGTAAACGCGCTTCGGTCTCGATAACCTGTGGAGGGAAGGTGTGTGAGCTTAAATCAGTGAAAGTAGGGTACGAACAGGGTGCTTACCTCTAGAGCTTGCTTGACTTCCAGTACCCGGCGAACGTCTCCCAGCCAGTCCTTGCTCAGGATTTTAGCCCATCCGTTGAGACTGTTCATCTCACGAGCAGCAGCGTCGATGTTTCCTTCTTCCAAAAGGCTCTCGGTACGGCAGAGCACACTCTCGACATCGTCGCTACCGGCAACAGCATCCTTCTTGAACATGACCTTGCTCAGGACCAAGCTCGCTGCGTGACTGGCAATACCCGCATCTTCGGGCAAAAGGCTAGCCTTGCGGACCTCATCGGCGACCCGACGGAAGCGCTCAATAATCTGGGACGTCGAAGGGATTCCACGCTGGTACGCAGTGGGGTTGATGGATGCAATAGCCGCCTCAACTACCGGGTCTTCGGCGGCCAATTCCTTCACGGCGACAAGCTCCCGCACAAATGGCCGAGGGACAGCAGAACGCTCGAGGACCGAACGAACAGCATCAACAGCCACTTGAAGCTGCTGAGTTCTGAGGTTGGTGTCAATGACTTCCCTCCAGCCCGAGGTAAGCTTTTCCAGTTCGCTGACGTCGGCGGACAGCTCGCCCAGCTTGCTGAGGCGACCTTCCCGCTCCCGCTCAACCAGATCTCTCACTTCATGCAGGTACTTGCGGTTGAGTTCAATGGCTTGCTCAACGAGTTCATTCTTGAGGCGCTGCTCAGCCACCTCCTGAGCTCTCCGCAATTCTGTGTTGATCTTCTGCTGGTAAGCATGAGCCAGCTTCTCACGTTCGGTCTCGAATTCCTCACGGAACTGGTTAACGTCAGCGGCGCGCATAGAATCGAAGCGACGGATGAGTTCCCGAGCAGACTCGTCAAAAGTCTCATGGGCCTGCTTGATCTCCTCCTGAGCAGCACGACGTGCTTCTTCCCGGACAGCTATGATCTTCTCTCCAACCTTCTGAAGCTCCTCCTTGGCCTTTTCCACGGGCTTCGAGAATCTGCCGGCGTTTTCATCGGCGCTGAGGACGGTGATAATGTCGTTGAAGGTCTTCACCAGCTCCTGCACAATTGCCTCATCTCCCTCGTTGACCTTGGAGAATTCCAGAGGGGCGACCGGGGGAAGAGCGGGTTGTCTGGGCTCCTCCTTCACAGCAGGCCTGGGAGCCTCCTCCTTGGCTGCCTTGTCCTCCTTAGCCTTCAACACAGCGGTGGTCTTATCCTCGGGCTTGGCACTGTCCGCCTTGACCTGAGCATCGGTGCTCTTCTGCGCCTGGACGGCACTGTTGTGGGGGCCCTTCTGGGAAACATCGCTTCCAGATTGTTCCTCCTGGGCGACCTTGGAGGTAAGTCCGCTCTTGCTTCCGATGGTGATCTTGTTGCCCTCATCCCTTGTGGTGGAGGGAAGGCGGTTTTGGTTCCTCAAAGTGTTAGGGAAGCGGCGGTAGAAGTCGCGCTCTTCGAAGTAGAGAACACTCTCTTCACCGTAGGGGATGTACTCCGTGAAGAAATCGTGGAAGTTATCGAACTTGAGAGCCAAGAAAATGCTGCCACCGTATGCGAACCCGGAGGTGAGAAGCAAGTAGAGAAGGAATCTGCGGAACCGTCCACCCTTCTTGGGAGCTGGGGCAGAGGGAGGGGGAGGAGGTATCTCGGAGCCTGCCAACACATCAGCACAGGAGAACCTCACAACTCAATTGATAAGAGCAACGGTACCTTGCGATGGCTTCGGAACGGTCTCTGGGGGCACAACCGACCCGGGGGATGGGGTAGCGGGGGTAGGAGCAGCGGGGGGAATAGGCTTAGAGTCAGCGAAGAATCGCTAGATAGAATTAGAGGAAATTAGCTGTCATGCATTGAAATCGATCAAGGGTGCCGTCATCGTACCTGACCTGCGAGCCGGCTGCTTGCTCCGGCTCTGGACAGCCATTGGGGGGCTGTCCGCTGGCGAGCGGAGGAGAGCAGCAACTGCCGTCCCGGTGCAACAGAAGAGCGCAGCATCATGGGCCGCACTACTGTGGAGGTGAGCGCTGAGAGCGGGTTTGGTTGAGGGGTTGGTGTTGACGAGAGAGAAAACGCGGACCGGAATTGGGATAGGTGCTTTTACGATCCGCTCCGATCCTGCACCGCCAACAAGTGGCTCAGTTCGGGTCACCTCGCACCGCCTACGCCGGCCGCCCGGAATGATTGATGACGAAACCGACAGGATTAGTTACCGCCATACTATGGTGCACTTTCCAGGTACAGCGACCAAATTAATGTCCACTACCCCTTAACAGAACATTTTGACCGTATAGTCGGCAGAAATGATAAGTACACTGGAACCTAGGAAGGGGCGTCCCCACCCTTGCACCTGGATTAAGCCGATGGGTATCAACCCCTACTGTGCTGGCTAGATAGCTGGTCAAAACGGAGGATGGAAGGTGAAGTATTATATAGGCATAGCATAGTGAGGATCTCAGAAAGGTTAACAAGAAAGGGTAAGAAAGTAACATGAATTCAACCCAACGGAAAGGATACAGACGCCGGAAACAAGGAAACAGAGACAGATAGAACAAGGCGGAGCAAAGAAATCATAGGTCATCCCTGTCGCATAATGTCTAGACAGCCAAATCCAACCATGCCCTCATATGGTATCCGAGCTCCTCCATCCCTCGCATCTGACATTAAGAACCGAAGGTCTTGCTCAACTCAAGGCCGATAGCTAACAGGGTGGCAGAAGACCGGAATAACGCTTGTTCTGACCCAAGAACAAGTAAAATTCCCGATCGGCCAGAGTTGCAGTCACCACGGCACTATTAAAAAACATAAAGCAGTCTTGTTCGGAGTTGCTGAGGGTCTCAAACGCTGTTTGCCCGGCATACCAATTCTCGTTCAAGCCAGAAGACGTGCATCTCCCGCATCTAACGACAAGCGACATGAAAGAAAAGAAATGAAAAAAAGGGGAAGCAAATGGGAATGTAGTATATTGAACATTGGCGGGCAACAGCTAGAAGATGCAGATTAGGAACCTAGCAATTGCAGGCGCCGGCGCCCTGAGTACCGGGTGCCTCTGGCCGCAGGTCAACACCGGGACGGGGAGTTGTCCTCAAGTTTCGCGGGCCCGCTTGATCAAGAGGGAGCTTCTTCGCAATTGCTGTAAACAGTTCCTTCACGTTCGAGGAAGTCTTGGCGGACGTTTCGAAAAATAGGAGCCCGGCTTCACGTGCGTAGGCTTCGGCATCGGCGGCCGGAATGGCTCTCTTGTCCGGGCTTTCCGTTACGAGATCAAGCTTATTTCCAGCGAGGGCAATGACAATGTTCTCGTTTGCTTGGCGCTGTAGCTCTTTCACCCATGATTTGGCCTTATCGAGCGACGACTGTTTGGAGTTTCACGCAATTAGCATTCGTCTGCGAGGAAATGGTGGCATAGACCTGGAGCCATACAGCTTGAGTGATATCGTAAACCACGACGGCGCAGTTTGCGTTTCTGTAGTACATGGGGGCCAGAGACTTGTATCTCTCCTGGCCAGCGGTATCCCATATCTCGAACTTAACCGTCGTGCTTTCGTCTAAGGAGATGGTCTGTGTGAGGAAGGCAGCGCCAATGGTCGACTCCCGATAGTCATCAAATTGGTCCTGTTCGGTGTAAGTGAGAAGACGCCGCTTGGAAGATCGATCCACAATCTCCCAGTATCCGTAAACGTTGGTTAATTATCGCACCTTAACGAATCTCAACACTAGCGAACTCTGTCGAATAACAAGAAAGTCAGCGACCGCTGTTCAGAACAACCAAGGTAATGAGATTACAACCTTTCCGACCGCAGATTCTCCTACAGCAAGCGAAAAAAAAGATGTCAGTTTTCCCTTTCTGTCTCAGGGTACAGTGGGGCCAGGGGCAGGGGAGACTAACCCAGCAATACAAGCTTGAACTGAGCGAACCTGGCACCAGGACGGGCGCCTGCTGCGGCTCTGGAGGCCATAACGAAGATGGTCTAGGGGGCGATTTCGAAGAGAATATGTTGGGTCACAAGTGCTGCACACAGAAGAACAGGCAGAAGGAGTCAAAGGAGGTGGGTAGCGCGAGATGGAGGGACAGTGAAGGCACCAAAGGCGGATTCGGGATGCTGGGAGGTTTGATGGCGGCCTGTCGGTGGTAGATGACGAAGGGATTCAGCCACACCTGGCCCAAGCCGACTGGCCGCTTTCTGCGGGGCGGTGTGGCGCCCTGGCCTGTTCCGTCTGGCCAGCCGGGCTTATCACCACCAGCCCATCAGCACATGCTGGCACTCTCCGTACAGGCCGTTCTTTCCACCTGAGCCAGCCTTTCCTTGGAGATCGTCATCCACACCACCCACACCCCCGGGCTCCTGAGATTACGTCTCTGCCCACCCTGCGTTTGACGCTTCTTTCACTTGTCCCGACCTCTGCGCACCATGCGTTGAATTTCTCTACATTCTTTATCACAATCCCCCTTTACTTTCATAGTCTCTCTCCCTTCTTCGTCCGAGCTAGCTTCCTCATTCCCAATTAGTGGGTAACACTGACAATGGCTGCCTCCGTTCTCCCGTTTCGCGACATCAACTTGCATGCCTCGTCCTCTCATTATGCCTTCACCTCCCCGTCGTCCCCCAATGCCCCAACCCTTGTCATTGAGCGCCCGACAGGTGACTTGCGGCTCAACAATGGCACCCTTTCTGGTGCTAAACGCATCTCCAGTATCGCAGGCATTCTGGGTATCATCAAGCTGAAGCTGGGTATGTCGCCGCATGTACAGGGTCTGGCATGAGATCTGTGCTGACTGTTTTAGATAAATACATCATAGTCATCACCAAAGCCCAGCCCATGGGGCGGCTACGCGGCCACATGGTCTACAAGGTTGCTGGAACCGAGTTCTTGCCCCTGCGTGAACGTCCTTTACACGACCACGACGAGGATACCTACCTGGCACTGTTGAAAGAAGGGCTTCGCACTGGCCCTATGTATTTTTCATACGCCTTGGACATTACCAACAGCTTCCAGCGACAGTCACAAAGCGACCCCACCCTTCCCATGTGGAGGCGAGCTGATGATCGGTTCTTCTGGAATCGCTTCATTCAGTCCGACCTAATCGATTTCAGCCTCGGGGAGCATGACACTACAGGTGTACGCTATGGACCTCAACCTGGTGTTGACCCATATATCTTGCCTGTGATGTTTGGTATGCTACGGATTACGCCCGCGAAAGTGAAATCAACCTCTTTCACATTTGGTCTCATCACAAGACGGTCCAGACATCGTGCCGGGACCAGGTATTTTTCACGTGGTATAGACGAACAAGGCCACGTGGCCAACTACAACGAGACGGAGCAGATTGTCATCTTGAACGATGCGACTGGGGGTCTTTCTGGGTTCTCCGGAGGCCAGTCGTTAGCGAAGGAGAAATCCGGCGGCTCGGGACAAGACCTTCAGGTCATGGCGTTTGTGCAGACAAGAGGCAGCGTCCCAGTGTACTGGGCCGAGGTCAACAATCTCAAGTACACGCCGAAGCTTGAGGTTCGTGGAGTTGAAACCGCCGTCGATGCTGCCCGTAAGCATTTTGCGGAACAAATTCGTGTGTACGGCGAGAATTACTTGGTCAACCTGGTGAATCAAAAGGGCAGGGAGGACCGAGTCAAAAGTGCCTACGAGCAGCTGGTTCGCGCCCTTGTGTCCTCATCAACTGAAAGCACTGAAGCTGGTGATGCGAGCTCGGAGAAGATACACGCGGTAGAGCCTGGCCTGAGACAGAAGGAGATGGACCGCCTTCACTATGTATATTTCGACTTCCACAATGAGACCAAGGGTCTCAAATGGCACCGCGCAGAGCTGCTTTTGGAACGTTTGACAGAAGGTCTTCAACGAGGTGGCTATTTCCGTGGGGTTGAAGACCCTGGTGTTCCTGGCGGACAACTGGATACACGGTCGTCACAAACCAGTGTTGTCCGGACAAATTGCATGGACTGTCTGGATCGTACAAATGTGGTTCAGAGTATGCTAGGAAGGTGGGCCATAACGCGCCAACTCATTGATGCAGGAGTTTTACGGCAGGGGGAGGCAGCCAACGACGACCGCGAGTTCGAGAGTCTGTTCCGTAATATCTGGGCGGACAATGCTGATGTCGTGTCTAAATCTTACTCCGGTACTGGGGCGCTGAAGACCGACTTCACGCGGACCGGAGAGCGCACTCGGGCCGGTATGCTGCAGGATCTGAACAATTCCATCACCCGATATGTGCGAAACAACTTTATGGATGGCCCCCGACAAGATGGATTTGATGTATTCCTTGGCACATACCTTCCCCCGGATTCGACCCTGGGCAACCTCCAGCTCTTCCTCGACCGTCGTCCTCTAATCATCCGCTCGGTTCCCTATATCCTTGCCGCTGGAGTTTTCATGATCCTGGTGGCTGCATTCACAAGGCGCCTGCCAGACTCCACTGTGTGGCCCTTGCGTTTGTTTGTTATCTTCTGGTTGATTGTCAGCGCCTGGTGTGCGCGCTTCATCTTCGCTCATGGCATGCTCTACGTAAGTTTCTCAAGAAGTGCCATGCATGCATCCGTTTATTGACGATGCTAACATGTATGAAATAGGTAAATTGGCCGAAATTGAACACACCTACAGCAGGTTCTGAAGGGTATCAAGACGCGCTCATTCACGCTCGGTCAGACCCGGTCATCGGTCAGTGGCTTCCTGCCAGACGACACCAGAGGGGTTATAGTAATGCTCGACTGGTTTTCTTGGAGGAGGGCAAGACAAGGATCGAGTAATCTATTCTGCCATTGGTTCTCTCAATGGCCATCGCTTCCTTCTCATAGAATAATTGCCCGGGCATGTTCACCACCTCCGTGTTTCTGTACATTTGATGTCGCTTGATTGTGTGATTGACTCAACCCCGGGTTCCCCGTTTTTCTTTTCTTCTTACCGTTCCACCCCTTGATCTTCCCTTCGTTTTGATTTCCTTTTAGAAGCCCCTTGACTCTTAATATGATTGCCTTCGTGGATGGATAGATACCCCGTCGGGTTCTTTCCATCTCGTCCTTGTTGTGATGATGTAACCGTAGTAGTTCATCCAGCCACCGGCTTGCATATCAGACACGGAGCACGTGATGTGGGCGGGAGGACCTCCAGCCGTCCGCGGGGATCGAAGGGCAACCCCTCAACCTCCATAGAGCCGCTGCACGTGAGCGGGCTTTAAGTCGACCCCAATGAGGGGCGTTCAAACATTCTCTTCTTTCTGTAGGTCTGGTCAGCTGCGTCGACTCTCATTCCGTTCCACCGAAATGTCTCGCAATTACGAGGTATGCGCACATGCCAGCGGACATGAAGAACTGCTCTAATGAGAAGTGCAGGCTGCAATTGCAGCTCTCAATTCGCTGCAAACCAACTTTGCGGTGGTTGAAGAATTGAGAAAGTCAGTCTCCCGGCAGGACATGAATCTGCGGTCTCTCCCAGAGACTGTAGAGTGGCTTCGACGCATCGGCTACCAGGTTTGTGCTCCCTGTAGTCCAGAAGTGAATAGTCATTATTACTAACCCAAGACCTTTGTCATTTACAGCCTTCCGACCTGAACCAAATCAACCCTGTTCATGTCGCCGGAACCAAGGGTAAAGGCTCAACTTCCTCCTTCATCTCCTCGATTCTCTCTCAGTTCACCGCGTCGAACCCCGGCCAGTCGAACACTTCATTGCGCAGACTCAACAAGGTTGGGCTTTACACCTCGCCTCACCTGCGATTTGCTCGGGAACGTATCCAGATTGACAACACGCCACTCTCCGAGGAAAAGTTCACGAAATACTTCTTCGAAGTATGGGATCGGCTGGAAGAGGCCGCTCAAGTGGCGGGCGAGGATCCCACAAGCCTGCGAACGAAGCCCCAGTACTTCCGGTATCTGACCTTGATGGCATTCCATGCCTACATCAGTGAGGGAGTCGATGCTGCGGTGATCGAGTGTGGTATCGGTGGAGAGTATGATTGCACAAACGTGATTGAAAAGCCAGCCGCGACTGCGATCACGAGCCTTGGCATCGACCACACTGCCATGCTTGGAAACACGATTGAACAGATAGCTTGGCATAAAGCTGGGATCATAAAACCTGGGACCAAAGCTTTCAGTGCACCACAGCCCCCAACTGCAGAGAAAGTGTTGCTTGATCGTGCAGCTGAGAAGGGGACTCAGTTGGAGATCGTGAGGGGCCACCCCGAGCTAACCTCCGACGGTGATGTGAAGCTTGGCCTGGCTGGTGATTTCCAATATGCAAATGCAGCGGTAGCCGTCGCAACAGCTGCCGAATTCCTCAAGAAGGTTGGAATCGAAAACCTCCCCTCGGACTTCCTTGAGAAGCCTTTACCACAGACGTTCCGGAAGGGACTCGAGTCCGCTCGGCTAGGAGGCCGTTGCGAAACGCGGAATGAGAAACGTGTCACCTGGTACATCGACGGGGGACATACACTGGAAAGTATCAAGTTGGCTGGACAGTGGTTCACTTCTCAGATACACGCCAACTCCTCATCAACTGCAGCTGCGAACAAGAAAATGCGTGTGTTGATCTTCAACCAGCAGACCCGAGATAGCACTGCTCTTGCCCAAGCTCTTTACGAGACCCTGGCTGCGGCTTTAGGCTCCGAGCAACCTTTCACTCATGCTATCTTCTGCACGAACGTGACCTACAAAGATGCAGGCTACCGGCCCGATCTTGTAAGCATGAACACCAATGCAGATGACGTGGAAAGATTGCAGGTCCAGAGAAGCCTTGCGGAGAAGTGGCAGTCGATTGATCCACGCACCGAAGTCAAGGTGTATGGTACCATTGAGGAAGCTGTCGACTTTGCTCGTGAGCTCGCGACAAAGGAGAGAGACCTTGTTGGCGAAGATGAGGCTCCTGTCATGACCTTCGTCACTGGCAGTCTGCATCTTGTCGGTGGGTTCCTGGATGTGATCGAGACCAAGCCCGGTCCGCAATGAAGACCCGGGTCTCCCTGTATCTCTTCTGGTTGCTGCTCATAATGGAATCATGAATTCTCTCTGCCTCACCACGAGGTTTCAACAACATATCTGGTGATACCCGCAAGCCAAGGCTGATTTCCTGCCTGCTCATGTTTGATGCTATCAAAATGGAAGAAAGGGCCATTTCGTTTCTTTCAACAATAATTACTGTCTTTGTCTCCTGTCTCACGTGCCTACACGGAGATCGGATATACTACATGGCCCCCACTATTGAAATCTGGCCATTTGTTAATATAGATGCCCCTGTAGCTCTAACCAAGCCTCCAGTGAGGCATATAACATACACTCCATGATCAAGTAAGCACAGTGTAGTTCAAGATAGTTGCCATATCGATGTTCTTTTGCATAGAATGACGATGGTGGATATTACTGCCACGGTACCGAGTAAGAGCGTAAGCTTCCCTCCCCGCGCAAGGCACGGCGGCAACGTGGGGCTGCTTAGAAAACCTTCCCGCGTCCACTTGCTCCGAGCCTCCAACTTCCACTCATTCCCACCCCGCGCGCTGTGATGTCTGACCCCAAGGATAAGAAGGGCGAGGCGCCCAACTCCGCTGTCAGTATCTCCGACCCCCCAGAGGGGTCAACTCCCCCCATAAATGCATACCGATAATCTGACGGACAGCTCTAGGATGCGGCCGGTCGAAAGATCACTCCCAAGGTGGCGGAGGCGCTGTTGGAGAACAACCCCGCGCTCAAGAACGAATTGGCCGGCATGGATAAGGAGAAGGCAGCGGAGGCTTTGAGCAAGATGGACGTCGCCGAATTGTTGACTGGTCTTGCCGTGGGTGGAAAAAACCAGAAGGATATGGCGTCGTACAAGTTCTGGCAGACACAACCGGTGCCCCGCTTCAATGAAGCGGCCAAAGATGATAGCGGTCCCATCAAGATTATCGACCCTGAGAAGGTGTCCAAGACTCCCGATGCGCTGGTCGAAGGCTTCGAGTGGACTACGCTTGACCTGACCAACGATGACGAGCTTCAGGAACTGTGGGACCTGTTGACCTACCACTATGTCGAGGATGACAATGCCATGTTCCGGTTCAGATACTCGAAATCCTTCTTACATTGGTGAGTTCACTGCACTTAACACTCTCCTAAACACGCCTACAGGCGCTGACGGCTATCATTCCGCAGGGCTCTCATGTCTCCAGGTTGGAAAAAGGAATGGCACGTTGGTGTCCGAGCTACCAAGTCCAAGAAACTGGTGGCTTCGATCTGCGGTGTCCCGACAGAGCTTCGCGTGCGTGACCAGAAAATCAAGGTCACGGAGATCAACTTCCTCTGCATTCACAAGAAGCTGCGCTCCAAGCGCTTGACTCCCGTCCTCATCAAGGAGATCACCCGTCGTTGCTATCTCAGCGGTATCTACCAGGCCATCTATACTGCGGGTGTAGTCTTGCCCACTCCCGTCAGCTCTTGCCGGTACTATCACCGTCCATTGGACTGGCTGAAGCTCTACGAGATTGGCTTCTCGCACCTTCCTTATGGCTCCACGAAAGCCCGCCAGATCACCAAGAACCACCTTCCCAGCACCACATCTACTACCGGCCTCCGTCTCATGGAATCCAAAGACATCGATGCTGTTCATGACTTGTTGGAGCGTTATTCGAGGCGGTTTTCCTTGAACCAGGCCTTTACCCGCGAGGAAATCGAGCATTGGTTGGTACACAAGGATGAGGAAGGAAAGGAGCAGGTGGTTTGGTCTTACGTGGCGGAGGATCCCGAAACCCACAAGATCAACGACTTTGTCTCTTTCTACAACCTTGAGTCTACTGTGATCCAGCACCCCAAGCATGACAATGTGCGCGCGGCCTACCTGTACTACTATGCTACGGAAACCGCTTTCACCGAGGATACCAAGGCTCTGAAGGCGAAACTGCTGCAGCTGATCAACGACGCTTTGATCATGGCCAAGAAGGTACGTTAGGGAATACTTCATCTGTGGACCTTATCATTCCTAACACGATTGCTCTCTAGGCCAAATTCGACGTTTTCAACGCCCTCACTCTTCATGATAACCCCCTGTTCTTGGAGCAGCTCAAGTTCGGCGCAGGCGATGGTCAGCTTCACTTCTATCTATACAATTACCGCACGGCGCCCATCCCCGGTGGTGTCAATGAGAAGAACCTCCCGGATGAAGGAAAGATGGGTGGCGTTGGTATTGTCATGTTGTAGAGTCTGGCACTCTTCCATCACATTGTTCACATATGAGTTTCTATTCTCCTGTATCTGTTAAGATGTGGCGGGTTATGAGGAAGCACTGCTGCACTCATGAATAATTCGTCCTGAATACGGAGCACATAAGATTCCCCAGATCGTTGACATTTATTATTGTTCCGTAAATGCCTGCCTGGGTCCGGGCCGCAAATCGTACTAAACCGCGGTGGGTTGCCTTGGGTGCCTTGGGTGCCTCAGGTGCCTCAGGTGCCAAGGCCACAAGGCCGAGCTGTCACTGTCAGGACGGGGTTCCGCATGCGGGCCTCGCCATCACTCTTGACTCTCTCTCTCCGTCTCCGCATCGACAAGGCTGCGTTCCTGCTGCATCTGATGGATCACGGACTCTTTCATGACCCTCCATCCCATGAAGATTCATCGCATGCCGAGTCCGTCTCCAATAAATTACTGTACTCAGAGTGGGTTTCACTTCGTCATCACCACGGGGCATCCCGGACTAAGACCATTACTTAACATCTAGTTAGCAACTGTCCACTTACTACTGACCACGAGGCTGCGTTGATTGATATGCCGCACAGCACACTGCCCGTGGCACTATTTTAACAAGACACCTCCAGCCACTCAAGACCTGTTAACCGTCCATTCAACCTTGTCTGTCTAAGAACATGGGAGTAGGCCAGTCGACTGAAAATGGGGGTCGGGCGTCCTCTCCAGGTCAGTGGTTCGCTATTCTTGGTATTTCTCGAAACCGTAACCATAGAACTCTTTCGTACTATCAGCCTCATCCACTCGCGAATAACCTCAACTCAAGCTTTCTAACATGTGAACAGAGGAGCTGAGCTATATGCTTGCTGAACGCTTCGCAACCAAATGCTTCACTCCTTTGGAGCTAACCCACTTCAAAGACAACTTTTACTCGCGCGCAATCGACCAAGGCGGCTGGAAGTACTGGAATGAGAAGATCTTGTCCGACTTTCTGGGGATCCCGGACAGCAGTGATTCTCAATGCCCATTGGATGCTGGTCCCGTCATCTTTCGCATGGTCTCCTACCTGGGCGCATTTCCTTTCCAAAACACGCTGGCCCCGAGCGTTTTGACGTTTGATGCCATGGTGAAAGTGGTTGTGCTGTTGACTGAGCGGTACGGCAAGGTTCTGAGGCGAGCGCGCAGAGATAGGATACGACTGCTCTTTGGGAGTCTTGCTGATGTTGGGAGGAAAGATATTGACCTGGGCCAACCCAGCCAGGACACGACTGAAGAGGGTACAACTGAGTCCGTTGTCGCCATGTCTCATGCTCCTGGCTTTGCTATTGATGAGCCTGCCAACGACGACTACGATGATGATGAGGACGACGACCTAGCGCTGGCTGCATTGGAGGCTCTGGACGCCATTGAAGTATTCAAGCACGACTCCCGCATTGACAAGGCGGTTTACGAAGCTCGGATTTCCGCCAGCACACTCCGTCGCCTGTTAATGCTACTAATCGTCGTTTCGCCGTTGAAGTTCCTCGAGCCGGTAAGGATGTACACGTCCGATCTGAACGAAAAGCGCATGGAAACAGTTCGGAAAGAGGCGGACAGCATCATGGCCGCATTCGACCAAGAATCCTCCGGCGGAATAAGCTATAAAGCATTCGCGCAGACCGTGACATCTTCTTTCCCGTTCCTTTTCGATCCCCTCACGCCACTGTTCGAACACCTTCTCTTCAGCAAAAACCTAGACCTGTCCCAGCGACGCGACAGGGCTGAATCTACCGCATCGGAACCCATCGAAGAATCACCGGAGCCTCTCCCTTCACCTCCAACGGTCCTCCTCCCAGGCGGGTTTGAATCCGTGATATTGAACCCAAGCGTCATCTCACACCTCTCATTCTTCCTACCCTCATCCTCCGAAAGCCTGAACTTCCTCCGTGGCAACGTGCGCCTTCACCCGGTCTTCTCGACAGCCGCGCACGGCTCCTCCGTCACCTCATTCTCCCACCACGTCCTCACCTGGTCCTCAGGCACACTCCTGATCCTCGAGGGCGCCACCTCGACCAACAACACAGTAACAGTCGGCGCCTACCTACCCCAGCCATGGAAATCCCCATCTTCAACCCAGACAAGCTCCAAATTCCCCAACGCCATCCTCCCCTCCTTCTTCCAACTCTCACCCAAACACATCCTCCTCCCCGGAAACCCCTCCTCATCCCTCAACCAACCCAACACCCCGACAGCCTACTTCTCAACACACTCCGGAATCTCCATCGGCTGCCAGATCCCGCCTTCCTCACGAAGCCATCACAAACCCCCCACGCCTATCGGAGCAGGAAGTCTCACCATCGACGCCAGTCTCGAAACAGCAGACTTTCACGCCTCCCCATTCGGCCACAATGGCGTGTTCCTCCCCCCCGCCCCAGGCACCATCCCCGAATCCCCATCCAAAACGCGCATTGAAATTTACAGCCTAGAAGTCTGGGGTCTCGTCCCCGACCCGACTATCACCTCCGCCGACGGCGAGAAATCAGCCGTTGAGCTCCAACAAGCGAAATGGGATTTCGAGGCCCGCGAGGCGGAACGAAGACGCAACGTCAATATGAAGGCTGGGGCTGGTGATTCCGCGAGGGAAAGTGCCCGCTGGTTGTTGGAAGCTGCTGGTGTTGTTGGGGATGCTGGACGGTCTGGGGGGAGTGTTTGATGTTGATCGGTTGATTGGTTGTTTGGTCGCGCGGCAGGGATAGCAAATGTGCTCATTGAGTGAAATCTGTTATGCTATCGTATGCTTGGCGTGATCTTCATTTTTTACCTATCCTTTCCGTTTTTTTTTTTTTTTTTTTTTTTTTTGAAGGAAATATGGTCTATTTCTCAGGGATGGTGTTTGGGACTCACGGATCTCTGTCTATCAGTAAATAAAATATGTATAGGCTTGGGTGTTTTGGTGCTCGTAATTTACTGATTTGCCTTTCCAGTCTGTGTTATCTGGTGGGTTGTGAATGTACGGTTGTGGTCTAGCAATGGAGAAGAGGAATATGTATAGTTATCTCGTACCTAATTTTATGCGTAAGTGACAAGTACCTACCTAGTAAACTTTCACTGTCACTGATTACTTGGCTCGGACTATGTAGTATGTGTATGTAATTCCGATTAAAACCAATACGGCCATACCAGACACCTCTAGGTAGTTAGTTAGTTACTTACCACCAACAGCACATGTGATTGTATGAGATTGGAGATAAACTCCATAGTCGGAAAATAGTATTCATTCACCAAAATCTAACACCTCATTCTATTCTATAAAGCTCATCTCATATAGAAGAAGTTAGATAGGATAGGATAGGATAGGATAGGTAGAGATAGATCTATTTATTTCTAGTATTTCAAGGCCTCAAAGGGGGCAATCCCGTCGGCGGACCATAAAAGTCCCTCAACTCCTCCTCTTCCTCCTCGTCAAACCCAACCTTGCTATTCCTCTCAACATCGGACTCCTCATCAACCGGTTTACTGCGCGAGCGGAACCGACCCCGAGACACATGGACAGGGACAGGGGTAGCGCTTTTCTTGGGCTCGTCTGGCTCGCGAGCCTGGTTCTCATCGTGCTCCTCGCGGGGCAGACGGTAGGCCAGAAAGCCTTCGGGGGCGCGTTCCGCGCGATCCATGATCTCGTTCATGTGCTTGCGCACTTCCTCTGGGGGTTTGACGACGCGACTGAGTGGCTCGAGGACTTTGGGGTTGTTGCTGAAGATGCGGAATGTGACGGGTTGGTAGTATTCTTTGAGGTGGGAGTCGGACTTTGCGTCATCTTTGGCTTTTGGGTCTTCTTTTTTCTCGGTAGATGGTTTGTTGGGCGTTGCGGTTGGGAGGGCTTTTTGGTCGGGTTCTGCTTCTTTGTCGCCGTCTTTGGGAGGGGGTTTGGTGTCGGAGGTGGAGGTGGAGGTCTCGGGTTCATCTTTCCCCTTCTCCTTGGATTTCTCTTTCTCGCTCTCCTTGTCCTTGTTTTCTTCCGCGGCGGTGGCTTGGTCCTTTTTCTTATCTGCCTTTTTGGACTTGGCCTTGGCAGTCTTTCCCTTGGCTCGTGAAGTGGTTGTTTCTGAGGGTACCTCAATGGGGAAAGGTGTGTTTGGATCGACCTTTCGCACGAGAAGAAATGATGCGAGAACGGTGGTTCCCCCGGGAAGCCATTCCAAAATGGTGTACTCGGGGAATAGATAGCGGTCGCCGGATCCTGCATGTCCAGAAGTACTACTTCCATATGGGGTCAAAGGCGATGTAAATTCGAAGACGACAGACTTGTAGTTCTGCCTGGGAGGCGGAGGCGGAGGCGCTTGGCGATAATACGGCGCTGGAGAGCCATATTGCGGAGGACGAGACTGGATGGTGGGTGGGTGACCGCCTTGATATGGAGATTGCTGATGTTGCGGGGGTGGAGGACCTGGTCGCGGTCCTGCCTGCTGCTGTTGAGGAGGTGGCATAGGACGTACTGCCGGACTGGACTGTTTCTGCGGATCCGGGGTAGCGATTGGAGCTGGGGTGACACTGGGACTCGGCGCCGGTTGAGTGGTCGACTGAGCCGGTACCACGGCACCAGATTCTTGTTTGATCACAACCTGGGGTGCCGGGTTAGGCGTTTGGGGAGCGGGGGTTGGTGGCTGCTGTAAGGAGATAGATTTTGATGAGCCGTGAACGGAGGATTGGGGTTTGGGAATGTGTACTTCAACACGCGGCATTGGTTGCGACGGCGTTTGTCCTTGATCTTTCCGTTGGCCTGACTGCTGGGGTGGCTTTTGTGAAGACGGCTGCTGCGGCATCTGCTGTTGGGGGTTTTGCTGTGGAGGCTGGGATGGCCGAGAAGCCTGTGGATGGGCAGGAGTGGAGGGCTGAGACTGTCGTTGCTGCTGCTGCTGTTGTTGCTGCTGTCGTTGCTGCTGCTGCTCCCTTGCGCGGATAATTGCATTGAGCTCGTCAATATGGGCCTGGAAAGCCCGGAGCTGCTCTTGAGACGCTTTGCTGGATGCCACCACTCTCATCAGGGCTTTAAGTTCGGGGTCGGACGCGGCTCGGGTTGCAAGCATCTGAATGACGGGATCCGGACTCGGTTTTGCCGGCTGTGGAGCTGGAGGCTGCTGCGAAGGCGACGGCCGTGGTGCAGACTGCGGCCCAGGAGGACGATGGGGTGGCTGATTAGGGGTTCGCGCAGGATGCGGAGGCGGATGGCTGCCAGCAGGGTAACCAGGCTGAGGCGTTCCCGGGGTGGCCGGTGAGCCCTGTGGCGGATGTTGTCTTTGATTCTGAGGCGGAGCTGGGGAATTAGGATAAGGATGGTATTGTTGGAAGTTGTTCGGGTGGCCGTAATGGACCATTGGGCGTTGCGGCTGTGTGTATTGGATGGGAGGCGGCGCGTTGGGATCTTTGACGGTGTATAGCATAGCGTCAAAGAGATGAGGCCCGACCACGATATTGCAAGCTCCAACCTTTGACATCGTCTCCTTGGGTGGGTTTTTCCCTTCGATTTGTTCTCTTTTGGTTTTCTTGGGCTTCGTCCAGTATCGTACCAGAATGCCATCGCTGAGCCATTTCTTCTTCGATCGTTCCAGGGAAACTAAAAGTATCGCGCTGTTACCCGTTAGCTACTTGAGCCTTTTCATTAATAGCAGGTGTTTATCCTCTGCCAACCCCCAATGAACAGTGGATTGTACCTTTCCGCGAATGACTGATACTCCTTCTCCGAGAGAGTCGCCGGCTGCGGCGCGGCCGTGGTGGGGAGAGGCTCTCCATCCTTAACCTTTGTAGGCAAAGGGGGCTCGACAGGTTCCGAGGGCGGCGGCGGAGGTGAAGGGGCAACAATCGGGGTGGATGCCTTTCTCCTTGAGGATAGGAGTTGAGGTTGAGGTGAAGGTCGAGACGCGGCTTCGGAGGCCCGTCGCTTCGCCGCAGATTCGCGACGGTCGCGCGCGGGGAGTTTGCGTTTCTCGGCCATGCCTGGGATTCACTTATCGGAGAGAAGGGAGGCGCCGATCAAAGAGCCCACGGAGGAAGATGACGAGCATCTCGCAGCCCCTGGGGCGGAAAAGGGAGGAGGGAAGGGAAGGGATGGGTTGTGTTGTTGCGGAGAGGAAGGAAAAGCGGCGGGAGCGAAAGGAAGTCGAATCGAAGGAAGTTCGGCCAAATCCATCGCCAAGCCTCCGCATCGCGTCCGGGTGATTTCTCCAGCTCAGCTTTCCTGCTTCTTCACCATTCCCCCCTGCCGCACTGGATGTGTCACCTTCAGGTCCCCTCGAGTCAATGCGCTCGCTCTCGAATCGTCTAGATAATGCTTTGTTGAACGCCTGCAAGCTGAACCTGCGCACTTGCAACTACCACTCAGCGGGTCCTTGAAGTAAGCAACTTCTAGGGCATCTCGACTGACAGCTGCCTCAAGGACATCCAGTTGTTCGGTACATTTGCCTCCCTCATTGTCAAATCCCCAGCAATAATGGCCTCTCTACAACCCATCTTCAAGAAGGCCTATTGGACCCTGGCCGCCGGCGGGATCTTCTATGTCATTTTCGTCTGTGCTATGACGTATCCCATGGTCCAAAGATTGTATACCACCCTATCCAGAACCATTCGGGTTATGTATCTATAAGAGTGCTCCTTCTAACATCGTTTCAGTGTCCTCTATGTGAACAAGGTCAATCCCACCCTGTGGCAGGACCTCAATCAAGTCGAGTCATTCGGATTTCTGAGTACGTTAGACGATCTCAGCGGGAGAACCCAAAGCCTGTCTCAGCAATGACCCTATTGACTCTGGACACAGAGACACAAGTACAGCCCTTCTATCTGAAAACTCCAGATAACGAGACGCTTTACGGATGGCACCTGCTGCCCCTACAACTATGTCGGGAGCACGAGGAAGAGCTCAATGCGAATGAGCAGTATGGTCCGGCAAAAGACTACACCGAGACCACCGCGTTCAAGCTTCTCGCAAACGACCCGAATGCCCGGGTCGTAGTTAGCTGTAAGAAGCCGATATATACCACGAGCAGGACCTGGCATAACTGATACCTCCTCTGAACACCAGTCCACGGCAACGCAGCCCATCTCGCCTCCGCCCAGCGACCAGACATCTACCGACAAGTCCTCGGTCTATCAACGCGCCAAAACCCCGTGCATGTATTCGCCATCGACTACCGCGGCTTCGGTCTCTCGACCGGCTCACCCACAGAAGAAGGTCTAATCACCGACGGCGTCTCTCTAATCAACTACCTCACCTCGGGACCCCTGCATATCTCCCCATCTCGCATTGTAATCATGGGCCAAAGTCTAGGAACAGCCGTCAGCGCCGCGGTGGCTGAGCGCTTCGCATTAGGCTCCTCAGATCCCACCGCCATTCAACCCACCCTCAAGGACCCAGAGCCCTTCGCCGGCGTGATCCTGCTGGCATCCTTCAGCAACGTCCCCAATCTCATCGACGCCTACAGCATGAAAGGCATCACCCCACCAATGCTCTCCCCTCTAGCCGCATACCCGAGTCTGCAAAGCTGGGCGAAAAACAACATCATCGACCGCTGGGATACCGCCGCTCGAGTCGCACGCCTAACAGGGGTGGGTGTGAACACCACAGGCAACGACGCCCCTAACCCGGCATACGCGCACAAAGGCCTGGACCTCTTCATCATACACGCCGCAAACGACGTCGAAATCCCCTGGCGCGAAGGCCGTCGCGTCTGGACCGCCGCCACAGGTGAAACCCTCCAAGATGCCCCCGGCGCTATAATCCACTCCAAGAAAGACCTCAACGGTTCCAACGAGGTCCAGATCTGGGAGAACAGATCAATCAAGGACTCTGCGGTTGTCAAACGTGTTCGATGGGAACGCGTTGCTTACGGCGGTACGTCAAAACAAGAAGGAACAACCGAGTCACCACCCTCGCAGACAGAGAAACAGCACTAACCAATCCTAAAATCCTTTCTTAGGGCACAATCGCGTCGCGACCTTCTCCGTCGCCGCTCTTTCCGTCCTGAGGGCCTTTGAGAAGTGAATAAATGACCTCAGCATGATCCTCGCCTACCACCTAGTGCCAACCTTCCCTGACCCGGGCCCAGGGATCAGCGAAGCAATGATTCACTGTCCCATCATGCCCAACCAATAGAAACACTAGAAAACAGGAGATGTCAAAGGAATCGCGAAAATCCACTTGTAGGGCAGGCCAATCATGAGGGTGCGAGGAGACGCGTCGACGTGTCGTGCAGAATCATGGTGACGTAGAATCTTTCTGGAAGCCTTCTGTTTGGGTTGGATGATGCGAGACAGGTAGATTAGATTAGAGGGGTTGTCTATGGATGGTGGACGGTATGACGTCTTTTATGTACAATTTCTATTAGATTTGTTTAGGTCCGGAGGGTATACAGCCGATGACTTCCACAAAAAGCTAGATGAAGGGTTTCTGAACCTCCTTGTATGGACTACATGTAGTCTTGTCATATACATTTTCTCTACAACCTAGTAGTAGCTATATATCATCTGTTTTATGTGTACTTGCCATCACACAGTTATGGGAAATACTTAATTATACCCAACCATGACAAATTCATTTTCAAGCATTGATATCTATTTTATATGAAATATCTGAGAGGAGATGACAACCACCGGAAGGGTCAGATATGTGCAGTGCAGCCTGTCGACCTGGGGCTTTTAACCAGTCATACGACGACCGCGCGCACACATCCAGCCCTCCACAGTGATAAGGAAGAAACCTACCCAACGCCCACAGGCCCGGCCTATATTGGATGAGAAAATAATACATGGCGCCAAATTATCTAAACATAAATGAGAACATTGTCTTCGTATTGAAATACACGCCAAGAAGAGAAGAAGGGAGGCGGGGGGAATAGGCGCGGGTGAAAGGGGGTATGGTATGTTCAAAGTCCCTGGCCCAGGGGCTAGATAGTGAGGTAACTGTTTAGCTCATTAACTGCCATGAAGCAGGTCCGAGGACTCGGGAGCTACTATATGAGCTCACACCGTGAGCTGCGAGGCAAGGTTGCGATGGGCTTATTTCTTGTGCCTGTCGGCCTGAGCCTTCAAGTGCTGGGCGATGAGTTCCTTCCTTTAAGGGGGTATGAGTTAGCATGAGTTGTCGAGGTACGAAGATCGGTAGGGGAGGGAACATACTGCATGTGAGGGGGAGCCTTCTCGTAGTGGCTGAACTCCATGGTGTATTCACCCTTACCCTGGGTGGCCGCACGCAGATGGGAACTGATGCCGAACATGCTATTCAGACTGCAGTCGGCAAACACGGTGAACTCATCGACACCGACCTCGGAGTCGTTAATGGTAGCACCACGCTTGTTGAGGAGGGCAATAACGTCACCCTGGAACTCAGCCGGGGCCGTCACGACAGTCTTCATCATAGGCTCGAGGATAGAAGGGCCGCTCTCCTTGAAAGCATTGCGGAAAGCCTGCTGGGTGGCGTTCTTGAAGGCCATTTCAGACGAATCGGTCATATGAGTAGCACCGTCGTTGATAACCATCTTGGTACCAAGGACCTTGTGTCCAATGAGAGGACCCTTGTCGCAAGAAAGGTGGAAACCCTTCTCACAAGCGAAGAGGAACTTTTCGGAGATACTTCCACCAACAACCTGCTGCTCGAACTTGTTCTCCGTAAGACTTCCAGTGGGTTCCATCCAGCCCACGACACGGGCGAAGTCACCAGGACCACCCGATTGCTTCTTGAGCAAATGATCGAACTCAACACGGCCGCCAATAGTCTCACGGTATGCGACCTGAGGCTTACCGGTTTCACAGTCAACACGGTATTCACGACGCATGCGCTCGACATAAATGTCAAGATGCAGTTCACCCATTCCAGAGATAATGGTCTGTTCACTCTCCGCATCAAAGGTAACCCTGAAGGTCGGGTCCTCACGCTGGAAACGAGCCATAGCCTTGGAAAAGTTCGCAGCATCCTTGGCGTTCTTGGGCTTGATAGAAAGCGAGATGACGGGTTCGGGAACGAACATGGATGACATGGTGTATCCAAGCTGTCCATCAGTGAAGGTGTCACCGGAAGCACAGTCAACGCCGAAGACGGCGCAAATCTCACCCGCTCCAATTTCACTAACTTCCTCCATATCGTTGGAGTGCATCCGAACAATGCGAGGGATCTTGACCTTCTTGTCATTGCGTGCATTGAAGACATTAGCACCCTTGCGGAGAGTACCTTGGTAGACACGAATGTAGGTCAATTGGCCAAAGTTACTCTCTTCCAACTTGAAAGCAAGTCCGACAAAAGGAAGCGAGTTGTAGGAGACAAGCTTCACGGGAGCCTCGTTACGCTTCTTATCAAGAGCAAGGTTCTGGACCTCGGACGGGTTGGGAAGGTAGTCAATGACACCGTCAAGCATGGGCTGCACGGACTTGTTGGCCAGTGCGGATCCCATGAAAACAGGGGTGAACTTCAGGCTAATGGTAGCCCGGCGAATAGCCTGCTTCAGCTGCTCCGGGGTAGGTTCAATCTCACTCAAGAAGAGTTCAGCAATCTCGTCGTCAACATCGGCGAGAGTCTCAATAAGCATCTGTCTTCTCTCTTCCACAATGTCCTTGACCTTCTCAGGGATCTCATCCTTCACGAGAATTTCCTCACCACTAGATCCAACATTGTACAGGGCCTTCATCCGGAGCAAATCAACCACACCCTCGAATTCGTCCTCCGCACCAATGGGCACCTGGACGGCAGCAGCCGGAATCTTGAGCTTGTTGTTGATCTGATCGACAGCCTTGAAGGGATTGGCACCCATACGGTCCATCTTGTTGACGAAAGAGATTCTAGGAACGTTGTAACGTCTCATCTGACGGTCGACGGTGATCGTCTGCGACTGAACACCGGAAACAGCACACAGGATCATGACAGCTCCGTCAAGAACGCGCAGCGCTCTCTCGACTTCAATGGTGAAGTCAATGTGACCCGGGGTATCAATCAAGTTGAGGTGATATTTCTGGTCCTTGCCGCTGTCGTCCTTCTTCACCCAGTCGCAGAAAGTGGCCGCGGACTGAATGGTGATACCCTTCTCACGCTCCAGGTCCATGGAGTCCATCTTCGCACCGACATTGTCGCGACCTCGGACTTCGTGAATCGCCTTGATACGTCCGGTGTAGAAAAGAACACGCTCGGTACATGTCGTCTTACCACTGTCGATGTGTGCCTAGAGGGGCGATTAGATTCATGCCGCACAATAACGCCAAATCCACGATGTGCCTTACAGCAATACCAATGTTTCTAACTCTGGACAAACGTTCGGCTTCGACGGGGTCGAGGTTTTCAATGATGGCGTCCTGGGAGAGAGCGTCGGGAGTGGCAGCGGCAGCCTCAAGTCTATGTTTATTTAGACGCGGAGATCAGCAACCAGCATCGAACGAAGACGATGAATGACGAAACAACAATTGGGATGGATCCTTGGAAGGGGGTAGAGAGGACACCTACACAGCAGCCGCAGCGCCCGAGGCGTTTCTCCTCTGCTCGGCGTGCTTGCTCAGAAGCGACTGATAAGCCGGAGCAGCAGTCGGTTGACGGAGAACAGCCGTGGAGGCACATCGCCGGGCCAGGAAGTTCTGGGACTGGAGACGGACGGGAGACCTGATCAGGCCGGAGACAGTGCGGCTTTGCAGCCGGGCGATAGAAGGACACCTCATGATGATCTCCGTGCACACCGAGTACCAATCGAGTGCTGATGCTCCTTTGGGACCCCAAGCGTCGCGATCTTTTTGCGGCTCCGAAAAAAAGTTCGGGGAAGCCAGGCACCCGGTCACGTGGATCCCGTCGATGGGTCGATGGTTCCTCCGCCTTTGGCTCGGCCGCCATTCCAGCCAATGCACCACCGCTTGTTTGTCATCTCCATGCTTTGATGCTGGATGGTGCGAGTGGAGTCTTCTGCATGAGGTTCTCACAGCGACATGCGTTTTTGCTTTCTGCAATTACCCATGACACCGAATCATGTCAACTGAAGGGCGTTGTTTACGCCGGGATCGGAGCCATCCCAGGCCAGGCTCTAGACCCTCAGGCACATACTCCACGTATTGTAATTACCACCGGACGTGAAATATTTCCATGGCAGTACTACACGGCAGATTCCCTGACCGCCCTCCCGCCCGCCGCCGCCGCCAATGATCCAAACCATGCTTGCCCTTCCAGCCAGGAGCCTACAAGCCATATTCCCTTACTAGTGCTACATTGAAAGTTGCGGATCTTCGAGCACCTTGCTATCTGTTTGTTGGCAGTCGGCGGATCATATCACAAAATTCTAGCCCGATGCGACCTTCTCTGACCCTGCTGGCTTCCATCTCTCGCGGCCAATCGTCGAAGCTCAAGAAACCAGCCATCGGCCTAGATCATGTACATAACTCTATCCTCAATTGTCTAAATCCCCGTGCCAGCCGCTGATGGAAGACACAGTTTATCCAACGGCAACGTGTTATTGCACTATGGCGTGAGATTTCCCGCGCATTGAACAGTCAGTCGTGGTCTATCCGTCAGATGCTTCAATTGCTAATAAACTTGAAGAGATTCCCAATTCCTCGACCCGGGATGAGTTGCACAACTATGCTCGCAAGGAGTTCGAGCGTAATAGAAATGTGACGGACTTGGTAAGCTTCACGTGGATGCCCTTTAAGTTCCAATCGCGCTAATGACTCTTGACAGCAACATATACGGTATCTCATCTCAGTAAGTCATGTATTATTTATTATATCAGGCAGCTATTTCTAACTCTTGATAGACTGGAAAGGCTGAATTCGAGACGATGAGACGCTATATTGATGAGCAAATCGTCGGCTGATATAGATAGCGTCATCAACAGACAGGGAAAGACCCTGTAAACAGAAACCGCGACCCTCAGGCGAGAGGATAACTCGAAATGTACGAAGATACAAGCATAAAGAGTTAAGAGATGGAGAGTGCATATTCCTAGCAAATGTGGAATGTATATATGTACAATATGATACCCAGACCAGACAACATGAGAATCAACTGAGAAATATAAGAGCGAACATCACGACACGTTCTTCTTTTCTGTTTTTTTTTTCTTCTTTTTTTCAATAGTCCGCCTTACTTCTGCCTCGACAACAACTCCTTCACGGCACTTAATACGCCAATGGACCTCTCCTCAGAAGGCTCGATAGCGGACCGCGCAGCATCCTGCTCGGGGGCGGCTTTCTTGGAAGTCTTCGCCGCAGCCTCGTTTGCGGCGGCCTCCACAGCCGCGTGACGCTCCCGCCAGTCCTTGTCCTCCCTGTCCCGAATCTCCAGCTCACGCAGCCATGCGTCGCGCTTCTCCTGGCCCTTGCGGATCTCCACCGCCTGCTCGAACTCCTTCCGTTGCTGACGCTCAGTCTTGTAGTACATGCCTCCGGCAACGACGGCGACGAGGGTGAAGAATTGGGCGTAGATACGAGCGCGGAACATCCGGTTCAGCTCAACGGAGTCACCGGCCTTCATCGATCGGTAGGCCCGGTAGAGTGCGTAGCAGGTGGCGGCACATCCTGGGATTCGATTAAAGTTAGCCAGAGCAAGGCAAAGGGTGGGGGATCCAAGCTTCACCTAGCGGGATCAGAGGCTCTTCCTTGAGATGTCTGCGAAACTTTTGGAGCGAAGTTTCCTCTTGGAACTGACTGGAGGCACGGAAACCGGTTAGATCCAGGACTGCTGCTTTGCTGCCTGTGAGCGGGAAACCAGGTACGTACGGGTGATCCTCGAAGGAGGAGGGGAGGGGTTCGGCCATTTTGATGCGACTGTCGTCGGAAGGGGGGTGCGGACAAAAGTGATAGATGTGGAAGAGAACGGAGACGCGTGGTCGACTAAGGACAGCAGGGTCAGATTCAATCAGGTCTCCTACACGCTGTTAGCCAAGACGCATTGCGATGATATAAAGATACAAGTTTGCGAAGGACACTGACTTTGCCTGGATGTTTAATATTTGCCCGCGATGTGGCTTGAGAGGCAAATGCTAAGGTATGCGAACTCGAGGAGACATGACGTCGGGAGGAGCCATGATAATTTTCGTACCACGTCGTACAAGACGATACGGTATAGGTCTGTAATCTCCATGTCATGCCATACTACCTGTCATACGGGAAGGACCGGCTTCCAATGCCTTACTTGATGAGATTGTTATTAAGATTACTACAAGAAGAAGGGTGCACGTGGTGTATAAAGAGGCATTGAACCTCCCAAATTTGTTTCAATTATGATGGAAATATGGAGGAGCACCCCATTGTTGAGGTGCCACAACGGCAGGTAATGCCGAGTCTCAGCGGGGTGCTGCTTAAGTTGATACCTAGAGACATATACCTTCAAATTGAGTAACCGATGCTCAGAGTATCACTTGCTACTGCTATCTGTAGAGATGTAATTGGAAGAAGTTGAAAACCGCCCAATGATGGTGATAATATCGATGCTTATTGGTAGGAAACTTGAATGTAGACAAGCTCGCAGGCTTGGAATCCATCGGGCCCACACCGGACACGCATGGCGAATTATGGGGTAAGTAAAGTTGACTGACTGAGGATAAAGGCAACATGTTCCCGCCCGCGGAAGGAGCTCACAAAGTCAGCGAAATAGACATCCCCCTCAGGAGTGGAAGTTGCAAGACTTGGTCTGTGTCCTTGCATTTCCCTTATTCCTAGACTTTTTTTTTCTCCGACCGAGAGGTGCTATTCATTGATCCAATGCAGATGCTTAGGGCTCAGATCCAGGGTTGATGACATAAACTTTCCCGCTCCGATCACGGAATTTTCTCCCCGCGGGATACGCTGAATCATTCGGTCTCAGTGCCACCGGCCCTTTTTTCTTGGTTGCAAGGCCGCCGCCCAAATCTGGACTCTGCCATTGTTTTCATCGCTCTCAATTCCCCAACCCCCATACAGGAGCACGCCACAATGCCCGGCGAAGTGTCTGAGAATGGCGTTTCGAGCCCCGTCTCTACGAAGTTGAACAATCTGACCCTGACTGAGTCAACGTCCATCCCTACTCCCACTTCGGAAAAGGACGACCCCACGGAGACTCCGGCATACGACTGGGGCATCCCTGATGATTTTCTACTTCCCAATGGAACACCAGACGTGGGTCATCCGCGATTTCTTCCAACTCGTTGGAGTTTTAAGTGCTCATGCGATGCTTGTGTTTAGTACCTTCGATTGATCTTGACGTCCCGTGTCTACGACATCATCGACGAGACCCCCCTCCATCATGCAGTCAACCTCAGCAACCGCCTGGAATGTCGGGTGCTGCTGAAGAGAGAGGACCTGCTTCCCGTGTTCAGCTTCAAGCTCCGTGGAGCCTATAACAAGATGGCGCATCTGACTCATGAGCAGCGGTGGAAAGGGGTCATTGCATGCTCCGCAGGTGGGTGCATCCTTGTATGGATGGTGTAACAATCATTGCTGATACTTGGCAAAAGGAAACCATGCCCAAGGTGTCGCTTACTCCGCTCGTAAACTGAAGATCCCGGCCACCATTGTTATGCCATCGGGCACCCCCGCCATCAAACACTTGAACGTTGCGCGCCTGGGCGGAAGCGTGGTCCTCCACGGTGACGACTTTGATGCCGCCAAGGAAGAGGCGCATCGCCTGCAGCTGCAGCATGGACTTACGAGCATCCCTCCTTTCGACGACCCGTATGTTATTGCCGGCCAGGGAACCATCGGCATGGAGATACTGCGTCAGGCCAATCTGCAGAAGCTCGAGGCTATCTTCTGTGCTGTTGGCGGAGGAGGCTTGATTGCCGGCATTGGTGTCTATATGAAGCGCATCGCGCCGCATGTGAAGATCATCGGTGTGGAGGCTCGCGACGCCAACGCCATGGCCCAGTCGCTCGACTATGGCTCACGCGTCAACCTCAAGGAAGTGGGACTCTTCGCCGATGGCGCTGCCGTCAAGTCCGTTGGAGAAGAAAACTACCGGTTGGCTCGCGAAGTCATTGACGAGGTTATTCAGGTCACCACCGACGAGACCTGCGCCGCCATCAAGGATGCGTTCGAGGACACGCGGTCCATCATTGAACCGGCTGGCGCCCTGGCCCTGGCGGGTCTGAAGAAGTACGCTCAGATGTATCCCAGCCCCGACATCAACAGAGAGTTGTGCGCCATTGCTTCTGGCGCCAACATGGACTTTGACCGTCTTCGTTTTGTCGCGGAGCGGGCTGCTCTAGGAGAGCGGAAAGAAGCGCTCCTGAGCGTTAAGATCCCAGAGAAGCCGGGCGCTTTTGCCAAGCTCGTCGAGGTGGTTCTTCCTCACGGAGTAACTGCCTTCAGCTACCGTTATGCTCAGGACTCTTCGGCCGACGTTCTGATGGGCATCTCCTTGTCCGCTTCGACTGGTCGCGACGATTTGATCAAGATTATCAACCAATTGGCCAGAGGTGGCATGGAAGCGAAGGACCTCAGTGACGACGAACTTGCTAAGCGGCACTTGCGCTTCTTGGTCGGCGGTCGCAGCAATGTGACGGATGAGCGGTTATTCATGTTCGAGTTCCCAGAGCGCCCCGGTGCTCTCGCCAGGTTCTTGACTACCCTCCGTCCCAACCAGAACATCTCCCTATTCCACTACCGGAACTATGGCGGTGATGTCGGAAAGGTGCTTGCTGGAATCCAGTGCCCCGAGGGCGAGAAGGACGACCTGGAGGCTTTCCTCGCCGATCTGGGCTATCCCTTCAGCGAACATACCGACTCCCCGACTTACAACACTTTCCTCCGTTCGTAGCGAGATCCTGGTTTTTTTTCTGTGCCTGCTTTTCGTGGCAAAGTTTTAGAAAACTCGTGGTTGTCTCAAGTTGTTCGGGCGTTCTTATTGGGCATAAGAGTTATAGATCGTGTACCTAGTTATGTTAAGAAGCTTTTCGTATATATTTAATGCAGCATGATACCATCAGAAGAATTGTTTTGGAATGAGACACCAATTTTTTTACTGCTAGGCTGAAGCCGATCTACGAGGTCCAGTGAGTGGCCTTTAAACTAAGTAACACCGCGCGATCCTGGCCGACGTGACTGTGGTATGATTGGCTCATCGGCCACCCAATCAGAGTCGCGCAGGCCAGTGACATCGGGACGCCGGCGGTACAGAAAGTCCGGCCAGCATTTGCTCCGAAGGAGTCCCGAACAATCGATCACCAGAGGTGCATCTCGTCGGTCTCCAGTCTGCCCACCGTTGTCGACCGTTTTCCGATCCCCTCGAACCCTTCTCGCGGCCGTAGAGATATTCTCTATCCGCCATCCGACACAATGGTCTCCATCCGTTCCGTCCTGGGTGCCTCCACCGGAGCCCTCCGCCAATTTCTCCCCTCCCTCTCCCGCAAGTCCGCCGGTCTCGTTTCGCGGCCCTTCTCGCAAATCGCGCGCCTGTCCTGGGGCAATGGTCTTCGTCTTCTGCGCTCCGGAAAGCAGACCGACAGTGTGGGGGTTGCTAGCGTGGGAACAACGTTGAGACAAGTCGAGCAGATCCGGGGAATGAAGACGCGCTCATCGGTTAAGCGGCTGTGTGACGGGTGCAAGGTATGCGATACACCGGACCAGTCCTCTTTTTCGTTTTCAGGATCTGGGGAGTTCTTGCGTGCAGGGACTTTTCGTCTAATTTGCGGGGGAGCCCGAAGCTAACCATGCGGGAAATGCAGCCTGTGCGGAGAAAGAACCGAGTTTATATCATCTGGTGAGATCACAACACCATCCGCACGCGGGTCAATTGAAGGAACAAGAACTAATATATATCCTCCGCGCCTTAGCTCCAAGAACCCGAAGCACAAGCAACGTCAAGGGAAATAGACGCGGGAAGGATTGATCGCAAGAGCATGAGAGAAATGAGCGTATCTTCGGACGGACGACGGGATCTGCTTGCATCGCATCGCAGAGCAAGCAGAAGCCCACGAGAGCATTTACCACACACTGCATGATATCGCGGCGGGGATATTGAGCGCATAGATAGATATGTGGATATACGGCTACTGGGTCTCGACATTGGGGAAAACCGCGCGCATTTGCTATGGGATACGACCAACTGGTTGGTTAGGCGCTTCGTTGCATTGTCTGTACATTAATTGTGTCTATACATTGGAATTCCTTTTCTTCATCTTTCTGGCTAGGACCTGCTGCGTGAGGAGTGCTGTAGGTATATATATATGTGAGGGACAACCCGGGCGGGGTATCTCACGCGACACGAGGGCTGATCTGGTCTTCCTCTCTCTCTCTCTCTCTCTCCCTCCCTCCCTCCCAATGTCGCATCCCAGCATTCAGGTCATATGCTGGCTCTAGCATCTGCTCTTCAAGGCCATGGTACAGAGAACTCCCCAAGTTGCTCAACTGATTCAGTCGGATTGGCGCGACTCATCCGGGGCCGGGAAGCAAGGGATGCGTCCCGTGCTCGCCCATTTGGGAATATTGTGAAAGACGTCATTTCGCCTGATCGTCTGCTCCTCCAAATACCCCTTACAATTGTCGCAAGGTACTACATGACTGACTAGAATCATCATGGAGCGGACATGCGCAGGACTCATCTGCTTCTGTCTCCTCCCAGCAGCCACCGCGATAGCCAGCTCTTCCGTTTTCTCCCAGTCGCTCATCTCGCAGCAAGTCTTCGACGGCGAGAACTTCCTCAAATACGACGGCGTGCGGGGTCCATATGTCGACCGGGTATCTTACGGCGTCAATCGCGAGCCCCCTGCGCAATGCTCCGTCGACCAGGTCATCATGATCAAACGCCATGGGGAACGGTATCCCGCATCAGGCGAAGGGCCCTCCATCGAACAGGCCCTGAACAAAGTCAACAGCACCCTCGTAGGCAGCGACAACTACACCGGGGATCTCGCCTTTCTCAAGAACTGGACCTATTTTGTCCCCTCCGACTGCTACGAGGCGGAGACCTGGACGGGTCCGTACGCAGGCTTGACAGATGCATATAATCATGGCAAGGAGTATCGCAGTCGGTACGGACACCTGTGGGATGGGAATTCCATCGTCCCGCTCTTCACGTCCGATTTCCAGCGAGTCATCGAGACCGCTCAGAGATTCGGAGAGGGGTTCTTCGGCAATGACACCTACTCGACCAAAGCGGCGCTCAATATCATCTCGGAATCCTCCTCTCAGGGCGCGGATAGCCTGACGCCCACTTGTCGTAAACAAGACGACAATGCGCAGAAGATCTGTGATGGTCTGCCGTATCATCTCCCTCAGCTTGATGTGGCTGCAGACCGGTTGAATGCGCAGTACCACGGGCTTAATGTCAATTGGACGGACGTTTACAACCTGATGTGTACGTAAAACACCCTCCTCATCCGCAATACGGCTTTATCAACTAACCAGCAACAGTAATGACTGCATACGAACTGAACACCCGCCCAACCTCAGACTGGATCGACGTGTTCACCACCGACGAATGGGTCAGCTTCGCACATATCTGGAACACAAACTTCTACTACTGTTCCGGGTAAGCCACACATTTATAGATCGGGTCCCTCTACCCCTACCCCAGAATCCTAACAACACCTCCCACGCAGCCCCGGAAACGAATACATGCGCGCCGTCGGCTCCCTCTACGTGAACGCCACCCTATCCCTCCTCCGCGAGGGCCCGTCATCCGGGTCTCTCTTCTTCAACTTGTATGACACCCCTCAAACCCAACCCCCTCCCCTCCCCTCCCCTCCCTACGAACTAACTCCCTCCCCCTTCACAGCGCACACGACAGCAACATAACCCCCATAATCACCGCCCTCGGCATCGCCACTCCCTCCGAAACCCTCACCACCGACCAAATCGCCTTCGGCACCCGCTGGAACATCCAAGACATCGTTCCCATGGGCGGGCGTCTCACCATCGAACGACTGAACTGCACAGACTCTGCACTCGCGCCCGCAGGCACATTCGTCCGGTTAGTTCTGAATGAGGCCGTTGTGCCCCTGCAGGGCTGTCAAAACGGACCGGGGTATTCGTGTCCGCTGGATAACTATACTTCGTTTGTGAACGGGTTGCCGAGTTTCGTAGCGGAGTGTGAGGTGCCCAAGTCGGAGCCGCAGTATTTGGGTTTCTGGTGGAATTATACGACCTCGAATGAGAAGAATCATGTGAGGGGGAGTAGGTGTCATGGGTTGGCTTGATGGGGGAGGGGGGGGGGAGGTATTTGCTCTTGTGCTGCTTGTGTTTACTGGGTTGTGAGGGACTGGTTTTATCTGTTATGACTGTGATGTAAATGTGTCTATGTGTAGGGGGGTGGGGGGATTGGGGCTGGGGATATGTCAGTTTGTGTTGTGGATTATATTTTCACGCTGATAGTAGGAACTATCTAGAATATAGATTCAAGCACCTCTCTGCCTTATACACTAGATGATACTATAGTACACTTCACATAGTAGTATCACATAGAGAACTTACTATAGCATCCCCACACCCACCATCACTATCATCCCTCCACATCCAAACACTTCAGATAGCAAACCACAACCAGCCCCATATCAACTCAAGTCTACAAACAAGCAAGCAACCAATGAACCCACCCATTCATTCATTGATTCCTAATCATCATCATCATCATCATCATCATCATCAATAACAATAACCTGATGATGCCGATGCGGAGGCTGATGCGAAGGCAGAGGCAGAGGTGGAGGCGGCGTCCCCGTCTCCGACCTCCTCTCCGCGCTCTTGGCCCGATAATTCGGATGCATGCGCTTCATATGCAGATTAAGATTCCACGTGCGTGAGAAGCCCTTTCCGTGACGCGAGCATGTCTGGATCGGACACACGATGTCGTTCTTTCGATGCTCGCCTTTGCCTTTGGGTTGGGACGGATCCTCGCCGTCTTCTGGTGCGGTGCTGTTCGCCCGCGAGGTCGAGCCTCGTTTGCTGGAGGTGGGGCGGGAGCGTGGCTTTTGGCTTGAGGGCCGGGAACGGGAGGAGGGGGGTGGTGGTGGTGGTGGTGGTAGTTCAGGTTGAGGTGGAGGTGAGGGTTTGGACTCAGGCTGAGGCTGAGGCTGGACTGGCTTGGATTCGGACGCGGATTCGGATTCATCTTCATGTTCATGATCATGTTCGGAGTTAGGTTCGGGGGCAGGTGCTGCATCAGGCTCGGATTCGCTTTCGGCGTATTTCCAGATTTTGGTATCATCGTCGTGCGTCTGTTGGAGGTTGCCTTCTTTGAGGATATGGAAGGCCATGTCCTCGCCGAAGAGATTGGCGCATCGTTGCGCGGTCCGCATTACCACGGCGGGTGGCCAGCCTGTCATCGCAGCGACGCCTAGCACCTCGCTCCAGTCGCGGATTCCAAGACGGAGTCGACTGTCGGATCGACGTTCGTCGCTGTTGACTGAGGCGCTTCGCGAGCGGGAGGAGGAGTCGGACCGTTCACTTCTCGAGGGGGCATCGCTCGTGGTATGTGCGCTGGGGGAGCGGGTGCCGCTTGAGCTGCTTCCCAGCAACACGGAGGCAAGTCGCGTGCGCTTTCGTCCTCGCGATTGGCTTCTTTCTCGTCTGCGGTCGACCTTCCTCTTCTTGGGCGATGAGCCTGAGCCGGTGCTCCCGGTGGAGTCACTTAGCCACTCGTCTGCGTCGCTGTCATCTGCCATGGCGCCGCCCTTGCGGGCACGGTGAAGGCCCATAAGAAGGTCGTCGAGCTGGTTGAGGACATTGCGGGTTAATGGGCGGAGCTGGCGATAGGATTTCTCGTCGTCGGCTTGGACGACGGGGCGTAATGGGGTGTCGTTGGCGAGTTCTCGCTCGCTTTCCCCCGCCGTGCTTTCGTCTTGGGTCTCGGGTTGGGATGCTGAGGTTTTGCGCTGATGCGAGGCATAGTTCCTGACTCTGGGCTCCCAGTCTCGGGCCATGAACCTCTCTTTCGCGGTTTTGAGCATGACCGCCATGACGGATTCCTCTAGTTCCGCACTTGGTCGAGGATCCGGCTGCATCTTGAAAGCCCAAAGGTCGTCGCGACGGCCCCTGAGACGTTCCTCGCCTGGTCGGGGCACTTCATCGGAGGGAAGAGGCCATGCGGTCCAGCGGCGTGGAGGGAGAAACCCGTCTGTTTCAGACGACGTTTTCGACTTCATCTTCGTCGCTCGCTTTGCCATCTCGATCGCCCGGATCCGGAGCGCGTAGGCATTGTACAGATGGGCCGCCAGGTCCCTGGCCCGGATATCGTCCAGAGCTCGAGCGTTTTGTCTGTCTCTGGCAGTCAGCGTTCGCCACGTAGACTCCGCGCCGGGGAACCGGTTGGGACGGTAAGGAGGCGGGCTGCCCGCGGCGTGTAGATTTCTTGCGCTGCGCTTCAAGGCCTGCGTCTCCGGGGACTGGGAGATGAGGCTGTCGCCAGATCCATCCTCATCGCTGTCGATGTAGGTGGCGTCTTGGTCGGACAAGTCGTCGTCGTCGTTGTTCACGAAGAGTGCCCCGTCATCTTCCATGTCCAGGTCGAAGTCATCCCGGTCATAGTCCGCCCCGGACTGAGACTCCGGATAGGGTTCCAGATCATCAGCGACATCAACGTCACCGCCATCTTGACTGGCAGACCCCCCAAAGAGGGATCTATATGGCTGTGCTGACTGCGGCGGGGGTTGAAGTGTTGCGATTGGCTGCTCGAGATCGAGGACATGCCTCAGTATATCTGCAGAACAGGCGCAAGCTGTTCTGGTAATATTAAGCACATATAGCGAGCTCTAAAAGTGTCATATGTGCCTCCCAGGTCGAGAATGAGCGGTGCTGTTTAAACAACCTCGATCTATATGACGGGTTCGGTGGACTCGGTGTTTATCAGAGTTTGCGCTGGCGACAGGAGCTTTCGCGTCATAAACCTGGGCATTATAGCCTGTCGGATTTTTAAGTCTTCTTACAGTCACCTCCAGACCGGGTGATCTTGCAGACCGTCAGATTTCCAGAGAGAATGGGCGATGGGGAGATCTGGAATGCCGGTGGATCGAAGACGAAAAAGTTGATGGCACGTGACCCGATACAGGTCGAGTCGGCGCCGGCACGTGTTTGGGATTGGATGGCTGCTAAATTGCCTAGTGGGTTTGAGATGGAAATGGGTCTGGCAGGTGGATTCGCGTGGGAATGTATTTTCTTGGGGGGGGTTTTTTTTTTCTCTAGAGATGGGGTGTTTTTGGGGAGGGGAATGGGATATGTTTCAAGTGCTTCAATTTCACCGGTTCATACTACGTACTGTTGATCCCCGAACCCCAAATTCCGTGATTGATTTTTCGCATTTACATCGATATTTTCCGCACAGATAGTAGGTAGACGTGTAGACCACTCTAGGAGAACTGCATGCTATGGATAAATACAATGTTTGTTTCAAAGAAGACGCCGGTACAGAAAATGCTTCCAAATCCCAACAAGGATATCATTCTATTGTCACAGAAAAGCCAACTTTTATGTGCCTCTACTTTATTTCTGGCCACCTCCCTTCTCGAGCTTTCTCCGCTTGGACCGCAGCTTGGCGGCCTCATCGGACTGCTTCTTGTTCGAGTACATCATCTTCTCGAGCAGCTTCCGCTTCTTGCGGCTCATCATCATCTTCTGTCTCTCCAGCTCCTCCTCCTCCTTGCGCTTCTTCGAAGCGACCTTCTTGGCCTGCGAGGACTTCTTCTTGGCGGCTTCGCCGCTGCCGCCGCCCGACGAGAAGGGAAGACCGGCTGCCTCGGCCTCGAGCTCCTTCTGGTGCTGTGTGCGGGCGGATTCCTCTTCGTCCTCGGATTCGGACACGGCCTCGTCGTCGAGTCCGTCGAGGTCGGCGTCTTCCTCTTCATCCTCCTCACTTCCACTCTCATCATCGTCCGTCTCAGCAACGTCCATGCCGCCGTTGATGTCCTCGTCGCTCTCAGCCTCGGATTCTTCCTCGACAGCGACCTTCTTCTCGTCGGAAGCCTCCTCCATCTCCTCATCGCTGTCTTCCTCGTCCAGCTCGGCCTCTCCATCCTCTTCCTGCTCAGCCAAGCTGGCGCGGGGGTCGTAGCCGTTCTTGGTAGGCTTGACCCACGGGCTCAGATGGGGAGGGAGAGTCTCGCCGGGGGCGTAGAGGTCGGCGCGGAGGAGCTTGCCGTCGTTGATGCAGTCCCAGACCCACTGGGGCTGAACGTAGGTTCTACCAGGAATGCGAGTTCCAGGTCTCACCTTCTGGGCAGCTCCATCGGTAGAAGCGGCAGGAATGGCGGGCAGCGCCGACTCGGGCAAAGGAGGCCGGTCGACGATCTGGTGGGTGATCCGGGTGTCGCTCTCGTCATGGGTGAACGCTCCGCCACCAAGAACAACGTCCCAGCCGATTCTGGAGCAGCCAAAAGCGCGGAGGATAAACTCCAGGGGTGCCTTGGGCGCCTCACGGGAGATGTAGAAGACAAAAGGCGCGAACAAAGATCCGGCCTGTTCTCCGCTCAGGTCGGGCTGGGGAAGTGTGTCGGCCTCGGGGGCAGCGGGCTCGAACTTATCAATGGCATCAGAGGCTTCCTCGGTGGTCTCCACGGGCTGCTCCTCTTTCGTCTTATCCAGGCCTGCCGTCTTGATGACTTTGTCAACCTTGGCCTGCACCTCGCGAGAGACTTCCTGGTTGGAGGACTTGCTGGCCTTGCTGGCTTCAACAGCCTTGGGGGCTTCACCGACAGTGCGACCCTCCAGAGTGAAGGCCGCCAACTCAGCACCGTTCTCGTCGCTGCGGGTATCGAACTTGGGGGGGTAACGGAGACCGAGGGTCGAGTACAGACGGTAGTTGACGAATCCCAGCAGAGTCGTGTAGAAATCGACGAAGGTGGCCATGATACGGTAGTCGACGTCGCCGTTGACGCGCTGCACGAAGCGGTAGGGAACAAGCCACATGATGTCCTGACCCTGGATGGTCGCCTGGTAGTAGATACCCTTGATCGACAGGAAAGATTTGCGGAGGGAGTTGGTGGTGATCAGGTAGTGCAGGAACTCGTGGGTGACCCGCTGGCAGAGAGCGATGGTCTTGGGAGGAACGTGGGCCGAGGAGGGGAGGCTGGCAAAGAGGAAAAGGAGAGACAAGGCATCGTCAAGGTCTCTCAGAGCATCAACGAACGTCGGGTAACGCTCCTTGATGATGTGGTCCAGAGTGAGTTGCGGCGCATGGTTCTTCTCGAAACGGGACGCATCGCCAACATCTCCACGTCCGAGGGAACGGGCAATCTTCTTGGCGACGGACTTCTGGTCGCGGAATTTTCTGAGAAGGGGTTCGTGCAGGAGGAACTGGATATCTTTCGTGTAGTAGAAAGTGGTGTTGGGCGTCGAAGTTTTCGAGGCCTTCTTCTTGTTCCGAGGCTCACGGGGATAGATTCCTGTTTGCGATACGAGATTTCATTAGCATTATGAAAGGATCTCAGAGCAGGAGCGACAACACAGATGCAGTCGCTCCAGACGATGCGAGAGACATAGACATACCCTTGAAGATACATAGTCGACGGAAATCCGGGAGGGAAATCTGAAGTTTGCGCACCGCCTGGGTTCTGGTGATGTAGTTTTTGGCCTGGCCAGAGGTTCCTGCAAAGCGAAAAATTGTCAGCCTGGAATGATCGCCATGAACAGAAGGCAGTATATACCCTTCTTCTTGATCTTAGCCATCTTTGCGACGGGGTTGTGGGTTGATGCAGGATTTGCGGGTTGGATTGAAGACTGGAGAAAGTCCCGATAACCAGGAAAAATCTCGATAAGTTTTTTTTTTCTTTTGATTTTCCGGAACAGCAGCTCGGCGTGGTCTGTGCACGGCGGAAAAGGAAAGGGCGCGGAGTCTTGGCACGTGCGGCCAACCGGACAGCTGGAGGCCGCAGCGCCGCAGCACCGCAGCACCGCAGCATCTCCTCCCCTCCCCCAGCATCCCTCCTCGGACGGGCATGCTTTGAATCTTGACCGTGTCCACACCAGCATGGGGGTCGATCGCAGGAAGGCAGCCGTCTTTGGCGGCGCTCTAGCCCTGCGACTGCTTCTCTTGGTGCTGTTCCCCTCCCTCCCCGACCTGCTGACGGGCAGGGTCGAGGTTTCAACGCCAGTCACCAGCTTCAAAAGACGTGAGTTCAGCCTCGGGATGGACTGGTGGGTATCGAACTAATGCAATGCTGTCTAGTGCAAGAAGGCCTTTTTCTATACACGCGCAATGTCTCTCCCTATGACGGAGGCGTCTTCCACCAGGTATGGCCGGACCACTGGCCCCTCAACCGTTCCCTCTATCTGACGAGCTAAGGCACCGCTACTCCTCCCCCTCTTTTCGCTCCTACCGAACTCTCAATCCTTTCCTCTACCGACAGCAGTATTCTACGCCTTGATCGACCTTGTGAATGCGAACGCGTTGGTCACGATATCGGACTCTGGGCAGGCGGTCTCGGGGCGATTCTACTCGGCGTTGCGGAAGCACATCAGATGGGATGGTGTGTCAATAGCAGCATGGTACGGGGTGATGTATCAATCATATTTGGTGCATTGCGTCGCTAACGCAGTCAGGTTCCTGTTCAACCCCTTCACCGTCGCAACATGTCTCGGCCGGTCAACCGGAGTGTTTACCACTACTGGGATCTTGTACGCCTTTGCAAACGCCGCCACTGGGAACAGCTTGAACGCGATGCTTGCTCTGGGGCTGGCGTCTTACCTGTCCATATACCCAGCGCTTCTCTTCCCCCCTCTTGTTCTCCTCTGCCACGACCAGCAAGTTCAAACGACCAAGGCACCCTCGGGGGCTGCATTATACGCTGTTCGACATTTCGCAGTTTTTGCGACCAGCATCGCCGGCCTCCTCGGGATCTCCGCCTTGCTAATCGGCGACATTTACACCTTCATGTCTGCGACGTACGGGTTCCAATTGCTCGTCCCTGACCTGACCCCCAACGTGGGCCTGTGGTGGTACTTCTTCATCGAGATCTTCGACTCATTCCGGGAATTCTTCCTCGGGGTCTTCTGGCTCCATCTAGCCGCCTACATGGGCGGCCTGACCGTGCGCCTGCGTCGACAGCCTTTGTTCGTGCTCACCTCACTCCTGGGGATTTTCGCCATCTTCAAGCCTTACCCCAGCATCTCCGATGCGTCCTTGTACTTCGCCCTCCTCCCCCTTTACCGCCACCTCTTCCCCCGTGAGTACCCCGCCATCCCGATCCTAGGTCCAACTAACATCTCCCAAGTGATGCGATACACCTTCTTTGCCATCTCCGCCCTCCTCTACGCCACTCTTCTAGGACCCGCCTTCTACCACCTCTGGATCTACGCGGGGTCCGGCAACGCGAACTTCTTCTACGCCATCACCCTCGTATGGAGTCTCGGCCTCTCCATCCTCCTAGCCGACACCATCTTCGCCGCTCTCCGCGACGAATGGGAGCACGATAATCCTGAATTGCGAGGCAAGGAAGCCAGACAAGTGTAATTTATCTAGTTCCCCCCCCTCAACTCAATCCAATATATAAAATAAAATATCAAGATAAAGATACGAAACCCAACCGACCTGTTCTGTCCATCCTATCTCCACCCCAAACAAATAAATTTCAAACATACGGCCCCCCATCCAACCGCACAGACATAATCCTATAATCCGCCTCCTTAACCATCCCATTCCTCAACCGTCTCGGCCGCGGACTACTCTCGTCCGTCACCAGCCCCAGCGCCTCATACAGTCTCTGCGCCGACACATTCGCCTTAAACACCGTCAACATAGCCTTCTCCATCCCGATCCGTCGCCCAATCTCCATCATGGACGCGAGAAGCCGTCGGCCGATTCCCTGTCCCCGCATCGACGGCGTGACGTGCACCTCGTAGCAGTAGATCACCTCCAGACCATCTTCGTAGGTGATCATGAATGAGAGGAATCCGAGGATATCTCCCTCCTCCTCCTCTTCTTCTTCTTCCTCTTTTCTCCCTCCTTCTTTTTTCTCTTTTTCGCCTTCTCCTCCTTTTTGTTTTTCTTTCTCAGTAGTGGCACGGTCAGAACCAGCATCGCCGTCAGCACGATCCTGCGTCTGAACACGCCGCACAACCAAATACTTCATATCCGGCAACTTCATCTCCCTCCGCTTCTTGGTCGGGGACCACCCGACCGAGGAGTCGCGGTAGGCGTCCGCGGAGGTGAGGGAGATGAGGTCGAAGCATTGGGTTAGGTCGTGCGGGGGGAGGGTGGATGCGGAGGAGATGGAGATATTGTATGTAGGAGTTAGGGTTGGTGCGGTGGGTGGTGGGGTGGGTTGGGGGGTGGTGGGAGGGGTTTGGAGGGGGGTTGTTGGTGTTAGTACTTGTGCTTGTACTCGTGCTGCTGCTGGTGCCAGTTCCGGTCTTTCCGGTGAAGGAGAGAAGATGCGCCGGGACATAAGCATTGACGAATTGGTCGATTGGGAGGGCGTTGGTGCGTTCGACCAGGGGGAGGAGATGGGTGTCTGTGTTTGTTAGTGTTATTTTCTGGATGGAAGGACTGGGTTGGGTTGGGTTGGGTGGGGATGAGTTAACTAGGGGGTGGGAGGAGAAGGATGGTGTAGGGAGTTTATTTTAATATCTTCTTTGTTGGAGATGATTGATTGGTTGACTGGATAAAGAAACATAACATAACATAACTTACAATCCTCCTCATCATGCTTGTCCTGACTCCTGGTGTGCGCTCGCGAGACCTGGGCTTGGCGGTTGGGATCGCGTTTCCGGCGCGTGGTCTTGGATATCCGGCCTTCTTGGACGGAGGATGACATGTTGTAGTTGTGATTGAGACTGGGTTTCAACGCGCGTGGTAGATAGAGGTTGTATGGGGATTCCCTAGTCTTTAGAGGGATTATGGAATATGGATAGTGAGGAGCGACCTATATATAGTTACTGTCTGTCACTGTAGAATAATAGATAGAGATAGACAGACAGGCAGTGGAAAGTTGTGGGAAGCAGGGGATTGGTTGAGAGAAAGGGCCGGGTGGGGGCTGTCAACGGCGGTCCGTCGTGCTAGGCCGAAAGGGGACGGACTAGGCGGTCTACAGCATAGTATTCTATGAGGTGGTTGTTACTATATCTATCCCTTCATAAGACTGGAGTCCGTAATGGCTGTAGGTTATATGCTACAGCACTGTCGATGCCTTCTCTCTAATGCTCTCTGCAATGGAAATAGAATGCAAGTGTGTAAGGAAAAACCCCCACTCAATTGATCTAAACATACTATTCACGATGAAAACGACCGACTAAATCCACCAACGAAAAGCATGTAAAACCTTAGCAGTCTAACCCGAAAACAAGCAACGAAACCCGCAGACGAAAAGTACACAGAAAGTCCAGACCCCAATCTCCCCGGTCAAACGATGCGCAACGACCCTGGTGCTGGTGCACCCTCTTCCGGGACGTTACTCAACTGCCAACCGCAATGGCGGCACTCCGGCTTGAACCCGTCCCTCGCCTCCGCCTGGAGATATAGCCCTACGCACTTGTAATGAAAGAAAGCCTCGCAGCTCTGACACTGCGCATCCAACGGGGGCAGGTTAGGGCCAGCTTTCCCTTTACAGATCGCACACCTAGTACCTTCCGGGCAAGCATCGCCTGCGACATGGGCGATTTCGCAGATCTGCTTCTCCCACTTCCAATCACAGTGCGGACAACTGGGGGGCTTCCCCTCCCCTTCGGCCGCATGCAAGATTCCATCTGCGCATGCCAGGTGGAAGAACTTACGGCAATGCTGGCACTGGGCATCCAGGGGGGGTAGGTTGTTGCCCGCTCTGCCACGACACGCATAGCAATGGGCCAGGCGAGGACACTCGGAGGGGCCGAGCTCCCACAACGTGCAGAGCATCCGGGTCCGACACACCTCGCAGGAGACCGTGTGGGAAGAAGAAGACCCGTTGGAAGATCCGTGGGAATGCCGGTGGGATGAGCGCCGGTGTGAAGAGCTGTGGGTCCGGTGGTACTTCTGGCGATGCCGGTGGGAACCAGACCCGTGCCCTTCGCGAACGGTCTCGACCCCGGCGGCGTATTTGATTATGCCTGGCAGTTGTCCGGCGGCGCTATCGCTACCGACCTTCTTCTTGGAGCCCGAAGAACCCTTGTAGTCGACTCCGGACGCGAATCGAAGGAATTTCGGCATTTTCTCCGCTGCCGCTAGGCGCTTTTCTTGGGTCGAGGAAGGCATTGTATTGTTAGTAGACTTTGGAGTTGTCTGTGATGTTAATGAAAAGTGGCTGCGGCTTGCGTCGTAACTACTTCTCGGAGCTGGGGCTGGCGAGGCAGTTGAGCGTGCAGATGTTGTGAGAGATGGGGGCAGGTTGGGCTGTATTTATAGAAGTTCATTTTGACGAAGGGAGGGGATTGTCAGAAAGTATTGGAGTCGCAGCCTGGCCGAGTATGAAGGACTTTGTCTGGTGAAATGGTGGGAGAATGGCCCGTTGAGATTGGGATGGTATAGACCTGCAGGAAAGACTCCATAGTGTGCGAAACAGGCTCAGGGAGTCTGGATCAAGGAGACAAAGAGTAGGAGTGTCTGAAGGAAACAAACACGACCAGCCGAAGTAGAGAAGGCAGGAACCGGAGACGTAAGGCGCTTCTGTCTTCGGGGTCGATAAATCCCTTGAGCCTTGAGACAGACTCAAATGGATCTGTTGTCATCGGAACCAGTCAAGAGGAGAACGTCAATCATTGCAATAGTAACTTGATGGCAAGGCAAATGTAGTGACAAGTAGGTACACTCCCTTAGCCCTGAAAGGCGGGAATATCCTCCAATACAAAGGGACCATAGGCCTTGACTACCTCTTCAATCCTCCGAGAGCATTCTTTGAGGCACTGTAACAAACCCCATTGTCTGTCGTTTCATGTCTGTCGTTTCCAAAGTTGTAATTCTAGTGCCAGAGACCCTTGGACCAGTAGGACAACCAGAACCACCAGAACCACCATGCTATCTCAAAGCCCACAGTATGTATCCATTGCTCGTCCACGACAGATGTGGGTAGCCAGATTACGACAGGGGTCTCCCTTCTTGTCTTCATCCTCCTCCTTGTCCGTCTCTCAATCTTGCTTAAGAGTTTGTATCCAAATTACGCACAGGAGGCACCGCCATGATGAATAATAAATGACCCCTCAATATATAACCCCCAACTATATATAATCGAAAGCCGTAAAAGCAACTATCTAGTATCTACGAGCTTTCTCTCAGCTTGACAGCAAACTCTTCGGCCCGTCGCTCGGCCTCTTCGGCTCCCAGATCCCCGAAGATATCAATACCCCAGCGGAAGGGATAGTTGTAGCGCGTGTTGCGATCCAGACTGTCGATGGCTTCGATATCGGCGTCGGAGAGGATGAAGTCTGCATTTGTGTGAGATTTTCTATCTAGTCAAAGGGTAATGGTACTTAAAGAGGGCATGGGCGTACCTTGGAAGTTGCTCTGGATGCGCGAGGGGGTGACACTCTTTGGCAGGACGGCCGTGCCACGTTGGACGGCCCATGAGATCAGGACCTGGGCGGGGTCCTTGTTCAACTTCTGGGCGATTTCCTGGATCTTCGGGTCGTCGACGACACTGTGTATTGGTTAGTGGGTAATTGTGGATGTCAAATATTTGGGGGGGGTGCGTACCGTGGGAGTTCGTAGATGTTGTTGCCGAGGGGGCTGTACGCGACAGGGAGAATGTTCTATATGACAGTTAGCGATTACCGCCGTATGGATCCAACAAAGAGAACACGGACCTTGTCCTTCAGGTATTGAGTAAGCTTCGGCTGTAGCAAGTAGGGATGCGCCTCGATCTGGTTCGCCGCGGGAGGGATCCTCGCGGTCTTGAGCAGCTCGTTGATCTTCTCGACGGTGAAGTTGCTCACACCAATGCTCCGAACCTTGCCGGCATCGACGAGCTTTTCCAAGGCTTTCCACGTCTCGGAAACGGGCACATCCGCGAGCTGGAAGCGCTTGGTGACCGGGTCTAGGGGTGGCTCGAAGGTGTTCCTGTACTCAAACGCGACGGGCCAGTGGATCTGATTCGTCAGTATGGGATACAAAGACTTGTACAGACCGACGTACCAAGTACAGATCGAGGTAGTCCGTCTGCAGTTCTTTGAGAGTCTTGTTGACGGCCTCTTCCACGTTCTCGGGATGGTGGTGGGTGTTCCATAGCTTGCTGGTGATCTAACAAAGAGAAAAGGTGTCAGTCGCGTGTCAAGGTACCAGAGTGTTTGGTAGGCCAGAAATTGGACCGCTTGACTCAAAAGGTTTCTCCACAAGCTCCTAGTCCGGTAGGTGCCTATTTCCGTGGACAATAGGAGCAACTAACAAAGATCTCACTACGCGGAACTCCCGACTTCTTCCAGCCGTTTCCAACCTCGGATTCGTTGCGGTAGATGGCGGCGGCATCGATGTGGCGATATCCCCCGCGCAGGGCGGCTTCGACGGCATCCTCGACCTCATGGGGCTGGGAGAGCTAGGATTGTTGTTATTAGGTGGCCTTTGTCTCGAGGAATTGTTCGCGTACCCATGTGCCCAGACCAACGGCGGGGATCTCGTATCCCGAGTTGAGCTTGTAGGTGCGTCCCAAAGACATGTTAGAGTTGAACTTGGTGTGGTGGATTTCTAAATCTCTAAATCGCAAGAGTATGAAGTTGAGAAGACAATAATGGGGAGTCGAGTCTACTTGAAGGAGAGTGAGGGGATCGCGGATTACCCCTCATCGGGGAAGATCCCGTCCGCGTCATTGCGATGCCGAATCACCTTCACGGACGATTGGTGGCCAACAGCCTCTAGCCGCGTCTCGTCGTCAACTCATCGGCTTGGACGATTGCGCGATGCTCCAGGGTCCCCACTTTGGCTCGCAGAATAAATAGCATCGCCGCGGCTCTATACTTCCCTGCCATGGCGGCATTGGGAGTTATTATTGCTTGATCATGGCAAAGTATCTCTGGGAAAAGAAGAGTCTCCAACAAGACGGAAAAGCCTAAGCGTTCGTCCGGATTTTTGTCCGACCACTGGATTCCTGGCTGTCTTTCGGAGCCCGTCCGGTTGCTTGTTAGTAGTTATCAATCTGGCCTAAAAGCGGAGGGCTAACAACCGAGGATAGACTGTTTCTGAGCCTGAAAAGTAGCCACGCATTCGCCGATGATTTAAGAGGGCATGAAGTTATCAGTGACCGTCATGACAGTCGCAATGTACTTGCTTGGTCATGTCATTGTTGGACCAACGGTGCAGACCCCCCACTGCGGTTTTGTCGACTCTACAACTGACAGATCAAACAGACCACTCGACTAAAAAGGTGTCCAGACACCTAAGTAGGCGTGATACTGAATGATACTAGGTTTGACAACAACAGAATAACAACCCAAACTGGAGAACCACGGTCACACTGGTCTTCCATCGGCCAGATACTGAGTGTCCATCGGACAATAGCACTGGAGAACAGCTTAAAGAAGGACCTGCTTGGCTGAGCAGTAAATAATAGCATCGCGGAATAAGATGCGAAGCATGGGCAAATTTCGCGCGGGCGCATTGGTCATGGACTCGATCTTGCAATGCCAGTTGCACCGTGTCGCGCATTGACTTGAAACCGCCCAGTGACGCGATTTTTGCCTTATTTGCAGGAGCAGGAAGAAACTCCTCACAAGTGCAGATGACTGAAAATGAGGTCGGACTTAGCTCGTGGTGGGGCATAAACCCCGATCGTGAAGAAGGCAGCTGGGACTAGACAGGGGAGGCGCATAAGCCCTATGGAAGTGGATGAAATGTGCCAGGGTCAACCGGCTGTTACTGTTGATGGTATCTATCTTGCATCGCAGTGCCGTGCATCCTAAAATGAGGCAGACAGGCACTCTTCCAGCAAGATACTTGAGAAGCGGTTGCCCCTCCGATAGTGAGCTGCCCGGCATGTCTCCGATTCTCCGGTAATTGCAGATTCACTTTGAAGCTTTTGCATCAAGAAACCTTTTGCCAGTGATCCGGTAAAGGGAAAGAGAGCATTTCACTGATTCCACTGACCTGCAAATCCAGGTGCTTTCGGCGAGATGAGACAGATTGGGGAAGCAAAGGCCGGTTTCTGACCGGGTGGGGCCGCGGTTATTCCAGCCAGGCTCTTCCTTTCTTCACGGCTTTCACGGCTTTCACGGTTTCACCACTTCAATTCTCCACTTCCACCGAAGAATAGACTGGATTTATCAGCAGGGGAACTCCATGGAGCAAACCTTCTGCCCATCCGCTGTGGTGATTCGTGGGTATCGGGCAGTCTCCATCCCAGAAGTTCTCGGCATGCCGTTGGAGCCTATGAGACTGATTCATTCAGCGTTCGGGCAATGTGGTGGAGCTTGCCCACTTACGTCAATAATTTAAGAGCTTCGACTATGATCAGCCATATATACCCCCACCGAGGAATCCAGCTGCTTCCCCAATTCCCGCTGCTACAAACGTCTGCCCTTGACCGCATCGGCCCTCTCTACACCATTGCAAACACAGCACCATGGCACCCACCTCTCAGAAGCAGTGGACGGTCCTGAACAAGGACAACGACTTCGCCGGCCTCACCTTCGGCGACGCGCCTGTCCCGAAAGTCGGTGAAAACGAGGTTTTGGTCAAGTTCCATGCCGCGTCCCTGAACTTCCGTGACTTGATCATCCCCAAGGTGCGCTTTCTGTTCTCGCATTTGAATGGTTTAGCCTTGGTACCGACTAACAGCTGATCTTTTCAATTGTTGCAGGGAAAGTATCCTTTTGCTCTTAACCTTCCCGTCGTCCCTGGCTCCGATGGTGCTGGTGAGGTGATTGAAACCGGATCGAAAGCCTCACAGTTCAAGAAGGGGGACAGGGTCGTCACTCTGTTCAATCAGCATCATCAGTATGGTCCCATTGATGCACGAGCTGCCAGTTCCGGCCTTGGTGGCGTCATTGACGGCACTCTTCGTCAATATGGAGTGTTCAACGAGAACGGCTTGGTGAAGTGCCCCCAGAACCTGAACTACCTGGAGTCCAGTACCCTTTCGTGCGCGGCGCTCACAAGTTGGAATGCTCTGTACGGATTGAAGCCCTTGCAGCCCGGACAAACGGTGCTGGTGCAGGGAACTGGTGGTGTTAGCATTTTTGCTCTGCAGGTAAGTCGTCTCCAGGTCCGTGGGAAGTCCGCAAGTAGCCTGACAATGTGTGGCTGTAGTTTGCCAAAGCCGCTGGTGCAAGAGTTATTGCTACCACCTCTTCCAAAGAGAAGGCGAAGAAGCTGAAGGAGCTGGGCGCTGACCACATCATAAACTACACGACTGAGCCCAACTGGGGCGATGTGGCCCGCAGCCTCACTCCGGACAACGTGGGTGTCGATCATATTGTTGAGGTTGGAGGCAGCGGCACTCTCAACCAGAGTTTCAAGTGTATCAAGTTTGAGGGTGTGATCAGCATCATCGGATTTGTTGGAGGAGTTGACCCCAAGGCCATGCCTAACGTCCTCGACACTCTGGGCCACATCTGCACCGTCAGGGGTATCTATGTTGGAAGCAGATCCATGATGAACGACATGGTCAACGCGATTGAGGCCAACAACATCCACCCGGTTGTGGATGAGAAGGTCTTCACCCTCGAGCAGACCCTGGAGGCCTACGAGTACATGGTGAGTAAACATGTGTCAATGCTGATAGGATTGATGCTAATAAATTGAGCAGTGGGCCCGGAAACATTTCGGAAAGCTGGCCATCAAAATCGAGTAAATGGGGTAGCGAAGACGTTGGGTATCTGGCCTTCTTGATACGATTATAATGATTCAAGTGACACTGTACAATGCCATAGTCAAGATTTGACATTTTAAACCTTGCGTCCGATCGTGCTGTAGACTCTCTTGTATCCAGGCCTCGCGGTTCAGTCGCGTGGCTTATGCAGTCAATAAAGTAGTAGGCATGGGAAGAGTTGCCGAACAGACAACTGTTTGTTGTCAGCAGCAAGACACGCCCAACACGTCACAAACGCCAATCAAGCAAGGCTGGGGGCCCCGGTTCCTTCCCCTCACCGCGTCGCCACCTCATCCACCATCCCCCCCACCTTCACCTTCATCTTCCCCCCGAATTCCCTCTCCAACCCCAGCGTGGAGCTTGAATGGATTTCCCATCGTGTTATGCTTAATCTCCTCAACCTAATCCACCACATCACCTTAACCCCAACCCCAATCCATAGTTCCAGCGCAATCGGTCCAGATGCCAACCACCTCAGGGCATAGATCCACGCTGCCGATCTGCGGCCCCGATCGCAAATACATCAAGAAATCCCAGATCCGATTCACTCGTCCGGCCCAGATGAGTTTGCTCGCAAAGATAACGTGCTATCCTCCCCTGGGTCAAGTAACCTGTCACCCAAGGACTACAAAGGCGTCAGAATCCGATGCGGTATGCAGACGCTATCCCCACCACAGTCCGGCTTCCCCGCATCTAACCCCCAACAGCTCCATTTCACGGTAGTGCTCGAATCCAGCACCGCATTCCCTGTACAACCCTGGGATGTCCAAATCTGGCACAACATCACGAGCCCGGAATGGAGTGCAACTCCACTGGACAACTGTGGGCCTTCAGTGGCACCACTTATGAGCGGCAAGGACGAGGAATATAAATACTACCGTCATGCGTTCTCAGGGAAGGTCGTCGTTCCTTCGAGCCCGGAGAATGCGCAGTTTACTGTGCGGTATCGAGTCAACCCTGAGGCTGAGTGGCAGTGGGTGAACCAACAGCAGAATGCGAGCGATGGGGTGCTGGTTTTTGCGTCGCAGAGCCCGGAATTCCACTCTCTTGAGTCAACCGCTTCGGGGTTTAAGAAGTATTTCGAGGAACTTTCCTCGGAAATTGAGATCCAACCGAAGAAGAGCGAAGCTCCCGGGTCCGACTTATGGCATCTCGCTGGGGAAATTGATTCCGCCCGTGACGGTGCGTCGGAGTACAAAGAACTGGCTCTTGGGGTGCCGGCATCGGTTGTGCGATACTTTTCCTTAGTCCGGATTTGGAGCCCCTGGCTTGGGCCTAGACATGGGAAGGGAAAGTTCGCGTTAACAGAGGATGCTGTTGTGTGCTCGTTCCTCAGAACGGATGGCGTGCATCTTGTTCTCCTCGGGGTTTCTGGAATAGACAATGTCTTGACGGTGTTTGGGTCTAGTGAAAATGGGGAGTTGGTGGTAAAAGCGCTGAATGACAACACCAAGAAGTCTAGGTTCCAGGTACTCGCATCTGCTGCGGAGGACTTTGAAGTTGCTCTGAGTGCTGTCGTCTACGAGGCGCGCAAGCTCTCACGGCCGTATGCACAACAGGAAGCAACTGAAAAGATCTCCCCCCCAGTTTCGCCGCCACCAGACGATACTGTGCTGGTTGAAAAGGAAGTTAAAGCCCAGTGGCTTGCGGAGTGGTATGACGGCTTAACATACTGTACTTGGAATGGGCTAGGTCAGGACTTAACCGAAGAGAAGATCCTTCGCGGTCTCGATTCGCTCAAGTCGCACGGAATCAAGATCGCTAATCTGATCATCGACGACAACTGGCAGACACTAGATGAGGCTGATTCGCAGTTCAGGAGAGGTTGGAAGCAGTTCGAAGGGAATCCGGATGCTTTCCCCAAGGGCTTTAAGCAGACCATAAAGTCTATCCGTCAGAGTCACCCAAACATCGAACACATTGCAGTCTGGCATGCCATACTTGGGTACTGGGGAGGGATCTCAGAGCAAGGAGAGCTTGCTAAGAAGTACAAGACGAAAAGGGTGGAAATCAAAGAGCCAGCCGTAGGGGGCCCGATCTCGCACGCCTTCGACAGAGGGTCAGTGCTAGCGATTGACCCAGATGATGTTCAGCGCTTCTACGATGACTTCTATCGCTACCTCGCGTCCGTCGGAGTTGATTCGGTCAAAGCAGACGCCCAGTTTTTCCTGGACCTCATCAAAGACCCCGAAGATCGGAGAAGGTTCATAACGTCCTACCAAGATGCCTGGTCCATATCCACTCTGAGACACTTCAGTACGAGGGCAATCTCCTGCATGTCGATGTTCCCACAAGCCATCTTCCACTCTCAGCTTCCGACCAACAAACCCGCCATTCCGCTGCGCAACTCCGACGATTTCTTCCCTGACATCGAGGCGTCTCATCCATGGCATATTTTCTGCAATGCTCACAATGCATTACTAACCCGCTACCTGAACGTTGTGCCAGACTGGGACATGTTTCAAACAAGCCACCCCTATGCCGGATTCCACGCCGCCGCACGATGCGTCTCCGGAGGTCCGGTATATATCACCGACGAGCCAGGCCAGCATGACATCTCAGTCATCGAGCAAATGACCGCCCCGACAGTCCAGGGGGCGACAGTGATCCTTCGACCCAGTCTCGTTGGCCGAACCATGGACATCTACCACGACTACAACGAAGGCCATATAGTCCGCGTTGGCACCTATACAGGATGGGCTGGCACAGGAAGTGGAATCATCGGTCTTTTCAACATCTCAACCACCGACAAATCCACCATAAGCCACCTGTTAGATTTCCCCGGCATTCACCAAGATTCCCACAGCGAGTACATCGTCCGCGCACATACCACCGGCAAAATCGCGGAGAACCTGAAAGTCACAGACCCTACCTCGCTTGTCTCGGTCACCCTGCCGCAGAAAGGCTGGGAAATCCTCACAACATACCCGACGTATTCTCACACCCTGAAGTCGAAGCGAGAAACCGGCCCCACGAAAGTCGCGGTGCTCGGTCTGATGGGCAAGATGACCGGCGCCGCTGGACTGAGAAGTTCTGACATCTATGTCGAAGATAACGGTCGTCTTAGGATTGATCTCAGTCTGAAGGCGCTCGGGACACTGGGGATCTACTTTTCGGATCTTCCGGAGTGGGATATCGGAGATAACTTCATGGTTATGATCCTTGGGAAGCCCGTGCCTCGCGGAACGGTGTGGAAGGAGGGAGGGGATTCGAGTAGGGTTCTGGCGGTTGATGTCCTGGCCGCGTGGGAGAAGATGGGGCTGAAGGCTGGGTGGAGCAATGAGGTTCTGGTGGAGGTTTTTGTGGGCTGAGATATATATATTTACAGGAGTGGGGGGATGGCGTTTATAGTTATTTTTCCAGTTACCCTGGGACCGGGAGAGCTGCAGCTGCTAGTGTTTCTGAAGGCAGAATACAGCCATGGCAAACTGTCAAACCCGGTATCATCATCCAGTATCACACCTATCCAGGGTCTGGACACCGTTTTAGCTGAGTGGGTCTTTTTGATCTGTTACAAAAAATACTACATCTAGTAAAATGCTAACAGTAGGGAACTGACGGCATAGAGATATACATATAAGGGGCGCCGGGGAATAAAGGGCCGGTGAAAAAAGCCGAGTATTGAAGGAGACTGCGACGGCGGAGATTATGAATTTGGGACCGAGCCAGAAGAGGAGTTGCAGGATTCTGGAGATGATGATGAGGTAGATTGCGATGGCGTGGGGTTCGTCTTTTGGTGTGTTAGTTATGGTTAATGTCCACTTATCTACTTTACCAGGGAAGATGGGGGTTGAGGGAGGGAGGATGGCACATGGCGCATACCGAGTTTATCGTTGGCAAAGCCCAAGATCACCCGTGCGAGAGAGTCACGCCCGCCCAGAATCAATCCAGTGGGGATCAATCCGGACTCGTACGGCTTCTCCCATGGCGAACCTGGACCATGAACTCGACTATCCATCCACCCGATTGAGACTGCTGCTGTTATCGATCGTCTTGAGAAATGATGTGGTAAACGATGGAGACTGCTACCGTTGTCCGTCGCCATGTCATCATCTTGATTTCATTGAGACTTGGTAGAAAAGCCAGGGATTCAATATTCAATACTTGTTTCCATGTTGGTTTGCAAGATATTCGGTGCTAAAGGGCTGTTTTCCTGTGGTTTAGTTTGAAGCCTGTCGAACAGACACTACTCAAATGAGTCGATTCGCAGCTAAATAGCAAAAAGTAACCATCAATCCAAGAATAAGGACAAACGTTCAGCAAGAGTGACATCGCCATGCAGCCAGTCAGTGAAGGAAATGAAGTAGTCTGATGGGTCTCGAAAGGGAGCAGGGCTTTTGGACGTAATCCCTGTTTTTTTCCATGTTTCAAAGAAAAAAAAAAAAAAAAAAAAAAAAAAAAAAAAAAAAACACATTCAAAAAAGAATAACCGGAACAGAAAGCAATAGATACAGTGGAACAGAATCACCAAAGGAAGCAAGAAACACAAAATCAGCACGGACTGCAAAACAAATCCCCACATTGCAGACGATACTCCAAAGACCACCTAATAATCACCAGTAGGAGTCCCACGAACAGGAACATGCTGACCATGAAACCCGAACGCAACAGGCCCATCGACACTCGCTCTGCCCAACTCAACCAGATTACGGGCATACAGGCAGAGGAGATAGCTCTTCCCGGTCAGTCCATCCAGGACAACACTCAGCAGCACGCCATCATCCTCACTGGTGGCATCGGGGTCCGCGACGAAGATTGGCTCCCCGGGGGACTGGGCATGATGAGCCCAAAGAAGAGCCTCCTGGGTCTCGGTGTCGAATTTCATGATACCGTCAAAGAACGTCGACTCGCCGCGGTCTGACACGGTGTACACGTAGCGGTGCTTGCGGGTGACGTATTTCGGGTTCAGGGTTGGGAGTTCCGGCGAGAGGGACTTGCAGAGAGATGATTCGAGTGTTGCGGTCAGGGGTTCGGAAGTTGAAGTTGGTGTTGGGGTGGAGGTGGTAGGCACAGCAGGGAGACGGAACCGGGCGATGGTGGAGCGCGTGGAGTCTGTTCTCCCGGTCCGGACGGCCTTTGCGGCGGGGGAATCGGAGAGAAGAGTGTTGTAGTACAGGGAGTGGATGAAGTCGAGGCTGTCGAACATGATCAGGTCGGCGACGATATCTGTCTTGCCGTCGGCGGTGGTCTCCTGCCATGCGTTGATGGCGTGGAAGGAGAAGAAGGCCGGGCTTTCGTAGGTGGCGATGAGACCCCTGTCGGACTTGCGGTCTACGATGTACCAGGTGGCGGGCTTGGAGGCGTCAAAGGGCTGGATGGAGTCGAGGAGGCTGGTGGTTGCCAAGTAGTCGCGGTGGGCGACGTGGGCGTTCCAGACGCACAGCACGACGAAGTCCCCTGTCAGGAAGAGCGAGTGCAGGTAGGCGGGAGTTCCTGGGAAGGAGGCCAGGATGGAGGTTGCACCGGTCGAGGCCGAAACACGGAAGACGCGATAGGTAGAGGTGGAACTGCCGACGGTGAGGTTGTAGTTGAACACGTCGCCGGTATTAGGGTCGGAGCGGGCGTGCGAGGCCGTCATCGTGCCAGTCAGGCCTGGATGGAGGTCCTGTTGTCTCGAAAGGCTGATCGGCTCCAGGGTCTCGGGGTCGAGGTGTTTGTAGACGTTGTGGTCGGTCTTTGCGGTCAACGTCTTGATGCCGGCGGAAGTATCCCAACGACTCCTACTAATACAATTGGGTCGATCGGTAGCGAGTCCTGGCATGTTGATGCTCAGGGTGACACCAACGTTGACCGACGAAGGGGTCGGAGGTGCCACGGGCTCGAAGTCGGTTTGGACTTTGTGATACACCGTCTGGCAGGGGTCTCGTTTCTGTCCGAAGCCTGTTCCTTTCACCTTGCCGGTCTGTCTCGCGTTTTCGATCATGTCGTCGGTCGAGAAGCGAGAGTTGTAGAAGACGCGCATCGAGGCGTGTGGGTGTGTCTCATTCTCGTCTGGCGCCACCAGTTGGAATCGGTGCGTTTCGCTAAACCCATCGAACCAGTGCGTGAGGGAAAGTGTCTCGCCGTTCTCAGCATCGACCTTATATCTTCCTGGTCCGGTGCGGTAGAGAATTCCAGCTGCGTATGCGGGGATTTGCCCTTTGACAGTGAGCTCGACGGGGGCTTTTTGCTCGTAGTTGGCGTCAAACTAGGTGGGATCCTGTTAGCTGCGCTGCCCGAGATGAGCCTTGCTTGAGAGACAGAGACTTACTCCTCGGACGTTGGGCCAGTTGTTGTAGTGGTCTTCCCTGGTAGTGTCTTGCAAGGTGTTGGTCTTTGCTTCTTGCATGGTAGCCATCCTTGACAGTAGGAACGTAGTATGGACTGATCTTTGATGGGGAAACTTGAATGGTCTGTCAATGTTGATGCTTCAGGGAGAAGGATGCTGGGACGAGATCAAGATGCAAGATGGCTGTATTTATAACCAGAAAAAAGGTTGCCTGGAGCAGTCAATGGTGACTGGTATGGATGAAGATCAGGCCGTGTGGGGGACCCCGACGGGAAGCTGAGGCTTTGTTCTCGCGTCCCAAGTGGAGGAATGCCATCGAGTGACTCTTTGTTATTGGTGAAGCCGAGCCGAGTCAGTCGTTGGATTTAACCTCTTACCTGGGATTGCTCTTCCTTCCTTTAGGGAGGATTATTGACCACATTAAATGATATGGTTGCGTAAATGGATAGTGAAATGTAGGCCTTGATATGTACATTGAGATTGGATAGGTATGTACAGTGACAGCCGTGGCACATATTCCCATACCTTATATGTACTGTCAATTCATGGCATCAACTGCCTCTGTTGGTGAAACAGCCCTGTCCAGCCAGATCTGTCCAACAAGCTAATATTAATGTTGTTGACTTCAGGACAGAGACCGCCTCTTAGTTGAACGTTTTCCCTTCACACCTAAGTGCATTACTCAGTTTCAATCCACCGACTCCAATCCAGTGACCTTCCAGCGAGTGTGAGCTGGGGGGTAAAAGGTTTGCGGACCGAGACTCCATGTTGACGATTCCGGATCAGATATTGAATGTGGAGGAGACGTGCCATGGTTCGGGGCGGAATCGCTCCCCTCGACCTGCGGGATTCCTCCACCATGCCGGAGCCGAGTATACGAGCACTGCTTCTTCCGACTGGAGCACTCCAGGCACGGCTGCCCTCCATCACAGCATTTTTTCAGTCTTGCGCAGGCATCACATGCGTGGCGCTCTTTGCCTCCTATTCGCGGGTCTGGAACAGCCTGACCGGTGTGAATGCGAGCAGAGCAGGATTTCCAATGGCGACGGAGGACATCCCTTGCAGGTTAGGCGTCAGCTTAGAAGCCGTCCTTCACACGGCATACATACCCGCGTTTGTATTGCGAGCCGCAGAATCCACATTTGAACGGCTTCTCGGAGCTATCTGAATGCTCAATCAGTCCGGTCATATGGCTCCAGTGGTATTATTCTTCGGTCATACGGGTAGCTGCATGCCGTCTGTAATGGTCCAACCGGTGAAAGATGGCAGCGCAGGACTGGCACGTCCAAGTAACGTCCATGGTTGGGTGATATAGTCAAGGGAATCGGGTTGGGGCAATCGACAAATGAGACCCCTAACACTGTGTCCGGGAAACTAGGCAGCAACTCAAGCCACACACTGGCGTGTTTACTGGTGTTATCCTCGAGCCGGAAGCCACCTACCAGCGGATGGGAGACTGATGGGACAGAGCGGGGAGAAGAAGAAGATCAAGGGCTGAGGCTGAGGCGGGGGGTAAACCCCCGCTTGCCAGCAGTGAAGGAGTCCCGCAGGAACCCGAGGGAGAGCCAACATGTCACAGGAAGACGGAGGACGGGAAGAGGAGACGATGGGAGGTGAAACCCCGACGGGATTCCCCCGCATAGCCGAGGCCGACCGCTATTTGTGAGGGACCCCCAGCAAATCAGCTAGTAAATCCCCTCGTGGGAGGTGAGGTATCGTCTACCAATCCCGTACGGCTCATTCCAGATCGTCCCATCTATACTGGCATCCAGAAGCCAGCCGTGACAAATAATGTCATCGTCACCCTTCCTGTGAGCAGGCACCGGAAAGGCGATCTTAGTCACCAGCGATTCAAAGCTCATGTCCTTTTCATCTTTGCTCGGATCACCCTGGTCAGCCTGCTGTCGGGACTGGTGGCATTGGAATAACTGCTGCACAAAGCCTGTCTCCCACCCCAGATTGTCCTTTCCTCCAACCATCTCGAATTCATCCGCCGAATCTACAACCAGAAGACGTTCGAGAGACGGTAAAAATCCGGGCCCTTGCCAACCAGATCGTGTGGCTCGATCCAAGTTTGAAGGCGCCACCAGAACTAAGTGAGTTAAGTTGGAACACCGACGAAGACCCCCGAGGAACTGCATGGACGTGACATCGACTTCACACAGCGCTAGACGGCGCAAACGAGGCCACAGCGACCATACCGCTGGCTCATAGTCGTCTTCCTCCAGTTGGGCCGACGGCACTTCCCAGACGAGAGGCAGGCGTTTTGTATCCAGGCAGAGATCATCCGTAGCCGAGCAGAACTCCTCCAACTGTGTCAAGCGTAGAAATGCTTCACGGAGTGTCGAACGGACCTTGTCATCTAGTTGGGGGTGGTAGAACCGCAACGGCAAATCAATCACCAGGCGGGTCAGACGCCGGCACAGGTAGAAGGACAACTGGTCTATCTGTTTCGCAACTGTGGGCTTCTCCGCATCCACCAGCGCCAGCACCAGTCCAGCGGCCATGTTCTTCTGGATATGCACCCCGCGCTCTGCAGAATTTGAACTAACCAGATCTGGGGGCTGACAGTCGAGCACCTCTTGTAGCAGACGCTCTTCGTCAATCAAGAGGCAGTGGTTGGTCAAGAGACGCCTCGCTATCTGACGAGTAAACCGGGAAACAAACGTCAAGCTGACCAGGGTGTCGACCTCGCCGGAAAACATAGGGAAAGCCACAGGTGGATTGGGGGGGATGGTATACTCGATTATGAGCTGGATGATCTCCGGTGGAAGATGCATTGACACTGTTGTGACTCTCTCCAGCAAGCTGGAGATGTAGACCTGGATATAACGTAGTGTTTGTCTACCCGGCTCACAGCCCAACACTCACGTCAACAAACATGGAAACAGGAGGTTGTCTTGGTCAATGGGGGGTTATCGGGATCCCGGCAACGAGCATGGTTGAGCAGTAAGCGACAGGCATGGGATCCTGGCCCTGTGACAGGAACCTGCTTGATCGTGAGACAACTCAAGTGAGCTCTGGACGTCGAGGCCGATCTTTAGTGGCTGCGGGCCAGGTGACTGCCTGCTATGCCCGATGCAGCCTAGTGCTTCCCCATCAGGCCCGCGCCTGGCGCCTACACACTCGACATTGCTCTCCCCTCCAACACGATGCAACTACTGCAAGAATCATTCGCCTGCTTTGCCTTCCTTCTAACCAATTATCTATGTCATATCGCCCATTCACCCTCAGGGGTTGTTCCCCGTGACTGCCCCCCAGATATACGCGGCCCAGCTGCCCAACACAAGTAACACCAGACCCGTGAAACAGCAGATCGATATCACCCTGCTCCGCTGGTAGTGTGTCACCAAGTGGTCCTCCCGAAGCTCACTAATGAATGCGGGCCCCGACGTCAGGCGCTTCTTGCGAGTCCACTGCAAAGGTGCCAGATCTCTGCCGACTATCGAGCCGATCAAAAGAACGATCGATACGATCGAGCAACAGATGGCCAGGAACAGAAACACCCGCACGGCTCGTCGATAGGAATCGTCGTCGGCGTCTTGCAGAGCACCGGTGATGATGCCAATGATAATCGTCATCCTGGAAACCATGGTCAGCGCTTGTCTTCAATCATTGGACATTTGGGGGTCGTACGCGTTGTTCATGGTGACCTTGATGGCGTATGCAGACCCAAAGACGGATTGATGCCAGAGGGTTGTGCGAATGCCATCGATGATCGATGTCGGGCCGAGGGACACTGCAACAGCGTATATTCCGAATGCCGCGGCGGTTCCCTCCTTTGACGTGGCGAAGTTTACCAACACCATACTGATGAAGATCCCAAGTCCACACACACACACTGCACATGCAATAAGTAACCGTTGACCTGAATAGGTTGACTTCAATAGCAGAGGGGGTACTTACACACAGAGGCCCGATGACCAAGGACATCGATGAAGACGCCCAGGCAGGGAACAAGGAAGAAGCCTGGCTTTTGTTAGTGAAGGCTTTGTGGGATAGTACGTTCTCGACCTACCAGCATACTGAGCCAATGCACTATACCATCCCGCAGTGATTGCATCCACATTAAACCTCTTTTCAGCCAACTCGGTGGCGTTCGAGCTGAAGACACTAGCGGTGCTGGTCTGGAACATGGAAAAGGCCAGAATGGCCCAAAACATCCATGGCAGCTGGAACATCTTGCGAAGCTCGAACCTTTTGTTCTTCTCGGTGAGGACCTCCTCGGTGGCCTTATCCTCGCGACCCCGGAAGTGCTTGTCACAGTAACGGTTGAAAAACCAGAAGACGCAAGTCGCTGCGTTCGTGAACAAGTTCATGAAAACTGACATCCAGAAGGACCAGGCGAAGTTGCCGGTGTTCTGTACGAATTTATTAGATTGAGTTTTGCCATGTACGCGCGATATCTTACCGTAGCGATGATATTTGCTGTCGACTTCCCAACGAAGCCTCCAATCTATGCCAGTCAGCTTCATCCGAGTCACGTTAGCTTGGGGTCAACACACCTTTCCAATAGCCAGCTCAAAGCCCAGGGTCGAAGCGAACCCGTTGCTGGGTGCAAACCACGAAGAGAACATCTTGTACTGCGCTGTTTGGGTGGCAATATCACCGAGCGAGAGAATAATCCTTCCCCCAACCATGAACTTGAACGATCGAACTGTGGTTGCAGCAGCTACTAGGATGGATCCAATCGTGTAGACGATATTTCCATAAACGATCATTTCTGGGACTGATTAGACTCGACTTCGCACGGGAAAGGGTCGGATCAGACGTACGAGCGCCTCCTACTCTGTCGGTGACAATACCGCCAACCAGGAGAAGGGCGGTGGCCATAAAGTCCTCACTGGCTTCCAGGAGAGAAAACTGAGTATTTGTGATGTGCATTTTCTTATAATCAGAATATCAGTTGATTGCCCTAACCTCGCCCGCAGCATAACTTTACCTTTTTCAAGGTGCTCTTCATCGCTCCAGTGACTCCACTGCTCCAGTGAGAGCCAAAACTGATGCAAGAAATGAGCACAACTGCCATCAGTTTGGCAACCAGGGGGGGTGGGCGTTTGCCATCAGCATTGTTGACAACGGCGCTGTCCGCTGAGTTGAAGGAAGAAGACTCGACAGGCTCTTCAGCTGTGACATTTGGAGTGTCCTTTTCGGTCGCCATTTTCCAGTGTGTTCCAGTTATCTGGACACTTCCAAGATTTTCTTTCCGAAGGATGTCGCGCAGGCCGAAGAAACCAGAAGAAACATAACGGGCCTCAAAGCTTATATATGGCAAGACACGACAGAAGCCAAGCTTACCCCAAAACTAAGCTGCTGTGTTTTCTCTGATCAGGACCCAATGTGGCCAAGAAACATCATCAGATAAGATGCCCGCAATCCTCCGACTCTCGCAAGGGCGCCCCTATCAAGGAAAAATTTGCTCATCAGGATGAGATATTCTCTTGGCAGCTGCACGAATCTCATCCTGCTGGAGCATGCCATGATGCTAATCGTCTAATAAAAATTAAGCTTGGGGCCCTGGTGTTGTGCCATTGGTCGGGAGGGTACCATGATTGGTGATTGATAAGATTAGCGCTGGCTTGGCTCCACGATGCGGACAGTTTCCGTAAGGGAAAACGGCCAGGGACGCCATCTTGGACACTTCGCCAAGCCAACTGCCTCTAACGGTTCGTCATGGGATCCGCTGGTACCAGTGGATTCGCTGGGTCTATGCAGGGTCTGCGCATTTTCTGCTCCCTTCTGCTGAGGGTCAGATTCCCTCGATCCAGCCGTTGAGAGCGAGATCAGTTATGGTTTATTGCCGCTATACGTCCACAGGGCCATCCCATTTTTCATGGAACTATCAAGGGCTCTGTTCATACTAAATTTACCTTTCGAAAGTTTATGCAGTCCAAATTCCAGCACGCCAGCCTTTCTTCCAGAATGGATTTCCGTCCGGAAATGAGTGTTCCGAACACTTTTCGGAATGAGCATTGCCCAGCGGTATCCACTCCCCTCTGAAGTGAATTTAAGGCTAAAAGATTAAGTGCTCCCCACCAACAACACGTGGTGCCAGGTGCACACACCGGACGGAATTCGGAAGATGGAGCATAGAAGTACTATGGAATCGTGGAAGACCATGTCCGAGGATGCACACGTAACGTTTGCTTGGCCAGGTGAAATGGCCTGACCCAGAGCCAACAACGCGGCCGACTGTCCACAAGGCCAAGAATCCCGACAGCCAAGACATTGGTAGAGTCAAATCCACCTGGAAGGAGGTGCTGCATCATGCGATCTTTTGTGGCGTGCAGTTGGGCTTTCTGCAGCCACGTTCTTAAGATCTGTGGGAAGTCCAAATTCCAACTGTTCTTCCTTTTTTATTGTGTCTAATACGTTGCTTATTTGTCCCACTTTTTCCTCGTGTTATCTGTACAATCTTCGCAGAACACATGAATCTAACTTGTGCTTAGGGACAATGATGCAGTGTACATGCCACTAGCCCTGGCCGGGACCGTCTATCAGAGTGCAATCCTAAACAACTGTCATTTGCATGCTATGCGCTTCAACCTCTGTTATATCAGATCCAAGACCCTAGATCTTATATGCGATCTACTAGCCGGGATCAGCAATCCATATACCCAATGATGAACTAGTAGCCACTACCTACTTTGTTTCGGGGTCTCCGTAGTGCTGCTTGGGTGACAAGTGACAGCCCCGACATCCATCGGCCTCCGCGCTAGTCCTAATTGATATCCTCTCTATATTCTTCATACTTGTTTACTCTTTCTTCATGCTCCCTGCAAATGATCCTCTTTATTCAGACCAAAGAACATCTTGCAATCCCAGTAAGCTTGTATATCATGATCAGTTATTCCTGTGTCCTGATTCCTATCGACCTCATCCTTCTCGCATCCCAGGTTGGCAGATCGTGTCATTCCAGGCTGCAGATCGCGCAGCTTATATTGACGTGAGACTGATATTGGCAGTCCCGACGCGACTTTGTACGATTCTAGCAGGTTACTCCTATGTGCTCCTGGACGCTTCTCCTTGTTGTGTCTATCGCTTGTCATACATAAGCCATCCTAGCGACCGCGCTCCTTGTGACACCCGTCTATACAATCACCACAATCCCTGTACAATTAAGCATCATGGAGCATGGTTACAACAAAGATCCCAACATGTCGCGCTACAACAACAAGCGAGATCATAATGGCCCCAGCTTTACCATCACCAACCAGCCCAATATCGTCTCTCCCACCCCCATCCCGAGCATGGGTACTAGCACTACGATGCAGCGGATCCCACGCTACCTCCGAACCAAACGGATAGCCGACTACGACCTCTTCCGCGCCCATATCGAATCCAGAGCCACCACCCGAAGCACTCAACCCTTTCTCCCCGCGACATTCAGCCCCCCAAGCCCTCAAACACTTCTCCCCACCAACTTCACCCCCCCAAACCCCCAAGCCACCCCAACGACCCTCTTCGAACCCCGGCACTTCTTCCTGCGCGACCTGCCCCCCATCCGCCGCTTCGTCAACCGCACCGATCCCTCGCAATGCCTCGTCTTCACCGACGGCGCCTGCATCCACCACCACCGAGACAAGAACAACACCAAACCCCCCAAAGCCGGCTGGTCCTTCATCTTCAAACCGCCCCACAGCACAACCAAGAACGGATACTTCTCCGCACGCCTCGAAACTCGCGGCCCGGAGGGCGAAACATACCCCCAGACCAGCAACCGCGCCGAACTCCGCGCCGTGATCGCCGCATTGCGCTTCATCTACTACAACGACAACGTCTTCGATAGCGTCGTCGTCGCCACGGACTCCAAGTACGTGGTCCACGGCGCGACGGACTGGATCCAACGGTGGGGGAGCAATGGGTGGCGGTCGGTGAATGGGACGCCCATCAAGAATCAGGATCTGTGGCAGGCGCTGTTGAAGGAGGTCGGGCGGTGGGATGCCGATGGTAAGGGGGTGTGTTTTTGGTGGATTAGGAGGGAGTGGAATGTCAAGGCGGATTGTTTGGCGAAGAGGGCGGCGAGGGAGGGGGCGGAGGTGCGCGAGTGGGTGGATGTTGGCATGCCGATTTGGCCGATTGTTGAGGGTTAGGCTGGGCTTTTTGTGTGTTGGGCATTGTTTGTGGTAGTGGGTGGTTGGAACGTTCATTGTCGGTTCATCGGTGACATGAACAATACTGGAGCAGGTGAGCAGTTTGCCCTACTCAGTGCTTTGGAAGTGTTGACTAATAGTAACTGGTGCCCATTGCAGGAAACATACACCCTCCCACGAAAATGTCTACATTGAATCTGTGATTCATTGAAAACACGCCGGAGAGTATGCGCACCACCCTGCCACAGCAAGCTATAACCACTGAGTCTCGAGATCAAGTCTCACAAGTCAGGTTCAAGGAAGGGAATGCTGAAATTGGTAAAGCTGTTCAGACATACAGGATATGTGAGACCTTCAGAGTCCAGGAAATCCGTTCGGTTCACATGGATAGTACGGACGCAATTCTGTCCCTGCTAGGTTGCTTGGAGTACAATGCCCTTTTAACTAGTATAGCGTCAAGAATCGACGTAACGCTCTGTTGTGTACTAAATTTCGGATAATATGACCAACTAAATATCAAAAAGGGTATAGTTTTAGCCGAAGGGATTCATGAGGAGTAACTCATTTATTAATCCCTTGCCCGCATTTGAGCTGAACGCTGCCTGTAGATATGACATGCCTCGGAGCTCAAATCCACATGCACAGAATGTAATATGCCTTGCTGAGATAGTAGATAACATCCCATTCATTCGATCTATTGAAATCTTGTTCCAGTGGGCGAGCCCCGATGAAGAAATGCACTTCACCAGTGCTTCCTTCTTAGAAAATAGGAGTACATCTCCGTGATCCGATGTTTACTGCGGATGTGGGGATTGCCCGTGTCGGTGGTTTGAGGAATGGCCAGACCATTTCCGAGCATCTTTGACTAGTCTTCAGAGGCGCTCTGCTCTGTTTTGCTGAAATTAGTGACCCCTGTGGTCACAGCGGGATTCCACGGCTTCGATCCCCAGCAATCGACATGGTAAAATATTTCCTGATATCTGCCACGTTGAACCATCCCAGAGTCTGCGGGATATTCAAGAAGTGTCCCCCCGTCCCAGGTCTCGGGGTTGACATCCCCAATTACAACATCACCAAAAGATATCCGAATCTCAAAATGACCGAGACCCTCCGCCTGAGAAAACCCCCCGATCACTCAGAAAAATGGCTCCCCACATGATGCGCAACAGCCGCCTCATCTCCCTTAAACGTGCCACAGACGGGACAAGTCACCACGCCCATCATCTGTGCGGGCTGTTCCAGATGAACCTCGGGCTCAGGCGCAGGTTCTGCATCCCGCTGACGCGCACCCTTCCACTTCGCACCCTTCCAATTACCCCGTGGCCTTCCATTAGTAATATAAGCATCGAGACCAACAACCTGCGAAGGGGGTTGGGATTCTGATCTCTCCGCGGTCCTCCTCATCGGCGGCACAAAACCCGTTTCCGGCTCATTCGAAGTAGGACTCACGGCCCCCGTCCGCATGGATTGCACTCGTCCCACACGACCATCGGTAAGCCGCACTTTGATGCCCCGGGGATGGTTTCCGCGCGTGAGCACATCGGCAATGGATCCCGAGACGGTGCGGCCGGTAGGTTGGTCTGCTTTGAGAATGATGTTGACGAGGGCGCCACGCACGACTTCTCGGGTCGTGGGGACGCGTGGCATTTTGGATTTGGGGAGGTGGTAGATTGCTTGAGTTGATTTTGGGGGGGGGGATAATATGATTCGGGAGAATAATATGATTAGAGTTGATGCACCGATGCAACTATTTTATCCCTGCACGTGACCCGCTGAGTCAGGTGTGCTGATACCCCGCGTCTGCAATCAACACGTGACCGTCCGGTAGCGGGGCAGCGGCTTATCGGGGACTCTCAATCTGGTTGTCACGCGAATTACGAATTCGCGCACCATTCAAAAGAAGGACAACTTCACTGCCTCTCAAGCCCCTCCTCCTCCTCTTCCTCCTCTCTCACATCAATCCCCCTTCCACCCCATCCTCACCACCCGCCAAAATGCCTTCCCTGCACTCGAGCAAGCTCGCCTTCCTAGGCGGCGGTAACATGGCCTCGGCCATCATCAAGGGCCTGGTGAGCCACGGCGTCCCGAACCAGAACGTCTACGTCTCGGAGCCCTGGGAAGTCAACCGGGAGAAGATGGCCGCGATCGGCGTGCGGACCACCACCTCGAACGTCGAAGCCGCCGGCGACGCCGACATCGTCATAATCGCCGTCAAGCCCCAGGTCACGAAGGGGGTATGCGAGGAGCTGTCGGCCGCGTGGGCGAAGCGCACGACCCTGCCGATTATCGTCAGCATCGCGGCGGGAATCACCCTCGAGAGCTTACAGAAGTGGGTGCAGACTGCCGATGGGCGCGTCGCGCATGTGGTTCGCGTCATGCCCAACACCCCCGCGCTTGTGACGGAGGGCGCGTCCGGTGCGTATGCCAGTGCGGATGTCACGGGTGAGGAGAAGGAGCTGGTCAATGAGCTGCTGAGCAGCGTGAGTAAGACGACCGAGTGGGTGGATAAGGAGGGGTTGTTGAATGTGGTGACGGGGTTGTCTGGTACGTATTCATTCAGTACACATCGCCCAGACGGGGAAAGGAGTTCAATTCTGACAATTGATCAGGATCCGGTCCCGCTTACTTCTTCGCCATGGTCGAGCACCTCGTCGCCAGTGCCACCGCCCTCGGTCTGTCCAAGGAACAGGCGACTCGGCTGGCCGCGCAGACATGTCTTGGTGCCGGCAAGATGCTCGTCGAGTCGTCCGATGACCCCACCCAGCTGCGCAAGAACGTCACCAGTCCTAATGGAACGACCTATGCTGCTCTTCAGACGTTCGAGGCCTTGGGCTTCGCGGATACGGTCGATAAGGCTGTCAAGGCTGCTACCAACCGGGCCGCGGAGCTGGGTGATAGTCTTGGGAAGCTATAAGTGTTTGGGTTGTTGATACCATTTTGTGTGTGTGTGTGTGCTAGATCTCATGATTACAGACCTCTCTCATGTATCTAGTTAATTAAAATATCTCACTGCCATTTACATTTCCGTCACGGTATTTGTGGTTGCTTGGCTACTTCACTCACCCCGTATATCACCCTATAAAATAAATTCAAGGTATTCCCAACTAATCTTTCCTCCTTTTTTTCTCTAATGGTACTAGCCAATAAGGAACGAACTGGACTTGATCGACAGACTTGCTTTCAAGAGGAAAAGAAATTGCGGAAAGGGCGGCAAATACTATAGTAGTAACTATTGCTTATATATTTCAGGGAAATGTCGATTACTAACATCATCCGGTTATTTAGATAGTACTAGGACTACTATTTGATTGAGATAGACCCTGTCGGTGCAGTGACTTTAGTGACATGAAATACTAGATTGGGGTTGAATCTAGGTACTTTGCTTTTTTTTTTTTTTTTTTCTCGAGTGAACAATATGTACCATTGGGGTGGGAGTAATTGGAGGGAGGGGGGAAGGATAAAGGTGAGTGAGTGCGGTAGGCCTGGAAAGTGGGGAATGGAATGGGGAAAGGATTTGGTGTGAAATCAGTCTGCTACTCGGAAATGGCGTCAGATACTACTCAGGAGCGGAAGTTATTACGAAAAAAAAAAAAAAAAAAAAAAAGAGGAAAGATGTGATCAAGACTCGAGTAACATTTGTGTAACTATAATACACTGATACTACTTGGATTACCCATATTGTTACTTTTCCACCCAATAATAATAGCAGTAGCTTTGTCGGTCGAAGACCGTCCGCATCCGGCGCCCATGTAAGTCGCAAAAGAAGGAATGGTCATGTGTCGAAAATCGGAATGGAAAAGAAAAAGAAATAAATAACAAAAAGGAATAGGTAATTAAAAACGGGACCGGTCCATTAACTCATGTTCGCGTGATGCCGGATATATTATCCCGTCTGGTGGCTTAGCAGACGGTGATGTACAGACCGAGACTGGGGATGGATTAGCGATTGTTCAGATGTAACAGAATACGGGAATACTCACGGAGAGGGGTTGTAGTCCTCGAAGAAGTTGAGGTAGGTGCTACCGGCCTCCTTCATCTCGTAGCTGACGGTCTCGCCAGCGGGGCAGGAGAAAGAGGAGATGAGGTAGGAGTTGCCGGGCGACAGGGTGAAATCACCGTAGTCTTGCTGCACCGAGGGGGCGTTGCTATAGCTAGTCTTCAGGCTGGCAGCAGACGAGAGCAGGGAGAAGTCAACCTTGCCGTCACCACTGAAGGTGTAGGATGAGGTCTCGAGGTCCTGCTTGTTGGGGAGCAGGAAGATGAGGCTGCATGTCTTTCCGGCATCCGAGGAGGGAATGTCGAAGTTGAAGATGGTCGAGACGGTAGAGGAGACAGTGCCGAAGAACTGAGAACCGAAGGCAGTGTCAGGGGTAGAAGAGTTGATCGGGACGATCAAGTGAGGGTACTCGTAGTCGCCAGAAAGGTCGGTGGGGCAGCTGGCAGCAGACGACTGGGTAGCAGTGCTAGATGCCTGAGCGCCGCTGGGAGCCGCAGAGGTTTCAGGAGTCGAGGTTCCAGAAGTCTGAGCACCCGCACCTCCGGGAGAGGTCTCAGAAGGCTGGGCGCTAGCAGAGCCAGGAGCAGAGGGGGCTGGGGAAGATCCGGCACCGGCACCACCGGGGGCAGTTCCAGAAGGCTGAGCACCGCCACCACCAGGAGAGGGGGCTCCAGAAGATCCAGCACCAGCACCAGCAGGAGAAGTCTCGGAAGGCTGAGCACCGCCGCCGCCAGGCGTGGGAGCCCCAGAAGATCCAGCACCAGCACCACCAGGAGCAGTTCCGGAAGGCTGAGCACCGCCGCCGCCAGGCGTGGGAGCCCCAGAAGATCCAGCACCAGCACCACCAGGAGCAGTTCCGGAAGGCTGAGCACCGCCGCCGCCAGGCGTGGGAGCCCCAGAAGATCCAGCACCAGCACCACCAGGAGCAGTTCCGGAAGGCTGAGCACCGCCGCCGCCAGGCGTGGGAGCCCCAGAAGATCCAGCACCGGCACCACCAGGAGCAGTTCCAGAAGGCTGGACACCGCCGCCACCAGGAGCGGGAGCCCCAGAAGATCCAGCACCGGCACCACCAGGAGCAGTTCCAGAAGGCTGAGCACCACCGCCACCAGGAGCGGGAGCCCCAGAAGATCCAGCACCGGCACCAGCAGGAGCAGTTCCAGAAGGCTGAGCACCACCGCCACCAGGAGCGGGAGCCCCAGAGGATCCAGCACCGGCACCAGCAGGAGCAGTTCCAGAAGGCTGGGCACCGCCGCCACCAGGAGCGGGAGCCCCAGAGGACCCAGCACCGGCACCAACACCACCAGGGGCAGTTCCAGAAGACTGGGCACCGCCGCCACCAGGAGCGGGAGCTCCAGAGGACCCAGCACCGGCACCAACACCACCAGGAGCAGTTCCAGAAGGCTGGACACCGCCACCGCCAGGAGCGGGAGCTCCAGAAGACCCAGCACCGGCACCAGCACCACCAGGGGCAGTTCCAGAAGGCTGGACACCGCCACCGCCAGGAGCGGGGGCTCCGGAAGATCCAGCACTAGCACCAGCACCGCCGGGTGTCTCAGCGGCGCATTGGGTTGCGGTCACGGTTTGGTAAACAGTCACTTGAGCAGGGCTGCTGCACTGGGAACAAGAGACGCCGCCACCGGCGCCGGCACCAGCACCGGCAGGGGCAGTAGAGCCACCGGCACCAGCACCAGCACCAGCACCAGGGGCAGTAGAGCCGCCAGCACCGGCACCGGCAGGGGGAGTAGAGCCACCTGCACCGGCGCCGGCACCAGCACCGGCAGGGGCAGTAGAGCCACCAGCACCAGCACCAGCACCAGCACCAGGGGCAGTAGAGCCGCCAGCACCGGCACCGGCAGGGGGAGTAGAGCCACCTGCACCGGCGCCAGCACCGGCGCCGGCAGGGGCGGTAGACAGGACACCACCAGGAGCTGTGGCAGAGCCGCCAGCACCAGCACCGGCAGGGGCAGTAGAGCCACCGGCACCAGCTCCAGCACCAGGGGCAGTAGAGCCGCCAGCACCAGCTCCAGCTCCAGGGGCAGTAGAGCCGCCAGCACCAGCACCAGGGCCAGCAGGGGCGCTAGAAGGGGCACCACCAGGTGCAGTGGAAGAGCCAATGGCACCAGCACCAGCAGGGACACTGGAAGAGCCGCCAGCGCCAGCGCCAGCGCCAGGAGCAGGGGTTGAGGAAACAGCGGGCACTGAGCTGGAGCCAGCGCCAGAGCCGGCACCGGTGCCAGAGCAAGAATCGGCGGTCAACTTGATATTTTCGCAGCCGGTCACGGAAGAGCTCTCTGTAGTGTAAAGGTTCAGTTCACCGCCGTCACCAGTCTGGCAGGCAACGAAGTCGGCATCGCCCTTGTATTCGAGCTCTCCGGAAGAGCTGATAGAGAAGCCCGAAGTACCGGGCACCCCCAAGTCACACTGGAACTGAGTGGTCGAGCCTGTTGGGCATAGTTGGTCAGAAAAGACGAATTCACTGCTTGTCGAATCAGGATAGCTTACTGGTCACAACACAGCCGCGTCCACTGCTATCGGCGATGCTACCGTTGGAGTCGATGCAAAACTGTGTTTCCGGTAGTCCACCACCGATGCGGTTCTGGCCATCACCAAGCTGGCCAATGGTGCCGGAAGCACCACCGGAAGCCGTCAGATGAAAGCAACAGGTGTTGCCCCGGCCAACAAGGGCATTTGTCCCAGCAGCAAAAGCTGCGAGGGTTGTGAAGGTCTTCATTCTCGGTCAAGCGAATGTCGACGACGGATACAAAGCGAACGGACTGAGTGTTTCCGGCGTGATAAAGATTGTTTTGATTCGGTTTGTTGACCGGGGTAGATTTATTCAGGACCAAGAAGGGACAGCCAGGGTGCGCTCAGTATTTATAAAGGGCAGTGGGGACTGCAGGAAACGTCATGGGTGTCGGCCAGTAAACAAGACCAAGCAAGTCAACAGAATCTCGCACCTCCACGCGTACACAGAAGAATCGGAAAATAGAAACAGACAGCAGCCAGTTGCGCGTTTGATGGGTTCCAGTTGACCGTGGAAAGAACATGGAGGGCCACACCACAGCTGACCCAGTTAGCCATCACCGGAGAGCGAATAATGAGCAAGCTGAAAGTTCTCCGACAGGGCCGGGCCTGGAAGCTTCGGGATCGAAGAAGCAATGAGAGCAAACGTCATGAGCCCTTGGCTTGGTGGAGAGGGAAAGTCCATGAGAGAGGCACTAGTTCGGGGTGCGGGCTGTGGGATAGCGTTCATGTCAGTGGCTAAGGCGCCGCAGGGCATAAGCCAAGGGTGGGCCTGCCCCATCAGGGAGCCTTTGGATCGGCCGGAAAGCCCTGCCCTGGTCTACAACTTCCCGACTCATGGGTGTGAGGCGGTCTATGGCGATGTTGGTGGCAATGTGGTGTTTCATCCACGGTTCTGCCCGCCATCCAGCCACACGTAGCAAGCACAGTCGCGGTTGTTCAAGGCACATAGGTGAGACATCCATGGGCCACACTACTGTTCATAATCACTCACCCGGTGGGTGGCCGGGAAGGCAATGGAAGTGAAAGAGCCCAGTCGCAATGGGTGAAAGATCTTGGCTCAAGGTACCGAGTCCAGTATGTACGCGCAAGTGCGGGAGCCGTGGGGGAGACTTTAGTCGGACGCATCGCCAACAAGACATGGGTAGACAACGGGAAAGGATGTGATTCCTGGGGACAGCAAGGGTGCCTTGCATGGTGCATACGCGGGTGTAGAGCTCGAGCCTGAATCTAAGGCATCGATTGAACGTTGACTTTGCCTTGGGTGTGTCGGCTCCGCGACACGGCTAGCGGGTTAGTACCTTAGTACCCGCGTTGGGCGGCGGCTAGTGGCTGAAGTGCCCTGCATGTCATTATGGAATCATGAGATAATTGATTATTCGATGGGGACAATAACAATGGAAACACATGAAAAACAGCCGAGCGTCCAGGAATTCAAATCACGACTTAGCGGCGCAGTGGATATCGGGGAGAAACCGGAGGATGAAAAGACTTGTGAGACACAAACAGTCAAACACGCCAAAAAGATGGGGCAGGATCAATGGTTTCCCCGGCCCCGCCGTGTGAGGATGACGACACGGCCGGATGCCCATCGCTCCTTCCCTCCTCTTCCATGCCCGGGCAGGGCAGAGAACAACGCCGATCGACTCCGCCGCGTCATGAGAGTATTACCATATATAGTACCACTCCGTCCTTCGTCCGGACTGCCTTTCGATCCGAGCACCGAACAGGAGAGAAAAAAAAAAAAGAAAAAGAAAAAAAGAGAGCCACGAACTCATGTCCGCGGCAGTTCATGCTCATCCAGGCAACAACACGAACCACCATGGCTTGTCCCCGGCCATGGTTGCCTGGGTGTCTTCCCAGATGATCAGGTACAAAGTGCTGCTCCCTCGATGGAGGTGCACTGCTGACAGTCTTTGAGCAATATATAGCAACACCGGCGGGGGGGATAACGCAATCCTAGCCACGGTGGTGGCCTGGCGTTCTCGGCTCTATAAGCTTTCCCCAGGCATCCCTTTTCTTTTACCCCGTACTTGCATGATTTTGATGACCCTGGACTATAATCATAATAATAATAATAATAATAACAATAGTAGGATGTAGCTGCCTCTAGTACCCCTGGTCGCTGCAGTGCGTCGTATACCCCACCCGCCCCATCGGACTCCATCCTTCCCTCCTCCCCACCGAGATTATCAGTCTTGTGAACCCCCAACTCTGGTTCCAACCACCACCCAAAATCCACAGCCTGAAACAGGAATTCTCAGTCAAAGCAGGGCCATTGGGTGTCCAGCATACCCCTAGCACTCCTCCTTCACCGATCCAACCTTCCCCAAGGCAACAATTCCATCAAATTCCTCGTGGAAGATTATGTACTTTTGTACATCTTTCCCCCGCACGCACCCTGTAGAGCGTTACGTACTCCTCACTCCTCTCTCGCTAGCTAAGGTCAATCACTGCGGTCTAGACAGCTGGCAAGGGTCGATGCAAACTCTGATCTCGTCCTACCCGTTCACCGTCCAAGCCAATTGTCGGTTCGTCGTTCATGTGTCTGGGTTGGGTAGGCAGATGGATTATCCTTCGACTTGTCGATTCCAGACTTTCGCACCACACCACACCAGCACACCACGCTTCAGAGGAACGGACGGGGGAATGGATGGAATATGATATGTGCACCCTCTCAAAGTCTCGACTCCTCCCCCTCTCGACTAGAATCCGACAGACGAACAGACGGAGTATTTCATATGCCATGCCATGCAAACGCACCCCATCACCAACTGGTCCCTGACACCGACACCCTGATACCCACCTAACCTGCAGGAGTCAAATATCCACCCTCATCCTTTAGAGCTCACAAACCTGGGGTCCTGTCCGCCTGCCAGCTGCCATGTGTCCCGGGAATGTTAGCAATTCCCTTGACTAACGAAATCTTAATGCCCGCACGTTCCCCGATATCTCACTCGACTTTTCCGGTCATCCTGTCAGAAATCAAGGATAGCTACTTAAAACAACACATCACCGATGCCGATCATTACAAGCCCACCCCAGCCCATCCGCGTCGGGGCTCGCCGCCTCGATCACAGCAGTCTTGACTTCATCGATTCACGATTGGACCAAGCCACCCGATCGCACCCACCCTCCCCCATCGATCTCAGTCCTGCCAGGAAAGTAAACTTCCCTGGTTGGAGCTGACGTACAGTAAAATTAAACCCGCAGATCTCCTGCCAGGATCCGTGTGGTGCCGAGCGTTACTTTCCGGGCACCGAGATGAAAATAGCACTATGACGCGGAGAGTAGGAGTATTAGCAGGGGTAGCCAGTTCTTTATCTGGGGGAGGAGGGAGGGATGATGGAGTCGTTGGAGTCATAGGTAGGTCGATGGGCACTTTAGCAATGACGGGTCCGTGTGAGTTGTGGTTGCAATGGAAAAAGTAAGATCCTGGACTCTGGGGTGGAGGAATCTTGTTTCTTGTTTTGGGAGGGTGGGAGATCCGGTGGATGATGGGTGGGTGGGCGTTGTAGCAGTCATAGATCGGACTGGTGAGTTTGTTGATACTTCCCGATTCAATAGCATTGTCAATAGGTTTGGGAAAGAGTTTTATTGTGTAGACGTAAACAATAAACAACACGGCGTGCTGGGGGAATCGGGAGGGGTCTTTCTGGTTTCCCACTCACACCCTGTGGTCTACGTAGTCTACTAGGTATAGTAGTAGGTAGTTTTCAAGCCTTGGGGGTTTTCTGTAGGGGGGGAATAGTGATTATTTCATGTCGAGGGTGAAACGCAACCATACATCCACCTCCTACTGGAAGTAAGTACTCGTCTCGAGAATCGAGAAGAGCCCAATACCCAGCAACGGAAGTACAGTCAGAGAGCCCTAAGGTCATCATTTATCTTGGATTCTGAGTTTTCTGAGTATACCATGGAGAGGAGGTATAGCCATATCAAGGTAGAAGAAAGAAATAAAAATCAATCTCCCCTGTTTTTCAGTCCGACAATATACAGCATAGCACAACTACACAGCGAAACTCGGGATTTGAAATGTCTCAAATGTGCATCTATACTAAGTTTTGGGTATCTGGATCGGTTTCTGTTGCTTTCGTTGACTACTGGCAGTACCTATGTACTGGGTGGGCTACCTCATACGGGCAGCCTTGAATTTGCTCACTCGTCTAGGAGCGTCCTCGGTTTCGATGGGAACTATTTCGGGTTCCTCGCCGCCCACAAACCCGCCGTTTTGCTGGATCATGCGATTCCGGACCCTGTAGAACTCGGTGGCGATCTCCTTCTTGTGCAGCTCGGCGTCGAGCTCGTCGGGCTCCGGGGCTGCGGATGGGCCCTGGGAGACGTCCCGTTCGACGAGCTTGTCGGCGAGGATCTGTCCTTCGGGGCCTTGGGGAGGGGAGTCCTTCTCGATGATGTCGGAGATGGGCTGGGAGAAGGGCTTGGGCTCCGCTGGTCTGGCGGGGAATAATGGTAACGATGAGGGCGCGGAGGGTGCGCCGGTCTTGCGAAGAGCCGAACGGGGTTCGGCGGGTTGAGAGGTGCCGCGAGGCTGGGGTGTTGGTGCAGAAGAAGGCTCCTCGGCTGGGGCTGTCTTCCGCGCGCTCTTGAAGCGGGAGACCTTCTTCGGAGCCGCTGTGGGGACATGTTTTTCGACAGGCTCTGTGCGTTCAACGACGGAGTCTGCAAGAACGGTGACGGTTGACTCCCGGACTGGAACGGGCTTGTTTTCCTCAGTCGGGGGCTTCGGGGCCGGGGCAATGTCGAGATGGTCGGCGAAAGCCACCTTTTTCTTCTGCTTCTTCTCCTTGACAGGTTGGTTGGTTGTGTCCGGGACTTGCTCAACGTGAACAGTTGCGAGCTGTTCGAGTTCCTGCTGGACATCACTCGGGAGCGATTCGGCGTCTTTACCGGCATTCCACATTCCTCGGGCGTTGAGCTTTGCTTCTAGCTCGCGCATCTGGCGGTGGTAGTCTTCGCTCAAGATTTGCCCGGTGCTCCGTCCATGTTCATCCTCTTCCTCGTCTTCGTCATCAAAGTCATAGTCGTCGTCAACCGAGAAATCACTTCCTTCCTCGTCCAGCTCCAGTTCGGCCACAACGGAGCCAACCTCGTTGAGACTGTACTGCAGCATCTCCTGGCGAAGCTTGGCATCTTCTGGCGATTCGTCCACTTCGGTAACGGGGCGCTCGCCGTGGACTTCACGAGATGGGTCAAATGCAGCGGGCTTGTTGTCGTTGGCGTGTCCTTCAGGAGTAGCTGAATTTGAAGGCTCCTCCTTGGTGAGGGATTGGAGACGATCATCGTTATCTGCGCTGGAGGTCTCTTCTGTCGTCTGGGTTGTAGGTTGTGACGAGCTTGAAGCTGCTGGATCGGCCTTGGCTACATCCGGTATATCCTTCACGCCAGCCTTCTTCAATACCTCCAAGAGATCCGTCGCTTGTCCACCAGGGGTCGAAGTTTTGCTCGAAATCACGTCCCCATTCTCATCAAGTTCCTCGAAGATCTCCGTCATCGGAAAGTCCGCCGTAGATTCTGCTGGTAGTTGTTCTTGGGCGTCCAGTGCAAAGAGCTGGTTCTCGGCCGTGCGTAGTCGTTTTTCCATCGTGGAAGCATTCTGCTTCACGTAGTCGATCCGCCTCGTTATCAGATCGACCACCTGTTGTTTCGATCGCGTCACGCCCTGTTTCTGGCCGAAAATCTCTTTGGCTTCATCTTCGTTGACCAGGGAGCCACCAAAGTCGTGGCCCACTCGGAGGAAGTCGTCCGTCGTCGCGTCATCGTCGAGTTCATCGATATCCTCTTTCAGACCGTCGTACTCGGCCTCCCATGTCCGCCAGTGGTATAGGGAATCCTGCAGCTTCGAGATGTTTCCCTCAAGCTCGAGACGCTGGCGTTCCAGCTCGTGAAGGCTGTTATTGGGGACGACCATTTGCAAAATCGACACACGGAACCCTTATTGAATGGTACTCGAGCACGGTGCAAGCCAGACCGAGAGAGTGGGAAGAGGTCTGGGGGTGAAGAGGAGGAGGCCAAGTGCTTTGAAAGCGGCGGCAAAGAAAAAGTTCCGCCGCGCGGAACTCGGGCGGAGAACCTGATTGGCCCGTGCGCGGCGCTGGATTATCAAGCTTCCCTGACACTTAATGGAGCCTCACGCCTGGCTGTTCTTTTCCCTCCTCGCTCCTCGCCAGTCTTTTGTGCTGCGCTCACTTTGATCTTCATTGGCGTCGCTCAATATGCCTCCTGCACGCGATGCTATGGCTCACCGGGGAGACGATGATGGTAGGTCCAGCTGTGCTCTTTATTCTGCGTAACCTTGACTGACTGATTGAACTGCAGAGGTGTGCCCCGTCTGCAAGTCGTCGCGCTACTTGAACCCGGACATGCGATTCCTCATCAACCCAGAATGCTATCACAAGATGTGTGAGTCCTGTGTCGACCGGATATTCTCCTCTGGCCCTGCAAATTGCCCTGTGGCGGGCTGCCACAAGACCCTGCGCAAAGCCAAGTTTCGAAAGCAGACATTCGAAGATATCAATGTGGAAAGAGAGGTCGATATCCGGCGCAGGGTGATGCATATGTAGGTCATTTCAGCCAACTTTTTGTATATGATGGGGACACTAATTCTTTTCCAGCTTGAACCGGCGTGAAGAGGAGTTTGACTCCAAACGAAACTACGATGATTTCCTTGAGCAACGTGAAGAGATAATAGCCAACCTTGTCCATGGCACCGATGTTGCGAAGACCGAGAGCGACCTGCAAAGATACGCATCGGAGAATATGCGCTCGATCCGCGCCAACCAGGCCCTCGAGGCGCAGGAAGCCTCGTCCTTCCGGGAACAGCAAACACACGAGCAAGAGCTGGCGCGGCTTCGTCGGGAAGCGGTCAGGCAGGAATATGAGAATGAGCGGAGGGAGATATTGGCAGGCCGAGAAGACGTGCTGAGCCGTCTCGCTGCCGGCCGACCTGGCGACGCCGCGGCGATTGCTCGCGAGGGCCAGAAGGTCTTGCTCAAGAAATCTTCTGCTCGCCGCAGTGAGGAGGATCGTATCCGCCAGAAACAGGCCGCACTGCGCAATTCCGATGTCAAGAAATCCGGACAGGGTGCGTTCGGCGCGGCGGACAGGGCCGACGACAGTGGTGCTTCGAGCCTCATCAAGGGTCTTAAGAAGATCAAGACCCCCGAACCGGAGAAGCCCTACGATCCTTTCATGGGGTTGGTCCCCAACAAACGGGACTATTACACTTTGCACGACTATTACCCGAACAGCTATCTCGATCCTGTTCGACAGGACACCCGTATGCTGGCAGGCGGGTACGATCTTCAGGAGTACTACTCACGCACATTGATGGAAGCCTTTGCGGGTCTGGGTTGTTTCATCGATGAAGAGGTCTCCAAACGAGATGTTATAAGTACTTCGGATATTTCCGAACCTGTCGCCACCAAAGGAGCTGCGTTGGCGGCAGTGTCAAGTGCAGGCACTCCAGACGCGAGCTCGTGACCCCGAGAACGCGAGGGTGGTTTATAACAAATGGAGGCACTTAGGCCCTGAAAATTGGGTATCATTCGGAAATACACCTGTGGCGTTTGGGTATGTGGTGCATAGCGATGGCGTTTTGGACAAGGATTAGCGTAGCAAGAGCCATGCAAATAAAATTGTTCATATTCTTATAACGATCTTAGGTATACAAACAAGCAAAGCTAGTACAAACCAAATCAATTGTACGACAGTAGGAAATATCGAACTATGAGAAACATGTAATATACAACCCTCCCGATAGGCACAGCTCTCACAGCTTGCCGCCGGTGATATTCTCTCCGAGCTTCTTGACTCTTTCCTGGTAAAGATCCCAGCGAGATGTCTCATTCTTCTTGGAGTCGTTGACAATCGACTGGACAGTCTGGGGGTTACCCAGGTTCCAGATGTTCTCGCCGTTCTGGCCGTCACTGCGCCATGCCTCGTTCTCGCCATCGGGGAAGACCCTCGCGATCTCCTCTGCGAGTTGCTCCTCCGTGATGATGAAATTACGCGCGTTCATGTAAAGCTCCTGCAGCATATCTTGACGCTCGTGTTCCTTCCGGTTCTGTTGGTCGGCATAGTTTGCCTGGGACTGGGCCAGACGGGCTTCGCGCCCCGAGTCCGGCAGCACAGTGTGGTTCAACAGGTCCTGGGTCACCGAAGGACGGGTCAACCGCTCATCTTCTCTCTCCGGCTGGCGAAAGATACGCTCCCGGCGCTCCTGCTTCTCCAAACTCCGCTCTTTCATTCTCTTGTCCGTCCACTGCTTCCGGGCGTGCAATTCCGTGAGACCCTGGTGGAGGTTCTGTCTCCGCATCTCCGCCATGTCCCTCTTCCGCTGGATGTATTCGGCATGGGGGTCTTGGGGGTCGATTTCGGGCTCTTTCGAGGGGAGACGTGCCGCAGCATCGATGTATTCCGGGCTCGGCTTGTCCTTGCGGCGGACGGAGAAGATTTCCTTGGGGACGGGGAGGGTACCCTTGACACGGGGCTTGGAAGGGAAATCGGGCTGAATGGTTCCAGGGACATCGATGAAGTTGGGAGACTCGGGTCCGACCCGTCGAGAGGAGGATGAGGCGAAACCGCGGAGCTGCACGGTGACAGTCCTGCAATTGCGGAAGAGAGCCATGATGGGTGATTGGTGCTCTCACCGGTGAGAGTCGGGGGGACAATGGGATGGGATACGAAGGAATTAACGGCGAGGGTTGACAAGACCGGGGGAACTGGTTGACCTGGTGACCCACGGGCAGCAAAGGGGAGCGAGATGGCCTCTTCGCAGCGCGGGTTCAGCTTGCGGGAGTCGGAAGACAAACGAAGCGATTTTCTTGCGCGTGGCCCGTGCACCGCTTAGCTTGGCGCCCGCCGCCCGTCGAGAAAAAATAATTTCCCGCCGCTGCGAAACTTTTTTTCTCCTTCCTTTTCTCTTCTCTCTTTGCGCTTCGCCATTTTGATTTTGTGACACCTCCTTTTCTTCACAACTCTCATCCACTTTTCTTCCTCTTCTTCCAGGTACCTTTCAGGGCTCCTTGCACAATGGGTACCTTCAAGAAGGAAGCCAATCGTAAAGAGCGGCAGGGGAAGGTTGGGGATGGCATGGGGAATGTCCGGGTGAAGGGTGAAAACTTTTACAGGTGAGCGATATCGCTTGGATGCCAGAGTGTCTGTCTGTATGCTGATTGGTGGAAGAGATGCGAAGAAGTTGAGGACCCTGAACATGCTGAAGGATGGCAAAGCCCAACGCAACGCTGAGGGAACCATCACGAAGGCTGCTTCGTACCAGTCCCGCGACGCCCCCGTGGCTCGCATTGAGCCCAACCGTAAATGGTTTGGAAACACCAGAGTCATCTCGCAGGAGGCGTTGACGTCCTTCCGTGAGGCGGTCGCCGAGCGTGCCTCGGATCCGTACCAAGTGCTACTCAAGACCAACAAGCTTCCGATGAGCCTGATCAGAGATGATAAGGGCACTGTGAACGGACTGAAGCAGCACGAGGCCAAGATGGCCATCGAGACCTCCCCATACAGTGACACTTTCGGACCCAAGGCTCAGCGAAAACGTGTGAAGCTGGGTGTTGCGTCGCTGGAGGATCTGGCGGGCGAGACTGCCAGGATGCAAAATGCCTACATCGAGAAGTCGGATCATGCCACGCATGACGACGGCACTATGCAGGTCAACGGTGACGATGTTACCGAATTCGATGACAACAGTACCCTCCCTACCGCGAAGGAGTCTGTCTTCTTGAAGGGTCAGAGTAAGCGTATCTGGAACGAGCTCTACAAGGTCATCGACTCGTCTGATGTCGTCATCCATCTGCTTGACGCGCGTGATCCAGAAGGCACACGCTGCAGGAGTGTTGAGAAGTACATTCGCGAGGAGGCTCCTCACAAGCACTTGATCTTCATCCTGAACAAGTGTGATCTTGTCCCTACGGGTGTGGCGGTACGTCTATATCTTTCTATTCTATTCTTCTTGTTTCTGTTCTCCCCCGCTTGCACTATTTTTCATGGCCACTGCGCCAATGCCATCGCTAAGTCAAGGCTGCTCCTACGGCTTCATGCTGTGTTATTCACTATGGGAGATGGTCTGTTACAGCTATGGCAGATTGACGCTGGTCCGCGCCGACCTTCTTTCTGAAGCAAGGCTGATTGGTTTCCGTTTTGGAGGCCGATCGTAAGGACCGAGCTGTGTTCTGTTTTTGAGTTGAGTCCTGCCTCCGCTTTTTTAAGTGGCATCATAGCAGGTCTCTTAGTAACATTTCACACATCCTGTCATCATTGTTTTGTTTTTGCTTGTTATCTTTGCTTTGACTTTTGCTGCTTGACAGCCGTCATATGCTGGTGTTCAGTTGCTAACGTAACACCAGGCTGCTTGGGTGCGTCGTCTCTCGAAGGATTACCCCACCTTGGCTTTCCATGCCTCGATCAACAACTCGTTCGGTAAAGGTTCTCTGATCCAGCTGCTGAGACAGTTCTCGGCTCTGCACACGGACCGCAAGCAGATTTCCGTGGGTTTCATTGGATACCCCAACACCGGAAAGTCCTCTGTCATCAACACACTGCGCAAGAAGAAGGTGTGTACTGTGGCACCTATCCCGGGTGAGACCAAGGTGTGGCAGTACGTTACCTTGATGAAGAGAATCTACCTCATCGATTGTCCCGGTGTGGTTCCCCCCAACCCGAACGACAGCCCCCAGGACATTCTTCTGCGCGGTGTGGTCCGTGTGGAGAACGTCGAGAACCCCGAGCAGTACATTCCGGCTGTCCTCAGCCGGGTTCAGCCCAGGCATCTTGAGCGCACCTACGGCATCAAGGTTGGTGCAGAAGACCCCATTGAGTTCCTCAGCATCCTCGCCCGCAAGGGTGGTCGTCTGCTCCGCGGAGGAGAGCCTGACCTGGACGGTGTCGCCAAGATGGTGATCAATGATTTCCTCCGCGGAAAGATCCCGTGGTACACTCCTCCCCCCAAGACCGCTGGTGAGGGTGAGGAGGGTGAGGGAGAGGCCAAGATCGAAGGTCGTACGGGCCGCCTCGGAGAGATGCCTCGCAAGCGGAAGCTTGAGGAAACGACTTCGGAGGCCGCCGCTGATGCTGAAGAGGCCTCTGACAAGCAGAAGTCCGAGAACGAGGAGTTCGAGGGCTTCGGCAGTGATGAGGATGACGATGATTCGATCGCGAATCTCGAGGTCAGCGACGAGGAGAGTGGGGAGGAGAACGATTAAGCGGTAGACCTGCCGGGACTCATTTCAACAACTCACGGATTGATGATCCGACCGTCACCAACCCCCTCGGATGCCACCGCTCCACCGGTGGAGCATCTCCGACGGTCATGCCATGCCCTACCATCGGGCCGCTGACAGACAGCTGCATGGCCCACCAGCGTCCTTGGATGCAGGTCGATCGGAGGTCGAGACCGCCACCGCGCGGTTCCGGTTTGCCGTGGTTTCACACGGCCTTTGCTGGCATGCCACCTGGACTCCTGCCAGTGCATGTAATCCAGCCAGAGCGTGGGAGTCAAGTGAGCTCATCATGCCTTGCCCCACTGCTCGTCACTAAGATACCCACCTAGTGTTGAGAAGAATTGAAATATGATAGAGTTTTTTGAGTAAACCTGAGGATATGACGATATGACGGTAGAATGTAGACTGTAGACTGCATGTGTCGAGTGTCCTACTCCGTACCCCGTAAACAGGAGACTCTCACCGCCTCGCCGCCACGGCCACTCACGTGGGGCGTCCCCAGCCTCGCCCTCGTCATGCGCGTCTCCGCAGCCGCAGCCAGAACAGAACAGAACATGCCTGCCACTTCTTAAGATCCGGCCTGGCTCGACTGACTCGCCTATGTTTTGGCCTCGTCCAAGCATGTGCCGCTCTGTCTCTGCCTCTGCCTGCTACAATGGCCGACGAGGGAATGTCCATTGTTCCCTACGGGTCGGGCAATCTTGATGTTGTGCTGTAAGCTCCCCCTCACACGTTCCCCCCCACCAGCAGCATGTCAACGGAGCGAACTGATTCTAATAACGTACTGGATTAGCCGCCATAATGACTCGGTAGTGGTCTTCGATCGGGACTCCCGCCAACTTGTTCTCCGAAATACAACAGAGAACAACGATGCCAACCTCGAGCTTGCCGACTGTCCTTACTGCCATCGCCCTCTCCGCGACGACGGCTCGGCCCCGGACGACCACCATGCCACCCCCGGAGCGCAGCCTGAATTCATCAACCCGAACTATTTCCGCATGCTCCACAATAGCCTCCCCAGCTCCGTGAACTCATCAAGCCCTCCGTCTCCTCGTCGGCGTCTGGTTCCCCCGGCTCTTGCGGACGGCCCAACCAGTGGCCCTAGCTACTCGAGTAGCAGCGTACCCCCCAGTCAAGGAATCTCATCAGCTGCATTCACACCGGACTACTTCAAGAAATTCTTCGTGGAAGAGACAGTACTGGGCAAGGGTGGAAAGGGAGTGGTCCTGCTGGTGAAACATGTACTGGATGGCGTTTCACTCGGCCAGTACGCCTGCAAACGAGTACCTGTCGGAGACGATCACGAGTGGCTTGAGAAGGTGCTGGGAGAGGTGCAGTTACTGCAACATCTCACACATCAAAACCTCGTGTCCTATCGGCACGTCTGGCTCGAGAACGCCAAGATCAGCACATTCGGGCCCAGTGTACCATGTGCTTTTATCCTCCAGCAATATTGCAACGCCGGGGATCTGCACAACTATATCTGCGGCTCCGTAGATACACCTACGACCACTGAGCAGCTGAAGGAGCGCCTCCGCAGAAAGTCCCGAGGCGGACCCGAGCCTGAGAGTAATCTTGGAAAGCTCCGTACGCTCAGCTTCGACGAAATCTATTCCTTCTTCAAAGACATCACCTCGGGGCTGCGATACCTGCACGCCAACGGATACATCCATCGTGACCTGAAGCCAAACAACTGCTTGCTGCACAAAACAAGCGATGGAATCCGCGTTCTGGTCAGCGACTTCGGCGAGGTCCAAGCCCAGGATTCCATCCGGAGATCTACCGGCGCGACGGGGACCGTCTCATACTGCGCCCCGGAAGTGCTACGACAGGAATATCCAGGCGGCCCATTCGGGAACTTCACTTTCAAGTCCGACATCTTCTCTCTGGGAATGATTCTCTATTTCCTATGCTTTGCGCAGTTACCCTACAGCAACGCCGACCTCATCCACGAAGAGAAAGAGGACCTGGACCGGCTCCGCGAAGAGATCAGCCAGTGGTCTGGATTCGACTACGCGCGGCGCATGAGGCCCGAATTGCCCGAGCAACTCTACACCTTCCTGGAGCGTCTCCTCTCAGTAGATCCCGACCGACGACCATCCGCAGACGAAGTCCTGGGCGGCCTCCAAGCCGGCGCCAACGTCAACGAGAGCTTTCGATCGCGACGAGCCAGTCCAACAAGTCCCGACATCCGCTCTGGGTCGAGAATCCAGCCCGTCGAAAGCACCACACTCCCCTCTTTCGCCCGACAGCCCCTATCTCCAAACAGAACCATCGCCCGAAGCCCAGTAGCCGTACGCCGAACCCCAGCCTACAGTGCAGACGGCACCGAGACGGAATTAACCCCGGACCTTATCGTGAGACCTCGATATCCCTCCACACCCTCCCACTCACCCACCCAAGTCGAGCCTCAGGACCACAAACATCCCGACCCTCCCCCCATCCAACAACTCCTCCCCCCACCACCCCCCAGCCGCTTCTCTCTGTCAAGACTCCTCCCCTACGCCCCCGCATTCGAATTCTCCCACTGGCAAATCCCTCTCACCGCAACCCAACTGTCCTGCTTCCTGGTCAAAATCGTCTCCATCTTCCAACCCTGCAGCCCCCTCGCCGTCAACCCCTGGGTCGCGTATACGTTGCTTCTCCTCGCGGCGGTCTACTTCCCCACAAAGAACTTTCTGACCCAGATCGTCGCTCTTTTTCTGCATCTGGTCGTCGTTAGTCTGTGTTTGAGGATGGATGCGTTGTGTTGGCATGGTTCGAGGGGTGCTATGATGTTTGCCCGGTAGCAAAATTGTTCTGTTTGTTTTTATTTCCTTGGCTTTGGTGCAGGCAGGTGTACATTGGAGTCTTGTGGTCAAAAGCGAGCGTTTCCTTTCTTCTTCTTCTTCTTTTCTTTCTTTCAAGCATGGCATGGCATGGCATGCATTTCGGTTTATTTCTGTATCTATCTACTCTAGCTGATCTTTTTTTTTTCGGGCTTGATATTTATTATCCAAGGATGAATGTACACATTACGCAAGATGATGAACTGACTACCTACCATTTATTTGTTTAATTATTGTCCAGGTATTTACCAAATAGTCACTAGCTAGTTTGGCTCACTCACTTCCTGCACGAAATCTAGCCCCTCCTCTCCAACACATTCCCCATCACAAACGGATTCCTCTTAATGGCCGCGGCCGCCAAAACCGCACCCCCCGGCCAACGCAACCGCCACAAAAGAAATGTTCACTTGACAGCAAGATTATATGCATCCACCACCACTCCCAAATACTTCTCATCCATCTTTGGCACGGAGGTATCGTCGGCTCTCTCTTCATTAGGGGGGGAAATCATGGTGCTTTTCAGAGTGGCTGCCTTGCTAAGAACACTGTTCCGCACAGAGAGCCATCATCCTGATAACCCAGAGATATAGTATACTATAGTATATACCAACCACAGGCTGCGGATGATGCTGACGCCATGAGCAGTTGTTGCAGGGAAGCCTTCCAGGTTTCCGACCCGGATAGCCGCTCAGGGAATAGGATGTGGAATGAGACAGGATTGGGGGTCGTGGCAAGATGAATTGATCCAGATGGTGATGTTCTCGCTTAGGGGATGGCTGGATTGGGCAGGCGCCCCTTACTACAGTCATAGAAACTCGGACAATAGTGTCAAATTGACGCCGTCGAGCATCCAACAATGTAGAGCAATTGATTTGATAGACAATAAACAAGGACATACAGAAGTGGTGTTCAAAAAAGTAAACCAAACAACAAAAAAACACCCAAAAGCAAAAAAAAGAAAAAGAAAAAGATTGCGCCAAGCGAGATTCGAACTCGCGTCGCAACCTGACTCCAATGAGGATTGGGAAGGTTGCATCCTAACCACTAGACGATTGGCGCTTCGACCATCGGCGCTGGTTGTTGGAAGACACGCCGAGCTTTTGCCTCTTATCGGGCCCCACTTTCACGCGTTTTGGTCCATTTATGGGGCCACGAACCATGGAATCGGGGACTTTTTGGTATGGACTTCTTAAGAATTGTTTATGTTGCCTCTGGGTACTTTCTGGAGGAGGATTTGTTTCACTTGGTGGGATAATTCGCTTGGAGGATATGAAGGGAAGGGCAGTTTACTGGAGGGACGGAGGGAAGTGGCATAGTTACTGCACTACTGCACTACTGCACTACTGGGTAGGCATGGTGGCGAACATCGCTTTCAACAGGACAGGATGGAGGGGAGTAAAAATGAACAGTAAGAGAAAATTTGATTGAGTATTTAAAAGAAAAAATAAAGAAAAAAAAAAGCTCTGATCCAGAACCTGCTGAATCTCGCTAATTAATGTACAGATACTGCCTTGGCTAACCAATCTTCATCACATCATTCCAATGCCAGACATGTGTACCTGAACCCACGATTCTGATAGTCCGTATTTTTTTTTTCAACACAGAACTCAATTTACTTGCAGTGAGCATACTTATCGTGTAAACTTGAAGTGGCAGGTCTGATGGGCACACTGCATGACAGGTCAGTCAGTCAGGCATTGACACAACAGCCAAGGGAGGTTTAAGACGAGAGGGGGAAGCTTACCAGAGTGCGGCACTTTCTTCTACGAGTTCCATGACTGATGCCGCAGTATCCATAGCACTGCTAACTGCTTCTGATGCAGTGCTAGTGATCGATGATGGTTAGTGTGGAGAAGAAGTGGTATCATATATCTTGTATTAGGGAAGGGTGGACTTACTCCTTCGCAATGCTTGACATTCTCCCCAGCGATGGTCGGGTTCTGGTTTGCATCCTCCGGGATTTTGAGGTCGTGCTCGTCCAAGTCAGGCTCCTCGAGGATAGGCTCATCGCAGTCAGAGTCATCAGGGAAAGGCTCGTCGGAGTCAGAGTCATCGGGGGTAGGCTCAAAGCCAGAGACATCGGAAGGAGAAGCAACGGCACCATAGATATGAGAAGGTCCATCATCGGTGGGTGCAGGAGCATTGTCGGTAGGAAAAGAACCGCTGAACGTGGGATCCGGATCACTGAAGATAGGAGAAGGACCATGGAAGGTATGGGTATGGGTATGATGAATGTGGGTAGTTGTCGCTCCCTTAGTGCCAGACTGATGATGGGTGGGAGCAGGATCCTCGTAGGTGGGGTAGGGGCCATCATAAGTAGGATCAGGGGCAGGGGCATCAAAGGTAGTAGAAAGGCCCTCCGGCTGGGGGATGGTGTGGCCGGCAACCGCAAAGAAGACCAGGATGGCCAGGAGGTTGATCTGGTTGACCTTCATCTTGGCGGCGTTGGATTGAATGATCAAGAAAGTTGGCTGTCGACCAGACTGATAAAAACGAATGCAAAGAAGGGGTGGCTAGGAAAAGAGTTAACTGTGCTCTTGGAGGGGAAACTTGGGGCTTAAGTATTCCGAGAAAGAGGCTTTGTGAATTTTGATATTCCGAGTACTGATAGATTGTGAAGCTCTTGCGTCTTTTGTGAAGCTTGACATCGATGACATTCATCCCGAAGATCGCCGGCAGTCTCACAGTCACTCAGACAAATATAAATTAGTATACGGGAGTATGATGTAGAAGAGAGAAGTATGTGGGATTCTAGACGCAGTAGAGACTGGCTATTCTCCGCCCCGCCAGATGAAGTCTTCCAATAGAGAGGAAGCTCATCTTGATGCACTGGTTGCTTCCAGAAACAGTACTCCTGTAGGGACGGCACATGGCTAGTTATGAATATGGATGTTGACCCTGAAACAGTTGAAATTCTGGCTCATCATTTTAGAGAGATGAGACGATGGAACTGAGCCAATAATACGAGATTTGTGCGGTGATGAATATACTCGAAAGTTCGGCTCCGAGGCGGGAAGAGAGACGTGAAAGTAGCCATGCACCATCCACGTGGACTCACGCTATGCAATGAATAAGTACTGCCAGGGCAGAGCAGGATAGTTGTGTTGTTTTAGCCGCCCTCGGGCGATTCTGACCCTGTATAATACACGCACAAGCAGATTGAATCTACTAGCAATCTAGACAGACAGGCGCATGTTAGCCAGCCTTGTAATTCGGGCAGGGATTATAAACACAAGCCCCTCTCTGTAAAAAGTAGTCTAATTTTTTACTACCCCACTACAGTGTCCATGGATCAAAAGGAGTGTTGCTAGTATCACCATTCCTAATTGAAGAGATAAAAATGAAAATAGTAAAAAAAACATACAAAGGACAACACTCTATATAATCCTACGGACCCATTAATCCGACCCACCTTGCATCACTTGTCCGATTTTGAATGTGGATTCCGGTTGTTCTGAGCTGGATACCTGGGGTAGACATGCTAATGCACAATCCTTGCCGACCGTTTGCACACACCCACAGATCATGAAATTTTTACAATGCCCAAGTACGGAGTACTTAATACATACCATGTCCAAAGGGTTACTTGTCCACAGCGGCTGTGCCGGTTGCCCTGAGTTTTGGCCCCCACGCCGATCCCCGGGAAAACGACACTGGTGTAACTTATTGGTCAGAAAAAAACAGAGCCTGGCACTTATGAATCCTAAACAGTGGGTCTTTGTTTTTGCCGGGGCCTGTGGGGCTGATTGTTCTTATTTCCACCAGACTAGATAGGCCCCTCTTATTTCACAGGCACAGCCCCCCCGCAACGCATCAAAAAGCAACTTCTCCGAACTTGTTACCTTTTTAGGAATTACCTTGTCATGGTATACAGAGGAAAAATCAGCATGGGGTGTGCGTTGTGCCGGAAGCGACGGCTACGAGTAAGCAAACTTGTCAAGATTTTAAACAACGGTCGGCTAACAGTATGGTATGCAGTGCAACCGAGGCCAGCCATCTTGTTCACAGTGCTTGAGAGTGGGTCAAGAGTGCTCCGGATATCGAGATCCTAATACCCTGAGGGTCTACGATCAGAGCGCGGAAGTTGTGTCCAAAGCTCAAGCCCGCCATAGTGCCGGCCGCAGGTGTGGTCCCACCAAAACGTCGCCTGCTGAAGAGTTGCCTTCTACACCACCCTTGATCTATTCGCCCATCTCAGACGACCAGCGAGCCATGTCTTATGTCATCCCCTACTATATTGGCACTGACCAAAATCAGGGCTTACTTTCTTTTTTGCCAAGCCTATTGATGAATGACCCCTCTCCTGCGTTACAAGCCTCAGCCAAGGCCATAGGGCTGTTGGGGAGGAAGAGCAGGCCTCACTTGAAAAGGCTGGCCAGGGAAGAATATGGTATTGCCTTGTGTGCTACAAATAGCGCGTTAAGAAATCCAAAAACAGCTACATCGGATTCCACCTTGGGGGCCGTGTTATTGCTGAGCTTGCATGAGGTAATACCCTCATTACAAGCTGCAATATTCTTGTCCAAGTAACATACACTGATCGATCCTTTCCAGCTGATAACATCACAAATCGTGGAAATGAGCGGTGGCTGGAAGAATCATGCTCACGGGGCAGCCAAGCTCCTTGAACTGCGAGGTGAAGAGCAGTTAAACTCGCCTGTAGGGCTAGAGTTATTTACGGTTGTGCGCTTTCAGAATGTAAGACATTCCCTCTATGGAAGGGAGGGGGGGTTTTTTTTTCACTTTTTGCCTGATATATTATCTTCAGGTAATCAGCAGTGTCTTCTTCAGACTGGGGTGCCAGGTCCACAATTCACCAACGATTGCGGCATTGTCTGAAATCGCAAGGTCCAAACGAAATGAACATACGCGGCCAATTGAAAGCCTGTACGATATGCTCATCGAGCTGAACAATCTAGCTATCGAAGTTGATGAAGCGCACCTCCAAAGTGACCTCGGGAAGCAACAGTTTTTGATTGAGAGATGCGTTTTTCTTGATGCCAGTCTCCAGGCGTGGACTACATCGCTGAGTCCCGCGTGGTCTTATACCGTCATCGATGACCCGCGTTCCCATTTGCCAAGATTTACCTATCCTCCCATTTATGATGATAGATACCACATTTACCACGGTGTCTCCATTGCTGCAATGTGGAATAATTATCGCCAAATGCGCATCGTCCTCAATGAGATGATTAGGATGATGGCTCTGCGCCGGTTGAGGTTACAATCCGTTCCGCAATACCAGCAGATCATATCTCGGTCTGCTGGCATTATTGATCACATGGCAGGTGATATTTGCGATAGCATTCCATACTATCTTATATCCGGTGAAGTAGGTCTTGGAAGCATATACCGGGTGGTGTGGCCTCTATTTATTGCAGGCCGATGCGCAGCTTCAGGGTCTCGGGTCAAAGAATGGGCTATGCAAATTCTCGACCTCATTGGGAACCTTACCGGGATTCAGCAGGCGATTGACCTGTCACAGCTACTCAAGCAGAGAAGACCAGCCAGTGTGATTCCCGGAGGGGACCTGATTACCGAGTCACTCTTTAACCGGGCAGCCAGGCTGTCTCGGTAGTGACTAGTAAACCGGTCTAAAATCTAACCAACGAACTTAGTTATAATACGCTCATGATGGGTAATCAATATGAAGAACAGCCATAGTCAGCGAACTCCAGATACATACAAAACGTAGCGCGGGAAAACAAAATTAAAGTAGCTTGCTCGCATGGGAACCAACCTAGCTATAGTATGTGCTGTGGGTCCATGCATATCCTCGGCAGATGGTGGGGAAGTGCACAGCCAGGACCCCGTAGATAGACCTCATTATTTCCCACACCTCACTTCACTCCCGACGTCATATCTCCTTGACGATGGTTGGGGGGAAATATGAGGCTGTTCGCATTGCTTGCTTCATCTAGCCTAGTGTGCCAACGCCAACGCCACTTTTGGTCCCAAAGATCCACCTCAGCCTGACGATCCCCCGAGTCACATACCAGATCGGGGTGAGCTCCGACACGATGTGGGGATGGAACCGTGCACTTGGGCTGGGGCTGATTGCGCCCTGTTGACCTTAGACTCCTCTATCGTATCTCTAAGAAGATGGTCGGCGTGGAGCCCTCCTTCAACACCGCAACTGTTGGCCGTTGTCTGATCATTTACTTAGCTTGGACCTGCTTGGTCCTCGGGCTGGGTTGGGAGGATAAATAGCTCCACCTTCCCCAAGATTCAGGTAGGATTCTCAGCGCATCTCTCTCTCTCTCTCTCTTCAATTCCAGTTGATTGAATCCGCGGCGTGCCATGAAGATCTCCATACTTCTGGGCTTGATGTCCCTGAACATCATAGACTGTAAGTGGCTGAGAGGAATCGGATGCCTCAATATGTCTCCCTTTTTTTTTTCTACTGGGTAAACACAAAAAGCTCACGATGTTGAATCTCAGTTACCAATGCTGGAGCTGTCTCCGTCAAAAAGGACCTCGCTTCACGAACTGTGAATGTCAAGCCTCGTGGTCTCCCAGATGCACCGGACGGCTATGCTCCGGTCCATGTTACCTGTCCATCGAGCCGACCTACAATTCGGCCTGGCTCCGCACTGTCCTCCGATGAGACAGCATGGCTCAAAACTCGCCGCCAGAAGACCGAGTCCGCGCTGAAAGACTTCTTTGGGCATATCGAGATTGAAGACTTCGATGCTGTGAGCTACATCGGGAACCACTCTGGCAGCGACTTACCGAATGTCGCGATTGGCATCTCGGGTGGTGGTCTTGTCGCGTGTCTGAATGGAGGAGGTGCTATTAAGGCCTTTGATGAACGCACCGAAGGATCAACGGCTCAAGGTCAGCTCGGTGGTCTGCTGCAGTCAGCCACTTACTTTGCTGCCCTCAGCGGTGGCTCGTGGGCTCTCGGTTCTATCTACATCAATAACTTCACGACGGTCTCTAATTTACAGGAGAACCTTTGGGATTTCACCTCTCCTGAACTGATATATGGTCCTGCCAAGATGTCGCATGTCGAATTCTGGGGAAACATCTCTGCTGAAGTAAGGAGCAAGCGGGATGCTGGATTTAAGACCGGTGACGCAGATTTCTGGTTTGTTGGCCTGCTGCCCTGAGCCGAGGAGAATAAGATTGACATATGTTCATAGGGGCCGTATCCAGGGATACAACTTCTTCAATGCTAGCCATGGTGGGGTTGACTACACCTGGTCCTCGATCGCAAAGACCCAGTCCTTCCAGAGTGGTGATATGCCGATGCCTCTGGTGGTGATGACTGGCAATCATAAAAACACCGAAAGCTTGTCAAGCTCCCCGGCAACCTATCCAATCTACGAGACTACGCCTTGGGAGTGGGGTACCTACGATGACGATATCTACGGCTTCGCACCCTTGGAATATCTTGGTACTCGATTCGTCGACGGTGTAGTGCCAGACAACGACACCTGCGTCCGTGGCTTCGACAATGCGGGCTTCATCACCGGCTCGTCAAGCGATATCTGGAACGAGAAGGGACAGGATATCCTTTTCTATTTAGAGGAAGCTCTAGAATACTACGAATCCACCACGCCAAACTCCACCCTAGTGACGTTTTTGGAAATCGCCATCAAGGACTTCTATAACGCCTCCAGCTCCACAAACTCAAGCATCAACGGGCCAGCAGCCTACGACCCGAACCCCTTCTACCAATACAACACCGCCACCTCCCCATTCGCACAAACCACCGATCTGATCGTGCAGGACGGAGGTGAAACCAGCCAGAACATCCCACTGTACCCTCTCATCCAACAAAAGCGCAGTGTAGACGTGATCTTCGCCGTCGACTCCCTCGGCTCCGAGTCTTACGACTACTGGCCGACAGGCTCATCACTGATTGCAACCTACAACCGCACCCTCCTCAACGTCGCAAACGACACCTCTTTCCCCGAGATCCCCGACCTCGACACGTTCCTCAATCTCGGCCTGAATGCTCGTCCGACCTTCTTCGGCTGCAATGCCTCTCGTCTGAATACGCCGACACCCTTGGTCGTTTACCTGCCTAACCATCCTATTACCTATAGCTCCAACTTCTCGCTCATTCAGGGTCAATTTAGCGATGCCCAGCGTGACGCGATTATCGCCAATGGTTACAATGTTGCGACACAGGCGAACGGCACTCTGGATGAGGAGTGGTCGACTTGCGTGGGCTGTGCGGTTCTCAGTCGCTCGTTCAACCGCACTGGCACTACCGCCCCAGAGGCCTGCACGAAGTGCTTCCAACGTTATTGTTGGAATGGGACCACCGATGACCAGACTCCGTCGGCTTACCTGCCGACAGCTTCTTTGAGCGCCGTTGAGTCGGCCCAGGCCCAGGCGACTTCATCATCGACTGCTTCTAGCATGGGTACTTCGCTGAGTGCGGGTGTAGGATCTACTCTAGCCGTGGTGGGAATGATTCTCTTGATGGTGGTTTAATCTGTGATCAAATTTAGCCCAAGATGTGATGATATATTTGAATTTTGCGATCATGTTCTATAGCCATGGATAGATGTCCGATAATACAAGGGAGTCAGTACAGGACTCGATCAATTTGTGTGCAGTTCTGGTTTGATATTTCGCTGTTGTACATCATCACCTGTCAGTTCGGCGTGAAAATTGCCGTCTACACACACATTAGTCTTTGTCCAGTATCCCAGGGAAGAAAGGGTTGACATATTGAGAACTTTAGAAGGTTTGTTAGGATGACATGACCACGATTCCAAGTTTGACATTTGACTTTCCGGCAGTATTACAGCATGATGATCATGATGATGATGATGATGTTTTATATCTCTTCTTTTCACTGGAAACTATTACTTTCCTGACGAATTCAAAGCCTTGCCGAGGCCTGTGCCAGTCTTTCTATATTACTCTGCTATTACCTCCCCCCTGGCGGCCTTTGTCCCAATAGGGAATATCTTGATAGGTCCGTCCCCAAGACGGCCTCCGGCCGTTAAACAATGATACCCACACGACAGTCAGTAGCTGATCTAGAAGATATATGCTGAAGTCTTACCCCCATTTTCGATTTCGCAGAGCGTAACATGCATGGCACGACACGCCGGGGAGAAGCCGAATGAGATCCTGATTTTCCATGTAACCTTGAAGATTATGGATTCCCAGCCTATCATGCACCTTCTCATACTCAGACTCCTCAATAAGTATCTTGAGTGTCGCCGAGTTTCAGGCCGAGGTAGGTACACGTTTGCGCGGAACATCGGATGGGTCGGATGGAAGAAGATGGCAGAAGGTTCCGCAATTCTTGAAACGGGGCTCTGACCGGTCTGAATGGGATGTTTGTGATCCGAGTGGCAATTGATCCATGAGCCAGATTGGGGCTCGCTACTGCATCGCCGAATCTAATCAAACTATTGCCTGAACGACGAGTTAAAAATAATACTGACGCAGCTGCAAGATGTCAAGAGGCAGACGCAACCGGGCGGAACGCAATCACTCGATGAAGACCAGCTTCGAACGGTTTGATACAAAAAGGCGACGATATCATTGCGATGCGTGGCAATGCCACCATGATGTTCCCAGATCGTATATGTTTTGAAAGCTACTATACAATCAAAAAGCGGAATATACATAACAATCAATAAACGAGTGTAGTTCTGCTTAGGTCAGCGGGCCAGCCCCACGGTGAGTGACGATTGGCCCCGCCGGTTCAACCGCCGCCGGCTCCCCGCATCCCATAACTTCCCAGTTGTTCCCACCGATCGTCCCTTCAGTTTTTCCCTATACCTACTCCTACTGTCACTACTCCTACTCCTGCTTCCTTCCAGTTAACTTCTCCCCCCCCTCCTCCCCCCCAAACTACGAACCACTGAAATGGACCGTTCCAACAAACCCTCCGCCATCGGGGTGGGCGCCTCCATCCCCCAGCCCACCATCTCCTTCCGCGAAAACAACACCGTCGAAGCCACCCTCCCCTCCGGCGAATCCGTCACTGTCCACCTCTACGGCGCGACCGTTACATCCTGGAAGCTTGCCGACGGCAAGGAGCAATTGTTCGTGAGCGAGAAGGCCACCCTGGATGGGTCCAAGCCCATCCGCGGGGGCATTCCCGTTGTTTTCCCGGTACGTCCAGCCAGTCCAGTCGAGCTCACTCCAGCCGAAGCCCAACCCAAGACAAAACACAACACAACACAACACAATATTCACCAATCCACCATCCGCCCTCCCATCTCCCCTAACCCCCCTCCCCTCCCTAAAACCCACCCAATCCACACTCCACACTCCCCCCACAAGTCCAACCCCCACTAACACCCCCCTCAAAACCACAGGTCTTCGGTCCCCCGCCCCCAAACCACGCAACCACCTCCCTCCCACAACATGGCTTCGCGCGCAACTCGACGTGGGAATTCCTCGGCAAATCGTCCTCCGAATCCGGGGGCTATGCCGTGAAGCTGGATTTCGGGCTCTCGCACCCGATGCTCAGCGCGGAGTTCCAGAAGGCGTGGCCGTATCAATTTGGACTGGTGTACAGCGTGACGTTGACGCGCGGGAGCTTGGCTACGTCCCTGCAGGTGCAGAATCAGGGAGATGTGAATTTCGATTTCCAGGTCTTGATGCATACGTATTTGAGTGTGGAGGTAAGATTGTTATTCTTTCTTTCTTATGGGGGGTTGGTTTTGATTATGGGGATGGGATTTGATTGGGGTTTGGCTGGGACTGGGCTAATGAATATACAGGATATCTCGCAGGTCCGGGTGAAGGGCCTCCAGACGAAGGTGTACGCAGATAAGACACAGGACGGGGCCATCGTGACGGAGGGGTCTGCCGCCGTGGTGATCGACAAGGAGACGGATCGGGTGTATCGCGCGCTGGATCCCAAGGTGCCCATCGAGGTTATCACCGCCGCGGACGAGAAGCCCCTGTTTTCAATCACTCGGGAGGCACTGACCGACGTGGTGGTGTGGAATCCGTGGGTTGAGAAGGCCAAGGGAATGGCGGACTTTGGGCCGGACGAGGCGTACAAGAACATGCTTTGCGTTGAGGCGGGCTCTGTTGCCGGATGGCAGACGCTGGAGGCCGGCGATTTCTGGGAGGGTGGGCAGACTATTCGGCCAAGACTGTGAATTGAATCCGATCTGGTCTGGTCTGGTCTGATCTGGTCGTTATGTGATGATTGATGCATTGATGATTACTGATGCTTAAGCTCGAGAAGAAGGAGGGATAGAATAACTGACAAATAGTGAATTGAATTAAATATGTGTAGATACTATATGTTGGTGGCTGTGTACTTAGAGTCCTTGGAGGTTCCAGATCCTGTCCTTTCTCTCTCTCCTTAAATATGGGCCCATTACCGTTTGGAATCCTCAAAACAACATTTAGTCTCCCCCGATTGATCCCCAGTACAGTCATCTCATCTGACTCTAAGCAAGAGCCCCAGCCAGCAAGATCCTTCACTTCCTCCGTGACGCATGCCCACACCGCATACCTTCGACCTTTGCGTGTGTATGTATGTATGTATGTATGTATGTGTGTGTGTGTGTGTGTGTGTAGATGCCAATACCATCGAGACAGGCCACCGGTAGATGATCCACTGCCCATGGACAATGGATATCATGGGATAGGCAAATCTTATCCGACTGCTCCAAGACTCCCATTCTTTCCCAGAAGACAAAGAATCAGACCCCGGCCTCGACAACGCACAACGCCAAAAGAGCCGGGCAGCCTTCCGCAGGCATCGTCATCCCACTCCCCCGGCCCTTCCTACACAAAAAAAAAAAAAAAACAGACATTAGCACCTCGCGTATCTCACAACTAATATTGCCAAACACATACTTACCCATGAAACCATCCACATCCACATCCACAACCACAACCAAACAAACCATAGTATCCGGCATCTGACATCCGGCACCTAACATCCAGTATCTGGTATGGTATGATATGGTATGATATGGTATGGTATGGCATGGCATCTCATCTCATCTCATCTCAAAACGCCGCCCTCGAATAAAGATCCCCCCGAATCAGGACCGCCTCGGGCACACTCAACCTGGCAAACTGACATCTGATAACCCTGGCGCCGGAAACCCCCATCTTGCACATCGGACAGCAGGCGCGGCGCCGCGTGAGCCAGGGGTCCAGACACGAGGCGTGGAAGATATGCCCGCAGGTTAGTTCGCGGATGTCGTCCTCGGCGGAGAATGGGTCGATGCATATGGAGCAGATGTTTTCTGTGTCTGTGTCTGTGTCTGTGTTTGTGTTCGTCTCGGGGGAGGGGGAGGGTGAGGGGGATGTGGTTGGTTTGGGTGAAGGGGGGTTTTGGGCGTGGTTGGTGCTGTTGTTTTGGTTGGGGGATGGAGGAGTAGTCGACTCAGCAGCTGCAGTTGAAGTTGGCACACCATGAGACGGCCCAGCACCAGCACCAGCACCAGCACCAGCACTAACAGGCGTGCCAATCCTCGGCCCAATAGCCGATACCTCCCTCGAAGCAACAGCCAGATTATCCTGATCCTGATCCTGATCCAGCCTACCTCTACCATCCTCCTCTCCCTCCTTACTCTCCACGACAACCTCCACCTCATATCCTCTCTCCACTTCATCTTTACCACCCCCTTACTCCCCCTCCCCTCCAACCAAACCTTATACTTCACCGTCGGGAACCTCTCCTCGACCACACGCTGAAGAATCACAGGATGACGCGCGGCCTCCACATCATCATACTGGTAGCGGAAGAAGCGACGGCGTCGGCGCGCGCTGACAAAGACCCTGCTTATTTGGGTATGCATAATTAGTTGACCATGGATATTATATTGCAGTGGGGGGGGGGGGGGGGGGGGGGAGCTGGGTACGTGAGTGGATAAACATACCACGCGCCGAAGAAGACGAATGCCACGCAGACGGGGGCGAGGTAGCCCAGGAGGGCGGCAGAGGAGACTTCGACCATTTTCGTTGGAGTTGGGGCTGGGGGGGGTGGCGTTAGATGGACGAATTAGACGAATAGAGTCACATCAGAGGGTTAGATGGGGATGAGCGTACTTACTTGCGAGATGAGGTCCAAGGAGCTGTGATATCACAAATGTGGAAGAACGCGTTTGAGGAAGGATCTTGAATGGGATTTAGACTCGAATGATATACGTAAGGTAGTAGAAGGGGAAGAAGAAGAAGAAGGGAAAGGAGAAGGAAAGACAACGCCTGCCTGGGCAATGCCTCGTCAACCGCAAGTGAATAAACAATCGTTCGGCTGTAGTAGGAGTAGTAGTTGTTGTTGTTGTGTGGCAGCTCGCCTGAGTAGTTCCCTATCGGCGGTGTTTTCCTCCACCATGACGACAGTCTGACCGACTTCACTTTGGTTCAGTAAATTAAGCCTGAGGTCCTCGAGCGATGCAGCCACATGCCGTCATTTCTGGGGTCGGGGTGTGGCACCTACCAGAGTCAACGAAGGTCCCCTGTTGACGCTTTGTTTTGCGAGATTGGCGGCGGAGAAGGAGAGTAAGGCGAGGTTGCTGGATGGAGGAGATGGAGGGGATGGGGAAGTGGAAGGGGAAGTCGGCATTGGAGTCCCGGGAGGATGACTGCGCTGTACGACGGAGATAAGGGGGGGTGCCGAGATTCCGCTGTGGGATGACTTAGATACTACTTACTATATTTGATCGAATTTGTACTGATGTAGGAATAGCTCGTGTGACAGATACGTAGTAGTTTGATAAGCATCAATGCCATACAGCCCCTTCCATCCATCCACCCACCCACCTTGCATGTACCTATGTATGTATGTAAAGAAATGGACCGAAAGAAAGCCAGAGAGAGAGAGAGAGAGAGAGAGAGAGAGAGAGAGAGAGAGAGAGAGAGAGAGAGAGACAAACTTCTTTTGGATGGGACATGATCAAAAGTCAAAAGACAAAACCCATCAAGAGGCAAGAAACACACACACAAAAAAAAGAGTATAAAGTCTAAGAAATAGGATATAGACAAGACTTTGAAACGCCATCGCTATGCAAAACCAATTCAACCCGTGTTTCTCCTCAATGCCTCGTGCGTTTCCAGCTTGATATCAAATAATAAATCGTCAATTTCTTTGAGCGAGCCCCGGTCCAACTTGGCCAGCTTGGCGACGTCCAACACTTTGCGAAGGGAGGTCGCAATGTCGGCCTGGGGGTTGGCCGGCTCGGGGGCGTGTCGGTTTGCGTGGCGATGGACACTCCCCGTGTCTTCTTTTTCTTCTTCTCTGGACTCCGAGACTTGGATCGTCGGGACTTCTTGGAAGGTGACTGTTTAGGTACGGCAAATACGTCCGTCATCTGGATGTCGCCGGTACCCGATGGTTCGATTTCAGGTACAGGTTCGCTCATTTGGGTGTCGACCGGGGTGTCGGATACGGGTTGCAATGAGCTTGGGATCTCCGACTCCTCCAAAGTCTCCTTGCTTTCGGCGGTGGCCTCGGCTTGCTCCTCATTGTCGACACTGTGGTCAGGCACATCGTCCGTGGGCAGCTTTTTGGATTCAGCTCCTGTCCCTTCCGTTGTGGATTGGGGCTCCTCCTCTATACTGTCCTTGTCCTTGGCTTTGTCCTGCTTGCGTGGGCGATTGGGTCGAGGCGACCTCTTGGGAAGCGGCGGAACGTCCTCAGGGATGGCGGGTGCTGCCTGGCCACTAAGACGAGAAGACCGGCGCTTCTGAGAACCCTCTTGACTATCCGAGACCTTGCCCTTGCCGCTGTCATGACCAGACGGTTGATCGGTGATCTGGGCAGTATCGGTTGCATCACTCTTTGAGTCATGCTTCCGTCGTTTCGGCGCTGACTCGATTGGTGATAATTCCACAGCTTGCGATGCAGTCAGCGGTCCCTTGGAGCGAGTCGCACGGCTGCCTTCAACGTCTGCAGCCGAAGGTGTCTTGGTGAGTCTTTGAGAGCGGCGGCGTTCGTTGTCTTTGCCTGAAGGTGTAACCTCTTCCGTTTCCCGTTTCCTCTTTTTTGTCGCCGGGGCCTGTTCCGAAGGGTTCGCTGCGTCGTTCGCAGCATCATTTGTAGCTTTTGGTGTTTCGTCCAAGTCTACAGCAAGCTCCAGATCTTGCTCTAGCTGAGACGCGACTTGGGTCTCCATGTCGTCACTGGATTCGTCCGCAATCAAGTCAGAGCCTTCAACCTGTGACGTTTCCTTGTCTTTACTTGGCTCATCCGAGATCTGGTTGCGCTTCGGTGTGGGGGTGGATGCGATTTCTTCGGCGGATCCCAAGTCGGCGGTCTTCTCAGGGGAATGGCCAGAATCTTGAGGAGCATTATCCGGTGATTCCGCCGGCCGCTCATTCGTAGGAGGCTCTTCATCCTCCGGCACTTTATTTGTAGATGAACGTAGGCGCTTTGTAACGGGCTCTTCTGCTCCAATCGTAGATTGCTCTCCAGCTGGATTAGGCTGTTTAGACTGGGAGCTCGACGCTTTCTTCGCCTTAGAAGAGCGCCTAGACCGTCTCTTCGACTTTTTCTTCTTGCTCGCAGGCGTACTTACTGAGCCAGGCGTGGTGGGAGTTCCAATGCTACTGTGAGCCTCCGGGCTGAGCGGTTTGAGCTTTGGGGGGGAGGATAGAAGCTCGTTTTCCATGGGGGGGCTGTCTGCTGGCGGGGGAGACAGCGATTGTGTGATTTCAGACTCGCTCAGCTGCGATCTGCCTCGTGTTCCTGGCGTAGGAGACGACCCTAGAAATCCATACTCATTGTCGGCAAGTACAGGGGGTAGGGTGGGTGTTTGGGGGGTGGCAGAGTTGGCAGTTGGGTTGCGCAGATCACGTAAGTGTGGGGGCGTCATGAAGCCGATGTCTCTCGGGGTATTCGTCGGCGGTGACGATGAATGGAGGCTCTCAAAGAGCGAGAACATCTCGCTGCGTTTTCTCGGGTCTCCCGGCCCCGTGGGGAGAGCCATGTCAGTAGTATGAACGGACTCATCCACAGGTTCAAGTTTTGGAAGTGGATGGGGTTCTATTTGCTTGTCCAGACACATGGACATATTTTCAGACCCTCCAGTGACAGGCGACGAGCGCAGGGTTGGATCTTCCGGGTTATCCAGAATGAAAGCGATGCGAGACTTGACCGACATATCGATGGGGACGCTCTTCGCCGCCTGTGCGTCAAGGGGACCAGATTGTGCCTCAGACTGTAATGCCTTAGTATTATAGCCAGAAAATCATGTTTTAAAGAACCTACCTGCGCGGTTTGCACGAGTGTACTCGGTTGCTGAAGTTTGATCTGAGCTTCTAGGCTATGCAGCGCACGAGATACCGTCTCAGGGCAGGGCAAGGATTCTTGCAGCCCAAACGTAGAATTCCAGAAGTCAAGAAATCTCCTCGTCACAGAACCGTGGGAAGATTCAAGACCAGCACAGATGACAGGCTCGAACCTTTGCAAACACAAAGAGTCATGTGGAGAAGATGCTTGTAAAATGCTCAAGACAGCTGACGACAGCGCACGGCACTGATCTTGGGTTAGAACATATCCGAAGCCCCTTGCGTGGCACACTTACAGCAGTAAGGATTCTACTTTCCACGCCGCTCTCAACGTTTAGTTTGCGTGCTCCGTCCCTGAGATAGCTAGTAAGGGGTTGTTGAATGTGGGCAAGAACTGTGGTTCGGAAAGTCGTGACACCCGAGCCCAGAAGAGACGTCAGGCATTCAATAAAATCCGCAATGCCGCTTGTTTCCAAGGGGTCAAAGCTCTCATAGGACCCCAGAAGTGTTTTATTCACCAATGCCACCAATTTTTGAGGGAAGAACAGTTCCTGACTGTTCCCTAGGCCAGACTCATGGCAGTAAGAAATCGAGAGGGAGTGCTTCAGAAGCGACGCTGATGGGGGGCAAGTATTTCGTGCACCATGGGTTATGATAGCCTCAGCAAGAGGCTCCACAGCCATTGCTGCAATTGCTTGGTCGCTCTTTTCGGTTCTCACAACGCGGATTAGCGAATCAACAAGTTGACTCCACACCTGGAAAACATCGGCAAACTTCAAGCCTGCGGACAGGATTTTGACGATGTTCTCATAATCACGAGAAACTGAGCCATCGCGCTCACGAGCTGTTTCCATAGGAAATGAGGCTAGAGAGGCTGCAGATAGCTGTGCCGTGGACGTCCATACAGCTTCCGCCAAACTACCATTGTCGATATGGGAAGCCATGTCGTACGGCTGGGCTTCGGAGCATTGTCGAAGAAGTTCAAGGCGCGAGCTTCTTGACAGTTTGTCGTTGCATGTTGCTTCAAGAACACCGTTGACTAGACGCAAGTAGGATGGGGTCGGCCCTGAACTGCTAGGCTCACTGATAAACCGGAGGAAATGTAGGATAGGGCTGTCAAGGGTGGTATTTGCTCTTGGATGTCGGTGTGTAGGTGTTGTAGCAGCCTGGAAAGTCTCATCCGCCGTCTTTAGGAGGAGCTTCTCAGTAAAGCGGGCACTGCCGAGAGAATATATCACGGTGGTAGATAGAAAGCGGAACCGTTCATGAAAGACGGCCAGAGAATCGTTCTCCACGGCAGCATTGAGCGAAGACGGTCCTGCATTCCATAGGCGCTGGAGAAGCCCAAGTACGTGGGCCACGGCTTGCATAGACTCTGGCGTTGGGGTGATTTCTTTGCTCGAAGCATATGACAAAGCCCTGGAAAGGCTCAGCCATGCTGCAGCAATGTGCGACTGCTCAATATCAGGAGCCCAGACAGATGACTTGAAGATCTCTTCGAAAACACCCAGGACTGACGTGATCCTCGACCGTATCCACTTGCTATCAATCGACGGTAACTCTTCCGGGTCCAGTTTGTTGCTCTCATTGACCTTGTTTTCGACCCAGATTCTTGCCTGGGGGGTCCAAAGCATATTGGAAAGCACGTGAGCAAGCCTGTCGCTGAGGTTGGGCACCAATGAGAATATGCTTGAGGCGGGAGAAGCGATGTATTCTTCCCAGACAACATCAAGATGTTGGAAAGACGCCGATGGACGGAATGCGTAATAAAGAAGATTGTAATAGCTGCACAATGCCAGTTGACTGGGCTGCTTGTCCTGCTTCTTCCGGTCGAACTGTGATATGATGGGTTTGCTCAACATTCTCAATAAAGAAGGGCTTGTCGTATCGCTGGGGCCTATGACAAGAACAAATCGATTCCACCCGACAATAGCCTGTGCCTTGATTGAGGAATCGCTGCAGTTGAAGCATCTTTGCAGCACAAGAACCCATTCCTTGAAATGCTCCCATTGACCGATGTCGAACTTTTTGTTTCTCAGGAGCAGAATGATCACGCTCCAGATTTGAGGCACATGGATTCCACAGTCCGTATTTGCCATCATGCGCGTCATTCGCTCACATATCTCGGTTACCAGCTTCCTTCCACCGTCGAGAGGTCTGCCAAATATCTCCCGGACAGACTTTGACAATGTTGGGTTCGGTCCGCACGTTATCGAGGTCTGAAAGCCGACAGAGATAGCCTTTATCCTAATGTCTTTGACATGGTGGAGCAAGCCAGTAATAAGATGGTCCATCCATAACATGGCGTTTGAGACGAATACCGACTTGGACTGGCTGAGAACGCGCGAATAGATACTTAGCCGCTGGGACACAATCGCACTCCCGGTGACTCGGTTGGTTAGTTCGTGAAGCACGGTCAAGATGCGTAATACTCTCGCATTTGTCATAATCTTCGAGTGGAAATTTTGGGTCGACAAGACTGACAAGTAGTGGGTAACGACGGACTTGGGCATTTTCGCATCTTGAAGACAGTTGATAGAATGATCGACAAGAAATATTTTAAAGTCGTCGGGTAGTCGCACGGCGACCTCGTTATGCCAGACCAGCGCGACAGCCAACTTGAGGGCCTGAATGACGAGGTTGGTATGCAAAGGTCCGCCGGTGGTAAGATCACCGCTGACATCCCGATGGATGAACTGAGTGATCAAACCAAGCCTCGCCACAATCTCTTGTTCCCCAGGAAGATCCTCGTATGCCCTCAATGCCCCAAAAAACTGCATATAGGCGTCAAGCCTTGAGCTAATGGCCTCCCCGGCTAGTTGTTGCAATATCGACTCAAGAAGCATGGCGAAGGAATCGGGAGTGTGAGGCCCAGTAGACGGCGCATCGACAGGAGCGTAGGGGGCGGTTGGCTTGAGGATCGACTTCGCGGGCTTGCATTCGTTCGAGGGGGGCAGCGACTTAAGGTCCAGCTTGGACTTTGCGGCGGAATTGGCGAAGGAAGGAGGCTTGATGTATTTCGTCCATGGTGAGAAATTGACGCGCTTAGATTGTCGACTCGAGGGCGCACCGGTGGACCCATTAACGGAGAAAGGAGAGTCGCGAGGCGTGTGCACCACAACCGGAGAATCTTCAGGTCGTTCCTTTTCCAGTATACGAGACGTCCTAGGTGGAGTAGGCGGACGAGCAGACAGAGGACCGAGAACCTCCACCATATTTCAAAAGATCGGACGATAAAAGATACCGGGATGAAAGCGGAAGAGGGGACAGGAACATCGCGATACAGCCTAGCTAGAAAGTGCGCTGTCCATAACCCAGATCACGGCCGTTGACAAGCAGGAGCAAGAATGGGAAGCCCTGGATGAAGCAGGACAGCGGTGCCGTACGGGCATTTGCTCGATCCTCCGGAGACCGCGCCAAGCCACGCAACTTAAAAAGACGACGCGCCTGTGGCTGAGGCAAGGCACGCGTTAAGTGGCAGCGCCGCGTTTTATGCCTGAGGCAATGAGCCAGCCAGCAGTACTAGGGCGGTACTCCGTAGGCGGTGAGATGGTAAGGAGTCGGGGGAGCAGTAAGGCTTAGGCACAAAGGCACAAAGGCATCCGTCATCCAGGCACTCAGGCAGCCAGCAGCCGCGACGGATTCCCCCCCAAATCATTACTATCGGAACGGTTCCTCGATCCTCAGCAACAGGGGTCCATCACTTATCGCAGCCTATTCACGGTCCTTGAGCTTCTCTCCGCCTTAGCAACTTCATCTCCGCTGCCTTCTTCTCCGTGATTATCCCCCCGGCTTAGTATTAGCCGTGAGCTGGTGGGGTTGTGCTTTATTGCGCCTTTATTCATCAGTCCGTTCGTTTGCCCCTGGCCATACCCATTGCATATGACCTCCGAAATCACCACTTCTGGACCATCGTTTTCCCCACTTAGCTTTTATCCTTAATCGTTGTCTCCAATCTATTCCCCCCTGACATCTGCTTCTTATTGTTCCAAACTTTTACGGGATCATTCCAAGTGGGACTCACCAAGCTAACCAATAAGGGTACATTGAATCCAATAAGACTATCGCTGCAGGCTGACACTTGCTTAAGGGCTGCGTTCATTCAAACTTAACCATGGAGTTCCGACCGCTCCAGGGCGCAGGTATGCGGAAACCAATAGCATCCCGGCTTAGTTCCATCTAACGGCATACTAGACAAACTGCAGCGAGTCACCCAGTTGATGGGTACTCTCAGGACAGATCTCAATGACAAGTCCCTGAATTCACAGGGTAAGTTATTGTGGGCTACACCAAGTATCTATCTGACCTCACTTACCTGCATAGAACGGGTCCAAACACTTCTGGAGCTGAGGCAACATGGAACAAACCCTGACAATGCCGGGCCCATCTATTCGAAAGAGGTGAGTGCTGTCATTGCACCTCAAATAGCTGCGATCTAACATGTCTATAGGGAATGGAAATGCTGGCGAAATATGGCGCGGATGCAGACACTGCGGATGTGCGTCGGGCCGCGCTGCGCTGTGTCGCAAACGCTCTTCTGTTAGATCCATCGATGCGCCAGCTTTTCGTGGATACTGGCTACGGAGGTAAATTGGCAGAAAGGCTGAAGGTATGGATGCCATCTCAAAGGGCCAGCCTGGGTCGGAAACTGACCTTAGCAAGTGTGACTCCTCGGAGGATGAGATGGTTATCAGCCGAATCCTGTTTTTGTCTACATACGACACTACTATGGACTTCGAGACACTGATCAAACACCACTCCCTGGGTGACAATGTCAACTACGTGAGTCAACATCTGTCTACAGTATTGTCATTTGCTGACTGGGTACATAGCAAATCGTCCGACATGCCAAACAATTCCCCAAGTCTGGCAAGAAGTCTCTATCACAGATGGATGAATTGGCGCTCACCGATACGCTAAAGCTCATTTTCAACGTCGCAAAGGTCTATCCTGATCTGTCTGCGACATTTTCTTGTTCCATTCCCAACATCTTAAAAATCATCAGCCGCATCGACATTCCTGCAAAGCCTCTGGAAGGCCTGCTCAGCTATCTTCTCAACGCCCTGTCTACTCTCGATCTGGAAAACAAGAAGGGCAAAGTTTTCGAGAGTAGCCCCCTTTTCCCGACTTTCAATCAGAACTGCAACGTGGACAAATTGATCAATATCTTGGACCAAGCTGTATCGGCATACGGCCCTCTCGAGCTTGAAACCAAGTCTATACCCCTCTTCCACTCGCTTGTCACCATCCATGAGATGGCACCGGAGGGTCCCCGTAAATACATGCAATGGCTTCTCTTGCCGGAGGACAGCGACAGAAGTCGTCCGATTGGGCAGTCTGACACGCTTTCATCCAAGCTCTTGAATCTCTCGACTACACCCTATCCCAACCTGAAGGTTGCCATCTCCGAGCTTATGTTTGTGCTTTCCGGGAAGAACGCCGAAAACCTGACCAAAAACATTGGCTATGGATTTGCCGCAGGTCTGTTGGCCTCTCGTGGAATAGAGATTCCCCAGACCGCAGGCGAGGCATTTGCAACCAACCCGAATGGGACCGACTCCGAAATCAACCCGATTACTGGCCAGAAGTGGACTGCGGAACCGAAGGACGAGGGCCCCCCTATGACACGAGAGGAGAAGGAAAGAGAAGCGGAGAGATTGTTTGTGCTCTTTGAACGGTTTGTCTCGTCCCCGGTCTTTTGAACGTTCGGCTACTAATTTCTATATCCAGTGCTCGAGCGAACGGTGTTCTCTCGGTCGAGAACCCCGTCACAAAAGCATTCCATGAAGGAAGATTTGAAGAGTTGCCCGACTCCGATAATGATAGTGACTGAGCTGATAGGCTTCAGCAGTCTTATTTTCCCTGTATCATAATCTAACATGGCTTTCTAACATGGGCAGGCAATGTGCGTCCTCAGGCCTTTGGTCAACTGCCTCATCTATGTACATTTTTCTGCAATCTAGCTGAGGACGCTCAAGTTGGAAGAGCACTACCGAGGCAATTTTAAGCATTATCCTCCAAGCATCTCCCCCTATTCCTCCTATCATCCTGCGCGATCTAGCATCTTCCATTCTATTAATAAGCGGTGGATGGCGGTGGCAGCTCTCACAGTGAGCAAACAGGCAGTACGGAGGAGTTATTGGTTTGTGAGAGGAAACTGGGTCTCCACAGGATCTGTAATCAGAGGCCCCGATAGTGGTTTGTTTGTAATCCTCAAGATTAGGGGCGTAGCGACTCTGTGCAGATAGTCAAATTGGGCGTTGTTGATGACGTACGGCCCGATCGAGCGGCGGGGTTGAAGGCGGCGCAAAAATCTCCGCCCGCGGCAAAAAAAAGACCAGCCAGTCAGTCGCGGGGCAACTGTGAACTCTTTCGATCTCCCTCCAACGACCCAATAGACCATCCATTCCTGAATTCTTGTCATCATACTACACCATTCCTTCCCGGTAGTCAGACACCGACACATACGCCAAAATGTCCAAGCCATTCAACCCCGAGGAGGCGGAGAACCTCGACGATGTATGTCGCTCTTGCGCCTAGCCCCTCCCCTCGAATGTCGCGAAGTGCGAAAGCTGACACCCAGTGTAGATGGAGAAGCAGTTCGCTGTTAAGGGTTCGTCCGATATCCGAAGACTCGCATGATTTTCCCCCGCTCACGATTTCACAGCCGTGGAACACTTGATGACATACTGGTCGATCCTGGAGAAGGTTCCGGGCTCGAAGCTGCGCCTGACGAGGATGGACGACGAGATCCTGGAGTCTTTCCAGAAGGAATTCCCGGACTTCGATCCGGCCGCGACGATCGACGAGGACCAGATGAAGAGCAAGGAGGGCAAGGAGAAGTGGCGTAACTGGATGAACCAGTTCGAGAAGACCGTCCACGACTTCAACTTCGGAACCATGCTGCGCTCCAACCCCAAGTTCGAATACGACCAGGAGACTACAATCTTCGGTGAGTTTCAGTTGTTAGAGGATGCGGTGGTGCGCGGTTGGGTGACCGGCTAACGGTAGTACAGCTATGCGTATGCAATTCTACGCCGTCGAGATCGCCAGGTAAGCCCTTCACTAGATCCAACAGACAATCATTCGCTGACGTTTCGATAAGAAACCGTGCCGGCTTGAACGACTGGGTTTATGAAAAGGCGCAGAAGGCCAGCTCTTAAGCGCGTGGCAGCAGCTTTCCCCTTCTCCGGGCTACGCAGGAACGATGACTGGCGGCAATGATTTGTCCGGGTCCGACCATCCTTGCATTGCTATTGTCCCAACGACTTTGCGATGACTCGAGCCCACGGGTCTAGACGGCAGACCTTTAGCATCTTGTCCCATGGATCTCAACTGGGTGGTTCCGGCATCGCCTATATAGCCCTGTGAAAGAGTGTGGTCCTCCCAACACGCACTCTAGAATATTTCCCTCGGGATCGGAATACCATGTACATACAGTGGGCGGAATTCGTGCAGTTGGAATGCAGTGATGAATAGAAAGACATGTGGTTGACCCTCCCTCTGGTGAAGCCGCGGGAGAACAATGGCAACGCCGGTCCATTGATCTCTGCCCCCTCTAATATGCCCGCATCTGGAAAGGATCGGGGAATAGGCCAGCTAAGATCAAATGAAATGTCGCATATCTCTTTGTTACGATTGTTCTGTCGCTTGGCTTGTGTGTTTCTCGCCTGCTTATCCTTCTTCTATCTCTCTCTCTCTCTCTTGTTCTCTTCCAGCGCCCTTTTACCATCATCACGATGTTGGCGCACTTGTTGCCGAACCATCAAATTCGCCCATCCAAGACATCCTCGACCTGGGCCTACCAGTAAAATTCCATGATGGCGCTCTTTTCCATGAACCGGAAATCGGGGTGGCTGCCACTGTTCAGTTTCACAACCACCAAGCACCTTGTCCCCTTAGCCGGGGGGGTATTCTTCGCCATTCTATCCAGCCTCGCGACTCCCATATTCGCGATAATTCTGGGTCAAATCTTCAACTCTTTCACATCGTTCGGCGGTGGTAAAATCTCGGAACAAGATCTCACACGACAGGTCAATAAACATTGCGCCAGGCTGGCCGTGGTGGGAGCAGCTGCCTGGGTGTGCAATAGTATATACTACATGCTCTTCGTGACATTTGGGGAGCTGCAGGTCCCAAATGCTCGCACGAAGCTATTCCGGGGGCTTCTGAGGAAGAACCAAGAATGGTTCGAGACGCAGCAGGATGGCACGAGGGTCTTCCTGTCTTCACTCCAAGGGTTCGTGACTTCCTTAGATATAGATCTGACCTTCGCCTGTCGCTGACCTGACATGCAGACAAATCGATGATCTGCAGAAAGCAACATCGCTGGCTCTAGGACTTGGATTGCAGTATGTCTTTCGAGCGACCTTCTCGCTGACCATGGCGTTGGTCACCTCCTGGAAACTCACCCTCGTCACTCTGGCCGGAATCCCAATCCTTTCCGCTATAATCTCGGTTCTTTCCGCGAAGACGCACCTGAGATTGGAGGCACAGAAGGATGAGCTGCTGCATTCTTCTAAGATTGTCAGCAATGCGACGACTTCGATAGATGCTGTGAAATGCTTCAATGGGCAAACTACGGAAAACAGAAACTTCGTGGCTAGTATCGACAGAGCGGCCGTGCAGTATCTCGGAAAGGCGTTTTTTACTTCCCTTCAAATCTCGGCGTTACGGCTGATGACGTTTGGCATGTTCGTGCAAGGGTTCTGGTACGGCAGCTCTCTGGTGACGGCAGGGACTCTTTCAGCGGGAAACACACTGAGAACCTTTTGGGGATGCTTGTTGGCTGCGCAGTCGATGGAATTCCTCATGCCGCAGGTCGCCGTGTTGTCGAAAGGGACGGTTGCATCTCTGGCTCTGGTCCACATTTTGAGTGATCGGGCAGATGATGAGGCCCAGGGGGCGATGGGAGGGTCTTCATATCCGGACGTCTGTGAGGGGGGCATCGAAGTCTGCGATGTAAGTGCGCCGGAATTCGTTTGTTGGTGTTGTTGTCTAACTGATTTCCTACTCTAGGTGGTCTTTGCGTATCCATCCCAACCGAGTAGATTTGTCTTGGACTCGACAAGCTTCTTTTTCCCGGCGGGAGAGACAACCTTTGTTATTGGCAAAAGCGGGTCTGGGAAGAGTACCCTTGGACAGCTGCTCACGCGCTTCTATTTACCGGCGTCCGGGGAGATCTTGATTGACGGCCATAACATACAATCGTTGAGTATCGACTGGGTTCGGAATAACATCACCGTTATCGAGCAGCGGAGTGTACTCTTCAATGAATCTATCTTCATGAACATCGCGTTTGGCAGCCGTGATCATGACCACGTTCGAAAGGCCGACGTTCAGGAATGTGTCGATCTTGCAATGCTCCAAGGCATGATCGAGGATTTGCCCAGGGGCATAGACACCTGTGTCGGTCACGGAGGCGGTTTTCTGAGCGGTGGCCAGAGACAGAGGGTGGCGATTGCGCGGGCGCGGTTGCGGGATACACCAATTCTGATCATGGACGAGCCCACCAGTGCCCTGGATGGCACGAATCGTGTTGAAATAATGAGATCTATTCGCGAGTGGCGTCGAGGGAAGACAACGATCATCATCACCCACGACTTGTCCCAGATTCTGGATAACGACTTTGCCTACGTCCTGGACCAAGGCTCGGTTGTCCAAGCCGGATATAGATATGAATTGGAACAGAATCCGAAGTTTTTCCCCACTCCAGATATCCCGGACCCGCCATATCGCCACTCGCAGGCCTTCAACCACGATGTGACTGATGCCAGCGATGTTGTTCATCGACGTTCCGATATTCCCTCGGGATTCTCGAGCAGGAGAACAAGTTACCTCGACTCGGGGTTTTGGTCCAGGGACAAGCCGTTCGGGGAGGATTCGGTTGCGACCTTTGATAACCAGACAAACCGGCAAAGCAATCGCACCTCTGTTATATCTCAGTGGGAATGGAACAGGGCCCATCCGCACCCAGTTGATTCTTCCGGGATGCAAATGTACGAACTTAATTATCTTCCAGTGAACGGAACAAAAGGACACTCCCGACGGTCCAGTATGAACTTCATCCCTGTGAATGGTGCCATCACTGAGATGAAAGCTGTCCAGTCAGACCAGCATACCTCGCAGCCATCCAGACAAACAACACAACTCGAACCACAAGAACGGATGACCTTGCTACAGATTATGCTGACAATATTGCCGAACCTGACCCCAAGACAGCGGCTGCTTCTGGTAATAGGGTGTCTCAGCACACTAGGTCACTCAATGGCCACTCCGATTTTCTCATACTGCCTATCGGAACTCCTCGAGACATTCTATGACAGAAAGACTAGCGCTTCAAGATGGGCATTAGCCGTACTAGGCGTCTCAATAGGCGATGGGGTCGTGTCCTTTTCCATGCACTACCTCTTGGAGCTGTGCGGCCAGGCCTGGGTGGATTGTCTCCGAAAAAAAAGCTTCCAACGCATCCTCGACCAACCTCGCAAATGGTTCGAAGAGGCAGGGAACGAATCTTCCCAACTCACCGCATGTCTCAACCAAAGCGCGGAGGAGATGCGGAACCTGATCGGTCGTTTCGGTGGCTATGTTCTCGTGGCTACCACTGTTACCGTGGTTGCTATCCTGTGGAGTTTGGTTGTTTGTTGGAAATTGACGCTTGTTGCAGTAGCATGCGGTCCTGTGATCTACGCCATCACTCGAGGATTCGAACGGACTAACGGGCTGTGGGAACGACGATGTATTGGGGTCAGAACGGCGGCGTCGGACGTGTTCGTCGAGACGTTCGCGGAGATCCGCACCGTCCGGACGTTGACTCTCGAGCCGTACTTTCATAAGAAGCACATGAAGGCTGCGGCGAAGTGTATGACTCTGGGGTTGAAAAAGGCGCTTTACACCGGCTCGCTCTTTGGGCTTGTGGAGTCGATGATTCTTTTCGTCAGTAGTAAGTGGCATGGTCGTCGTGTTGAATCTCCGGGAAACTAACATTTGCATAGCACTGATATTTTACTATGGTGCGGTCTTGGTGTCGTCACTCGAGTTCACAGTTCAGAATTTGATGACTGTGTTCTCGATACTGTTGTTCAGCATCGGATACGCAGGCACGGTGCTGTCATGGAGTCAGTCGTCTCGATCTACGTCCCTTCTTCGTCTCACTGACGTTCTCATAGTTCCCCAGATTGGTACTTCGCAAGAAATGGCAAACCAGCTGCTACGTCTCGCAAATCTCCCAGACGGCGCTTCTCATGAACACCGCGGAACGCTTCAAATCACCAAAGCGGCCCCTGTGGAAATCAACCGGTTGAACTTTCGATATCCCTCCCGTCCAGAAGCACTTGTCCTGCGAGACGTGTTCCTCCGAATCCCGAAGAACAAATGCACGGCCATCGTTGGACGGTCTGGTTCAGGAAAGTCGACCATAGCGTCCTTGCTGCTAGGTCTCTACGAGACACCTGCGTCGTCCAGAGGCATAACGCCGACCATTTCCCTACGAGGCATTGATATTCAGCGGGTGCACACCCCAACCCTGCGCTCGTTGATAACCATAGTCTCACAACAGCCATCTATCTTCCCGGGAACCATCACCGCCAACATCACCTACGGGCTGGAAGACGGTTCCGCGGTGCACTCCATGTCCAGCGTGCGGGCCGCAGCCCAGGCGGCCGGGATCGACGAATTCGTTACATCACTTCCGGACGGATATCTCACCTTGATTGGGGACGGCGGGGCCGGACTGTCAGGAGGACAAGCCCAGCGGCTGGTAATTGCGCGGGCGCTCGTGCGGCAGCCACAGATCCTGATCCTCGACGAGGCCACCTCCAGCCTCGATCCCAGCAACGCGACGATCATCCGGCAGACCGTGCAGCGACTGGCCGCGGCGCGGCGAGGGCTCACCGTTCTTATCATTACGCACGCAAGGGATATGATGGAGATTGCAGATAATATTATAGTGCTCGAGCAGGGCCGCGTGGTGGAGGAGGGGTCGTACAGGGAGCTTGCGCGTCTGCCAGAGGGGAAATTAAGGGCGCTAATAGACAATCCGGACCCAGAGGAGGGTGAAACAAGCACATGAGTTCATCCCATCTCAACTCTCAAGACGACACCTCGGCAAAGTGACGCTTGAACCACTCGATCGCCTGGTCCTCCGCCTCCAGTGCCTGTCTTTCCACATCCTTCACCATGACATCGGCCCGCACGCAGAATCCATGCCCAGCCCCATAATATATCTTCACCTCCCCCGCACCCTCCTTCTGCGCCAACACGCTCTCAATCTGCTTGATCTGCGGCAACTTCACCGCGCTGTCCAGCTCTCCCATCGCAAAGCTGACGGGGATCGTGATCTTCTCGATATCCCCGGGGATCTCCAACATGCTGGGATGGCCCGTGAAGCCGGCATTGATCAAGGGTTTCCCATCCACCTCGACCCCCTGCGCCAGAAAGACAGTATGCTTCCCACCCCAGCAGAACCCCGCCGCGCCGACCGGAAGCGCAGCGCCTTCGTTCTTGCGGAGCGCGGCGAAGAAGCCCTTCACAATCGGCCACGACTTGACGGGCCGATTGCGGTACATAAACGGGACCATCGCGTACACGGCGCGGAGAACATGATAGCTACCCGGACATACCTCGTCAGCTGTACACACATACCCCAGACATGATATAGCACAAGTATTGTATGATACTCACGGCTTAACCACCCAATCCATCAGCGACCCCGTCTTCATCACCGCCCCGAGGGTTGCAATCGACCAGACGGGTGCAGCATTTCCTATAGATACGTAGTTCACTCAGTATCTTTTTTTCTCTTCCCCTCTTCATCATCAAAATCAAGAACCTGAGGAGAACCCGCATACCCTTCATAAAATCCGGCAAGTAAACCCGATATCCCCCCTTCGCGGCATAATGATCCGCCAGGATACGATTATTGACGAACTCCCACCCGAACGCATCCGGGATGATGACGATAATCCCCTTGGCTTCGCCCTCCGGCTCCGTGACGTAGGCGTCCAGTCCGTGCAGCTTGATCACCTCGCCCCGGGGTGAGCCGGCGTGGACGTTGCCGCTGAAGCAGTCGGGACAAGACATGTTTCTTTTCTCTCGTAGGTAGGAGGTGGTGGGATAGACGACCGACGGAATTTGCGGAACAGACCACTAGAGTGGTAGTTGATAATAAAAAGGACGATCTGAACCGATCCTTTCTTGAGAAAAGGAAAGAGGGGAAGAGAAGGTAGGGCACTCGCAGGCTTTAGGCTGCCTGCCTTATGTATGATCGATCCATGGCTGGTTGGGCTCGGGGGTCATTCGTTAACTCCGATTGTATGGGGGGCCTTACGATTCACGTGGAGGGAAAGCTTAGATGGGAGTGGTGTGTTTGTTTGTCCTCCCCCCCCCGAGTTTGGCGGGTTGGAGTTTGTGGTTAGTGTGTCGTACTCTGTATGGTCAGCATAGATATTAGTATTCCATTCCTCTGCCGTCGTCCTGAAAATTACGAGGGTTCGTAAGTCCGGCTGTTCTGGACCCCCGGTCCATGGTTGGGGGGTTGAAGTCGAAACTCTGTCTGGTGCTGATAAGAGAACCTTGACATCGATACTCTCTACTTACTTACAGTCTGGTAGAGGCTCGGGCGCGGCAACTGGAACAACCGGCCAGAAGTGACGTGTTCTAAAAATGGCACGCGGTGGATGAGCTAAGGAAACCCCCGATTCCCACCTGTCGTTTCATGCTGAGATCGATTTAATTAGTCGGGAGGCTGCGATGGGGTCGTCTTTAATTGGCGTCGAGTCTAAATGATGATAATAATAATTGATGCAACACAGTTCAGCTGGCTGTTCAGGAGGTGGAAAGGGCAGGGCAGAGTAGAGCAGATAGACGATCTCACCAGCCATTTTTTACCCTGGTGGAGGGGCCCAGCCACTTTTCTCTTTTTTCCACTCCTCCTCCTCCTCCTCCTCACTCCGTACTACTTACTACTCCGGCTACTGCTTCATGCACGGCTTAGTCGCCAATCTTGCTTTGGCATGGATTGATTCGCCTCCTCCCCTCTTCATTCGACGACCAACTGCAGCCTGTCTGGGGAGGTTTATTATCGTCACTCTTTGACACCAGCTAGCCGCTGATCTCGTATTCTTCTGTCTCTGTCTCTCTCTCTCTCTCTGTCTCTTTTCTCTTTTCTCTTTTCTTTTCTTTTCTTCCCTCTCTCTCCCCCCCCCCTCACCTCCCCCCTCCTCCCATCCTCCCGTGAAGGCCATGGATCCGGCGATCACTCGTCTTGTCCCTTCTCTACAACAACTACAACAACAATCACCATCACTCTCGCTACTTCTACGCCACCGCCTGCGCCTCATCGCCTGGTCGGATTCGTAATATCTTATTCGCTACCAGCAATCGACCCTGGTCCTCGAGGTCTTTCCCGCAGCCGCCGCCTGTCAGTCCGCTTCAGAACACATAATACTTCATCCGCCAGTTCCGCACCGTTCCCTGTCTAGGCTCCCATTTCCTTCTTTCTCTTTTCCGATCCAGCTTGCCACCTCGCCCACCGGCGTCAGCCGATTGTCGTCCTCTTTCCTGCTGCGTTGCATGTTTCGGGCTCTCGATCTGGGCACATTCCTGATCGCCCAGAATTCCCAGCATGCACATTCCGTACCACTTCCGCCAGTTTGACATCCGTCAGGGTGATCAGGGCCCCAACAACACCTTCCATAACGACAGCGACAGCGACAGCAATGCGGCCCATAAGAGCAGCTCCTCCGACAAGAACAACATCTTCATAATAGTGAGAAAAAAAAACCTTATCCCGGTGGACTCGCATTCTACCTTGGTTCCCTTCCGTAAGCTGACATAACGTTCGAACCGCAGTGTGCCGCCTGCATCATCTTCGTCCTGGCATCCGCCCTCATGATCTTCTTCGTCTTGCGAACCCTCCGTCGAATGGACTGTCGTCCGAAATACCTGCCCGGCAAATTCTTGAAAGATAAGTGGACCAGGTGGAATGTCGGCGTCACTTACGGCCAGGTCGCGGGTGGATCGACAGCGAACAACCGCGATGGGAACGCCACCACCGATGCACCCCCTCAAAGTGGAGCGGAGATGCAGACCAGCACTCCTGCCAACACTACCAACAACAGTAATGTCCGGCGCGACACGTCCGTTCGCTCCGTCATCACGCTCCCGGCCTATTCCCTCAGTCCCAAACCGTCGGAACAGGTCATTGCTCGGGAAGGGGAGCGAGGAGGCATGGATATGGTCATGGAATTCCCCGAAACGGCAGACGAGGAGGAAGCGCGCAGAGAAGGCTTGATGGAGTCCCTGTACCAGATCCGCTTACAACGACGAGAGGAATTGGCCGAGCGCGAGTGGCGGCGACAGGAGCGTCGTGAGGCTCGTGCTCGCGGAGACTATGTCCGCGTCGAACAACTTCGGATGCAAGATCGGAATCGTGGCCGCAACTCCGTCAACGGTAGTGGCTCGAATCTTAGTGCGGCGTTGGCAGAGAGTCGGAATCGTGGGCGCGATAGGCGCATCTCCGCTGTTTCCTACGCGGAGTTGGGTCATGTCCGGCACGACGGGTCGCGTATCAGGGCCAGTTCGCCTGATTCCGATCGTCGTCCTCTCCTGACCGACCCCTCCGGGGTCAGTACGGACACGCCGGATCGATCTTCCGGGTCGATTCTCACCAGCATGCATTCCCGCGGCGAGTCCTACTCGTCGTATCAGTCGGGGGCCACCACCGGCTCCGACGCAGACACCTTGACCCAGGTGCAGTCGCATGCAACCTCCGCCCACTCGGCGGACCACCCTTTGCCAGGGACCGATGAAGGCGATGTGGGCGCCCTGCATATTCCGCCTCCAGACTACGACTACCTGGACTGGGGAGACGCCCCACCCTATGAAAGTCCAGTGGCCGAGAGAGGCGAAAATGCGCCCCCCCAGCTGCGGGAACTGACTCCTCTTCCTACGATCCATATCGACATGGCCAGCCCCATCAGCAACGATCCTGCCACGCCCAGAAATCCCCTGCGCGATGAGCAGGAGGAGCACTTTCCCGCACCCCACCCCACCGAGCAACAGTCTGCGGAGGACCACTCTACCGAGGAACATTCTCTGGTCGAGCCCTCATCTGAAGCACACTCCGTGGAGAGTGAATCTCATGCTCATCAACCGTCGTCATGATTACTCCATTCCCCGGGGGGTTTCATCCCCGGCAGAATGACAATCGGTCGATACCCAGGCGGCGGCGTCCTGCTGCCTCGGATCTTGCATCACAATACCCCGTTACGAGCATGAGCGTTTATGACCCCTCGATACTAGCATCTTCTGTTCCTAATCACCCCACCCCCATCCTCTGTTAATAGTTCATATTTCCTGGATTTATATTAGCCAGCAAGGCGTTCGTGAAGGAGAGCGTATGGGCGGCCTGTTTTCAGCCCACCGAGTGTGTATATTTAGAATCGGGAGGAGCTTGTCTGTCTGATCGTGTTTGCACATATGATTCCGTGTTGGAGAATGAAATTGTGTTCAGTATCCAGCTATATTAAGTTCAGTAACAGTAATTAACTAACTATACTCTGAGTAAGACAAGAATGCAGGTTTGGTTTGGTTTGCCGGCCCGACCGCTCGTGGCCGTGGAATCCAAGGCGGTCAGCAGCTCCACCGGAAAGTAAACAAACCAATGCAGTTCCACTAACTGCGGCAGGAAGGCAACCCAACCTCCTCATTTATTCCCGTCGCAACATCCACCCGCGCCTCTGCGTTAGTCGTCCGGGGTGCCTGCTGGTAGATTGCGTTGCTTCTGGGACAAGGAAGCCGCAGACCTCTTCATTGCCTGGCAATTGCACTCGACCCGACTCGAGGTGTGTTGTGCTGTGTTGTCCGTTGCTGCTTCCCGTCAGAGTTCGGCGACACTAGAAAGACTCGCGCTGGCCCGACGCGCTCGCTGCCAGCTGCCGTCCAAACAACTCCCACGTTCCTCCGCGCAACTCGCACCAGACCGCTCACCAAACTGGAGCAACGAACCCCCCTCGACGCAACCCCAGAAGACACCAAAATCTTTGTTCTGTGTTTGTTTACTTTTTCCCGCTCGACCGAGTCCTAGAGCCAGCGCGCGTCCCCAGCCCCTAACATGTCGCGCGAAGCTACGACGAACAGCTTCGCGTCTTTTGGCTCAGACTTCGACCCTGAACACGAGGCCCTCGCCTCCACGAAAGAGATCGGCGGTAGCCCCCGTCTTCCAGCCATGAACGGCACCGCGAGAAAATACTCCACCATCGAGGAGGAAGAACCCGACTACGCTTTCAACACATCCACCTTCGAACAATACCTCCCCGAGTTCTCCCCGATCGGCACGTCCGAGGAGGAGGATCACGACGACGACAGTATCTCCATCGAGGCCGGACGAGGCCCTTCGAAACCTCCCCGTCGTCTGGACGACTCCAGAAACTCGTACATGAGCATGGAAAACAGCGTCCGCTCGTCCTCACCCGCCGTGAGACTCGACTACCCTACCTCGAATACCCCCCAAAAGTCCGCCCTCCGCAACACGACGAGACGAGCGGTTAGCGAAAATCTGCGCAAGGATGCCCAGATTAGACGCGCTAGTATGGCCCACAAAGAGAACGTTGATCCCCAGGCGGCGAAGTCGGCCCGCAGGGACCAGCGACGGACCTTGTCGGAAATGCACGCGAAGGTGCGTGATTCTTATGAAGGGTCCTTGATTGAGGATGAAAGACCCCCGTTTGCCACGAACAGTGCGCGTCCGACACGCTTTGGAAACCCCAACCTCTCTCATCAGATTGCCGACGCCGTGGAGAAGGCTTCCCAGGAGGCTTATGCCCGAGAGCTTCGTCGCGGAAAGACCGCCAACAGCACGCGCAATGTGCCTAACAACGCGGGTGATACTGGCACCCAGCAGTCGTTCCTTCTGCCGGACCTTCCTAATCTGTCCGAGCTGGTCTCGGGCGTGTATGAAGACGGCACCCCGGTCTATACACGTCAGCATAAGAATCGCACTACGCGATTTGTGTCACCCCCCGATGTCACGGACGTGTCATTTACTCGCGAACATATGCCGCTCGACGCGGTCCCCATTCCAGAGGATGAAAAGGCCTTGTTTGTCTCATTGAGACTGCTTCAGGACAAGGTTTCGGAGCTGGAGAGGACCAAAGCTGAAACTGAACGGCGAATGGATGATATGAGACGGGAGAACGAAACTTTGAAGGCAAACAAGTCTCGCCATAAGGATAAGCACGGTCGTAGCCGAGCATACGAATCCGAGGAGGATGAGTATAGGAGGGATAGACTTGCGAGTGATAATCAAAGTAAGTGCTCTGGGTAAGAGCTTCATCGCCATACTAACTCTATGCCAGAGCTGGACGCAGCCAACCTCGCTTTGCAGAACAAGCTGGATATCATCGAAAGGAAGGCCCAGATTCAAGAGTCGAGCCTGAAACGGCTGAACCGCGAGCGCGATATGGCCGTCTCCCAGCTGGGGGTGGCTTATCTTGAAACCCAGGAACTCAAGAGTGAGAATGAAAATCTTCGCCAGGAGAATGCAGGACTCAAGGCACAGTTGACCAAGATCTTATCATCTGGCTCCAAGAATCGTGACGACACTGTTGACTCGGAGCAATCTTCTTTGACCGACGCAAGCGACTCAGACAGCCAGCTCGACACGCAACGAAGCAGGAACACCGGCCGGAGCACCAAGGAAGTTACTTCGAAGAGCTCGCGCTCGCGATCCAAGTCTGCACGCCAGGAGGATTCGCGCGCCAAGGTCTCGACGCAGGTCGACAAGGAGATCTCTCGACTCGAGCAAGAACGTGCGGACGAGGCCTTGTTCTCCATCGACGTCCCCCAGTACAGAGAAAAGCTGAGGGCAAAAGCAGAAAAGTCCAAGAGCCGATCGCAGGCCAACGATGTGAACACGAAGAAGCAGCCGAACACTGGCAAGCAGCGCGTCAAGCGCGTGGTTCTAGAGGAGGTCGACGTGACTGAGCCTGTCGAGTCCACTGGAGAGGTCACTGGAAATACGAAGAAATCCAGCACAACCGAAGAGGACTTGACCCTGCTCAGCTTTGTTGATGTGAGTTATCCTCCTGGGTTTCACTATATTCCGTTACTTACTGGTGCCCAGGAACGCGAAATTGCTCAGCTGCGAAAGACGCTGGAAGAGGAACGACTGGCTCGCAAGCGCCGGCAGTCAAACACAACTAAGGAGCCGGCGGCGAACGAAACGGGAAATACCACCCGCCAGAGTCTGCCCAAGTCGACGGTTCCCAGGAAGTCCTCACTGAAAGAAAGCAAGGGGGTGCCGAACAGACCCGCCTCAGCAATGGGCGACTTGACCGCCACGTCCAAGGCTAGTGTGGTTGAAGGGGATAGCAATCTGTCGGTACCTGCTGAGCGCCCAAGACGGCATTCAGATCATTCTGCGGCGGCTACTTCCCAGCGGCGTCGCCGCCGGGTCGCTGAGGACATGACATCTGCGTACCTCCTGCCCGACCTCACTTTCAACCCTGCCGGTTTGGCCATCGAGAATTTGGCAAAGCTTCCTGAAGCCACGCAACGGGCACTCGACAATGCCACCCAGCACAAGGGCAAGAACTGCACGGTCTGCAAACGCAGCATTCCCGGTGATGCCTGCGACCATACCGAGGAGGCAGTGAAGATCCCCAAGCCCATTCCTGTGTCCGAGCGTATGCCTGAGCCTTCTCCTTATAACGAGGAGCCGACTATGCGGCCCGCTCAAGCGCCCGAGCTTGCCCTTGCCACGGTGCTGAAGGCCTTGGAGGATGAGCTCGCCCATTTGAAGATGCAACTGGTGACATACCAGGCCGCATACAACAAGATGGACGCGTCGTTGAGTAAACGCCAGAGGAAGACACTGGGCGAGAAGATCGAGAAGGTGTTGCAGGACATTGATATGAAGGCCGACCAGATCTACGCGCTTTACGATGTCCTGGAGGGACAGAAGCAGGACGGTCGTGAGATGACTGAGCAGGAGATGGAGGTGACTCTTCAATCGATCGGAATCGATGCGGGTGTGGGACGGGCAGCAGATGTTACTGGTACCACGGATAGATCCACACGCAAAGGACTTGAGCCGGACTATGATGAAGACGACGAGCTTCCCTGGGAAGGATTTGAGAGTACGCTGGAGATCACTGGGAGGAGTGTTGGAAGCCGCCGACACTAGTCTGGATATCGGTGCTGTGTTTTCGTGTTTGAGTTGTGCTTAGCTTTCTTTTTTTTCTCTTTTTTCTTGATTTCCCCTATTGAGTTTGTGCTTTTGTGCCATTAATTTCCTACTTGTGTTACTTTTCTTCTATAACTCTTATCTTCCTTTTTCTCTTCCGCTTTTCCATCTGATGCAGACGTGGTGTTTTCGGATCAGGTTGCAGACTGATTTCGGTGTATGTCCCTGGTTCTTGAGAGCCTGTTGACGCGTTTACCTTCGAGTTGATACTTGAGATGTCTACCAGTCGTCTGGCGTTTCCTTGAGCGTCCTCCAGCTTTTGTGTCTCTTGCTTGAGAATCTGCTGATACTCCGAGCCTTAGCGATACTTGGGTGTATGTCCGCCAGTCTATGGCGTTTGAGTGTCCCCGAGAGTCCTTTGGCTTACTGTGTCCATTTTTGAGAGCTTGTTGATGCGCACGCCTGTGAGTTGATGCTTGGGAGTGTCTGCCAGTAACTCGGTGTTTCTTCGAGTCCTCTGGTTCGTGTCTGTTGCTTGGGATCTGCTGATACTGCAAGCCTTCGAGCGATACTTGGGTGTATGTCCGCCATGTCTGGCGTTTGAGTGTCCCTGAGAGTCCTTGGGCTTACTGTGTCTATTGCCTGAGTTGGTTTGACATTGACGGACTGTACCTCTCCGTCATGACTTTGACCTTGCGACACGCAACTGTACCCCCCCTCACCTTACCTCACCTTCCCTTCTTCTCTTTGTCCTTATAGTGTTGGATATGGCGCTTGTCTGAGTCGGTTGCATGGTAGGATTGGATAGGCTTTGCGTTGTAATAGTATGATTGGCCCATTACTCTGTGATGTCGTACATAAGACTCCTCCGATTCCTGGATGCTGGGAGGTAAGGGAGGGATGGTGGTGGTGGCTGGGCTAGACCGGAAGGGGCGTAGGGGCGATGACAAGCTTCGGGTGGGTTTTTGGGTCATCGGCCAGCCTTCTTCGGCTCGGTCGGTTCTCCTCCACTTTTCTTTTTCCATATCTCTCTCCTCTCCTGCCCCGGACCACTGGATCTGCCTATTTTCCAGACATTCTGCCCCCGTTTGACTTTGGTTCCCCCCGAGAGATCATCTCTGTCATCTCTACATGCCCTCCCCACTCCACCATGACCCTCCCACCCGGCACACCGACCATGTAGATCCGCACGCGACCGTCGCCACCGCGGCCAGCGCCTCTCATCTCCGCAAAGACCCGTCGCAGCCGGAAACCCAATTCCTGTCCCCGACCATCTCCCTCGACCACTACACTGACAACGAAGACGACGAGGAGAGCTTCAACACGGCCATCCACGACGGTAGCTCCGCTCAGACTCGCATACTCGCCCCCGCCCCCGATTTCACCTCGCGACGCTTATCAGTTGATATCGCCAACAGCAGCGACGAGGACAGCGACGACGACGACGACGATGACGGTCCCAGTTCCAATGACTCTTCCGCTGACGAAAAGACCGTCTCCTGGTTTTCGCTGCCGCACAAGAGCCAATTGGCCATCCTGACCATCGCTCGACTCTCGGAGCCGCTCACCCAGACCTCCCTCCAGGCTTACATGTTCTACCAGCTCAAGTCGTTCGATCCCTCGCTGCCGGACTCTACCATCTCCACGCAGGCGGGCATCCTGCAGGGCAGCTTCACCGCCGCGCAGTTTCTGATGTCCGTTTGGTGGGGGCGACTGGCCGACGCAGAGTGGATGGGGAGGAAGCGCGTGCTGCTGATTGGGTTGTTTGGGACTAGTATCTCATGTTTGGGGTTCGGGTTCTCCAAGTCGTTTGTCACCGCCGCGGTGTTTCGCACGTTGGGTGGCGTGTTGAATAGTAATGTCGGGGTTATGAGGACGATGATTGCGGAGATTATCGAGGAGAAGAAGTGAGTTGTCTGTCTGCCTGCTCTCCGGGCGGGCTTTCTTGTCGCGTGTGTGCCTTGTGCTGACCACCTCAGGTACCAATCTCGAGCGTTCCTCTTGCTTCCCATGTGCTTCAATATCGGAGTAATCATTGGCCCGGTTATTGGAGGTGCTCTGGCGGATCCCCTGAAGAGCTATCCGCATTTGTTTGGTCCGGGGACGCTGTTCGGCGGCGAGGATGGGGTGGGCTGGATGCGGAAGTGGCCCTTCGCGCTGCCGAATGTGCTCAGTGCTATCTTTATCTTCATCTCCGTTTTGGCTGTCTTCTTTGGTCTGGATGAGGTATGTTTGATGTTTCTTGTGACTCCTGGAGGTGCGCTGCTAACCTGTGTATGTGTAGACGCACGAGGTTGCGCGCTATCGGAGCGACTGGGGTCGCAAGCTGGGACGGAGAATCGCGCGGTCGTTCTCGCGTCGGGGCCCGTATTATCGCCGTCTGACCGAGCATCCGGACGACGAATCCATGTACATCGACGGCAGCGTGGCGAGCAGGTCGAACCCCTCCAGTCCGCTTCGCTCGCGCGCTCGCCCCCCTCACAAGCGAGCCAGCTTCGGACAGATCTGGACGCCCAATGTCCTTCTCACGCTACTGGCCCAATTCCTCCTGGCGTTCCACACCAGCGCCTTCAACTCCCTTACCTTCACCTTCCTGCCGACCCCCCGAGCCCCGGAGGGCAGCCGCGACGGATGGTTCCGGTTCGGCGGTGGGCTGGGCTTGCCGTCGTCCCGGGTCGGCATGGCGACGGCCATCATCGGAATCATCGGCCTCCCCCTGCAGATCTTCGTCTACCCCCGGGTCCAAGGACACCTAGGCACGCTGCGATCTTTCCGGTGGTTCCTGCCCTTCTCGCCGCTAGCGTACGCCCTGATGCCCTTCCTCCTGGTGATCCCGCGCGTGGCCTGGCTGGTCTGGCCTGCATTCACGTTCGTCGTGGGCCTGCAGGTCGTCTCCCGCACCTTCGCCCTCCCCGCCGCGGTCATCCTGGTCAGCAACTCCGTCTCCGACCCGTCCGTTCTCGGCACGATCAACGGGATAGCGCAGAGCGTCTCCAGCGGCGCACGCACGCTGGGCCCGTTCCTCGGTGGCTGGGGGCTCGGACTCGGATTGGAGTATAACTTCGTCGGGGGAATCTGGTGGGCCCTGGCCCTGGAGTCGCTGGTGGGCTGGCTCGTGCTCTTCTTCATCTTCGAAGGCAAGGGCATCGAGAAGCGGAAACGCACGGAGGAGATCGAGGAGCCGGACGAGCGCCGTTGAAATTCGGACGGCCGAATGAACGAAAGAATCAATTTGTATATACTATACACGAATGCTGGGCATCTTATTTACTTGTGAGGCGGACTGTCATGATATGATATGATATATACGAAGCCATGTCCGGATACGATAGATGATTATTACGTTACCCATTAACTTCAATTTGATATAGCATGCGCTATCATTGTTTTGTTGTCGTGATTCGGGAACGTAACGTGACGTAGTAAGAAATAGATGCAAGCATACCTTGAAGACCAGCTCAAGATCCAACCAGCCCCACCTTCGCCACCACGCCAAATGCAAGTAGGATGATGAAAGAACATCTCACTCATCCCCATCCAGCAGCCACAAACGCCCGAATGGCCAACACCGCATCCCCATCGTGTCTCCTTAACAGCTCCGTCGCGCGCACCTTGCTCAGATCCAGCTCGTTGACCTGTCGAACACAAAAACCAACCATTATATTAGCATGGTCCTCGGAAACCAAGTCCTCCCAGTCCCAACCATAGTCCTCCATAACCAGCACACCCCCAAGAATCAAGAAAGGCTAAAACATAACATACCAAAAGATTCACATCCTCCACCGCAATCTTCGCACCACTAGCACCCCTCCTCTTCCCTCCCTCGCCATCCGCCTCGCCATCCCCCTTCCTATGTGCCTGCGCCTGCGCGTGTGCCATTTCCACTGTTGCCGCTGCTGTCGCCGTCGGCTTCTGCCCAGCCGCAATCTCCAACCGACTCATCGCCTTCCCGAGGGCTTCCTGGTCCGCCGCGGAGGGCGGTTTCGGCGTGGAGTCGGAGCGGGAGTCTGTGGCGATTTGGGTCGTGTGTAGGGAAGACAGCGCGGCCGCGGCTTTGCGGTCTTCGGCGTTGGTGGGGGGTTGGGCGTGGGGATGGGGATGGCCGGAGGAGGGGGAGGGGTCGGTGTGGGCGTGGGCGGAGGGGATGGAGTCGGACATGTTGATGTTGATATGGAGATATTCTTGGCTGTTGATTGGAGTGTTGATTGAATAATCGATTGAGGGTATGTAGACAGTAGTAGTAGTAGTTAACTAGGTTAATACGTCATACGTTATCCCCCCTTTCACACCACGTCTAGCCCGAAACAGACTAGTGGCGAGATGACTCAACCCGGAATCCGCGAATAACCGGCCGGTTTTGTGCTCGAATGGTCTTGGTTTATTGTGTGTGTGTAACTTAATTGCTGTCTCTTTCTCCTTTCTTCCTGTTCTCATCTTCTGTCTTCGTTCTGCCATCCATTGGAGTTGAGTATCTGTTGATAGTCATACTCCGTACTACCCCGACTTTCGGTCTGCAGTGGGGAAATCCACATCCACATCCACATCCACATCCATATCCACATCCACTTGTCCGGTTGACGGTTGACGGTTGACGGTTGACGGTTGACGGTTGACGTGCTTGGCGTCGATCTACCATCTCATATCATCACTTCGTACCGTACATTCAATCAGGTTCCGATTTCAATTCCAATTCCAATGTCGACAACCACGAGCACAGCTATGGATGGTACTAGTGCTGGTGCTGGTGCTAGTGCGGACGCTTGGTCCCCGAGCTGTGCGTTACTTTCATTTCCTTTCCCTCTTGTCTTGTCTGCCCTCCGTCAATTGTACTGCTAACACACCGATAATCCAATTCCAGCCTGGACCTCCAAACCCATCAAGCAAGATGTCGTCTATGATGATGCAGAAGGCGTGCAGGCTGCGCTGGAGAAATTGCAAAAGTTGCCTCCGTTGGTGACTACCCAGGAGGTGAGATTGAATCTGTTGTTTGGTAGTGTCCGGCTGATATGTTTGTTGCTGATGGCTAATGGGAGTAGGTCAATAATTTGAAGAAGAGCTTGAAGAATGTCGCCCTGGGGAAGGCGTTTGTTCTGCAGGGTGGTAGGTTTCCTCCCCATGTTTCTCTTTTCTGGGTTGAGAGGCATGTATAATGATGATGGCATGATACTAATCCTCCCAGGCGACTGCGCCGAGCTATTCGACTACTGCAACCAGGACATGATCGAAGCGAAAGTCAAGCTGCTCCTGCAGATGAGTCTGGTCCTGATTTGGGGTTCGTCTCCCACCTGAACAGCGTAAACTACCCAGCTAACAGCCCCAGGCGCCAACAAGCCCGTCGTCCGCATCGCCCGAATTGCTGGCCAATTCGCCAAGTGAGACCCCCGTCCCTCTGCTCTACATCAACCCTAGCACCTACACTAATGTCACCACAGACCCCGCTCCAGCCCCATGGAAACCGTCAACGGGGTCGAAATGCCCTCCTTCCGCGGCGACAACATCAACGGGTTCGACGCGACGCCCGAATCGCGACGCCCGGACCCATCGCGGCTGGTGTCCGCATACTTCCACTCCGCCGCAACCCTCAACTACCTGCGCGCGTCGCTCTCCTCGGGCCTCGCCGACCTGCACTCCCCGCTAGACTGGGGCCTGGGGCACGTCATCACGCCCTCCATCCGCGAGAAATACACCAAGATCGTCAACCGAGTCAAAGACGCCCTGCGATTCATGCAGACCGTCGGCATCGACACCGACCGCGGCGTCGAGACCGTCGACGTCTACACCAGCCACGAGGGCCTCCTCCTCGAATACGAACAGAGTCTCGTCCGACTTCTCAAGAACCCCCTTCCATCGCCGTCCCCATACACCATCACCAACAACCCCTTCTCGGCCACCACCCCTCCCCCTCCCCAACCCCAGCCCGCCACGACCCTGCCCCTCAAATCCTACTACGCCACCTCCTCCCACTTCCTCTGGATCGGCGACCGCACACGACAACTCAACGGCGCGCACCTCGAATTCTTCCGCGGCCTCGCCAACCCGATCGGCATCAAAATCGGCCCCAGCATCACCCCCACCGAACTCATCACCCTCCTCGACACCGTCAACCCGTCCCGCGAGATCGGCAAAGTCACCCTGATCTCCCGGTACGGCGCGTCCAAAATCTCCACCTATCTCCCCGCGCACATCGCGGCCGTGCAATCCTCCGGCCACATCCCGGTGTGGCAATGCGACCCGATGCACGGCAACACGCAGACCACGCCGTCGGGCATCAAGACGCGGCACTTCAGCGACATCTTGTCCGAGCTGAAGCAGGCGCTGGAGATCCATCGCTCCTGCGGCAGTTTCCTGGGCGGCATGCATCTGGAGTTGACCGGGGAGGCCGTTACGGAGTGTGTGGGTGGTGCGGCCGGGTTGACGGAGGAGGGGCTCAGCGAGAGGTATACCACGTTTTGTGATCCGAGGTTGAATGAGAAGCAGGCGTTGGAGTTGGCGTTTTTGGTCGCGGGGTTTTATAGGGAGGTGGATGATGAGGTCGTTTGATTTGATTTTATCATCTTCCTGTTTCTTCTGTGGGTAGTGTGTTTAGTATTTGTTCAATTGGGGGGGTTTTTAAAGAAGGAAGGGGGGACCGTCCTGGCAGTCGGGTTGGTTCAGTTCGGGTTGATTTTCGGGTCGATCATGCATGCTATACCGAGTTCTTTATTACCTACTAGTAGGTAGGATGCCTGTGTACCCGGTGAAAATCTGAAAATAGTCAAGAGTGGTTTCTCATATTTACTTCAACTACAGAGAAACTATCACTGATGTCTACGCAAAGCAAGATTCAAAGATGAAGATGAACATGAGCTGAACAGTAGAAGATAAATATATCCCAGGCCATTATACCGAATCTCAACCCAAGAAAATATACAAGGAATATATATATCCCACCCAACCAACCAACCAACCAACCAACCACAACAAAAGGGGTATGTACCCAACCCAGTACTCCATAAATGCGATACACAAACAGATACAAAATCCACATCGGACTAACTACAAATATAATCCATCACTCAATCAACCACTCACTCACTCACTTCCTACTCAACAAGCGGACTCCCCACTCTCGGCTTATACGCCATACTCTTCCGTCTGGCGGCCTCGAGCTTGGCCCGGAGCTTCTGACTCGGCTCCTTCTCCCGAGCAGGGGTCGTCGAGAACAGGCCCTGTCGGATCTGCTTGGGCGGACAAGTCTGCTGGACGAGTTTGTTGCGCTGGGACAGATAGAACGGCGTGGCGGGGGACATGCCGATGGCGTCCATGTCGAAGGTGTAGCCGGGGTTTTGGGGGTGTGGCAGTATGTCTGGTCGGCTTCGGTGTGGCCGGCGGTGGAGTCGGGGGTGGTGGAGGAGGAGGATTCCTGGGGATGGTTGTGGTTGTGGTGGTGGAGGGTGGGGGTGGTGGTGGTGGAAGAAGAAGAAGAAGAAGCGGAGGAGTCCGTGGTGTCGCGGACGAAGGCTTCTTTGGCGGCGTCGATGCCGGAGCGGCGGCGGTGGGCGGCGGAGAGGGAGGCGTCGGTCTTGACGAGCGTGCCGTTGATGTTGCTGAGGGCGCGGGGCTCCATGCTCTTCCGCCGCTTGGCGCCGCCGCGCGGAATGATGGAGCTGTCGACTTGGTAGTGCGATTCGTCGAGCCATTTGTTTTCACGCTCGCAGCTGGAAATGGTTAGTATTTGTCTCATCTGAAAGTCGGCCATCGAGACGATGTGGTGGATGCGACTTACTCGAGAACCCAGCCAACACCGACACACTTGACGAGTCCGCGCGCCTGGCGGACCTTTTCCAACGTCCGGACGCCTCCATCCTTGAAGACGACATGAGTGATACCCACTCTGTTCTCCTCTGGGGACTGGCTTGCACGGGGGTTCCAGGACCATTTCATCACGCACCGCGCCCCCATCTGCTGCAGGAGCTCGATGAAGATGCCGCTGGCGTCTTCTCCCTCGGTGGTGTGGACATCCACGTACACCACAGCGCCCTGGAGAGGCAGTTTGGGTGCAGTGAGGCTCTTGCGAGGGGTTTTAGCCTTCTTGGTCGGGCTTGGGGTGTGAGCCCGTTTGGCCGATCCCGGTCTTTGCTCCATCATTGCCTGTGTTTCTGCTGGCTGACTGACAGACCGCCGTTCCGCGGCGCGTTGGATCCTCGGTGACTTGCGGGGCGAGAGAGACGGGGCGGGTCCCTGGGCGGGAGCGTAACTCGAGATGCGAGGTCTTGAAGACCGACCTGGCGAAGCACCGGAGAGCGAAAGGCCTCGCTTGCGGGAGACCTTCAACGGTGATACGAAACCTTCAGGCTTCAGCGGAACTTTGGACACTGTGTGGACGGTTTGCATTTGAAAGGGGTTGAGCTTCATCGGTGTGAAAGGAGTGAGGACTGGAATGTGCGTGTTCTCCTTGTTCTCCCCTTGCGTGTCATGTGCAGGACTGGAAACTAATTCCTCATTGAAATCAGTCTCCCGGTCATCGCTGACATCCACGGGCTGAGATTCATGCGTAGGGCTGTTGGCCACTGATGTCTGGTTGAGGTCATTCTCGACCTCAACCAGACTGGGTTCCGGGTGGGCCATTTCCGCCATCGGCTGCCTCGACTCCTCGGGCTCCAGTTCCAAGGTTGACTGCGACTCGGAGTCTTCGTAAATCTGAGGCTCCTCGGTTGGCTGAGTAGTTTCGTGGGGCACTTCGAACTGCGCTTCCTCGAGCACTTCGGATGCTTCATCATGTAGTCCAGACTCTGCTTCCTGAGGCACTTCGGGTGCTTCATCGGGTACCTCAGACTGGGCCTCAGGCACTCCAGACACAGGCACTTCCTCAGGCTCGTCAGCGACTTCCTCAGGCTCGTCAGCGACTTCCTCAGGCTCGTCAGCGACTTCCTCAGGCTCGTCAGCGACTTCCTCAGGCTCCTCAGCGACTTCCTCAGGCTCCTCAGCGACATCATCAGACACTTCAACCACATCCTCAGCCTGCACCTGCCCAGAAACATCCGGATACGCGACCTCCTCCAGCTCAGGAGTACTCTCAACCTCCGTAGACCTCCCCAACCCTCCACCCAAAGAGAAGACACCGCGCCTGGAACGCCTCGGCTGGAGCTTTTCAGGGCTACTCGCCTTCCACTGACTGAACTGCTGCGCCAGAGGAGTAAAACGCGGGGCATTATCGAATAGCGCTCTCCGAGTTGATAGCCGACGACGAGGAGTCGCCTGTTTAGGCTCAACAAACGGATCCTCGTTGATCTCCTCGTCTCCGATCTGATTGTCTGCAGTGACTGTCTCGTCAAGGTGCACACCAATAGGGCTCATATGACGGCGCTGCTCGGGGGATCCGTCGAGAACACGCACGGGAGACAGCACGCGTCTGAATCTGTAGTATACTTGGCGGGTAGGACTGAAGGTCGTGGAGTCCTCGGGTTCTTCGACCTCATAAGCCTGGATTGGCTGTTTGTTTGGCGAGAGCTGAATGGTGGTGTCGGCCGGCACGAGGGTGGGTTCGCCTTCGTCGAAAGATTGGTCGTCCATGTCCTGCTCATCGAACTGGTCGTCAAAGTCTGCCTCTTCGTGTTCGCCGGCTTCTTGCATTTCTAGGTCGTCCTCGGTTTCTGAACCGTCGCGGATCTCGTCGAATTCGGAAACAGGGGGTTCGACAAAGACGTCTTCCAGGCCTTCGACTAGGCTGTTCGTGAGTCCCGGGTTGGATGGGTTCTTAAGGCTCTCTCGGAATTCCCGTTCCACTTCCAATTCAAGGTGCTTGAGCTGTTCCTCTTGGTCGAGCTCTTCTTGGGTCTGAGCAGTTTGAGGTGCCGATTCCTCGGCATCTGCTTCTTGATGATCCTCAGTCAAGTCAACAGGGCTGTCATCCAGGTCGTCGGCGTCTTCCAGTGAGGGATCAGCTGTCTCCACACCGTTTTCGGTGTGCTCATCGGCCTCGTGCTCGCCATCCTCAGAGAGGTTCTCTTCAAAGCCAGATGAAACCAGCCCAGTAGGCTCCGCAGGCTCTTCCAGCTCTTCCTCTGGCTCGGAAACTGTTTCATCACCAGAGTCTTCAACGGGTGCTTGAGTCTGTTCTTCCAGCTCCGCGACATCATCCGCGACGAGCTCCTCGAGAGGCTGTTCAGGCAGATCCTCGATGTCCTCTTCCACTGGCTCGTCAGCAGCTTCATCGGTAAGCTCATCAACATCCTCGGGGGCTTCTTCGTCGGCATCCTCGGCGTGTTGGGCTTGTTGGTCAACACCCTTGGGCATATCATCCTCCTGGTCATACTCCAGTGTCTCCTCCGAATCATACTCGTTGACATCCCCATGTAGAGTATCATCTTCCTGCTCATCGGCAGCGGGCGGAGATTTCGCGTGAACTTCCCTCGTCACATCCTCCTCATCACCTTCCTCATCCAGCAACTGATCTTGTTCCTCTTCGCTCTCGACCTCCATATCTTCCGCAATATCCGCCGTCCTAAGCGGCGATTCATTGACACTCGGAGTGGCAGGTGTACCGAAGTCCTCAGTGGCATGCGTCTCAGGCTCTTCCCTCACAGAGCTCCTGCTGGCCAACAACGAGCTCTTGAACGGAGAGGCGATCTTCTTCGCGGGGCTATGGAGAAAAGAACGACTATGCCTCATATGGGTTGAGGTCGACTCAGCGTGAGCCTGATGAGAGGTGAAGGATGTCCCGAACAGGCCTTTTCGAGGCGAGGTCTTGAGGGGGGAGTTGTGGCCCGGGGTGAAATTCGGCTGGGACATCATCGGCTTGCCATTGTCCATGTAGACGCTACCGCGCTTGGGAGTCTCCAGGTGTGCCTTCCGGGGCGACAGCTTCAAGGGCGAATTGTGCGACGGGGAGAGATGCGGCTGAGAGAGCGACTTCGCGTCCTCTCGTAACGTAAACCCGCCCCGCTTCGGGGTTTCTCGCATGCTGAAATTGAAGGGTGACGGAGGTGGTCGGCGAGCGGGACTGGACATGAGAAGCGTGTCGTTGAAGTCGATCGATCGTCGAGGGCCCGGCAGCGGTTCGCCATTCTCATCGAGAGACTTGCGGAACTTCCCGGTCTTTCCAGTGATGTTGATCTTCTTGACCGGGGAACTAAAGCCGATGGTCGTGTTCTCTGATCCGTGTTTGTTGGGAGAGTCGACCAGAAACCTGATCTGGTCCTTGTCGCCGCTCAGCTCATCATCCTCGCCATCGGAACTGGTGTACGAAGACAACGCCTTAGCAACCTGCGTCGCCTTCTTCGGCGACAGCGGCTTCGGCTTGGTCGCATCCTTCTTGGCCGCCGCCGCCGCAGCAGCAGCAGCAGCAGGCTTGCGGCCCCTCCCCGAAGTCGCCGCAGGCTTCCGAACCGGCTTCGACGCAAGACCCGCCTGTCGTCCCGGCACGATCGTCCCCCGCCTGCGACCAGCGATCGGAGGCGACGGCTCACTCAGATCATCATCCGACTCGCCCGGATCCTTGAACGTGACGGTCTTCTTCTTCTTTGCCGGACCCCTCAGCAGATTCGACCGCGTCGTCGACGAGTTCGTCGCGATAAACACCTGCCGCGGCGCCTCCTGCGACGACGACGACGACGACGACACCGAGAAATCCATATCCGTGAACCCCTTCGCATTCAACCTCGTATTCTCCTTCACCGGATCGAGCTCTTTCGTGGTTGAACCCTTCCCCGAAGCTCCAGCCACAGACCCCTTCGGCCTCCCTCGCGTCTTCGCAGGTGTCGCAGCCGCCTTTGGTCTCCCTGCGCGCTTCCTCGGCGCGTCCGACTGAGCAAGTTCATCCTCATCCTCATCCCCATCCTCATTATCACGTCCCTCCCGCTCCACGGCTGCCGTAGCCGTAGCCGTAGTCGTAGCCTTCCTGCCGCGTCCCGTCCCCGTCGTCGTAGACTTTGCCGTCGTCTGTCTCCCCCTAGTCTTCGTCGTCGTCGTCGTCGCCTTCGCCTTCGCCTTCCCCTTGCCATTACTCTTGCTATCCACGATCCCGATCTCGTCGTCCGTCGACTCGTCGCTCTCCGCATCGACCGCGTATCTGCTGCTCGCTACCGAGATATTTCGCGCGCCGCGCTTCCTGGCCTCCGTGGCGGACGTCGGTGCCTTGGCCTTTGTGGTCTTGGGCGCGGCTTTGGAGGATGTGGATGTGGATGTTGTGCTCGTGGCTTTTGTTCGCGTACGCGTCGCCCGCTTGGGCGGGGACTGGGGGATGATTGCGGCGCGCGCCATTGTGTTTGTTGAATGTTGTTGTGGGGGAGGGAGGAAGGAGGGAGATATGTGTGGCGTGGCGTTGGGCGTGGATGTCGGATCTGTTGTGTTTGTTGTTGGCGATGCGGTGGGGAGGAGGGGATTACTAGTTAGTGGGTGATGCCGATGGCAGTGCTCATGGCGCGTTCACTGGCGATAAGTGAACGGTCTGTGGTGGTGGTCCCGAAGCTCATATGCAGGGGGGTTAGTTGGGTGCGGTGGTCGGATGGTTGGTTGGTTTGGGTGTGGATGTGGTGGAAATGCAGTCAGTCAGTTCACAGCCAGCCGATCGTGGAGTTCGAGCATAGTTAGCGTGTTGCCGTTCGCTTTGCTTGTTTGGGTAAGCGTGGTGGTGCGTTGGCCTGGCAACGCGCACGTGAGGGCCGGCCGTGTCAGTCAGTCAGTCAGTCAGTGGGACGGACACAACAAGTTCACAACACTCTGTGTACCGTACGGAGTACTCCGTAGATATTCATATTCCATTCCAATTCGTTTCTTCGTATATCCAATCAAACACACACTCACACACACATACATACATACATACATACTACCAGTACATTTATCCTCGTCTCAACTACTACAACACCATCCTACAAGAGGGCAAAAAGCGCGGTGCTGGCAGCAAGAGCAGACAGAACCACCGTCGGGGACGCCGCATAAGCCGCGCTCTCGAAGACCGTGATCGGCGCATACTTGGCCGGCGCAGTGCTGTTGGTCGTCCCGTTCCAGCAATATCTCTGGAAGCACTGGGTACAGAGCTCCGGGACGGAGGTATTGGTGCGTTCAAAGGAGCGACTGAGAACCGCGCACGCAACACAAGCCGACCAGTCCGCGTCGCGACTGCTATTCGCCATGGTCGCGACGTCATATCCGTTGAGGATGATACTATCCCGCTGAGACTGCTCATAGCTGGGATCGAACGTCGACACGTTCGAGTACGCCGTGTAGGGGAAGTTAGGGATATACACGACCAAGGGCGCCGGGCCGGTGAGGTTGGACGAGTCGCAGCCGAAAAACGTAGGTCGGGTGTTATATCCTTCGTTGACGAAGGTGTTCTGGTCCGGGATGGCCGGGAACGCGGTCCCGTTGCCGATGCCCGAGGAATTCAAGCTGCGCTCGTAGGTGGCTACTAATGAGGTGCCGTTGGGCCAGTTGTAGTCGGTATCGGCGGAGGAGTCCACGGCGAAGATGACATCCACGTGGCGCTCGGGCTGGATCAGAGGGTGAAGAGGGATATTCTGGCCGTCTTCGCCTCCGTCCACGACATCGAGCTCGGTCTGGTGGGCGGCTGGCGAGGACTCGTTGGCCCACAGGTAGAACGGGTTCGGCGCGTACACGGCGATGTCCTCGCTGTCTTGGCCGATTTCTTCGAGCACGTGGGTGAATGCGTTCTTGAGGAAGTCGGGGAGACTGGTGGAGTTGATCTGTAAGAGGAACTGGTTGAATAAGGTGGACGAGGTGCCCATCACGTATCCGGCGTTGTCGAAGCCCCGGACGCAGCTCTCGTTGCTGGGCAGAGTCCCGCCCACGAACCGCGAGCCCAGGTATTGGAGAGGAGCGAATCCGTATATGGTCGGGTCGAAGCTGCCGAATTCCCAGGGGGTGAATTCGTAGACCGTGGCGTTGCTGCTGACTAGCAGCTCGTCTGGGTATCGACCGTTTGCGACTACCACAGGCATGGGCATGTCCGCCTGCTTGAACGAGTCGGTCAGGGCGATAGACGACCAAGTGTAGTCGATGCCTCCGTTGGAGGCGTTAATCAGCTGGTACGAAAGAGCACGACCCCTGTCCGATCAGCATTGCCGGAGTAAATGCGTCAACGTCAACACAGACGTACCAATAATCAGTGATAGACGTCTGAAATCCAGCATCCGATTTCCCCGACACGGCATCATATATATCCTTGTAATACGTTGCCGAATCCACAATCTGAATGCCCCCGTCATCAGGACCCTCAAAGATCGAATTCTGAAACTGCCAGATCGCCCCCTCCTGGGTCGTCTGCAAGTTCGAAATAGTCGAGAAGTTATTGATGTAGATAGACCCAACAAGCCACCCCCCGCCACTCAGACCCGCCAGATACGTCGCGGACTGCAGCAGGCCACCGAGCTGACCATCACTGGTCGAATTAGCCGTCCGGCTATCGAACGCCTTGATCGCCCCCGCGCCGTTCATCAGGGCGCGATAGCCTCCCCCGGACACAGCAATGGCGATATTGGGCACGTTGGAGCTGTTGCTGGAGACGCGGTCGATGTAGCCCGCCGCATCGAAGTCCTTGATCGTGACATGGCTGAAGAAGTCCTTCATGGCGGGTATGGTCTTGTTTTGTCGCATCTTCAGCCATGATGTCTCGTTCGGCGAGAGTTTCGACGCGCTGCGCAGTGCAGGGCGACTCGAGGGACAGTTCACTTTGGATGGGGTGTATCCGTCTGGCGCGTTGGGTAAGGCGCGCTTCGTACCCCAGGTGTCTCCGTACATGCTGACGCCTATGGGGGATCGGGTTGTCAGATTTCAATCGGGATAGAAGAGGCTAGAGGGAGGGTGGCTGTCATTCACTCACCTGATAGTAGGCCCGCCAATGCCAGTATGATGATTACGGATTGCATGTTGAGGGTGCCGCACTGCTGCCGGTGACTATGATACTTAGAAGAGGTCAACGAGTAGCAGAGAGGGTGAGACACCCGAGAGCCATCAGAACCTACACGGCCGTGCCCTCATGATTTTAAACCTGGCAGGGGCTGCAGGCTGGCCAAGGTCCTTGGTCTTGGTTGTTCGTAAGGACCGAAACAGCCAAGTAGCAGCTCGAGGGCTGATCATGGGTGCCCTTGTCGCTGGCTGCCTGAAGAACCACCGTGGGTCGAGGGAGATGATTGGCCGAGTGGGGGATTCGATGCAGCGAGGCTGATTTGGGCTGGTCGTGTCGCAGGCTGAATGCATGCTGGTGGCTGATCAGCTTTTGGGGGGGAGGGAGGGAGGAGGGGGGGTTAAGGTTGGCAGTCCGGATGCTGTCCGTGGTTCCAGGTCGATGCTCATTGTCTGGAAATCCCCCCCTCCAGTCATTCGGTCAGACCTCCGCATCCGGTTTGTCGATTGAGAGATCCTGTCCGATCGGTCGGTGGGTCCGGGACGCAGCGGGGAGGTTCGATCGTGGTTGAAGGGCTAAAAGAAGACTACTGCAGCTACTCGGAACTATTGGCGTTGAACCAGCTTCGTATTCCAGACCGAATTCTGGTGGGCAACAAACGACAAACGGACCTACCGAGTATGACCTGTGTGACTCGCTGAAACAGATGACAGACCGAGTCTCGGAGGAATGGATGTGGATTGCCTTCCCTTCAGCCCTGCTGTGGATACCTCCCGAGTATGTAGTAGTTATGTCAAGCAAACAATCCCAATCAACATCACCATCACAATCACACCAACTCATACATCACATCCGTCCTCACCGTAAACTTCCTCCCCCTGAACACCGGATCCCCCCCATGCAACAAATCCCTCTGCTGAAAGACCAACACAGACCCCATCTTCGGAAACACCCTCAAAAGACGATCCTTCTCCTCATACCTGGGCAAAAACGACGTCGCACCACCCAACAGCTCCCCCTCCTTATCCAAATTCCCCGTCCATCCCCCTTCTGCATATCCTGCTCCCTCTCTCTCCTCTCTCTCTGCTCTCCTCCCCTCCCTCTCCAACTCCCTCAAATCCTGCTCCCCACTCCCATTCAAATACAAATGCACCGTATAAAACGACTTCTCCGTCCGATCCGGAGTGGAGTAGCACGCGTCCCAGTGCGGACGGAAGTACTCCCCGCCCTCGTAACGGAGGAAGCGGAGACGCTCGTTGAGGCGCGTGAGACGGTAAGATTTGTATCGGCCGGCGAGGCCCGTGACGAGGGGTTGGTCGTCGACGCGGTCGATGCCGAGATCGTGGAGGAAGGGCATGAGGCGGGCGAGGAGGCGCGAGGCGAGGAGCGGCGTGTCGAAGATGATGCGGCCGCAGTTGCGCGAGTCGGTGGCGATGATTTGGCGGCCGCCGCCGATGTTGATCATCGCGCGGTCCCAGACTGGGGGCTTGCCTGGGGGAGCGGTGCTGGATTCGGCGAGGCGGAGGAGTTCCTCGCATTCGGCGGGTGTGAGGGCATTGTCGATGATGGCTGCGCAGAGTTTCTTGTATTCGGGGATGGGGGGAGTGGTGTTTTCGAAGTCGATGCGGCGGCAGTGGGCGTCCGGGGGTGGCGGGCCCGTGAGGAAGTCTTCCGCGGGTTGGGGCTGGGGCTGGGGCTGGGCCATGCTTGGGCTGGATATGACAGGGTTGCAGCTGTGCTGGGGTGTGCAACTGAGTCGAGCAGCAGGTGGGATTTATACGAGGAATTGAGGCTCCTGCTCGAGGCATGAGTCACTTGCTGCGCCTCCCACCATGGAGGGCGAGGCTGAAGACGGTCGTCAGGCCACCTCGTATTGTCTCAACCTCGACAACAACCTGAATCTTGGTAGGGGCCAGGAGATTTTGTGAGAAACACGGGGAAAGTACATCTGCTGATTACTTTCTTAGCAACTGATGATACTCCGGATCTCCAACCCAGCCCTGAAAGCTGATTGTGTTCGTGATAATCACTGTCAACTGGCTAGAAGTCATGGCCGTGCAACCCCAAGATTCCTCGTGTTAGAGAACCAGTCCACCCCTCGTTGCATTCGACCTTCAACTCCGACGCAGATCATAGCAGACGTGCGACACAAAAAGCAGAAGAGAAACCAATGCCCCATGTGTCAAACCCAAGATCAACCCGCCATCTACCCACACTCTGTCCGCGTACCACTCGACGATCGGCCAGCCCGGTTGTGAACTTGTGTTGTATCGACCACATTCGACATCATCGCGGGGTAGGAGGGAATCTTGAACTCATCTTGCCTTCGCCCGGAGGCTACTAGCCAGAGAAAAAGGAGAAGAATGGCTCCGGGGCTGGCGATGGGAGATATAGCAGCGGAGGTTCATCGAACTGGTAAGTACCATGAATGCTAACCCAAGGCATCACGATCGGCAGGGAAGGAACCCAAGAGGAACCCGGTAATGTTTCCTCAAATTGAAAGTCGGCATACGCCGAGTCCATCCAATAGTAGTATCCAATGCCTAACAGCTCATAATCCCATTATCATCTGAAGGGCCAAATTCCACAAAAATAACGACAAGTCAAACTATCCTCATTCATGAACCACGCCCAAAAGTCATCCCAGCCGCCCATGCAGCGCTTGCGTCAAGACAGCATACTCCATTGAACCCAACCCCTATGCTTTCAAAGTGTGTCTACTCATGCCCGGCCCCCTATATTTTTCATACCATGACTGACTTATTGCAACCAGTGCCGGTCGTATGCTCCTGTTCCACAATTGGCGATCCATGGGCGAGACTCCCCCCAGATCCCGCACAACCTCGACGACCATACTTAATCTGCTTTCGCTGCAGGCAAGGATGCGGGCAGTCGTGTTGCATAGGCCGCAGTGCTCTCTTCGCTCGCGGTCAGAGCCGCATACGAATGCAACCATACAATTGTGTGGGCATAGAAGGGGTGGGTCTAACTTTTCCCACGACAACTGGCGCCAGTCAATTGCAAAAAGATGGATTGGCTTAAGATCTGCCACATGCACATGGTAGCGTGTCTGCACTTCCAGATGTTTACTTTCTCCGATGGTTGCCATTATCTCGAGGTCATAGGAGGCGTATATACCATCTGCCGTCGAGCACTTGTGTAGAAGATGTCGTCGTCCTTTGATGACCGTCAGCTGGAATGCCTGCCGGAGTCGGGGCGAGAGAGTATCGGTAGTCCCCGCGCGTAACCACCCTTCTATATGCATTCTGTCGAAGAAGGTCAATGAAAGGCAGGAACACAGGTCGATCACTCCCGCCTCATACATGCAGCATTTAGAAGTGCGATCTGGAAAGAATAGACCATGTGGGTGAAGCTTCAGACACCCTGAGCAGTATCGCCAGCGATCATCCTCGAGCTGGAGCAGAAGCTCGTCTCGCGGAGGTCTCGGTGCAACTAGTGGAGCCTTATAGTGTTTAGTATCCAGCGTTGGCCAGGCTAGATCTTCGTCCTCAAGTATGTAGCCGAAGAGTCCGTATAGCGGTTTGCAACTAAGTGCGAGACAGGCTTGCGACGGGAGCGGTAATAGATCAAATATCATCGAAACGATATCAACTGGAGCATCCATGAGGCTGGAACGACGATCCTGTGAGGTAGCATGGGGCTCCTTTGACTGTAAATGAGTAATTTCTGAGTCGGTGGCACTCTCGCGCCGGTCTGCCTCCACTGCCGGGGCGTGGATGGTTTGGGAGCTTCTTCGAGCTAGGTCGTTGCTCCCGGTTCCGTTCGCTGTCCTCTTGGGACGAAGGAATCGAACTGTAGACAGTGCCATGCGAAGCCAGGAAGGCATTGTCTTTTTAGCCATGCTGGACCAGAAAGGTATTCTGTTTTTGGAGTCGGAGTCGTAGACTATGATTGCGTGTTCGATGTAGGGAATTGAAATTTGGAAGAGATTGTGGGATTGCTTACCTTAATATAACATAGCAGTGACTGATTTGTTAATTACACCGTCATCGTAGACGGGCTATCGTCACTATTATAGAAGTGCCGGAAGTCGAAGCCTACTTCCCTGATCCCGGGTATCCACTGGCTCAAGGCATTTAATGATGTCACCTGAATTTGCATCCTGGAAGAGCTAGGATTTGATGAAAGGCAGACTGGGTGGCCATGGAAAGCTCTGTTGTAGTAAAAGCGCCTACCAGTCTTCGATAGCTGGGAGCGCTACCTGGCTGCGTATTTGTGGGATTAACATTTTTCGTTTCTGATTGAATGAGCGTCTCTTTCGAGTACGCGGCTGCGTGATAGCAGGCAGTGAAGTTGAGATTATGGATGCGGCACTGGCTGTACTAGCTCTGGCACAGGCGCGGACTCTAGCTGATTAAGATCATCAAATCAAGGTTATTGAACCTGTTTGATCCACCACGTTGTCGAGACTCTTCTCTCTGCCCAGTGTTCCACCCCTCATTCCTCTTTTTTTTAACCGTAGGTTAAAGTGATAACCACGAGGTGGGCCCCTTTCAAGAAATTCGTCCAGATCTTCGCAGCATTGGAGATCATTGACAAGCCGAGAAAGACTGCACGAGAGGAACTGTGGGAGTTGTTCGAATCCCTGCGTAGAGACAGAGATCGTTAGTCTATCACGCGCACTCTCAAGGACTTGAGTTAGTGAAATAGGGCTGAAAGTCATTCAGGACTTGGTATCCATAGTCTCACGCGTCAACACGCGTCAAATAAACGTCAAGTCATAAGTAGTTAATTTGATCAAAACACGGTCCTTGACACCAACGATATGATAGGAGGATGCAGCGCCAGACCAAACTCGAAGAGACTACGAAGAGTCTCTGAGAAAGGTGAATCTCAAGGGCGGAAGGCTCCGGGCCGTTGTTGATTTAGGTGAAGTTATCCAAGCTGCATTTCAAACTGGGAATCCAGCAGCCCCGTGACCGGGTCCAGGCACTTGTAGAGAGTGACTGCCTGACTGCCTGGCTTGGTAGCCTGTCTTCTTCCTAACTGCTCCCCACATCAAGCATCATCTTCTCCCTTCATAGGGAAAGAACCTTCTTCTCAATCTTCCACCATGAGGATCTACACGTCCATTTATCAGAAAGAAGACATGCGTACATACGACCATCAACATTCCCCCATTGTGGTGTCTGGACATCTTCTTAGTCGAGTGGTTTTGTTCGACAGCATTCCCACCTGCAAGATCGGTGCCTTCCACAAAGACGCCAATAGTGTCAACTCACGGCGGGCGGGGGAGGGGGTGTATGTCATTTAAGATAGTTTATTGTCCGTTTTTTTCACAGCGCGAATCGCAGGAAGATAAGGAACATCAACGAAGCCTAGTCGCACGACTCACCGAAAATCGCCAATCCTGGACAGCTCTACTGGCTTTGAGCTATACTCGCTCACCCTATCTGTCCTTAATGAACTGCGCATGAAATCACGATCCAATGGCCCTATTGATATTTTCCACTTTGCAAGGATATTGCCAGACATGATTTGTACCGATGACTCGGTACACCCGCAGATAGACATGCATCAATCCTCCGCGGGACGGGAGCTCCCGAAAAAGCGAAGCCGACAATGCAAGCCTTCGAGTCGATAACTCGCCAGAACCCCCGCAGGTCTCGACCGATAGCATGGGCCTCGCGCAGATATGACAAGTCCCCGGGATGAGATAAAGACCTCCAGCCCACAGGATGCCAGTTGTCAGCAATGTCGTATCGTCAACATGTGAAGGCACCTGGGCCAGCAGTACCTGAAGGTTCGGGCAGGAAAGCATCGCGTACCTGGCGATCGGAGTGACACCGACGGGTCTCGGCTGGCCTACTTGAATGTTTGAGCGGGGTCGATGTGATCTCTCTCCCTCGCGCTGCACGGGGAGCGAACAGTGCTATGCAGACATTAGTATGGGTGAGAGATGAGGGAGGAGCCGGTCACTGCAGGGACAGCAATTGTGCAATGGAGGACACGTCATCCAGGTCAGGCCGGAGTTTGGACGGAAGGGAAGGAAGGCACTGGGAGCTGGGAAGTGAGAAGGGGCCGTTGGAAATAAACCACCTGCAATGGAGGGAGGCCGCAATTTTTTGCTGGTCACACGCCCCGCGGACGGTCTCGCCAGCGCCAGGCTAGGGGTTCCCGCACTGACCAGCACCCACTGTTCCGCCGCGTCTCGGGCCTGGGGATCTCGAAGGCTGCACACCCTGCCACCCGGAGTCGATCATGCCGATGCTGATATTGTTGTTTCCGGCTGTCGGACTTCGTTCCTTGCCAGAGTCGGTCTGGAATGAGCCCAGAGGAGCCGGGTTACCCGGGAATCCATGTACCATGATACGAGGCAGGGAAGTCTTTCATCCTTCGACAGTGTACACTCTTACCTCGCACAGGGTCTCATTCAGGAGTACTCGCACACCGTACATTTTCCGTGTAATAGACCTCTCCGACGGATTCTACTCCCGGACCTCCAGACTCGCACAATAAGGCCACACATCCGATGGACGCATCTGGAACCGCTGCTTATTTAACCTAATTTTATGCTTCGGCCCCTGAAGATAGGGGAGACCAAAACCATTGTCCAGGGCGGGCAAATAAGACTCGGTTGCCCAGGTAGACCAGCATGGGATGGAGTTCAACCGCGTGTCCTACTCGCATCGCCCGGAACCGACGTTATTGGCCGCCAGCCCTAAGCTTAAGCTCCAGTACATCAATAATCGAAAAATGGAATGCTCACGGGACCAGATGCACCCGCCGATGGGGATGGAGACGTCGGGGTAGAGAGCGGGGCCGAACGTTTCCTAATTTCAGGCTGGAAAGCCGCCCAGGTCCCGGGAGTGCCCAGAAGGGTAAGAGAGAAGTGGCCCCGGCTCGGTCGTGACACCTCATCCCCGTTTCCACCGTCCTCCCCCGGAAGGAGGAGAGGGGAGACCCCTTCAACTCGAAAAATATGACGGTCACACGGCAATGCCACGGATGCGCTGGATGGCTGATCAGGGTGCTCCCTTTGAATCCGGGGCTCGATATGGTTGGGAGCAGGGGCCAAGGCGGGGGATTTGATGCCCACAGGACTCTGGCATACGAGGGTTCATGGTTCTCCCATTTCCTGTCTAGCTACATAGAAAGCAAGGTATGCTTTTCTCATTGTATGGGACATCTAATTTTAGATTGCGGTCTGACTTCTAGCTGGAGTGGTTATTATGTCGGGAGCCTATCCATGCGCTCCTCTACAGTGGACCAGCGGAATAGTTGATAGTTGCTACTATACATTGCATCTATCGGAATCAAGGGATGGGAAATGTTGACGCCCGAAGTTGAGATAGAATTTCACAAAGGATCAATCCCTCGGACGGACTGAGGTACCCGGTTCAGGAGACAGGGATGAGGCCAATAAGGGTGGATGTCCGTGATAAGCTTGCCGGACGGGTTTGAGACGGCAGCTGCAATTGGGGTGATTGAAATACATTGCAGCAGCAACATCCCAGGTACAAGGCAAGGACCATGTCAACCCCCAAGGTACCGGATGCATACACCCCAAGAATTGCGACTGGGGCCGGGATGATCTCCGAGCACCGCGTGACCCCGTGACTCCCGTCGAATGTTCGACTGCTGGATTTGTGGCTTCCAGAACCGCCCAGGCAGGCCCCGTGATCGACGGCCTGTCAGTTGCAGATGGCGGTGCTTCTCTGGTGCTTCTCCCATCCGCTCTGGGGAACCTCAGTCCTTTTCCGCCCGCCGAGCCCGCTTAGCCCGCTTTTGCCCCATCGCCCGGATTGCCGCTTTGGGCAACCCGAGCCTGGACATCTCGCTCGGGGCCAACTTGCGGCCACCCACCTCGATGGGTATACTGTTTTGGTCGATAAGACGTAACTTTGCCGGGGCCGATGCGTACGGGAGGCGTTTCTGTGGGTTGAGACTCACAATGGCCCCAAGGCATACTACCTGGACTCTGTTACTTCATGATGATTCAACCCGTCCCCGCGGACACGAGCCCCTATTGGTCCTGTGTTCTTGCCCGCGTGAAATCCCCTCATGCCGAGCTTCTGGTGGGGAAACTGGCAAAGAATCGCATAGCAAAGCGGTGTTGGGTTGTTTCGCAGAGCTGTAGGTGATCGAAATCAGCGCGATGTATGGCCGGAGGGGATGCCGTACGATGGCATACAACATAGTACAGGCCGACGCCTGCAGTCTTGCCACGAACGAGGGGCCGAATGACCAGCTGGTGGAACGTGGGGTGTATTCACTTCCACCTTACCCTACCCTACCCTCCCCATTCCCCGGGTCTGGACCGCACCCACCTCTCCCTCGCAGCTATTCTTTCTTGGGCGTCGGTTCCAGTCTCTGATGCTCACATGAGCCCTCATGACTCCAGCACCAATGCCAGTAACCCCTGAGGAGGCCACCCGTGGACCATCGTGAACTATTTAAGAGCTGCTCGAGCCCTGGAGCTCTTCTGCCATCATCAATTGAGTCTTCATCTTCTCTCTCCGACACCTATCCCCAGTGACCTGTGCTCATACTTGAGACGAGACATCACTTTACTTCTTGTTTACACTCCCTCTAACACTTTTCTCCTCCCGTCCTCCAACCTTATCTTCCTCCATACATGCCACAATGTCTGTTTCCTTCGAGAGCACCGACGTTTCCCCCGCCCCTACCCTCGTTAAGCAGGATGGCCCATGTCTCGGCTCCAAGTCTCGGATGCCCGAGTTCAGCCTGGCTGGAAAGGTTGTCCTGGTCTCTGGGGCTGCTCGCGGGCTCGGTCTGACCCAAGCTGAAGCTCTCTTGGAGGCCGGAGCCACGGTTTACGCTCTAGATCGGCTCGAAGAGCCTGTGAGTTACTCCAGCCACGCGATATCCCAACCTGATTCTAACCCACCTTCGTCCAGTCCCCCGAATTCTTCAAGGTCCAGAAGCGCGCCCATGAGGAGCTAGGCACGGAGTTCTACTACCGTCGCATCGATGTGCGCGACACGGAACTTCTCAACACCACCGTCGAAGCCATTGCCAACGCGGAGGGCCGACTGGACGGTCTGGTGGCGGCAGCCGGCATCCAGCAGGAGACTCCGGCGCTGGAGTACTCGGCCCAGGATTCCAACACCATGTTCGAAGTCAACGTCACCGGCGTGTTCATGACTGCTCAGGCTGTCGCCAAGCAGATGATCCGCTTCGGGAACGGGGGCAGTATCGCACTGATTGCTAGCATGAGCGGCACTGTTGCCAATCGGGTATGTTCCATGTTTATCTCTTCCCAGCCCCATTGTCCTCCCCACTTGGCTTCACCTCCTGTCCGTCTTCTATCTATGCAGCCACTAACTCATCACAACAGGGTCTAATCTGCCCAGCCTACAACGCCAGCAAGGCCGCCGTCCTCCAGCTCGGCCGCAACCTCGCCATGGAGTGGGGACAGTACAAAATCCGCGTCAACACCATCTCCCCGGGCTACATCGTGACGGCCATGGTCGAGAAGCTCTTTGTGCAGTTCCCCGAGCGCCGCGACGAATGGCCCAAGCAGAACATGCTCGGCCGGCTGTCCGCCCCCAACGAGTACCGCGGCGCAGCCGTCTTCCTCCTCAGTGACGCCAGCAGCTTCATGACGGGCAGTGATCTTCGCATGGACGGCGGGCATGCCGCGTGGTAGATGCCATCATCTATCCATCAACCCGGTCCTTCTTCTGCTTCTGTTCTTCGTTCACATTGCACTTGCACCTTCTATTGCATGGCGTTCCGGCAGCGAAGCAATGCGCATCCGTCCATCTACTCTTCTGCTTCGGTTCCATGATGTCTTTGTCCGCGGCGATTCCCTTCTGCTTCGGGATTCCATTCAGCGTTTCCGGTGTCTGGACGGGATGGTTCCAATATCTAGACCCCATACCCATCCCTACTCATCCACTTGCCGCATCAGTGAGGGAGTTGTATCTAGTATCGTTTACTTTACAGTCCGGTGGCTCAATCTAATCTAATACATAAGACATGGTTCCCTTTTCCTCTACTACTACTATTATTATCATTCTACATCAAGAATAAATCCCCCACATAAAACACACAACTCATCACTCAAGTCCGTATCCAACCAAACCAAACCAAACCAAGCAAGTAACCGCCCCCACAAGCACGAATGGCATGGCATGGCAAACACCCAAACCAAAAACAAAAACAGAAAGTTAACTTCCCCATCACACCTGACATGGCATGGCATGCCCACTACAGAACAAATCCGTGGCTACCTCTCCTCTCCTCCACCTCCTACCCCACCCAACCAACCATCCCTGATCCATCCATCTACACAACGCAACATAACGCAACGCAACGGCGTTCATTTTTTGCAATCCCGAGCTCCGTACCGCGGAACCCTCCTATCACGAATAGGTAAAAATAGCGAACCCAAAAATAAAAAACCCCCCTACTTACTGACGCCTCCGCGGAAATAAACTCAGGTGGTGTGGGAGGTGGAGGGTGGGTGGAGACCCCGCACGCACCCGCACGTCGCACGTCGCACGTACCAACCCCGAACCGTGGGTGAGGAGGAGGGTGTGGCATCAGGTGGACTGCGATTTTCATACCTTATCTGGTCGGTGGTTACTAGGTGGATATTGGGGGGGGGGGAGGGAAGTTGTGGTTTGCCTCGTGTGGATACGCGTCATTTGCGAATGCGAACATGTTTCTTGGTTGGGGGTGGTTGGTTGGAGGGAGGGAGGGAGGGAGGGAGGGCGATAGACTGTACGGCTGGAAGTTTTTTGGAACTTGGGTCGGGAGGGAGGGGGAGGGGGGAAGTTTAGTTAGAGGGTTAGTAGGTAGGGTGTTCATGTTGCGACTACCTCATCATTTCTCCTGTTCGTGGTCATGTTCGTGATTGACGACACGAGTTGTCGTCTCGTCCTGCTTCCTGTCTGTCGATCGGACTAGAGGAACTATATGTGTCTAGACTATCTAGACGAGAGGGACTGGACTGGATTGGACTGGACTGGACTGAGCCTAACTGCTAACTAGGGGGGGCGAAAATCCGGGGTCGCCCCCGAACGATCCTCTGTGGTGTGGCTGGTACCCGGATTGGGGGTGTTCTACAGGGAGGGTTTATAGCCGGCCTACTTAGTCGTGGGCACTTCTTAAGTATCACGGGAACTTGGATCTTCTTGGTTGATTGCTGATTGAGACTCAAGATATAGTGTCCAGTTTGGCGTTTTATTTCTATTTTATCATCTGTATTTCTGTTTTGCCTTACCTCGCCAAGCCACCCAAATCGATGCCTAACCTGATCTCCCACCTTCCTCTCGAGTTCTACCAGTGGACGATGAACCCGTTTCCAGACGGTTCCGATTCCGATGCAAGGGGATAGATTCGTGCAGGAGGATGCGGCTCGGATCCGGCGGACGGGTTTGTGTTTGAGATGTGTTCACGTGGGCTGACGAAAGTGCGTGTTGGATCTAATGACTTGCATGGCTCTGATATCATCTGTCTGCCTTTGATTGTGTTGTGTTGTGTTGTGTTGTCTTGTGTTGTCTTGTCTGGCCAGGTACATGAGAGGCTCGGTTTGTGTCGGGTTTCTTCTCTGGTATGGATGGATACATGATCTGATCTATAAACGGAGATCCCGGGGGCTAGAGACTAGAGGCTAGAGGGTCTGCTTACTTCGCGCCTTGGCGTGTCTTCCCCGGTTGATTCTTTTTGGTAAGTACTAGGCATGGCATGTCTGTAACTTGATGTACTACACAGTGTCAGCAGGGTTACCGACTGTCCACTGCGCATGCGCATTGGCTTCGTTTCAGCACAAGGCTGGAGATCGGCCCGTGTCTTGCCTATGAGATCATGGCCAGGCAGGTCGAGTCATTCTCGCCGCGACATCTCACAGAATCACTCGCCCGACAGGGCGCAAACGCCTATACACGTAGCTCTAATACTATATTAGCCTTGCGTTAAAATATGCGATCATTGGTAGCATTGGTCGATCATAGATATCATGGCAGCATAAAAGGATAGGCTCAACGGTATTACCACATTCGGATGGTTTGTATCTCAAGAATTCAACATCACATGCCTTTTATGGCATCCAGAATTCGAAGAATCGATGTTATATAAATATTCATCGCAACACGTTTTGTCAACACCGGCTAATAAAGCGCTAATTTGATCCCTTTTCATCAAATATCCTTGATGGTCTAACGGTCATGATTTCCGCTTGTCACTCATACGAGAACAAGCGCGGGAGACCTGGGTTCGACTCCCAGTCAGGGAGGTTTCTTTTTTAATCTTTGATTTTTACATATCGCGTAAAATGGAGAAGGAATGGGTTCTTTTTTTGTTCATGTTCCTAGATTTGTTTTTGACAGTTGGCCCTTGTGGGGATTAATGATCAGGCGGGTGGTGGGTTATTATGGATGTCATCGATGTTTTATGGGTTGGTGGCCATCTGATGCGCCGAAGTATATACTATATTCCCGGCACATGTGTTTCATCCGCATCGAGAACGATATTCAAAATGCAATAAATTCTTTAGTGATAGTATCATGATCAACAAGTCAATACAATCGCAAAAGAAAAAGCCATAGATACTTTGAAATGCCTTCGCAGGGTGAAAGTATTATTTTCTACCTCAACTACTGACGATCTTAATTCATTGCTCCTTGACTCCACGTAGTCCTTACATTTCACATCAAAGCCATAACTTTCATACCATATTCCCTCTACCTTGCCAACTTCATTTCGTGGCTGCGGTTTACTGTCCCTCTTTACTCCTTCTTGAGACTGGTGAAGCGGAGGTAACTAATGCACCTAGTCAGTAATCTCCTCGCTGCATCTCGCGGGGCAGGACTCACGGCTTGACAATGCGGACATCGCCGAACTTCTTCTGGGCATCCTCGGTGGAGACGGGAGGAGGGATAACAACGTCATCACCAGGGAGCCAGTTGATAGGGCAGGTAACACCGTGCTTGTCGGTGGTCTGCAGAGCATCAACGACACGGAGAACCTCGGCGGTGTTACGACCGGTGGAGGCGGGGTAGGACATGATCAGACGGATCTTCTTGCTGGGGTCGATGATGAAGACAGAGCGGATGGTAAGAGCAAGTCCTAGATGATATCAGCTGGAATTATTCGGTATTCCTCTCTAGGCCGGACATACCCTTAGAGTCGATGTTGGTGGTATCCTGGTAGTCGACCATGTCGTAGAGATAGGCGATCTTGCGCTCGGGGTCGGAGATGATGGGGAACTTGAGATTGGAGCCGTTGACCTCATCGATATCCTTGATCCAGGCGTGGTGGGACTCGGTGCCGTTGGCACTCAGACCGATAAGCTTGACACCGCGAGCAGTGAACTCGGGCTCGAGCTTGGCAAAGGCACCGAGCTCGGTGGTGCAGATAGGGGTGAAGTCATCCTATACCAAGTGATGTGAGTTAGTCCTGCTTCGCGCGGTAGAGACTGACTGACTGCCCGGCGGGCTTACAGGGTGGGAGAAGAGAATAGCCCAGCTATTGCCAATGTATTCATGGAAAGAGATAGGACCGTTGGAGGTGTCGGTCTGGAAATCGGGGGCAACGGAGCCGAGGCGGAGACTGCGAGGAAGCAAGCCAGATGTTAGAATGGGACGAGTCCTCCAAGCAGTGAGCATGATACTTACGGAGCGCGTTCCTGAGCCATTGTGAATGTGGGAGGGGGGAAGTGATGGGGATGGACTGAGAAGGAGCAAGAGAAGAGGATGCGGAGGAGGAGGAAGCTCGAAGTACTAAATAGCCAGCTGAACGAACCCCGAGGTCGCAATGGGCGCAATGAATGGACGCGGAGTTACGAGCTGCCTTCACCACCGCGGGCAGCTCATGCCCCTCCTGGCCGGCCACGAGCCAATCGCCGCCCAGGACAGGGCGATCCTGATCACGCAATATTCCACCGCCCGACGGGCAGAACGGCGGTGATTGGTGGGGCATGAGCTCATTCAGGGTGGGATGTTTAGCGTCGTCCGGATTGGGAACAGCCCCTCCCCCGTTCTGGCCCTCCATCTCTTGTTCCCTCGCGTTCCTGTCGGCTGGTACCTTCCTTGTCTCCTGCCATGGTGGATGGTGGACACCCTGGCCCCGTTCTCCAGTCCCGGCATTGCGCTCGGGCTAAGACAAGGGTACCGTACGATGGATGGTTGTTGAGGGGTTTCCAAGCATATCTATCTACTCCTGCCTCCCCGTCACTCTCTCACTCCATATTCATCCCATCTTCACCAAATGGAATCCGCCATGCAAGGATGACGGGTATAGTATGTTCGAGTTGTCGTTCTCTTCATCATCATTGGTTTCAAGCGTTTGCGAGATGTTCTCACCCGAGGCTGTCGGCCGATTGCCTGGCCAAAAAACATGGCTCGGCCGACAGTCCTATGCGCTGGAGCCAATGGTGACCGGACGTGATGGCGCAATTATACACGACTTTCCCCTTCGTCCCTGGTGGTTTCGTTATCACATCTGGGAAAAAAGAAACTAGGGGGACTTCACTTCTCCGGAAAGGGGTTCGACCTTCACTGCTCACATTTCATATTCCCAGGAGGCCCCCGAGAACCCGTTTCCGGTGGTTTCAACACTTACATCTGATCAGGCAACCCACCAGGGCGAGGATTCGACTGGGATGGGAGGTAGATACCAGATACTGGACTCTGTCCATGACAACTCTCAACTCGCGGGTTGTTCGAAGGTGAATTACCACCATGCAACACATTACTTCCCTCTGGGGTACATGGACTAGAATATTCTTCGAACTGAGGCAGATGGCCAAGAATAGCGGTTAAACATCGAGATGCAGGCTGTCAAGGCTACCATTTGTCACTGCAGTATGAGTCTACCTTCCTGAGGAGTGGTCCAACCTCTTCTACATCTGAAACTAGGTTTGTTCGTCACAATTGGCTTTCGATATTTACATGTGCATGCGGCTTGTTCAATGTATATGCCTGAAACTCGAAGCGGATTTCCGCCAACGCGATGTCAACAAGATGCTTTTGTGCCATATCAGTCTACTATTTCAACACCCGAAAGTCCAATGTTGCTGCGGTTGGTTTGTATAGGGCTAGCCATCGCGACCAAACATGTAGCTCCCGCCTGCCTGTATCTGTCAGGCTCGCGGTACTTGTACAATCCGGGTCTGGGAATTTCTACGGATGGATCTCTCGCATGCCAACGTACTATCTGCGTGGCCAGGGAAGGAAGACGCTTAATGGTAAATAAACCCGACCACTCCGCATCCGCTTGATGCAATCCACGATCTGGAGACGATGTCCATCCAACCCATAGGAACCATTTGGCGTTGGAATCCACAATGCCCATGTGAAACCGAAATCTCATCCTGAATCTGCTAGGAGCTCTGTCATGCCTCGTGGCAATCTTCCTTACCTCCCCGTCAAAAAACAAGTACAGAGGCTAGACAAATCCTGGAGACAAGCTCCGGGAAGCCACCTCATGACTTGGGCCTCAGGATCATCCTACAGGCGGCGGCATCAAGGAGAAAGATACATGCACCTCGCACAATTATCGACGGAAGCACAGACCAGCTGTCACCAACTAATGCCTCGCACGGAAGCCAGACCCATGAGAGTGATGCCCGAGCTGCATGGGGGTTTCACTTGGCCGCCGGCTCCTTGCATGAACCCCTGACTGTGGGAGTAGAAGCTCACAGAGATATGCTCTGTCAGCTTTGTACTGATAACTATCCCGATGCCCTGGATCGTTCATGATTCATCATCGTCGACCAAGGACCAACTGCGTTGGGGGTGGCCATCCTTGTTGGACCGGAAATCTGCTCCGGACCACGAGAGCCAATCATTGGGGCGTGATGCGGATATGGGCCAGATCGCGACTGGAGGGGGTATCTGGTATTGGCATAGTGCCTAATAGTGGTGCCACAGGTCGTACAAACAGCAGCTGAACAGGATCCTGCCCATAAGAATCCGGATTGAGTCGGTTGTCGAGAATCACGTACGGACGGGCCCTGGCGCGACACGTCCCCGACCACGTGACCGCGCCGATCGGCCTGCGGGCTCCACCGCGCGTCGTGACGAGCTCTCGACCCGTCCCCGGGCGCAAACAAAGCTTCATCCTTCTGGTCCTCGTCCTCGCCAGTGCGCCCACCCACATCATTCCAGTACCGTGGTCTGTTCCGTCGAGTCGTGCTGTGCTCCGTCTTCTTCAACAGTGACAGCCACGGCTAAGGTGTTTCTTTCTCAGGTTCGTCTGCCTGCACTTGGCATGGTACTGCCCATCGACCTCCCCACTCCTCAGCTCTAAGTATTCTTTTTATAACTCGGCTGGACCTCTGAACTGATCCCCTTCTTCCAGACGCGTCTGGGTCCTAGGTCGTGTCTCGACCCCATCTTTTCCCCGCTCCCTGCCTCCTGACTGGCCGGTTGTTTCCTGTCGAGTCGCCACTCCTCTTTTCCCTTTTTTGCCCTCGATTCGATTCCTGCTTCCGTCTCCTCCCCCAACTTCCGTGAATCTTATCGCGCGTATATCCATTCCCTTCATCAACCCATACAAACATGCCTCCCCAAAAGAGACGCAAGTCGGAGAGCGCCTCCAATGTTGATGCTGGTTCTCCACCCGCAAAGAAGGTACGTATACCGTGTTTTGCTTGCACCAGTTTTGATTTCCGTGAGAAAGCGCACCCTGTTGGGAGATCCGCTGGCACTCCGATATGCTATTCCTGTCCATTGTCAATCAATCCTCGTTCGTCGCTACACACGCGTTTCTTTTCCCATGGTCCCGGGAAGAGGGCCTTTTCATCCAGAATAAAGAGATGCATTATTCTGCTTTTCTTCTCGTTCCGAGCTAACCCACTTTTGCGAACAGGTCGCCCCCAACCCCGAGACTCCCGCCAGCACGGAGACGAAGAAGCGAGGTCGTCCCAGAAAATACCCCGTGGGAAGCGAGCCCAAGCGTCCTGATGGCCCCAAGCGCGGCCGTGGCCGTCCCCGTAAACTTGCCAGCGATGGTCAGTCCTCTTTCCTCGTCGACCTGTCCTCGCGTGTCCCTCCGGGTGCCCTCATAGGCGGCCTCTATTTGATCTGCTATTAACATATCCCAGGCACCCCAAAGCCCGCCACCCCCAAATCTGGCCTCGGACGAGGCAGGCCCAAGAAGACGCCGGTTCAGAACGGAACAAACTCTACACCCGCACAGGCCAAGGCAGAGACCAAATCGGAGACGAAGGTAGATGTCAAAGCAGAGACGGTCGCGGCCAAATCCACCGATGGGCGCTCCTACTGGTTGATGAAGGCCGAGCCTGAGTCGCGGATGGAGAAGGGCGTGGATGTGAAGTTTTCCATCGATGACTTGCAATCCCGCCAGGAGCCCGAGCCATGGGACGGTACGTGGTGTCGCCCGCAAACTATATGACTGGCCGTGTACTAACGTCCTCCTAGGTGTGCGCAACCCTGTTGGTAAGTGAACTCGGCGGTGATACCCCAGCGCCCTAGCTTACAACCGAGCAGCACAGAAACACATGCGCGAGATGAAGAAGGGCGACTACGCCTTCTTCTACCACTCGAACTGCAAGGTTCCCGGAATTGCGGGCGTGATGGAGATTGTGCAGGAGCACACCCCGGATGGTGAGTGCATCTGATCTTTCCGCGCGTACGACACCCACCTTTGCTGACGCGACGGGCGGCCCTAGAATCGGCATTCGATCCGACCCACCCTTACTACGACGAGAAGTCGGACCGCGAGAACCCCAAGTGGCAGGTGGTACACGTGCAGTTCCAGCGCAAGTTCCGCGACCTAGTCACCCTGAACGAGCTCAAGAGCCATTCCAACGGGGGGCCCCTGGATAACCTGCAGGTGCTGAAGCAGTCCCGACTCAGTGTGACCCCGGTCAGCGTGGAGGACTGGGCGTTCATCATAGGGCTGGCGGAAGGCAAAGAACTCCAGGCGGAGGCGGCCAACCCGTCGACGGAGGAGAGTGCGGACGGCCAACAGGCGTCGAGCGAGTAGAGCGAGAGGGAGAGGGAGACAAGGAAGGGAGAATCAGGCGATCTGAGGCGATCTGAGACGATCTGAGACGATCTGAGGCGATCTTTGCTGTAGTGTTTATGGGACAAGTTGAAACTGGGGGATACTCGACATGGGCATAGCTAGTTTCTGTACAATCTAGGGAGTTCTTTCGGCGACCGTACGTGCTCGTGCGTTTAAGGTATCCGTTTTATGTAGGCGATCAACCACGGTCCTACGTACGACTAAGTAGATATAGAACGGCTCGCACCGTGGTCCGATGGACCCGCACAAACTTTGCCATCACCGGCTGTTGTTCAAGTGTGTAGATGTCGAAAGACCTGTCACCTCCCCTCAGACCGTGATTGGCCGTCGCAGGAGGCATGGCTGTGAGGCAGTCCGCCGAGAAGTGACGGTCTGGGACAGTCGGAAGGGCGATGATTGGGATGAAGATGAAGCCAGGAGGAGGGCAGCTGCACGGGCCAAATGGGGGAAAGAAATGCCGCGAGCAAAAGAGCAGGTGTATGCGAGAGCAAAGGTGGGCCGCCTGTTCATTCGCCGCCTGGTTATCGGCGGCGGGGAAGCTTCAACTCAATCGGGAACTAATTTCGGTGCGGATTCTCGCCTCAACTTCCTCTTCCTCTTCCTCTTCCTCTTCTCTTTTCCACCGGCCTCACCTCCATGCTCTCTCCCCTCCGCACCTCCCTGCGCCTTCCCCCCCCTGTCCTCCGGTGTAGTCGTCTTCGCCTCTCCCCTCTTTTCTCCCTTTCTTCTTCTCCTTCTTTCTCCCTCCCTCTTCCTCTTTCACCCTCTCCCCTCTATACCCCCACCGTCTCTTCCACACCTCCCCCACCACAATGTCCTCCAACGTGTCCGTGCAGCTGACGGCCCCCAACGGCCGCCAGTACACCCAGCCCATTGGTCTGTTCATCAACAACGAGTTTGTCCCCTCGAAATCCGGCGAGAAGTTCGCCACCATCAACCCTTCGTAAGTCGCCCGGTCATCGCCGCCAGGAACCCCGCTGACCACCCCAGGGACGAGTCGGAGATCACCTCCGTCTATGCCGCCGGCGAGGAGGATGTCGACATTGCCGTCAAGGCCGCTCGCAAGGCCCTGAACGACCCCTCATGGAAGCTGCTCCCCCCCACGGAGCGGGGCCAGCTGATGCTGAAGCTGGCCGATCTGGTCGAGCAGCACAAGGAAACCCTGGCCACCGTGGAGACCTGGGACAATGGTGGGTGGTCGCAAGCCGATCTCGGTCGTTTCATGTCCACTGACCGCGTCTAGGCAAGCCGTACTCGGTCTCGTTGAGCGATGACCTGGGCGAGGTGGTCAACTGCCTCCGGTACTATGCCGGATGGGCCGACAAGGTCCACGGCCAGACCATCAGCACCACACCGGCCAAGTTCGCCTACACCCTCCGCCAGCCCATTGGCGTGGTGGGCCAGATCATCCCGTGGAACTTCCCGCTGGACATGGCGGCCTGGAAGCTGGGCCCGGCCCTGGCGTGCGGCAACACCATTGTCATGAAGCCCGCAGAGCAGACCCCGCTCAGCATCCTCGTCCTGGCCTCCCTCATCAAGGAGGCGGGCTTCCCGCCCGGTGTGATCAACATTCTGAACGGCCACGGACGGGTCGCCGGACGGGCGCTGGTGACCCACCCGGGCGTGGACAAGGTGGCGTTCACCGGATCCACCATGACGGGCCGGGAGATCATGAAGATGGCGGCGGGCACGCTGAAGAACATCACGCTGGAGACCGGCGGCAAGTCCCCTCTGGTGGTCTTCCAGGATGCCGATCTTGAGCAGGCGGCCAAGTGGGCGCACGTGGGCATCATGTACAACCAAGGACAGGTGTGCACCGCCACGTCGCGGATCCTGGTCCACGAGTCCGTCTATGACCGGTTTGTGGCTCTCTTCAAGGAGGTGGTGGCTTCCACCAGCAAGGTGGGCGACCCATTCGCGGACGACACCTTCCAGGGACCCCAGGTCACCAAGGCGCAGTACGAGCGCGTCCTCTCCTATATCGAGGCCGGCAAGTCCGAGGGCGCGACGCTGGCGGCGGGTGGCGAGCCGTTCAAGAATGTGGGCGACGGCAAGGGATTCTTCATCGCGCCCACGATCTTCACGAACGTCAAGGACAACATGCGCATCTACCGGGAGGAGGTGTTCGGCCCCTTCGTGGTGATTGCCAGCTTCTCGACGGAAGAGGAGGCCGTGACGCGGGCCAACGACACGACGTACGGGCTGGGCGCGGCGCTGTTCACGCGCGACATCGAGCGCGCGCACCGGGTCGCGTCCAACATCGAGGCGGGCATGGTCTGGATCAACAGCAGCAACGACAGCGATTTCCGGGTGCCCTTCGGCGGCGTGAAGCAGAGTGGGATTGGGCGCGAACTGGGCGAGGCCGGCTTGGAGGCGTACTCGCAGGTCAAGGCGATCCATGTCAACATGGGGACCAAGCTGTAGGCGACAGAGTTTGCGGTGCGAGCGAATGGATTGCAACCGTGGGCCGTGAGACGTGTCGTGGTAGGACGAAGACCTCTGATGAACTGCCGGCGGGAGATGGCAATGTGGCCCCGCGACATTGGCTGCATGTTGTGTACCCGGATGACAGGCATCAAGTTGGTGCGTTGTAGCGATTGAGTCGGGTTCTGCACCTGATCCGATGATTTGATTGTATATAATAAGGCAGCGGTGGTAGCAGATCGGCCAGGCTGGAGTACTTATACCCGATTTTCACAAAATGGCTCACCTAAGTTACTCTACCTACCTGGGTAGTATCTACCTAAGATCATAATCATCATCTTTTTCATCATCATCATCTTCTTCTTCTTCTTCTTCTTCGAACCCAACCGAAACCCCGCAAACATGTATGGATGTATGGACTATGGATGGATGGATGTAGAACCCGCCAACAAGACCCGACCCGACCCGACCCGATCCGACCCCCTGCCATTCCAAAACCCCTGATAGGATGGAATCGAGTAGAGATCTTACCCCGGACCTGCTGGTAATCCTACCCATGATGTGTTCCACTGCAGCCATGCATATACCGTAACTCCTGTACGGAGTACAAGACCAGGATTGAGACTACCTACGTATGTGAAGACAGGGACACAGGGAATGCAGGGTCTACCCACCCATCTTAGTACCCATCCATCCATCCATACATACATACACACTGAATATTCATGCAGGTATGTATAAGTATATACATGCATGCATGCATGCATATAATCCACAATCTGGATTCTGGATTCTGGTATTCGGATCGCGATCACAGCACAGCACAGCACAGCACAGCACAGCACAGCACAGCGATAGCCAGTCGCGCTATGCTGTGCTGCCAAGGAAAGTAACAGCATGGGTACCTGATTTATTCTATTATCTTGTTGTTTGATGAAGGAAGAGGGGAGGAGGGGAGTGTGGGTAAGCAGGAATGGAATTTGGTTGGTGGGATAGTTATACATATGTCATTTCAAGGATGATGGTGGGTGTGGTTTGTTTGTTGGATTCTGCAGTGTGTGTGTGTGTTACCTTGTTTCTGGGTTTTGCAGGCAATAGATCGGGATCTGAAGTAAGGGATGATGGGCTGGGTTGGGTTGGGTGGGATACCACCTATAACTAAGTTGGTGGATTAATTGATTGCTTGCTTATTTGCTTGCTTGCTTGCTTGCTTGCCTGCCTGCCTGCCTGCTGGCTGGCTAGTTTGATGCATGATGCATGATGCATGCGCTGCATACTTATACACCACACATGCACACATGCACACACACACACATATATATATACTTATATGATACATGTATATCAGTATGTAGATATATATGTATCGAAGTACCTTGTTATAGTAAAGTGACAACTCATCGGTAAAGTATCACCTGAGGTATATAAGTAAAAGTATGTATAAAAGCATGTACCTATATATCTATCTACATATCTTCCTCATATATATATATTTCCCGCGCGTACTCATGTATACCTACATCTGGTTCCCCCGATCTCATCTAGTCTGATCTAGTCTGGTCTGGTCTGGTCCAGTCTTATGGGTTTGAATCAGAATCAGATGGACAGAGTACAGACGCAGTACAGTACAGTACAGTACAGTAGACTAGCCAACTAACCAACTACTAGCAGTCCCGGTAGGTTGGGCTGTGCTGTACATATGCATATACTGGAGTATACAGTAGTGTAGTGTGGTGTGGTGTGGTGTGGTGTGGTGTGGTGTGGTGTGGTGTGGTGTGGCGTCTCTTCATGCATGCATACATGCGTATCTGCAAAGCATACCTACCTAGGATGTGTGGGTGATGCACGGAGTACATATGCAGGATACAATGCGATAAAGATATGACATACAGGATGTTATGTTATCGACAGGCAGGCGGGTAGTATTATAATATAGACTCGGTAGATGCAAACATGACTTGTCCTGCTGGTGAATTGGATTGGGTTTGTCATTAATTTACTCGGGTCTCAGGATGATTGACTGATTTCCTTGTTGAGCTGGCTGGCTTGTGGACTGCAATTGTTCAGGTCTCGGATTTGACGGATTGCTTTTCTTGGGCTGACTTGACTTGGGGTATATGGTTTGTGCGATGGTGATGAGAATGAAGGAGAAGGAGGGTGGCATGGGATATATGTTTGGACTAGGGTGGGTTGGGTTGGGGTTATAAGAGGTATTTTCCGACTTGGATAGCGATAGGAGAGAGGATAATATTAGTACCTACGTATATGTATATTGTGTGTAGATAAGGAGGTAGTAGGAGTAGGTACGTCTATCTCCTTGAGATCTGTATAAGACAAGTGTAAGTGTAAGTGTAAGCAGTGAATAGATCTGCAAAATAATAATGATGACGGTATTTACCAGATATCTATCCTATACTACATCTTAGACTTCAGGATCTTTATAGTTTAAGTACGTACACTGTACCCCTCCCCCCGGTGTATATCGACCTGATATATAGACACTATATAGATAATAGATGGCAGATAGTTATATACAGAACCTATAAGAGACTACTACTGCCTCAAAAGCAACAGCTTCTCCCTTCCTTGCTTCCTTCCTCCTTATTGCCTTCCTACCTATCTATCAACGGATACTGCAGATTCACGTATCGAGTTAATACAGCCATGGCCAGACCAGATAGACAAGCACAAAACAAGAAAGCAAGTGGTCGACTAGCAAAATCCTCAATCCTTAAGGATCTGTCAGGATCTAGCCAAACCGCCACACGAATCATCCCAACTGATAGGTATCACCGCCACCATTCATCTCCGGAACTGGAGGATGACTACCTAGTCTCTATGTACAAGAACAAATAACATGCAGGCGATAGATATACATAGAGAAATCCAGTTTTCGAGAAAGCAAACCACCAAAGTAAACAGGGCTGGGAAAGCAGGGTATAATAAACACGGGAAGACCCTGCTTCTATCGGATAATAATAGAAAGAATTAAGAAAATACCCAAGTACAAACTTGTACATGCTTATGTACTTGAGATGTTTGCTTTCCCATACAACGCACAGACAGACAGACAGACAGACAGACACAAACAAGCCGACAAACGAAACCGACAAACAAGCAAGCAAGCAGAGCAGGCAGACAAACAGACAAAACACAAACATCGGGATGGATGGGGCTAGCCAGCCTTAGGGAGTAAATTATAGTATGTACTAAGTAAGTAAGTTACTAAGTTACTAACCAACCCTCCCGCCTCCCCCCCCTCTGTCTCTTTCCCTGTCAGCCCTTCCCTTCCCACTAAAAAGTGCTTGGTTCCTACCTTGTTCAACATATCCATGTTCGATGATAGTTAGATATTAAAAAAGAAGGAATAACTCGTTACCTGATTGTATAACATAGCTAAACGACCGACTAAATACCTGACTGACATAGAGTCATAGTAGAGGGTCAATATGAATGAATGACTCACTTTCTGGGTATAACCTATGTATAACACCGTTGCTATATATGATCCATCCATCCATCCATCCATCCATCCATCCATCCACTATATCTATCCACATTTTCAACTCCACCCACTCTCAGTACCCAACCTGAGACAGACACAGGGAGATAGATACATACGTAAGTACCATGTATATATGTACCCAGCCTTACATTCTCCAATTTCCCCCTCCCTGTCAGCTGTCTAGTTAGTTATACCTATACCTACACCTGTAGCTATAGTTACCTATACCCCACCAACACTCCATAATTCATCCACATGTAATCTACAATCCATAATCCACCCTCAGCTGCCCTACCATGCAGTCCTACTGTACAGTAGGTAACAAACACACTACTACTTACCACCCAATCCCAATCCCAATTCCAATTCCAATCCGAACAACCCCAGCCTCAACATCCCATCCCATCCCATCATCCCATCGCATCACATCGCATCTACCTTAACTACCCACCCACCCATACCCTAATGCAAGAAATCCCCAAAAAAGCCACATACATGAGCCTTCCCCCCCCGCGGGCCACCAATGACGACCAGCCAAGCGTCGATTATTTGTCTTTTTCTCGGCCCCGAAGACTGTCATTGGTAGATTGGTAGAAATTTGGGGGGGGGGGGGGGGGTGTTACGGCGGCCAGCAGGGCTGTTCAGTTGGGTACATATTTCTTTCCTTCCCTTATTCTCTTGTCTCCCTATCGTGGTACCTACTACTACGTAGTTACATAGTATCTATTTGGGTACCTTAGGTATGGGGAATCTTAGGTACATACATACCTAGGTAGGTAGGTAGGTAGGTAGCAGGTAGGTAGGGTAGGGTACGGCTTACTCGTCATTATACGCGGACTATGCTAAACAGGCCGCGGAGGATTTGTCTAGGTGGAATGGGATGGAATGGAATGAATGCGGTTCAGAGAGCCATGTGTTGAGTTGGCTGTGGTGTGGTAGGTAGGGTAGGGTAGGGCAGGGTAGGGCAGGGCAGGGCAGGTTAGGTTGGGACGGGGATCGGGGATCGGGGTAGGTAGGTAGGTTTGGTTTGGTTTGGTTTGGTTTGCTGGACTGGGTTGGCTTATCGGAGGAGAAGGAGGAGGAGGGATTTTCTGTCCAGTGGGTTGGCTGGTTGGTGGATGGGGGATGGGGAGGGATGCGTGTCGATGATGATGATGATGATGCTGGAGAGGATCAACCTGCTTTGATATCGGACAGTGAGCAGCTGGATGGAAGGTGGAAGGTAAAAGCGTGGGTAAGGTAGTAAGGTAATACTGAGTGTATGGCGGTATGTAATAATACCTAACCTGACCTGACCAAACCGGACCGGACGGGACCAAACCAAACCAAACCAAACCAAACAATACCAATACAAGATTGTTACCGAGAGGGCTTACAACAGGGACGGACGGTACCTGCACCCCCCATGTAAGTTACGTTGTCGTGCATGAAGAATCGATCATGTGAGGCTGCCTGGGCCTCTCAGGCGCGTCGCATCGCCGCTGCTCAACCCGCCTGCATGTCGCGACGGCCACCGGAGAGAACTAAATCTGGACATGCTTGCATATTTAACCCCATCCCCTATCCTATCCCATCCTATCCCATCCTCATCGCATCGCAACTCCCCCCCCCCCCCCCCCCCCAATCAATGTGATCACTCATTTTTCAACGGTCGGGGAAATCCCCCCAACCCAAAAAGTCGTGTCCAGCTCCCGCAATGACCAACATGACACGCCGCATCCCAAGTAAAGCAGCACACCGCATTTTCCACGGACACCTTGCTGGATCGAGCGCTCCACCGACCTGGGCTCGAATATCGAACCCGGTCGTGTTTGCCTCCTGCAGGTACTGTCTGCCCGCCCAACTGATGCATCATCGCCGTTGAGCTGGCCGACCTCACTTCACCTTTCCCATACTACGACGCCGTACGCCGTACGCCGTATCGCCCTGCCCATTAAGGTTGTCTTGTCTGTCTGTCTGTCTTGCCCTTCTCCGGACGTTCGTATGTCTGCGCCGCCGCCGACCCAAGACCCAATGTTGGGCTCGCCGGCTGTCCGACCGTCCATCAATGCAAGTGCAGCAGCCCCCCGGGGGGCCCGCCGCACCATCCTGTCCCCTCCAAACGCCCCATCCATCGCCCATCCACCGCGACCTTAAATATCCTCTTTTGCCACTTTCGTGTATGATGAGCGTCATCTCGCCGTCGATCACCCCCAGAGAGTTGGAGATCAGGCGCAGTAGTTCCCATCGTCTGAGTATCTTAGGCTTCTTAGCCGCCAGGAATCTTGGTCCTCAATATCCGTACTCCGTATTTATCTACCCATGCTGCTTGACCGCCTGGATGAGACAGTCACAAAGTCTTAGTCTGTGCTGCGATTCACTCGCTAGCTACCCTAGCACTGCTGGCGTAACCCGGCCTAGCCAGCAAAAGAAACGTAATTCTGCCAAACCATAGGCGAGGATCCTGCCTAGCGTAGACCTCGTCCCGAAGGAATTGGGATTTGGAAGCATCCTTCGGTGTCTTTTCTTTGCTTTTTCTTTTTTTCTTGCGTTTTTGCGTATTTGCTTTTTTTCCCCCTGTCTTTTCGGTCCTTTCCCTTGTTTTCCTATCCGTCTTGTCTCTCCTCTGATCTCACAACGCCTAAGCAATTCAGACGGTGTATCAGGTCGGCCGCGATCGTGGACAGCCCCGGCCAGCCAGTGGCACACAGACCTTACCTACTCTTAGGTGCAGGAAACATTGGTGGTCAGTGCAGAAACAGAGAATGCGTCGCGGTAACGGCTGTAAGTCAGAAGCCTGGCCTCCAACTGGTAGGGAAATCTTCCACATCGTCCCGGAGTTTGGGACCCTGGGCGGATATGCCGTGTCTGCATCCAAGAACGCTCTTGATCGGGACTCGCATTTGCTCGATCCTTCTCTGTCGCGCAGCTTGCTTAAAGCCCTAGCCAGCTACCGGCCGCCGCCATATTTTCCAGACTGCCACAAGGCCCCAGGGAGGATTCCCGGGAGCATTTCCTATTTGTTCGTCCTATCGCCCCGTATGCGATTTTGCTCCACCGCGGCCCTTGTCTGGAACAAATGAGGCGGAACACGGGAAGTCTGCCGCACCCTGTCACTGACAGCGACAAGCAGGGCTGGCCGGCGCATGGTGAGACTCAATCAATTTGGTTTAAATTGATTCAAGCGGATGCGGCGGTGGATACCTGGCCTGCCTCTTCCTCTCATCTTTGCTTTTGCTGAGCCCTCCTTGAATGAGTCGACCACGTTTGCGGGTGGCGAGGCTGTTGGCACCGATAGCTAATGATTCACATGACAGGTGATAGCTCCATTCGGTGGAGTTGAGCCTGACGGTGGGTTTCAATAATCGTATCCACCGAAGACCCGAGGCGGCGAGGCCTCAATAGTTACTGGGAGCACTATTGGACCGGGTGTTTGAGATACTTTCCTGGGCCGTTAGGAACACGGACGTCCATTTGGGATCCGATGAGGAACTATTTCTATTTATTGGCCCGACAGGCAGGGTCGACCCGGAGCTGAAACCGAGGCTGCTGGGGCCCAGACTCGTCGTCCGTCCGGAGAAGCACTTAGACGCAGAGCAGAGTCTCAGAGTCAGTGATCATGTAGCACCTGAGAACCCGAGAACCTGAGAGCCTGAGCTGGGTTACCCACACCGGGGAGGAGGGAGGAAAGTACCGACCAAGTTAGCAGAGTTCAGCCAGCTCGACCCACTGGCCATGAGCTCCTAAGGTCTGTCTAACGCTAAGGGGAAGAGCCAGAAAAGTGTTCGATGAGGTTCGTGTGGGGGGGACGCTTGGCAGCCGAGGGCATCCTCGCCGGTGCCCGCTGCCCGCTGCCCGCTTCCCATCAGACTCCCCCCGACTACCGAATTCTTTCTCGACGCTCACACAACGGTCGTCATCGTTGCTCCATCGTCCAGCTCTCGTCTTGCCTTAGCCGCCCTGCATATTCCCCAAACAGACTAGGTTTTCCCGACCCAGCTCAGACGACGGGTGCTCCCGATCAGATCCCGAAACCTGAACCACCCGTTCTCACTTCTCAGGCCCTCACGTCAGCCTGTCATCACCACTCATCAATCATCAACCATGTCTGCCATCCAGAAATGGTCGATCTCCGAGGTACGGACCACGGTATTTGGGATCGCCGATGGAGATCGTCCCATGTGGGGTAGAAGTTTAGCAAGCTGATCCTTTCCTGGTGTCTGTACACAGCCGTATGTCGACGTACCGGGAACCTTGCTCGAAGGTCCGTTCCACGACGAGGCCAGAAATGAGTTCCGTTTCGTCGATATCTGGGAGCATAAACTATACGCTCTGGACCTTGCGAAGGGCCCAGACTCCTTGAAGGTCGTGGATACGTCTGTATCAGTAGGGTATGCGCCTCCTAGCTAGGATCCCTACAGGGTAGTTACTCCGAGAGTGGCTCCTGGGCTAATCTGCCGCTCGACTAATATAGAGTGACCGCCAATATTGCGGGCAACGATGCCCGCAAGGATGATATCGCCGTGGCCGCAAAACATGGGTTCGCCCTGGTCGATCGCAACACCGGTTCGATGTCGTATATCCGGAAGGTATGGAACGACCCGGCCAAGGACCACAGGTATGTCAACGATCGGGATCTGCGCTGTTTGGTTTCGTAGGACCTGACTCATCTGGAACGTTACCAAAACAGCATGCGTTTCAACGACGGGGCAGTCGACAGCCACGGGCGATTCTGGGCCGGGACCATGAACGACCCCAAGGTAAAGAGCCCAGTCGCCGAAGGCGTGCTATTCAGGCTAGACCCGGACTTGCAACTGCACCGCATGGTTGAACAGCTGACGATTCCCAACGGGATTGGCTGGAATCCCGCGAATGACACTATGTACCTGACCGACTCGCCCACCGGGAAGATCTACGCCTTTGATTTTGATGCAGAGACCGGCAACATCAGCAACCGTCGGGTTCACTTTGACCTGGGGGATCCCAAGGAGCCCGATGGCTTTGCCATCGACGAGGAGGGGTGTATCTGGAGTGCTATTTACGGTGGTGGGAAGGTGATCCGTATCTCGCCGGAGGGAAAGGTCATTGGTGAAATCTCGCTGCCCACCCGAAACATCACCTGTCCGGCTTTTGTGGGGACGGAGCTCTTCATCACGACTGCCAAGGACGATGTGAACAATGACCAGTTTCCGGAATCCGTCCGGTACGGAGGGCGACTCTATAGAGTAGACGTCGGCGTCAGGGGCACGCCCAAGAACACGTTTCGGTTGCATTGCTAGTCTAGTATAAGCCGATTATTAGCTTGACAATGAAATTAATAGACCGTGGACTGGTAAAAGAACGACAGAAAGAGAGAAAGAGAGAAAGAAAGAAAGAAAGAAAGAAAGACACAATCGGCTACTCGGGGCCCCGAGTGGCATAGTGCATGGCGTATATCCGTCGGTAGAGGTCGCGAAAAGCATGAAAATGAGACACCCGCACAGACGCTGTTGGGCTGAGGTGCAAAGATGAAGTGATGAGTCGGATAGCCACAGGTCCCGTCCAGCCCAGTGTGGAGCACTCAGGTACTTCTGCCTCTGGCATCGGTATGCAGTGGAACGCACCACCACATCCGTACAAATTGGGGTCTCGACCAGAGGAATCTCGGTGATAGCAACAAGAACGTACCGTATCCTTGCAGCAACAGGGCGGTGATTCCTTCCGATGGGGAAGGAGGAAAGAGATATCTCCGACGCGGAGGATAAGTTGGATCGAGGTGGTGGATCAACAAACGAACGAACTGGTGGAGGCCCAGCAGAGGTTGCGCGAGTCAGCAGACCGAGACCGCGGCGACTTTCCTGTTTGTTTTGTTTTTGTTGTTTTTGTTGCTGTTGTTGTTGCCTTTCCGCCTGGAACGCCATGGAGGGTCGGTGACAAAGAGCTGCATCAGCAGTCGGTATGGTGTCACTTGGGTCTTACCGCCATTGTGGACGGAGAAAACCCGGGGAAGAGGACAAGATCAAGTAGGTAAAATACCAAGAAGGACCGAGCAAGAACATGCTTGGAAAAGAACCTAAAGTCGGGTCCATTTGCCTGGGATCATACTCCATTCATTACCTGTATAGATATTGCCTGGAAGCTTGGAGGTGCCGGGAAGGCCGAAGACCAAAATACTGTACGCGTATTAAGAAGTTGTACGGAAGGCCGATGCATGCATAAGTAATGATAGCATGCATTCATGCACTCATGCACGCGCATACTGTGCGCGTAGTCGAGTGCACAAAAATGATGCCTGAAGGCACCAGGGCATCCCGGTCACTAAGCAGAGCAAACCAGCCATTAACTACTATTGGTTACCCACCTGGTGAATTACGGGCCAGAGGATCGAGTCAGATCGGCTATCATTTAGTACAAGGGTTGCAAACGCTCTATCTAGAGCTTTCCCTATGCGCAATAAACAGGCGAAAGAATACCGCCACTACAGTACAATGATGCGTCCATCTCCAGGATCTCCCGATCGCATGCAGTGTTCCTGTCATCCCTGAAGTCTAATTCGAGGATCCTGTATGCCGGTTCTCAGGAAAGTGGGCAGGCAGTCAGTGTGAATGCTGTTGCATGCATGTGCAGCCTGGACGCTACGGCAATGCTACCTTGGGATCCGGCCAAACTAGGCCTCGCCTGCGGACGAACCTCTCTCTAGAGCCTGAATATTACTGCGCTACTGCAGACGCCGTGTTGGGGAGACTCGTGGAGGCACGATTTGGGGGGGGGGGGGGGGTTGCTCTTGGTCGGTAGGGCAATTGGCTGGTGCTGAGCACTGACTGTACACTTGCTGTACGCACATTATACCTAGGTACGGAGTACTACTAGTACCTACATACCTTAGTAGTACCTACCTAGGTAGGCACATGCATTCTTACATACATGAGGATACGGTCTAAGCGATGCAGGGCAAGGATTCGAAAGTACTACGAACTGCGAAGCACCTGGAGTGGATACCTTCCGATGCACTGTACGAAGTGGAGGAGTTGTCTGGATTCTGGACAGGCCTGCGTGTTCCATGATTCGCACCGATTAGCTGCACTCAGGAAGGACATAATAATGGAGTCGGATTGATTATCTAGAGCCCAAGTGATATCCAGCTCGGAATCAATACGATCTGGACAGGGAAATTAGCCGGGATCATTTGCCACCAATTGTAGATCGACCTGGCATTTTGGATTCTGGATTCTGGATACTCGGCGACGGGCGGTTACAGCGGCATCGGAGGAGGTGTTGGGGGGAGTCTCCACGAAAAAGAACAAGAGCAAGAATGAAAACAAAGGAGACAGGGAAAAGCAAGTCGCAGGACCAGGAAAAGGGACAATGGGGAGCGTTCGTGGGCGATCCAGGAATCCCGTAGGATCGGATGGCGTTCGATTGATAACTTCCAGAAATACGGTATTATTGCAGGAAGGAAGAAAGGAAGGAAAGCCGTCGGTCACCTTCCCGTTTCCTTCTTCCTCCTTCCTCCAACTTCCCACCACTTCTTCCTTCGTCCCATCCTTTCACTCTCTTCGACTTCGAGAACCCAGACGGAAGCCAGGATCTCCTTCGGCCCAAATCCATCTATCCTATCTCGGACTTGGACTGCTTCATTCCCCCCCCCCCGCCTCATGGGTTGATAACCGACCCGACCACAGCACGCAACCAGGAACCGCCCCTCTGGGAAACGCCCCCTCTTGCCGTCTCCGACTAAGGCATGGGCTAACGCATGGACTAACGCAACCATTCGCACACTCCGTCCCCATTTCCCACATTTTCGCCTGCGGCCCCGTGGCTTCCCCGGCCAAGCATCGAGCGGCAGCGCACAGCGGCCCTCGATCGAGAATGACGGGAAAACATGGAGCCACCGCAGGAATTAGGCTCTCCATTCAAGGGGACGCACAAGCGAGAGGGACATCTGGGGCTTAGGTCAATTGGATGCATCGCATTTGTCCCAGATGGAAGGCGAAAAAAAAAGAAAAAAAAGAAAGAAACCAAAACAAAACATCCCAGGCGGATAATGATTCCGGTGGTGCCGACCACTCGCTTGAGTGGTATCCATGTCTGGGCCCATCAAACCGCCACGATGGATGAATCAAATGAGGACGGAACGCCTGTACTCCACTTCCCGCATATATTGAACAGGTAATGTGTAGATATCTTTGGGCTACGGAGTACATGGCTAGCTGCTGGCACTACCGCCGACCGTCCACAGCTACACAGCAGTCCCCCCGGGAGGTCACTACTAGATTCAGACTTCCCGCTCATCTAACTTGCTCCAGTGGCCAATTTGGCATAAATTAGCTAGCCATCATGAAGACCGAGCTGGCATGACCCGCAGCCCAGCTAGAAGAGGCTTCCAGAACCAACGTGCCTCCCATTCGGCCCGTCCCAACCAGGGATCTACAAGAGCATGAACGGGACGGCATCAGTAACTCGCTGCGACGAGAACCGTGATTGGCAGCGGCTATGATTTATCCGACAGCTGGTCAGGAGATAGAGATGCCGTCCAAGTCTAAAAGATTCTCTTTTTGCTGGTGAGGATAGCGTCTCTGTGGGGTTTCAGAGCGAATCATTCCCATCACTCAAGTTACTCAACCTTAAGATGCGGTAATGAGGCAATCTCGACCGGAACAGCCGTCTATCTGTGCCGATGGCAGGGAAACCCCCACTCCAGCTGGCTGCGCCAGCTAAACGAAGCAGCAGTGCCTTTGGGGTAACACAGAGGAGCCACACATAAAGAGGAAACGAAGGAAGGGCCACAATTTTCCCTTTTCTAGCCAATGGAAACCCCTGGATCGACTAGATCGCAGAGAATTTTCCCAAGCTCACTGCAGGTAATTCGCTACTTTCTGCAGAAGCATGGAGCTCACCGATCCTTACTCGACAGATCTACATTTCTTTTGCGCCTCTTCCTCTTTTTAGGTTTACTCTATTGCGGTTTTGATGTTCGTTTTTGCCTTTTGCCTCATCTTTATTGCGCTTCATTCGTCCAAACTCAAAAGTACGCAGTGTTAACTTTGCACTTGCAGTTGATGTTCTCCACAACCATGTCGCCATTAACCTCATGCCAAGAGGAGATGTAGCCAAACAATAAGCAGCACTACGGCCCAGAGATCAGTGCTGAAAAAAAGAGGCAGTGTGGACAGGGCAAAGAACCCGGCACTCCGGCTTGGCCCAACCACCAATGGTCTATAGAAATTCAATTCAGCAGTCTACAGGGTGCCAGGCTCGTGGATCTCTTGTGCACCGCCAGTTCTGGCCTGAAGTCCCTCCTGCGCTCAGCAATAGGCGGCGGCGTCACCCCAAATGTCTTAAGTGAAAACGCCGGGTTACCCTCTCCCGTGGGGTTTATCCACCGTGACGGAGAGCTTATCTGCACTTGATGCATGGGTTTGGGCTGTGTTGCAGCCTGCGGGTGGCTGTATCTATGGACCCAGTGACTTTATCTTCAATTGCAGTCCTAGACCTCTCCCTCGGACCAGGGGAAGCCGTGCGACAAAATGGCCGTAATGCAGCGTTCCCAACCTGCGAGGACAACGCTGGTATATCGGGGGCCCCAGAATAGCATCGCAGTACAGTTGCGGGATATATAGCCCGGCCTGCCTTGCGCTGAGGGCCTCTGAGTTGTTTACACGGCGATTGATGCCCAATGACGTAGCTGAAACACTTCTGCCTCCCTTTGGCTTTGGCCCGATCTGACTGAACAACAAAGTCCGAATGGAAACACAAGACATCGTTCGTGGACCACTTAGATGACAGCAGCATGACGACAAGCCAGTCCCTCTGATGACCTGTCTGCTCTGTTGCCTGCGTACAACCGAGGGGACACACTTATCACCCCAGACTATTGCCCGTTCCGAAGAGCCTGGCTAAGCCACCAATGAATTCTCCCAGCCGTGGCACAGGAGCGGGCATCAGGTACACAGACCATGACATGCACCTCGTCGCCATGAGACACCCCAAAATGGCGAAGCCGGAGGGAGGAAGAGGAGGAGGGAAGAGTTACTCCGTGGACGAGGGCGAGAAGCAACGGTGATCAGCAGATGACATGGTAACCCGGGTGGTAACGACGGTCACCCGTCTGTCACCCACTTTGGGGGAAGAAGGCGAAAGCATGTTGCCCGCATGTATGCAAGACATCGTGATTCAGGCTTCCTGAATGGGAGGGAAGCCATCTGCCCCATCTGCCGACGCGAACTAGACGAGGGCCTTGTTTTAGCTTCCCAAGAGGAATTGGCACGGCACCTATCTTGGAACTAGAGCATTTAGTCTGAGGTAGATAGGCAGGAGGACCCCGTCGGGATAAGCGTCGCCTGGAGTTGAACGAGGGTCTAAAACCACCGGCAGCACAAAGCCAAAGCCACGGCGTGATTTCATGATTTTCGTTCCGTGAGTTAGAGGGAGGTATGTGCTCTGGCTTGGCTGATCTTTTTCTTTTTTGCCCCTCTTTGCCTTTTTTTTTTTTTGGCTGTGCCTCTTCTACATAAGTAGGGGGGAGCGTGTGAGCCTTCTGATCAGTGACGAGTCCATTTGCTTAGATTGCCCACGCGGCTCATGCTGAGATCCTTGTCATAACAGGGGAACTTTGCAGGTCCACCACCGGAGGAATCAACTAGCGCGACATGATTGAAGTCTTGGGTGAGGCGAGGGAGTAATCCGTACCTAGTCTCGAATCTCAACATCAGTACTACTCACCATCGAACCGGGTCTCTGGGGGTGGGCTGGACAAGTAGCCACCGTGTCGAGGAGCGCGATAGCCAGAATATTGGTTTGAGATCGTCGTAACTCGTAAGCCAGGCAGAGAGGTAGAATCCTTCCGAGGGCGACTGGGGGGATTTTAGTAATCCGGATTTGAGGATCGAGTGGCCTGATCCAACGATTGAGGATTTTCGAGTATGGAGCAGATAGTGGCTGGTCACTAGCTAACAGCTAGCTACTGTTGTACGGCGTAGCTATCTAGCCCTTGATCACTGCTAGCTATACAGAGCAGGCCGTCACTCGTCACGGTCCCTGTAGGGTCTACTGAGCAATGCAGTGCAGTGCAGTGCAGTGCAGTGCAGTGGTGCACCTCGTGGGCTTTGATAAACAAAGGCGGTAAGGACATTGATATCAATTGGAGGACAGAAGATGTACAGGGCGGTACGGAGTACCTCGAGATTACCTCGCGGATACCTCCGCATACCGTATGGGACCGCGGGGCCGGGCGTATCGGTAAAGTACCAGGGAGGTATTGAATATTGTTTGGAGCTCCAGCCAGCAGGACCTCCACTGCCCGATCCATGGGCATGGGGACGGCGCCCTGCTAGATAAGTGCTAAGCGCTCCGGTTCACCTGCATCTTCCCCAGCCCCAAGCCCACTGTTAGTTCTCACTAGCCCACTTAGCGGATTACGTTGTTGCCCGGGTCGTCACTTACTTCCCTACCTTGGAGGCTTGGAGCCCCCCCCCCCCCCTCTCCCCGAGGAAGACTATCACTCACTGGCAGAGGAGATACTAGTTACTCTACTCCATGACCAGCAGGATGGACTATGGAGCAGGCTGTGGAAGCTGGCAGGATCCCGTGGAATCCCAGCCATGACAGGACTGATGGTTCCCGAAACGCCGCTCCGTCCGTCCTGCGTCGGCAGGTCACAATCCGATGAACAACACACTAGACTCTTGGTACGGGTGCTACCTAGGTAGATGATTCCCGCTTATTATTATTTGTTCGAGAAGATTGGAATACTATTACAGAGGACTTATATACAATATATTCATGTTCATCAGCTTGTTATGGTGTCAGTCAGGAAGTGACACTGACTAACTAATTTAAGTAGTATTTCGACTGTAATAAGTAAGGCAGGTAGGAGCTCTGTACGGAGTAAACACTACCAGATACATGTGTAGATAGACACACACAGCCCAGACTAGATAGATACTGGATAGATAGTACTACTGCTACGATGGAGGGATCCTCACGATGGCGTACAGGGCTGGGCTGGGCTGGGCTGCGCGGTGCGGCGCGGAGCCCGCTACAGCCTAGAGAGATAGATACAGGGCAGAGCAGAGCCACACACACACACACACACACAAGCAGACCCTTTCTCCTCACCACAACTACATCTGGATTGGGAACAGCTTCTTTCTGGCTTTCCGTTTTCCCCGGGCCCATCATCGATGGCGGCGTTCTGTTCTGTCTCCTCTCTTCTCCTCTCCTCTCCTCCACTTCTTTCCTCCACTTCTTTCCTCCACCCCCCCATCCCCACCTCTTTCCTCTCTTCCTCTTGGACTCTCCCCTCTTTGGTACTTTTGGCCCACCACCGGGTACCACGACCAGGGCTACCTGATCTATGCAGGATGCAGGACGCAGGACGCAGGATGCAGCTGTAGGTGCTGTCCGTACTCCGTATCACGTACAAAAGTACGAGTCAGGTATGCATGTCGCATGTAGGAGGTACTATATTAAATACGTACATTGGGAAGGGTAAGTAGGTAGGTAGTAGGTAGGTATCTTGGGGGGAGACAGGGCCTATGGACTGAGATTAGGTGCCTCGATGTGGTGGATGGTGTGGACTGCCCGGGGATGCATGTATGTATGTATGTATGTATGTGGGTGTGTATGTATGTAGGTAGGTATGTGAGAGGCCGTGTGGGTGAGTGTGTGTGCCCCCAAATATGTACCTAAATGTAAATGTAAATTGTATCCATCCTGCCGGTGGTGGTCGGCGGTGGGTAGTAGTGTAGTACCTTAGTATCTAGTAGTAGGTATCCACGTAGGACACCTAACTATGGAGTATGGCTGGCTGGCTGGCTGGCTGGCTGTATGTGTGTACTTTATGTATGTATGTATGACTCGAGGCAGGTACGAGGTCGTACTATGCGTGTCTGATCTGGCTGTATGTATGTATGTATGTATGTATGTATGTATGCGGTACCCGTAATTACGGATTCACGGCTCAGCTGGATAATCTACTACCAAGTTACCTTAGTACAAGTAAAGTAGTTAGGTACAATAAGTAAGCACTCGAACGCTTCCTGCTTGCCTACTTGCCAGTCGCTTTTTCTCCTCTAGAGTTAGTAAGGCAGGCAAGTATCTATCTAGTCAGAAAACTAAGTGGGAGTAACACTCTTGCGTGCGCGATCCCCAATGCATGTCGGTTCTGGGTCCTCTAGTTGTCTTAGTTGTCTCCTCTTCTTCCCACGCCTCTGGTTCTCTCCCATGCGTCCCCACCCACTCTTGTTTCTTTGCCCCCCCCCCCAATCCATCCATCTATCCGTTCATCCCATCCCATCCCATCCCAGTATCGGGTTTTGATTTTATTTTGGGGTTTTTTTTTTTTATTTTTCTTTTTTGTAATTCTTAATCTCACAATAATTCTTTATTTTATTTCATGCTTGTTAGTATTTTCTTATTTCCTTATTTTCTTATTTTTTTTTTTTCAATTATGTGTCCGCCCCCCACCATTTTTATTTTACCTTCTTTCTTTTTTTTTTTTAATTATGGATATTTTCTCCTTTTGGTCATGATGATGATGATGATGATTATTTTATTTTTATTTGACTCCAGTCTGGTTTTCGTTTCACACCGCCGGATCTGCTGTCAAGTCCACCAACGGTTCGACGTACGATCGTCTCTTTGCTCCTCGCCAGCAATAAATAATGCCTAGGAAATAATAATAACCAGCATCGTTCCTGGACCTGGCTCTGGCTTGGGTTCTTCTTCCCTTCTGCATTCCTCCCCAACTGCCAGCTTCAGCGTCCCTGTCTCTTCCGGCAATCCATCCACATCCTCATCATCATCCTGATCATCATCCTGTTCTTCTGCTCGTTCCCCCCCCCTCTCTCCCGTATTTATTCGTCGACCGTCTAGATAAATTTGTATCCTTTGCTTCCGTTCTCGTTCTGGGCCATCTAAGAAAAACAACCTGCGCCTTTCTACTGTTTAATCCGGATACATCATACTGCTGGTCACTATCGTTGTAGTATTCGCACTTCCGGTCCGCGAACACATCAACCATCAATCAGATCGAGAGAAGACCACCGTTGTATAATCTCGACGGTACCCTTTCCTGTCCTTCCCCCAGACCCCCTCCCTCCGTCCGTCTCCCCTCCATTCTTCTCACGGTCGTCCGTGAGCTTCCCTCACCGTGGCTACCCTCGGGATCAGTGTGCTGGCGAACCTCCCATACTCGCACGCGGTGCATTCCTCGCAGCCCTATCATCACCCGCTGCCTGGCTACCATCTTGCCCAACCCGCCGGCTCCCTCTCTCCGGCTGCTCTTCACGAGTCGCCCGCTCTTCGGGAGAGAGAGGGGGCCTCGCAATGCCCTCGGCCGCTCCAGCTATCCTTCGACAGACCAACGGAGCATATGTCGCCCGCGGTTGCTGGCCCTGCCGATGAAGCTCGTACGTTCGAGAGGAAGAGGCCGCGCTCCGACGATGACTCCGCCTCCATCGAAGGGCCCGACGCGGTGCGTCCGCGGCCGCTGTCCTATCCTCAACCCTCTCGCTCCATCGGCGTGGAATCCATTCTGAACCCGCCCTCCAAAGCTGGCCCCGTTGCAGAGAACGGTCGGGAGGCATCGGGACCACAGCTGGCGACTGCATCGCCTTCGCGAGCCCGACTGCCTTCGTCTCCCACCGTGCATCTCCCTTCCCCGTCATTGCACCCCGCCAAGCGCCTGTCCTCGTCTCCCAGCATGAGAGCCCATCAGACACTCGCCCCGGCCTCGCCCTCAGCCCGCTTCGTCGCCGCAGGGGGCGTGTATGGCCCGAAAGTCGGCATCTCGCAGTCTCCTCTGGCTCACCCATCACGGCTAGGGTCCTATTCCACTGCCCCGGGCTCTCCGCTGCCCATGGAGGCCGCATCCACGCATCATCATCCCGCCCCCATCTCCGTCCACTCGACCCCGACTTTCCACAGCCGGCGGACCAGCGCCAACCCGACCCCAAACCCCAGCTCCCAGGAGACGAGCCCCACGACGCCGGTCTCGGCCTACAGCCAGCTGGGCCGGTCGTCTCCGGCGCTCACCACCGCCCCGATGTCCCAGACTACGCCCTCGTTCCTCAACGCCACCCCGTATGGAGCCGGCGACGCAGTCCCCCGACTGCCCTCCGTCATGGGAAGGAACAGGCACGCGAGCGAGGAATCGACTGCCGCGGGGGGTCACAAGCAGAGCATCTGCCCTACGGCATGATCCCATGCATCATCGACATGAAATCAGGCTCGTCCAGCCAGGCGGAGAAGCGCAAGGCCAACAGCGACGCATCACGGCGATTCCGGAACCGCAAGCGAAACGAGCTGCAGCTGGAACAGAAGATCACCGGGCAGCAGGACGAGATCCGGAAGCACACCGAAACGGTCCAGAGACAGGCCCAGGAGATCCGGTCGTTGATGCAGGAGCGGGACTTCTATCGTGCGGAGAGGGACTTCTTCCGGGACCATGTTGCTCGTCTGGTCCCGGCCGGCCAACTGCCCACCCGACCAGCCTCGCCGCGCGCCCTGAGGCCATCTTTCGAGCTGGCGGCTTCGGAGCGTGAGCGTGAGCGTGAGACAGCCTGGCATGCGTCGGAAGCTCCCCGGAAATCGACCGAGACCACGTCAGGCCCGAGTGGACCATTGATTCCCGCGCCCTCGACGATCGCTCGCTCGTCCAGCAGGCCGCCCGTGACTTGGTCGTCCACTCCGGCGTCTTCGTACGCGGCGGTCACTCCTATGCATCCCGATGAGCAGCAGGCGAGGTCCTTGCCGCAGTTCCCGGCCACATGGCCACGGAACTCGTAAACGCCAACACCAACACCACCGGGACGGTATGGTACTAGATTCCTGCATATCCATCCATCCGCAGAATCCACCGCAACACCCAGACCCAATATTCTTCCAGCAGCTCGCGGGTAGAGCTACTGGTAAGTACCAGGGAAACAACACTCTTGGTCAGGATGTCTTTTATTTAATATTGTTTTTTTCTTCTTTCGCCATTCCCTCGAGCACCATCATCCTCGAGTGATGTATCATCGGGAGTCGAAGAGCCATAAAAGTTCCTTTCTTGAGAAAAAAAAGCATGTTTTCTTAATATCATCATCATCATCTCATCTCATCTCATCTCATATCATGTCATGTTATCTGGGAGGCGACGTCGTCTTAAGCATTGTCGGAGCAAGGTCTCTCCGTGCAGGAGTGGTGTGATCTGCATGATTTGGATTTTGGGAGATTGGGTGTCCGGATCGTGGCTTTCTCTTTTTTTTTTTTCTTTTCTTTCGTTTTACATTTTCTCATACAGGGGGAGGATTCCGTGTTCTCTTCCTTCTCTGGACTCCAGGGGTTTTCCCTTCATGTTGATTTGGTATGTTTTTTTTTGTTTCCTTTTGGGTTGAGAGGTTTACAGTTGCACTGCACATATGCTCTTTTCACGAACATTACTTCTCTTTTCTTTACTTATATCTGTGTCTCTTTTTTTTTTTTTTTTTTTTTTTTGTTACTCGATATCGGGGATCACGATGAGTTGTTTGGATGGATGGGTGCGTGGGCGGCGTTGTCTCTTCTTTGCATTGGGAATGAAGGATCCACGCCACGCAGTTGGCATCTGGAGATACTACGGTACTACCGGTCTACCAGGTACCTGTTTGCTGCATGTGAGACCGGTCTTGCTGGGCTGCTGGGCAGGCTCTGATTTAGTTGTGTTGTATTGTCGATTCATTCAGACCCCAAGATACCTACCTACCACCGCGAGTCGGGTGGTGTGTTCAGTTTATTCAGCGAGACAATTGAGAGCAGCATCTTCCTTCCTTCCTTCCTTCCGGTTTATGCTTGTGGCTGTCCGGTACTAGACCGTATGTATCTATCCTTCCCCGTACAACAAGAACGACGACACCAGAAACAAACCAAACTGCGAGTGGCGGTGTCGGACAGGTCCGACGGCGATCTACAGCACGGTAGAGAATACTATCTAGGATAGTATCTGCTGCAGGTGCGGGAGCAGCCAGCGAGCTAGGGAACTGGTTACTGTTTCGAGGCTGTCCGAGATGGGCGAAGGATCTAGTGAGGGTCTAGTCTGTCTAGTTTGTTTAGTCGGTTTAGTGGGTTTAGTGTTGAGTTACCTAGTGACTCGGTCGGTCTGCAGTCCAGTCACGATCGCCTCAGGCTGCCAAGCGGCAAGCCCAGGCGTCGAGGCGTCGAGGCGTTGAGGCGTCGAGGCCGTCAGGCACCGATCTCGCCGGCGGTCCACGTGGTGGCCGACAGCCTATCAGGGCCCGGTTCACAGCCAGCCAGCAGAGCAGGTCCGCTAGCATGCGTCGTCGTCGCCTTCTTCAAGTCGGTCAGGAGCTTTTTCTCCTTGGGGAGACACTCCGTGTCTCCTCCGCTTTCTGGATCGCTCCCCCGCTATCCACAGCTTCCCACTCTAACAGCCCACTCCTACCCACTGCTCTCTTAAACCACATCCCTACCATCCCTGCACGTGGGACGACGACTTCGCCGTGCTAGCTGGGTTTGGCTGAGGAAACCACAACATGTCAGTGCAAAATGAAGGGGCTATATGAAGACCGTCCCGTCCGCAGAGACCCCGGCTGCTCTGTGTATCGCAAGAAGCTGTGTCTGGTCGTCACGATGGTTGTCCTCTCGACTCTCCTTCCCCTCTACCTTCTGTCCGGGTACGTGCAATCATTCCATCAAACCATCCATCCCATCCCTTTCGGATCGGAAATGCGGGGACAAACACTGACCCTCGTGCAGAGTCAGTTCCGGACGTGCGGTCCCCACCTCGAGATCCGAGTCGGCGGCCTGCGACACAGTCGATCAGGGCTACCAATGCTTCTCCCAGATCTCCCATCTCTGGGGCCAGTACGCGCCGTACTTCTCCGTCGCGAACGAGTCGGCCATCTCACCGGCCGTCCCTGACGGATGCCGGGTCACCTTCGCGCAGGTCCTCTCGCGCCACGGCGCCCGGTATCCCAGTGCCTCCAAGGGCAAGAAATACTCCGAGCTGATCGCGAAGATCCAAGCGAACGCGACGACGTCCTTCGAGGGCGCGTACGCGTTCCTCAACACGTACAACTACACCCTGGGCACCGACGACCTGGTCCCCTTCGGAGAGCAACAGATGGTCAACTCCGGGGTGAAGTTCTACCAGCGGTACGAGTCGCTCGCGAAGGACATCGTGCCGTTCATCCGCTCCTCCGGGTCGGATCGGGTGATCGCCTCGGGCAATAAATTCATCGAGGGGTTCCAGAGCACCAAGCTCCGGGACCCTCGCGCGCGGCCCGGCCAGGCCGCGCCGCACATCAGTGTGGTTATCTCCGAGGCCAGCAATGCCAACAACACCCTCGATCCGAGCACGTGTGCTGCGTTCGAGGACAGCGATTTGGCGGATGACGTGGAGGCCGATTTCGAGAGTACCTTTGTGCCGGCGATCCGGCAGCGGCTGGAGGCCGGGCTGGAGGGCGCGACTCTCACCGACAAGGAAGTCATCTATCTGATGGACATGTGCTCCTTCGACACGATCGCCAAAGACACCGTCGACACCAAACTCTCCCCCTTCTGCTACCTGTTCACCCACCCCGAATGGTCCCAGTACAACTACCTCCAGTCCCTGAACAAGTACTACGGCCACGGTGCCGGCAACCCCCTCGGTTCCACCCAGGGAGTCGGCTACGCCAACGAGCTCATCGCCCGTCTCACCCACTCCCCCGTCCACGACGACACATCCTCAAACCACACCCTGGACTCCAATCCCGCCTCCTTCCCGCTCAACGCTACCCTGTATGCGGATTTCTCCCACGATAACGGAATCACCTCCATCTTGTTCGCCCTGGGTCTGTATAATGTCACGACCCCGCTCTCGACCACCGCCGTGCAGTCGACTGCCGACACCGACGGGTATTCCGCTGCGTGGACCGTGCCGTTCGCCGCCAGGGTGTATATCGAGATGATGCAGTGTGAGGCGGAGAGGGAACCCTTGGTCAGGGTTCTGGTTAATGATCGCGTGGTGCCGCTGCATGGGTGCCAGGTTGATCGGTTGGGGAGATGTACGAGGGATGACTTTGTAAATGGCCTGAGTTTTGCCAGGGAGGGGGGCGATTGGGGGGAGTGTTCTGCTTAGGTTTTGAGAAGGGTTAGATGGTGTTAGATGGTGTTAGATATGGTATATTAGTGCTCATTTTTTCGTTTTCATATCCCCAATCCCCTTATCCCATCATCTCTAGTATCTACCTACCTACCTAGCCAGTCTGTTCTGTATCCTTCGACATTCTGCCACTCACTCACTCACTCACTCACTCCGCTCTAGACCTCTCGCCCCGCCATTTCAAAATGGCCCAGGGAGGAGTTCTCCTGACCCAGGAAGAGATTCTCCTAACCCTGGAAGGAGCTCTCCGTTCACAGTAGACTTCCTTTCTAATAACAAAGAGATCTAGATCACAGAGATGTAGAATATCACTCATCTCTTAGAGGGCTGGGGGGGGGGGGATTCTCCTGGTCTAGAGAGGAATTCTCCTGGTCCAGAGGGGAATTCTCCTGATCCAGAGAGAAACTCTCCTATCAGAGTAAACCTTCTAGTGAAGAACAAAGAGATCTAGAATACAGACATGGAGAATATCACTTATCTCTTAGAGGGCTGGGGGGGGATTCTCCTGACCCAGAGAGGAAATCTCCTGGTCTATAGAGGATATTTTCTGGTCCAGAGAGGAGTTCTCCTATCCGAGTAAACCTTCTAGCCAGTAACAAAGAGATACCAAGCAAATACATGAAGAATATTACAAGAGGAAATCTCCCGACCCAAGAGGGAGATCTCCTTGTTCACCACCGTGCCATATTTTCCCGACATGTGAATAGCTTCACCCCCCCGCGGGTATAAATACCCCCTCAACCCCCCGTCAACTCTCTCACTTTTTTTTTTCTCCCCTCCACACCAATCCTCTCTTATATATTTTACCTTCTACCTCCTGTATCTTCTACTCTCTACCTCCCAACCTCAGCTTAACCCTGTCCTGTCCTGACCTGACCTGCCCTGCCAATATCTCCCCCAGCTGGCGATATTGCACACACCCATGGCCCCTATACCCCTACCCTACCAGATAAGTTTATTACTGTCTGTCTGTCTGTCAGTCCGTCTGTCAGTCAGTCAGTCAGTCCTTCCCCCCCCCCCGGCTCTCTCCTGGTATATTTTTTATATTGTGATAATCCATCTGATAAGACCCCCCCCCCCCCCCCCAATTCCTATATATTCAATTTTTTTTCTTCTTTCGAAACCGAGGGCAAAAAAAAAACCACCTAAACCTTTAATTTCTTTCTTTCCAAGGAGATATATGCTATAGCATGCCTGCCTTGTGAAATGAAATAGTCTTCCACTCCGCTCCGCAAATCCCTTATATTATTCTTCTCCCCTTCTATATACTCCGCGCCAAATGGCAAAAACAAAGGTTACCTTCAAGTCCCTCTATATAAGGAATTTTTTTTTTCCTTTTCTTTCTTCATTGCTTTCCAGGTTTGGGGTGCGGGGGTCGGTTCGATGTTGAGATGCACTTTATATATGTACCTGGGAATTGAAGGTGTGGGGGTTGTAGGGCTAAGCATGAAAGAAATCACTGCTGGGGGTGGGTGGGTGGGGTGATCCTCGGACATTGAGGTGAAATTATGGCTGGGTTGTTTTCTGGTGTTGGCCGCACTGGGTTTGTTTTATATCATATTTCTTTTCTAGGGGTCCCCTGGCAAGGACTTCCACGTTCAAGTTGTGATTGTCTCTTCTCACTGGTTGGCCGTCTCGAGTGTTCATTCTTCTCACCCCTGTTTTTGATATATATACTCGACAAGCCTAGCCAGCTTGCAGTTACCTTCTCTTCCCTCTCCTGACCTGGTCTGGTGTTCCGTGGCTGTCCTGTACGATGATGCGACCTTCTCATTTCATTTTACTCATCACTTTTCCACCCCATTTGGGGTTCCTCTCTCCCTCCCGCACCTTTTTTATACTATACTATATTTACCCGACAAGACCGGTCATCTTGTCTTCTTCCTGTCCCCGCTGGCCTTGGCCTCTCTTGACCAGGCGCGCTCATATCTCCGGCTTGCTTATATACTTCACCAGAAGCGGAGTCAAGTTCTCGATGCCATTGGGCGTCGGGGCTAGGCTCAAAAGCATCACCAAGGCTTGCCTGCTTCCTTATATACTTCACCAGAAGCCGAGTCAAGTTCTCGATGCCATTGGGCGTCGGGGCTAGGCTCAAAAGCATCACCAAGGCTTGCCTGCTTCCTTATATACTTCACCAGAAGCCGAGTCAAGTTCTCGATGCCATTGGGCGTCGGGGCTAGGCTCAAAAACATCACTAGGCTTGCTTTGCTTCCTTGCTTTTATATACATATCGCCATCGGTTCACCACCACCAAGTCTTCCATCATCAGTTTGGTGAACCCCTTGGGTCGGCGGATGTTGGTACTGTTCAAGTGGTTCTTGGACTTCACTCCCGAGCATGCGGTCTGCTGTTGCTGCTGCTGCTGCAGGTGGGTGGGAGGACCGATACCGACGAGGTCATCAGGGTTGGGGGGTGGGATTGGGGCTGGTCACCCCATCGCATCTCGATCCACGTAGCGCTTCGCTACTCTGGGGTCGGACGTGCCACCTATTTGTCAGTCTGCTGCTGCTCCTGAGATCACCAGAAAGGACGGGAATTGGGGCTCGTCACCCCATCTCATCTCACCTTACCTGTCCGCCATTCTTTTTTTTTTTTTCTTTTTTCTTTTTTTTTTTTTTTTGGATATTATCAGGGTGTTTCTGACGAACCTGAGTGCTGCTGCGGCTGTGGCTGCGACAAGGTGATGATATCAGGATTTTCTGGTGGTTTTTTTTTTTCTTATATACCGATGAATGAAGATGATGAAGATGATGAAGATGATGATGATGATTGGATTGGTCCGGGACCTTCTGTTTTTGCTTGTCTGCTGATGAGGACTAAGACGAAAACGAAGACGAAGACGAAGACGAGATTGGTGGTTTCGAATGGGGCTCTGTATACTATATATATTTGGAGATGGAGACTGATTGGCTGGTGGCTTTCTGTTATTTCTTTCCGGGTTTGTTTTTTTTTTTTTTTTTTTTTTTTTTGCCCCAGGATGAATTCAATATCCTGACCCAAATGATGAAATGGAAATTCTGAGAGTATTACCTATCCTTCCTTCTTTCCAGACATTCTGGAATTGTAGAACTGTAGAACTGTAGACATAAAGTAAAGCGAAGTAAATAAAGTAAACAAAACAGGGTCAAGTAAGTAAAAAGAAAGTACTAATATACAAACAGTACATATACATACATTCTCCATCTGGTTAATTCTCATTCCCACCCTCCCTTTCTCCCCTCCCAACAAACCTCTTTGGCTTTTTATCCCCATACGCTATGACATACACCACATCAGCCGAATGCCGAATCCCCAACCGACAAGTTACCTCACAGGTACGTAGGTAGGTAGGTACATCCAAATAACACAAAAGACGGGGGGGGAAGACGGCAAACGAAGGGGAAGGGAATAATACATACTCCTCTCATAAAGCATCCAAGACGTATACATCAGGATCGGCAACGCCACGATCGTGGACAGCCATCTAGATGTCATTACCATCAGTATCAGCAGCATCGTCATCATCATCATCAGCGTCATTGCAGCGCTGCACCCAAAACAATCCTATCCCATTCCCACAATCCTACTTACTTACTTACTTACTTCCTAACCTCAACTCAACACAACTCAACTCAACCCAACCCAACCCAACCCAACCAAGACACATCCGCAAATGCAATACAACTAGTTACTCCGTAACTGAAAAAAAAAAGATAATAAAAAGACAACTCACCGTCTCGCAGCAGCTTTATACTCCTTCGTCTGCCGAATATCCCTCACCGCACCGGCGGGAGGCAGCTGTTGACGTGCGGCGGGGCCCGGACGACGCAGGTGCGCGTCCATGATGACACGGGGTTGTTGCTGCTGCTGCTGTTGTTGTTGTTGTTGGTTGGAGGACATTGTGCTTATATGATAGTTTAACGAGAGAGAGAGGATGGAGGTGATGGGAGTGGGAGTGGAAGTATCTATTGTGTGGTATGCAAGTATTGGGGTGGAGGTGGATAACCAGGTAAATGGGTGCAGTAGAGGAAGGGAAGGGTTGGTCGGGAGGCGGAAAAGTTCGGTGGAGGTGGTGGGGATGCCTTGTTTCTGCCTGAGGCAGAAATTATATATACAAAGTATACAGTTACTGGGTTGGTTGCTATCATGTCATCGGGGAAGGGGTTAGGAACAATGGATTTTTGAAAGAGATCCAAGGTCGCTGGGGTAGGTAGGTAGTAAGTAGTAAGTAGTAAGATGTACGTTGTATATTAACCCGCAGTGCTATTCGCTCCATACAGTGTCTGTCTGTCTGTCTGTCTGCCCATACAGTTATTGTCCTGTCTCCATACAACAACACCACCAACAACACAACAGGCCAAAAAGTATACACGCGAAACCCGGAGAATAGACCCGAATGGGATGAAAATAGAATACAATTTCCGCTCCATCCACCCATCCAGACTGCGGCAGATAGATGGACGACAACAACCCCAAGATAATACAATACACATAAGTACATGCATACCTGCAATGTCTGTGGACGAACCAACAGAGAGAGCCCCGAAACCTAAACCAAGCAAAAAAAAAAAAAAAAAAAAAAAAAAAAGAAACAGACACATTCTTTAACGCCGGGAATCTCAGCCCGCCGGACACGAGATCGCTATGCTTCGGTACCCAACCCAGGACCAGGACTCAGACAGTTTCCCCAACTCCGTGGAAAAACAAAAAACAATAATAATAATAATAAGGATGATGATGATAAAGAAGAAGAAAAAGAAGATGATGATGATAGAAACAAAATTAAAATCAATTACATCTAAAGCGGCCGCCGCCACCACGGGGGTTGTGTGGTGGCTAGTGAGGATGGTTATCGTCCGGATCATCCGGCTTGTCGGATCCTTTCTTGCGCGCGTGGGCTCGACGGGCTCTTTCCTGGGCGTGATTCTCAAACTCGGCCATCAGGGCTGCCGCAGCCCGCCGACGAGGACGACCACCGGGTGTCTCGCCCAAAGACTGATCAGAGGGACCGGCCTCGGGGGCACCGGTGGCTAGTATCTCCGTGGACGCTGCCTGCACGGGCTCCTTCTTCGGCTCGGCTTTCGAGGCAGTGGGCGTCGAGATTCCCTTCAAGGTGTGATGATTCCGGGGAAGACCGGACAGCTTGAGGATCTTCGATGGACTAGGACCGTCCTCGATGGCTTTGGTGTCCGTCTCCTTGCTATCGGTGCTCTCCTCTACCTCTTCGATTTCGGAATGAGATCGCTTGTTATTGCCCTTCAGGGTGAGCTTGATTCGCAGGGTCTTTCGGCCCTCCTCTTCCTCCTCCGGGGGAGGCGTTGCTTCCTTTCCCTTCCGACGTCGTTTGACCTGGGTGGGCTCCGCAGCCTCCCCCCGGCGTCGTTTCCGGGTGAGCTCCTTGGTCTCTTTCGCCTCACGGGGCTTGATGCTCCCATGTTTCTCGTCGTGTTGGGCGATCAGGGCCACAATCTCGGCGGAGGCCATCCACAGGTCGATGATGATGCCGCGCCTTTTGGCCTCCTCGCGAGCCCGGATCGTGGCCCGGACCTCATCGACATTTTCATACATGAACGGCATATGCGTCTCGCGGGGCAGGTTACGCTCGCCCATGCGCGGGGGGTAACCGAAGATCCGGTCTTGCTCGAACTGTGCCCGAGACTTGAGGCGAAGGGGCGGCTGGGGGAGGAGTTGGTCTCCGTAGGTGTTGTTAGGTCGGTACCACTCGTAGTCGGGTCCAACAGTGATCAGTTCTTCGCCAAATGGGTTCATTTGGCCTGTGTAAATAAATTCGTCCCCGTCAGTCCGTGGCTGAGGGGCGTTGTCAGAAGGTAATGGCTCACTCGAGTCCCCAGCTTCCACCTCGGCTTCGACCTCAGGCTCAGGCTCAGGCTCAGGCTCAGGCTCAGGCTTCGCCTCAGCCTCCGCCTCCCGCGAGCTGATCTCCTCCTTCTTCCGTTCAAACTCCTGGCGCAGTTCCTCGAGCCACTTCTCGGCCTCTGCTTCAGGGGTGAACTTCGGATTGACCGCCGCCGCGGCCAGCTCAAACAGCCGGTTCACGAGAGCATCTGCCTCTGACTGAGATGTCTGCGGCGCGTTTGCAGAGGTGTTGTTGGGCTGGGGCTGGCCCTGCTGGTCCCCGGGCGTCTTTCCCATCGGGCCATCGGCTCCCTTGATTGATTCAGCCTTGACCGACGATGCGCGGGTCCGGCGGAAACGCCGCTCCGACTCGATCGACTCCATGGCCTTCATGGTCGGCTTGCGAGCTCGGCCAGATGTGCGAGCGCCGGTGGAGGTCGCGGTGGAGTAGCTGCCGGCGGGAGACCCTGGGCCTTCGAAGGCGCCGTCGAGCCCGAAGTTGTTTCCATACATGTCGGCGTTATACTCAAATGGAAAGTTTTCTCTGTAGGCCTCCCGACCGGGGGTTCCCACGTCAAAGCCAGGCGTGTCTTCAAAGCCGCGGGTCTTGTCGTCAATCGCGGGGGTCGATTCAATGCTGTTGGCGACTTCGCGCCCGTACGGTGACTCGAGCGACTGGCCGTTCATGTTCTGACTGGCTGAGTCGGCTGCCGATTTCTTAGCGGAACGCTGGGGACGGGTGCTGGTGCGAGTCGCAACCTGAGAGATAGGCTTGCGAGTGCTTGTACTGGGTCCAGACGCGGGAGTCGACTGGGGAGTGTCTGGATTGGTGAGGTTGGCCATGGCCGACTTACGTTCGGCACGGCGAGATCGGGTGGTGGTGTTGGGAGTCGAGAGATGAGGCTGGGCCGGTGTACTGGGCTTAGAGACGCCGTTGCCTTGGGTTTTGGGATGTCTAGCGACCGAGTTCGCAGACATGGGCTCCTTTTTGACGCGAGCAGGTGTCTTGGTAGCCTTAGCACTTGCCTGGTCGGCGCTTTTGAGGCCCTTGACAGACTGCGGAGTAGAGGTGACAGGAGCGCTGGTGGCAGCCAGAGAGGTCTCGCCGTTGAGCTTGGCTGGCATCGACTTGCGAGCCTTGCGGTCGTTGGAGATGGAGTTGGTCATGGTGGACCCTTCTGCTGGGTTCGACTCGTCTGTGCTACTCGTCACGTGGGCAACAGCAGATCTGCGTCTGTCCTGTGATTTGGACAAGAAGTTATGCAAAGTCGACTGAGACTGGTCTTTGGGTTTGGGGATCGATGAAGGGCCCCGAGAATCGCCGTTGGTTAGGGTGGATTTTCGAGTCCGGTCACGTCTCTTGGGGACGCTGTTGACAATGTTGGCACTGCTGACAGAGTCTGTTGAATCGGGGTTCTCCGTCGGTTCTTTTGACTGCGGAGTCTGGTCGTCTGGAGCCACAGCACGCTGTGTCTTACGACGCTTTGCAGAGGGAAGAGATTCGTCAAAAGACGCGGTGAGTGGGGTCGGGGGTAACGAGTAAGAAGAGTGAGAGTGGTTGGAAGGTTGAGCAGGTTGAGTTTCTGGTTCTCGAGTCGTTTTACGCGAAGCACGCGAGGGAAGTGAGGCACGAGAGGCACGAGACGAGCTACGGCGAGTTTCTCGCTGAACGGAGGTAAGAATCAGACGAATGATGGGGGGGATGAAGATGAAGCAGAAGAGGACATACAGGCGAGTCGAGAGGAAGCGCGGGGGAACCAAGATCCCTCGCGACAGAAGCCCTACCAAACACTGGCTTGTTGTTAACACCCATAGCAGTGAATGGCCCCATTCACTGCAACAACCCTCTCAATCCGAGTAACACTGCCAGGTCCGCCCTCAGGTTTGTGCTCTTACTTTTCGGTCACTTCAGACACACCCTCCCTTCAGCCCCTCGAGTATACGGGTGTCTGTCTGGCCGCTTCCCGATCCTCCCGCAACTAACACTTCGGAGGTAACGGAGGGGTGGGGCAGCGGGCTCCAAAAGGCGGTGTTGTTCTTGCACGAGCGAGGGTTCTGGTCTGGAGGGCTATGCGACGGAGGATCAGGGTCCGTAGGGGCTGCGAGTCGAGATGGAGGTCAGCGAGTGAATGGAACGATGCCGACTGACGCCTCGGAAAACGGGGCACGCAGGAGGAGCCCTCGGGACCTCCTGGAAACCGACCACCTTGCACGAGCCACCAGCGGGGCGGACAACTCGCCCGGAGGTGCCAGACATACCAAAATCCACCGTCCCCCGTTGTAATTCAGGCCACGGCCGTCCTGATTCCCACGTCGAGGTCCGGTTCCAGCGTGGCCGTCGGTGAAGCGGAGGCGAGGAGTCGGGGACGCAGAGGCAAACTGCAGGCGCAGGGGGGGGGGGGGCTCCCGGAACTAGACGACGGGCGTGAAGGGCATGGCGCGAAAGCAAAGGAGCGACTATGGAGTCGTTCGAGGATCGCCGGGATCGCAACAGTGGCAGGCAAAGCCGATGCTCCGGGCCAGGAGGAGGAAGAAATGTTTGGCAGCCCGAACTCCATCGAGACGCCGGGAAATTAGGGCTTGCGCAGGCAGGCGGGCGGTCACTGGACGCCGCTTGCCCCGGAGCCGCGGGCGCTTATCTTAGCGCATCGTCTGCTTCACGTTACGGGCGTACGTAAGTGTCCTGTCCTGTCCGTCCCTCCATCTTCATCCTCCCGACCTTCTCCTCGGTCGCTTCTCCTACACACCTCTCCTCCGATCCGGTCGCGTGGTCCCCCCCCCGTCTCTCTCTCCCACCATGCAGCTCTGGCACTCCGTTCTCCAACTCTCCCTGCTGGCCTCCGCCGCCATCCCCTCCGCCGCGGCAGCTACCTGGGGATTTACTGATGCCACCGTGTCAGTTAACACCAAGGGCGCTGGCGTCGGTTCCGGCGTGAAGGAGACGTACGTTTCTCCCTCCGACTCTGCGATGACTCTCGTCGAACGGACTGGCTGATCTGCCTCGCAATTGACAGGATTCCCGATAACAAAGCTCTCTCCTCGCCCGTCGCTCTCGGAGTCGCCGATACCTTGAAGTTCACCCTGACAGCCCAGGAGGGAAGCTCCGAAAAGCGCGCCCACCAGGTGTCCCTGCTCCTCCAAGACCCCGAGACTGGGTTGGACATCTCCTACCCGTTCAAAGTTAAGGACAATGGCAAGTCCCGACTCGACTTGGTAGGTTCCGGAATGCCGTCGCGGACCCGGGCGCACAGCTGATGTGATCGATGTGTACACAGACCCAGAAAGACCTTCCCGTCCAATTCCTCTCCGTCTCCGAGCCTCTTGACGCCCGCCTGTTGATCGGATCCTTTGGCGACGCCGCCGCCTACGATGGCGCGGTCTTCCAGCTGGCCGTGGCCCGCAACCCCGACGAGCCTGTCCCGAAGGCCGAGGCGGTGCCGCGCTACGGAAAGCTCCCTGAGATCCACCACATCTTCAAGGCCGATGCCCAGAGCCCGCCCATTGTGGTCTCGCTGGTCTTCGTCGCGCTGGTGCTCGCTACTCTGCCCGTTCTGGGTGGTCTGGTAAGCTTGTCTGCCCGCGACTTCTCTCCCGCCTGGCTAATGGTCTCTGTTTCTAGTGGCTCCTCCTCGGCGCCAACGTCAACCACCTGCCCACGGCCCTCAAGTCGGCGCCCGTCCCCCACGCCGTGTTCCTCGGCTCCCTGCTCTCGATCGAGGGCATCTTCTTCCTGTACTATACTTCCTGGAACCTCTTCCAGATCCTTCCGGCGGTCGCGGTGGCCAGCACCGTCGCGTTCGTCAGTGGCAGCCGCGCTCTGGGCGAAGTCCAGGGCAGACGGCTTGCCGGACTCAGGTAAACTCGCCAGTGCTGGATTACGGGCGTGGCTGAGAGGAGTGTTTGTATGGACGTGCTTGGAGCGACAAGCCTGCTGCGAGCCTGCTGTATGGCTGGCAAATACTGAAAAATAAGAGAGTATTGTAGAATTAAGTGCCTAGGTGTTGATTGTCTTGTTGTTGAGCAGGCCTTCGCTTTTTTTTTGTAAACAGTAGCGGACTACCTCCCGCGACCTGTCCCGTTGTTTTTGATGCTCGCGCTCAGGTATTTGGGCAGTACTAGCTTTGGATCTTGTTGGAGCTGCTGCCTTTACTCGAGAGGATCTCATACCCTAATCTCGAGAATTCGAATGACTGGGAGAGCTGTTGCTGACAGCTATCATGCCAAGTAAGCTCATAGCTGGCGCTTAGAAACACCCATGGACAAAACACAGCCATTAGAACGTAGCCTTCCCACAGAACAATTCCAATTCCAACAGCTACACCCCTCTACAGTCTTCATCACAAACATCACACGTACACTACTAGTACCATCCAGCTCCAGCTCCAGCTACGTTTCCTCTAACTAACTAGTTAGTTAACTAGTTAATCGCATCTGCTGACGTCACCCGCGCGGCTAGTTCCTCACCCCAAACAGGCTAGCCTGCCGGATCATCTGCAGAAGGCAATACAACTGAATTGAACTGAACTGAACATCTTCCACCCCTCTCCTCCACCAACACCTCCCAACCATGGGCTCGACCGTCTCCAAGCCCGCAAGGTCCGCCGTCCAGGCGGCCTCCAAGCGCCAATATCCGAAACAACCCACCTCTCCACCGACCTCCTCCCCAGCCGCCAGACCTCCTCCTCCTCCTCCTCCAGCACAGCGCGCCGCGCAACAAGCACAGCAACCACAGCACCAGCACCAGCAACAAATACCCAGGAGAACACCCTCCGCCGGCCCAACATACCACTCCAAGGAACCGCCTTCTACGGAGCGATCGTCTGGTAAATACACACATACACACATACATACATACACATACACATACACAATACACATACACTCTCCCCTCCCCCCCCCCCTCCCATCTCCTCTCCCCCTCAACAACCCAAGAACCTCATACAAACCAAAACCAAACTAACACCCCCCCTCCCCAAAAAAACAGCAATTGACCTCGACGGCCGCGATCCCGACTTCGCCGCCTCCCTCCGCACCATCGGCCCCGTAACCCCCAACCCAACCTTCTCTCCCTCCAGCACCGTCTCCCAAACACAATCCCAATTCCAATTCCAATCGCAACCTCCATCCCCATACCGTCCCACCGGCCCACCCACCGGTTCAGGCCCAAGCCCAAGCCCAGGTACAGGTGCAGGTACAGGTACAGGTCCAGCAACAAACGCACCAACGGTCTTCCCTCCCTCCAGCAACCCCGCGCTGCTTGTCTTCTCGGCGCGCCAGCAGCTGGCGCGGGCCGCGGAGCAGGAAGCCGAGGCGATGGGGAAGACGCAGTTCGCCGGCAGGGAGTTCCTGGATGCGTTGACGATTCGTCAGGCGTTGGCGATGAGGGATAGGCAGGGTTTGGCGCCGGGGGAGATTGAGAGGTTGTTGAGGTTGAGGGAGGGGGTGGTGGGGAGGTTGGGCGCCAGGGGAGTCGTGGGGGATATTGGGTGATTTGTTGCGTTTTTTGTTGGATTGGCGGTTGGTGGTGTGGGATGGGATGCATGGGATGCTTGGGGATTGTACGATATTTTATGTGTGTATATGTGTGTATAAGAATGGATATCTTACTCTGCTCTAATCTAGGTGGTCTATTTGTTCTTGGGGCTGGATTATGTGTGTTGGCTAGTTGGGAGAGAGAGAGAAGAGAGAGGAAGAGAGGAAGAGAGGAAGAGAGGATTACTGCTAAGAGAGAGGTGGCTGCAGACGCGCGCAGGGACGTGGAGGCAGTCACGGGCAGTAGGGAATGGAGATAGGAACTGGAGATACGAACTCGGTCAAATGGCGACAGGATAGTGACTAATACTAATATAGCATCCTGCATGCAAGACCACGCACCACCATCTGAATGCGCAGATATATCTATTTGAATGATTCTCCAGTCTACGCTACATCTGTAAGAAGCAAAATCGCATCCAGCCACAGCCAATGCATTCTTTTCCTGCTCTTCCTGAAACAAACAACAGTACTCGCAATAATATCAACAAGGACAATCATAAAGATATTAATTCCTGCGAAGGACGTTACTTCGTTGACTAGACAGCACCCACGCCTCCCAGAACCGTCGCTGTTCATATCGGACGCGCACGCCATCGTCGCCCAGCTCGTCGACCGTCATGCCGCGCAGCTGCTCAAGCGTCGCATCGGGAAGCGAATGGCGGGTGCTCCCCGCCGGCGCGAAAGACAGGTAGTCCCCATTCAGGACGGCCTTGTGAGGTGGTAGATCGGGGATGGGCTGTACGACGATGGCAAGCGTCGGGGTTTGGGAGCCACCGGCAGCGTTCCCATTGGCGCTTGGATTGGCAATGGCGCTGGCGTCGAAATGGTTGGTGTAATCGATCTCGCGCAGGTTGATGTGTTCTAGATGGTCCATTTCGTCGTGGAGAACGGAGAGGACGTCGCGCCATCGACCACTGCGGAGATAGATGCTGGCTAGTCGGACGTCACGCAGCTGGCGCCGATGCCGGCGGATCAGCGCGATGATTTCTTCCGAGCCGAGGCGCCAGCCCTGGATGCCCAGCGTGCGGAGTCGCTTCCACTGCAGGCGGTGGAAGAGCTGTTCCAGGGCCAGGTCCAGTGGCGCATTGGCGGGGAATCCGAGGTGGAGGGCCGTGAGGTTTTTGGCGGCCAGGAAGAAGTCGCGGAACGGGCTGGATAGCGTTTCCATATGCGTGGATAGGTTGGCCACTGAGTGGAAGGTGACGTCCAAGCTCGCCAATCGTGCACCCAGAGCGCACAGACTGGTGGACGGCGCCTGTAACAATTTCACGGTCGCCTTTGGGCTGATCTGCGGCCCGACAAACCTAACAGAGTTACAATTTGACTCCAGCAAGGATATGCTCAGGTTTGTGACGGCTCTGGTACATGCCGGTTCCCAATCCAGACGGGCTGTTCCTCCCAACGAGCGTTCGTGTATGCAATCCAGTAGGTGTTCGTCGGCTTCGTCCTGCAGTCGGAGGAGTTTGATCTGTTGGAGGGAGGAGAAGGCCGCTATCGCGCGTCGAAGCAGCAGGAGGTCCAGATCCGCGTCGACAATGGATTTCTGATCCTGGAGGCGATGCCGGTGCACCGCAGAAACGGGTAGGTTATCTACATCGATCCCATCGAGGGTATGCGACCAACCTAGACAATCATCAGCTGTACTTCCCGGGATGCTGGGCGGGTCTTCAGAGACGGTACCGCTTCCTTGGTAGAAGGGTCGCACCATGTACGTGAAATATCTGACGTGACATGCTAGCTGCATGTCCAGCAAATCCTCCAGCCTTCGAAACCCGTCCGACGAAAACCGGAGCACAAAACGAGGGAATTTCTGCGGCGTGCCAATCCGCCTGAACCTCCTGCAGACAAGTCTGAATCGGTCCAGGTCGGACTTTTCGCCATACGTCTGGGCCGATCTGCCGTTCGAATTGGGGGGCACGCCGTGCGGGCTCGTCGGGGAGGGTTCGGGAGAAGGATAATCGGAGCCCAGGAGAAAGGACAGGATGTCACTGATCAATTCGTCCGCCAAGTCTTCAATGTGCCGCGGCTTGTCCATGACTTTTGTACGGTGAAGCAGCCGGGTGGTCGGCTGCTTTGGCCACTCGCCACAACATGGAAACCAGGCCAGGTACGAAAGAGGTTGCGAAGAAGGATGCGCTTGATCGAAGGAATTGCGACGGGGGAGAGAAAACGAGGACGGGACTGATGCCGTTTATAAAGGCCAGAGGTCCCAGATCGAATAAGCAAAGAGCGACGGACAACCGCAGAGAGAGTTTTTCGAGCATGCGACAGGAAAAATGAGGCGTAAGGGGGAAAAACAAAAGTCGCGTTGGAGAACGGAAGGACGAAAGTGATACATCCCCTCACGCTCGCTCAAGGCACCGTTCTATCGCCTGCAGAGCAGACAGCGGGCCACTGACAGCGGGCCTGCAGCAGCAAGTCAACCTGTCTGACAAGATTTAGAGCGTCCCACCGTGTCAATCCCCTCACCTCGTCACCCAGTCCCCTGCCGACTGGGACAACCAGTGGTATCTTCCCCGGGAGCCTTGAACCTCGCGAGAGGATCAGGCGACGGGATATTGGTCGAGAGCTGCCACACGGGAATCACATGATCGTAGAGGCATGCGGGTGGTCCAGCGCGAACCTGCATGGTCGGTTGCAAAGGAGGAGGAGGATTGGCAGGGAGGACCGCACGGCAGCAGGAGGGGAAATGATGCGACATGAGAGTCAGATGCGTGCAGACGCCCGGGACAGTTGGACAGTTGGACAGTTGGAATTTAGGAACCCCGCCTGGGAGGCGAATCATAGCGGCCTGTAGTTCCAAGCCCGGATCGTCCCTGCTGCGACTGACGGGCAGCAGGCCCCGGCACTTAATCTCATCATGCCCTATGCGGTCGAGTCGAGTCGAGTCGAGCCGAGTCGCGATGGCCAACAATGGCTGTTGCTCGAGTCCGGCCAGAGCATCGCGTGGTGACGGGGCGAGGGAAGGATCAACAGCTGCTAAAACGCCCTGGGCCAGTAGCCCCCGAGCCCGAGGCGCCATCCCAAACACTGGGGAGATAATATGGTTGGTTGGTGGTCTGTTCTCCTTCCTTCCTCCCCCTCCTGTTGTCGTGGTGGTGTTAAAGGCTCTCCAAAGACAGCTTCGAGAGGTCGAAATAAAGGGGAGAAAAAGAAATCACGATTAATGGATGGAAAAAGAGAAAAAAAAAAAAGGAATTTCCCCAAAAAAATAAGGAAGAAAGAAAAGGGAAAAAAAAAAAAAGGAAAACCAAACCAAACATTTCTATACATGCAGCGACTCGCGATTTACACAATCCCAAACCCCCAACTCCCTGCGCGCCCGCGCGTCCTCTAGCAAGACCTTCAAACCGTCGCGACAAGACCATCAGTACGGTGGATGCGTCATTTCGCCTTGCGGGCCCAAGCTGGTGGTGATGCCGACGATGTATGTATGTACAGGATCCTGCCGTGCCCAATCATCCCCATATCTGCACGTCACTCATCTCTCGTTTCAGGACAGCTGTCCAGGGCCAGAGCCGGACGACTGGATAGAACAGCTGCCCGCACGCCGCCAGTTCCCTGCGCTAATTACCGGGTCGCCATCGCCATCTCCATCCGACGCCGTCTGATATCCGTGCTGCTTATCTTGGACGCGAAATTCTCGACATCATCGGTGGGGACCTCTCCCGTATGCAGTACATCGACCTCAAACACCTCCAGGCCCTCCCACCCCTTCCGCGCGCGCTCCTCGTTGACGGCTGCTCCCCCGGCGCGAGTCTCTTTGGACACCACCAGGGCGCTAATGCCCTCGTCGGTAATGGTAGGTCCGAAAGGATCGGTGATTTGCACCATCTGGAAGATCAAATCGGGTCGGACGTGCATCCGGATGTACTTGCCATCGGGTCCAGGCCCATTGGCCCGCTCAATCCGTGGTGCGCTGGCGTCTGGGGGGCGGAAGTCCATGATGGCCAGGAGGAATGCCCCCGTGGTCTCACAGCGCTCATCCCAGCTCTCCAAGAACTCCGCGTACTTCTTCTTCGCTAGCAGACCCTCTCCCGTCACCCCGACGGTGATCTTGCGCTCTCTGCCCGGCTCGGCCTCTTCCGCGGGCTGCAAGACCAATGCGGTAGCGGTGACCAGGAGCTTGTGTCCGATGTGGAAATGATCAAAGGTGCCCCCTACAGCCACCGAATAATGTGCATTGAACTCCTTGGCATCATCTAGGGCCAGCAGGGAGTCCGGGAAAGACCAGTTGGGCGCGTCGGGGATTGCATGCATAGAACCGGCATTGGGATCCTTGGTCTGCGACTGAAAGCTACTGAAGGCTGCCGCCAGATTCCGACCTACTTGGTTATCCGGGTAGTAGACGCGCTCCCACGGCCTCTCGGACTGGGCCAGCGTCTGCAGGTCCACGATGGGGCCATCGCGGGGGTGGCCCGTGGTAACGGCTGCAGTCTGCACCGAATCAAAATCGAGCAAAATCACTCGGGCAGTGATGCCCCCTGGACCATCCAGCTCGAGGCCCAGCTCGACGCACACAATGCCAATCAGCCGATAGATACTTTCCAGGAAGGACTGGAGGCTTGCAAAGGCTCTGGTCTGTGGCTGACATGATGGGGATAGAAGGCCCGGAAGCGACAGGGCAATATCTAAGATCGCGGTGCGATTGGCGCCATCCAGCTGCTGGGCCAGTTTGGAGCAGACAGCCACCAGGATAGGCTCGTATGCGGCCTTGAACTGGTCGAATGAGGCGGACGGAGGCGGTGGCAGCAGAAGCAGGGCCGAGGTCGGGTCTGAAGCCATATTGCGGGGGGGCCGGAGGGGAGCTCGCCGGCGGAGCTCAGCAGTAACAAAACCCGGGGCGGGGCAGGACGGAGCAGCGTCTCAACGTATATCAAAAGAAAGAGGCAGCAGACGGAGCTGGAGTGACAGCGTCCGAGCGTTAATGATAGCGTGAAAATACACCGGAACTAGTCGTAGTTCGAAGGGATGGAAAGTATGAAGAACCGCCGAAGAAGGCACGAAATTCCCCGCGATGCGGGCGGCTGACTCAGCGGCACCCGACGCCTCAGTCCTCAGGCTTCCCAGGCCGCATCAGGCGCCGAGAGCGTCTGTCTCAGCGTCTCTCGAGTCCCTCTCCCTCTCCTTCTCCCTCTCTCCCTCTCTTTCTCCCCCCCTCCCACTCTTCGGCCTCGTTACTTCTCTCTGATACCTGTCCGTTCCTCCTCCTCTCTTCCTCGAGCTCCAGCATGGCTCTGTGACTTCTCGACAACCCCTCCCCCCCCTTGATATGATCCCGACCACCACCATTCCTGGTGCAGTCGGAGCTCCTAGCGCCATCCTCTCCCTCTCCGCCCGATAGTCCTCGCCCGCCCCTCGTCATCGCCCCCAGCCCATCGATCAAGTTGACTGTCGGGGAGCTTCATTGAGTCCCATCTGAGGTGCGGTGGATATTCTTCTCCTTCTCATCCCCGGTCGCTTCGCCGCCGCTGCACTGCTGCCATGTCCAACCCCGCGCAATCGTTCGAACCCTCGCGACGGGCGACAACCTACGGCCGACCTGAGGAGCTCCATATCCCCTCCGGAGCCCCCAACCTCCAGCGACAGTCGATGTCCCACGAATATCCTGCGAGCCACGACAACCACGTCCCTTCGATCAACCTGCACCCCTCAGCTGCTCCACCCAGCCAATACTCGGGTGGAAACGCCGGCGCCGGCGGCGTTCTCCCAGGTGCCCTCCAGTCAGGCAACGTCAACCGCCCCCCTGCGGTGTCAGTGAACACTGCACCCTCTGCCATACCAACGTTACCCCAATTGACCACCACAATGCAACCTCCGCTGTCGTCAGGGCCACTGCAAGCCCAACCGCAGCTTCAACAGCAACAGCAGTCGACAAACGCTCGCTCCAGCATGGTCAATTCCCATGGACATTCCCGATCCAGCCCCGCGGGGTTCGAGCAGCCGAAATACAGACAGCCTGGCGGCTCGCCTAATGCGGCATATCCGCCTCAGACCCCTCAGGGCACAAAGTACTCGCCGCTAGGGCTGGCGGACATCCGACCGGCCGGAGATCTGCTCAGCGAGGTGATTGCCAACACCAGCAACCCGAGCGTGCAGCCGTATAATGGCGACAACCAGGTGCCGACCAACAGCAACTATATTGCCCCGTGGCCAATCTATGCGGTGGACTGGTGTAAATGGCCCACTACCGGGAGCTCCAGCTCGTTCGGCGGCAAGATCGCCATGGGAAGCTACTTGGAGGATAACCACAATTACGTACGGCGCTGTCTACTCCATGACGCGCTCCCGATATCGCAGACGTGCTAACCCCATGCAGATCCAAATCATCGAAACCCATTGGACACAACCCGATCCTGATACACCCGATGCAGCAACAGGAGAGATCAAGCTGGAGTACGTGAAAACCGCCGAGGCCACCCACTCGTACCCGGTGACGCGGATCCTCTGGGAGCCTCCGTCGTCTCAGAAGCAATCCACCGATCTTCTGGCGACGTCGGGCGACCACCTGCGGCTATGGTCGCTGCCCGCGGTGCAGCCCTTGCAGAGTTCCAACTCCATCACGCGGTCCGTCACGCAAAGCACTCCGACAGCCAAACTATCCCCGCTGGCTCTGCTGTCGAACTCCAAGTCGCCGGAGCATACGGCGCCGATCACCTCGTTGGACTGGAACACCATCTCCCCGAGCCTGATTATTACCTCCAGCATCGACACCACCTGCACCATCTGGGATATCCCTACGCTCACTGCGAAAACGCAGCTGATCGCACACGACAAGGAGGTGTACGACGTGCGGTTCTGCGCGAACAGCGTCGATGTCTTTGTCAGCTGTGGCGCCGACGGTAGCGTGCGCATGTTCGATCTGCGCAGCCTGGAGCACAGCACCATCATCTACGAACCCACCGAGAAGAACGAAAAGAGTAATGCCTCTGTCTCCGTCATTGCAAGTCCTCGACTGACGCACTACTCCTAGTCATAAGTCCTCCCCCGGGCAATGGAAGCCCCTCCGCGCCACAGTCCGCATGGCCCCCACCGTTATTACGAATCGCAGGTACGTACAGATAGCTCGCGGCCCACCGCACCTGTATACTAATCCCACCAGCCTCCCCCCATGACTCTCACCTCCTGGCCACCTTCTCTCAAGACTCCAACATTGTCCGCGTCCTCGATGTCCGCCAGCCCGGACAGGCTCTCCTCGAGCTGAAGGGCCATTCGTCCGCCCTCAACTGCGTCGAGTGGTCCCCGAACCGCCGCGGGGTCCTCGCCTCCGGCGCCGACGACTGCTGCGTGCTCCTCTGGGACCTCATCAACCAGCACAACGCGGCCCCCGTGCCCCCGGCCGCGCACCCGCCCGGCGCCCCCTCCACAACCAGCGAGCGCGGCCCCGCCGCTGTCTGGCAATGCGACTACGAAGTCTCCAACATCAGCTGGTCGCCGCAAGGCGGCACCACCCTGGCCGGACACCCACGCGACTGGCTCGGCGTCTGCGGCGGGCGCGGCCTATGGGGCGTAGCACTGTGATAAACAACAACCTACACCAGCACATATACACCACCAAAAGACGAAAAGCAGCATGACCCCTTCGAACTATCCTTAGACGATCTTCTTCCCCCCCCTCTCCTTCTCGACTTAAACTATACCTACACCTACCTACTACCTACTACCTACCGACCCCCTGATCACGTGTTTGTCAATGTTTTGGATGATATTTTTTTTCCCACGTTTCCTTTTTTTTTTTTTCTCTTCGCTGCCATCGACGTATCCCGTTTACGTTGTAAAGAATATCTTGGGTTATGTATTGTATACGTATACCTAGGTAGGTAGGTTACCTGGCTGGCTGGCATGGTATGAGTGAACGAACGAATGAAATGAAATCAGCGTATAGAGGGTTTTATTTTTTTGTAATTGGTGGTTGGGAGTAGTAGTGATATACAGGGCTAGTGCCTAGGAGTAAGTACTTAGCGTCTTAGGAGAAGTGGTTTATAGGGACAGTTTCTAGTCACAGTACCTCGTAGTAATGGTAACTGGCTACTTACCCAGTATGTTCTACCAGAAAGGGAACAGAAGCGGGAAGAAAAAGAGTATATACCTAGATACTATAGCCACCTAGCTACCTATCTAGCTAAACCGCCCCATGACTTGCGTCGATGCGATGCGATGCCATGCGAGCGATAAATGTGTGTAGTATGTACGTAGTTCCGCACGCCCCTTGGCACCACCTCCCCTCCACCCCCCTGCCCTAGAACCAAAAGGACAAGAAAAAGAAGAACAAGAAGAGGAAGAAAAGAAAGAAAGAACGAGAAGAGAAATGAAAGAAAGATAGATATAATATATACAACCAAAACAGCGACAAAACACACATCCAAAATCCAAACACGACAGGTGGAGGGCCAGAAAACCAAACTGAACTAACAAACTGAACCAAACCAGGTCGTAACCGGGTTATTATAGCGCCCGCTAAGATCAAATAAAAGGGTTAATTTTCTTTTTTCTTTGTCTTTCTTCGTACAACAGACTAGATAGATATCTGCTACAAGTGACGAGGACGGACTCGTGGAGGGGTAACTGTGTTACCAATACGAGTACTCCGTGGTAGGACCAACTAATGCAGATGGGAATTCTGAGCCTGGTCCTCAGATTTAGGGTTCGGCGCTTTAACGATGAGTTTATCCTCGAGCCAACGGGCGAATTTCACGCTGGGGATGTCGACAGCACGCCAGAAGATATCGCCGGCCCAGAGGGAGACGGGGAGACAGATGAGCCAGCCGATGAAGAATCCCAGGCAGTACTGGAAGTTGGACTGCTTGCCGACGACGGCCCAGATGTTGGGCATGAGGGAGTAGCCCAGGGAGTGGAGGATGGGGCCGTGGACGATGTAGAAGGCGAAGGAGATCTTGCCGAGGTACTGGGAGACGGGGTTGGTGAAGAGCTTTTGGAGGTCCTTGGAGTGGTTGATGCTGGCGACGATGAGGACGGCGCCTAGAGTCTGGGGGAAGCGGTGAGGTTCGGGGTAGGTGTATGGGGTGATTGCCCAGGTCCAGCGGTAGAAGGGTGTCCATTTGTAGCCGGTGTTGGGGGCGGAGCCGAAGTAGAGGCCGAGAACGAAGAGGGAGAGCCAGAGGCGGTGGGTGGAGAGTTGGAGGGGGAAGATCTGGCGGAGGGCATTCTGCTGCTTGGGGAGGAAGCGGCGGGGGCCGGGCTTGGGCTTGGTGCGTTCGGCTTCGTGGGCGGGCTGCTCCCAGGTGCCGTTGATGAGGTCGAGTTCGGCCATTAGCATGCCAAATAGGAAGAGGACTAGGTCCCAGCGGCCCCAGCGCATGCAGAACCAGACCAGCCCGCTGACGAGGGAGAGGCGCACCGCGGTGGTGAGGCGGGAGGTGCCGAGGATAGTGAGGAAGAGGACAATGGAGCTGCGGAATTCGACGGGGATGGTCCACAGGTGCGGGTTGTAGTAGTTGTAGTAGAGGCCCCAGTTGAAGGGGTCCATCAGGTGGACGATGGTCAGGTACCAGTCCCAGTACTGTTTGTATAGAGACCGCATTACGGGAGGATGTTGTTCGTTGGTGCCCACAATGGTGTGGCCTTCCACGAGGACGTGATGGGAGTAGGTGTAGACGCCCAGGCGCACGGCTATGAAGACCAGCAGGATGCCGACGATCGAGGGGATGTAGAGGCGGAGGGCCCGGCGGAAGGTGGAGGAGGCCAGGGTGGTGAAGGTCTGCTCCCAGGAGCGACTGCGGATCAACTTCAGTGGCTTGTAGGACAGCACGTAACCGGAGATGACGAAGAAGATGGCCACCATGATATGGCCGGAGACCAGCAGGTGGATGATGGGGAGCTGGAGGATGCTGAAGTTCTCGTTGTTGAACCCCCAGCCGAGGGAGACTTTCCAGGTGTAGGTGAAGAGGAAGTGGAAGTTGAAGACCAGGAGACAGGCCCAGCCGCGCAGACCGTCCAGCGCTGCGATGGCATGGGGCCGTGTGGGGGGTTGCGGTTTCCCACCGACATAGTGTTGGAGATAGCTTGGGGTGATGAAGATGGTGACTTGGGTGAAGAAGGCCTCGAGACGGTCGAGGCCGTATTCCAGGTGGTGCTTGACGTGAGGGGCGAGGATTGAGGGGTCGGACCAATCCGACCAGCTGGCGGCGCGGGGACGGCGATTGAGACCAAACTCGAGGTCGTTCAAGGGTATATTGTGCACGGGGGGCGGCGACCTGAGGCCATGGTCGGTCGAGGACATGCTGGCGATGGGGTTGGGGAGGGAGAGGTGTAGGTAAAGTAGATAAGTAGGTGTGGATACCACGGCTCAGCAACACCGGGACGAGGGACGGGGATTGCGTAATGCGCGCAACGGCGAAGGTGGCCGGGACCCGGACGCCAAAATGTCCTCAATGCAGCAGATCCGGGAGGAAGGGGGTGGTATTCGATGAGAGGGCGCAATCAGGGTGCGCTGGTCGCAAGGAGGGTGTGTGATTTGGGTGTGGTCAATGGTATGGGATGGGATGGGATGGGACCTCGTCTATCGAAGCATGGTGAGGGGATCAGGAAGGCAATCGGACATGCTGAAGAAGACGGGGGTTAGCGACTGGATTGTCAGGGGAGATAGACAGTAGACAGTAGACAGTAGAGTAGAGTAGCAAAAGGGTCTACTTGCCTGGAATTGTGGAGGGAGAACCTGCAAGAGGTGGGAGGGTGAAGGTGTGAAGACGAGAAGAGAGAAGAGGCACAAGAAAGAAAGAAAGAAAGAAAGACGGCCTCGTCAGGACAGCTGGACCGGTTTCACGTTGGCGGTCGATCGCCCTACCAGCCAGACGCTTCATGGAGAATTAATATCAACATTGATCCCCAGTCACTGCACCGTTAATACTGAAGATACCCCATAAGGATATTCAGGGTCTTTTTTCTCGGATCCGCTGTCGTGTCCCCATCGCCATCGCCATCGCCATCGCCATCGCCATCGCCATCGTCGCATCTCGACGGTTGCATGCAACCTCACCTTGCTCACCTTCCTCACTTCACCTCTCCTCCCCTCCCCGCTTCCAATACTTGAACTTCTGCTTCTGCTTCTGCTTCCCCTTCCACTTCCTCCCCCCCCCACACTGCTCACTCGATCTACTGTTGCGCTGTTGAGGTCGACCAAAAAGAGCTCCGACGCCCAGCCGGACACCCGCCAATGAACGCCAGACTGGCTTGAACTTCTCTTCTTTCTTCCTCTCTTTCCTCTGCTTCCATCCCATCTCGTCGACTTCGCCATTGCCCTTCGCCTCCTTCGCCGTCGCCAGCTCACGCACTCGCCATCCCCCCATGCCTTGATTCCCCTCCCTGCCGTCTCCGTCTGCATCTCGACACTCACGCTCTTCCCCTCGTCCGTCCGCCGGAGAGTGTCGTGGAAGGGAGTCCTCCAGCTTCCCCAGCTCTCCTCTCCAGCTTCGCTCGTCTTCCTCCTCAACGGCCTTCCATCCCACACTGACCATCATGGATTTGCGCACCATTATGAACAGCGACATCGCTGGCAACGCCAACCCGCCCCCCCCGCCGCAGCAGTCGCCATCCCAGGCGCCTCGCAAATCCTCCGACTCGGTCTTTCCTCCACGCGACCAGCTGCCATCCTCCTCCTCATCCTCCTATCCGTCTGCCTATCCCGCGCCGCCGCCGCCGCCGCAGCAACGTCCCCACGCGTCGCCGGAACGCTCCTCCTCCTACGGCTCTCTCGAATCGCCCTATACATACCATCCTTCGTCGGCGGTGAAGTCGAGCGCACAGTCCCAACGAGCTCCGAGCCCTCCTGCCGGTCCCTACGGCTCCTCCGCCTCGCGTGACTCCTTCGCGTCTGTCGCCTACAACCCACAGCAGCAGTCCCCCGTCGCCCATCAACGGTCGCAATCCATCCAGTCTGTCCTGACCCCCTATCCGCAGTCCCCCAACTCATTCCATCCCAGAGAACCCCCCTCCGCAGGTGCTCCGCAATCCTTTTCGGCGCAACACTTCTCCCCTCCGGCGCAGGGGTCACTCCCCGGCACGCCACGCGGCTCTGCGGCGGCCATCTACACCCACCAGTCGCCCCCATCCTCCGCTCGCCCACAATCATCCGGTCGGGATTCCTTGTCAAATCGAGCTTCCAGCCCGTGGGTCGGCCCGGATGCTCCCATGCACATGTCACCCACCGCCGTGCCCCGTCCGTCGCGAGCAGATTCCCGAGTGCGGGACCAGACCCCCCGCCAGTACAGTTCCGCGTCCGAGAGGAGGGAATCGGACGAGAGCGTGAGCCCCAAAACGACCTTTGCGCCGGGGTCCCGACCAGAACTCGCCGCGGGGCGTCCCGACCCAATCGCTCTGGCGCAGTCAAACCAATTCGAAAACGGGATCGGTTTGAAGGAGGCAAACTCTCACCCGCCCGCGCACCATCCCTCGTACATCGACAGCTCGCCTCGTCAGTCGATTGTGAATGACATGCCGATGGAGGAACCACCCCACCAATGGGCGCAGAAAACGAGTGTGGGCTCCGACTCGCATGTCGCCTCGAGCCCGCAACCCCCGATGCGGAAACGCAGGAGATTCAACGAGCCTCCCATTTACGCGCAGAGGAGCGTTCGCACCAAGGGGAGATGCCCCCCGATCTTGGATCCCATTGGCACGATCAAGAAACACCAGCGGAACTCGCCGACGGCAAACCCCTGGCTCATGCGTCAACAGGCGGTCGCATCGGAACCGGCGCCGGCTGTCCCGCCTGTCAAAGTCAGGGGAGAATCTACGCCGCTCAATGATCCCTCAACGCCACAACGGCCACCTGAGCCTCCGCAGGCCGCGCCGCCTGCCCCGGCTGCAGCTGCCGTGCCAGCGGCCCCAACGGCCCCAGCAGTGCAGGTCGGGAGCCTGGGACCGTGGGAACCCTCCATCACAGGCTTCATACCACACGAAGAGATCACGAAGCTCGTCTGTGATTTCCTCTTCCAGCACGTGGTGCTCCGCAACGACGCCATTGCTGCTCCGGCCGGCGCAGCGGCAACAGCAGGTCAAATGCCCATCATCGAAGTGGAAGCCAAGATGGGGCAGCTCATCGACATGGATCGCGGGGAGCGAATGGTCCTTCCAATCCTGACCGAGAGTGTCATCAACAAGGACAACCCGCGTTTTCGCACGGCGTTCGAGAGCACCATGACAGTGGTAAGTGACCCGACCGCATCGTAATCGACGAACCAACTAACCCTGGACAGGCGCAACACCGAGCGATGAACAATTTCCTGAACGAAGCCGTCAAGATGTCGATGCCCCAATCCGGCCAAGGGCGCATCCCGCTCTCCTACGCCCACAAGAAGGAGCGCGACACCTTCTACGAAGTGTCCCCCAACGAACTCCCCCCTGTCATCCGACAGAACCTCAACCCGCGCCACAAGCCCAAGGTGCGCGTCACCCACGACCAGCGGACAGGTGAGGTCCTCGCGAAGATTGTCAAATGCCGCATCGCCGATATGGATGTGCACAGCCCGCGCACCTGCGTCGACTGGCGCATCAGCGTGAACCTGGAAATGAGCTACGATGGCGACATCAGCAGCCTGACCCTGGCCGATGGGCGGGGTGGCCGCGGCGGCGATCGGAATAAGGACCGCATGAGCTATCGACATTTGGCCTACCAGATCGACTTGACCCAGGTCGCCAAATCAGAGGTATGCCCCAGAACTATGTCTCTGATGACACCCCACACCACTACAACAGGCTAACAAATATCTTCCTCCCAGCCGCCAACCAAAGGCGAATTCGAACACGAACTCGAAGTCGAGATCTCCGCCGCCGAAATCCGTCGCCAGGGCCAGATGGCCATCACGGGTGATCCGAAGAATCAGTACGAAGAGCTCGTCAAGGGGTTTGTGGATAACGTCCGTCTTTTGGCCCGTGCCGTCCCGCCGTAACTGCTGCAATCTACTTCCTTGCTTCCCTTCCCTTCTTCTCTGAATCTTATTGTTCTGAAGATGTTCTTTTCCCTTCTGGTCTTGATTTCCCTCTTCTTGTCTGGCGATATATGGCATTCTTATTCTTATCGTGCGCGATATAGAGAAAAGTGGGTTGGATGGATGGATGGCTGCATGCATGCATCCAGCTGGGGTTTTTGAAAACCTTCGCAACAAAATTAGTCGAGATAGAATATACTAACTATATTTATTTACTTTTCTCGGGGTGGATGGGTGGGTGGATGGACGGATGGAATTTTGTTCAGAAAAGGGGGATTCTCTGTCTGATCTTTTCTTACTCCTTTTCAAATGACGTGTTTTAACATCCTTCCTATCTATCTATCTTTTGAATTTCTTTCCTACTACCCACCTTCTTACTACTTACTACTTACTACCTCTCATCCTACCATCTTACTTTACTTATGTATCTACCTACCTACCTACCTACCTACCTACCTACCACCTAATCAAGATGACTTTCTCCTCCTTACTTACTTCATTTCCTTGACCTCCACTGACTCTCCAAAGCACCCCGAAAGAAGAACATCGCCTAGGAAGAAAGAATACATCTACCATCAATCACCCACCCAAGTGAGCGAGCGAGCGAGAGAGCAAAAGAAAGAAAGAAAGACAAGGGCGAATGAAACTGATCTATTTTTTATGTTAACAATGTACATCATGATTTACTACTTCCTTACTTTAATTTTTAAGTTATAGACTCTCCTTATTTATTTCCGTCTCCTCTTCATAAGGCTCCTTCCTAGGTTTTCTCTGCCTCCCCCGCTCACTTATGTTCCCCTTGGTGTCTTTTCCTGGATAAATACTGTAGATATCATAGTTGATACCCTTAGTACCTGCCCCCCTATCTACTGACATATCACAAACTATGAAAAAATACCGAACGAATCTTATTATGTTCCTCATTACGCACATCAACAAGATGAATAGTCATGAATGAAATAAATTGGATAGATAATACACATAATACAATAATATAAAAAAAATGAGGATTCTGTCCAAACGAAACCATGCTGATGATTAGACAACAACCACAACATGAACCACAACCACAACCACAACAACAGCAACAACATCAGGAAAGCAATGATATATGTGTGTGCGTGTGTGTTTGTGTGTTTGTGTGTGCGTGTGTGAGGTTGTTGGAAAAGACGCCCGCAATTTTGTCTATTTTCAAATTCGTCTCGGATATTTGCTTAATACTGTGAAAGAAGTGAGAATGCAAAGGATGATGGGTTGTATTGGATGACATCAATCAAATCAAACCAATAAATCAGCCGATCAATCAACAATCAACAATCAAGGACTGGGTGTCCCCTCTTCGTATCTCGGGCCGCTGTCGTCCCCGTCGCCGTAGACGCCCGGACCAGGGGTCGCGGCTGTTCCGCTCATGGCGGGGGTGGGAGCGTCGTAGGGACGATTGCTCATGTTGTCGAAGGCGGCAGGGGTCGGGGCTTCGTAGGGGCGCTTGTCGCTGGGGGTGGGGGCGCTGAAGGCTCCAGGGGTCGGGGCGCTGTCGACCCCCCAGGCTCCGGGGGTGGGGGCAGAGACACCGGGGGTGGGAGCGCCGCCGTAGGCGCCGGGGGTAGGGGCGGAGTAGTTGCCCCCGGGCGTTGGGGCGTCGTAGCCGCGGTCCTTGGAGCCGTTGCTGGGGGCGCCGGACGACGACCAGGCCGGAGTGCGGCCGCCGCTGTTGCCCGAGCCACCCCAGCCGGGAGTTCTGGAGCCGGCGGCGAAGGCGTCGAAGTCACTGTTTCCGGAACCGCCGCCGCCTCCGCCGTAGGGGGTTCGTGCGCCGGCGTTCCAGGCGGGTGTGCGTGAGCCGTGGCCGCCGTACGCGGTCTGGCTGCCGTCGTAGGGGTTGGATGTGCGGGAGCCGTCGTTCTTCCAGGCTGGCGTGCGACCACCGCCCATGCCTCCTCCACCCATGCCGGCCCATGCGGGAGCTGGAGAGACGGTTAGTAGGAGGTCAGAGTGGGGAGATACGGAGCACTTACTTCGGGCTGAGGAACCGCCCCAGGCGGGCGTCCGGGAGGAATCCGCAGCTGCCATCGGGGTACGACTTCCGCCGTTCCAGGAAGAGGGAGGACCTCCAGAGCCGCCCTGGGGAACGCGCGGTCCGCGACCGCGAGACATGTCTATCGTCTGGCCAGTGACCGGGTCCTTCACGACGAGGATATCCTTGGGGATGGAGACCAGCTTGTTCTTGGAGTGCAGCTCCACGCGCGCTTGGACATCCGTGGAATCCTTGACAATACCCACGAGGCCCTTGAAAGGTCCCTTGCGGACCATGACGGTCTTGCCGATCATCCTGTCGCGTCCGAAGCTCTTTTGGGGAGGGGCCATCATACTACCAGGCATGCCATTGCGCATCAAAGCCGGGTTCATCTTCGTCAGATCAGGCCCGTTGGATCTGCCGCCCTTGGCGGATACGGTGACAATGTTGGTGGTGCGGACAACCACAATGCCCGAATTCTCAGCCTGGGCCTTGTTGTGCAGGAACAGGAACGAACGGTGGATATGAAGGATCACGCCGTTCCTCTGCTCACCGTAGACTTCCCGGACGGTGTCCCCGTGGCGGATCTCTGCACCATTGCGATCGGTAGCCACGGCATCCTTACGCGGGGTGATCTTGTTGGCCACTTGCGTGGGCAGAATCGTCCGAATAGAACCGTTCTGGTCCAAAACCCGCAGCGACTCGCGATCCACCTTGACGATACAGGCAACGGTAGCAGCACTGATTGTAATTAGCCTCAGTGTCATGGCGGCAAGGGATGTCAAAAAAGCAAAAGACTTACTCTAGTTGTACCAAGTCATGAACGTCGAACATGCCGAGCTTCCCGTCAACACCGGTCTCGGCAGATAGCCGAAGATCCTTGCTGAAGACTGTGATTTCCTGCATGCTCATGTCGCTGAGTAGCGTCACGGTGTCATCCTTGACTTGTACCACCATGCCCAGCTCATCCTGGTATCTGCTACCCCCGATGACCTTGACGTGGTCACCCTCCCTGAAGCGCTTGCGGAGAGACTTGACAGGCGCGTCGATCGTCTGGCCAGTCAGGTCGCCCTGCGTAACCAACAAAGTAACAATATCTCCGCGAGTAGAGCTAGTGCGACCGATCAAGCCCTGCTGCTCACCCCGGTACACCTCCACCGGGTCTCCAGGCAGATAGGATTCCTCGGCAGTGGAGTTCCTCATCGTCTCGGCCAGAGATGCGAGATCCAGGTTCGAGGTGCCATCCTCGGAGCCGCGAGCGAACATGGTGACTTCTTCCAGCCGGGGGTTCACGCTCTTCGTGATGAGATGCTGCACCTTCAAGTCCTTGATCAAGAAGCCATCGACGTACGTGTCACCCAGGTAGCTCCACGACTTTCCACCCAGCCCAGACGTAGCAGACAGGTATTTCGCATGCTTCTTCTTAGCCTCCGCCTCGCTGAACGCACGCTGAGGGGGACGAGCAACGGCCGGGTTCATGCCAGGCCGTTTCCTCTTGGGGTCGGCCGCCGTCGGAGCACCGATATCCTCGTTCAAGCCGTAGTCCAACCGGGGAACCAAGCGAACCGTCACTGCCAGCCCATTCGTCTCGACCTCCTCGATCTGCGCCAGATCATTTTGGTATTTACCGCGCTTGATGCGAACCCAGCCGCCAGGATTGAGCTCCTCGGACTTTTGCACCCGCAGCAGATCGGGCATCTCTCTGACGGGGACCAGAACCATCTTCGTCCTCGGATACACATTGGACATGTCCTGCAGCGCATCCATCACATCGGTCTGCCGGCGCGCCTCGACGTAGATGTACCCAGACATCGCACCTTCGCGCTCGAAAGCCGAGTAAATCCTGATAGGGTTTCTCGACCCCGGCGGCCGCTCTTCAATCCGCTTCTGGATCGAGAAAACAACCTCGCGCTCCTTTCCTTGCTTGCAGCGAACACCCCAGATACTGGGGTCATCGACACTAGGAAGCAACAGCCGCTTGGGTACGACGACTGCATCCGTCGCGGCGGCGCGGTTCCGACCATAACGCTCCTTGAGCATCTGCGCCTGCTTCTCGGCATCCATACTGGCCGCCAGTTCTCGCTGACGATCGAGCTGTCTGTGTCGGCGATCATCGGTCTCCGCGCCAACAGGAAGCGCATCCATATCATCCGGGTGCATCTCGCCGCCAAACTCGGCCAACTCATCCTCCTCATCCTCGGCCTCGTCCTCCTCCTCATCGACACCCGCCTCCTCCTCGAAGAACGAATGCACACCGGGCCGCTTTCTGCGCTTGCGCGGACGTCCCTAATCCAGAACCACGGTCAGCAACCAACCATGCGGGTGAACGGACAGAGAGAGAAACAGGAAGGAAAGAAAAGCACTCACAGCATTAGCATCCTCATCATCATCCTCCGCCTCCTCCGCCTCATCAGCATCCTCGCCATCCTCATCACCCTCCTCCTCATCCTCCTCTTCCTCGTCGTCATCCTCATCAGCATGTCCATGTCCATGCCTCCCCCTCACATCATCCTCACTTCCAGCGCGATGTCTCGACCCGCGTCCAGTATTCACCTCCTCATCATCATCGTCATCGTCCTCATCATCCTCGTCCCGACCACGACGCGCAGGCTATTGCAACCCGTCAGCACCACATCCATCCGTCCATCCATCCCCGAGGGAACCTTATCCGGTAAACAAACCTTCGTATCCTCATCCCCCGACTCATCCGCCTGGCCAGGGTTAAAGTCATCCTCCTCTTCCTCCTCGTCAGACCCGAACTCCTGATTCATGATGTTGCGAGACATGTTTTGTAGGTGGCGAGCAACTGTCGCAGCGATTCCGGGGTGAAGATCGAGATCGAAAAGGCTAAGCGACCCCGGCTAACGTAAGTCTGTGGGTGGACACACAGAATCAACGCCCGGGCAAGGTGAAAGAAAAGAAAGGTAAGGGTATTGAGTGTTGATCGAGTCACGGGCGGAATTCGTTCGCCGCAATGCTGGGAGGAGGGAGAGAGAGAGGGTGAGTGAGTGAGTGAGTGCAGCCGACCGAGCGACAGACCGACCGATGCGGCGAGCTCGCTTCTGTAGTGTGAGAGAGCTGGGGTTATCCAGGAGCGAAGGTGGTAAATAGATACTAGGAGGAGGTTGTGGTGAAAGTCGATGTCGAAACACGGGCGGTGGCTACCCTGCCTGCTTGCTTGACTTGCCTGTCTACTCGGGCGGCGGTTGTTCCGAACGAAGAACGAACGGTCGGCGAGTCCAGTCCGACTGCTTCCTTCCGGGAGGTGTTAGGAGGGGAAGAGAAATTTGCCACGACAGGCTGTTAACACATACCAACCTGGAGGAGGGGGGAAATGGGTGAATTGGAGACGATGGAAGGGTGGAGGGAAAAGAAAGGGTTCAAGATTGATGGTTCGGTCGTTCATTCAGTCGGTCGGTCGGCGGGAGGAACTGCGCGGGTGGTGGATCTGCGCGGCCGGAGGGGAGGGATTGTGTTGCTCTGCGGTTACTCTGCTATATTGTATTATATCTAAGATCCAGCATGATCATTCTCTGGAGGTATTTCTTACTACTCTCCAGCCAAGTGTCATGGATATCATACAACGACAGCGACAACGACAACATCAATATGGGAGATCCAAAACCAGCAGATTCTCATCATCATCCTCATCCTCATCCTCATCCTCATCCTCCTCAGCCAGGATGGAACGAACCTATGTACTCCATATCCCTATTTGAAGAACAACAAAAAAAAAAAAAAAAAAAAAAAAAACAGCGAAAAGATTTAACGACATGATCAATGCCCAAAAGCCCAAAGTCTCTACCCTCAAAGCTTCAGACCAAACATCTGGTGCACACGCAGACTCTGACGCATGCTGAGATCCAGCATGATTTCCTCGCTTCCACCGGGGATTGCGTAGGCACGAACATCACGGTACAGCCTCTCGATTTTCCCGCCCTGGCCACCGCGGCTGTAGCTGAGCCCGCCGAAGATCTGGCTGGCCTCGCGCGCACAGAACTCGAAGGTCGTGGTCGACTGCGCCTTCAGACTGGCGATGGCGCCGCCCAGCTTGAGCATGGCTTCGGTCTCGTCCATCGACTCGCACTGGAAGATGATGTTCTCCAGCCAGTTGTAGGTCGCCTCGATCTGGCGCGCCATGTGCGCGAGCTTCATGCGGATGACCGGGTGGTCGATGAGTCGTTTGCCGAAGGTGCGGCGCTTGTGGGCGTATTTCATGGACTCTTCGTAGCACACGCGGGAGAAGCGGACGCATTGGATTATAATGCCGATTCGCTCGTGGTTGAAGTTGGTCATGATCACTAGAGGAGTGAGTATTAGCGCCTGGGGATCTGGGGTTGTATCAGAGCGGCTCACCTTTAAAGCCCTGGTTCTCCTTTCCAATCAGGTTCTCGACAGGCACCTTGACATCCTCGAAAGAGATATAAGTAGTGCCACTGCTCCAGACACCCTGGCAATCCATGCGCCGGGTGCTAACGCCGCCCTGCTCCCTCTCGATGAGAAGTACACTGACACCATTCATGCCAGGGCCACCAGTACGGACCGCAGTGGTGAAGTAGTCGGACCAGACGCCGTTGGTGATCCACTTCTTCTCGCCGTTGACGATGTAGTGCTTGCCATCTGGCGTCAACTTAGCCTCGCAGGTCAAGTTGGCCACATCACTTCCGGCATCCGGCTCGGTGATAGCCAAGCAGATGCGCTTGTCACCGGCCAAGATGCCGGGCAGAATCCTCTCGACCAGCGGCTTCTTCCCGAACTTCACCAGCGGCGGACATCCAATGCCATATCCACCGATGAGGTTCCAGACCAACCCACCACTGCCAGTGCGCGACAGCTCATCAGTGAGGAGCATTTCATGGAACAGGTCCCAGTTCTCCGGCGCGACGGACTGAACGCGGTGTTTCGTATAATTCACCGGATACTTCTTCATGCCCAGCAGACCGGCCAAGTATCCCTTCTCACCCATCTGTTTGTAGATATGATCGGGGACCTTCTTGCTCTCGTCCCATTCAGTCACGTACGGCTCGAGCTCAGTCTCGACCCACTGGCGAACCTCGTCACGAAGGGCAGAGTGAGTCTGGTTAAAGTAGGGCGAGTGGTACTATTCAACATCCCCAACAAGTCAGCCTAAACCCTTCTCTCTCATCCCGCTTCACATCGCAAACTTACACCCTGATACCACGACGGATCCGCAAACGGAACCAGATCACCATACGGATCCTGAGATTCTGTCGACTTCGCCGACACCACATCAACAGGCGCAACCGGCGCGGGGGTCTTCTTAGCCGAAGCCGAGGCAGCAGCCGGCTCAGGTGCAGCAGCAGCAGGCTTCTTCGAGTCCAGCGATCCAACCTGCAGCTTCCCCTTATACTTCTTCAAGATCCCCTCATTATGATACTTCCAGAACTGCTTCGACGCATCCTTCCCCGCCACGCGCTGGAGAACTTCACATCCACAATTAGCCATTGCTCACTCTCACGCGCAAAGATCAGCGGTGATAACATAACATACTCTTCTTTCCACCTAAAATCGACACAATAGACGTCAGCACCATATCGCACCACACCACTCACACGCCCCCATCAACTAATGAAAACCCACCTGGATGCTCATCCTGAAACGCAGTCAAATCATAGACGTCCTCATCGATAACCACCCACAGGTTATCGGGCTTGGCGTGCGACGCGACGTCGTCTTTTGTGAATGTCTTCGACATGCTGTATACAGTTGTAGAATAGAATCGAAGAATATCGACACGGGGATGGATGGGTTTGTATGTATGTATGTGTTTATGTATGGAGGACCTTTTATAGTTCACGGGACTGAGGAATGGACACAAGTCACAAGGGGGTTAGCTGGGGGTAGTATGGGGTCAGACGGCAAGAAATACGGGGAGGAGAGAAATCCGGGGTAAGAGGGGAAAAGGGGGGAAGTGGGAATAATAATGGAAAGGAGAGAGTAAAGTAGAGTAGAGGAAAGGGGAGGGAGGCGAGTGCTTGACCCAATATAAGGACGGTTGGTCTGGTCGGAAGAAGTAATGCCTCCACCTCCACGGGGAAGACAATCGTTGCTTACCCAGGAATAATAGGATCGGTGGTCACGTAGGGAGAAAGGCAAGGTAGGCCGGCCGCTGGGCTGGGCTGAGACCTTTGATTGATACTGATACGGTGTATGTAAATGTGGATACCTTACTACCACCTCTGTACAGGGTACACAGTAGCTTCAATAGAAAGATAATAACCGGAGGTTAGAGGTATGTAAGTATGAGTTAATGTACTGCATCGGAGGCCACCATGCAATAAGCAAAAGGTCCACAATTCAGAGACCCGGAGTGATTACAAAAAAATGAGAGCAGGCGATGATCCCTCATGTCTTTCACATGCCATGACGCCTCCCACTCATGCTCTTGCTCTGAATAATGGATGGATGGCTAATCTGCAGGCTCTCTTTGGGTCCTTCCACAGCGCGCAATCCGTGGGAGGCTCACGTGGGCCAGCCACGTCTCGGCCAGTCAGCCGGTCGGACGCCGGCGGATAATTCGCCGCTGATTGGCCAGCTGGACTATCCCGGGCGTCATCGCGCGGACTGGCACGTGCACGGCTCGTCCCAACGCGGAAGGTGCCGAGGCAACCATCACGGAGATCGGCTGCACGTGACGGCGCAGGGGATGGGGTGTCAAGTGGTGGTTATGTCATGGGGCAGTGTTCCTTGGGCAGGGCTGCATGTGAAGACTACATATCTTGCTATGGTGGGAAATTGGACAACGGTGGTGGTGGTGGTGGTGGTGGTGGTGAATCACCCCGGTTTACCCCGGATTCGAACCTCTGGATGAAACTGAATCCGAAACTAAACAAAAGAGGTACTGCCCTGCTACACATTACATACAGTACACGCATGGACGGGCGAGCTGCGGGATCAGACACGACGCTGCAGCGGTTATGCGTGTGCCATGTACCAGTCCATGAAGTAAGGGTCGGGGCCACCACCCCTTAGATTTTATCCCGAGAAGGTGACTAGAGATTCCAAACGTAGAGGCAAGAGTGCCGCTTTCAAGATAAGACATCAATCCATAATTAACCTAGTTATACAACCGGCGCCGCACTGGCAGGGTTCACCATCGCAGCTCTATTCCTCCTCCTCGCCGTCGGTTTCGTACTCGAACTCGTCCGGCACAGGGGCCTCCTCCGCACCCTCTTCGTCCTCGTCCACCGCTGTCAGGACACCCGCCGCAGCCGCAGCTCCCGCACCCACGATCTCCTCGGGAGTCAGCGGGGCGCGGCCAAAGGTACGGCCCGCGGGGAAGCCGGGCGTGCGCTCTGCCGGGGGCCGCGTGGTGGCAGGTTGAATGTCCCGGGCACTGGCCTGCAGCTCAATGGTCTCGCGGGGTTCCTCGGGGGTCTTGTCCAGTACAACAACCACTCCACCGGTAGGCTGTGAAGATCTTAGCACTTCCGAGTCATCAATAGAGGAACATGGGGAACATACCCGTTTGACCGGCTCGTACCGCGGATCGGGGAATGTGAGGTACTTCAGCTGAGCGGGAAGGACCCGAGACATGTTCTCGAGTTCGTATCCCACCTTCTCCCGCTCGGCCTTTTTCTTCTGGCCTTCTCCAGCCTCCTTCTCTCCTTCTTTGCCCTCCTCCTTGCCGTCTTCTTCGATCTTCACGGCACTCTCGTCCGTGTCCATCTTGTCCGGTGTTTGATCGGACACCTTGGGCGTCGCCGGAGTCTGATCGATATCCATGCTCTCACGTCGTTGTTGCTTCTCGCGGCGCTGTGCACGGCGCTTGGCCTGGGCGGTGGTGGAAAGAACGGCCGTCTTCACCTTCTCGGGCGCTTCCTCGGTCTTGACCTGCTGTTCCGGAGGGTAGTCGAAGAGACTGGGCCTTGTGTTGCTGTGGAACTTGAAGAAGGGAACCTCAAGGCTTTGGTCGACACCAATGACGGATGTCGGGGTGAAACTGAGGGAGAGGAAGTGGGTGAGGGGGAACCAGTACCAGTACTGAATGAAGACAGCGGCACCGACGATACCAGGCATGTTGAGGTTGCCCGTCTGGGTCTGGAGGCTAATGGTGCAGTTGCGACCACCGGCGTCGATAATACCGAGAGCGACCGCGCAGCCAAACTTGGCCATGGCATCCTCGTGTCTATCGCCGATCATCTTCATCATGGTCTTGCGGAGAGTGCTGACACGTGGGTTCATAGCCTCGTTCTGCTGGACCAGGACCATGGCCAGCGCAATGAGGGCACCCTGTCTGACAAAGTCCGTAGAGTCCTTGAGCATCGGCTCGAGCAGGTCGATGGCCTCATCCAGACCAGTACCGGCACAAGAGATACCGAGAGCCATCGCGGCACCGTAACGTACGTGAGGGTTGTAGGACTCGGAGAGGAGTTCCACCATACGAGGAACGCTCTGGTGCTTGCGGAACAAGATGAAACCCAAGCTCAGAACAGCCACGCGCCGAACATCATCGTTGACATCGCTGACGGCAACGTGGAGGAGCTTGCGCACAGCCTTGTTGCTGCTGCTACCACAGTATGCCAGGGCGATGGTCATGATACCACCGTAGCGGAGAGTCGGATCAGGATCGCCAAGGAGGCCGTTGATCAGCTCATCAGCCGCCTCTTGACGGCCGTACATGATCAAAGCCATACCCATGGCCAGACCGCGGACGATCTTTTCGTGCTGAGTGTCATGGGCATACTGGATCATATCCTCAAGGACCTTCATATTACCGGTTCCGAGCATGACCAGACCCATGGCAAGGCCAACAGCCTCACCATTGAGAGCCGAGTCGGTGTAGAGAACGTTGCGAAGATCGTCGTAGATTCCCTCGTCACCGGTAGCCATGCCAGCAACACCAAGACCCAAAGCACCACCGTGCTGGATGACCTCATCAGTAGCCTTCTTGAAGTGGTCACGAATGAGATCAACGGCCATGCCACCGTGGTTCGCATAGATCAAGCCGAATGCATACAGCGATCCACCTTGGCTGTAAACCGAGCCGGGGACACCGACACCGGCGACCTGCTGGGTCTTAGGCAGATACGGGGTCAAGAGCTGCTTTCCCTGGTTCAAGTTGCCCTTGTGGATAACACCAAGAGCCGCGGTGGCGGTGAACTTGGACCAATTGACAGCCTTGCCCAACCAGTCGAGGTTCTCCCGGAAGAACTTGTCATGTGTCGTACCGGCGTGCATGAAGGCATTTGACAGCGTGACCGCAGTGTGGAAGATGGAGTTGCGAGCTTCTAGGGTGTCACGGAGCTTGTTAAGAATGGCGATGTCGGACTTGCTGTTCCGGTAGAGGAATTCCAGGTTCAATTCAAAGGTCTTGACGCCTTCGAGAATGTCGAGGATGTTCTTGAAAGCTTTGCGTGCTTCGGGCGAAACCTTGTCGCTCTCTGCAACAGACGTGGACTGACTGTTCAGCAAGGCGTCGGACTCTTTGGCCTCCTCACCGTCCGCATCCTTATGTTCCTCGCCCTTCTCCGGCACGAGTTCGGAGATCTCTCGGCGAACCTTCTGGAGGAACTCCTGCGTGCTGTTGTCGTAAAGGTCGAAGGAAATCTGGTAGGCAACGGCGAGGGAACGAGCATCGCCCTTCTCGACCAGCTGGCGGAGGATGACGGTGGCCATGGCATTCTCGTTGAGGTATACGACACACTTGGCGATGGAGAAGTAGTCCGGAGCAGGGATTTCGTTCAAGAGTTCGAGTATAAGTTTGAGAATCTAGAAAATGATTAGTTTCCACTTGTAACGTCGAGATGATGAGACTCAATTACCTCGTTGCGGAATCCGCGTTCCTGCACAATACCCATGCAAATCTCCAGGACATACTCCATGAGCTCTTCGCTCCGTCGCGACTCACCGTGCTGCTTCTTCTCGTCCTCGCTGGCACGAATGATGGTTCTCCGCAGCACGTCCAGGCTCTTAGCTTCGATAGCAATGCCGATCACCTGACGATAGCGCTTCTGGAGGAAGCACTGCTCGAATAAGCGATCGATGATGGCATGTAGCTGACCCTGGACACCGCGCTTCAGAACCAGAGGGGTCTCGACATCCTTCACACCCACGTCCTCGTCGGCATCGGCTCCGGGCACTTCCTGCCTCGACAGCAGCGACTTCGACGGCAATGCCGACTGCGAGAAAGGCGTGATCGGAGATGTGAGGCTGGCGGAGGTGCTTGTGGCGCCTTCGCCGGAAGTGGGAAAGGCGGTGTTCAGGTTGGCTGGTTGGTCACCCGCGGTGGGCCGTTGCGCGGCCGAGAGAGCGATGAAGGTGTCGACGCATTTCGCTACAAGATAACCCAGTGAGACGAGTCGGACGATCCCACCGCGGATCCGGACTTACCGATGATTGTTTCCTCGAACTCGCCACCGTTATCCAGCTGGAACAGCTTCCCAGCGCCCAGGGCAAACACCATACTCTCATTGTATTCCTGCAGGTGGTAGTACACCTTCGCGGCGACTAGGGCGGCAAGCTCGCGTTCCGGGAAGGTCTCATCTTCGTAAAGCGCTTCTCTAGATTGGAGATGATTAGCATCGATGCATGTCGCCGTAGATGGGGACACGCCACGCAAAGGACGTGAAAGATTTGACTGATGTCAGCGAGGCCGGACAAACATTTGAGGAACAGCATCGACAACTTCTGTCCAGAGCAGGTCGATCTGTGAATCTAGAGTCTTCAGGGCAAAGACTCTGAGTTCAGCATCCGGCTCAGACAGAAAGCCGACGAGGCCAGCGGCCGAAGCAAGTCCAACCATCGCTGTGGGCAAGGGCTGACTTGAGGAACGGGGTTGCCGTCGCGGGAGAGCAGGGAGGCGACAGCTTCTGGGAGCTGTGAGGCTGACGGGGGGGGGAGGTCAGGTGAACGAGGGGGCACGCCAGCAAGACGGGGAATGTACAAGAAAAGGGAGATGGAAGAGAAGAACAAGACAGATGGGGGGATGATGGGGCAAGAACAGGGTCGGAGTGATCAGGAAGCTTCCTCCAGCCGGTGGTGAGGCACACGTCAACGGAAGCTCGAAAGGTTCCCGTGGTTCCTGCAGATGGCCCTAGAGCCCGCACGTGACCGATGATGGCATGCGCCTGCCTGACTGCCTCACGAGACTCCTTGTTTGCGCCTGCTCACCGTCTTTATCTACAGCTCGCTCCCCTTCTCGAGTCCTCCGCTAGAAACAATTCTTCATGCTGGTGTAACACCCCCCCCCCCCCCCCCAATCCCCTCTTTATCCCCCCTCCCCCATTCCCCATCCTCCCGCTCAAAATGTCGGCTATTCTCCCGCAAGCCCCGAAGAAACACCTCCTCCCTCTTCCTATCGCAGCCACCTCCCACCACCAGGACCCTCTGGTCTACATTGACCGCCAGGCCAAACACATCGAGCGTAATCTGCAGGTTCTCATTGATGCCCAAAGCGAAGGTCTTCTCGCGGGCCTGACGGGCCCACAACGCGAGGGCTCCCTCTCCAGCGGAAGCTATACTCCGACCTCCGACCCCGGCAGTTCCCAGCGCCCATCCACCATACCGATCAGGCAACCAGCGCCGGAGAAGATTGGGCTATCCGCCGCCCGACAGGGGATATTCAGCTCCATCTATGATTTGCTGAAGCTCCGGGAAGAGGAGCGAGAGCTCCTGGCCTATCGAGTCGACGAGCGCAAGGATGCGCTGGGCGATATTGCCAATTTCAACACCCGTCGCACCGGTCTGGAGAATGCCATCTCGACGATCCAGTGCGGCCAGGAAAGCCAGTATACGGTGGATTTGCGGGAGGAGGGGCGCAGGTTGGAGGAGGATATTCACGAGCTAGAGACCAAGCTGTCCCAGATGAGGTCGAGACATCAGCACGTTCTTCGGGAGCTGTCCCAGATGGAAAACTCCGTCGAGTCGAAGCTTTCCTCCTACCAAGCCTCCCTGTCGCTTCTGGAGTCCAATATCCAGAAATACCTCCAAAACCCGCCGGTGAAGCCCCAATCGACCATTTCCGGCGATGCGACATTCTACACCCTGAACCCGAGCCGACGGACTCTGGGCATGGCTCAGGAGCATTGGACGAAAGAGCAGTCGGGGCTACAAACGAGGCAACGAGAAGTGGATGCCGAAATTGAGGCGCTCGAGGCAGGGGGCGGCGTTTGGAAACAAGTGGTCGGGGAGGTGTCTGGCTTTGAAAAGCGATTGCGGACCGCAATGCGACGTTCCATGCAGACCCAGTCGCAGCTACTGCGGCCCGATGGTCCCTCGGGAAGCAAATCCGAAGACGATCTTGTTCGGACGATACTGGAAGATCTGACGCATACTACAGGGCGCGTAGAATACCAGCTAGAACTGGCGGAGAGCAAGGATTGGAAGCTGCTGGTTTGCTGCATCTCCGCCGAGCTGCAGGCTCTGCACGAGGCACAGCGGCTGCTTCTGGGTGTTTTCAACGTGCCCGAGGCGGACCTCTGGCCGTCTGCCGACAACGGCTCTGAAGCCCGGGGCCATGGCCATGCAGATGGCGACACGGACTCGCAAGCCGACCCCCTTGGAGTTGACAACGCGGAGCCTCCCGCTGACTTGTTGAGGGATACAGATGAGCCCTCGCACGGGACCGTGTCTCGCTCCGAAGACGAAGACGATGAGCCTGATCCCGCCTGGCTGCTCCCCGAGTCATGAATTAAGTCTGGCGGTTGGGCTGTCGAGTAGCGTAGCTATACCTATCAATAAGGATCCCCGCTGGGCTTGTTTATACCATCTCACGGAAGACGCACTACGGGGGGAAAAGGGCCTGTCACGCGGTGATCCAATCCGTTTTGGTCCATAGCTCGTATCGCGGTATTTCTCCAGCTGAGCCAGGCGGGCTGTCCATCCTGCATGCATTGTAGTCCTGTGTCCAAAAGCTGTATAGCGACAATAAAAGTTGCAACACAATATATATCCAGCACCTGCAGGGCTCAGGATGACAGTCACTACCTCCTCCCCCTCCCAGTTCACAATCACCTGGGAACTGGCCGTGAAACGATACGCAGCGGCGGTGGGCAAACAACGACTGGACGATGCCTCGCTGCCCCGCCCCTCCTCCATCGCGGAGCTGCTCCATCGCCTCGACACCCAGAACAGCGACTTTGCGCGATTCCGCGAAACCAAACATTCGCTCTTCCACGTCCTCACCAGTCTATGCGAGCCTATTGAGCGGTTTGGGTCGCTGGCCGCGGACATTGCGTCGAGTGCGTTCGCGCCCAGCTGCGTTTGCTTCAGCGCTATTGCGTATCTGATTGATGCGGCGAAGGATGTTTCGGCGTCGTACGATGCGGTGGTGGGGTTGTTTGTGACGTTGAATGTTGGTATTCGGATCCGGGGTTCTTTTCTATGGATGGATGGCTGACTTGTCTAGGATTTTCTCGTCCGTCTGGCTGTCTACGACGGCACTCGCATGTCGGAGGCGTTGCAGGCCAAGGTGGTGGATATCCTCGCCACCCTGCTGGAGATCTTTGGGCAAGCGACCAAGATAGTCCGTGGGGGCATTAGTGGCCGCGTGCTGCGGTTTACGAAGAATGCTCTCCTTGGGTCGGACAAGACGCTCCAGGGCTTGATTTCCCGGCTGGATAGGCTCTGTCAGACGGAGCACCAGCTCGTCGGGGCAGAGACCCTGGTTGAGTCGAAGAAGACGAGCCAAGCGGTCGAGAGCCTGGCTGCTGTGCTGAACGGGGCGAGCTTGGTGTTGGACGATAGCCACGGGAGATTGACGCAGGCTCAAGCGGATCTGCAGCGTCTCGCGGAAGGGCAAGATGAGCTTCGTCAGGAGGTGCATCGGGATATCAGCAGCCTGTTGGGGTCGTTCATGGGCTCGGGTGCCAGGCGCAGCAGTGACTCCGACCATCTGAAATCCATCCTGCAGCCGTCGGTGGCGCCCTCTGACATGTACTATGATTTCGCGAGAAAGCGGCTGCCCGGGACAGGGGAATGGATTCATTCTGAACCGGGGTTCCGGGCTTGGCTGGAAAGGGAACAGCCCCTGCTGTGGATTTCTGGGCAGCCTGGCTGTGGGAAGAGCTTTCTGGCTGAGTATATCATTTCGGAGCTGAAACGGCGGTATCCGCAGGGCGTCGACCATGAGTCGCAGACGTCGATCGGGTATTTCTTTTTCAAGGATAATAGCCCCAAGACGAGAGACGTGCATCAGGCCTTGCGGGATGTCGCTTATCAGGTCAGTCTCAATGATCCGGTGTATGCGAGGGAGATGGCGCTGCAGTGCAGTTCCGCTGGCGATATCGGCACGCTTCAGAGTGCGTGGATGACGCTCTTTCGGGACTATTTTGTGGGCGGCGATGAGGGGGGCCCCTGGGTGTATGTTGTTCTGGATGGGTTGGACGAGTCGCTGGAGGCGGACCGACAGATGTTTCTTGAATTCCTGCTCGATGTGAAGGGTGAGAGTAGCGGTAAGTTTGATGCTTGGCCCTGATTCATTGATGCAAGCGCTGAGAAGCATCTAGTCAAGCCAAGGATTCAAATCGTCATGCTGGGAAGGCCCCATCTGTCCGGCGATGTGGTGGATCTTTTCCACGAGTCGGTCTCATCGATCTCGATTGACCGCTCAAAGAACGATGACGATATCGCGCGTTATGTCGAGCGCTCGGTCATGCGGTCGCGGAATCTCGCGCGTGCCCCCCAGAGCCTGCGCAGGGAGGTCGTCGAGTTTCTGACGAAAAACGCCCAGGGGATGTTCATGTGGGTGAACCTGATGGTGCAGGAACTCGGTCGGCACAACCGCGCAAGCAGCATCAGGGAGTGCCTGACACGGCCGCCAACGGGTCTGTACGAGACCATTCGACGCACGCTGGAGAGTCTAAGTGCGTACCTGAAGGGCGACGACCCGACTGAATTGAATACGGCCTTGACCTGGGTGACGTGTGCTGCGCGTCCTCTTTCCCTTCAGGAACTCGAAGCCGCCCTGGTGGTGGAATCCTCCGAGCCAGACGACATACTCAATTTGGAAAGCATGCTCCGGTTGCAGTTTGCCTCGTTTCTGACCCTTGTCCGGGATGATGGTCTTACGACTTCTGATCTAGAGGCTGAGGCGGCTAGCTCTCCGGTTGGATCGGATGATGCGCTCGATGAGGATGCGGATGATCTGCGGCTTGAGGGCGATTTCAATTCGAATCCGAAAACGACGGAGGTTGTGTTCTGCCATGCATCGATTGGCGATTTCTTCCGAGATGAAAACGAGAGCAAGTGCTCTGCTGGGGAAGCCTGTTTCCCGATTGGTGTGGATATCGTGGAGGCCAGGATCTCGACGTTGAAGATATGTCTGCAATTGATGTGCAACCCCTCGAAAGGTCCAAATATTCGCAAATATGCGCTGATCTGGTGGTATAGCCACGTGGAAGCCGCCGTTCCCCATCTTGATCGAATCAGCCCGGCGGACCGGCTGGAAATTGGGCGTCTCATACTTCAATCACTCCGCGACGAAAGGATTCTGGCTGCCTGGATTTCTCTCCGGGAAGCTGATTCTTTCTGGAGCTTAGAGACAATGCGTCCCATTGTTAAATTGCTGGACGATGGACCGTTCCTGGATGCTTTAGACGTGGAGACGCGCGACTGGGTGCTGGCTGCTATCGAAAAGCCTCAGCAGCTGTTCATCCCTGCCGCGAACCTCTTCGCAAAAAGATGGCTGCAGGACATGGATTGGAGGCCTCGCGTCTGCATGCTGATCATAAATCGCATCAGGGGCCTTTTAGATGGCACGGGCGAAGGGACGGACGAAAGCCCGTCTGCCTCCGATGTGCTCGATTCTGCGGAATGGGCAGAGCTCCCAAAGACGGCGGAGTGGCATCGCCGAGTCGCTATGTGCCTTCGGCGACTGTCCTTCTTCGAAGAGGCCAAGGCTCATTTCCAAGCTGCGCTGGAGGTGGACAGCGAGATGTGGCTTGCTCGGAGCGGTCTGGCGTACATGTATAGCCTCAGCGGAGACCATGAGAAGTCTCTAGATCTCTATAGAGAGAACGGAGAAGTGGTGGAGGCTGCTCTGGAGAATGTCGAAATCCGCGACAAGCTCTCTCATAGTGTCAGTGCCATGGACCTTGCAGACATCTACAAGGACGTCGGCCAGGAAGCCGTCGCTCTCGGCGACAACGACACCGCGATGGTCTACTTCGAGAAAGCCCTTGCCCTGGACGCGCAGTGCGAGTGCTCGACCACGTACATCGAGATCCTCGGGGCGAGAGACACTCCGGAAGACAACGAGAAAATCATGCAATACCTGCACGGGCTCGAAAAGAGCCCCATGTCAAGCGGCCATACCCGGCTCACCGAATGGCTCACCCAGCGCTCTGACGCGGCGTATACCGGCCGCCTATACATGTCCATTGCCTGGGCCGCGCGGTCAACGCATCAACTCGAATGGCTCGAAAGCACATACACCACCGCCATCAGCCTGGCCAAACGCCAGCGCGACTCCGCCCTCGCCTTCGCCCTCCAAGTCACCCTCGCCGACCTCTTCATCAGCTACGACACCAACAAAGAAGCGCTCGCCGTCTCGATCTGGCAAATGGTCATGGACTTTCCCGCGACCTTCATGCAAGGGAACACCTTCATGCTCTACCTCCAAACCCTGGTCAGCCGCAGCTACGGCAGCTACCTCCTCGCCAAAGCCCTGCACAGTGACCCGTCCCCTCCCACCCCTACTGAAGCCAACCCCTACATCCTCACCCTCCAACGCATCGCCCAGCGCCGTGTCCTCCACCTCGACCACGTCTCCTCCTGGGCCGCCAACAACTTCGCCACCGCCCTCCTGGGCGTCTGGTACCACCGCACCAACCAGCCCGGGCTCGCCCGCGCATGCTGTCTCCCGTTCGCGAAACAGTTCGTCGCCCACTCCGATGACAGTCGCCTCGCCAGCTACCTCGCCTACTACGCCTTCGCCAAGATCCTTCTTCTCCTGAGCGATGAGTCCCGCGCGATTGCCCTGTTGCATGGTGCCGGGCAGGTGGAGGGGGTGGCGTGGACGTGTGAAGCGCGCTGTGGGCTGCAGCCGAAGACGTGGACGGGGGCGAACATCTGTCTCGATTGCGCGGCTGATCTGTGTGATGGGTGTTTGGGGGGGGTGAGGGATGAGGGGCCGTTGAAGGCGAATATTTGTAGTAAGGAGCATTCGTGGGTGAAGATTCCGGGGGTTGATGAGGGTGTGGTAGTGGAGGAGGGGGAGTTGTTTGTAGATGGGGTGGTGGTTAGCTCGGGGGCGTTTATAGCGGGGATTCGGACGGAGTGGGGGCTTAGTTAGGGCAGGATGGGTGTGTGAGTTGAATAAATACAGCTATGGTATGCTATCTACTAGAATATTTAAATAGGTTTGTTGAAATTTGGAATATACTGAGTTGGCCTAGAATAGAGTGATTCTTCCGGGAGAAGTCGAGAATCCGCTTGATATATAAAAGTTGAACACTTGCCCTAGTACTCTATCTAATCACCGACCATCATATTTAATCATACAAAATAGTACCCATCATCAACCATCCCCCTTGTTTTTTTTTTAGAAAGATAGAACTAAAAGAATAAAAAAATCTCTTCCAACCACTATCCAATTGGACCAACAACCCAAGTCCAACCTGTCAGATAGACAGTGAGTGACATGGCATGACATGGCATGGCATGGCATGTTCCGAGTACCAAACCCACCCACTCCACCTCACGATCGACGGCTAGTACTTAAGTAGTTCGTTCCTTTTGTTCCGTGGCCGTAGCCCCTAACGCCAAATACTCTCATCCATTCACTTCTCACTCACTCACCCACCCACAAGACACAAAACACCCTTTCCCTCTATCTATATTATCACCTCACTCTCTCTTCCCCGCCTCTTCTGTCTGACATGTCCCACCCACCCCACAACCACACCTCCCAGTGATAGAAAGACAACATAAAAGAACACAGAACATGCACCTCCCATCCCCCACATACACCTTCTCCATCCCGTCTCTCCACGACGGCACCCGTCTCGACTGTCGCCTGTATCTCCCGCCCGACCTACAATCCTCATCCTCATCCTCAGCAGCAGCGGTGTGCGGGGCGGTGGTCGCGCACCCCTACGCGCCCCTCGGGGGGTGCTACGATGACCCCGTCGTGGGGTTTGTGGGAGGGGAGGTGCTGCGCGCGGGGTGTGTGGTGGGGACGTTTAATTTTCGGTAGGGTTTATCTTCTATTACCCATCTATCTGTCTGTCTGTGTTATTTATCTACGGGTGTTTTAATTTATATGGATGGGGCGTGGCTGATCGTGAATGGCATGCATGCAGTGGTGCGGGTGGCTCGGACGGAAGGACCAGCTGGACGGCCAGACCCGAGTTGGCGGATTATGTCTCCTTCTACGCGTTTCTGCTGCTGTATTTGCATTTTGTGAGGGGGAGGTTACTGGCGAGGGGGGGAGATGACTCTGGGAGCAGTACTGTCGATGTTGATGCTGAGGTTCCTGGCCTTCGCATCATCCTGGGCGGGTATTCGTACGGCTCGATGATCGCGTCGCATCTCCCCCGGCTGGATGCCATGGCGGATCTGGTGCGGGACGGCTCCCCAGAGACTCCCATCCACGAGATCTACCAGATTGCAGAGAAGCTGTCGCTGTGTCTGACTCCCACCCCGTCGCCTGCGTATCGCCCGGCCACCAGGGAGGAACTGAGACACGCCGCGGACCGCATCGCCGGAGCGGCCGTGTCGTATCTTCTGGTGTCCCCGCTTCTGCCCCCGATCAACCTGTTTCTGACGCTGTTCTCCCGGTTATCGCCCCCGCCCGCCGACCAGCTGCGCGCGCATGAGACGCTGGCTATCTTTGGCGACCAGGACATGTTCACGGCGGCCAGTAGATTGGGGGCGTGGTCAGCCGAACTGGCGCATGGCCCGGGCAGTAGATTCCGGGCGGTTGCGGTCGCGGGCGCGGGGCATTTCTGGCGAGAAGAGGGGGTCGAGTCTCGGGCGCGGGAGTCCATCCGGGACTGGCTGCGTCAGATGTCGTGATATGATATCCGGCATGGGATGCCGTTTCATTTCTCATATCGGAATCAATCAATCCATCTGCAGCTGATACGAGGGTCCTGCCAACCAAATGGTGCCGTTGTTGGAGGGGTGTCCCTTCACATGCGGAGACATGTGAAACTGCCGTGCGCGCCTGACCCTGCCTGACCCTGCTGCCTGCTGAGAATGCCCATGGGAGGATTTGTTTTGTCTCCCACCCGTCGAGGAGATGCTGCCTGTTATCTATGTTGACGAGCTTGTATGCGTACGGTATGCTTCCAGTGATGGTTGGGGAAGAGACTTCTGGACTCGCCGATCGGCCCCATCGCAGCACCAATGACGCAAGACTCTCCCACGCGCCGGGCAATGATATCGTGGGCGCAGGAAAAATCACTCGGGCCGCCCTCATAGGCCCTGCGCCGGCTGGATCTGTTGCGACCCTGGTCGCAGTCCCAGGGTCGAGCCGCCTCCTCGATCGGTCAGTCGAGGGTTGGCCGACCATCGCCGGGGTCTCGCCCACCGGGTGAGTGCACATGCTATCTGGGTCCCCGAAGTCAACCCAGATGGGTTGTTGATGGTGTGGACTTGGAGAGCCATCAGCCGGACCCGGGGCCGGGCTGGGGTTTTGTGGGGAAATGAGATCACCGAGTGGCCAAGTGGAATCGGCTGTCGAGTCTGATGTAGCCTGTGGACCATGGGGGAGTGAAGGAGGAATCGGGGTTCTTGCAGACGGCTAAGCCGCAGGACGGCTGCCGACCGATCGGGAGGTGTCTGGAGGGATGTCTTGTCTGTATAGTTACCCCAAGTTGTAAGGGCGATCGGCAGCACCCGACCCCAGAATCACAGCCAATGAGTCCAGTGGAACCCCCCCTCCCCCCCCCCCGCGTGATGCCCTGCGGTGGCCACCCCGGCTTTTTTCTGGCTGCTTTCCTACCGGCTGACGTCCTTCCTCTTTCTGCATTGTGCCTACTACTGTCTCTACCATCACCACCACAGCAGCAACAACTACTACTACTTCTTACTCTCCCCAACGCCTCTCAACTCTTTGTTCTTCCCTCTTTCTCCCCCTTCATCTCCACTCACTCACCCCCCACGGTCGGCTTTCTTTTGCTGATCCCCCGATTTGCCTTCTCGATCCGCTGGACACGCGATCTAAACCTAATAATCCCCCATCCCCATCCCCTGCGCACCTCCCCGCCCGAATGTCGACAGAGGCCGTGCCGTCAAGCCTGCTATGTCGATCCTGAATGATACCTCGCTCGTCCGGCCGCAGTGCGTGAGCAAAGCCAAGAAGCCCCCCCGGGATCCCCCCACCAAGCCCCGTCGCTCCGTCCTCAAATCCATCTCCCTGCCCTCTCTCTCCGACGTCGTCAAACACTCCTGGACTTGGGCCGGCGACGCGTGGGAGGCCCATCGGACCGGGCTCTCTCCCGATCAGCGCAAACAGAAGGCCGAGGTCGAGGCTCGCAAGCAGGTCCTGTATCTCCGGAAGCGCGAGGTAGGTCGCATTCTCCCGCGGCGGTCGGCGCCGCATCACTGACTCCGTCCTAGGCCGTGAATTTCATGACATGGAGCGAGTGCGCGCGCGAGCTGGACGACTTGGAACAGAACTACCTGTGGAAGCAGACGTTCGAATGCGCCGACTACGACCCCGATCTCGTACAGGAGCGAATCCACCAGCTAAACGCCGCCCGGGAGGGCTTTGACGTCAGTCGCATGCTCTTTCTCATCCGCACCTCGCTGAACCGCGACCTGGGCAACATGAGCAATGTGTCGTTGTACCGACACGCGCACCTCGGCACGAAGCACCTGATCGATCGGTATATCAAGACTGCGCTGGCCACGATAACCGCCCTCGTTGAGCTCACCGATAAAAATCACTGTGACGGGCACGAGGCGAAGTACATCCTGGACCAACTCCTGGCGGCGAGACAGGCGTTTGGACGCAGCGCCCTGCTCTTCTCCGGCGGGGCGACCTTCGGAATGAATCATATCGGCGTGCTCAAGGCCCTCTGGCAGGCCAACTCTCTCCCCCGCATCATATCGGGGGCCTCGGCAGGCAGTATTGTGTGCGCGGTGTTCTGCACCCGCACGGACGAGGAGCTCCCGGATCTCTTGGACTCCTATGTGTACGGCGACTTCAAAGTGTTCGGGCATGAAAGCGAGCAAGAAAACATCTTCCAAAAGACGGCCCGGTTTCTGAAGTATGGGTCGTTCCTGGATATCTCGCATCTCGCCAAGGTCATGAGGAGCTGGCTGGGCGACATGACCTTCCAGGAAGCGTACAACCGCACGCGACGGATCCTCAACATCTGTGTCTCCAGTGCAGGGGTGTATGAGTTGCCCAAGCTGTTGAATTACATTACCGCGCCAAACGTGATGATTTGGTCTGCTGTGTATGTGCTCTGACCTGTGATTTGTATTGCGACCGACTGACTGGAGCAGGGCCGTCTCATGTTCCGTCCCGCTCATCTTCTCCCCGTATCCTCTCATGGCCAAAGACCCCCTGTCCGGGGAGCCAGTGCCCTGGAGCGACATCCACCGGCAGTTCATCGACGGTTCCGTGGACGGTGATCTGCCCATGACTCGTCTGTCGGAGATGTTCAACGTCAACCACTTCATTGTGTCGCAGGTGAATCCACACGTGGTTCCCTTCCTGCCGAAAGACGAGGGGCCCGACCAACAGTTTCAGTCGTCATTCGCCCTCCCTAACTGGCTTCACGGCTTATCGCACCTGGCCATGGACGAGACCCTCTACCGGATGACCCTGCTGTCCGAGCTGGGCATCTTCCCGAACTCATTGACCAAGACCGTCTCGATCGCGACGCAGAAATACTCTGGAGACATCAATATCTATCCGGAAATCCGCTGGAGCAGGGTCCCCGCGATGTTGGCAAACCCGACGACCGATTTCATGCTTGAGGCCTGCATCAGCGGCGAGCGCGCAACATGGCCTAAACTGCATCGGATTTACAACCACTGCGCCATTGAACTGGCCCTCGACTCCGCCGTCCAGGAGATGCGGGCCCGCGTCGCGTTCTACCCCAGTCGCATCAACACGAAATCGGACAGCGCCGCCGGCCATGCTCTCGAATCTGTCGACACCAGCGCGGGACGCGGGCGCACGTTGAACCGGAGAAGCTCGTACAACCATGAAATCGAACAGCTGACGCACGTCAAGCACACTCCTCCGGCCCCTTCGACCCAGCGCCCTCCCCCGACCAGACCGTTCCTGCAACGGTCTCGCAGTGTGTTGCTGTGCGAACAGTCCCACGGCACCGATTCCATGGCGTCGGTGAAACTAGACGGTGCCGTCAAGCAACGGAAGAAAAGCTACCGGAGCCCGTCGATCAAATCGGCCGACGGACGCGATGACCCGGGGTCGGGAACCGACGAAGAGACCGATATCCCGGCGCCGCCAATTCGCAGGATGAGACGGCATGTTTCCTGGGAGCCGTCGTCCGACGACCACTTCAGTTGGATGGGGCAGGGGCAGAAGCAGAGGCAGAACGGCGGACATGTCTATGCGTCTCACGAGGCGTCTGCGAGGGCGGAAGGGTTCCCGTACTCGGTGCATGGGATGACCGAGACGCCATCGCGCCACCTCCGGATGACGCCCGCCGCCTATCCTCGATCACCTACACCTCATCCCTTCCGTAACTGAGGACCCGCTGCGATAACAGTGGATATCGAGGCAGCGACAAGCAAGAAGCCAGACGGCGCGTATGACGATTGGCAGACATCGTATATAATCACTTCCTTTCTGGTTCTTTTGGTATACATCTTGACGAACGAGCATGATTGACATGACGTGGCCGAGCGGGCGTTTGGGAGTTATCCATCCATTCATCCATCTATTGGTCGATGGCATGGCAGCATTTAGACCGGGACCTCACCGGCGTTTTGATTTGTTTTGGGTTGTTACATTTTTTGGCAGCCCATTGTTGATTGTTGATTCTGGATCGGCGCATTGGGCTAGGGCTGCAGCTAGCTACGCTACAGCTACGGAGTAGTTACAGCGTTGGCCTTGTTTTTTTTTGGCGAGCGGGCGGTTCGCCCACCTCCCCCATAGAGGGTGCATGTAGATATTAGATATCGACACCGGCGCGCATACGCATCTTCGGCTCCTTTAGGTTTAGAGCAATAGACCTGAGTGCAGGCTCCGAAAATAGATCATGTAGTATCTACCTAGTATCTGCCTGGGAATAGGCAATAAGCGGGAAATACTACGCACCTTCACCTCGAAGCAGCGTTTCGGAAGAGGGCGACTAATAGGGGGGTCTGATTCGCTGCGCGCCGCCCCCCCGGTTAACATGAAACCGCCGGCCGTGACGCTGCTTCTTTTCTTGTTAGTTACTGTGTGTAGCAGGCTGTACTTGGATATGTAGGGGGTGCCCGGCGCGTCGCTGCTGCTGCTAGCATCTAGTAGTACTAGTAGTCTGCAGGTGACAGCACCATCATCACCACCACCACCACTACTACTGGACTATCTATCTAGTAGCCAGTGACCAGTGAGTGGCCAGTGGCCTGTGCTGTGTGACTGACTGTCCGTCCGCCATCCAAAAGCAATAATCCCATTCCAAATCCGTCCGTCCACCACCATCCATCCCCCGTAGGCGGGTAATTAGGCGGTTGTCGAGGTGCCTTATTATAGATAATTTTCTCCATCCTGGGTGGGCGTGGCCTATCAGGGGTTTGTGTTGCTGGGTGAACCCCCCCCCCCCCTCCTCCCCCCCCCTTTGGCTTTGGCTTTGGGTCAGGCTTTGGGTCTGGATCTGGCTAATATGACTGATTCACTGGCCCATGCATGCATGCATCTGTCCGCTCGCACGGCGGCTAAACCCCCACCTATCTACCAAGTACTATCTATGTACAAGTACAACCCACTGTGACCCCATGTCCCATGCATACTTGCATTTGCATATGTGTGCCGTGCTGTTCGCTGTCCGTTGTTCGTCCCCATGTCGTCTGGGTGTCTAGTCTGTTTACTATCCTGTCTGATCTAGTTGTTTAGCGTTGACGTTGGCGTTAGTGTCGGCGTCAGTTGTTTCTAATGTTGGAAACATTGACATGGATGAATACATGCATGTACTACTTACTGTCTACTGTTACCTACTACCTACCACCAACTAGATGCTTGGTTTCCATCCTGCAGGGGTTGTGCAGCGGCAGCGGCAGCGGGAAAGGATGAGAATAGAATCCTAAGAATCGTCAGGGCGTTTGTGGTGGGATTAAGCTTATGCCTTGTTGGATGTTGGAATGATATATAGTATCCGCTGTGGCTTTCGTCTGGTCTGGGCAAGCAAGCAGGCAGTTTCTGATTGTTTTTGTCTTGTGTTTTATACTCTTTAACGGCCTTTGGTCTACGGTTGATTGGCTTGTTTATATGATCCTTTCATCCATCCATCTTTCTATCCATCTTTCTATCCTCACCACCAAAACAATTGATGATATAATTGATATAATACTCCATCAGCCCTAACTGTCTACCTACCGCCACTACACCACACCAAAAGATCGAGCAAAATGACAAACACCCTCCCCAACCCCCTCGCGCGCTTCCGCAAACACTCCGTCCCCCACAAACCCCTCCACGAGCGCTGGGGCGACATCGACATCTCCGTCCCGACTGAGGGCTCCTGGAACCAGCTGGATAATCCTCATCGATCGGGCTCTCAGTTCCAGTCTCAGTCTCAGTCTCAGTACTCTCATCGGTCCTCGTCATCGTCAACTACCACCACATCAACAGCGAAACCCAAGTCCAAGGGTTCCACTTCCAACAGAGCAACATATCATCTCACCTCCGCGGCCATCTCTATGCCTGTCTCAAGTCGGTACCATGCTCAGAGAAGTAGAAAGGGGGGTCATAGGGATGGGGGTGGTGATGGGGATGAGGTGCCGCTGATTAGCTCTTCGACTACGACGTCTACGTCTACGTCTACGTCTACATCTACGCCTTCTTCGACCTCGACCTCGACCTCTCATGTGAAACTGCACCGTCTCTCTCTCCGTCCAAAGCACTCTACTTCCACCTTCCCCCCCTCATACGCACCATCATCCACATGCACATCCACATCCGAATACCCCAAAGAAAACGACCCCCTGCAAGCCCGCCAACTCAAAGCCTCCCGTCGCGTCTCCCAATTCGCCTACCGCCCCATCTCCCAGGATTATCCGACCGAGGTCCGCGCGAAGAGCGTGAGTCCGTTTCAGTATCGGTATATTCCTGCTGGATCTGGGTCTGGGTCTGGGTCTGGGTTGGACGGACATCTGGGCACGGGGGGTGTCAATGTCAATGTCAATGTCAATGTGGATGTGGATGGGGTGAAGGAGAGGGGCAGGGGCGGGGGCAGTGGCAAGGGAAGGAGGGATAGTGGGTGTTATTATTCCGAGAACAGTTCGAATGACAGGTCCGGGCAGAGGAGGAGTCGGTTGACGGAGCACATGCGCGTGGATGTTTACGATACGAGGTCTTCGAGCGCGGTTCGAGGGGTCGGGAGGTATTTCACTAGGGATATGGTTCCTGATAAGGAGGATATTTATGGATGATTTTTTTTTTTTTTGATTTTTTTTTTGTTGGATGGGGGTGGTGTTTGGTGTTAGGGGTTGGGGTTGGATTAGCGATGCATTTATGTTGTTGTTGTTGTTGATGTTGATGTTGATGATGATGATGATGATGATTCTTGGGATGGATCGATTCATTGCATAGCGGCATTGCAGGCGTCGCGTGGCATAGCGTGGCATTATTGGGATTTGGATTTGGATTGTATTTAGATTGGATGGGCATTTTCTGATTAATCATGGAGTTTTACTAATTCACTACTTTGTCCTATTATTCTTCAAAGATGATTCTTCACCTCCAGACAGGTTCCGATAAATGCCCTAGATGAGGGCAAAAGTAACTATGTTGTCAATCTGAATAAGCAACAAACCTGACGTCAACCTGACGAGCCCACACCCAGGAACACCGTCTCTCTCTCTCCCTCACAGCAGCACAGGGAAAGAGATTATTCCCAGTTACACGGCATCTCTGTCTGTCTCTTGGCAGGGCCCACAGCCGGTGATCCAGGCATGACGTTATCCCGACTTGCAGTTCCAGCCAGTCCATGACGCCATGTCTTCCTTGTCTTGGTCGAACTTCGGGGGGGGCGAGTGTGGTTGTATTTTATATATATATATATACTGGCGATTAAATTATTTGATACTAGACTTGTACTTGGTTCTTTGAGTTTCTCGTTCCATTGTATATTGTATATTGTATACTGTATATTAGTTATTGTGTACGATGGCTGCAAAGGTGTTTCAGTTGAAGTGTGGGTATAAGGTTAGTGCTCTGGACAACCCTGATGATCTGGACTAGATGATGAGGCTAATGTTGCGGTACTATGTAGAATGACCCCTGGGGGAAGAAAGGGAAGGATTCCCTGGCCGGGGTGCTTTGTTCCCAGACGCCTGGCGCGTTGGAACTTGATGAGTCGAAGACGTATTCGGAGGTGAGTTTGTCTATCCATCTGGCTGGTCATCAGGTGTGATCATGATGAGGATGGCTAAGGTGTTTGATCAGATGTGGATGGGCACGTATCCCACCGTGCCATCTCGCGTGCTCGCCACCGACGAACTGCTGTCCGAGTATCTGAACAAACACCCCGAGGTTGTCGGGCAATCCGCGCTGAAGAAATGGGGGCCTGAAGTTCCCTTCCTCCCCAAGGTGAGATCATCTTCATCTTCCCCTTCATCCACATCCAAATCTGACTGCTCCAGATCCTCTCCTTCGACCAAGCCCTCCCCCTGCAGGTGCACCCCGACAAAGCGCTCTCCGAAAAGCTTCACCAAACCGACCCCCACAAATTCGGCGACCCCAACCACAAGCCCGAAATCGCCATCGCGCTGTCCAACTTCGAGCTGTTCGCAGGCTTCAAGCCGCTCGCCGACATCGAACAGCTCATGAAGCTCGCCCCCCTGCAGCACTTCGTGCCCCCGCACGCCGTCAGCGCCTTCGACGACGAGGTCCTGCGCGAACTCTGCCGCATCCTGCTCACGCTGCCCCCCTCCATCGTCTCCACCACCCTCACCGAGCTGCTCACCATGCCCGAAGCCCAGTTCGGGCCGACCCAACGCTACATCCCCGGCCTCCTCGACCGGCTGCGCAAGCAGTACCCCGACACCGACAACGGGAGCCTCGTGGCCGCGCTGCTGATGAACTACGTGACGGTGGGGCCCGGCGAGGCCGTCTGCGTCCCCGCCGACAGCATCCACGCCTACCTGTCCGGCGATATCATGGAGTGCATGGCCCGCTCCGACAACGTCATCAACACCGGGTTCTGTCCCAAGGCCGAGCGCGACAGCGTCGACCTGTTCACCCGCGCCTTGTCCTTCCAGCCGCATTCCGTCGACGAGACCGTGCTGCCCCGCAGGAAGTCCGATAAGGGCACCCAGTGGAAGACCGAGGTGTATGCGCCGCCGTTCAGCGAGTTCAATGTGCTGGCTACGAGTCTGGGCGCCGGCGAGGAGGAGACTCATGTCCCGCTGGACGGGCCGAGTTTGGTGGTCGTCACGAAGGGCAGCGGGACGATGAGAGCCGGGGCAGCGGTGGCAGCAGCAGCAGCTGCTGCAGCTGGTGAGACCGAGACCGAGACCGAGACGATGGAGTTGCGGGAGGGTTGGATCTTTTTTGTCGGGGCGGGCGAGAAGTTGCACTTTGGCACCGACAAGGGCCTCGCCCTTTATCGGCCGTACGCGGAATAGACCAGACCAGACCAGATCCCACCTTTTTTAACTACTACCATGAAATGATCACATTTGGATTCATCTCTCTCTTTCTCTCTCTATCTATCCAGCTATAAATAGCTCTCCCCCCCCTCGCCTAGATTTCCCTGCACGAACTAAGCGCCCTCCCCAAGCGCTCAGGACTCCACGATGATCGTCCCTCTCACCCAATGGATCCCGCCCTGGCGTGCCATCACCGCGATCGCTGCTATTTTTGGTGCCTTCCTCTGCTGCTGTATGGCCTGCTGGGTGTGATGTGAGTGTGGTGTAGCTTTGTTCCTGCGAGCCCTTCCTTCCTTCCAGCCTTCTGTCCGGCCCACGGTGAGGTGTGAGTGGCACAGCTGCGATTAAAATAGCTGGGGGGAAAAGGGAAGCGGGGAAGGGTCGGACTGTGTTATTTTAAGTGGGTTTGCTGCTGCTGTTGATGATCTTTCGTGAGGTTGTTTCATCTGGTTATCTGTCTGTCTGTCTGTCTGTCTGTCTGTCGGTTTCTGTTTCTGTTTTGGTTCCTGTTGCGGTTGTTGTTCCTGCATTGACGCGGTGGAATCAAATCAAATCAAATCAAATCAAATCAATCGAGCCATCCATCCATCTTGCTCCCAGCAGCAGGTTCCTGTCACTGTCACTCACTGCCACGATGATCATCCCTCGTGATGATGGATCATCCGTCGAGTCGCCCTCCTCCAGTCGGGATCAGATCATCATCGGCGTGGTGATGGGGAGTGTGGTTGTTCTTTTGAGTGAGCCTTTCTTCTCTCTCATGCTGTTGTTATGATTGTCTTCCATCCATCCATATACTCTCACCCACCCACTTACTTACCCACTTCCCCATTCACTTATCCACTCTCCCCCCCTCCCCACCTAACTTCCAATCCAACCCCATCAAATTAACACCCCAGTCCTCCTCATCCTCCTCCTCATCCACGCCAAAAAGAAAAGCGTCGCCCGTCGTCGCCGTCGCCTTGAGGAACGTCTCCTGCAGCAACAGCAGCAACAGCAACAGCAACAGCACCACCTCTCCCTCACCATGAGCATGGGCATGGGGTACTACCCCGGCCCCAGTCCCGGCTTCCCCAGCCCCGGCTTCGGCTTGGGCTTCGTTCCCCATGGCTCAGAGGGACAGGGACAGGGTCTGGGTCTGGGTCTGGGTCTGAAGCCACTTCCTACCCCGGAGTATTATCCTCAGGGTGAGGGGCAGGGTTATCAACTTCAATCTCATTCTCGTCATCAGCCTCAGCCCGTGGAATCCGTTCAACCCGCAGAACCTCTCTCCGCCCAATCGACCTCCTCCGCCGAGCAACGAGCCCTCAACGACCCCCCGCCGGCGTACCATCCCACGCCTGCCCCCGCCCCGCCCCTCCCGCCGTACAACCCCTCCCGGTATCTCGGCGTGGATCAGATGGTCGGCATTGCGGTGCCGTATCCCGGGGTGAGGGCGAGTTTGTATCGCTTTGAGGAGGGGGGGAGTGGATATGGGCATGCGATCAGTGCGGGGCAGGGTCAGAGTCTGGGTCTGGGCCAGCACGAGGGAGTGAGGAGGGTGCCTGAGAGGGATGAGAGTGCGTTTAGCTTTGCGTTTAGTTTTCGAGGCGGTGGGGAGGAGAGGTTGGATGTTGGGGGTGGATCAAGAGGGCCTTTGGCTGGGTCTGGGTCTGGGTCTGGGTCTGGGGATGATCATGAGCATGAGGGTGAAGGGGAGGGGGGTGGTAGATTGGAGGGGCAGACGGTGCAGAGGCCCAGACCGGTGTTGTCGAGGTTGGTCACCAGTTTTGGGGGGTAGAGGGCAGGGTAGGTATCTCGATGGAAGGGTGTTTTCTTTTTCTTTTTCTTCTCGTTTTGGTGTTGATGTTGGTGTTGGTGTTGCTGGAGTTTGGATTCTGGGCTATAATGATCATGATATCGACGATGACGATCACGATGAACGACACTCATGACGACGACGACGACGATGATGATGATGAGAAGACAGACAGGAGGATGGGATGGGATGGGATGGATCAATTCCCAGGTAAGTCAGAGTCGGTCTATGCTTCACTTTTGTTGTATTATTTCCTTTATTATCATTATTATTGTACCTTCCTCCCCCTCTGGGTCTATATCCTGGCGGGATTTGGACCGGATAAGGTCATTTCACTCCATCTGGCCAACACCCACCCGCATGCACTGTGATCACATCACCCTCCGCGTCTAAATTACTGGGATGGGGCTGGTGGGGAGTGGTGGAGGAGAAACAGACAGAGAGACAGAAATGATGGACTGATGGGCTGACTGTTTAGGGCCGAAAGGGGACTGACAGACTGACAGGGTAACCCCGAACTGCCACAGGGCGATCCACTCCAACCCCGGCCGTTTTCTCTCTCTCTCCTCCTCTTCCTCTCTCTTTCTCTCACTCTCTCGCTCTCGCTCTCTCTCTCACTCGCCCACCACTCTCATTTAATCTATCACCACGACTCCACCTGCAGCTAGACAATCACTCGGACCCGATGCTGCACTGTGACAAGTGACCAGACCAGACTCGGCCGACGACACTCCGGTTTCACTCGCGCCGTCTCCATCGCGGCGTGTAGATAAGCTCTACGGATGGTTCGGGCCCAACCGCGACGATCAACCGGTGCTTGATGCTTCTTGATGCTGCTGGATGCTGCTGGATGTTGCTGCTGTTCCCCTCTTTTGCTCGCAGACCCTGGCAGCTTTGGAAGCTCCGTCGCCAATCAATCCCACGCGCTGCCATAGCGCCTGCCTTAGCGACTTGGGCTCTCGCTTTCCCCTCTCGCTGCTCCCGACACTAAGCAAACAGGCTACCACCTCGCAAGGATATCGTCCCCATCCTCCAGCCGCCGATACTACCATCCGCTCTCCCAGACCGGGATCCGGTCGGGATCTGTCCTGTTCGTCCTCTCAGCGCTCCTGCCCACGCCACGCCAAGAGGGCCGTCAGCTGCAGCCATGATTGGATGCAGCCGGCGCACGCAAGTTGACTGCGCCGCGCAGCAAATTTCCCGACTGACCTCCCCTCTTTCGCCTTGTCTCCCATCACCAGGTCCGTCGTCCGGTTCGCTCCCCTGTCCGGAGGCTCCCCCCCCCATGTCTCTCCATGCTCCCCCAGGCCAGTGATCGTGCGCGATTGCTATCCTGCTTACAAAACTAAGGGCGATCCCCCTCCGGCTGCCTGAGACCTCTCCTCTCAATGGCTCGGCTCGCTCAATGGCCGCGTATCCCCGAGGCGCTCCCCACCCAGGAAATCCCCCCCTCCCTCTCCCCCCCCGTGAGGGAGGGTGAACCATTCTGTCGGGTCGACGATGTGTCGCCCACGGTCTACCCGTACGACCGTCTCTGGATCGAGTCGCGCGCCCATGCCCCTCGCAGCCTCGCCCTGCGCTGAAGGACTTCCCTGAAGGAACCCATCGCCGGTCCCTGAGGGTCTCTCTCCATCACGTCGGGCGACATGCAGCCGCCTTTCGGCCGGTGCGGTACAACTTGTCTTCTCGTCTTGGGTGATCCTACCCCCCCGATTACGCTTCTGGGCCAGTCCTTCCTGTTCTAGACACCCGACCCAGGTACGCGGGGCGTGGGTGCTGGCGCTGAAAAGGGTGGGCGAGACGTCGGCGGCGGGCCAACCGTTTTAAGGTACCGTTGCGGACTCGATCCTTCTCAACTCTGTTTCCCTCCGCACTCTTGGTAGGGACCTGTGCGGGCGATGCTGACGCCGGCCCGGATGCTCCAGCCTCCAGTACATGAAGGGTCCTCTTGCGATCATGACGGCCATCATCCAGAAATTACGGCGCAAGAGGAAGCTGTCCTCCGAACTGCACTCGCGCTGGGGCGACGTCGCCATCAGCTATCCCACCGGCGGGTCGTGGAGTCAATGGGAGCAGTCGTCGCGTGCTGGACCCTCTGCTATAGCTGACCACGGCCAGCGCCGTGGCTCTCTCGAACCCAACCGCTCCGCCACTTCCACTCGCATGGGGAGTCACAGCAGTCTCGACGCGCGGGCGCCCTCAGTCGATTCCGCCATGACCATCCCCACGGGGCACTACGACGCGCGCGTTGGCAATCGCTCGCGGCGGATGCCACAGTCGTGCAGCCCGCCCACCGAACCGCTGCCCATCGAATCACCCCGGGCGTGGTCGCCCTCCGGCTCCGACGACGACTCGGGAGACGAGGAGGACGAAACGGAGGTGCCTGCGCCTCTCAATCTCTCGCGTGGGCGGCATCACGCCCATCCCGACGAGGCGGACATCTACTCGCGCGCCTCCAAATCGCCGCCCTTGTCCGTCACGTCCCGCATGCGCCGCTTCAGCGTGCAGAGCCACATGGGCGAGTCGTCGACGAGCGGACCGGGGACGACCAGCTCGCGGCACACCAGCTACACCTCGTCGACGCCGTCGAATCCGTCAGACGACAGTCGACACCACAACTATCGCCCGGCAACACAGCCGGAACGCAAGCCCGTCCGACGCCCCAAGCCGGAGCCGCTGACGCTACGGCGACAGCCCGAGCTGGTGCCGTCATATGACGAGCTGTATGGGTAGTCCCCTGACCACTTACAACTACATGGGAGGCCGTCTGTTTGGATTGATCAGTTTTGCGGCTGCTTTCGTTCTACGGCGAGAGGTCACTGGGTGACTGGGCCGAGTTGAGCCGACATGGTTTTTTGTCTTGGGAGGATGGGATGTGAAGGAGCCAACCAGCGCGGGCAAAAGATTTAACCTGCATGCATTGTGGCGTCTCAATTGCTTTCGGGAGGCGTTTCTTGTCTGTCTTTTTTTTTTTTTTTTGTTTTTGTTTTTCAATTTTGAATGATGATTGTCTTATTTGGGGGAAGATGTTTGGGGATGTTTCGGTACTTTGGGATGTGAGTGACACTGCGTATCGCCGAGTGACAATGCCTCAATGCATCAATGCACCAATTCGCCCAGTAGTCCTGACTCGAAGCGCCCATCAGAGAGATAGTATCTGCCAGTGAGATGAAGCGGGGCTGCAGGAAGGGCTGGACTGGACGATCGGCGATGTGACAAGTGGAGGCGGGCCAATGCGGGCTCGCGAGCAAGCGCCGACTCTCCGCTTCTCCGCTTCTCCTCTTCTCCTCTTCTCCTCTTCCTGTCAGTTCTTCCCAACTTCCATCCAACCACTCGTCCCCTCGATACGCTGCCTGCACACCACTCCTGCAGTCCTCGTCACTGTCACAATCACATCTCGCCCACTCCCTCCCCTCTGCGTGCTCTGACAGGCCTCCTTAGCGCCCAGCCCTCTGCCTCCCCTCGCCTGCCATGCTGCCTCCTCGTCCATGGCCGGCTGAGCCCGCCACACCTGGTGAGCGGTGATCCGGCACGGAAAGCTGCTCGTCCCCGCGGACGCCTGCTTTATCAATGCGCCATGGCACCGATCCTGCCGTCCAACCGACGATCAGGTCTGGTACCACCGGTTCCCCTCTCCATTTCTACCCTCGCTCTCCCCGTGCGACCAGCTCTTCTTCCGATCGCCTCCCTCCCTCTCTGTACCGTACCTGTCGTCCTTTGCGGTGAGCCCGACGCCGGCTCTGTCGACCTCCCGGCCTCCAGCGACCTCCGTGCGGCGTCAGATCTCCGACCTGTCGTGCAGAGCGAGAGCTAGAGCTAGAGCCAGAGTCTCCGTCTCCGTCTACGCCAAGCGACCAGACCAAAACCTACAAGATGTTCGGCTCCAGCCCGAGATCTACAATCTGGGCCGCCGTGGCCGCCACGGCGCCTCTGCTGCTCCTCAGCCACCTCGCTCCCAGCGCGACGGCGCTGTACGTGACCGAGGGCTCGCCGTGCTGGGACGTGTGTAATAATCCGACCAACACGACCTCGTCCGAGATCGTCTGTCTCGACGACGAGTACAACAGCACCACCACCGGCCAGGACTTCCAGAAGTGCGTCTCGTGCGCCCTCGAGAGCAACTACACCGCGTCGGACTCGTGGCTGACCGACGTCGACTGGGGGTTGTGTATGTTCCTTCTTCCCTCCCTCCTGCGTAACCCACCCCGCTAACGCTCCCTTGTCAGACAACCTCCGCTTTGCCTTCAGCTCATGCGTGTACGGCTACCCGGAGAGCGTGGTCAGCATGTCCACGCCGTGTCTGGTCTCGTGTCTGGGATTAGACACCTCCATCGAGTTCAACCTGCTCGATCCCAACGATATCAACATCAACGCCTGGTGCGCGACGTCCTCGTTCGCCAATAACCAGATCGACACCTGCAGCGTCTGCTACAATCTGACCGGTACCCAGGTGTACATGGCCAACTGTGCGTTCTTCCTTGTTATAAATCATCTGAATCCGACTTGGCTGACTTGAGGAAATGCAGTCATCCAAGCCCTCCGCTACGACTGCAATTACCCCGTCCCCACGGGGACCGCCTTCCCCATCAGCCCGTCTCTCATCTTCTCCGAATCCGCCCTCCCCTCCTACTCCTCTAACCTCCTCTCCACGTCCAAAAAGGGCTTCGACTACAAACTCGCCACGCTCGTCGGCCTCCCCGTCATGGGCTTCGTCATCCTCGTCATCCTCTCCACCATGTGCTGCATGTGCGGCTTCAGCTGGTATCGCCGCATGTCCCGCGAAGACGAGGAACTGCGCGAGTGGAAGACCATGGCCGCGGAGCGCACCTGGGAGGATTATCCCCCGCAGGAGATGTATCCGGCCAGCATGTATCAGCAGGCGCAGACGCAGCAGCAGCAGCAGCAGCAGCAGCAGCAGGCGCAGATGCAAATGCAGGGGCAGCAGTATGGGCCTGGGTTTCAGGTCGTAGAGCCGGATGGTCGCACCCATGAAGCGGGGTTTTCGAAGACGATGGTCACTGAGACGGTGACCTCGTCGACGGGGATCTCGCCCGTTGAGAAGGGGAAGGGCGCGGAGACTGGGACTGGGACTGAGCAGGGGTATTTTCCGGGGGATGTGAAGGTGTAGGTGTTTCTGTTGCTGCTTCTGTTGCTGTTGGAGTTGGTGTGTGGTAGATGGGGGTGATGTTGATGGTGATGTTGATGGTGATGCTGTCAATGACCTGTTCTGTTTCATCCTGTTTCCTTGGTTTTCTTTTGCTCGTGGTTTTTGATGATCCAGTGATTAATGAGGAATATACCCCGCCCTGCCCACCACGCATGCACATAGCATACTCATACTCATAGTACTCATAGCATAGTATTTATATGAATCCGTCCTGTTGCACACTTGGCATCTTGTTCGTTGCTTCTTGCTGATTAGTCTGTCTCTGTAGTTTTGTTGATGAAGAGGAGTGGATTGGATAGTCCAGTGCAGCCCAGGCCAGGCCAGGCCAGGCCAGTCCTATCTGGTCATCATCATCAGCAGCAGCAGCAGCATACCTTCTATCCATCCATCCATCCATCATCCATCCATTCATCATCCATCCATCCATCCATTCATCATCCATCATTCGAGTAGAAGTAGAAGTGCGAGTGTCAGTAAAGTACACGATAATATAACCATAAGATAATATGATAGTATAATAGAAAAAAAAAAAAAAGCCCCTCGGTCTAATTGCAAACTGTGTAAACAGATGCAGACACACACACACACACACACAGACACAGACACACAGAGAGGGGGGTGGGGGGAGAAGGAGGGATGGAGAGAGAAAAAAAGGAAGCGACAGATGCGAACCAAAACGAAGAGACCGAGGGAGAGGGAGAGGAAAAAAGAAAAGAAAAAAAAGACCCGAATTGATGGCTTTATACCGGCTACACCCCCACCCCCACCCCCTACTAGTTATATATGATAGTAGAACAAGAGGGAAAGAGGTCCACAGGAGACGAATACGAATAGTAGCCGCGAGACTGAGCTGTCTGCAGGATCAGGATCAGGATCAGGATCAGGGTGAGGATCAGGGTCCAGCAGCTTCTTCAGCTCCCAGCTACCAACTCCCAACTCCAACCAATAAATACCCCGCTGTACAAGACCATGTGTATGTGCCCGTGTTATCGTCCACCTCCACCAACAAGACCCCACCAATCCCCTCCCCAATTTACCATAAATGAGAGAGATAGATGGATGGATGGATGGAGGGATATCCCGGCGCGTGCCCGCTAAAAATAACCACGGAAACGGGGATGAGCAGCCCGGTTGGAGGGCTTGTGGGAGACGGGATTGGATTGGGGGAGGAGGGGGGAGGGGGGGGGGGCACATGTGCCAAGGGGTTAGGGTCGGTCTTGGCGGGGGTGTATACTATCTATGTATGTATGTATCTGGTTGTTGGGCTCCGTTTTGGGGAGAGGGAAAGGGGGAATGGATGCTGGGGGGTGTTTATCTATCTGTCTATATATTTACTTGAGATGGTAGAGGAGGGGGTATGTGGGTGGGTAGGTGGAGGATTGGGGTTGGGGTTGGGGTTGTGGTTGTGGCTGTGATGGGTGGGGGCGGTTATAGTAGATGACTATCTGGTAGTATCTATAGGGTAGGCGCTGGCATTGTTTAAATGTATGGAACACTGTGGGATTGGTTTGGGGTGGTGGGATGGGTTCTTTGAAGTGAGTGTTACTACTATCACTATAGCTTTGTGTCCCTGTGTTGAGCTGGGTCTGTGTTAGTAGGGCATCGAGGTGGGGTGGGACATTCCATCATGGGGAACTTGAAGCTGTAACTATCTACCTACTAGGTACTAGTAGACATCCTGTTAGACCATCACAGGTCTATATGACTAGTATGCATCTTATCCTATTTATAGCATCCACAACCAGTCTACAATCCTCTCGACACCCATATATTATCCCCCCCTCTATTCGAAATCCAAACCTCAATCTCAACCCAAAGACCCAATCTCATATCAACTCAATTCTGAATATGATCATGAAAAAACCCCACATACTCAAACAAACTCCTCTTATACCGTCTCCTATAACTCCCATCAGTGCGATTCACGCTCTGCATACCATACTGGTTCGCGTAGCTCCCAAACTCATTGTTATCGAGGTAGCTCCACGCCAGCGCACCAATGACATTGACCCCGTCCTCGTGGATGGCCTTCAGCACCTCCTGCAGGAAGTCCTGGTAGTAGAGCGTGCGCTCGAGATCCAGGCGCTGGGCGTCGCCGGCGCCCAGTGAGTCGGCGAAGGGATTGAACCCGAACTCGCAGATCAGGATCGCGCGCGGCCGGAACGTGTTCCATACGTAGCCGAGCTGTTGGCGGACGTACTGCGGGGCGATGGACGAGTAGACGTTGGACATGTCGCCCATGAGCCACCCGTCTGCTTGGATCATGGAGGTGGATGCGCAGTAGGGCCACGTCGGGTTGGATTGGTTGGCGGCGCAGGCAGAGATGCCCACCGGAGGTGGGGACGCGAATTGGGCCACGTATGGGTCGAAGGCCCAGAAGTCGATCGTGCCGTGGACGTCGAAAATTTGGGTCTCGGTCAGTGCGGTGAGGTTGAGGTTGGGGGTGTCCAGGGCGGAGGTGGGGTATTGTTGACCCAGGAAGAGGGGGTTGCCCATGATGCCGAGGATGAAGTCCTGATAGCGCAGGGCGGCATCGACGTGGCTGGCGTTGGAGGGGTTGAGGGGGACGGCGAGGTTGTTGGCAAACTTCATTGTTATTTTGCCGGTGCCGTGCAGCTCGTCCTTGTACTAGCGGTAGACGGCGGCGTGTGCCGTCAGCACGTTGGTGAGGTCGTTCCACGACGTGAAGACTTCGCCTACGCCAATGTTGGCCTCGTTGAAGGTCACCCAGTATGGAACCCGGTCTGCGTATCGGGCCATTACTTGCTTCGCGAAGTAGAGGAAGTTCTCGGGGAGGGTGGATGTGTCGCTGGCCTGGTTAATTGGGAAGTCACCGTGGTTGAGGGTCACAATGGGGGTGATTCCGTACTCGAGGCAGGTGTTGATGACATCGTCGTAGTGTTGTAATCCTGGGGTGTTGATGGGCGAGCCGGCGGCGCCGAAGGGGACGATGCGCGGCCAGGAGATGCTGAAGGAGAGGTGTGGGACCCCGATGGCGGCCAGCCGGGCAATGTCTTCCTTGTACATGAAGTAGCCCATGTCAGCGATGTTTGCATCTGAGGCATTGTCGTTGCTTTGGATCGCTCCGATGGTGTCCAGAACAGACGGACCACGGCCGTCGAGCTGCAGGCCCCCTTCGATCTGCCATGCGCTGGCTGCGACGCCCCAGATGAAGTCTGGGGGGAGCTTCAGCGTGGCATTGTCGACGAGGTTGTATAGGTTCGGGGGGTAAACCAGTTCGCTGGAAGGAACTGCGCTTGGGGTGATCGTCGTTGTAAAAGGAGGGGCATCTGTGCAGGACAGATTGGCCCACAAGGCAGCATACGCACTCTGTCCGTACTGCCCGTCTGGAGTCGGGCTGGACTGCAGAGAGTATGTCGTGTAAGTCACATTGCTGGGGAGAAGAGTGGATGCTTGACGCAACGCCGGTGCGAATGGCGTCGCAAATGACAGAGGGGCACTGAGTCCTGTCGCATACCGAGTCGAGGTGACCTGGGTGTAGCTGAACGAGCTGTAGGAGTGGCTAACCTCAGCTGTGGTTGTTGCTTGAGATTCGTGAGTTACTGGTGATGCCCACGCAGAATGGCCACCGGCTAGACCCAGAACGATTAGACGACTGAGGAGTATCATCTTCGAGCCCCCTGTTTACCCGTGCAACAGCCCATCTATTGACCCCGGGCATGGGCTTTATATAGTCTCATTCATCCACCCCTTCGGCATAGTAATGCGGCATTGTTCTGGGTAATCCGCCAGCAAAAGCCATAACAAGAGCCGGATACTGCCAAGTAGATGCCCCTCAACCAGTAATCCTCGTATTTGCGGGGAAATTCTGCACATGGTGGTGCAGGGTCTCATGTGGAGGAACCGAGTGGAGAGACGATCCCCCACGATTTGACGTCAATCTGGGTCAATTGGCGCATTCAGCTGATGGGTGGGGCATTCCACCAACAGGGTGTATGCTGAGTACTGTAGATAGAGTAAGTTAAGAGGATTAGTTGTTCGGCAGAAGGTGAGGATGGTGATGCCGACTCGACTTTCTCAACATCCTGGAGTATATAGTCCAACAGACAAAGTCAAAAGGCGGTATTCTTCTCATCTGAGTGGAACTGTCCTCTGGATATAACACCACATCGGAGTAAAGCACACCCAGTCTGGCCGAAATCAGAGCCCTGGGGGTTGGAGTGTTGGAGTGTAGATAGATGTAGAGTAGAGTAACTAGAGGATCGAGGATCGGATCGTATGCTCGTGTCTGCCTTACCGGCTCGGCTCCACACGACACCTCAGGCACCCGTGTCTCTTTCTCCTCACATCTCCAACGCTCCAACCAAATCCAACCCAACACAGTACAACATCCTCCACCACAATCACAATCCCCACGCCCCCCACGCAGCAAAATGACCTCCCTCAGCCAAGACCAGATCAAAACCCTCGAACAGTCCCGCCAACGCCTCATCCAACTCACCCACTCCCTGGCCTCCCTCATCACCAGTCTCAACCAAAGCGACCCTCTTCCCTCATGGTACCTCCCCAGCACCCAATCCTGGTGACCCAATTCCCCTGTCCCAATCACCACTAACCCACAGATCTACCCAGGACCTCCCTCCAGTCCCAAGCAACCATCATCTCCAACAACCTCCTCACCATCTCCGACCACCTCTCTGATAACCGCGACCTGCTCTCCAACATCGTCGCCTACCCGGACGCCTCCTACCCGTCGCGCATCCCCGCCAACAACGTCGCGCTGGAGCAGGTACTGCGCACCAAGCTCGATCCCCGGGTGGAAGATTGGGTCGCGCGGGGGCGCCGCACAGGCACCGCAGACTCGGCACTGGGGGCCGGATTGGGGGACGATCTGCTCGCCGAGCTGTGGGATTGGGCGCCCGTGGAGGCCAACCAGGAGGCGAGACGGCGGAACTGGGGTGGAAACTTTACGTTGGAGGAGCGGGAGAAGGGGGTGCAGAATGTGGTGACGGGGCTGAGGAGGGTGTTGGAGGATGATGAGGATGAGGATGACGAGGACGATGATGACGACAGTGAGGAAGGGGAGGGGGAGGCGGATGAGATGGAGATTGTGGGGGTCAGGAGACGCTCGAATGCCGGGGCTGGGCTGGAGTTTGACATTACGGCCTCGACGGCGACAGGGACGGCCCATTCGGGCGCTGGGGCGGCGGCTACGGAGATCGTTGCGCCGGTGGTGCCTTTGGATGAGCTCTTGAGGTTCATGACTACGGGAGTGTTGCCAGGTCAAAGGTGATGAATGTGTGTGTGTGTGTGTGTGTGTGTGTGTGTTGATTTACCATGGAAAGAAGAGTTTGGACGGAACAATCTAGATTAAAAGTGCTATGGAAGAATGAGGCAGAAAACAAAGCACCTAGCCCCGTCGCCGGGTGGTGGGCGTCTTGCCTGATGGCTTGGGAGACGCGCTCGAGCTGGTGGCGGTCGCCGGTGCCTTCGCGGGGGTCGCGGCCGCAACGGGCTTCGCCTTCTTCTGAGACTTCTCTGACTTCTTCGACTTCTGCGACTTGGTCGGGCTGTTCCAGTAGTACAGCATCTGGGTGGCCAGGATCAAGTTGAGAGAGAAACCGGCGATGAATCCATACAGAATCAGCTTGTCGTCCACCTCCTGAAGGGTTGTGAAGATACGGGAGAGGGAGCCGGCGAGGTAGTTAAAGACCTAATCAAGGCTAAATTAGTATCCAAATGCATAACCTCTGTCATGTCTGCACATACCGCAAAAGCACTCAGCTGACCAGTGCCGCCCTCGCGCCAGATGGTGTAGATCTGCGGGGCCTTGCTCGCCACGCCCAAAGCTCCAGCTCCAGCCTGCAGCAGAGCCATGGTCTGTCCATCCACCAGAGTCTGGTCAAACAGCAGTGCGTACACACTGGCAGCCACGACGGCAATGAACGCCGCGGCCGCAGTGGACCGGTCCGCAAAAGTCAACACCAGCACACCGACCACCACATCTTGCACCGCAATCAACGCCGTTTCACCAAAGGTGCTGAAGGGGAACCGGTTGCGCACGCTGTACGAAAGCGTGATGAGAAGACTGGCCGTCTCGAGAGCGTACGACACAAACGACACACCGGCGGACGAGCGAGAGCTGATGAGCTTCAGGATCTGGGGCACCTTGACGATGGCACTGGCACCGACAATCGCAATGCCCAGGGCCTTGGAGATGGCCAGGGAGGTGCAGGCGGGGTCCTTGCTGACATCCAGGTCGACCACGAGGGCGTTGTGGCAGGACGGGCCGATCAGCGAGACGATCGCATCGTGAACCGGTTCAGGGACTGCCGAAACCACAGGACGGAGCAAGGGCTGGAGGGGATCGATAATAGTCTTCTGGATGGCATCCATGTTGGCAGGTGAGGAGAGCCGTGGGGGTCAAGCAAGAGGACCAGAAGGAAGGCTGGGAGGGAGCGCGAGCCAGAAAGACAGTGACGCTGGAAAGATGCGTGAATAATGAATGATTCCTGCCAACAAATGCTTCCCCGGGACTGCGCAAGTGGTTGCTGCCGCCCGCCGCGTCTTTTCTTCGCGTGCGGCTTCATCTCCGCCAACCCGCGAGCTGAGCTTCTCCAGCTGCCTCATGATCCCCTCCCCATCCCGCGCGACTCCCACCATGAGTCTCCTCCGGTCCTCGTTGCGGAGGATAGGATCGCCCGGCGATCCCAGCAGGATATGCTCCCAATGTCTTCTGCGTCGAAGCCATCCCCCCCGCCCCCCGCCGCCGCCGCTCTCCGCACCTTCATCTCGTCCTCGCGGACTCATTCGGGCATTGCAGACGGTCAATCGGCTCAGTCCACTCTGAACAAGACTTATTTCTCGGCCAATCGCACTGAAGATGTCTCTCCGCGCAAGAATGGCTTCTTCTCCTCGCTCTCAGCCAACAATGCCTCCTCCAAATCCGACACTCCCCACCAACCGCCATCAGACCATCAGGTCAACACCCCCACAGCCGCTCCAGAGTCCACGCAACCAGAGCTCCCTCATCGCCGGAGGAAACGTCTAAAGGAAGAGGCGGAGGTGGCTGCCCAGAATACCGCCCCCGAGAATGTTCTCCCCCCGATGCCTCGGCGCAGCTGTCGGCCATCTCCTCCGCCCTGCCCACCTCCTCCCTCCGCCGCAATATGGCCGCCTTCCTCGCCCTCTGCAAGCCGCGTCTCTCAGTCCTGATCGTCCTCAGCACGACCTCCGCCTATGGAATGTACCCGATCTCCTCCCTCCTGACACTTGACCCGTCCATGACTCCGCTGCCGACCCTGTCCACCTCAACCCTAACCTTCCTGTACCTCACCGCGGGCACCTTCCTCTCCTGCTGCAGCGCCAACACGATCAACATGATCCTGGAACCGAAATACGACGCCCTCATGTCGCGCACGCGCAACCGGCCCCTCGTCCGCGGCCTCCTCTCCCGCCGCGCCGCCGTCCTCTTCGCCATCGCAACCGCCGTCTCCGGCCTTAGCCTCCTCTACTTCGGCACGAACCCCACCGTGACAGCCCTCTCCGCCGCCAACATCATCCTGTACGGCTTCGTCTACACCCCCCTCAAGCGCATCCACGTCATCAACACCTGGGTGGGCGCCATCGTCGGCGGAATCCCGCCGCTGATGGGCTGGGTCGCGGCCGCCGGCCAAACTGCCACCACCGGCCACGACAACTGGCGGGACATGCTCTTCAGCGAGAACAGCATCGGCGGGTGGCTGCTGGGCGGGATCCTCTTCGCCTGGCAGTTCCCCCACTTCAATGCCCTGTCCCACCTGATCAAGGACGAGTACAAGCGCGCCGGCTATCAGATGCTGTGCTGGAAGAACCCCGCCCTCAACGCCCGCGTCGCCCTGCGCTACTCCTTCCTGATGTTCCCCGTCTCCATCGGCCTCTGGTGGATCGGGGTCGTCGGCCACGGCTTCCTGGTTAGCAGCTCCGTCGCCAACGCCTGGCTCGTCAAGGAGGCTTTCCAGTTCTGGAAGCACCAGGGCGCCAACGGCACCGCCCGCGGCCTCTTCTGGGCCAGTATCTGGCAACTGCCCGTCCTATTAGTCGGTGGCCTCGTCACCAAGAAGGGTCTTTGGGACGGCGTCTGGCGCAATATCTTCGGCCAGCCCGATGATCCCGAGGACGAGTACGTGTATATCGACGACGAGGAAGACGAACAGACCCCCTCGCGGTCCCCTAGTTCCCTAGTGACCCGTGCGACGTGATCCTCGCCACTAGAGAGAAAAAAAAAAACATCTTAAAATCTGGAAAAATAAGCGGGGCGGTGATCCCCCAAAGTTATCTATAGCTTATATTGATGTATTAGATTCCCGTTTGGTTGTTGGGAGGCGTTTGTATAACAGCAGCTATGATCTTTTGTTTTTTCTTCTCTTTTCCTTTTCTTTTTAACTTTCTTCTCTTTTCTTCTCGTGTCTGTAACATCTTTGGTGTAGATATGTCTGTGTTGAAGTTGAATGAATCGCCGTTCTTGTGTGTTTGTTGCTAGGTGAACTATCGTTTCTAAGTAAGATGGTGCATAGGTAGCTAGCTATATTTCAAGCGATCTATAATATAGCACAGGTTTCATCCACAGAATCTACAAGAGAAGAGAGTCGTCACTCGTCCCCACATACCCCACCTAGGTCGGTCATGATATACAAGATTCAAGCGGCGATGCCTGTATCACTTCTTGAACGAAATACCATACAAACTCGCCGCCTCCTCACTAATCGGACTCGGCGCACCCACCATGGGATCTTCGCCCAGCTTCCCGATCTTGGGGAACGCAATGACGTCGCGAACGGTCTCCTTGCCCAGCAACATAGCGACGAGACGATCGAATCCCAACGCGAAGCCCGCGTGCGGCGGACAGCCGGCCCGCAGGGCATCGAGGAGGTGGGCGAAATCGGCGACCCGCTCGTCGGGCATCTTCAGCACGTCGCGGAAGATGAGTTCCTGGACGGCGGCGCTGTGGATACGACGGCTGCCGCCGCCGAGCTCGACGCCGTTGACGACCAGGTCGTAGTGGTCGGCGATGGCTTGGGTGGGGTCCGTGAGGAGGAGGTCGACGTCCGCGGCGGTCTTGGGCGCCGTGAAGGGGTGGTGGGTCGAGGCGAAGCCGGCGGTACCGCCTTGGCCGGGCTCGGAGGTCGTGGAGGGAGAGAATAGAGGGAAGTCGACGATCCAGAGGAACTCGAAGCCCGTTGGGGCGGGCTTGAAGCCCGAGGCCACGGCTGCGGAGTGCAGAGCGCGGCGCAGGTTGCCGAGTGGGGTTGAGCCGCCGGTTAGAGGGCCTTGGGGTCGCGCTTGCAGGACGATGAGGTCGCCGTGCTCAGGGTTGAGGACTTCTTCGAGGTATTCGGCGGCTTCGAAGCCGAAGGCTTGCAGGCCGTTGAGGGGTTTCTTGACGTCGTAGACAAAGATGCCTGGGCCGCCGTCGGGGTTGTTGTTGAAGGGCGCGCCGTCGGCGGAGTCAAGGAATTGGGAGATGAACTGCGAGGTGGCGGCTGGGTCGTTGTCGTTGCCTTCGAGTTTGAGTACTTCGACGGTTGGATCGGTCAGGGGGGTGATCTTTTGGACAAGGTCAACTGGAAGAAGGTGGCCGATGCGGGAGATTTCCATCCTGTATCGGGTGTCTGGCTTGTCGGATCCGTACCGGGCCATGGCGTCCTCGTATGTCATCCTGGTGAATGCGTCTGAAGGGGGGCTCTGCAATTCTTGCCGGGTGGACCAAACACGGCGGATCACACCTTCAACGGCCTCCATGACATCCTCGCCAGTGGCGAAAGACATCTCCAGATCCAGCTAGACGAGTTGATGAGCGGGTGGGCCTATATGCTTTGGATGTGATCCTACCTGAGTAAACTCCGGCTGTCTGTCCGCGCGGAGGTCTTCGTCCCGGAAGCAGCGCGCGAATTGGAAGTATCTCGCTATTCCACCGGCCATAAGAATCTGCTTGTACTGCTGCGGGCTTTGGGGTAGAGCGTAGGCATGGCCCTGCTTCCGAGATGGTACTAGGAATTCGCGAGCTCCTTCCGGAGTGGACTTGAACAAAATGGGTGTCTCAATCTCGACGAAGCCCGGTCGGCACCGTTCCAACTCTTCGCGACAGGCATTGCGAACATCGGCGCGGAACCGAAGAGCATCGCGCAGCTCGTCGCTAGATCGTAGTTGTAGGTGCCGGTGCTTCGGTGGGTGGACATGGTCCCGGGTCATGACGATGTCGTTCGGGAAATCGTTCAGGAGCTGAACCTCTTCCACAGAAATCTCCCACGGATCCTCCTTCCGCATTTGCTCGTTCCTTGCGTCCTTGGCTTTGACGGTCCCGCGCACAACCACCGGGCTGTTTGCTCTCATATTCCTGAGTTCGGAAAACGCTCCGCCCTTGAGGGTCGAGACTAGCTGCACGCTGCGTTTCATGGTCGGCTCCGTCAGGCGGACGAATGCAAGCTTGCTGGAAAGCTCTCGACGAGTACCCAGGTACCCTTGGAGGATGACCTGTTGGCCGCTGGAGGCCTCGGCGACGAAGCTGTCGAAGTCATGATGCGTCGGTCGAAGGAATTCCACTAGAGGAGGTTGGATGTTAGAATGCTGTGGCGATTGATGGATCAAGGTGACGGACCGGAGTTCTTGTATCTTTCCAGATGCTGCGAGGGCGTTACCGTCTCAGACGCCAGGTCGTGTAGGGAACGAGAGCCATGGAATTGCCGAACAGGAAAGCTGTGAGCCTGCAACCCCGAAGCCCGGCCGATCTGTCTGCCGCGGAAGTAGTTGGAGATCTCGACGAAGCTGGCGCGAAGGTGAGGGGTGTATCGCGCCGCCCTAGCCGGGAACATCTTGACCCTAATCAGAGCCAATAAGCACACAAGCACCGAATTGACACTCGTGTGGATATCGCCAGTGTCTTGGATCATTGAACGCGAATGGAACGATGCGCTCTCGATCTGCCCGGGCGGCAGACACCGGCAGAAACGGCACTCCCCGCCTACCCAACGCGGTCTAGCGCGTCCACACGGAAAATAAAACGCAAATCGGCGGGTCCCTCGTCTCCTCCTCTCTTCATCCTTCCAAGTTTTCTTAAAGTGAGTGCTACCTTGGCTTCCGATCTGGCTGTTCCCTCCTGCTAACCTCTCCCCAGATGATGAAAGCCTAGCGTGTTCTATATGACCCGTCTCTCCTCCTGGAGCCCAGTTGGCTCTCCCCTCGGGGCTTAAGGGCTGCTGGGCAACGGATGGAGAGAGGATGAATAAGGCGTTCGGCACACCCACCTTGTTACTTACGGACGCGATGACGGCATCTCTGATTCACATTACTTGGTGGTGTATACCCTGGAGTAGCTGTGCGGGATGACTCTTATGGTGCAGGCACCTATGATTGAGCTCTCCACATGGCCAAGGACCAATTTTTCGACTGTTCGGATTATTTAGTTAATATCACATTTCTTTTGGAATCTTTTGGACCTTACTACGCTGTAGGATGTCTCCTTGCATCTTGTATCTCGTCATCTTGCACACTACCTGAGTCTCTTCTCATTTGATCTATTCCTGGCAATGTTGTCTTGCGATGGTATATTGTATTCACATTGTTTGGTTTGACGACTTCTCAAGTCTACTGGCATTGTTGTAACTCTTTTTGGCTCTTGACTACTAGCTACAGCACATTGTTTACCTATCAATGGACAGGGATATTCGGATATATTCTATATCCACGGTCACCTCGTCAAGCAAACGGCAAGACAACAGGCGACGGTTATTCTCCCCCTAAATGGAGCACGTGTGTTCCATGTGATGCCAACTTCTGAAATTCGCCATCTGCCTTGACTCCCCCCGCTGTAGTGGGCTGTTCCCATGAACCTCCACCCGCACACTCTCCCCAGGCTGATACTCAACCCCCATAGCCCATCTTGCGGTACTCGGTGCGTGAGATTGGATAATCTTCCCCGACGACATTGTATAGCGGGTCTTGATTGAATCGCAAAATCGTGGTCCGTACCCTGGGGGTCTGCTCCCATCCATTGTTGGCACCGTTCAGGTAGTGGGCAAAGAAGGATGCCAGCTCAGCGGCAATTCCTGCCAGGAACACAGACGCAGCCACTTCTCGGCCGGTGAAATCTGCAGCCATCCACGCAGAGATCCCATGGTGTGCACGAAACTTGCGTAAGAGGCCGTGATATAGGCTGAAATGCTGATCTGGCCGAGAACCGGTCGTTTATCCTTCCAGTACAGCCTATCAGCAGTTGAGTATCGTCGATACATCTCATGGAAGTCCTCGATTCCCCCATGGCCCTGGATATTGTGGTCGATGATGAAGTCAAACAAGCCTGCGTCAAAGACGCGTCCACGGACAAATTGTTCCCAGTACAGATCATTGCATGCCTCCCAGGGAGCGATCGCCTTGAGTGACGGTGGTTATAACGCAGCGATAAACCACTGAATAAAGGCCAAATGCGAGTTGCCTGCAAGTCCGACATTGCCACTGCACCAGGGCATTTTGGCGATGGCCTCAATCACATCATATCCCTCCTCGGCTTCCTGGGTTCCCATGATGCCCACCGTGCCATCTGAATTACCAGACCGGCGAGCGTCCACGTTAATAATGGCGAATCCGCAAGGCACGAACCCGCGAGGCACGAACTCGGCTGGATCGAGCCCTTCAGACTTCTCCCAAATTTCTCCAGACCGCTCAATGTCCCTTCAGGAATCCCAAGATCCCAGGGAAGTGCCTTCAACATGGTGATGCTATTGAACTTCTTTCCGAAAGAGCTTCATGCCAGAATGGCAGACACAGCTCGGAAAAATTCCACGGGCCGGTATATGTCGCAGTATAGGGTGCAGCCATCGCGAACTTGGATCGGAACATCGTGCGATGCGTGGATCTCGCACAGCAAGGGACGTGAACCATCCTTGCTCCAGCCTCTGGGTAGGACTTCCTCACGAAATCCAAACTGCTGATAGTTGTTTCTTCCCGCAGAGGGCTTTTCAATAGGGCGAGTTTCAATTGGCACAGGAGAATCATTTTGCATAGTATGGTTGGCGAATCCAGCAATGGGCGGTTGTTGGGCTTCTTTTGAACTCTGTCAGATGCTGCCCTTCATGCATCGCACGGGACAGGATATTTTCCACGACACCTTTGCTCGGCTCTTTACTCGTTTCTGACTACTGTACCATCGGCTTGTGGACATCAGCCGTCGTTTGAAATTCTTTGGTGGGCAATACATCCCCTCGGCCAAGCTCGGGCGAGTTTGGGGAATTCTATGAGAGCAGCTGATCACTTCACATTTCAGAGATCCAGCGTTCAGGAGTTGGATCGGCTTGTTCTGTTCGGGAGAGTGGAATTCGGCCGTGATTTTCCCAGTGGGTGGGTTTGGATGTGATATCCTGGCATGAGATAGAGTAATAGTCATAAAAGAGCGATGGGTCTCTAGCCCCAAAGGACTCGTCTTTTTAGATCCCACACCCCAAATAACTTTCCCATTGATGATATATCTATATAAACACTTACGAATTTTAATTTAAAAATCAATTCAAGAATCCCAGTCATGGCCCCCTCGCGTATCGCCGTCCCTAAGACTGCTACTTTCTCTACACCAGACAAACTCCAGTCTACCGACAAGCAACAGACTCACTACGGTGACTTTCGGGATGACTTCTTCCACGAAGGCTACACTGTCATTAAGGGTGTTCTCAGCAAAGAGCGCGCCAGCGAGTACCAGAACCAAGCTCTGACCTGGCTAGAATCCTTGAAAGAAGTTGGAATGGCGGACATCATCATCACTCATAAAGTACACGCCAACCTGCCGATACGTGAGTTTGGATTATTTTCAACAACTCAGCAACTTACGCCAGCACACTGAGATATATAACCATCCAGGAATGATCTATTGGTCTTTCCGATCGGTTATAAATGAGGTTATTCCAAAAGCAATCATGCTAGAAAGGCACAATGAGCCCATTCAAACTGGCTTAAGGAGAACTGCATGATAGTCTCGCTCCTGTCTCGAGCGGGCAGTATCAGTAGAGAGTAGTCGTCCCGCTGGTGACCAGGCCCTCCAGAATCTTGAGATGATTCCACCAAAAGCCCAAATGGCAGACTTTTGAAGTCGGTCAATTCTTTGTCGGAGACCTGAGACTTCCCTACAGATGGAGACAGCTTGAATATGTCCGTCTCCAGCCTTAACAACTCCGGTCGTATGATGACCGATTCCAGCTGCCTGATACGAGTCTTCAGACTCATGTTTTCCCTTAGAAGACTCGGTCCAGACTCAATATTTTCAACGGGGTCGTCTTCGTCAATCGTGCTATGCAGATTTGGTCAAGTTACATTATCTACTCGCGGAAGTTGCACCAGTCACAAGGTCTCGAAGTTAAGGCAGTCTCACATGGTGACCTTCCCCTGCACCTTAACAACCTCCCTCTTGCAAGCCGCAGTATCTCGCCCGCCGTATGCATTCTTCGCAAGGTATTTTCTTGGAGCATTTACTTTTCCACCGCGCACAAGGTATGTATATTTGTGGGACTCGCTGGGTCTGTCGCATGTGTTGTGGCATGACTGGAAGCGGAAGAGCTATGGTGCCCAAGGATACTCTAGAGACCTGGCATTTTGGAGATAAAAATCTCAGGCAAGCTCAGGCGAGTCGGTACTCTAGTGCTTGGCACTCACAATACTATTCCACGTGGCATGTAGCAGCTTGTCTTATTGGCACCGATGGTTGACGCCGAGCTACCTTCCCCGCATTTTTGGACGAAGCCGCTAGTCTTGGGAGGATCGTGCGGGGTCGACGAAAAACCCGGATTGCCGTAGCCGATTGCAGATATGGTCTTTGTCGTTGAGACGGTGGCTGCGTATATTTATTGAAAGGAGACCAGTAGTAACTTGGTCATCAGCAGATTGGGTAGTGTTTTTCAAGCCATAGAACCCCCGCGGAGAGGACTACTATATATCTTGAGTATAGCCAAGCGTGAGACAATCCTCATGTCTCAAGGTAGTATTGACTAGCATAAGCCAGGGCATCATCAGATATTGGCTGAATGGGACACTTCAGACCAAGAGTATACCTGGGAAGATTGGGTGAAGAATGATGGAGTGGGTGAGCGGGGAGGGGTGTCACTGTATACGGCAACACGTGACCATGCCTGGATAAGGCCCGGGTCAACGATCCTCCGTCGGAGAAGAAGTTCTTATCGGCGGCGATTATTTTGGAGGCGATCCAAGATCTCCACGCGATTCTCCTGGTCAGTCGGTCGCTTCCTGCGATTGATCGATTCCACCATGAGGCTACACTCCGCCGCCCTGCCTCGCACGGCACTCCTCCACAACCCCCCCGCTTTCTCTACGTCTCGACCAGCCGTCCGTACCTATGCGCGCACGGCAGCAGTGCTGCGGACAAGTCTCTCGCGAGCGAGCGGAATTCGGCCCACGCCCAGATCTTTGCTCGGCTCAATCGTGCCGGACCAGAAGCGATACATCTCTCAAAACCACTTGAAGAGAACCAAGGAAGCCAAGGACGAGTGGGCTAAACGGGCGCAGGAGATCAAGGCTGGGAAGAGGACTCACTTCGCACAACATCTGGAGGAGAGAGGATTACTACACGATGTAGTTGGGTGAGTTGCTCCGGGCAGATCGGTATTCTCCGGAGGATGATTAATGAGGGCTAATGTGTTATCGCATCTATTTTCTGTAGTGAGCGCGAGTTGTTGGACCGTGTTTTCACGGAGAAAAGGGCTGGTCTCTATGCTGGTGTTGACCCGACCGCCCCTTCTTTGCATGTCGGCCACATGCTGCCGTTCATGGTTTTGGCTTGGGGTTATGTTTGGGGGTTACCCGTCTATTTCTTGGTTAGTAGGCTTATGGACCATGCATAGAAGAGCCCGGCTAATGGAGGACAGCTTGGTGGTGCTACTTCTCGAGTCGGGGATCCGACCGGACGACTGAAAGGCAGAGAGAAGGTCCACTCTTCCATCCGGAAAGCGAACATGGCGAGCATGCACATGCAACTCAAAAAGCTGGGGGCGAGCATTCAGAAGTACGGCGACAGGCATGGTTATAAGAGAGAATGGGCCTGGAAGCGCTCGCTGGTCAACAACAACACATGGTGGAATACCACACCGTTGATGGAAGTGATTCGAGATTTGGGAGTTCATGTGCGACTGGGCCCCATGCTGGGCAGAGACACGTAAGACTCCACCCATCCCCGAGACCGTGAGAGTTTACTCATGAAAGTACAGCGTTAAAACCCGGTTGGCAAAAGGCGATGGCATGTCCTTTTCCGAGTTCTGCTACCCGCTTATGCAAGCTTGGGACTGGTGGATCCTCTTCAGGAAAGGCGCCCAGGTCCAGGTGGGAGGCTCTGACCAGTACGGGAATATCCTCTTCGGCATGGACGCAGTCAAGAATATTAGCAGACACGCCGCCCAGGAGCAGGAACGGGACGCATTGGAAAACGACCTAGACAAGCCCATTGGGCTCACCACCCCGTTGCTCACTGCCCCGTCTGGAGAGAAATTCGGGAAGTCCGCTGGCAATGCGATCTGGCTTGACAAGGACTTGACATCTACGTTCGAATTGTACCAGGTATGCGAGCAGACATTTAGAAGCAGAGCACGGCCCTAACGCATGGCAGTTCTTCGTTCGAACCCCCGATGACGTCGTTGAGAAGTACCTGAAGATGTTCACCTTCTTACCTCTGCCCGAGATCGCGAGACTCATGGAGGAGCAGAACAAAGATCCGTCCAAGCGGGTGGCCCAGCATGCTCTTGCTGCGGAGTTCGTCGAGCTTATCCATGGCAAACCGGAGGCAGATGCTGTCATCGTCCAACATCGCCAGTTATTCCGTCCAAGGTCATCGACCGCAGAGCCAACTCCCCTACCCCGAACCCCCAAGCCCAATGCCAAAATTCCACCACAACTGGCAGGTTTCGAGAATCCTGCGTCTGGGAACGTTCATGCTCCCCAGACCAACTTTCAAAACATGCCGTCTCCCCAAGTTACGCTTCCCCGTTCCCTGGTCGTGAACCAGCCGTTTAACAAAGTGTTTTGGTCAGCTGGACTAGTGTCTTCCAAGGGTGAAGGCCATCGCGTGATTATAAACAACGGTGCCCATGTCGGAAGCCGCCCCGGAGATACTGGTCCCATGTCTGACGAGCTATCATTTACGCCCGTGAGGCCATGGCCGGCGGACAAGACCGAGAGCTTCATTGTCGATGGAAACCTGATGCTCCTGAAGGTTGGCAAGTGGAAGTTCAAGGTGGTGAAGATTATCAGTGACGAAGAGTTCACGAAGGCTGGAATGACTGCACCCGGATGGGAGGAGTTGAAGGGTCAAGAGAAGTGAGCGCATTTCTTCCTTCAATCTACGCGGATCGAAGCAGCGGCTTGGCGTTGGTGCATATACCACTCATTGTAATTTTAGAGCTCTGTAGATATACCTTGACTGTATACAAACGATTAGAACAGTGCAGTCCTCATAGAAACGTATCCATAAGATAAGAAATCTTTGGTGGTTGCTTAACCGTGCCTGGCGACCACACGGGGTGATGTATCGAGTCTCGAGGGCGGCGGCCAAACCACTCAACGCGTCGACGCGTGCCGCCCGCCGACCTGTCCGACCCGTTTGCCCCCAGCCAAACACTCCATCCCATCTATACCCCTTCACCCCAGTCATCCGATGCTTTCACCCCGTTCCCCTCCCATTCGCGTATAAAGCATGGTATAATTGGCATTCACGCACCTATTCTTAGCAATTATAATTCAGAATGGCGAGAGGCGCCCCCGCCGCTTCTTCGCCCACGACCGCGACGCCTCCCTCCGCGGCCCTGAAACGCTCCACCTCCAGCGCGCAGAACATGAAGAACCAGAAATCGATCCTGGGGTTCTTCCAGAAATCATCCCCGTCGACTCCGTCCAGCGCTCGGAAAGCAGAGCCTGTGTCGTCGCCAGCAGAGAGGGCCTCGGAGCTGCGCGGAGGAAGTGTCAAAGGCGCGGTGAAACCGGAAAGGAAAAAGAGTGTTCCCAGGTTCAAGCAAGACCTGCCACCGGTGCCCAGTAGCGACCTGGTGGTGCCTGAAGAGGAGGACCAGGGCGATAACACACAGGTACGGCTCTGGCTGCAGGACAGGCTTGTCGCGACATGCGTCTAATGGGATTTAACCGTAGGAGAGTCCGAATGGGAAGTCCGAGATGAAGACCGCATCTCCGTCGCGTCGGGTACGCAGACCATCCGTCACAACTCTTTTCGTTCGAGCTTGCAGGCAATTGATACTGACTGTCTATTTCCCACAAGGCCAAAAAGCAGGTCAGCTACGCCGAGTCCGATTCCGAAGGCGAAGATGACGACGAAGAGATTTTCCGTCCGGGACGGAACGGCAGGAATAAACGACGGAAGATGTCTCCAGACAGTGAGGAGGAGTTCAAGGATGGTGGCGGAGAAGATGAATTCTCCGATTACGGTCAGTGTTCGACCCAGTAACGCGAGAGGTCCAGTGTTGACATCTTTCAGACATGGACGATTTTATTGTCGCGGACGAGTCGGAGGACGATGTGAAACCAACCAACAAGCGCAAGCGCCCACCACCCAAGCCGAAGAGCAAATCGTCGTCTTTGCCGCCAGTGTCAACAGAGGAAGACTTGGACATGGACATCCCAGACGCGTCTGCGGGCGGTACAGCTCTGAAATGGACATATGATCCAGAAAACGCTGACGCCCGTCAACCGCGCACTGCGCCCGTTACCCCCAAGCGATCAAGTAACACGAAGCAGAAGGCGCATGTTACCGAACCAGAGGCGCGATACGCGTGGCTTGCGAATATCCGGGACATCGACGGACATCCCATCGGCCATCCTGATCATGACCCTCGTACACTATACATCCCCCCCTTGGCTTGGTCTAAGTTCTCCCCCTTCGAGAAACAATACTGGGAGATCAAGCAGAAGTTTTGGGATACCGTTGTTTTCTTCAAGAAGGGCAAGTTCTACGAACTCTACGAAAATGATGCCACGATCGGTCACCAGCTCTTTGATCTGAAACTGACCGATCGTGTCAACATGCGCATGGTCGGTGTGCCCGAGATGAGCTTGGATCACTGGGCCAATCAATTCGTGGCAAAGGGGTACAAGATCGCCCGGGTCGACCAAGCTGAATCTGCTCTGGGGAAGGAAATGCGCGAGCGAGAGGGCAAGAAGGGGAACGCTAAAGAAGACAAAGTCATCAGGAGAGAACTGGCCTGCGTTCTTACTGCTGGCACTCTCGTCGAGGGCTCTATGCTCCAGGATGATATGTCTACCTTCTGCGTTGCCATAAAGGAGGCTCTTATCGATGACCACCCTGCTTTCGGTCTTGCGTTTGTTGACACGGCAACGGGCCAATTCTTTCTGTCAGAATTTGTGGATGATGTTGATATGACCAAGTTTGAAACGTTCGTCGCGCAGACTCGGCCGCAGGAGCTTCTCTTGGAGAAGTCTGCAGTCTCCCAGAAGACTTTGCGCATCTTGAAAAACAACACAGGCCCCACCACAATCTGGAACTATCTCAAGCCCAGGAAGGAATTCTGGGAAGCTGACATCACTGTCAAAGAACTTGACGCTAGTGAGTATTTCGTCAGCGAGGATGGGGACAACTTGCAAGCCTGGCCTGAAGTGCTCAGACAAGCTCGTGACCAAGAGTTGGTCATGTCGGCATTTGGAGCCTTGGTGCAGTATCTCCGAGTTCTGAAGATCGAGCGTGACTTGATAACGATTGGCAATTTCTCTGCGTATGATCCTATCAAGAAGGCCTCCAGCCTGGTGTTGGACGGTCAAACACTGATCAACATGGAAATCTTCGCGAACTCTTTCGACGGTGGCTCCGATGGCACGTTGTTCCAACTCTTAAACCGCTGCATCACGCCTTTCGGCAAGCGAATGTTCAAGCAATGGGTCTGCCACCCGCTTGTGGATGCGAAGAAGATCAACGCTCGCTTGGATGCTGTGGATGCCCTCAACGCTGATCCGAGTGTCAGGGATCAGTTCTCCTCTCAGCTGATCAAGATGCCTGACCTGGAGCGTCTCATCTCGCGGATTCACGCTGCTAACTGCAAAGCACAGGACTTTTTGCGCGTGCTTGAAGGTTTCGAGCAGATTGAATACACGATGAGCCTTCTCAAGGACAGTGGTTCAGGGGAAGGTGTTATCGGACAGTTGATCAACGCGATGCCTGATCTGAACGAACAGCTCGAATACTGGAAGACCGCCTTCGATCGCTCGAAAGCGAGAGACAACGGCATCCTGGTGCCGAAGCCAGGCGTCGAAGAAGACTTCGATAGCTCCCAAGAACACATCGAACAGATCCACCGAGACCTCGAGAGCCTCCTCAAGCGCGTGCGCCGCGAGCTTGGCTCATCCGCCATCATCTACAAGGACAACGGCAAAGAAATCTACCAGCTCGAGGTACCGATCAAGGTTAAGAACATCCCGAAGGACTGGGACCAAATGTCCGCCACCAAACAAGTCAAGCGCTACTACTTCAAGGAGCTGCGGACTCTCATCCGCCAGCTGCAGGAAGCGCAGGAAACGCACAGCCAGATCGTCAAGGAAGTCGCCGGCCGATTCTATGCACGATTTGACGAGAACTACGCCATCTGGCTCGCCGCCGTCCGCATTGTCTCGCAGCTCGACTGTCTGATCAGTCTGGCCAAGGCCTCGTCCTCTCTGGGCCAACCCAGCTGCCGCCCCGAGTTCGTAGACAGTGAGCGAAGTGTGCTCGAATTCGAGGAGCTACGCCATCCATGCCTCGTCTCCTCTGTCGGCGACTTCATCCCTAACGACATTCAACTCGGAGGCTCTCGCCCCAACATCGACCTCCTCACAGGAGCCAACGCGGCCGGAAAGTCCACCGTCCTCCGAATGGTATGCCACTCCCCTGTTCCCTTCCCTTCCCTTCCCCCCCCCACCCTTTTACCCCCCACTAACCTCACCTCCCAGACCTGCGTCGCCGTAATCATGGCCCAAATCGGCTGCTACCTCCCGTGCCAATCCGCCCGCCTCACCCCAGTGGACCGAATCATGTCGCGCCTCGGCGCAAACGACAACATCTTCGCCGCGCAATCGACCTTCTTCGTCGAACTCTCCGAAACCAAAAAGATCCTGTCCGAAGCGACCCCCCGCTCCCTCGTCATCCTCGACGAACTAGGCCGCGGCACCAGCTCGTACGACGGCGTGGCCGTCGCGCAAGCCGTCCTCCACCACGTAGCCACACACATCGGCGCCCTCGGCTTCTTCGCCACGCACTACCACTCCCTGGCGGCGGAATTCGAGCACCACCCCGAGATCGCCCCGAAGCGGATGCGCATCCACGTCGACGACGCGGAGCGCCGCGTCACCTTCCTGTATAAGCTCGAGCACGGCGTCGCCGAGGGCAGTTTCGGGATGCATTGTGCGGCGATGTGCGGGATCCCGGATAAGGTGATTGAAAGGGCGGAGGTCGCGGCCAAGCAGTGGGAGCATACGAGTCGGTTGAAGGAGAGTCTGGAGCGCAGGAAGGGTGGCGGGGGGTTGGTGGGTATGGGGTGGTGGAGTGATGTTGCTTGGGCGTTGAAGGACGCGACCCCGGGCGAGGATCAGGAGGTGAGCGATCGGAGCTTGGATGTTTTGATGAAGGCCATCGAGGCTTTGTGAGCGGTGTTTACCTAAGAGGTGTGGGGGTGGGGTGGCTTGCTGTTCTGCTGGGGTGGTTGTTCATCGTGCTAGATAGATGTGGCTCTGTCTGCCTGTCTGCCTGTCTGCCTGCCTGCCAGCTTACTTGCTTAACTTGCTTGCTTCTCTGTCTGCATGCTCTCTGTCATCTTTCTGTATCTGTGCGATGGGATCCTGTTCGGAGTTAAGAGTCGAGGGATTTGTTGTTTGTTTGAAAAGTGAGACTTATTGTCGGGCACTGGCAACTAGTATCTAGATCAAGTCAGATTTCTACACTTTCCGGGATATATGATCTTTGTTGTCAACTTGAGGACTGAGTAATGAGGGTAGTTTCTTTGTGTGTGTACTGTTTGCTCATATTTACTCTGTACTTGCTTTGCACTTGGTCTTCCGAGTGAATAGCCTCAACCTACTAGTACTCATTTCTATCGATCACCGAGTTCTCAACCCGGTCTACGGTAAAACACGTCTTTACTTTATGTAGCGGCGCATTTTTCGAGTAAATACAAAAGCAAAAGTCCAGTAAAGAAAGCCCCATCTTGGATCCATTTCTCGCCTGTCCAATGATAGACTGCGTTTTCCATCTCCATAGATAAAGCCCAAGGCCGACCGAGTACGCCACCCTGCTCAACTCGGATGGCAAGGGGAAAAAACCAAACGGGGAAAAAAAGAGCAAAATAGCACCGAAAGAAAGCAGGGTGAGAGAGAAATAAACCATGAACCTAACGCCCCAAGAACACCAGGTAAGCATCACCAAATGGACCAAGTGATGCAATTGAAGCGATCTACTTCATTTCGTCGCCGTCCTGGGTGTCCTCCATGGCGTGGAACTGCGCGTCGAGCTGATCCACGCTCATGAGCTCGTCATCAGAAGACGATGCGCCGTCCGCCTTCTTGACGGCATTGTTGTCGGGGGTCGAGCCATCCTCATTTTGGACGGCCTCCTCTTTCTTGATACCATGGTCGTTAGAATCCTCCTTCTTGGTCTGGAGCTCGGTCTTAACAACATTCTTATCCTGGAGAGGGCTGGGGGCGTCTTTCATAGCAGTGTCATTGCTACATGGATTGGAGATAGTTAGTGCGGGTTCCATTTTCGGAAAGATTTAAACGGTATAACACATACTTCTGCTCGACCTTTTCGGCCTTGGATGCCTTCTTAGGGGTGGGGGCCTTGCGCTGACGCTTGGGCTTGGGCTCAGCCTCAGCGGTGCCAGGGGCAGCATCCGGGGTCGCGGTGCTACCTTCGGCAGTGGCAACGGCCTTGCCCTTGCGCTTGGTGGGGGTCTTCTTGGGAGTGGCGGCCGGAGTCGAGGCAGCACCCGAGGCATCGCCCGAAGTAGCACCGAAGGCAGCACCGGAGACAGCACCGTCCTGATTTTCAGAGGTCACTTCGACGAACTTGCGCTTAGCGTTTCGATACAAAGTGCTCGCAGAGGCAGAATTCTTGTAACCGCCCTTCACGGCCAGCTTATCGTAGTCCATCTGCAGTGGCGGTGAGTGGAATGACGCGTCTGTGAGCACTGCTGGTGTACGTACCTTCCCCGAATCATCCATGCAAAGGATGCCTAGGAGGAGTACTCTTCCCTCGGACACTGAAAGCCCCATAAGACCTTCAGGCTTGTTGCCTTTTGGGGCAGACATTTCTTTTGGCGTTGTTTTGAGTAACTGGCCTGTTGGAAAAGCAGGATATAGGTAGATGGATGAAAGACCTAGGGAGGGTGTGATCGAGAAAGAAGAAACCAGGTAGAAGGAGGTGTAGATGCTAAGAGGAGAGAGAGAAGCCAGGAGTGTGCATGAAAATTTATGGCCAGTGGGAGTGAGTGCAGGGAGAGGCTGCACAAGGAATGCAGGCAATGTGACTTGAGGGGAAAGTGAAGCAAGCCGAAGTTGTGGGCAGTTGTCTGGACGATAGAAAAGTGAATGTTCAAAGAAAATTGGTACCAGTGTACCTGCGTGCTGCGCGGTGTAACACCGCGCCAGGGAATAGAGAACACAAGTTCAGGCTTTCGTTAAGATTTCCGTGGTACTCTTTCAACAGACTGCAGAGGAATGGGCTCCACTTCAATGTTTCTTCAATTGTCCATTACTCTGGATCTGCTTGTACACATGCTCCCACACTTCAGGGAAGAAGCCTGACGCCTGTTTTCCCTGGTGGCTTTTGCCAGCAGCGTAAAACTGACTCAGAGTCCGTCCTTTCCACCATGGACGAGGAACCGGGTTTTTGTTGGCAAAGCTGACGGGCCGCAAAAGAGATTTGCTTGCGACCAGATCACCCAGCCGCACTTCTGTGAGCTTGGGAACCGTCGTCACCTTCATAGTGTTTATATATAGGGTGGCCGTGGGCGGCAGGTTCTTGGCGTACTCGAGGGCTGTTTCGCGCGAGCGGCGGGCGAAGACCGGTAGCGCGATATGAATGAAGTTGACGAACGGAGCAGACGTGTACATCACAAATATCATGGGGATCGTGCTAGCCGCGGAGACTGTGCCATCGGTAAGTGGATATCCTTGAAAAGAGCCGCGGATGAGGCACTCACTAGCTGGAGCCCAATACCAGGGATATTCGTCGATTGCGAAAGCAGGGGCAAGAATCAGGCAAGACGCCCCGACGAGGAAGACCGTGGTGATCTTCAATGCTCCCAATATGACCGTCCTGCCTGTCCCGGCATGGTAGATGAGGATCTTTTCCGGTGGCCCTACAAGTTCCGACTCCGCATTAGCTGCTATCCCAATCCAGAAGATTATCAGACCGTGATACCTCTTCGGAACGTCGCTTTCGCATGCGCGGTGGCGGAGGGCTGTGGATTCCGAGGCGCAACATGCTCTTTCCGCTTGATAAAGGGGACTTCGCTCTTCGATTGCTGCATAGGGCTTTGGGTAGTCTTCAATCGAGTAAACAACCTGTTGTTGAGGTCTCTCCGCACGCTCCGGGGAAGCGCGGTGCGCAATTGCGCCTGCAACAGGATCACAGGCCTCATCATGGTCGGTCCGCAAGACATTCTGCCTTACTGAGGATACTCCTTTTGCGCAAGTTGAATGATCGAGTGGGCCCGAATGGGGGTTGGAAGTTGAACAGCAGACGGAAGCTGCATTTTTCGGAGAAGCGGCGGTTCTCCGCTCCGCAACGTGACCGGGCTTGGCGGTCGGGGTTTGCCCAACTTGCGCCCGGTCGAGGCCTCGCGACTGTCCTTTGACACTCCTTTCACTTCGATCATCACCCGTCGGCCGTTGCTCCTCGCTTCGTCTTGGTTTCACCTTCATCTCAGGCATCTCGCGTGCGGTTCGAGGTGCGTACAATGCAGGCTTGTTGACCCCTGCCCTGCAACCGCCATGTATCCGGGTTACCGTGGCCTTCTGGCCCCTATACTCTCCGTGTACCTTGCCCTGCTCCTCGTTCTCTCTCCAGCCACAGCCTACCAAGCGATCTCGGACGAGACCCTGAAATCCCTCCCTCGCCCGAACGATGACTTCGATATTCATACCGGTGCCCTCCTGGCCCCGATCTTGCGGCCCCGTGTTCCCGGCACCCCCGGGTCGACTGCGGTTCTAAACCACTTCGTGGACTTCTTTCGCAATTCGCTCCCCGACTGGAAACTGGAGTTTCAGAATTCCACGTCAAAAACCCCCGTTTCGAAAGGCAAGGAGGTGCCATTTGTCAACTTGATCGCGTCTCGGGACCCTCCGTGGGCGGCGACAGGTGACGTGGGAAGGCTCACTCTTACCGCGCATTATGATAGTAAATACGAGCCGGAGGGGTTTATTGGCGCTATTGACAGCGCAGCACCATGCGCGATGATTCTGCACGCCGTAAGAAGCATTGATGCAGCTCTGACAAAGAAGTGGGATGACATGCGGGTACAAGGTCAGACCAATCCTCTGGATGAGCAAAAGGGCATTCAGATCATGTTACTAGACGGTGAAGAAGCATTCAAGACCTGGAGTGAGACAGATTCACTCTACGGTGCTCGCTCCCTTGCAGAGCAGTGGGACGGAGATGTCAACCCCGCCATGTCGGTCTACAAGACCCCTCTTTCCTCAATTTCCCTCTTTGTCTTACTGGATCTACTCGGGGCCAAGAACCCAACAATCCAGTCCTTTTTCCCAACTACGCACTGGGCCTACAAGAGGATGGCGAATTTGGAGCGTCGTCTCCGACGTCTAAACCAGTACAAATCTGCAGCCAATTCACCGCTGTGGTTTCCACACGCCTCGAAAAATGAGCATGAGGTGAATATGTTCAGCAGCATTGAAGATGACCACATTCCCTTTATGAGGCGTGGGGTAGAGATCCTTCACATCATCGATGCTGGCCCTCGTGGCTTTCCGGATGTCTGGCATCGCATGGAGGATGACGGCGAACATTTGGATCTGGCGACTGTGGAAGACTGGAGCTTATTGGTTACAGCGTTCGCTGCGGAGTGGATGGAGCTAGAAGGCTTCATGCCCATGTCCAAGCAGAGGGACTCCGGGGATCAGGACCATGAGAACAGCAAGCGCTCTGATGGTCATCAGGATCATACTGAATTGTAAGCGCCATCTTCAACCACCATCAATGTTTGACATGGCTATTGCAGCCATGCATTTCTCCCTAAATACATGTACCCTGGGTATCTGCCACGGGCTGCGCTGATACGTGATGCGTCTGCATAGCTTTTAAACGAGGGCTTTGGTGGTCCAGCCTTGTTCTTGAGCAGTTTCGCTTCTCGACAACGCTTCTCGAAATTCTAATACTTATGAACGGAAATCTGATCGAACACACCCAAAGAATAAATTACACCCAATTCCCAAGCATGAAGCCAGCCATATGTGCCAACCCCCAAGCTGGTTGCAATACTGTGCGCAGGATCGCCGGGCCAGGGCACACGCCCCGTAATCCCCAAGCAAGACCAAAGGTCACTGCACCCGTTACAAAGCGCCAGTCAATGTCAGCTACAGTAGCAGTGGGAAGTTTCCATTGGTCCGCGAGGGTCGGCTTGGATTGTTCCACGTCTTTATTTGTCTTCTGCCCCGGGTTCTTCGTTACATAGCTTACCACGGATGGACCGATCCCAAAGAACAGAACGAGCGCCAGCGACGGATCGAAGCGCGAGGGATCGGTGAGGAAAGCAAAGAACCTCAGCACCTTGACCGGATCGGCCATTCCAGAGAACAGCAGACCCAGGCCGAATTCCACTCCCGCCAGATACGCAAATATCGTTCGTGATCGCTCAGATCGATCCAGCGCTCGAGGTACAACCAGGCAATTTGTCACAAACGAAAGAACCATAGTGGCGACCATGAACCTGAGGTCCCCCGTCGCGGGGTAAACGGGCTGGTAGCACGGGACACCATCCGCACAAGGCGGGATATTCGAAGCAAAATTCGCCGTGAGTAACGCAGTTGTGAAGAAGATGGCCGTGGCGATAAACGAGCGCGGCGACAACCGGGAAACGCCACAGAGCATGTGGCCTGACGTGCAACCTCGACCGTTCTAAATTCGGGATGTTAGAATCGTTAAGGCCGGAAATAATTTCCGAGAGAGGAGAAAGGGTCTACCTTCGTTCCCCAACCCAGCATAAAGCCGGTACCCAGAGTGGATACTAGTGAAATCCAGGAGCTCGGCGCTGGCGGGTACGATGGGATCAAGGAGGGCATGAAAACGGCAACCGGGACAACGCTGGATACCAATCCCGCGATGAGAGAGACATTCTCCCGACCGGGTTGGAAGACCACGCCGGACAGCAGCGAGGAAATCCCCAAGACGGAGCCATTATGCAGGAGTAAACCCGAGGAGGCCTGGTAAAGCAGCAATGCCCCTAAGGAAGTATGGATAGGCGTAAACATAGCCGCAGACTTGTTTTTTTTTTTTTTTTTTTTCTTTCTCTAGTGTTTAAAAAGAAAAGGAGAAGAAGAAAAAAGTACGAATTCAATGATACAGCTCTGAAGAAGCCATAGCCACGACAACAGCCACACCGTCTGGGTGAAAGAAAGAAGGGAAGAGAAGAGAAAGACAAGAACAAAGATCCTGGAATCAGGTAGGTAAGTAGGGACAGATTCACTCAGGCCAGGCCAACACGCAAAAATGAACAGCGTTGCCCACTGCGTACCTCCCACGTACTTACGTACCTACCGGGGAGTGAAGTGGGCAGACCACTTTCGGGGACCACCACCCCATAGCCCCATCTTATCCCCGGGGGAGCCAGCATTCATTCACTCACCACTCACCAATACCATACATACTACATCCATACATACATACACACATACCTTTACCCCCATAGAATTAGATACCTACCCACCTACCTAGGTACCTACCTAGTACCTATCTACCCACGGTCCACAGCCACCGACTAGACGACGGACGGCGGACGCCCGGCGACGGCGAGTATTCTGATCCCCGAGACACATCACTGATTTGATCGAATGTAGTCTAGGGCTGGCATATGCGGGAGATTTTGGGGGGGGGGGGGGCGATCGTTCTTTCTGTCTTCTGAGTTCTGGGTTCTAACTAGGACTGGTAGGATGCTGGATGATTTATCCATTCATCCATGGAGGGGAGTAGATACACCCATTCACTTATTCGTTTATTCGGTATCTCTATGTACTACATAGGTATGGATGGATGGATGGATGGATGGAGTACGGGGGTGCTTAGGTGCATCAGGACTCGATTATCGATTATCTGATCTGATGGCATGGTTTCTCTATGTATCTAATATAGTATCTATGGTTCGAGGAGGATGTTCAGTTTGTTCGTCGGGGAGATGCATGCGGGTAGTTGGGTATTGGTTGGTTGTAGTATAGTACTAGACTAGGTAGTATATATATGTGTGTGTGTGTGCGTGTGTGGGTCGGGTGTCCCCCTACCACTGCCGCGGGTCGGTGTCGAATGCAAATGCAATGCAGGGAGGGAAGGGATGAGCTGGAACTGGCAACTGAAGGGCTGGCTCGGGCTTGGGCTCGAACCCAAAGACGCGGCGCGGCGATCGGGAATAGTAAAGAATGGGGAATGGGTTGGGACCGGGGAACTGGAAGGGGTGGGCTGGTCCCCGAACCGATCCACCAATGGATTAGATATAGTGGAGTGGATACGGAGGAGATACTTTACTAGATAGGTAGGTATGTATTTCGTCATCCAGTTTCATGATTCCATCCATCCATCCAGCCATCCATCCCTTGGATTATTAGATGGCTAGCTAGCCAGCCAACTATAGAAGGATGTTCCGAAGTACTACTTTACAGACGTAGTGCTATCTACTGCTTGGGTGGGTCGGATTTCCGTGGATAAATATTGAACGAAATGCCAGTACTGTAGATACTTCTGCAGGTATACCATAGGTAGTGAGAGGATGGCGTGATTTGGAATAAAGAACCTAATCAGACTGGTCATGGGATGATGATCATGATCTACGGGAGATTTTATTTTATTTTTCTTTGACAAATGGGTGGGTGGATTGAGTTTGAGGCAGAGGGGAGAAATCTCCTTTATTGAGACGAGCGTCCGTTGAATCAATAGCCGATCAACTAATGTCTCGAGTTGTGCGTGCTGAGGTAATGGGGAGGGGAAATGTTCACTGTGCATAAATTGTTAGTGGAGTTGTCCATGCCCTATAAGGAAAGGAGGTTTTGTCGGATATTGGAGCCGAGATTGGGAGTAATCTGTCACCGATATCGACTACATCCCCAGATCAAACAAACGAGAATGAAAACCCCTAAGGGGAATCTTCTTACTGGGTTCGAGACCTTGTTCTCCTGTTCCACCAGACTCTCCCGCCACCACCGCTCTTCCTCGTGCACCGCACGGAGCGCGTTCTCTGATTTCCGGGGATGACCGTGGCCTTCACCTTCGAAAACGAGCAGTTTGGACTTGCCTCCGTTGGCCTGGATGGTATCCGCCATGGCTTGGGCCTGGTTCAGGGGCACGATTTCATCATCCGTTCCCTGGATAATTAGCGTCATCGCCGTGATGCTATCCGCATGGAACCGGGGACTGCGTGCGCGATACAACTGCCGACGAACTTCTTCGTCCTTGGGCACATCGTCGCCGAAGAGGAGGCGGAACGCGTAGTGGCTTTCGAACTTGTGTGTTCCTGCGACGAGGGCTTCGACGTCGCTGATCCCGGAGATGCTGATCGCGCCGGCCCAGAGGGATGGGGTTACGCAGATGGCTTCAAGCGTGGCGTAGCCCCCGGAACTGCCGCCGCAGATACCAACGCCGGATGCGTTGACGCGGCCGCTTGAGCTGAGGTATCGGGCGCAGTCGCCGGCATCGAGCACATCGAGGTGACCCCAGACCCCGTTGAGCAGTTCGCGGTATTTCCGGCCGTACCCGGAGGAGCCAGCATAGTTGAGGAAGGCAACAGCGTACCCGCGGGTCGTGTAGTATTGCCACATGAGGGAGAGGCCAGAGTCTGAGTGGGCGGTGGGTCCGCCATGGATGGAGATAATCAGAGGTGGGAGGCTGCCTGGGGGGGCGGTGTACTCGGGGTTAGTTGGGGGAAGGAAGAAGGCGTGGGAGAGGGTGTCGGTGTAGCCGCTCGTGGTGCGAGGGAAGGAAACGTGTTCGGCCAGCGAGAAGTACTCGGGTGGAATGGTGAGAGTCGTGGAGGACCTGAGTGTCGTCCTGGAGGATGGGTCGTTCAAGTCGATGTGGTAAACGGCACTAGGAGCCGTTGGGGTACTGGCGATAACAGCAAAGCTGGTGCTTGAGGTCAAAGCCATAGATCTGCCGGTGGTGATTCCGCTGAGAGAAGTCCCAGGGGACGACGGGAGAAACTCGTAGGTGGAGTCCGAGAGGTTGATGATGACCAGACGGTCGGCTGCGTTGCGCGTCCAAGCAGCAACGATCGTATCGGGCTTGGGAATGACATATGTGCAACTACAACGTGTTAGTACCTTGGAGGCGTCTCAGCGGGATAGGACTGCATACCTTCCAAGCAACCATTCTGGGAAGGAGAACTCTCCATCTTCCAGGCCCTTGATGATAATAGGGCGTGGCTCAGCACTAGCCGAGTCAGGACTCCATTGAAAAAACTGCCAATACCCAGACCGATCTGACAGGAAGAAAAGTGTCCCATCTGGGCCCCATCGAGGCTGGGTGATACTCTCTTGGCCTGCTTGACCAGCAAGGCGAACTGGCTGCTCAAACTTTCCATCGACCCACGATGCAGTATATACCTCTGTCCCAGTCCAAGGCATGTCTGGGTGATTCCACTGCATCCAGCAGACTCGGTCCCCGGTCGAGTTGAATCGGGGGTGAGTATAAAAGTCGGCGCCAGAGGCAACAACCTGCACCTCTTTGGTGGTGCTATTGATTGCCACCAGCTCATTGACCACTTCCTTCAAACGGTGGTCTTCGCGGATTGCCAGGATCCATTCTGTTTTGGTTGGGTGCACGTCGAAGTCGGCGAAGTAGATTTTCCCATCTGGTTCAGTCACGGCAACGGTGCTGCCGGTGGCAGGATTGAGGATGTAGACCCCTCTGGTCTTCGCGTCAGAAAAGATGAGGTTCCCATCCGGCGCAGTCACAAAAGCTGCCCCGCCATATCCTTGCACCGCTGTGCGCGCACTGTACTCTGCAGGCAGCACGTCCCGCGCCTGTCCTTCCCGCCACTCGACTATACAGCATCGCCCACTCTCCGCGGGCCGAGCCTCGATGACATAGGTGACACCATCGGGCTAAAGTCAATGTCAGGCCTGGTATTAGTTTCCCGCGCGATGCTTCAGAGGGACAATTGATCGATGGTGGACTCACGGTAGCTGCAACCTCCGTGAAGTTAATCCCTGCGGATGTGAGATGCTCCGCCGTGATCGGGCTCTCCCACGTCCCATAAGGAGCCGTGCGGGGAGTGGCTTCGCTTGAGTGGCCCATTAAGACAGTTGGAATAGGGAATGGAGAAGAAAGGATGACAGAAAATATCCTGAGTGGATGTCTAGAGGTAGATGTCAGACAGGAAGAGGGGGCGGATGGTTGAGGTACAGTTAAAAAGATGACCGGAGATGCGGCGGGGAGGAGGGGCTACACCCGGCTTGGTGTGGGTACAAGCATCCAGGCACTGACAGGCACCTGATAAGGACGCAGCCATTCTGTTCGCTCTTGAAAATTGGCGTCATTTTAGTGCTGGCGAGTTCGTGCCTCAGGCTGGCAACGGCTGCCCCCAGGTTCAATCCCGGCAACTGGTCAATTTGGAGCTACCTTTTTAACTACTACTGCTACTACTACTACAACTTCACCGATCCAACCACATCCCTCTCCAACCGCATCGAATTCACCAAGTGAGGCCCCAGCTCAGAGAGCTGGGTTACACCTAAGAACACCATATTCGCCTCGATCTCTTGCCGCAATATATTAATTGCCCGACGGGTTCCCTCTGCCCCATATCCCGCCACGAGACTGAAGAGAAACGGGCGTCCCAATCCTACGGCGGTGGCTCCGAGAGCAATGGCTTTCAGCACGTCTGTTCCACGTCGAATACCTCCATCGATGAATATTTGCATTTTGCTTCCGATGAGAAACGGTGCATATCGGCGGATCTCGAGAAGCGTGACCAGGGGGGGTTGGGCGCTTTCTTAGTGAGCAGGGCGCTATGTCTGGGGGAAGCATGGACTCACGTATCCTGGGATCTTCCTCCATGATTGGAAAGAACAATTCCTTGCACTCCATGCTGGTACGCCAATACTGCGTCCTCAACACATTGGATGCCCTTGACCACCACCGGGAGACTGGTGATCCCTCGCAGCCAGGTAAGGATATCCCAGTCAATAAATGGCGAGATGGAACTGGCCATTATCTTTGCGACGCCCTGTCCCTTTTCTGATGAGTCCTTTGTCTTGGTGTCCCGGATGTTAGCGCAATTCTTCAAGTGTTGACCTGTCTTACCTGCACTTCCAGGTTCAATCTCTCGTCCATCTCCCGCTTTCCTACAACCGGAGAATCCACCGTCACCCAAATTCCACTAGCACCAGCCCTTTCAGCCCGTCGGACTAACTCTTCTGACTTTTCTATATCCTTGTTGACATATAATTGCTGGAAGAGCGGTTGATTTGGGGTTGCCCGTGCCGCCTGCACGGCTTCAATGGTCATACTGGACGAGTTAGCCAGAACTTGAGCCAGTCCCTCGTGGCCAGCTGCAACGGCGAGTGCACATTCTCCATCTGGATGTGCGAACTTGGCAATCCCAGTCGGACTCATATATACGGGTAGTGAGACTGGCTTGCCCAGAATGGATGTGGTAGTGTCTACACTGCGGATACTACGCAGAATGCGGGGGCGGAGGGAGACCTTTTGGTAGGCCTTTTGACCTTCCCGCTTGCTGATTTCGTCGTCGGCGCCTGAGAAATAGTATGCCCATGCATGGGGTGGAAGATACTCCTGGGCTACCTTTTCAAAATCATGCAGATTGATCAGGCTCGCCAACGGGGGCGGGGCTTTTGATCCTTCCACCGAAACTTGTGGATGTGTGCGGGTCGACTGTGCCAGCGTGTCTGGCTGGATAATGCCTTTGACAGTGGATGGAGCGAGAGCTTGCAATAGGAGCTCCTTATCATGAACCGAGTCAAAGTCGGCGGTTGCATCCTTGCCCGCACAACGGAGGATGACATGCGCACCACCAGGATGTGAATCAATGAAGTCTGTGGTCATGAGCAGGATCTACTAATGGTTGATGCGTTATGAACTAACCTGTGACATCGTAAACAGAGCCATGAATTGCAACCCAGCATGATTCCCGTGTTGAATGCTTCTCAACCTCCTCTCGAGTTAAGAACGACATGTTGTTATGTTTATTAATTTGCACTCTGGAAAGAGACAGGCTTGCTCTCAGGAGGCGGAAAGAGTGGTCTTGAAAGATCACAAGTCTCTTAGGGGTCCATGCAACCTTCCGGCCTCGGATTAAGCGGTCAGAATGCGGAGAAAAATCCATTGATGCACGACGCAGATCCCCCACGCCAACAATTATCCCTGCATCGAGTTGTGTACATCATAAATAAAGGACTCCAGATTATTCTCTTCATCCATCTTTAGCTATCGTCACCATCAACATGGCTGCACAATCCCCGAAATCACACATCCCCAAGCGGCCCCCCTTGCATCTTGAGGATATCCAGCATCCGACCAAAGTCAGTCATGGAGATACGGCTCTTGCCCTCTTTGCTGATGGCATAGAACTGGAATCAGTCGAGCCCACTGAGTTGAAGAGACTCGTACGGAAGATAGACTGGAATATCCTACCCTTTCTATCAATTTGCTACGCCTTCTATTATGTTAGCACAATGATATTCAATGGGTGAACGCGGCCTGACAGGACACAGATTGACAAAACAACCCTGTCATACGCAGCAATTTTTGGCATCAAAGAGGATTTGGGTTTGTCCGGAGAGCAATACTCGTGGCTATCGTCGGTGTTCTATTTCGGGTTCCTCGTCTGGGCTCTGCCCACCAATCTTTTGCTCCAGCGCTTTCCCGTGGGCAAATACCTGGGAATCAATATATTCTTATGGGGTTTTTTCCTGATGCTTCAAGGTGCATTTTCCCTTCGCACACTGTCAGTTATTAATATCTTACCTGACGCCAAACAGCAACTGCAAAGAACTTTACCCAACTGACTGTGCTCCGGGTGATATCCGGCGCTGCTGAGGCCTGCAGGTAGTTATGCCTGTCGCATCGTTTTTGGATGGTTACTGAAGCTATAGTGACCCTGGATTCATGCTTGTTACGAGCATGTGGTACACTCGCCGTCAACAGCCCATCCGCATCGGACTGTGGTACACGGCCAATGGAGCGGGAATAGCTCTCGGTGGTCTCCTTGGATACGGGATCGGACAAATTCGAGGTTCCTTGTCCTCATGGAAATATGAGTTTCTGATAATCGGGGCCTTGTGCGCCGTTTGGGGCATTTTTATCGTCATGTTCCTGCCCGACTCCCCTGTTACTGCACGTACATTCTCCCCGCGAGAGAGAAAGCTGACAGTGGAGCGACTCCGAGACAACCAGACAGGAGTGGAGAACAAGACACTCAAACCGGCTCAGGTTCTCGAAGCCCTTCTGGATTGGAAGGTGTGGGTATTTCTACTTCTGGGGCTATCCGGAAACATTCCCAACGGAGGCATTTCGAACTTTGGCACACTGATCATCCAAGGGTTCGGATTCTCGACCTGTAAGCTCCCCGTCCCACCATCTTTTCCGTGTCTAATAGGACCAGTGGTGACAGCTCTCATGCAAATACCGTATGGGGTCTTTATTTCTACCATGATTCTGATCAGCGTCTATGTCAACGACCGCCTACCTCCGAACAACCGATGCTTCGTGGCTATTATGTTCCTTATCCCAAATGTTGCGGGCGCTTTCGGCCTTTGCTTCTTACCCGAAGCCAGTCGAGTCGGTCGCTTGATCTGCTATTATCTAACAGGCTCGTACAACGCTTCGTTTGTGTTGATTCTCTCCATCCTGACCGCGAACATTGCCGGTCACACCAAGAAAGTAATCACCAATGCAATGATCTTCCTCGGAGTGTGTGCGGGGAACATCGCGGGCCCGTTCTTCTACAGGTCCGACCAAGCACCGCGTTACACCCTGGGGATCTGGTCAATGATTGTATCTAATTTCATTGAGATTGCCCTCATAATTCTGCTGCGGGTGGTATTGGCGTGGGAGAACCGTCGGCGAGATGCATTGCAAAGCGGGGATCGTCCGGACTTGGGCCGAGATCAAACGGCTTTCAGCAACCTCACGGATAAGCAAAACTTGAATTTCCGGTATGTGTACTAAGTAGCCGAAGGCAGTGATGAGGGGCAATGCATGCGATGCACGGATATGCTACTGATCCACCAATGGCGGGGATTTCTTGACCTGGCTTACACATAATACCTCGGAATCTAGCCGTGCCCCCACGCGGGGGTTAGCGTGGGGGTGTAGACAAGGCTGATCGGCAATGAGGCACCGGGTATTGAGAAAGACATATATGAGGATTGATTTCTGGGGTATAGGGCATTTCGCCATTCCTGAATTTCCATCAAGCAAAATGGCCCCAATTAAGTCCATTGAATACTTTCGCGTCAAGCCTCGCTGGCTCTTCGTTAAGATCACCGATGATCAGGGCGAGTTCGGATGGGGCGAGGCCACACTAGAAGGGCACACGCAGGCCGTGGAGGGCGCCTTGAATGAAATCATTTCCAGGGTGATTGGATACGAAGCAGAGTAAGTTCGGCATTGATCTAAAAAAAGTACCTATCTCATTTACATAAGTGACATTGAGCATATCTGGCAAACAATCTGGCGCCTGGGCTTCTACCGCGGTGGTCCGGTCTTCATGTCTGCTCTCTCGGGAATTGACATCGCGCTATGGGATCTTAAGGGCCGAAGGCTAGGCGTGCCCGTTTACCAGCTGCTGGGGGGCAAGGTCCGCAACAAGATTCAAGTTTATGCGTGGATTGGAGGTGACAGACCTAGCGATGTTGAAGTGGCTGCGTATGTCCCTAGCTTCCATCCTGCTAAAAGGATGAGTCGAATTAATAAACCCACAGAAAAGCCCGTCTCGCACAGGGTCTGAAGTGCGTCAAGATGAACGCCACCGAGGATATGAACTGGCTGGATTCTCCCTCCATACTGGACTCATGCATCGAGCGCATCAAACAAGTCAAGGCCCTTGGCCTTGACGCTGGGCTCGATTTCCACGGCCGTCTACACCGTCCGATGGCCAAACAACTCGCCAAAGCACTTGAGCCGTACCGCCCCTTATTTATCGAGGAGCCCCTTCTCGTCGAACACCCCGAAGCGATCAAGCAGCTCTCTCAACAAACCACCATCCCTATCGCTTTTGGGGAGCGCCTGTACACCAGATGGGATATCAAGCGCTTCCTGGAAGACGCATCCGTGGATATCCTGCAGCCGGATATCGCGCACGCGGGCGGAATCTCCGAGACCAAGCGCATTGCAACCATGGCAGAGACGTATGATGTGGCTATTGCTCCCCATTGTCCATTAGGTGAGGATTATTGGTCCTTTACGCGCGAATGATGTGAACTGATGATGATTGTAGGACCGATTGCGTTCGCGGCTTCCATGCAAGTAGCCCTTTCCACGCCAAACTTTGTCATCCAGGAGATGTCGTTGGGAATGCATTACAATGTTGAGGCGGGGGATATTGACCTTACCAGCTATCTGAATAGCCCTGGTGTTTTTGATATTGAGGAGGGGTATGTGAAGGCGCCAACAGGGGCGGGTTTGGGAATTGAGATCAATGAGGAAATGGTCAGGCGGATCAGTCGTGAGACGGAGCCTTGGTTGCCGAAGGAGTTTTATGGAGCTGATGGGGGGATTCGGGAGTGGTAGAGTGGTACTTAAGTAGACGACAGATTCTAGTTAGTGTTGATCTACACAAATACATCCCAGAATGCGGGGGAGGCGTGGGGGTCATCTTCTACTGCCTCCCTGCTTGAAGTACTTATACCCGGCATGACTTCTCCTCCTCCTCCTCCTCCTCCTCCTCCTCCTCCTCCACAGTCCAACAGAATCACAATGGATCTCTTCTCTCTCCAAAACACCACCGCTATGGTCACCGGCGGCACCCGAGGCATCGGCCAACAAATGGCCATTGCCCTCGCCGAAGCGGGCAGCGATGTGGTTCTCGTGCAGGTAACCTCTCTCCCCTCGCCACAAGTTGCAACCCAGCAGTAACCAGAATCAACCTCACAGCGCGACACCACCAACACCGAAACCAAAACCATCATCGAATCCCTCGGCCGCAAAGCAACCATCTACCACGCCGACCTCTCCTCCCGAGAATCCGTCTCCGCCCTCACCCCAACCATCCTCTCCGACGGCCACGACATCAACATCCTTGTCAACTGCGCGGGAATCCAACGCCGACATCCCAGCCATCTTTTCCCCGATACCGACTGGGATGAGGTGCAACTCCCTTCTAAGCCCCCCTCTCCAACCCCAATTCCCGAAACTAACACCCCCCACCCTCCCCAACCAGGTCCTCCAAACCAACCTAACAACCGTATTCACCCTCTGCCGCGACATCGGCCGATACATGCTCACGCGCGCCCCCAGCCCCCACGACAACCACCGCGGCTCAATTATCAACGTCGCCTCGCTCGTCTCCTTCCAAGGCGGGCTCACCGTCCCCGCCTACGCATCCGCCAAAGGCGGCGTGGCGCAGCTCACCAAGGCCTTGTCGAACGAATGGGCCGCGCAGGGTATAAATGTCAATGCTGTGGCCCCGGGCTATGTCGCTACGGAGATGAATACCGCGTTGTTGAATGATGAGCAGCGCGCCAGGAGTATTCTGGAACGCATCCCGGCGGGCAGGTGGGCGACCCCGCAGGATTTTAAGGGCGTCGCGGTGTTTTTGGCTAGTCGGGCGAGTAGGTATGTTTCGGGGAGTGTGGTGGTTGTTGATGGGGGGTGGATGGGGAGGTAGCATTGATGGAGGGTGGGATGGCGAGGGTATAGTATATAGTGTGTGGGTGATGGGGGTTGCGGGTTGGAGAATATAGATTCTGTGATTTTCGGCTCGATGGGTAGTGAAAGTGGATGATACTACTACTTCCTGTTATCTTGGAAAGACTTTGTTGTTACTTTGTCACTTCTCTCGTTGAGATGGTTTCACAGCAACAGGGATTCTCTGTCAACACCATCCCAACAGTTGACTGGGAAGGGGTTCATTCCAGTTGAAGCTGTTCCCAAAACATCAAACCTCTTCCGCAAATACCTTCAATACACAGCTCCATGGACTCTTATCCAGCCCAAAATGCCATTAAGCAACACAACGAAGACAACTTCTGCCTCTTCATCCCCAACCTCGTCGGTACGCCTACCCTCCCACCAGCCACCATGCCCCCAACATCCCTAACAGCAGAAAACCTCCCAGCCACACCCGGATCCTCCTCGTCATTACCTCCCTCCACTACATGTAATATATTCGAATTATGTATTCTCCAGTGCCAATAAGATAGATAGTTCGGGATCGTGGGCTGTACTCATAGTCTCATCCGCTTTCATGCCCTTCAAGCAGTACGTGAATGTGGTTCAGATGATTGAGGCTAGTAAATGTCTGGCCAAGGGAGATGTGGAGATGAGGAAAGAGGCATGGTTCGCGCTGAAGGTTAAGTAGAGGTCAGAGGTAAGCTTGGAAGAATTGTACATCATTAGATTATGTCCGAGCAGCATTGGATTGTCTATGAAACCCCTCAAATGGCAGACGAGAAGAGAACAAGATACGCTATCTAGCTAATAACTCTCCTCCCACGCAGTGCCAAACACCGCTGAACTGAAATACACTCATCTCGGCAAGACACTCCAGTTCCAGGCCACTCCCTCGCCGATCGTCCCGGCTGACCAAGCCGGACATGTCACCACAGAATCATTCGGATAGGTTCCGGTCTGAGAGCCAGTCATCGAGATCTGGGCAGTGCCACCAATGCTCCCATTACAACTGCTCCAGAGCTCCTCAAACACGGCCGTACACACCGACGGAAGGGCCCTTCCAACAAGTCCTCCCACCATTCTCAGTGCGACCTCCAGCAGAAACGCGCAGTTCCCATTCTCATCGCATACACCCTGCTGGAGTATAAATGTACCAGCGGTTAGTGTGTAATATGCACCAAGCTTGATCAGGTAGCAGAATCCAAGCTGCCCTTGCTCGTACTGCACGTGCTTGGCTCCGAGGAGTTCACACGCATACTCTTTGAGATCAGAGGTTTCCAGGGCTGCTTCGAGGATCACTGTGGTGGCGTTTATGGCTTGATGCATTTTGCTCTCGTCGGCCATTGTGTCAAAGTAGCCGCTGTCTCTACCTTTGGGGAGCTTTGGGGTGGTTGGCTGGAATGTGCGAGGCTGACATTTGAGAACTCTACGAGCAGAGCTGATGTTTATATATACCTGCATGAGGTATCAGGATTTCCCCCTTCTCCCCTTCCTTTCTCGATGGCATTGTTAACGGAATTCTCAGAAGCACTGGCCCTAATGAATGAACTACTCGGTCTGACATGCAGATTGTAAGGAATGCCTCTTGGTTATATCTGATGGGATGCTGTACAGCATAGTCCGCTGCTGTGATACATGAGGAAAATCCCGCAATACACATTGCACAGTCAAGCATATTCCCTCCCTTATTAGTCTTATAAAGTACTAAATTGGGTTTATGAATGATCATTGTCCTTGAAATACTCTTTGTATGTACGTCCGTAAAGAACTCAACCTCTTTATGCAACCCTTCATTGTACTCGTTCTTTATTTCCTGCGCAGGACTATTGCCCACAGCTTCCAACCATGTCACAACCACGCCATCTTCACTGAGACATTCTATTTGATCTGACAACACATCTGTAATAGTAATCCTTAGCTGAAAACTCTGTCATCACCCCTATAGATAGCGGCATGGGAAACTATTGCCAATTCGCAGATGGAAGCTGGCACGACAGGTCCAGCGTAGGATACCAACGACTGTCTACTAAGTAGTATTGTGGCATCTAGACACGAATTGACTGACTCGTAGGCATGCCGCTTCGATATTGAATAATAGGCAGCAACTTTGATGCCGCTGTTTATGCTTGAAACGGGCGTGGCCGGGCGTTGTCCCTGGCCGTCAACGCTAGCCCCGTCCCGGCCTAGTGCCGTATGCAGATCTCTCGACCCTGCGGAGACTAAACCGTTCTGGGTTTGACGTGGAATCTGCCCGATGCGGAGACCAAGTCCGACTTCTCCCAGACATCCTCCATCTCTGGTTCTGCTACAAACGTCTGCACGCTGCAAGCTGCAACGGCCGGGCTGTGAGGCGTTCTTGCAGACTTGCAAGCCCATTCTCTTGTTTCTCGTGAACGCCATTGATATCATTACTGCCAGGGCTGACTCGGGGCTGCAGCATCAATGCCACCCCTGCTCATCCGGGCCTGACCACGATACAATCATGCAGTATCAGGAGACGTGCAGAAGGTGGATTTAAGCTACAGATGGGGCGCTCGGCACTTGTCTATTGGCCGGTTGTCCAAGGATGGATCGATTCCAATCTAAATAACATTAAAGCCACGACGATCCTTCACCCAGGCCTTCTAGAACAGGGCCAAACTCACCAATCCGGCCGTTGCTTCTCCACCCGCCATCCATCTTAGTGATCATGAAACGCGTGTTGAGTGGGCTCAGCAGGCTCATATGATCTTTATATCCAGTATCGAGCAACAGGGAGGAACTGTGACTATTACGGATACAACTGTTCCACTCGCCTCTCAGGTAGACCCCCGACGCGTCACTGTTTCAATGACGGATGCCTGTTCGGGTTCCTGACATGCCGCTTAGTGATACAGATACTAGCAGTCGGGGGACTGGAAGGAAGCTCCATCCATTGCTTAAATACCGTAAGAAGATCACTTGCCGGGATCAAACCAACCAACACTCTTTTTCTCATCACCACGATGCGTCTTTCTCTTCTCCTCGCGGGCGCCATTAACCTGGTCGCCACGCAGGCCATCTCAGCCTCGCGCTGTACCCCGGAGACCTTCACTCCTCACCTCAGCTCCAACGCCTCCCTGGTCTATGCCGTTCCTTACGGACCCAACGACACCTTCGTTGGTCCCCTGAGCAACTACACCGACCTCCCCGAGTACTGTGCCGTGTACGTCAACGTCAGCTCGTCCGCCACCAGTTCCTATGAGTTCGGTCTTTGGCTGCCCATCAACAACTGGAACAAGCGCTACATCGCCTACGGAAATGGCGGCTTCACCGGTATGGTGCAGTTCTCCGACATGGCTCCCGGTCTGTTCTACGGCTTTGCTACGGTCTCCACGAACACCGGCCACAACTCCTCCGTGACGGAGGCCGGCGTTGCTCCCTGGGCTCTCAACAACCCTGAGACCCGTACCGACTGGGGCTGGCGTGCTCTCCACGGCTCCGTCGACCTTGGAAAGGACCTGACCGAGGCCTTCTACTCCGAAGACATCAGCTACTCCTACTACTCCGGATGCTCCACCGGTGGTCGTCAGGGCCTGAAGTCCGTGCAGATGTTCCCCGACGATTTTGACGGTGTCCTTGCCGGTGCCTGCGCGTGGTGGACCTCTCACCTGCAGAACTGGGATCTCAAGGTCGCCACCTACAACCTCCCCAACAACGGCAGCCACCACATCACCGCGGACCAGATCGACGTCCTGGCTGACGAGGTCCTGCGCCAGTGCGATGGTGTCGACGGTGTCGAGGACAAGATCATCATGAACGGATACGCCTGCAACTTCCGCCCCGAGGCTCTCCTTTGCGACTCCCCCAACGCCAACACCTCCACCTGCTTCACGGCCGACCAGATCGACACCGTCTACAAGATCTACAGCCCCTGGGTTGAGACCAACGACAGCTTCGTCTTCCCCAGCTTCGCCTACGGCTCGGAGACCCAGTTCTCCGGCATGATCATCACCGCCGACGAGGACGAGGACGCCCCCAGCGGTATCGCCTACCCCCGGGACTTCGTCTACAACGACGCCAACTGGCCCTGGCAGAACCTGGACTTCTCGACCATCCAGCTCTCCGACCAGCTCGACCCCGGCAACGCCACGGCCGACGACTTTGACCTCCGTCCCTTCCAGAACAGGGGCGGCAAGCTCATGCACTACCACGGTTTCGCGGACGGCGAGATCCCCACCGGCTCCTCCATCTACTTCTACAACCAGGTCCTGAAGGCCCTCGCCCCTCTGGGCATCCAGCTCGACGACTTCTACCGCTTCTTCCTGATCCCCGGCATGGAGCACTGCCAGGACTCCGTCCACGACGCCCCCTGGTACATCGCCTCCGCGATGCAGCCCTCCTCCCTGACCCCCTCCAACGTCTGGAGTGTGCCGGGATTCCGTGACCGCAAGCACGATGCCGTCCTGGCCCTGATCGCCTGGGTCGAGGAGGGTATTGCCCCCGAGGAACTCATCGCTACCAAGTTCGTTGACGACGATGTTTCCGAGGGTGTCCAGGCCCAGCGTCGTATCTGTGTCTACCCCGCCGAGGCCAAGTACGTTGGCGGAAACTGGAACGAGACCAGCTCTTTCGAGTGCAAATACTAAATAGGTGACTCGCTGAGGCTTTGCGGTGGTCTTCCCACTGAGCTTGAGTTGACTCTAGCTCCTAAGAGGACGTCGTTCAGCACTGTACATTACATTCTAATCGATATTATAATTGACATACACTTCAACGAAGCATCCTCATATCGGACTGTAGTTTGTATCCGCAATTCCTTAACCTCTCATGAGATAGATTTCTTGAACCATTTCTGAAGAGGTTTAATCCGAATCGACCGTCACAAACCACCCAACGGAGATCAACTCTAGACTGGAATACATCTCCCATACTGTAATTGTTGCCATGCGCGATTACCCAAAACACACTGCTTGCTTCTCTCCGCTTCGAGAAATCGAAAAACCCTCACTCTGACCGCGATCAGTAGCCACCGAACAGACTCTTAGCTCCGCCGAGCGTGGCGCAGCTGGACCCCTACTTTTTACTTCACAGCACGTCGTTAAGTACCTTAGTACTATCCGCCAGTCTATTTATAACACCTACCGTGATCTTTAAACCTACACCTTCCGCCGTCTATACTTTCTTCTGCCACATCCTTTACTACCTATCCATCTATCCATCTATCTATCCACTACTTTACCAGTATACCCACCATCCACACAAACCAACTTACTACCGCAACCACCAGCTAGCCCCACCCCAACCCAAGCAAATCTCCAGAACTATGCTCGAAACACTCAGCAACCTCCTCTTCGATATCCAATACGGACCCCACAAGAGGAAAGTCACGGAGTATCTCCGCAATGCGACACAAGGTTCGTCCACGGACAGACAGACAGACAGCCAGCCTTGCCACCATTCCATTCCACGCCCCGCCGATGAAGTACTTCAACAATAACTAACTGACTAACGACAAATAAACTTAGAGTCCGTCCTCGAAGACCTCCACCGCGCCCTATCGCGACGGATAAATGAGATCAAGGATCCCCGGGGAGTGTTTGATGCTTTTTGCGTTGAGGGGTCTGATGGATGGAAGTGTATTTACTTATTTACTTATTTAGCACCTCCTCTTCCCTCTACTTCTACTCTACTTCCTGCTCATCCCCCCTCCATACCCAACAACACCCTTACCCTCCCCCTCCTGTACCCGTCACCCATCATAAGAAAAACCTCACAACTGAAACCAACCCAACCCAAATCCTAAGAAAGCCAACAAAGCTAACAAAAAACCTAGATTGGACCCTCCAAAGCCTAACATCGCACATCCGACACAACCACCCATCCACCACATTCCCCTCCTCCACCGTCTCCCTCCTCTGGCGAACCTTCTACTTCCACGCCTACCACCCGTTCCCCTTCTCCTTTGCACCCACTCGCAACGAGACCAACCCCACAGACTCAGACTCAGACTCAGACTCCCGCCGAATCAACGAACCCGCCTTCCAACGCGCCGTAGCGCTGCTCGTCCACCGCGGAACAGAGCTCTTAGGCACGCAGGATGAGGACGATTATTTCTGGCGGGATGAGGGGGATTATAGCAGGAGGGTTGGAGTGCGGGTGTTGAGGAGCATTGGTCGGACAGGCTCCGTGTCTGATTGTTCATCATCGGGGGAGATAGGGTTAGAGAAAGAGAGAGGGCGGTCAGCTGAGGGAGAGGGTGAGACGGGCGTGGTAGAAGACGTGATGGATGTTCTGGCCACGACGCAGCCGTATTCTGTGAAGGTGGCGCCGGACGGGCACGTGCTGGGTGCTGTTGCGAGGAGGTTACTGGGTTCGGGTCGGGGATTGGATCTGAATGTGCCTATTGTGCCGCTGGGGTGTTGTGTTACGGGGGAGGATTTGGTGGCTTTGGTGGAGTTGGTGAGGCGGGTGAGAGTTTGGAGGTCTGACCAGAGGTCTTGGACTTGTTTTGGGGCGTTTGAAGAGGAGGGGCAGGGGAAGAGGATGGGCACAGTTCTTGGTGGTGGGCTGGTTCGAAATGGTGTGTATTCGCTATCTGATGAACATGAACTTGTTCTCCGAGTGCAGGAGCTGTTGGTACGTGGTGTCTTCTATATAATATTCATCCTGTGATCCTGTGTGGGTGATGATGAGACCAGATCTAATGTCAAAACAGCCAGATCTAGAACTGAGATTCCATCAGCTTTGGGGCGTTTTGTTCCACCCAGAGATGTTGCCAAATGATTCATTGACGCGGGTGGCTGCTGAACATCCTCAGGCGTCGCATGAGGAATGATTGTAGCTCATCGCATAAGCATACGATCTATAGATGGGATGTTTTTTCAGAGACGCATGGTTTTATGGGCATTTATTAATCATATTCTTATGAAGGAGTTGTCTGACAGATACTGCACGCCGCACACGGCATATCTCCGCCGCCTTGCAGCCTGTCAGCCTGAATATGCAGGCATCAAGTGTACAAGGTATGCATCTCGCGACCTGAGCGGTGGGTAATGAATTGTGCCAGTATAATTCTAGATTGGGCAGGCGGTGACAGTTTGATAATTTCCTCTTTCCTCTCCATTCTCATGTCTCATTTTTCATTTCCCGCATGTCAATACGTCTTCTCAAGTGGGACCAAATATCTACGTTTATCCTGTTTTATAATTGCTTCAACCCAACGTAGTCCAGCGACACTGTACTCCGTACAACGAGAAGAGTGAATCTCACTGATCGGATCTCGGATTAACCAGCCTCCGAGCCCGCCAATCAGTGCCCGAGGCTCTGCCGCGGGGTGCTCCTGTCCGTGCTCCGTCCGGGTTCTGGAGGACGTGTTCCTGGTGTTTGTTTCCTGGATTCTCCCAGAGACGCGGCCTCTGCGACCGTTGTCAGGTCATCCATACTGATCACGTCGCCATTGTCGCAAACCTTCATCCATCCATCCTGCACTGCCACGACCTTCCAGCTTGCCGCACTATTTTAAAGGGGCGTGCATCCCGGGTTGTGTACACAGCCCTGCATCGTCATGGCTCGCCTCCTAACCGATCGGCAAGCCGAGGAGCTGTGAGTATCCTCGATCTATCCATGCCAGTCGGCTGCTGGGCGAGACTAAAGCTGCTGGTAGACACAAGTCCATGATAGCGTACCTATTGGCGAACGAGCTACCAGACACCGCCGCGGCGCTGAGAAAGGAAGTGAACTTCGGGGAAGATGTGTTTGACGCGAATACGGCCAAGAAATACCAGGGGATGTTGGAGAAAAAATGGACGAGCATCGCGCGCTTGCAGAAAAAGGTATGTCTGCAGCGGAGGACATGCTCTGTGACGTGACCTCTAATCATCATTCCTGCTGGCAGATCATGGACCTGGAGTCGAAAAATGCGGCTCTCCAGACAGAGCTCGATAACACAACCCCCGCATCCCGCTTAAAACGCAACCAAGATCCGGCGACGTGGCTCCCCAGCACCATTCGCTACTCACTAGAATCGCACCGCGATAAAATCAACTGCGTCGCGTTCCATCCCACCTTTTCTTCCATTGCCTCCGGCTCCGACGATTGCACGATCAAAGTATGGGATTGGGAACTCGGAGAGCTTGAACGGACGCTAAAGGGCCATACGAGAGCAGTCCGGGGGATTGACTACGGTGGCCCGCGGGATAATGTTCTGCTAGCATCCTGCAGCTCCGACCTGTCTATTAAGTTGTGGAAGCCGACGGACAATTATAAGAATATTCGCACGCTGCAAGGCCATGATCATATTGTCAGCGCTGTCCGTTTTATGCCCTCGGGGAATTTGCTCGTTAGCGCAAGCAGAGACGCAGACATGAGAGTCTGGGACGTCACAACCGGGTACTGTGTGAAGACCATCTCCGGCCATACCGGCTGGGTGCGGGATATCTGTCTCTCGTTTGACGGAAAGCACCTTCTCTCTACGGGACATGATATGGTCACTCGGTTATGGGATATCTCTACTATATCAAATACAGAAATGAAACGAACGATGATTGGCCACGAAAACTTTATTGATTGCTGCGCTCTTGCCCCGCCTGCTTCATATCAATTCCTCGCGCCCTTGGCTGGGCTGGGGAAACGCCCTTCCACAAGTGGCGCGGACTTCATGGCGACGGGGTCCCGAGACAAGACGATCAAGGTATGGGACGCTCGCGGGACCTGTCTGATGACGCTAGTGGGCCATGACAGCTGGGTCCAGGCGCTTGTCTTCCACCCGGGGGGCAAATATCTCCTGTCGGTATCGGATGACAAGACCCTACGATGCTGGGACCTGAGCCAGCAAGGAAAGTGCGTGAAGACGATCGAAGCTCACGAAGGCTTCGTCACCTGTCTGAGATGGGCTCCAGGAGTCACCAAGACTGCTCCCGGCGCAGATGGTAGTGCACCTGAGGGTGAGGGGAGCAATGTTGAGTTACGCTGTGTTGTTGCATCAGGGGGATGGGATCGGACGTTAAAGATTTTTGCAGGCTGAATCATCGGGAAAGAATCGGACGGTGTTTCGTAATGGGTTCTTTGACGAACGTTGGCAACGACACACTTTTACAGCGCCTTAAACACAATCCATCTCTGCCACAAACACACACCTCCCCCCTTCCTATGTCTTTGAGCCGATTCCCACCTTTAGTGCGGTTCTCAGTAGTGACCACCATTGGAGAGGGAAGCGCACGGCATTTAGAGTTTCTTCTTCGGAATCATCATGTCTCAGGATGATTCCGATCCACCGACCGATGGGTTGGATAAATGGTTCCATCCTGTGGCGCCACCCTGGCTGGTGTTGTCAACCGGCGGCTGGCGGATGGGCCTGGTGAATGAATGAGAGAGGAGGACTGTTTTCATTCGCGGTGAATCTGTGTTGCCAAACACCGAAGTTGTCACCCTGAAATGCACCTTGTCGACACTGTATACATGACGGTTTGCCTTTGAAGTATCTATTCGCTACCGGATGATTGATGCTCACAGTGTCATCTGCCTTGATTTATTGTTGGATGGTGCTTTACCTACGCCCTCCCCCCTCCCCCTCCTGGCTTGGGAAGGTTGAAACCCAGCCAGATCTACTGCTCGATAAGGAGACCTTCTTTTCCTCCATCAGATCTTTGCAAACCGAATGCCGTTTTTGGGTGCCACCCGTGGAGAAGATCCTGTACAACTATTCATTTTCTCGCCTTTTCCTCGTCGCAGGAAAGGTGTCGGTATTAGAGTGATATAGACAAACACATGACAATATTAAATCAGCAAACCCCTGCACTCCAGACAATGTACACTCCCCACCAGCATAGATAGAAACACCTAGTATCATTCAGTATCACACCTACTTAGGTGTCTGGACACCTTTTTAGTCGAGTGGTCTGTTTGATGTGATAACTCCAGACAATGTACACTCCCCACCAGCATAGATAGAAACAATGTCTGTACGGCTGCTAAATGCCCGTTGTTGCTTTCGACCCTTTGCATCGTTAACCCCCCATCAGCCGTCTCTCAATATAAGATCACGCAAGCTTACAAATTCCTACCGAATGTCGCAAGGTCAGTTTCGAAAACCACGTTCCCCGGACACTCAGCGAGCTGACCTTCGCACCAAGGCCTGATGCCTGATGACAACCCTCTATTCTCATATTCCTCTGGCCGATTCCTCTACAATGAAGAAACACGCCTCCAGGAACGATACATGAGGTTTGACGTCAGCGCGCTTAAAAACACCATCGCGACGCATGTTGTTGGCCATGGAAACGTGCGGAGTATTGTTAAACTGAGCGAAGGCGGCTTCAACCGCGTGCTCCTAGCCACCATGGAAGATGGATTCCGGGCGATTGTGAAAATCCCTTTCTGGATTTCCGTCCCCAAGATGTATGCCACCGCCAGCGAAGTCGCAACCATGACATTTCTTCGCTCAAAGGGGGTTCCGGTGCCTGAAGTCTATGGGTGGTCTTCCACGGCGGAAAATCCAGTCGGTGTGGAGTATATCATCATGGAGCATGCACCGGGTGTTGGGGCTGATACTCGCTGGTTCGACACGAGCAAGTACCAAAAGAAAGCACTGGTTACCGGGATCGTCGACATTGAGAAAAAGCTTTTCAGCATGCCGTTCGCCTCAGTCGGTAGTCTTTACTTCAGAAAAGATCTCCCCTCGCGGTTACAGGGCGAGCTCTATCAACCTGGTACACTGGACGAGGACTGCGATGCCGAGACCTACTGCATCGGGCCGATTGCCGATTACATGTTTTGGTATGGACAACGCGCGAAGCTGGAGTTGGATAGGGGACCTTGTATGCTATGCTTTCCTTTCCACTGAAGCGAGATGTCATGACATGCATGGATTTGTCAAGCTAATTAACCGTTGTTTTACAGGGAGTGATCCAAAGCAATATCTTCTCGCAATTGCCAAGAAAGAAATCGCGTGGATCGAGCGATTTGGGAAGCCGCTTGAGCCCGACTTTCCCCATAATACCGTTTTCCCTGGAGTCAATTCCCATCAAGATTATTTGGAACTTCTGAGAAAGTATCTAGCAATTGCGCCTTATCTTCTTCCTAAGGATACGGGGAATATCTTGAATCGACCTACCCTTCGCCATCCTGGTGAGTCCCCGCCAAGCCCTTTCGTGCTAGTAGAGGCTAATTTAGAAGACCTCACTCCTGGAAATGTCTTTGTGTGTCCAGACACCTTCAATGTCACCTGCATTATTGACTGGCAGCACACAGTAGTCACCCCGTTGCTGCTTACTGCTGGCTATCCGAGGCTGTTTGAGAACCCCGACCCCGAGCCCCCAACAGGCTTAGTTCCGCCAAAATATCCAGAGGGCTACGATACAATGAGCCCGGAGGACAAGGCCCAAATCGATGAGCTCATCCGACGCCAAAGTCTCTTTTATCTATATCGTGTTTTCAATGGAGGACTCAACAAAGTGCATTTACAAGCCCTTCAAGATCCCTTGATTCTATCACGTCAGCACCTGGTGGACTTTGCGGGCCGCCAATGGTCGGGCAACCTCATGACCTTGAGAGGAGCATTAATGGGCATGCGTGATATTTGGCCCCATGTTCCGGGGAAGGACGATGGTTTTGAATGCCCCATTAAATTTTCAAAGCCAGAAGTCGAAGACCAAGCTGAAAACCAGCCAATGTGGTATAACTTGAACGCTTTAGTCAGCCACTGGCGTGATCAACTAGGGGGGCTTTCAGAGGAAGGTTGGGTCCCAAATGAGCAGTATGACCACGCTGTCAAACGAAACGAATCCCTAAAAGCGGAATTTGCTGAGGGAGCAAGTGCAGATGAGCTTGAGAAAATCAAGCGGGGTTGGCCTTTCCAGGATCGAGAGGAGTTCTTTTAATCGACGCCGTTCGGATCAGGACATCTTGCTTTAGTACATGCTGCCCCTGAACCCGCTCTTCTGCGTTGCTTAAATGCCTAATCAGATATCGTCACCATGTCCAATGCATTTGATTCTTGGTAATCCAAGGGACCAAGCCTAATGGCCAGTTATCCAGTGAGATAAGTTTGATTCACGGAGTTTGGAGTTGGTAATCGAAATTCCTCGCCTGGGTTGGTATGTGTCGAGTTCACCCGGAAAAGTAGGGGACATTAGAGCTTGCCGAAATCAGCGACCAGGGCTATGAGCCTTTCAGATCCGTCACAATGAAAAGTCTCTGGTGTAAACTTTCCAAAGAAAGTATCATCATCATGATAGGATTCCAGCTGGCCTGACTGCGACAGACAATGTGCGAGGTAGATAGCCAAACTTGAGTCCCACCCCTTCGCGCACTGGCAGGCATTCAATACCAAATCTCGGGCCTGTTGACGAACAATCGGGTCGGGAGCATGGACAGACGCCACGGATAAAGAACATAGAATATCGAAAAAGAGGAAGTGAGGAAGCATATGTTTTGCCGTTGGTAGTGGCGTTGCAATCTCAAAATAGTTGGTCTCAAACATTTGGTGCAAGGGGCACCAAACATCATCTTGTTGACCACTGTTTGCCGTGACTGACTGGGACGAGGAGTCCCTGGTAAGACGACCAGCAGTCGATAGGGTATGCCCAAGGTCCAGAATGTGCTTGAAGTCCAAGCGATCATTTCTATCATGCTCTCCGGGTTTCCGATAATCCGCCATGATGCGAAACTTCAGAAGAAAACAGCAAATCGCGAGCACATATGACTCGCAGGTGTGGTTATTTGAAATTCCAAAGCTCAGATAGTGGTTGAATGCAAGAATCCAGGTGTCTAGTTCCATTAATTCTTGAGCTAAAAGGGTCCCTAGGCGTTCCATCTCAAGTGCTATCGGCTTTTGGTCAAATCCTGCATTTGGACTTGCAGAATGCCTTCTGTGGATCATCTTTTGCAATATGTTAATCAAGTGTATACGAGCGTCTGCGATGCTTGTGAAGGCTTCCGGGCCTTTACAACAATTTGCGTCGAGCCCAAAAAACCGCGTGCAATCCGCGAGGTCAAAATGGGTCATCTGACATATTAGTCGAGTGAAAAGGGAGCGGAAAATCATCTCGCACCCTTCAGCAAGCTGCCCGGACTGCCTAAGTTCCTGGAATAGCTTGAACCCGGATTGAAGGTGAAGCAGGGCGTTCTTGTGGTGTCCCTGGCAGGTCTCCAGACAACCAAAAAGAAAGCTGGCAATCACAAACACGGGGGATCGGTCGTCCGTGGCTTTGGCATCGCTAGAAATCAGCTCACGGAGTGCTTTGCCGTAGTGCCGCATTGCGAATACTGTTGACTCGGATTGAGGAGACGCAGCGAGGCCGTAGTGGTATGTTTCATATAGCTTCCCCTGGGCAATCATCGCATGCCTAAGCGCAGGCTCCTGTAGCACAGTGCTGTCTGTAAAGGGCGCCACCAGCTCGCTGGGGAAACATGACCGACTCCACTGGTAAAAGAACGCCAGGGCCTGCTGATCTTGGAGATCTTCCGTGGGATAGTGCAAGGCTCTGGCAGAGGTTACGAGATCTGGCACATAGTATGTTATATGGAAAGGCTTTGGTGGGGTCTTCGGAGGAGTCTGATAGCCCGCACAATGGCGGTTTGCCGAGACGCATCGGTTGCAGATGGGTTTCTGCTCGTCGCATTTGACTCTTCTGGATCTGGATTCCCGGTATTAGCCACCATTGCCCCGACCGGGCCACCGAGTGGGATGTGGGGAAAACTGGGGGGGGCACGAACTTGCAGGTAAGGCAGCCTGTTCGAGCCCTGCTAACCATCAGCCGAGAGCGCTTAGGCGCAGGGTTCTGCGACCTCGCGCGGGGGTCCATCGCCCGGGGTATCGATGTGTCAGGTCAGGCTGTCAAATAGCTAGTACGGAGTAGATAGACAGGAAACCGTCCAAGCAGGTTCAGAGTATTGTTCCGGAAGAGAGAGCAAGAGCCACGGCCCATCGACTGCTGGGGACCGTGCTAACTGCTTTGGGACTAGCCGCCTGGACCGCCGGAGAACCGCGCTGATTTGACGGTTATTAAGAGTCGCCTCAGGGGCCTCACTGTAGATAATTATATAATCTACTCCATCCTGCACTTTAGTTACTATATCTCATGACGAAAGTACGTACATACCGTGTGGCGCAGGCTCAGCCTTATCCGCCTTTGGATGTCGTCAAATCCTCCCATTTCTCCCATGCATTCCTGGGCGTTCTTCACCCGGCTGCCTAATTCTGCTTGGCAAGCCACAAGGCCTTAGATCGGATCATCGGGTTCAGAGGGCCTGGCTATGCGCAGCATAGCCTCAACGGGAGGGTCAGTCCATCCTTGACAGTTCAGGGACCAGCATCCTCGTCGCATCCCATGGCACCCTTCAAGATTGGCAGTGCCCTACGGGATCCACCCCAGGCATCCGCTTTCTAGAAAGAGTCTGGGCGCTTCGGGGGCCGGGCGGTAAACTCCCTCTCATTGACGATGGAAGAAAAGGCAGTTGACAGCACCAGCCTTGGCTGGTCCCTCATGTCAACCGGTGGTACAACTCCGCGGATCACACTTTCTGGTTCCTATATTTAGTCTCTGGCGGTCCCGCGTTTCGCCCTCGCTTTCTGTCATTCTCTCAACTCTCAACATTGAATGCGACCGACCCCCTCGCTTTCACCGTTCCGTCGACACCTCCGCTGCGCACATCCCCCCCCCCTCACGTCCCCCGTTCGGCCCCATTTGGTCCCGGAGGATCGACCGATCAGAAGGAATTGGAAGTCTCCAGCTCTTGGCCGCAAAGACCGACTTCAGCCCATATTCAGCCCATATGCCTTGGTAGAAAGAAGGAGGGCTACAGCAGTCGTTGCATTTCGGTTACAGTGGATCCGCCCCGATGGACCGTCTCCCCGACAAACTGCCCTTCTCCAAGCGGCGCTTGGAGCAGCGGATCATTCTCTCGTGAGCCGCGAATACCCCTCGGTGGAGGAAGATCTCGCCGTTGCTAACATGTCAACAATGCGCTCATTACAGATACATTTTTGACTACGTCATCCTAATGTTCGTCCGCTACGCTGCCTGACGTTGCGAGTCTGCTGACAATTGATGCGATAGCGCGTGTATTGGAGGCTTCTATGTGCTCGACTCCATCGAACCATTCCACCAGCACTTCTCGTTGCGTAACATCTCCATTCAGTACCCCTATGCCGTCCATGAACATATTACGATCCAAGAAGCCCTATGCATCTCCGGTCTCGCGCCTTTGGTCATCATCGCCGTCTATACTATTTTCATCGATGGAATCTTTTCGCACCATAAACCGCTGGATCCGGTGTCGGGGAAAAGAAAGTTCACGGGCCCATACCGGTGGAAGGATCGACTGTGGGAGCTCAATTGTGGCATTCTGGGTCTCCTGCTTTCACAAGGGCTGGCTTTTGTGATCACCCAGGTCCTCAAGAACGCCTGTGGAAAGCCACGACCCGATTTTATAGATCGGTGTCAGCCGCGCGCAGGAAGCCATGACGCGATCCCGGGACTGTCGAACTCTACTATCTGTACAGGCGAGCATGCGCTTATCAAGGACGGTTTCCGTTCGTGGCCTTCAGGTGCGACCCAAAGTCTCTAATTCGAAGTTTACGCTAATTCAAAATAACAGGTCACAGCAGCTGTGAGCAAGTCCTTTTGATATATTCCTTGGTAGTGGATTACTAACATTACTCACCAGCATCATTTGCGGGATTATTCTATCTATCACTCTGGATGAGCGGAAAGTTGCACATAATGGACAATCGGGGTGAGGCCTGGAAAACACTCTTGGTCATGATTCCATGCCTTGCAGCAACCTTGGTAGCTGTGACCCGCATCATGGACGCCAGACACCATCCCTTCGACGTCATCAGCGGCTCCCTCCTCGGGATTATCTGCGCCTGTATCTCGTACCGTCAGTATTTCCCGTCCCTCAGCGAGCCTTGGAAGAAGGGACGCGCACACCCAATCCGGACATGGGGCCGGGATCCAGTACCGCCCGTCCCTCTGGCGGGTCCCGACGGAAGCCTGGTCGCTCTGCGAAATCCCGAGGAAGAGACCGCCCAGTCGAAGGCCATGGGCGTTGCTCCAGGCGAGCCGTTATACCCAGCGGAGTCCAACCCATACACCTCGAGCAGGTACAACTACCGGCGATCCCAGGACGGGAACTGGTCGTCCTCTAGCGAGGATGTCGCATCTGGCTATGAAATGCAGCCGGGGTATTCTCGCACCCAGAACCCTGCGTTGGGTGAACCTATGGCGCGATACGATATTGACACGGCGTATCGCTCCCAACCGCAAGAGGCGGTCCCTGGCGCCTCTGCTCCACAAGCCCCGGCGGTGACGGTGACCGCCCATTCAGATCGGGGGCGGGATTTGACGGACGTTCCATATCGAGAAGCATTATGATGTGGGTTTTGTGTATTTATCTGTCGGTTTCTTGCTGTCATCTTCATAAAACATATCTTGCATATAGATATCTTGGCTACGACCGTGACGATCATTTCACTGGAAATAGGAGAACATTAAACAAAAGGTTTCTATTGGCCCTCTGTCTAGATACTATGAGACCTTGAAGCTCTACTGGAAAGTACCCAGAAGTTACTATCTTGGTAGGCCAGAGTCAACAACAATACTCATTTATCAAGGCTCCGACTGATCAGCCAAATACAATATAACCTATATAGTTTCTAATTCAATGGACCACCTGACTTATCAGGGGCTACGAATTCTGTTTAATTTGGGATCTGCTAGTTACATTGGATGTGGGCGTGGGTGGTTGCAGTGTTGATTGTGCATGGAATAAAGGGCATCTTATTGTCTGACGAGGCTATGTCAGGCCAGTAAGGATTTCTCCTTCTGTAAACTATGAACCCAGTTCAATATAATAGACAGGGCGACTTTGATATCGTAGGACTTCCATCGTGTCACTTCTCAGGACCGTTGAGCTACAACGAGCTGGTAATCCGTAGTTGCTGGAAGGGCTTAAATATAGACGGCGCATTGCAAGCCAGGATGATAACATGGCATGAATCCAAATATCCCTCAGTATCCCCACCACAAGATGTCAGCCCACGACCTCGACAGAGAAGAATCCCTTCCACTCAACTCGGATTTCAGCTCACAGCAGACAGAATACGGCAGTGATGAATGCCCCCCCGGATGATTCGAGCTGGAAAGATCCGCGAATCCAAAACTGGAAGCTCTACGCAATCTGCTCCCTTTGTTTTCTCGCCTCTCAGCACCAATGTGGGAGGTGGTTATATACATACCAGACGACCCAATTCGACGCCGACATTGCCATTCACTCCCCATTTCGGGGAAAGGTGCGGCCAGAGCTCAACCACGCCTGGGATGATGATGTCACCAAGAGTGAGTGTGGTTGCGTTGTGCCCAGCAAAAAAACATGGATGAATGTTCGGTCTCGGTTGAATTCAGGCTGATAGGTTTTTACCTTCCACCAACCAGCAAACTTAATCCTGATTGACGAGAAAGCCATGCATTCTCTTGGAGAGTCCACAGTGAATGCGACCATGCTTGGTGACAGATACCTTGCCGTGGTTGAAGTGTTTCACCAGCCAGCTCCATTGCGTGGATCTCGTGAGAAAGTACGTCCATCGTGCGGATTATCCGGGCTATGAGGCGTTTGAGGACCTCGAGGAGGCTGTCCTTGCTCGTGTAGACCACTGCATTGATCTGCTCCGTCAGGTGGTTCAGTGCACTGGTGGTGTGGGCCGTGTTGTGTATGATGATATGGGCCCTGGAAAGCCCCCCCCCATGACGAGGTTCTCGAATAGTGTCAAACCTAGTATAGTATCATTCAGTATCGCACCTACTTAGGTGTCTGGACACCTTTTTAGTCGAGTGGTCTGTTTGGTCTGATAAATAGGCATATGTGTCGGGATTTTGCGGCTCTCCGAGGATGGTTTTTGGGTCATAGCTGGGAGAATAATTTGGGGAAATGAAGGGGGATGGGAGGAGAAGATGGTTGTACAGTAGTAGAGTTGGACCATGTGGGGGGGCCTGGGGTGTGTGACACACCTACCTAGGAGAGTACTATCTCTTGGTTGTGAATGACCAGGCAGCCTTTTTTAGGAATCCACGGTATAAACCCTAGAAACTCCCGTCGGTCTTTTCTCCCCATTACATCCTCCCACTCCCACAGCTCATAGAGTTTCAGCTCGTTGCTCTCGTCACCCCACCATGTCTCCCAAGCCGTCCGAGGACTTGGTACCTCTTGTTAAAGAGATCTTGAAGAAGGTTTTCAGCTTGAAATACTCAAAGCTATCTCTCGCGGCCACAAGCGCAGCAACTTTGTCTTTGAAATTGATCGTGACGGGATTTGGGGGGCTCACGTTCGATGAGAATAGGGGGATCTGCTCCGGACCTCCCAGCACTAAATGTGGTGGGCAAAGCCCGTTTCCTTCTCTGGACGCGCTGTACCAGGGGCTTCGGCGGCAGCAGGTGCATCTTGCCGATGTGATGCTTTTGTAGTATCCATGGACTTGAATCATATGGCCTGATCGTTGCTGGGTTCCCAGAGGGTGCAGATTGGCTCGGAGATAACCTCAGGATCAACCGTGGCTCTCGCCCCTCGTGGCGGACCCACTCCACCACCCCCGAACTATGGCAACCGCAAGGAAACCTGCAGTAAACAATGGCGACGTGAGATGACGACGGCCGAAATCGATGGCATCGAGGCCTCATCGCTCCCGTCTGTCCTACTTTGTCCTACTACTGCCAGGGTTTTGCGCCCGGGCGGGTGCGCCGAAAAGCAGGGCGGCCCACATGTTATCCCAGCCACCCCGCAGTGTGAATCGCCCAGCCTCCTCGCTCTCTCTTTCTAGTTTCTCCGACTCGCAGATTCCTCCCCCGCCGTCTGCACCGTCTCGACCTTTTCATCTTTTCTGCTGCATTCTCTCCCTTGTTGCTGTCTCTGCTTTGGATGCATCGTCCGTATTCCGTACCTTGCTTTCGCTGAGTTGGGCTGCATCGGATCGGCCCCTACCCAATCGCCGCCAATACGTTGTTGTCCGGCGCAACGTCAGACCTTCGCCTCGCCCTGGTGCCTTGCCCTTGTCCTGCCGAGCCAAAATCTCCGGCCTCTCTCTCTCCTCCAGCTCAATTGATCTTCCTCGTGTCAGCTCCCCTCGTTGTACCGATTCCACGCCCACTTTCAAACTACCACCTCTGCTGGCACGTCCGGCAGTCCACCTATTACAGTCCAGAAGATCTGAGGGGCTTGTTCGCGTCACAGTCACAGTCCGTGACAATCCGGCAAGATGATTGGCAGTCTCTTCTTTATCTGCAACCGCATTGTGGAGTTGCTCTTCCTGATTCCGATCGTGGGAATGATGGTATGTCCGTTCACATTCCTACCCCAGACGGGTACTCGCTCCCCTCGATCGCTTTTTCCACACTAACGTCAAGGAATCCAGGCATACTTCGTCAACGGCTACCTCAATGCGAATGAGATCACTCCCCCCTACGTTCTAGTCATCTTCATCGTTAGCGTCATCGCTGCCTTCTGGTGCCTCGACACCCTGATCCGCTTCTCGACCACCAAGCGCTCGGCTATCTTCGTCGCCTGTGTCGATCTTCTCTTCTTCGGCGCTTTCATTGCTGGTGTCTATGAGCTGCGCTTTATTGCCGGGGCGAAATGCTCGCACTGGGATGGAGGCTCCGTTTACATCTCGCTGGGTCCGTTTGGGTACTATGGCTACAGGGATGGCAACCCTCTGTCCTTCCACATCGACAAGACCTGCGCCATGCTGAAGGCCTCCTTTGCCCTGGGGATCATCGAGATCGTCCTGTTCTTCTGGACGGCCATCCTGGCTCTCGCCATCTACCGCAGACCGGACGTGATTGTGAAGGAGACCACGACTGTCCGCCGGAGGAGCCACAGCAGTCGAAGGGGTCACCGGCGCCACAGCAGCTCCGGTCGCCGGCACCATTATGAGGTATGAGATGGGAACAAATTCACGAAGAAACATATGATGGGAGAATACAGATTAATGATTGAAATGGATAACGCGCAACGACGAGAGAGAGTAATAAAAACGACACAACCGACTCTGATGAAAAGAATGAAACCCGAAACGAAACCGAGAGCGCAACCCTCAGTGACCGATGCACATGCACTTGATTAACGGGATACGATATGATAGCAACCACCATGATGATAATGTTTTCCTTTTGAGCTGTTTACAAGTCCTTATGACTTTTTTTTTCTTTTTCTTCTTTTTTTTCACCATCTTGTGCTATTGGCCAATGAATCTTCCATAAGGAAAGCCTTTAATGGGCTTGTATTTCCGGACGCGAAGACCGTGCTAGCTTGATGATATGTGACTTTTCAGTGCAATATAAGATGGGACTCCGAAGTAGCTGTGGCCTTGATAGCTGTTCTGAAGGTAGTTGGAATTTTCAGGGTAGAAATACTTCGTCATGGGAGAAGAGACTTCATCCGGATAGTATACATATTTGGCATCTTGCCCTGCTACACATGTACGACACGCCGGAGTTCAATACGATACTCCACAGCCAACACCAACACCAATGCGCCTTCTTGCGTGCCTGACACACAGAATAACTAGCCCCCTCAAGCTAACGCCTGCCCGCCACTTTTGGCACGCGATGGAGAAAGACAGAACAGCGATCCCCCCGATCTTCGATCTTCGGCACCGGCCGAGTCTCCCCCGCCCGATAAGAGCGCAAAAGTGGGGAAGCTCCAACTGGCTCGTCCGCGTCGGGCTGAACATGTTCGGGTGGTCTTGCAGCCAAGCTGATCGCTGGCTCCTGTTGTGTATATATCTGCTGAACGTCCAAGGGCAACAATACGCATTCCGTGGCAATCGTTTCACCTTCAAACCTGTTTGTAGCGTGCAGGGTACGGCCTTGGAAGCAGACCGTGGGTGGCCGTGGGTGGCACCGAGCGAGCGTCATCGGTGAGCTCCGATCAAATTAGCAAGTATATTCTATTCTTCTTCTCTAGCGTTATAACCTCCTTCCCCCCCTCCGGCACCTGGCTAACGGCAACTTTAATCCCGACTAGCTCAAACCACTCTATTTCACTCCTGGATCACGCTACTTGCTCGACTCGACCGATTTGCTTTGAACGGGCCAAGAACTCAACGGTCGCCACCCCAGTCCGGCCTTCAGCAGCAATGCGAACCTCGACCCTTCTACCTACAAATGATATCCTCTGATCCCTACATCCGTTAATGTCGCTTACACTTACACATAAGAGTGATGATTACGATAAAGGGCACTGAAACAGGCGAAAGCCTTCTCGCATACGCGCGAGGATACTCCGAGGACGTGGACGTTATACGGGAGCGCGAGTATCCCTTGCTCAAGGGTAGGTTTATGCGCTGCGCGACTTGCCAACGTGCTTTTTTTTTTTTTTTTTTTGAGTAATTCATGCTGAATATCCCATGTATCTGAATTAGATACCACGTATCTCGATCATGCAGGTACTACGCTCTATGCGAAGTCCCTGATTGAATCGTTCTCCCGAGACCTGACCTCCAACCTCTATGGGAACCCCCATTCTATGTCCGCGCCCTCACAGCTCTCAACGCAACGTGTGGATGATATCCGGCTGCGAGCCCTTCGGTTTTTCAACGCCGATCCGGATGAATTCGATCTCGTCTTCGTGGCCAATGCAACCGCCGGGATAAAGTTGGTTGCGGAGTCTCTTCGAGAGGCATCTCCGCGAGGTTTCTGGTACGGGTACCATGTCGATGCGCACACTAGTCTGGTTGGGGCGCGTGAGCTGGCAGGGCTTGGAAATAGGTGTTTTGCGACGGATGAGGAGGTCGAGCGATGGATCTCCGACTTGCATAATGAACCTCAAGGCCAAGGACCTCGGTTGTTTGCGTGCCCGGCGCAGTCGAATATGAATGGTCGGCGCTTTCCTCTTGAATGGTGTCGGAAGATACGAGGCGCGGCTGAGAATACCTACTCGCTTCTTGATGTTGCGTCGCTTGTTTCCACATCGCCTCTCGATTTAAGCGATGCCTCCGCGGCACCCGATTTCGCCGTTCTCAGCTTCTACAAGATTTTCGGGTTCCCGGATCTTGGCGCGCTGATTGTTCGCAAGAGTGCTGGTCATGTCTTCGACAAGCGGCGGTTCTTCGGCGGGGGCACGGTGGATATGGTCTTGACGCAGGGGACGCAGTGGCATGCCAAAAAGCAGTCTACCATCCATGACCGGTTGGAGGACGGGACGCTTCCGTTTCATAGTATCATCGCGTTGGAGTCTGCGTTCGACACGCATGAGCGTCTCTTCGGCTCTATGGATAATGTGTCGTCGCACACGCGTTTCTTAGCGAAGCAGCTATATGACCGCATGACCGCGTTGAGGCATCATAACGGAGAGAAAGTCTGCCATGTTTACATGGGGTCGCGGTCAGACTATAACGATCCGGCTACACAGGGTCCGATCTTTGCGTTTAATCTGCGCAGCAGCCAGGGCGCGTGGATTGGCAAGTCTGAGGTGGAGAAGCTGGCCAGCGTCAAGAATATTCAGATCAGATCGGGGACGCTCTGCAATCCGGGAGGCACGGCGGCGAGCCTTGGAAGGACCGCGGAGGACATGCTGCGGAATTTCGAGCAAGGAATGCGTTGTGGGGATGACCACGATATCATGGATGGGCTGCCGACGGGCATCTTGAGAGCCAGTCTCGGTGCCATGAGCAATATGGATGATATACACGCTTTCATGGCTTTTATCGAAGAGTTCTACGTCGAAAAAAGCCCGAATATGTGTGCCTTGGTGCCGCCGATGGAAACCAATCTTCAGCAGCCAGGGTTCTACGTCGAGAGTCTCTCGGTATACCCGATAAAAAGTTGCGGTGCGTTCAAGGTGCCTGACGGCAAACGGTGGGAGATCAAACCAGAGGGGTTGGCATGGGATCGGGAGTGGTGCTTGGTCCATCAAGGCACAGGAGCAGCTCTGAACCAAAAACGATACCCTCGCATGGCTTTAATAATGCCGTTTATCGATCTCAGCCGTGGTGTGTTACATATAACCTGTGGAGGCATCTCTTCACCAGCTCAGAAGTCCTTGGAAATACCCCTAGGCCGTGAGAATCTGCGTGCCATCACCTCTTCATTCTGCCAGACCAGCTCGAAATCCTCCACCGTTTGCGGGGATCAGGTATCCCTGCAAGCCTATACATCTCCCGCCGTGTCTGCCTTCTTCTCCGACTTCCTCGGTGTGCCATGCACACTTGCAAGATTCCCACCGCAATCCTCGACCAGACTAGCCGAGCCTAAGCGCACTTTCGCTGGTAGAAGGTCGCCTCTCAAATCAACCATGCCCGGCTCCTTTCCCCAAGACCAAGACACATCGCCACCAGAGGCCATGATAGAATCCCAACGAAGCCCACTCCTCCTCTCCAACGAGAGCCCCATCCTGCTCATCTCGCGCTCCTCTGTCAACCGCCTCAACGAAACCATCAAAGCCAGCTCCCCCAACAGCAACGGCAACGGCAACTGTCGAAACAAGGCCGTCGCCGCCGACGTTTTCCGTGCCAATATCGTAGTCGCCGAGAACCTCTCCCAGCTGGCGCGCGCTGAGCGACCATACATCGAAGACCGGTGGGAATCTCTACGCATTGGATCCCGGAACCTCCGCTTCGATGTCCTCGGCTCCTGTCAAAGGTGCCAGATGGTCTGCGTTAATCAGCTTACTGGCGTGAGGGGGGAAGAGCCGTATTCGACCCTGGCGAAGACGAGGAAGTCCGGGAATAAGATTTTCTTTGGGAGATATCTGTCAGTTTTTGAGGACGTGGAATCTTGGGATCGTGGTTGTGATGAGACTGATACACCCACCCCCCCGGTGTTGAAGACAGTGATGGTTGGGGATGTTGTCACTCCGTCCTATGGTCTCGGTCTTGGTCTTGGTCATGGTCATGGTCATGATTGATGGGATATGATTGAGCTAGTTTTGGTTTGGTGTTTGTTGGTGTTAGTGCATTGGGACAGGCACAGGTACAGGCACAGGCTCCGTCCTGGAGATTGGAGTTGCAGTGATGGAATTCATCCATGTACCATACCATATCATCATAAGAATCCGGTTAATTTGAACCCACAACCACCAATTTACATTCCTTCCCCAACTACTTACTGGCTAGGTAGACAACCCATCAAACGGAGAAGCCGGACCTTCCTAATAGCTAGAAGGTTGTCTCAACACCTTTATAACCTAGGGTGTATTGTATGCCTCTATTTTCTTTCCGACCCAACCCTTGGCATACATGTGTAAACACCCGGATACTGTTCCTGTTGCTGTATATCTTGCATTCAACATCTATAGTATAGTAGCACCCGTTTCCATACAGACATTCAAATGTGCATGGGGTTTAAAAAAAAAAGCTATTTGTACAATACAATACATAATGAGAATAAACTCCCTTGTGCCGAATCAAACCCTGGCAATGAATGATCAATCAATCAATCAATCAATCAATCAAAATCAAAACTAAACAACTCTCCCCGAGCGGTGTCGATTGGCCCCGGGAAGATCAAAAAAAAAGGGATACAACGTTATGCAAGACACCCCGCGGATGATAAAAAAAAAAAAGGACATGTCAAGGGCGAACGAAGGATGAAGGCCCATGGGATGGCCCCATGGTCCACAGCCCAGTGGGTGAGACGCTTTACCGCTTGGGCCACTTTTTCCAGCCACGACCGTGACCTCTCTGTAAAAGGAAAACACAAGCAAAGTTAGCGTGTGTTTACAATTTTCAAGGACACGAAAGAAAGAATGAAAGAAAGACAGGGAAGAAAGAACAAAAGTCCAACTCACCTGCTTCCACGCGCGGATCATCTCCGGCATCTCCATCATTGCCTTGCGACGATCCTCCAGACGAGCCTCCATGGTGCGCTCCCACTTGTGACCCTTGACCTTCTGCCCGATACCCGTACCCTTGATGCGCAGACCGCACTCCTCGCGTCTCGTCTGCTTGAACTCCGTCGACTTGCGGCCCGGAGGCAGCAGCTCCTCAACATTATACCGGATAGCCAGCTTGACCAGATCGGCCTGCTGGCGCAGCCCGAACCGCGGACTCACCCATTTGCCCGTGCGGAAGTTCTTCTTCGGCAGGAACGGGTTGGGGTGTTTGGGGTCGGAGTAGAGCAGGGCCCGGGATGGGGAGAACGCTTTCGGGTCGGCAGGCTTGTGGCCCTTCGCGTCTCGGTTGGGGGTGTAGGGGGAGGGGAGGCCTTCGCTTTCCTCTCCTGCTGCTGTGGGGGTGGTGGCCTCGGCGGCGGCGGTCTCGGGGACTTCGGGGCGCGCGAGACTGGAGTAGATTTGCGGGGGGTAGCGAGCGAAGAAGTTGGTGAGACGCGCGGGAAGCTTGCTTATCAAGCTGGGGGTGGTGCCGGAGACGCTCATCTTGGAGGAGGATGGGTCCGGATGGGTTGTGTGGGGAGTGGTGGTGATGGTGGTGATAGTGAAGCTCGTTCGAGAATTACAGGCAAATATGGCGCTAGGCCACTTTCGGGGGGGGGGAAGAGGGAAGAGAGGCTCGGCGAAAAAAAGTTGGCAGAAAAGGCGGCGAGCAGGCGGGTGGGTGTGTGGTTGGTGTGGTGTGGCTGGTCACTCACTGGTGCTGGTGCTGGTGTCCCACGCTTAAACTCCCCGTCGCTCTTCTGCCTCTCACTTCTTCTCCCTCCCTCTCTCCCTCTCTCTCTCCCTCCTTGCTTGCCTGCTTTTTTACCTCCCCACACGCAGTGTTTGTTTGTCGGTCCTTCCTCCCCCCCCCTCCCTTTTCTACATCGCACTTGCATCGTCCGGGATTGTCACTTCTGTCGCCCGCGAATCTCGCTCTTGTGCATAAATTCTTCGTTCCCACGGCCACGATGGCGGACTACAACTATGGAGGTTCTGAGGAGGAGAATGCGGAGTTAAGGAAGCTGGAGGTCGAGCTGGTAGGATGCCCGCTTGGTTCTTGTTGTCGCGTTGATGGGCGATGCAGGTCTTGTTAGTCGCTAACGCAGCTGTCGTGGTGTAGCTCGATGATCCTGATAACTTCGAGACCTGGGAGAGATTGGTTCGCGCCGGCGAAGCCCTCGAGGGCGGCATCAACCGTAACTCCAACCCCCAAGCCATCACCACCGTGCGCAATGTCTACGATCGCTTCCTCGCCAAGTTCCCCCTGCTGTTCGGATACTGGAAGAAATACGCCGACCTGGAGTTCTCGATCACCGGAACCGAGGCCGCGGATATGGTACAGATGGCCCTTCTCTGGCTGAAAAAGAAAATCTTGGGCTAGGACGGTCGCTAATGGTCGCGCAGGTCTACGAACGGGGTATCGCCAGCATCTCGCCTTCGGTCGATCTGTGGACCAACTACTGCTCCTTCAAGGCAGAGACCTCCCACGACGCCGACGTGATCCGAGAGTAAGTATACAAGAGCTGGTTTCCTTTCCTTTCCCCCCCTGTAACCGTTACCAACGCAGCACGGACATTGTTGTGATGCCGGACCTGCGTGATGCAAGCTTTTGCTTGCAGCAGTCCCCGCGATGATGGGTGAGATTTCACCTTACCCGGTCTCAAACTGGAGTTTACTTCTCACCCATGGCTTCTCCAGGCTGTTTCATCCTCCCCTTGAACAAAAGTTACAGTTGATTTCAAGTCAAGCACCTCCTTCCCTGCCCGCACACTAGAGACCAGTACCTGTGCTCGGTGGCACCTATTCTGCGTTCGAAGCAGAGGGGGGAATCAGACGTTTTCATCCACCGTTTGACCATCTTAGTCGTTCAGTTTTTTGGGCTCGCACGCATTGGGAATCTGATGCTCATGTTTGCTATCCTTGTCATTTCCCTATCCCCCCGTCTTCCCCCGTCTTCCCCGTTGCGTTGTCCAACTTGGTATGCCCCGTCAGTACTGACTGTTCTTGTGCGCAGGCTTTTCGAACGCGGTGCGAGCAGCGTCGGGCTGGATTTCCTGGCGCATCCATTCTGGGACAAGTACATCGAGTATGAGGAGCGAGTGGAGGCCTATGATAAGATCTTCGGCATCCTCAGCCGCGTCATTCACATCCCTATGCACCAGTATGCCCGGTACTTCGAAAGATTCAGGCAGCTGGCCCAGGCCCGCCCCGTCGCGGAACTGGACACCCCGGAGACCTTGGCCCAGTTCCGTGCGGAGCTGGATGCTGCTTCCGCACACGTGGCCCCCGGCGCCAAGGCAGAGGCCGAGGTCGAGAGGGACCTGCGACTGCGCGTCGACAGCCATCACCTTGAGATCTTCTCCAAGACCCAGACTGAGACCACGAAGCGCTGGACATATGAGTCCGAGATCAAGCGCCCGTACTTCCACGTCACCGAGCTCGACGAGGGCCAGCTGGCGAACTGGAAGAAGTACCTCGACTTCGAAGAATCCGAAGGGTCGTACTCCCGCACTCAGTTCCTGTACGAGAGGTGTCTGGTGACGTGCGCCCATTACGAGGAGTTCTGGCAGCGCTACGCCCGGTGGATGGCCGCTCAGCCCGGCAAGGAGGAAGAAGTGCGATGCATCTACCAGCGTGCAAGCTACCTGTACGTGCCCATCGCCAACCCGGCGACTCGTCTCCAGTATGCATACTTCGAGGAGATGAGCGGCCGGGTGGATGTGGCCAAGGAGATCCATGACGCCATCCTGATCAACATCCCTAACCACGTGGAGACGGTAGTGTCCCTCGCGAACATGTGCCGTCGCCACGGCGGACTCGACGCTGCGATCGATGTGTACAAGACCCAGTTGGATTCGACACAGTCGGACCTGGCGACGAAGGCCGCGCTGGTTGCCGAATGGGCCCGGTTGCTGTGGAAGATCAAGGGCTCCTCCGAGGAAGCCCGCCAGGTGTTCCAGACGAACCAGCAGTACTACATGGACAGCCAGGCGTTCTGGACCAGCTACCTCAGCTTCGAGCTCGAGCAGCCCACGAGTGCCGCCACGGAGAACGTTCAATACGATCGCATCAAGCACGTCGTTGACGAGATCCGAACCAAGAGCGCCCTTACGGCCGACGTCGTGAGGGACCTTGTCCAGCGCTACATGGTGTACCTGCTCGAACGCGGAACGAAGGACGCCGCGAAGGAGTACATGACTCTGGACCGTGAAGTCCACGGCCCCTCGTCTGTGTCTCGTACCAAGGCCGGCGAGGCGGCGCTTCAAGCCCCTCCGCCCGTGGTGGTGCCCGTGGCGGAAGTTGATCCCACCCCCCCTCAAGCTAACCCCTATGACTACTATCAGCAGACACCCGTCAACGGTGGCGTGTGAGTCTGATAATAGGCAATTGAACCCAGAAATCACCAGATCAGCTGGCCCGGGAGCATCCACACCAACTCACCCCCCACCTCCCCTCCCTCCACATCCCTCCCCGCCACGGGAATGGCACCTCCCTCCCTCCCGCTCCCAGCCCTCGAATGGCGTGTTGATGTGTAGAACAATAATTCTTCTTTTTTGATTTGTGCAGCTTTCAGCGAGTCCGGCGTGTTGAGTGGGAAGCGAGAAGTCTACTTCGAGCAGTTTGCCTGCCCTCTGCCTCTTCCATGATATGGTCTATCCGATCTGATTCGGTCTGATCTGATCGGGAGGGTGGAATTTTATGAGTTTGGACACCGTTTCCATTGTATTCTAATGCGTAGGTAGCTTATCATTATCATTTGATGCTTGTGATTCCCAGTTACTGTGGTTTGTTGGCTTGGAGGTTGAGGCTGAGGCTAAAGCTGAAGCTGTATCGTAGGGCTGGTTGTTCCTACATCCGGTTGATACTTGGGTTGGGGGTCTCAGCGGGGTTGCTGCCTGAGGTTAGCACCCGCAGTGACTGCCTCCTCCTCCGCCGCCACCTCTTATCTTCCTTTCCCTTCCTCCCTCTTTCTCCTACATCAATCCAGCGGACGGTCCCACGGCCTCGTTTCCTTGCCACTGTAGGCTCCCACCGTCACACCTTCAATGTTCCCGGACCGGGTCTTCATCAAACTTTCTCTCCGGTTTCCATGCGGTCTATCCATCCCACCACACCAGGATGGTCTTTCAACATCTCCATCAGGGCCACTGCCGTGTGAATCCCCATCACCCGCCCGATGACATGGAAGCAGTTCATCACCCAGGTGTAGATGGGGCTGGAGACGCCGTCGACCAGCACCGCCACATAAAGCGGTAGCAGCAGGGTAAACCCCGTGCCGGCGCGCGTCATCACGGGGTCCACGCCATCCATCTCCTCGTGGCCCGCAACCCCGAACTTGAACGGCACCGAGCAGCAGATGTCCGTGGCCAGCTGCCTCATCCGGTCCCGGGGCCGGACACACTGGGCCCGGAAACTCTCGTACTCCGGTCCCGATTGAGCCGCAGGGGCCACGGGTGGCAGATGGGACAGAATCACCGTGTTGACCAGGATCCGGACATATCGGTAGTTGTTCCAGACGTTGCACGCCCAGAGGGTTTGGTACATGTGGTAAGTGCCGTGGTAGTAGGCGAAGTTGTAGCCATTTGTTGCCGGCGGGGGCGGATGGCTGGGGGGTCGGGTGCACAGCGCATAGACGAATTCCGAGGAGAACGTGCCGGTTAAGTCTTCCAGCTCGGAGTCGATCGCCCGCGCTATGGAGAGGATCTCGCTGCTGTCTGAGATGATGCCTGTTCGGATATCGGCCTGCAGGTCGCAGAACTTGGCCACGATCTTCATTAGTCGGTTTCCGTCCGTTGAGAAAGGGTACGTCTGCGACTTGGATGCCATCCGATCTGGGATGTCGAGCAGCGCAGGAGGGAATCGGAGTCCTTTTTGTAGGCAGCCTGTGAGCTGGAGGGGGAACCTCAGTCAGACTCACATCCATGCATATATTGTCAGGACGGGGATTGATCACATACAACTTCATTTCTTAGAACCTGGAACATCCAGGCCCCGCTTTCGCGCTGCAGCTGCTCCCCGCCGCGCAGTTCCAGGAGGGCCGCAATCCCCTTAGAGTGGTTGATCCAGGATTCCAGGCTGTCTTGCCGTTCACAGACGATGATCTTTCGGTCTCATCAGCGAGGATTGGTCTCCGTTGGCAGGGACTGGGCTGGGCTCGTCTCGGCTCACCTCGAATAACGACAGGCAGACGATGGCGGTGAGCGTCGTGTCCTCCTTGACCATGACAGGGTCCCGCAAGGCGGCATTGGTCAGCTGCAGAGCTGTGGCGTACTCGCGCCGGGCAGACAGGCGCAGGGATGGAGACTTCTGGAGGCTCGCCAAATTGGCCAGCCCTACGGATGCAATGCCGGCCATCATGGCTTTCTCCCCCAGTGCCGCAGTGGATTCCGGGGCATGGCGGGTAGACCGTTCCACCAGGCTGAACGTGTTGAACCACTTGAAGGTGTTCAGGAAGAAGCACGTTGCCTGGAAGGTATGGTCCAGGGTAAAGTTCAAGATGGGGCTTGGGAGTTGCCGGGCTGTCGGACCATCGGCGGTCTTCCATTTCAATCTGACCACCGCGGACGCTTGTGCAGCGGGGAGGCCAGGATCCGAGCCCGCCGATGTTTTCAGACGTTGGATTACCGACTTGCTTTCATCTCGAAACCAGATCGAGTGCGGGTCTCGATACCCGGAGCAGGTTCGCCTCGCCTTCCTACAACGGTTGCATATCGGTCTCCCTTCGTCGCACTGTCTTAGCATTAGAAGCGCGTCTCGGGTCCGAGGCATGGGACCTTCTCTGGCCGGGTACATGGGACGTACCTTGACTCTTCTCGCACGACAGGTACCACACCCTCCACTTGGCTTGCCCATCACGAGTGGGGGCTCGGCGACATGCAGACTGGCAGCTTGTGGCGCAGCAGATTGGGGGGGGGGGATATTAAGGACTAAGGTGGTGTGTCAAGGGAAGGAACCGCAAGGCACATGCACGATATTGCCCCTATGAACAGGCTAGCGTTCCAAGTTCCTCGACTGGCTCGCGGCCGAGAGAGCGTCGAACCTCAACAGTCACAATGGTGGTGATGCCTTGAGGGAGACTCGTGTTTCCCTCAGGCCGATATGGGGGGCCCCTGGCCGCTAACCGCATCGGGAAGGAACCGCGAGCAATCTGGAGCGTTGATTGGCGGAACCGGGTTGAGGACCGTTAACCCTAGTCGCTTTCTCGTCGTGACGGCCTCCCTCCGCCTCTGCTCTATCAAAACGGCTTTTACTCTAGGGCCTGCATGCCAGGGCTGCACAGCCTTGCATCTCCCGCTGGTGGCCCCGTGGCAGCAAGGTGTAAATTCACCATGTGGGACGCAGACAGACATCTAAATAGCTGGCCTGTCCTGCTGCCGCTCAAGATGTAGCGTACCTCCTTGACAACCATTTCCCTCTGTTCCCCTCTTTATATCCTCAGACACGACATCGGGCTGTTGCTCCTCCCCCGCAATCATGGCTGTCAACTACCGACACGGTCTCTCCATTCTGGAGCTGATCGTATACCTGCCCACCCTCTTCATGGCGCTGTGGATGGCCTTCCGCCATGGCTTCCAACGCAACTCCGGCTGGATCTTCCTGGTCATCTTCTCCCTGGCCCGTATCGTCGGCTCCTGCTGCTACCTGGCCACTATCAACGACCCCTCCTCGATAGACCTGTACCTCGCCTGGGCAGTCTGCATGTCAATCGGCCTGTCCCCGCTGACCTTGACCTGTGTTGGGCTCTTGTCTCGAGCGTACGTCCCCTGCTTTCCCATGGAAGCAACCCAACCACTGACCAACCCCGGGCTGCAGTAACGACTCCATCCGACGAAAGACCAGTCGAGGCATCCACCCGCTTCTGTTCAAAATTGTTGGCCTCCTCACCCTGGTGGGCCTGATCCTCTGCATTGTCGGCCAAGTTCAAAGCATGGGCAGTCTCCCAGCGAGCATGCCCATCAGCACCAAGACCAAGGTTGGCTATGTTCTGTTCATCGTTGCCTGGACGGGCCTGTCGGTCCTCCTCGTGGTCCTCGCGTGCAAGCGTCAGAGCATCGAGGATGGCGAGCACCGCTTGCTGCTGGCCGTTGGACTCACCGTCCCGCTGCTTCTGGTGCGTCTCATCTACTCCCTTCTGGGGGCCTTCGGGCACAGCACCACGTTCAGCATGATGTCTGGAAACGTCACGGTCGAGCTGGTCATGTCCGTCCTGGAAGAGATTTTCATCGTTCTCATCTGCCTTGGCGTGGGTGTCACCTTGGAGGTGCGTCCCCGCGTGACGGGCTATGAAGCCTGTGAGGCAGCTCAGGCGGATCGCGCTCTTGAGTGTTCGCAGAGTCCGGAGGAGGGGCCCTACAGGCCCGAGAATAAGGAACGCATCAGGAAGAAGAGACGGGGTGGTCCTATTACCCAGCTGGTTGGGCTTGCGCTTGATGAGATTAATTATCGGCGGAAGTGACGGGTTTCTGGTCTACTGTGAGTTTTTGCCATTTGCGATGATATTTTGTTTCATATCGATATTGATATGATGCAACTGGTTACTACGGCTGGAATATAGTTGTTCCATCTCCGGCTGAGTAAGCGCACATACTGGCAACCACCGAAAGGATCTGCCAGATGGCCACTAGCTGGGAGAGATCAAGCACTCAAGCACTCTACTATCAATATCACGACTCTAAGAAGTATTGTACCTATCGTTTACTAGTGTCCTGCTCCTGCGTCTTAGGCCGTGTACAGGTGAAGCGTCCGGAAGCTTCTACACCCCTGAGAGATCCACTCTATTAATTATGAGCCCGGGCTTACTGGTTTATTAAATCGCTTCAAAACCTGCATCCCGAGGGATCTATAATGGTTTAACATCCTGTATAGACCGTCCGGCCTCTTCTACCTGCACGCCCGACCCTTGAATCAATCCTGCGAATACTACCGGCCAGTATATTCCCAGCGAACGATCTCAAGTTGTTGGAACGCCTTAGCCATGGATCCAGAGCTAAAGATAAGAAAACCAATTACGGGCCCTGTCATCAGGGTGGAGGAGTTTAAGATTAACAAGTTGACTGAGAAAAACGCTTGTTATTGGTTTCATTTGATGACATTCCAGTTGGGAGCCCAATTCGCATTGCAAGCAATTGAAACGTTCAATGAAGTCTCAGAAGAGGAATGGAAGAAGATGATTGAATCACAAATTAACTGGTACGCGATCGATTTAAAGGCGAGACATATAATACAAATGGGGCTACATCGAGAGACGGTGTTGGCAGTCAAAGATTTTAAATACGCCGGAGAAATATGGAACTATCTGAAGGAACAATATATAAAATCATCCTGGGCTATAAGATTACGTCACCTGCTGAAACTAGCCAATTGGAAGAAGAAACCTCAACACAGTGCGCGCGAAGGATTTATGGAACTTATCGTCATGTCACTGAAGAACTGATTTATATCAACGAGGGCAATATGATAAGTCTCGAAGAATTGGCCATTATTTATTATCTCCGAGGACTCCCGGAAGAGTACTCCAACGTGAGAGACTTAATACTTGGATCGGACACCCCATTGACAATAGGAGATATCGCACAAAAGATAAGCGATGTTCCTAAAAATATAAGAAAGTCAGCCAATCAAGCGAAAGGATCCAGAGCGATGAATAATAAGAAGATCATCTGTTTCTACTGCGAGAAGAAAGGTCATATGGTGAAGGACTGCCGCAAAAAGAAGAATGACCAAGGTTCTCAAGGCTCCGAGGATGAAGCCAAAGAGAAGAAGAAACGCCCAAACAAGAAACGGTCCTCCAAGCACAAGGAGAGATCCATCAATCATCAATCTGATGACGAATCAGATTGGGATGGCCAGGAGATGGCTATCGGAGTAACCCACGAAAAGAGTCATTGCTCTGGGCAAGCTCATCACTATGCTGAACAGAACTATACCACCTCTAGCAACACCGACGTCAGAAGAAGGCTTGCAGAGAATGTTGATATAAAGTCTGGCGTCACTACCGACCAATGGTGTTTGAGCAGTGGAGCAACCTGCCACACAACAGGGCAGAGAGATCTCTTTGACTCCTTGGACCCTACATGGAGAGGAACTCTCACAGTGGGCGACGGCAATGTGATGCCGATTGAAGGCCGCGGAACGGTTAAATTTGAGCTACCGAATGGCTCAAGAGTAAGGCTAGAACGTGTTGCATACGTCCCAGGCCTGATGGACAATCTCCTCTCTCTGGAAGTACTTCACATGGATGGATATGAATCACGAGGATCCAAGCAAGGTTATCAGCTTTTGAAGGATGGTAAATTGGTTGCGAAAGGCAAGAGAACAGGGAAAAGGACCTATCTCAGCGCAGTGAGATATCCCACAGCCTTAATAGCCAACCCACAGAAAACCAGGCACTACGCGCGTTTGGCAGTCTCCGAAGATGCAGCCAAAGGCCCAAAGCAGAGAAACGCTTGATACACCGACGCCTAGGGCATCCTGGTAGGCACCGGTTCAATGAATGAATGCTTGATTCGTTTGGATATGGAGGATCTACGGCTTGGGAAGAGAGATCAACTACTTGAAGACAAGTGTGAAGTCTGTATAAGATCAGAATAATCAGATCTGTATTGATCTTCTTGAAGAGACTATTTATAATTAAAATAATTATTTTTGGTCGAATTGAAATAAACTACTTATTAAGAAATTGAATATAGTACAGTAAAACAAGATCCTGAGCTTTATTTAACTTTTAATAAGAATATTTTCAATTACTGCAAGAAACTCTTCTTTTTAATCGGATACAGAGTCTAACTTAAACACTGATAGTATCTTACTATATTCTCGCTGTAACTAGACATGAACCTGGAGGAGTTGTTGCCACTGAGCCCAAAGAAGGCTAACATTACCCGCAGTTACCTGCGGACCCCTAGAATCCCATATATATACTCAAGTACACCCGGGAGGAGGTGGGCTTCACCCTTGTAAGTCCGTATATCCCGTGAATATTCCCTTACAGATATAACAGTTAGTAAAATAAATAATTTTTTAAAGAAAAAAAATAATATATTAACTCTGTTGAGACGTTGGGATCGCTCTACAGGCGGCCTCGGAGCGGTAAGCCGCGTAGGGGTCGGTTAGCAGAACTCCTCGTGAGTTGAACACAACTCTGATGGACTAGATACTAGATCCCCTCGAAGACTAAACCAGTCCCAGAGGAGACAGGATTGACGATGGATGTTGATGTTGCTGCTCCGCCTGCCATTGGCCCGCACACCTTCCCTGAAGCGGATAAGCGTAGACATCACATGACCGTTAGCTAAGCGAACCCCACCACCACGTGACCTCTTCGATTTCGCATATATTTTCTCCTCTCGCCGAGATTTTTCCTCCCCTCCCCTGCTTTCCCTTCTGTCAACCTACTACCTTCAGCCCTCAGCAACAGGTCTGGATATTTCATGCATGATATCCTCGCCTGTTCTGATGAACACCCAGTCATCACAGATGGAATTATACCCCATCGATCGATCGACTGTTGATTGACTGTCGATTGACTGTCGATTGATCGATCTCCTGCCAATGCTCGCGGTTGACCGACGCCCCCGTAGCACACAACCCACACAGTGCGCGTCTAGCCTTTTCAATGGCGAAGAAGCATACTTTGTTTTATAGTTCGTTCAGTGGAAGATCAAAACCAAACAGTTTTTAGCAGAGCTGCGTCTACTCCACCCTGGTGTTCGCTTCGATCGGACGGCAGGACTTTTTCATGACGGACATACTGAGTTGATACCCATGCATTATTGTTATCGTTGGGATCGATGTAGACGGAGGGGAAACGGGAAGGGAGGGGGAAGGAGAGGAAAGTCTGTAGACCTTTCTTCTCTCTTCTTTCCTTTCCTTTCCTTTCACTTTTTGCCCTTGGCAGGGGGGAGGGGAAAGTGTCTTCAGTGTCAGTCACGGGGTGCTCGAGACGGCACCCCTTGCAGCCAACAGCAGACACGACTGTGTAGACAGACACAGTATCTACTCCGTAACTACTCCGTAGATCCCTCTCCTCTCCATATCCGTCCGGGGTTACCGTTGCTGCAGCCTGAGATTGGTGGTCAGACTGCTGCCTACCTATGCGTCTCTTTGTCGTCGCCAAAGTGAGCTTGTGAGGACTGGTCCGGCCGGCCGTCCCATGGACGTATCGATCAACGCAAAGCATGCATCGAATCTCGCCATCCGTCGCTGAGTCACGGAATGGGCATTCCGACGTCCAGAACCGCGCTGATTACAGACGTCTGCTGGGGGATGAGTAATGAATAATGGTAGTTAACTAGATAACTAACTAGTTAGTTAACTAAGTAATGCCAACGGTGCTGGACGGATTACGACTGTTATCTAGTAATGGATAGTTGACCTGTGGATCCGGAATCTACCGCGGCTCGACAGACGCCCAGGGCAGCAGCTCTGCCAACGAGAATGTCGCGGTTAATAATACTAATACGGCGACGGACCCGCCCGCGGATCCATCAGCGGGCATCGGCTATGATCAATCAATCAATCACGGCGGACGGCGGGCGACGGGCATTGCTGGCCTCATCGACACGGTTGCCCCTCGTCAGGTCGGCCATCTGTCCGGTGGATGCTGTGCTGCGAAGAGAGCGAGCCAGAGATCCATTCCAACACAATGGCTGTTTGGGTAGAGTCGAGGATCCGTAGACTTCGAGGGTCCAAGCAGGAGCCATGGATCGGGGCCTCGAACTTGCCACGGGCATTATCGATGCGCTCTCCGAACCCCTGCAAGTTCCACGTCCGAGCTGGCGAAACAGCAAGAAATGCGGAGAGACTGCTGAGTCAAAGGATTCGGCCCAGAGCTTCCCCCAATCTGGGGCCTGCGATTGGTGTGCCGCAGCTGGTGGACGGACTTCGGCATATTAGGGCAGCCCTGGAGGAGAAGAGGAGAGGAGGAGACGGAGGACTGAGATGATTCGCAGACTATTAGTATCCCTGTCTCTGTCTCCTCCTTTCCGTTCGATCTGACATTCCTCTCCTCTCCTCTCCTCTCTCGTCCCACCCCCGGAGAAAGCCCATCCATCCATCCATCTTCGGGTTTCATCCTCTCTGTGTTCGATCCCCCCTCTTGTCACACCTTCTGTCGCTTGTTTCCCTTCCACAACATCTTCTTCACAATGGCCTCCGCTGCTAGATCGGCCTCTCGGGCCTTCCTTCGCTCCACCCCCTCCGTCAGGCCCGCTGCTCGCAGTGCTCGGTTCGCCCTTCCCTCTCAGGGGTTCCGTGCCGCTCCCCGTCGCGGCTATGCCTCTGAGGCTGGCTCGGGCAAGTCCTCCAACGGCTTCCTGTGGGCTGGTCTCGCCGTTGCCGCCGGTGGTGGTGCGTACTTCTACCTCCAGGGCGGCGATGCCGTCGCCTCCAAGGAATTCGTCCCCGGCAAGGAGGACTACCAGAAGGTGTACGATGCGATTGCTGAGCGTCTCGCCAACGAGACCGACTATGACGATGGCAGCTATGGACCCGTAAGCTCGTCGTCCCCCAAAAGCAGAGTGTACAGAAGCTGACTCGCTCGTTGCATAGGTCCTGGTTCGCCTGGCATGGCACGCAAGCGGTACCTATGACAAGGAGACCGGCACGGGTGGAAGCAACGGTGCCACGATGAGATTCGCCCCCGAGTCCGACCACGGCGCCAACGCGGGTCTCAAGCACGCCCGTGACTTCCTGGAGCCGATCAAGGCCAAGTTCCCCTGGATCTCGTACTCCGACCTGTGGACTCTGGCCGGATCCGCCGCCATCCAGGAGCTGGGCGGCCCTGCCATCCCCTGGAGACCCGGCCGCGCGGACCGCGATGTGGCCGCCTGCACCCCCGACGGACGTCTCCCCGACGCCAGCAAGGACCACAGACACATCCGCGACATCTTCTACCGCATGGGATTCAATGACCAGGAGATCGTTGCCCTGGTGGGCGCCCACGCCCTGGGCCGCGCGCACAGCGACCGCTCCGGCTTCGACGGCCCCTGGGACTTCAGCCCGACCGTCTTCACCAACGACTTCTTCAAGCTGCTCCTCGACGAGAAGTGGCAGCAGAAGAAGTGGAACGGCCCCAAGCAGTTCACCGACAAGTCCACCGGCACCCTGATGATGCTGCCCACCGACATCGCCATGACCAAGGACAAGGAGTTCCGGAAGCACGTCGAGCGCTACGCCAAGGACAACGACGTCTTCTTCAAGGAGTTCACTGACGTGTACGTCAAGCTCCTGGAGCTGGGTGTCCCCTTCACCAGCAAGGCTGAGGACCGCTATATCTTCAAGACCTCCGCGTAAACAACTTCTGTTTGGCGATGTGAATATTTGGTTTCGGTTTGGTTTGGGATTTAGCTGCGGAGCATTATTGTTGTTGTTGATTTTTTTTTCTCTTGTCCACATTTTGATATCCGAGATCACTTGCGGTGATCTGGCCCTGCGTGGCTTCGGTGCGTGACGTCTAGACCGTCATGTCTTTCTTGCTCGAGGTATTAGATTATACAGACGGGCTGGTGGGAGTATAAGAAGATGGAACATGAACATGAAGATGTTAGAAATGCAAGACCGTCCACCGTGATATATATATATATATATATATTGTCTTTTGACTGACCAACGTAGCACGAAATATCCACGGTTGTATCAATCCCGTAGGATGTATTTATTCTTGTCTTTGTCTGCCTGTTGATTGTCCACCCACAGCTCCATGGCCGGATGCCCGAAGTGGCGGCGGCCGGAGAGCAAATGCGGGAGCCGCCGAAAGGAAAGAAGAAAGTCCTCGAGTCACTTCCGCATCTCTCCTCTCTTTCACCCCGACAAATAAATCAATAATCTGAGGCCATCCCTCCAGCAAAACCCCTCCCAACCACCCCTCCTACATCTCTCCCACCCCTCGGCGCAAACCCAGCAGAGCAAAGCAGAACCGAAACCATGACGCGCCCACCCACCACCACCACCACCCCCGCGACGACTTCTACACCATCCTCAGTCTCCCCTTCACCTCCTCAACATCAATCGCCACAAGCCTCTCGAAACAACAGCTCAAAGCCGCCTACCACAAAGCCCTCCTCAAACACCACCCAGACAAAACCCCCAGCGCAACCCCCAACGACCCAGACCTCCCACCCAGCCTGTCCCCTCATCCACCACTACCACCACCACCTCCTCCTCCTCCTCCTTCCCCAGCAGCCAAAGACCCTACACGATCGACGAAATCACCACGGCCTACAAAACCCTCTCCGACCCGTCCCTCCGCACCGAATACGACCGATCGCTGCGTCTCGACCGCGCGCGGGTCGCGGAGCGGGAGAAGACCGGGACGGTGTTTCACACGGGACTGGAGGTTGTGGACTTGGAGGATTTGGAGTTTGAGGAGGGGGGAGGGGCACAAGCAGATGGGGATGGGGATTATTGGTACAGGGGGTGTCGGTGTGGGGATGAGAAGGGGTTTTTGGTCACGGAAGAGGATCTAGAGAGGGAGGCGGAGCATGGGGAGGTGGTTGTGGGTTGTAGGGGGTGTAGTTTGTGGATGAAGGTGTTGTTTGCTGTTGAGGAGGAGGATACTTGATGGATACTTGAGGTGAATTTGGGGGGGGGGGGGGGTTTAATGGGTTCGACTTTTGGATGGTGGATGGAGGATGGATGGATGGCTCTGACGAGGAGATCGATCTGCGCTTGGACTTATTGTCTAGGCGTGTCGATACGCTGGAGAATACTACAGTGGTTCTGGAGGTTAGTCTACTCGACTCATCCAGCTGGATGGATGGCAACGTGAGGCAGGAGTGCGAATGGATGGATCACAGCTAGACCCTGCGGTTGAGAGCGCACTTTGATCATATCCAGCCCTCCAGGTATCACTGCAGACATCTCCAGGCTCGCTCAGCGCGGGCACACATGGCCAGATGGACTCCCTCGAGTCCTCCCCGAAGCAGAAGCAGAAGCGCTACCTGCTTCCTGGCACGACAGACACCGCATTAAAGGCATTCCCTCCCTCGGGATAAACCAAGCCAGCCATTCAAGAACAAATAGAAAGCGCGATATATTCACTAGAAGACAAACCTCATCTTCCGGAATAATCCAACCCTCCACTGACGTAGCCGACAAAATCTTCACGACCCCTCGATTGTTGCGGTGGAAGGGTTGATGACATATATCCGGAGTAAGCCAACCACCGCCGCAGCGACATCTCCGTCAACCACCACCACCACCTCCACTTCTCCCTCCATTCCACCTCCCCTCCCAACTCAACCATCCGACATTCCCCCCCCCCCCCCCACACTTCCCACCATGTCGGGACTCGTGCACATCACCTCGAAAGAGCAATTCAGCTCCCTCCTCACCTCCTCGACCTTCGTCGTCGCCGACTGTGAGCCGTCCAACCCCGCCTTTCTTTTCCCCTCTCCATCCCTTCCACCTGTTGCACAAACCACAAACCACAAACCACAAACGAACTGACACATTCTTTCTAGTCTACGCGGATTGGTGCGGACCATGCAAAGCCATCGCCCCGGTGTACGAGCAGCTCGCCTCGCAGCTCTCGCGCCCCAACCGCATCACCTTCACCAAGATCAACGTTGACCACCAGCAAGATATCTCGAAGGCATATGGAGTTACTGCGTACGTCTACCTCACCTATACCTGCACCTACACACACACACATATCCCCCCCCCTCAAGCTCCCCCATCAAACCCAACTAATCCATCTGCCACCTACCAGAATGCCCACATTCATGCTCTTCGAACGCGGGCGCCAAACCTCGACCGTGCGCGGCGCCGACCGCCAAAAACTCTCCGAAATGGTGCGCAAGCTCGCCGCGGAAGCCAACAAGCCGGACGCCGGCGGCGAAGGCTCCTCCTCGGGGGACTTCAGCGGCGGAGTGGGATGGATCGGAGCCCCGGCGCCGAAGGGATACAGCGATATCACGGACCAGTACGATCCGAAGGGCCTGGAGCTGCTGAACCGGGATAGCGAGTACGGGACGGCGCGGACGCTGCTGGACGGGGCGAAGCCGACCGCACTCAGCGGCAAGAGCAAGGCGACTGGGTCTGGGTCTGGGGCACCGGATTGGGTGGAGAGCGACACGGACGAGCAGTTGATGCTGTACGTGCCGTTCCAGTCTACGTTGAAGGTGCACTCTTTGCAGGTGACGTCTCTGCTGGCGGAGGATGATGAGCGGGATGAGGACGAGAAGCCCATGCGCCCCAAGACGCTGCAGCTGTATACCAACCGGTCGCATGTGCTGGGGTTCGATGAGGCGGATGATATCCCTGCCGTGCAGACGGTGACGATTCAGCCGGGCGATTGGGACCCCAAGACGGGCACCGCGAAGGTGGATCTGCGGTTTGTCAAGTTCCAGAGTGTCTTTTCGTTGGTGGTCTTCTTTGTCGATGGCGATGGGGAGAGCGAGAAGCTGCGGGTTGATCGCGTTCGCATCTTTGGTGAGGCGGGCGAGAAGAGGGAAATGGGCAAGTTGGAGAAGGTCGGTGATGAGCCGGGCGAGTAAGTAGTTGTTGTTGCTGCTGTTGCTGCTTGCATTGTAGTTGGGTGTCTTTTTGCGACAGGCATGACATGACATCACAAATGGATACTTAGTAACGAGGACATGCACGCCTGCACAGAAGACGCAACAAGCCAGGAAGAGACGCGGTCACAGACAGACAAGATTCTATTACTCTGACTACTAGTAGACTTACGAACAGAAACTCGATGCACTAGAACAATTCACATTGTTCATATTCATATTCATATAAAATAAACTCCCAACAAGAACCATCATCATCATCTACAAAACCCATCCGCGCACACTGCAGATAGATAGATAGATAGATAATCAAAAACCCAATTAAACCTTCTTCTCACTTAAATCTGCCACACAAAACAGAAACAAAAAAGATCCCAAAAAAGATCAACAATCAAAAGAAATTGGTATGTCCGATCCCAAACCAAATGGTCTCATCCTTATAATAGATCAGAAAAGACCAATAAAGTACGAACCGGTATGCAATATGTTCCTTCTGTGACGCAACTGACACCTGGGGATATACATCACGGGAGAAAGATGATGTCCAGGCAACACGGGTTGATAGTTGCGTCGCCGCACGAAGAAAGAAAAGAAAAAAAAAAGTTACCAAAAGATCGGGCTTCCCGTGAGATGAATTTATACCTGTGGGTGGGAGGTGGGGGGGGAAATGTTTCGCCGGGTTAGCCGAGTTTGCATTACCTAATTTAGTGTGGCGCCCGATTGGGTTTAGACTGGATGACTTTCCTCAGGGCGGAGGGCGGAGGGGAGCGGGAAAAAAATCTCTGAGGGAGGAGGGAGTTTTCTTCTTCTTCTTCTTCTTTTCTTCTTCTTTTTCTTATTACAATCTTGATGGCCGATGATGAGATAATTGGATGTTTATACATGATAGGAAGAGACTGACTCCCTTGATCAGGAGCTTGATCTTAACTTACCATCCACTGAGGCCTTTGGGTTTTTGTTTATTATTTCTTTCTTTCTTTCTTTCTTTCTTTCTTTCTTTCTTTCGTACTTATTTTATATTTAGATTCATATTTTTTTTTGTGTTTGCGCGCGTGTGAGGTGAGGTGAGGTGAGGTGTCAGCTGATGCTGTCTGTCGGCGTGTTTCGCGCTCGACTACTACCTTACCGCCACCGCGTACTTTAATTTCATCATTTTTCCACTACAATTTCTTACATCCATTTCCATTTTCCACTTCCATTCTATATCCGTGTGCGTGGCTTGTCTTTTACTGGTACTTTTCCGTCCAGCCCTCTCTATCTCTCGGAGTCCGGAGGCGGAGGCGGAGGCGGACGAGTAAAACAGCCTGATTGATTGATTGCTTCTTTCCACGGGGAGACAAGGATTCGCATCCGTCGCGCCCCGGCCCCAGACTTGTTTCGACCGTCGAAGCCAATGGAAGCTTGAGATAGCGGCGCAGCGGTCTGCGGTACGCCCCGTACATAAGTCCATCTGTCCTGTTAGATACTCCGTAGATGTCTTGGAAGAGATAGACAAGGACAAAGGCAGACAGCCCCGACGGCACTGGACTGGACTGGCAGTTTGCTTATGTCGGGCGCAACTGCCGTCGTAAGCCCTAGGACATACATAGATAGCGTGTGCTCCGTCCGGGCCGTCAAGTCAGATTCTGTTGCTGCTGCTGCTGCTGCTGCTGTCACTGCCTGCCTGCCACTGCCACCGCTAGTACGACAGCAAAATACTCCGGGCTGAGCAGATGCATACTAGCAGTAGTAGCAGGAGGATCGGATTATGGTTCTGTGTGTGTGTGTGTGTGTGTGTGTGTGTGTGTGGGCCGTGGACTGCAGCTCGCATCCTGGACCTGGGGGGGCTGTCTTTCTGCATCGCTATCAGCATCCTGCCGATCGTCTGATGCAATGGGCGTTTTAGCCCATTTTTAGATCCTCATGCGATTGCGAGGCTTTGCAGACCCATGGTTGAAGGGCAGCTGCAGACCTGCAGAATACAGACCTGCACACACACACACATCCATCCACCTTGGGGGCTGATACCGGGGCATCATCGTACCCATGCGCGCAATTCAGCTTGCCCATTCCAATCTATGGTAAGGTCCCTTCGGACCGCAAGTCTCCAAGGACCGTGCAGACCGCGGACAAGGAAACACAGGAGAGGAGCTGAGCATTGTTCGTTTCGGGATGTTCAGTGCTTTTCGTTCCGCTTGGTCTGACCGAGATGTCCACTCCGACCCAAGGAACCGCCCTCCGACCTTATCTGATACGAATCGACTCACGTAACTATCGTCACCGTGATTGACGGATGGTGATAGCGGTCTTCCGTCCATGCGCCCGCTTGCCCACCTCCCCACTGCCAGGTTGCTGCACTGTGCAGGCCCCGGGGCCAGGCTGCAGAGACCGGACGGTAATCCAAGACCATCTTCCGGCCCCCCCCCTCCCCCCAGGGCCCCAGGGCCCCGGGGCACCCGTCGATCATGGGCGAGGTTCAAGAGTCAGACAGGTCGACCGCGAGTCGTGAGGTGGCATCATTCCGCCTGGACTTCTCACCATCCCGTGCATAGTCACACTTTTCGACCCACGAGGGCTCTGCTGTCGATTGGATCGCCGCCGAAAGGTAGTCTCACCGTGAGACTTACCTAAATACTGGCAGGCAGGCTAGACAGAGTGTGGAGTATCTAGTGCGCCAGCCAAAATAAAAAAAAAAAATCAAAAAAAAAAAAAAAAAGAATAGCCATTGCGTTTTGCGACTCAGATAAGGTTCAACCACAGGTATTTTGGTCGCGCACTATTTTTTCTTTTTCCCGCGGGTATTATTTTGCCTGCGACCCAGATTTCCAGGCTCATCTCAATCCATTATTATTTATTTTATCTGCACGAGGAAGTCTGTTATCATCCTGATCTGCCAAGCGATATCGGAAGACCCGAAGATATGGAAAACGTATGCCCACCTGCCTGTCGGGGATTGGTCACGCGCGTTATCGTCTCGTCTCGTGTAGTGTGGTCTCGTCTCGTCGCGTCTCGAAGCCGATGCCTTGCCGATGCCTATCCAGGAGAATCACCTGTGGGAGACGCTGGAAAAGGTCTCCACGCGTACGTAGGTACAGGCTCTCAGCTTCGGCTGCGCTGCGCTGCGCTGCGCCGCGACCGCACGTGCCCCAATCCCTCTGCTGCCATTGTTCGAATGGATGGTCGCTTCTCGGAATAAATCGGCCGCAGACGTAATCTGGCCCATGGGGCGGGGGTCCCTGATGTCGACCTAAGCGTAGTGAGTACATAACTTAGGACCGTCGACACGAGGCTAGTAGACGATCCATTAGCCCATTAGGGCCAGGTTAAGCGCGCATCCGGTCGCTTCTCCGCATTTTCGAAAAGGAAGCCCAGCAGCCAAGGTGTGGCGCACTTCCTTGGAAGTCCAGACAGGGTTCGCGCTATTGCGCATTCTCGCGCAAGGTTGATCCAGCGAAACTGACTCGGAGAGAACGGCGAGGGTTTCTGCTTCCGGATGGTTGTCGTTGGCGCCGCGCGCGCTCTGTCTTTCTTTCTCCCCTCGGGGTTCCCATCTGGGTCCCGATCCAATGACGCCATGCGCAAGAGAAACAATCTGATCCATGGGACTGGGACTGGGACTGGGACTGGAACTGGAACTGGAACTGGAACTGGGAGAGCTTACGGGTAGATACTCAAGCCTCAAACCAAGATCCCGACTGGAGCTCTCCCCAGTCCCAAAAAAATATCGCTCGAACCGCGGGCCGGGAAGTTATCAAATACCAATCGAGTTGGCCCATCGCCTGACTTGGAATAGCCTCGGGTGTTTGAGCCAATATGCTTTGCCCGTCCCGTGCGCACGCCGCAAATGGCTCGCCGAGTCCCAGCTTCCACGATAGATAATCCACAGCCACTGTGCGATGGAGTAGCGAGACAATCAATGGGGTCGAGTTGGGTAAGAGATATCTGTCTATCTTCCGTCATTCACGGTACCCCAATGGTGCGATGTATCCGCTATCTGCGACCATGGGGGGGGGCGGCGCTCCACGATGCGTGCGCCCACTGGCCGTGGGAGAATCTGGTACTGGCACTGGCAGTCACCGGGGCAGCGAACAACTGAGCAGACCGGCGTCATTCGAGTCAACACGCACGTGCAAGGCTATTGTGGCTTATCAGGGCAAGCGAGTCAACCAACCCAACCGAACCTCGGTTTTGATTTTCAGCTGGCTGCGATCGGCCAGCTGGGCCCGTGGTTGCCTCCCCTGCACGAATCCAGGAACAGAACTCAAAACCTTCTCCCGTGCCGTCACGTCCACGGACAGTTTCTTTGGTGCGATGGCGTTCATCCTGCTCCCCGGGCCCCTCCCCCCCGTCACCGTCACCGTCACCGTCAGACAGGTGCTGCCGCGCCACCTGGCGCTGTAACCATAACTTGGGGGGTGGGCTGCGATTGGCACCGGCTCGAGGGAATTAACGCAGCTCCTGCCCCAATAGGCATGTCCACATGGACTCAGTGGATGATTGGCGTCGTAGAAACTCGCAACTCGCGTGTCCGGATTGGCAGGTTGTTTTTAAGCTCAGTGGCCAGTGGCAGCCAGTCGATAGATGGTCTAGTGGCGGGTTAATCTCCTGTCCCTCCACGGGGAAACAAAGGGAAACTAGAAACCCTGCATGTTGGCTGGTCACTATCACACTGGATTATTGGATGTATCGCACGTCTGGACGGGTGCACATACTCTAGTTATCCTAGTTAGTTATCCTACCGTGTCTTAGTCAGTAGGGAGTGAGGTAGATAGTGAGTGGTGGGCAGTGGGCTCGTCCCCGCAAAAGCGCGGTGGCTTCATGCCGGCAATCGGAGCGCTTGTCTGACTCTGGGCAGGACCCCCAGGTGGTAAGGTAGATAGATGGATACACAGTGAGGTACCTTAGATACCGTCGTACCAGGGAAATGACAGAGGACCGTCGGGGAGATACGAGGGCACGTAACTAGCTAACGGTTCTGCATTCTCATTACCCAACCCAACGGACTTGGGGGATGGGGTAATTTCGCACACAGGATTATTATGGACACCGTTGTGTGTGTGTGTGTGTGTGTGGGAGTGCGTCTAGGCGAGAACTACTGTGTAGTAAGGTAGCAGGATGGCATGGCATGGCATGGTATGGTATAATGAGGGTGGATGTGGATGCTGCTGGATGAGGGGCTCCGGTATTCCGAACCACCCAGGGTCTGGAATAAATCAAATCAAGCAACTGCTGTCGGGAGTATAACTCCGCCGTGGGTGGAAGGTCAGCCACAGGGAG